ATAATACTAATAATATTAATATTAAAATTAGTAACATTAGTAATAATACTATAATAATATTAATAATAACATTAACAATATTAACAATAATCGAAGCTACCTTAACCGAAAGTAATGTGTGCTAAACAATCCTACGAAAACATGAGACACGAACTTTCTACGAATGATTTAGATCGACTTATTATATAAATTAGTTTCCTTAATACTTAATTTTCTTAATTTTTTTTTAAACTTTTCTTACGTTAAAATTATTTATAGGGCGTTACAGTGCAATTTTAATGGCTAGATATACACGTTTACACTGTACAATAACATATGTTTTACACAATAATACCACTTGTGGCTGCATACAAGTTTTCATATATCTGCTCAAAACTTTCGTCTCTACTCTCTTTTACACATTTCCAGATTTCTTTTTTTTATATAATAATAATAATAAATTTTTTGCATATATTTTTTTTTATACAATTATCCATATATATGCAAAAACGAAAAAAAAATCTTTTTATTTCTACAAATCGAACGCTTTGCAAATTGTCACTGATTGATGCGCGCTTTTTCATTGAGTATTATAAAACACAATAAATCGTTTTAAAAAAATTTTTTTTCACTATTTATTATTTAGCAATAATTTAATTTATCAGTATTAGGAATTAAATTTAGGAATTAAATTTAGTTTTTAAGACTTTAAAATAATTGTGTTACGATCGACGCGCTTCTGTTGCGCCTGCGCGCAGGTTGTCATGGTAACGTACAAGAGTGAGAGAGAGAAAAGAAGTAGATTGAATTTTCCAACTCTATCACTCTCACGCGTTACCATGACAACCAGCGCGCAGACGCAACGGAAGTCGATCGTGACACAATTTTTAAATTCAAAAAGGGATAACAGATTTTTTAAAATATATTTTCAAAATTAATGAGATCGTCAGTCCTATAAAGTTGGTAACTTAAATTTTTTATCTTTAAATATTGTTACAATAAATTTGAGACTTTATATATTTTTTATATATATATTATGTACAAAGTAAGTTATTTATATATGTATATGCAAAGGAGAATTAATATATTTATATTTTTTTCGGCCTGCCGATTTTTACAAGTTATTTTTTTTTCTTTTAAAAGGACTGACGCTACGAGTACAAACTGACGAGTAGGAAAAAAAGCCTATTGTGATGGTTTCAAAAAAATACTTTTTCATTTTATAAAATAAAACTTAAACTTATCACCTTTCTTATTTTCATAATATTTTGTCAACTTTTGATATAAAAACACTACTTTAATAAAATATAAAACTTTGATAAAAAAAATCCTTTTTTTAAATTTATCTAAAAATTAATTATAGAATTAAAATAACTAGAAAAAAATTTGAAAAACAATTCGAAATTAAAAAACAAAATTTTAGATGTGAGACTCACTACGAAGAAAGATAACTTTGAGAGAAATGGAAAGAGACAGCGAGTGTATTTAACGTCCTCTCTGTTGTCCTTGTTTTTAGCGCAAGCGCGCTGATGCATCGTCCATGCGCATGCGTCTTTAGAGAGAGAAAGTGCGTTAGCACAATAGCTGTCTCTTTCTATCTCACGCTTCCTATTTTTTAAGCTCCATGGCTAAAATTCCATAACCCTAAAATTTTTTGCTTTTTAGGTACTTTTCTTTGCCTGAAGAAATTTTACAAGTTTTATTTGTTGTAATTAAAGAAAAAGAAAAATATGCAAATAATAAAGGAAATATTTGAATGGACCATTTTTCTTTCATGTTCGGGACAATGTTTGAAAAAATTTCTTTATAGTTCTATAGTGAAAAATAAAATTTTTAATCGCACTTTGATTACGGCCTCGACCTACTTTTTTGTCCATATTGTATACAATCTGCCAGTCAAAATGTACTCGTTCGTTGAGCACGCATCGATCAACACAATCTGCGCAGCGCAAGAACATCATAGACGTTATTTCTTATGTACATACATAATAATAATTAGACACTGCTATTGATTTGAATTCGAGGTGTGTGTGTGTGTTAACTGCCTTCAAAGCCTATTTCTATTCTCTCTAAACTTTACAAATTTCTCATTATACATTTTATACATAAATATATATATTTAGAAACAAATTTATATCCCTTTATGTATAAAAAAAGAAAATTACTAAATTTGCTAATTTAAAAGAAAAATTAAGTATTTTAATCCATAAAGATTTTGGTAATAATTTTTTCGCGTCGAACTGGACCTAGAAATTTAAGGTTATGTCCTTAAAAAGTTGCCATTAGTTGGAAAAGGATGGACATATCTCTATCCTTTTCTTATAAATGTCAACTTTTAGTTAGGACATTTACCACCAGGACCATTGCCAATTCTAGGTGAATTATCTTTAATTTCTTGTCAGAAGCATCACAAGTAGAAAAAAAAATCTATTTTCAAAAATTTCAAAGAGGAGAGAAAAATAGAATTCTTTTTTATTATTGATATGATAAGAAAGTTTAGAGAAAATATTTTATTGCAACGAGTATATAGATAATTCTGCAAAGTTCTAAAAAGGCCGTGTGTCTAAATGGATTCATTTTAGCAAAAATCAAAAAAGGCTAAACATTTTTTTTTTCTTTTACAAAGCGGTGACACTCGTTGCATATATTTATCTCATTACAATTTGAATATTATTTTCCATGTTTTTTTTTTTGTTTGTTATTTATTAACGCCATTATTAAGGACTATTTTTTATCAGAAAAAGAGAAAAATTCGCGATCCAGGATTTTCATGCAAAATCCCTTAAGCAATATTCTACGCTATATCACATCCTATGTCTGAGCACGGTTTTCATTATTTTTTTCCACGTGGATTCATTTTTTTTTTCTTATTTTTTTTGGTTTCGTTTTAACTATGGTGTTTTATACGAGTAATTTATACGAGTTTCATTAAATATAATTATAAGTTTCTCGAAGTCTAGTATTTTTTTTTTCGTTTTCCAGTTTTTTTTTTCTTAGAACAAACAGAAAATGCGTGGAATTTTACAGCGGACGATTTGTGATTGTGAATTTTTTTTTAAAAGTATTAGAACTTCATATGATTATTCCTTTTTTTTTAATGATTTCTATTTTTATATTAATTCCTCATTTTCATTTAATATTTCATATTAAAGAAATTTCTTGAAATTGAAAAAAAATTAGTTGCAAAATTTGTTTTCCAGGTATTTATGTTTGTAAATGAAAATTGATTTGATAATTTGAATGAATTATCTAGAAATATTTCTATAAATGCGTGAACTGAGAGAAAATTTTTACAGAGAACATTGCCAACAGCATGACATTTTTTTATTTTTCCCCCATAAAGAAAAAATACTTTTGTAAAAAATATAAATGCTTGCGTTTCATTTATCAACATGTAATAATAAAAAATAATAATTAATAAATGCTTTTTCTCTTGGAACAAAATATTTCACGTACATACATACACGGGCAAAAAACACGCGATTTCTCATTTAAAATTATGATTAAATTTACAGGAACTGTAAATTGTCATGGATCTATAAACTTAGTGTCAAATAAGTTTCATTCGAATCTCAATATTAAATCTCTAGTGTCCCTCTGATATTTTAATTCGATTATTTGATACATTTTAATCATTTTTTATCATTTCTGACGCGCTTCTGCTGCGCCTGCGTAGGTTGTCATGGTAACGTACAAGAGTGAGAGAGAAAAAAGAAGTACGTTTAATTTTCTGACTCTCTCACTCTCATGCGTTACCATGACAACCTGCGCGCAGGCGCAGCGGTCACAATTATATCAACAGGATATTCCAATAATTTAATTTCAATTATCAATTCAACAAAAAACCGATTCAAAAAAACTATCCAGAAACTTCATTGTACAAATACAATAATTACACTCTAGGTAATTATATTTTTACAATTATAATCGAATTGTAAACAAAAAAAAAAAAAGAACAAATCTACAATCTCTAAAATAAAAAACGAGAAAACTATCAAAATTTATAAAAGGTAATAATCACTTTTTTTCAGTATTTTAAGAATATCAAAATAGTGATTTCATGATTTCTTTCAATACTTAATTTGGAATGCATTAAATTGGAATAAACTCAATTGAGTATTTTTGTTTTTTTCTTATAAAGAAATTGCAAAGGCTTTCGGATTAAACACACGCGAAAAATTGCATTAAAAATAGAAGAGCTTTTTCATTATTTGAACACTTTGAAAATAATCATGCAGACAGTATGATAAATTACTCTCAAAAAAACTTTGTTAAGACTCTTTCTCTCGAATATTATTAATTTAAAATTACCATGACCAATCCCAGTTAAAAATAAATATCCATCTCCCAAAAGAAAATATTCATAAAATTTTAAAAGGAATAACCAATTTTAAAAAATGAATATTCGTGGCGTAGTAACAGCTCTATTGCGCGTGCGCGCAGATTGTCATAGTAACGCACAAGAGTGAGAGAGAAGAAACATGTACGTTGAATTTTCCGACTCTCTCACTCTCATGTGTTACCATGACAACTCCTGCAGGCAGCCACCGAGATTTGTCTGCGCCTTTAAAAATGCATTTATCAAATTGTATAATTAAAATATTTAAAATGGAAATTTAAATTAGTAATAAATTTAATAATTTAAACATAAAAATAAACAATAATAAAACAATAATAAAAACAATAATAAAATTAACACAATTAATAGAAAATGAATATAAAAGTTAAAAATCAGATTAAAACTGCTTTTTGAAAGCAGAAAACAGAAAAGACTTTCTGTAATAATTAAAAAAGTAAAAATTTTTTGTAAAAAAAAATTTAATAACTAAAATTTTTGTACAAAAAATAAATTTTGAATTCACTTTTTAAAATTAAAATTTTATAAATATTTCCAAATACCAATTTCCAATAATTTTTAAAGAGAAAGAAAGATTGCGCTACAAATTCGAGGGCAATGACTTTTTCTTTGAAAGTTCGAATCAAATTTAAAAAAAAAGCTATGCGTCTGTGAGACTATTTACTTCATCCTGAAAGCATCCATCAGCTCGTTCACAGCAGCATTCGTAGCAGCCTGGGTAGCAGCTTGCGTTACTCTCTGCTGCAGACCACCCGGACCCCCGCGACTAAACAACATTACGTTTTTACAGAGACAATCATTCTTGTCCTTTTTCTTTGTCCTCATTAACACAGCATTTAGCAAACGAGAAATTTTTTTTCGATATTTTCGTTTTGCTAAATACTCGATTTTTGATTTATTACAAATCAAGATTCCAATATAGTTGAATAATGAATTAAAATAAACAAAAATTTTAATTCAAATTAAAATTACTTCATCATAATTGAATTTAAGGAGCCAATTAATATTGATATTAATTAATAAGAAATTATTATTAAAATTAATTGGCACCTTAATTCAAGTAAAAATTATTTTATCATTGAATTAAGAAGCCAATTAATAATAAATTATTTATTATCAATATAATAATAATAAAAATAATATTAATATAATATCAATATTTCCAAAAGTAAATTTTGAAAATCCATGCAGGCACCGACATTTTTTTTTTTTGTCTACAATGCAAAAACAACGATTCCACCACAAAAAAATGAAACTATAGAAATGAAACGGAAATCTAAATTTGCAATATTGGGGAGTATTTTTAAAAGCCTTATACAATAACGAAGTTTTCAACAAATTTTTAACCAATTTTTAAACCCAAATGAGACGATGTCAATAATAATAATAAAAAAAAAAGTTAATAAATCGAGAAGAAGCTATTCTAAACTTTGAAAAAAAGCAAAATGTCATGCTGTTAGTAAGCGTTCAATAGAACTCGCCAATTATATTTAAATATAAACATTTAATTCTAAAATCAGGCCTTGGATCGACTTTAAGTGGCGAAAAATATTGTTTTTGTCGACTAAAGATTCAAAAAAAGTAAAAAAAAAAAATTCGACTTTTCTTCAATATTGTCACAAAAATATCATTTTTGTATTTTAATCTTTCGATAATTTAATTCTATTTGAGAATTTTTAACTAAACTTTCTTCTCCAAATTATTAATTGTCAATTTATTGAAAAAATATCATTTTTTTAAAATCATTTTTCGAAAATTATTTGAAAATTCAATTATTTCAATAAAAAAGTTCAATTTTTTTAAAATTGTAAATTTTTTTTTAGTTATTAAGGTGAATAATTGAAAATATTTAAAAATAATTATTAAATTTTTGAATTAAATTCTTCTTTAAATTATTGTCAATTAATTGAAAAATTATCATTTTTTAAAATCATTTTACGAAAATGATTTGAGAATTCAATTATTTGAATAAAAAAGTTCAATTTTTTTAAATTGTAAAATTTCTTTTTAGTGATTAAGGTAAATAATTGAAAATATTTGAAAAGAATTAAATTTTTAAATAAAATATAAAAAAAATTCTTAAAATTAGTTTTATAAAAATATTTTTAAATAATTTTTTAATGTTAATACATTTTTTAAAATTATACTTTTAATATTATATAATTAAAAAATTTCCTAAAAATTCAGTAAAATTTTTAGACAATAATTAAATTTTTTAAAACGCTTTCAAAAATATTAAAAAATTTTTGAAGAATTTTAATAAAAAACTTTTGAAAATTATTGTTTTCTTCAAAATTTTAATAATATTTCCGTAAAAATTAAATTATTTAAATAATATTAATGTTTCTTTTTTGTATATTTGAATTTTTTCGAAAAATATAATTGAAAATAGTTGAATTTTAAAAAAAATTGTAATAAAAAAATTCTTAAAAACAGTTTTTTAAAGAATTCATTAAAAATATTTTTAAAAAAATTTTTAAACAATTTTTTGAATAATAGATTTTTTAAAATTATACTTTTAATATTATGTAATTGAAAAATTTTCCAAATAATTAAAATTTAGTATAATAGACAATAATTGAATTTTCCCGAAAATATTAAAAAAAAATTTCTGAAGAATTTTAATATAAAATTTTTGAAAATAATTGTTTTCTTCAAAATTATAATAATAATGCTGTAAAAAATTAAATTCTTTAAACAATTTTAATCTTTTTTTTTTCATATTTGAATTTTTGGAAAGACTGCAATTGAAAATATTGAAAAAGAATTGAATTTAAAAAAAATATAACAAAAATAAAAATTCAATAAAATTTTGCAAAATTTCAATTATTCAAGCAATTTTCAATTATTTACAAATAATTCATTACAATGATTTATATTATTATGAATATTTAATTATCTCTCGAAAAATCACCCAAAAAAAATATTTATAAACATTTGACTCTAAAATATACGAAGGTATTTGTATTTTATACAAAAAAATGATACTTTGTCACAATATTTTTTGAAGAAAAGTCGAAAATAACCCTTTTTTTGAAAATCGAAAAAAAGTCGCCGTTTCCGAAATTAATGGAAAAAAATCCAAAAAGTCGAAATATCCAAGGCCTGAAAAATAGTCGAAAGATATAATTTTCAATTATATATGTACATAAATAGCATATACAAACTGTCATCGTGACACTAATATACAATTCAATAAACAATCATTCTCTACAATATTTTATTTCGACTCTCTCTTTCTCTCTTTACTTTAGAGAATCATTTTTAATTTATCTAATTACCCCACGTAAAATTTAATCAATATTATTTAAAATATACATTTTTTTCCTCATTTTTCTAAACTTGATAGAAAAAAAAAAGAATTTTGTCATATAGGACTTGCATAAAATTAACTATCACCTCGGAAAAATTATTATTATTTTCAATAAAATGCCTGACAAAATGATTCCATAAAAATATTTAAAAAGAATTGAATTCTATTTAAAATTAAGACTTAAGAAAAATATGTAAAAATCCTTTTTATCTACTTTTACGATTTTAAACTAAAATCCTCAAATATTATCCTAAACTTCTAAATTTCCTAATATATTTAATATTTTGTTAATTTCATTAATTTCATTAATTTCATTAATTTTATTAATTTTATTAATTTTATTAATTTTATTAACTTTATGAATTTTATTAATTTAATTAATTTTATGAATTATTAATTAATTAATTTTATAATTGCATTTTTTTTTAATGATTCTTTGAAAACGACTTGAACTGTGAGATAAATATGAATGAATACAGAAGTGCATGGTCCAGAAAAAGAAAACGGGTGACAATATAGCTGCAATATGATTGTTTCCTCTCACAGACGATTTCACAAAAAAACTGTTTCTTTTTTTTCGTGCAAATGTACACACACATAATATATATATATATAGTGATGAAAGGGGGGGAATTTTTCTTAGGCCCGTTTTTTTTTCTTTCTAACGACAGCAATTATTACACCTCGATGTTGCATATTTATTAATCTGAATTTAATAAATATTGATGTTGTTAATAACGAGTGAGAACAAAGCTTGTCATTATTGTGTGAAACGCAATAACGAGAAAATGTTAGAGATAAATGACTAGATGCAACAGATATATATATATTTTTTTTTTTGAAATATATATTATATATGGATTAGTAGCAAACAGATGTGTTAATGTGAAGACTTATTGTCGGCGCCTGCAATAGAAAGTCGAGTTAGCAATAAAGCCCCGATAAACAAACACACAATAATAAAGTTTTCACTACAATACTCAACTTCTCGTCCCTTATAGGCCGAGATGACACTATTCATTCTTTTTGTTTCTATTTTTATTTATTTTCTTTCATTCTAGTCTATTTTTATTATTACAGGCTTCGCACTCAAATAATTAGTTGTAAAAAAGTATCAAAAAGTGTCTTTAAGAATGAAAAAAAGTAGTGAAAAATTGGATATAAAAAAAAATAAATTTCACAACTAAAAAATTCGTTTTAATCTATTTAAAAAAAAAGACAAAAATTTGATTCTCTATTTTTCTGATTTCCATAAATAATATTCACTGTTTTTCTTATCCTGCTAATAACTTCAATTCTAAATTTTTATCAAATTCAATTATTTTTCAAATTTTTAGTTAGAATTCTTCAAAAATTCAATTATTTTTAAAAATAATTTTTCAAAGTAAAAAAATAATTTTTTTTTTAAATATAAAATTTATTTTAACTAAATTTGACAAAATTTCCAATTAATTCGAAATTTAAATAAACATTTTTAATTTTGACGAGAATTTTACTATTTACAAATAAATTTTTATTAAAAAGTTTCACAAGAATTCACTTATTTAAGTCAAATTAATTCGAAATTTTTACGAAAATTTTACTATATTCAAAAAAATTAATTAAAATTTTTCAAAAGGTTACTTTTTTTATAAAAATTTCTAATTTAAATTATTTATACTTGAAAAACTTGTGTTCAACAAATATGTATAAATAATAAATCATTTTATGAAAATTGAAAACAATAATTCAATTATTTTGAATAATTTAATTAGAATTATATTAAAAATAATTGAATTCTCGCGAAAATTTTTGTTTGTTTATTACAAAATATAATTGAATTCTTAAGAAGAATTTTATCATCATTTTTAAAAATAATAATTAAATTCAAAAACATTTTCTTAAAATTTTTGTAAATAATTGAAATGTTTTGAAGAATTTTAATGAAACTTTTAAAAATAATTAAATTTTCCAAGGAATTCATTTAAAACATTTAAAATTGTGTTAAAAATAATTGAATTGTTTTAAAGAATTTCTTGAATTTTTTTTAAAATCGATTTTGTAAAAAATTGTAATTAATAATTTTCTTATTAAAGTTTATTAAAATATTTTTAAAAAATTGAAATCTTCTAAAGAATTTTGTCGGATTTTTCGAAATTAATTAAATTTGTTTGACTAAATTCTTTAAATCTATTAAAAATAAATTAATTTTTTAAAAATTTTTATTGAAAATTTACTTTTAAAAGTTTACTTTTTTTTGTTGTACATTTTTTCAAAAATTTTCTCTTAATTTTTTAAAATAATCGTGTTTGTTAATAATTGTAATTAAACAATTTTTAAGAAATTGAATTCTCTAGAAAATGTATGTTTGTTTATTAAAATAACTGAATTCTTATAAAAAGTTATATTTATCATTTTGAAAACTAATTCAATTCTAAGAAATTTTCTTAAAATTTTTGTAAATAATTGAATTGTTTTGAAGAATTTCTTTGAATTTCTTTTTTTAAATAATCGATTTTGTTATAAATTGTATCTAATTAATAATTTTATTATTATACAGTTAATAAAAATATTTTTAAAAAATTGAATTCTTCTAAAGAATTTTATCGAATATTTTGAAATTATTTAAAATTGTTTGACTAAATTCTTTAAATTTACTGAAAATAAATAATTTTTTTAATAATTTTAATTGAAAATTTAGTTTTTTTTATTGTAAATTTTGAAATTAATTAAATTTTTTAAAAAGATAACTCAATTTTTTAAAATAATCTCGTTTGTTAATAATTGTAATTAAAAAATTTTATTAAAATTTTTAAGAAATAATTGAATTTCTGAGTCGAATTTTATTGACTAATTTCTTTAAATTTTTGGAAAATAATGTTGTTTTTTTTAAATAAGTTTACTTGAGTCTGTTAATTATTGTAATTAAAGATTTTAATATTGAATTTTATTGAAATTTTTTGGAAAGAATTGGATTCTTTTAAAGAATTTTATTATTGAATAATTGAATTCTTGCGAAGAATTTTATTAAAATGTTTGGAAATAATTGAAGTTTCGAATAATTTTATGAAAATTTGAAAGAATAATTAAATTTTTGAATAATTTTATTAGAATTTGAAAGAATAATTAAATTTTTGAATAATTTTATTAGAATTAGAAAGAATAATTAAATTTTTGAATAATTGTATTAAAATTTGAAAGAATTAATAAATTAAATTATTTCAACTATTATCAGATTTAAATTTGTGATAATTTTCACAAACAAATTAAGAAAAAAGTAGCTTTTAGTGTCACAACCTTAAAATAAAAGTATCTAAATAGTAGCTAATCGTAAAAAAAGTTGCAAATACAGTGAGTTCTCGCGAGTCGTTCAATTCTCGAAAATTTTCAAGATCATAAAACTCACGAGTCGTTCAACGCATAAGCCTCGCCTCCAAGGCGATTTCAGGGATGTGTGAAGCATATTTATCGCCCCGAAAGACACAATATTCAATGGCTTTGGTCCGTTTAAATTACACAGCACTGAGCACCAGCGCGCGCATACCAGAAATTGAACGACTCGTGAATCGGACACTGATCAGCTGTTGAACGACTGACGAGTTTGAACGACTCGTGAGTTGAACGACTCGCGAGAACTCACTGTAGTAGGTTTCTGTAGATGAGTGTGAAGCCTGGCGCCTGTTATTAACTCTTTTTGTTTCTTTTTATTTATTTAATAATTTCTTAATTTTTTTATTAATTAAGAAATTAAATTTAAACTATAGAAGAAAAATATTCAACATTCGAAAAATTAAAATTAAATTCATTCTTTTCTAAAAGTTCTCGTTCGGCTCATAAGGGAGCGATCAAAAGAATTGAGTGTCGTTTGTAGAAAGATAAAGAAGAATATAATTTAGTTTTGAGAACCGTGGAGAGTTTTAAGGACGAGCTTTTCTTTTGTCTACTACTAATAATAATAATAACAATTTTTGTAGAATATTAATAATTAATAATTTAAACAAAAGTACTTACGATGGTATGAGGGGAGGAGGTAGACCAGGATTTCCCCGAGAGGGTGGTGCGCCGCCAGGTCCGGGTCGATTTGGAATTGCAGGTGCTGGACGACCACCGGCTGGCACTGGAGGTGGAGCTCGTGAACTCGCTGGTGGCGCAGGTTGTGAAACTCCTCGTCTCGGTCCACCCGGTGACGGTGGCGATAACCTAAATTTTTTTTTTCAAATTCAAATTATGAAATAATTTCCAAATATTTTTCCCCACTTTTCCAATATTTATATTTATGTATAATTTCACTTCAAAATTTTATTCCAATTCAACATGTTTCTCAAGCAAAATTAAATGCAAACATTTCAAAAAAAAAAAACAACAATAAATTCCTCAATCCATTACACAGAATGGAAAAAAAACTTTTTTTTGAACCTTTTTTCAAAATATTGAAAATAAAATTTAAAAAAAAAAGTTGAAACCATAAAAAAAATAAATTTTCAATAGAAAAGAATAAGAATCTTACCCGAGACTGAATCAATGGCATTTGATAGTGAATTTGCAAATGCGAACAGTGTAAAAGGGAGGAAAAAAAAAGAATACAAGTTAGTGAAGAATAAAAGAAAGAAGAGAAAAAAAAATGTAAAAACTATCGTCACCTTGGATTTTCACCCGATGCCAACCAGTCGTTTTTGACCGGAGGAGGCACTGGCGTTGAAACTGTCGCCATTGACACATCGCCGATAATTCGAAGAGCTTCCTTGCAAGCATGATACATACGAAGCATTTCCTCACGTTTTTGTGCCTCTTCCGGCGATTCCTCCATCATCGACGACTAAACAAACACATTCAATTTTAATTCCATTGCAAAATTAATTCATTAATAAATTAATTAATTCCAGGCTTCGCATACAATATTAGTTTTCAAAAAGTAGCAAAAAGTGTCTTTAAGACTGAAAAAAATTCGTTTTATTCTATTTAAAAAAAAGACAAAAATTTGATTCTCTATTTTTTTAATTTCCATAAAAAATATTCACTGTTTTTCTTATCCTGGTAATAACTTCAATTCTAAATTTGTATCAAATTTAATTATTTTTCCAAATTTTTAGTTAGAATTCTTCAAAAATTCCATTATGTTTAAAAATAATTTTTGAAAGTAAAGAAATAAATTTTTTTAAATATAAAATTTATTTTAACTAAATTTGACAAAAATTTCCAATTAATTCGAAATTTAAATAAACATTTTTAATTTTGACGAGAATTTTACTATTTTCAAATCAATTTTTATTAAAAAGTTTCACAAGAATTCACTTATTTAAGTAAAAAAATAAATAATTTATAGAATAATTGATTATTTCTTAAAATTGAATAAGAATTTTATCAACATTTTTGAAAATAATTGAATTCTTTAAAGGAATTCTTCTTCTTCTTTTTTAATTTAACTTTTGAAAATAATTAAACTTTTCCAGGAATTCATTTGAAATTGTATTAAAAATAATTAAATTCTTGCAACGATTTTTATTAAATTTGTTTAATTACATAATAAATCATTTTATGAAAATATAGAAGAAGAATTCAATTATTTTGAATAATTTAATAAAATTTGTATTAAAAATAATTGAATTCTCGCGAAAATTTTTGTTTGTTTATTAAAATAATTAAATTCTTATAAAGAATTTTATCATCATTTTTAAAAATAAGTAAATTCCAAAACATTTTCTTAAAATTTTTGTAAATAATATAATTGAATTATTTTGAAGAATTTCTTTGAATTTTTTTAAAATAATCGATTTTGTTAAAAATTGTAATTAATAATTTTATTATTAAAATATTTTTAAAAAATTAAATTCTTCTAAAGAATTTTATTGGATTTTTCGAAATTAATGAAATTTATTTAACTAAATTCTTTAAATCTATTGAAAATAAATTCATTTCTTTAAATTTTAAATGAAAATTTAGTTCTTTTTATTCTAAATTTTGAAATTATGTAATTAAATTTTTTCCAAAAATTTTTAAGAAATAATTAAATTTCTGAGAAGAATTTTATTGACTAATTTCTTTAAATATTTTGAAAATAATGTAGAATTTTTTTAAAAATAATTTTACTTGAGTTTGTTAATTATTGTAATTAAAGATTTTAAGGTATTTGTCGCGTAAATTCGTTTTCGACAGTTTTTTTTTAAATTTCACATAATTATTCTTTGGATATTTATCTACAAAATAAGGCCTATTAAAATAAAATTGACCGTCTGTAAGTCTCAAAAAATAAAATCAAAGTTTCGATTTTTAACATGTAAGGTATAGGAAAACCATATGAAAACCACAGATTTTTAATTTTTGCACTTATACTAATCGACAGATTTTTTAGAAAAACTAAAGTTTTATTTATTGAACCAAAATGAACTTTTATAAAAAAAATGAAAATTTTTCACCGTCTTGTTTAAAAGATATTTAACATCAAACTTGAAAAATTATTTTAACATTTACTGTAAATGACAGGTGAATTCGTAAACGTGGCAATAGCGCTTGTTAAATACTACAGCTCGTCTGCTACTTTTGGCGCGAAATTTTAAAGACGGCCATACGCCAAACTTGCGACGTTGCCACGATCGTTTTTCATGCGAGAGGTTATGAATATACATTGAGAACATCTGTGTATCAAACTGTACGTCCGCAAAAGTTTTTCGGAAACTCGCATTCATATAATCGTTTCATAAGTACAGTCAACGGATACAAACTTTTGAGAGTGACCAGTCGCGCGACAAATACCTTAATATTGAATTTTATTAAAAACTTTTGGAAATAATTTAATTCTTGTAAAGAATGAAAAATTGTTTTGGAAATAATTGACATTCTCCAAAGAATTTTATTATTTATGAAAATATTTTAATTTTTGAGAAGAATTTTCTTATTTATTAAAATAATTGAATTCTTGCGGTCGATTTTACAATTTATAAAAATTTGAATTGTTTCGTAAAATTTTATCCGAATTTTTAAAAATAATTGAATTCGTTAAAGGAATTTTATTAAAAAATTTTGCAAAAATAATTCTTTTTCTTAAAAAATTTTATCAAAATTATTCAAAATAATTGAATTTATATTAAAATTCTTGAAAATAATCGAATTTAGTTTATAGTTTTATAATCAAAATAGTAGCTAATCGTAAAAAAAATAGTAAGTAGTAGGTTTTAGTAGATGAGTGCGAAGCCTGTAATTCATTAATTAATAAATAAATTAATTCAATTAAAAAGAATATTAAAAACCATTTTATCGACAAATAAAATAAAACTTACAGCAAAAGGATAAAGGGAACTTTTCGGATTATAGGATTTCTCATCACCTTTCTATAAATATGGAAATTAAAAGGAAAGGAGTTTAAAATTTCGAAAATACAAAACAAAACGAAAAAATTACCTGATCTCCACTTGCGTAGAGATGTGCCAATAATTCTCCATTAATGAAATCCTTTGCATTGTTGATAATAAGATGCATTATTGTTTTTGGAACGAGATCGCGCGTTGTTTTTGTGACAATTTTCATGTAGGAATCAACCAAATTTCTAATAGTCTCCACTTGTCGCTCCAATTGAGGATCCATTGACGATTGTGCTTCCGAGCCACCCTATTATTCATCAAAAAAAAAAAAAGAAAATTATATTTTTATTCATTCGATAAATTTTACATTTCAAAAACAAAATGTAATTCACTTCCATTTTTAAGTTCAAATTCCAAGCAGTGCAGAATAAAATCTCACATCCTAATATTTATTTTAGAAAAAAATTTTCAATTTAACATCTTGTCTCGATTCAAGAGTGAAAAAACTTCTAAATCCTTTTGTTCCCACTTGTTTTCTTTTTAAATTTTTTTCTTGTTCAGTGCTTTTAAAAATTTGTTATACAAAAATTTTTCTAAAAATTACTGAATCACAAAATTCATATTTATTTATCAATTTTATATTTATATGTATAGCAATTTAATTACACGGTCATGGTTGCCACAAAAAATTGATTTTATTTTTCCCTGATTTCCAGACAGAACTTTGAACCCTAAAAAATATTTTTGTTTACTCTAAAAATAATTACTCAAAAAAATATTTGAATTCTATTTATTTTTGAATATATTTTATAGTTAAATTATTTGCAGAATCAAAATAGATTTTCTAAAAATAAAAATTTAATCATTAGTATTAGTTTTCTAACGAAATTAAGATTTTTAAAAATTTCAAATTTTTAATGTTTAGAAATAATTAAACTTTAAAAGATTCTATATTAAAATCTTTTGAATTTTAAGTTAATTAAAATTCAAAATTTTAGTAACAATTTTGTTTGAAATTAACTGAATTGTTAAATATTTGTTATTTAATTATAAGAACTTTCGAATAATCAAAATTTCTTTTTGTAGAAAAAATATTTACCTCGTTTTAAAAAGGTTGTGGCAACCCTGACGGTGAAATTTTAATTTTTGATTTGAATTCTAATAAAAAATTATTCCCAAGAGAAGCTTTTTCACGAAAAATGTAATTCTCACCTAAAGAGCAAAAACGTAACGTGCTAAATTTCTAATGCAGTGTTTGGATAATTATAAAGGTGTGAAATATTAATAATTATATCTAGATTATAAAAAATTTCCAGTGCTATTTACAATGGGCTGTAAAAATCAGTACCAAGCCAAAAGGAAGGTGTCGAGTGTAGGTGTTTTGTAAAATCGTGAACATGGCGTAAATAGAATCTTAGAATTTTTTATATCACATTTTTTTTTAATACAGAAAAATTAATTTCTTTCCTCAAAATTCCAAGATTCTTCACAATTGATTAAAATCGTGACTAACCATGTAATTACAAAACATAATCGCAACAGTACCAACCTCATATCCTTCCTTCAGATGAAACGAGTTACACAAAAAAAAAATATATCGTTAAAAATTGATAACAAAATTAAAATTTATTTTCTAGTAAAAAGAAAAAAAAAATTTTTTAAAAAGCGTTCACGTCATTTTAATAAGCGCGAAAGTTAATTTTCATACTCGCGTCAATTCAAATTGCAAAAATATTTAGATCAAACATTTTTGTTAATTAAACTCAAAAAAAAAATCAGTGAAAAAAAACCCCTTTTTTTACTAACTCACCGACTCATTTTTAGCCTAGAACGAAAATTAATCGAAATTATTTAGATAAGATAGAAAAGAAAAAAATAAATGAAAAATTTATTTTGGTAATTCTTGCATTCGAGAATAATTTTTTTTTTTTTGAATATACGAACCTCGCCTTCGCCATTAGCTTGTTCTGTCTGTTTCTCGGGATAAACACCGGCTCTGAGGAATGACGCTTTCCACGAATCGACATCGTCCTGAGTCTCGCAACTCAATTCCAATTGTTTATAATCCTTGTAAACGTTTCTTCCCTCGGGATTGAAAAGAGCGAACAAGTGACGTCGTGACATAAAGCCCTGCTCCAAATCACGAAGTTTCAAGCCATCCAGCGGCAACATATATTTCTTCTCTCGTTCCTAAAAATTTCGAGCAAAACAATAAGTAAATGAACGAATAAAAAAAAATCCACGCTTCGCACTCGTAATATTAAAACCTATTTACCGCTTTTTTTAGGATTTGTTACTATTAAAATCTATTTACTATTTTTTTACGATTTGCTAATATTTGGATTCTTTTTTCAGATTTGAGTAAAAAACTACGATTAGAGCTAAAATACGATTATTAATTTACAAGTTAATTTATTTAAATCTAAAATTTTTTAGCACCATTTTATGGAAAGTAATTCCTTATTTCATTCTATTAGAATAAAAAAATATAATTCCTGCACAATTCTTTTTTAGTTAGATTTAAATTACATTTTTATAAATTTTGACAAAAACAACCACAATTTTTATAAAAAAAAAACAAACAATTTTAATCTCACAAGATAGTCATATGAGAGAAGTAAAGATACCCAAAGTGGCAGAAAATATATCAAATTATTAAAAATGTTATAAACTGTCTTTAAACTTTATTTATCACCTTAAAAGTTAAAAAAAAACCACAACGAGATTGCAATTTTCTAAAATAATCAATTATTTTTTTATTTAGATAATTGAATTCTCGTAGTTGAATTCTGATAAAAATTTATTTAAAAAAAGAATTTCAATTAAAATTTTAGAAAATAATTGAATATTCAAAACTTTATAAGTAAAAAATGTTTAGAAATAATTAAAATGATTAAAAGATTTCAAATTAAAATCTTTGGAAATAATTTGAATTTTGAGTACACTTGAAATGCTTGAAATTAAAAATTGTGGAGAACTCGATTTTTTTTTTAAATTTTAGTTACAATTTGTTTAAATTAGTTGAATTATTGAATATTGATTTAATTTAAAAACTTTCGAATAATAAAAATTTCTTTTTCTAGAAAAAAAATTACTTTGAAATTTTTTTCATAATCCAATTTTTTTTTTAGAATCATTAAAAATTCTAAAAAAAGTAATTTTTTAAATTGTTTATTAAAATTCTTCAAAAAATTAATTAGTTTCTTAAATTGTTTAGATATTCTTTTAATGGAATTTAATTATTTTCGAAAAATTGCATTACAATTTTTAAAAAAAACCAATTCAATAGAATTAAATATTATTAATTTTTGAAAAATCAATTATCTTATAAAAAAGTAAATTAAAATTTTAAAAAATCTAATTTTTTAGACTTTATAATTACGATTATAGAGAAATTATATATTTTCATATTTGTATTAAAAATTCCTCGAAAACTTGATTTTTCTTTTGTATTTTCGAAAAATTCTTGTAAAAAGTTCAATTATTTTCCAAAAATTGTATTAAGTGGAAATATTTCAATTATACATAAATTAAAATTTATTATCTTTCAAAAATTATTTAAAGCTATTCATAATTTTTAAGAATTCTTTATTAAATTTAAAAAAAAACAAGAAAAATAACAATTTTTATGAAAAAATTGAATTTTTGTATTTAAATACTTGAATTCTAGAAGAATTTTTTCAAAATTATTAAAAACAATTGATAATCAATTTGGAAAAGGATTTTAGCCAAAATTCTAGAAATTAATTGAAATTAATTAAAATTCTAAAAAATAACTTGAATTTGGAAGAATTACGGTTGTAATTTATAGAAATAATTAAATTTCCAAATGTTTTACACATTGAAATTATTTCGTTTGAACTTGTGAGAAAAGTAAATATGTAATAATATTTTTTGAATTTTCCCAGAGTAATTTTTTAATAATAATTTTTTTTGTAGAATTTTCCAATAAATATTAAAATATTTATTAATTTAACAAAAAGTTATTGAATTTTTTAATAATTTAATTCAGAAATTCTGCAAAAGATGTTTTTTTTTAAATTGTAATTAAAATATTTTGAAAATAGTTGAACTCTCGAAAATAATTTCTCAAAAAAATTGAAATTGGAAATTTTGTCAAATTTTATTAAAATAAAATATTTATATTTTTGAGAGAATTTAATTTTTTTACTTTCAAAAATAATTTTTAAATATGATCGTATTTTTAAAGAATTTTAACTAAAAATTTGAAAAATAATTGAATTTCAAAAAAATTAAAAATTGTAATTATCACCAAGATAAGAAAAGAAATTAATTTTCATGATGAAAGTCAGAAAAATACATAAATTATTTTAGAGACTTTAATTTTTTTACTTTTAAAAATTATTTTTGAGTTCTATAATCGTATTTTTAAAGAATTCTAACTGAAAATTTGGAAAATAATGAATTTCACAAGAATTTAGAATTGAAATTATGACAATGAAAAGAAAAGAAATTCATTTTCTTTCTGAAAGTCAGGAAAATATATAAGCAAATTTTTGTGATAACTCAGAAAAAATGAGTTACTTTAAATCGACTAAATCGAATTTTTTTGGTCGTTAAATTTAATTTTTCGACAGTTACTCTTTTACTACTTCTTTTTAATCTTCAAAGTAATTTTTCCTGTCATCTCAATGTTAATTAATAGTTGCTGTTGTTAATGAATGTTTTTGAAATTAATTTGTTTATTAATTTTCTTGAAATTAATTTGTTTATTCATTTTCTTAAAAAATTAATTTGGTAATTAATTTTCTTGAAATTAATTTGACAAAAATTAATTTTCTTGAAACTATTTAACGAGTGCGAGGCCTGAATTCACAAATTCCTCTATATTATTAATCAGAAAAAATTACCTCTTCATCTTTAAACCAGGAGATGCTTTCCGAAGTGAGAACGAACCAATAATCTCTTGAGCCACCTTTCATAATTCCTAAATTATGAATGCACATGTATCCCTTCCGAATGACTTGATTGCCCAAAGTATGACGTCCAGTTTTCACTGAATTTTCGGAAGACTGTTGAGCGCTGCAACAAAAAAAATATTAAACTATGAAACAATGAAATGAAAGCGCAACAATGCAAAGCCTAATTTGATCAAGAAAATCACACACAACAAACTATATTCTCCAAAAGAAAAAAAAGTTTCTCTCTTTTATTTAAAAAAAAAAAATTATCCAATTTCACCAACTTTACAAAGAAAAAAAAACATACACAAATAATTAATTTTCAATTTGAATTCAGCAATATTGAAATGTAAAAAGAAAATTAATATTTTCATTTTTTGTCAACTTTTTTTTTTATTAATTTGTCTTAAAAGGGTAGATTTAAATTTTCCTATCGAATTTTAGATTTTTTGAATTTTTTCATTATTAATTCTCTAAAAATGGAGAATGGATAGAAAATTTAATATTTAATGAAAATGAATTCGAAAGAAGCAAAATAAGTAATAAAAGTAGCAAAATAATATTCCACTCTCATATAGTTGATTTCGCATTTGAATTTTAAAAGCGTTTTTTTTTTATGTCCAAAAAAAGCCAAATGTGATAAAAATTTCTAAATTCGTAAAAGAAATCGTAAAAGTGTAAAATTTTATAAAATTTTAACAATTATCGAATGCTGAATAAATTATCCAAAAATGTAACGAAACTAGGTATATCTAAATAATGTGAAAATAATTAATAAATTGTCCAAAAAATGAAACTAAAACGTAATTTAATTCCATATTAAATATATATATGTACAAATTTACAATGAAAATTTAATTTGCCTACATGAATATGTAAATTGAAAAATCAAATGTTTTTTTCTCCTCGTAAAAAAATAGAAAAAAAGAAAAATCTAAAAGTGCTTAGACTACTGTGAATTATTTTTATTTTCTCATTTATTTCCGGAGGGGGGAGGAAAAACGTGCAAAACGGAGAAGAAAATTCTAAAAACATGCCAAGGATATGATAAAATCAAAAAAAGAAAAAGAAAAAGTTTTTTTTTGAGAAAACGTCTAATATACATCGAATTGAAATAAAAAGAATTGTTTCGCACATGCAGTAATTTTAAATTAAAAACGTTATCGGCAAATAAGCTTGCGAAAACAACAATCGTGCTTTTTTTTTTATAACAGAGCAAAACGATAAAAAATTGACCAATTTTCCGTTGACATAGTGCACATACAATTTTATAAAAAAGAAAAAAAATTCTTTACACAATAGTCGAGATGGAATTTTAAATTATTTAGATAATTAGAATTTTTTAGACAATTAAAATTAATAGCTAAATTATTTGTAAATAAAATTATTTATAACTAAAATTATTTATAACTAAAATTATTTATTACTAAAATTATTTCTAATTAAAATTATTCATAACTAAAATTATTTAAAATTGAAATTATTTAGGTATAAAAAGTGAAAATTTTAACTACGTACAAAACATTCATTGTTATCAATAAATATTTGAATGATTAAAATCAATATCAAGTCAAAAAGAGAAAAAAAAGAAAAGTAGAAAATTTGAGTCAAAAATTAAATTCAAAGTTAGATTGGAAAATTTATTTTTTTTTAAATTTCTAATTTCAATTAGAATAATTGGAAAAACCATTAATTTTCAATAAATTAAATTACATCACAGAATTAATATTTTATTTTCTGAATTGAAATAAAATTATTTTCTTATTACAAAAATTCAATTTTTTTATTTTGTTTATAAAATATTTTTTATTTCGTTTATAAAATTTTTTTTTGTATTTTAAATCTTTTAAATCTATTAAAATTAGAAAACAAAAATCTAGTAGAAATAAAAAAACAAATTATCAAATCAAATAAATTTTTTTCATTCAAATATTTAGAAAATTAAAAGAAATTACAAAATTATTTATTGAGAAATATTTCAGTAAAAATAAAAATTAATCTATGTAGAAATTCAAAAAACAAAATATCTAATAAAAAAATTTCTCTCACTCAAATATTTAGAAAATTAAAAGAAATTCAAATTGAGAAATATTTTACAGTAAAAATAAAAAATAAAACCAGACAAATTAAAAAACAAATTATTGAAAATAAATTACTATTAATTAAATTATTAAATAAATTCTCAATTTTCATTTAAATTATTAAATATAATTAGTTATTAATTTTAAGTATCAAATAAAAAAAAATTTTCTTTTATTCAACTATTTCGAAAATTAATAGAAATTTCAATTAATTGAGAAATATTTTAGTATAAAGAAAATAAATGAATAAATAAAATAAATCTAGTAAAATAAAAAAAAATCAAATAAAAAAAATTTCTTTCATTCAAATATTTGAAAGAGTAAAAGAAATTCAAATTAATTAAGAAATATTTCAATAAAAAAAATATCATCAACTACAGTAAATCACTATACATAATAAAACATTTATTTTGGAAAAAATATATTAATTATTAGTCTCAAAAAAAACCATACTTTTCAAAATTATTGCATATGAGATACTACCAAAAAAAAACACTGAAAATATGTTAATTTCGCCAAATTTTGTATAAAAAATGTCGCTTGGATATAAGAAAAGAAGGTTTTTGCAAATGAGAAGATAAAGTACAAATTCAGAAAAAAAAGAATAAAAATAAAATGAAATAAGAAAAATAAATAAAAAAAAAATACGAAATTTAAAAGCAAACAGGAGATAAAAATTTTTTTTTGAAACAAGACTATATAGAATGAAGAAATAGCGGAAAAAAGGAGGAAAATAGAATGTGGTGGAGTTTCTTGATTGCGTGTTAATTGTCTTACCTTGAATTATACATACTGGCTGCCGCGCTGCCGGTGTAATTAAATAATTGGTTTTATTTGTAACGTGAAATACAGTCAATGCACGTAAAGAACATACGTCGGAAATAAGATATGACAAGATTTTCATTTTTTTTTTTTTTGACTGGGCAAAACGTAAACTAAAAATAAAATTATTCGTTTTATGACATTGATCTAAAAAGTTTACAATTTTTTCTCTAATGCAATTTTGCCATTAATTAATAAATAAATAAATTAATTAAATTAATTCAAATTAAGTATAAATTAATTAAATTAATTCAAATTAAGTATAAATTAATTAATTTAAATTAATTAATATTAATTAATACTAAATAAATTAATTTAATAAAAAGTGAGTTAATTAAATCTATTTTGATTTTAAAACGTTTTTTTCTTTTTTCAATATTACCTTTTGCCCATTGTAATTAAATTACGAAAATCAGTATGTAAATCGATTCTCCTAACTTGATAGCGAATTCGACAATATTTCGACAAAATTATTATTTTTCCGCAAAAATAAATTTTTACCTTCGTTAAGTTTACTTTCATAATTAAATTATTCGAAATAAAAATCGAAAATTAATTTAATAATTTTTTATACTTGAAAACAAGGTACGACAATTTTTTCCTCATATTGAATTCGCTAAAAGTATTTGAAAAACTTCTACGCAAACTGGTTGATAAAGCATTATTATATTTTATTCACGATAAAAAAAAACCTGTTTATTAACAATTCAAAAATTGGAAAATTAAATTTAATAGAAAAAAAAGGAAGAAAATGTAATCATTTTTAATCACTGTCGATAATAATCAAAAACAGTAAATAATTCAATGAAATAATTAACGAATAATTCTTTATCACCCAGTTTCTTGTAAAACCAAAAAAAAAGACAGAAAAAAAAGAAACAATGAATAATGAAGTTCTGCAAAAATATTAGGAGAATGAGTTACAAAAAATATGAAATATGTACATAATGTAAATTTTCTATTTTCTATTATCAAAAAAAAAAAATATATTATAAAATCGACTCTCTTTGTATGCACAATGTCATACGGTTATATAATTTTTGTACGTTATTAATAGTACAAAAAAAATTATTAAAAACAAGTTTTAATCAACCAGGAATATTGTGCCTTTACATTTTTTTTGGATGAACTATAATAATAATAATAATAGAGAAAGAAAAATGAGAAAAGCGACAAAGCCCAAGAATTACTAAAAAAGTTTTAACCTGCACGGGACATGCACTGGTTTCAGAAAAATTATCAGGATTCATAACTGTGCCTAAAGATAAGCATAGAAATGGGGACTATTGTGAAATAAAATATAAATATACAGAAATATATACACTGAAAAAAAATCATTTCAAGAAAAATTTATTCGATTCTATTGTCTGTGATAAAATAAATAAATCTTTTTTTTATTCAAATCAAATAAATTTAATTTTTAATTTTTTTTTATTTAAATCGAATAAATGCAATTTGAATAAATTAAATTCGATCAATATCAGTATTTGAAGTTTGCAACAAAAACGATTTCATCGATTTGAGTAAAAATTAGTAAAAATATTTATAATAGACAAGTGATTTTTAAATCAAATTTTTGTGTAATTATTTGATTCAAAAAAATATTTTTAATAGACAAGTGATTTTTTAATCAAATTTTTTTTAGTGTAGGTAATTATTCGACTAAAGAAAATATTTATAATAGACAAGTGATTTTTTAATCAAATTTTTTTTAGTGTAATTATTTATCTCAAGAAATTATTTGATAGATAATTATTTGACTCAAGAAAATATTTATAATAGAAAAGTGATTTTTTTAATCAAATTTTTTTTTTTTTAGTGAAATTATTTAACTCGAGAAAATATTTGACAAATGATTTTTGAATGAAATAAATTTTTTTTCAGTGTATAAATATAATATATAAGTATATTGAATATTTATATAAGAGATTTTTTTTTCGCCAAATATTACAAATAATTGCGCCCCCATTAAAAAAAAATTAAAGCAAAAAATTATGACTTGATTCTCTTTTCAATTGAGAAAGAGAAAAGATAGAGAGAGAGAGGTGATTGCGAAAAAATTTGTGAAACAATACGACCATGCAGTGCATCGTATAGGTGCTGAAAACCTACAGGGTGAAAACTAATCGGAAATTAAAATGTGCAGTGAAAATATTTTGACACTTTTCAATGACAATAAAAAGTTTTTACGGCTTTGCACTTAAAATTTGCTTTTCTACCAAACAAAAAAATATGCCTTTATTTTCAAAGAAATTTCTTTTTTCGCAAATTTTCTAAGTCTCCAATTTTGTTTTTGATGCGAAAAAAAAAGTAAGAAAAAAAGAACTAACTCAATTATATAAAAATCTAAGTAGCTTAGCTTTTTTCAGATTTTGCAAATCAAGCCTACAGTATTTTAATTTCTTTTGGCTTTCAAATTCGCTTCTATTTCTATTTAGGAAAAAAATAGCTTTTCTTTCTTTTCTTTTTTTTTTTTTTTGAATAGAATGTGCCTAAAAGGAGTGCTTGCTAAAATAATATTGCGCAATTTTAGAAAAAATTGGTGTAAGGGATTTTTTTTTCTTTTCTTTTTTTGAATTTTGCTCTCGAATTTTGAAAATAGACATCCACTTACTTGGCAAATCCAATGAAGTCTTCGTGATTTGTGTTCATGTATGCGAGTTCGCAATCAACTAAAAGAATTAAATGCTCCTTGCACATTTGCTCGCGTTGCCTCACATGTGTCGTTATGATTCTCTCCGTCTCCTCCCTTAATCTAGGATAACGTGACATCTGCAAAATTCAACATTTGCTTTTTTCAACATTCTGATAACTATTCAAAGAGAAAAAAAGAAGACAGAATATTAAAATATACGAAAAATAATTAAAAGACAAAAAAAAAATTACAAGATTCTAAGAAAAAAAAGAAATAATATTAAAATATACGAAAAATAATTAAAATATGTACCAACAAAAAAAAATTACAAGATTTCAAATATCTCACCCGATCTGTACAAATGCGCACAACATTGCTAAGTTCCTGCACGACTAGATCCACACATTTAAGACTTGGCTCTTTGAGCCTATTTATTTGTTTTTTAACTATAGCTTCAAAAGCCATGTCGGGAGTGAAGAGTCCAACCCTGATACCTGAAAAGAAATAAAATTTTTCTTATTCTTTTCAAAAATTATTATTCTTACGACTATTATTATTATTATTATCTGTAGTTCACAGTTTAAAGTCAGTTACATTTCTTTGCTTATTTTGATTCCTAATTCATTTGACAATTATTATTTTTAAATAACTTTTCGAATTTTAAAATTAGTGAAATTTTAATTTAATATTTTTCAATTAAGATTAAGATTTTATTAAGATTAAGATGAAAATTAAATTTAATTATTTGAAGATTAAATAATAACAAAAGTGAATTAAACAAAATTGTTTCGACTAATTTCGAAATTCCTAATTTCAGAAGATTTTTGTTTATTTTTTTTTTACAAAAAAAGTTATAATTTTTCAAACTTTTAAAATTTCAAAATCTAAAATAAATATTAAATCTTGCATTGGATTTTATTAAAAAAAAACAATTCAAAACAATTAAATTCTTTCGACGAATTTCATTAAAATATTATCAACATTAAAATATTTTAAAAAGTTAAAATTATACCGAATAATTTTTATTAAAATTTTTGAAAATAATTGAATTCTTTCCAGAAATTTTATTGAAATTGCATTGAAAATAATTGAATTCCTCAAAAGAATTTTATTATTTACCAAAAGTAATTCAATTGCTTTAAAGAATTTTATTAAAATTTTTGAAGACGAATTTAATTAAAATTTCATAAAAATTTGTTTAAAAAATTTAAATCTTTTAAAAAATTTTTGAAAAGTAATTGAATTGCTTTGAAAAATTTTTAAAGACGAATTTAATTAAAATTTGTTTAAAAAATTAAAATCTTTCTATTATATTTCTATTTCTATTATAATTTATATTAAAATTTTTGAAATTATAATAATTGAATTGTTTCGAGGAACTTTATTAAAAACCAGCAAATGTTACGCGCGAAAGCACGCGGAACGTGATGTTCAATTTATTATTATTATGCAAATTACAAAAAATTTTTATTTTCAAATATGAATTTTTGAATAATTTCAAATTCAAAATTTTAAAAGTAAATAATTAATTTTTCTTGCTTATCAATTTTTAAAATTTCAATAAAATTTTTCGCAAGAATTCAATTATTCGAATAAAAAATTCAATTATTTTTAAACAAAATTTCAATAAAATTTCACAAACGAATACAATTATGTTCTAAAATTTAAAAAAAGCCTTCAAATCAATTCATATATTTTTTTAAATATATTAAAATCCTTGCAAAAATTCAATTATTTTCAAAAAAATTCAGGAATTAAATTTTTTTCTTAATTCGTTATACAAAATTTCAATAGAATTCAATTATTTTGTAAAATTTTTATAAATTCTGTAAAAAAATTCAATTATATTTCTAAATAATTGAATTCTTTTCAAAAATTCAATTATTTTTAATACAATTTTGATAACATTTCATGAAAGATTAAAATTTTTTTTTTTAAATATTTTTCGAAAAAATTCAATTATTTTCCAAAATTACAATAAACTCTATGAAACAATTCAATTATATTTATAAATAGTAAAATTCTTTGCAAAAATTTAATTATTTTCTAAAAATTTTCACGAAAGAATTTAATTATTTTCTAAAAAATTTTACGGAAGAATTTAATTATTTTCTAAAATTTTAATAAAATCCAATAATTATATGTTTAATTTCAAATATTAACAAACACGATTATAATTTTAAAAACTTGAAAGAATTTGTTCATAAAAATTCAGTTATTTTTAAAGTTTTTAATTAAAATTAGTAAAAAATTAGAAAAAAATTCATCAAGAGAATTCAATTACTTTCCTAAGTAATAAAATTCTTCGACGGAACTCTATTAGTATCATATTTTTTGATAAAATTCTTTGCAAAAATTTGATGATTTTCAATATATATTTTAATTTAAAAAAAAAAAATCGTCTGAAGAATTTTATTATATTTACGAAAGTATGTAATTGAATTGCTTTGAAGAGTTTTATTTAAATTTTTGAAGGCGAATTTAATAACATTGATATTGAAAATAATTAAATTCTTATAAACAAATATCAAAATTTTTGAAAATAATTGAAATTTTTTTTATCAATTTTATTAAAATTTCAATTTCAAAATTTGAATTTCTGCAATGAATTTTATTAAAACATTAAAAAATAATTGAATTCTGCCAAGAACTTTTATTAAAATTGATTTTAAAAAAATTAATTTCTGTAAAAAATTTTATTTAAACTTTCAAAAATAATTGAATTCTTATGAAAATTTTTAGTATTTATAAAAATAATTGAATTGTTTCGAAGAATTTTATTCAAATTTTTAAAGAGGAATTTAATTAAAATGATATTGAAAGTAACTGAAATATATCGAAAATCGTTTTAATTCTTACTTTAAAAAATAATCGAATTTTGTCGTGAAATTTTTATTGAAATTGCATTGAAAATAGCTGAATTGTTTTAAACATATTTTATCAAAATTTTTGAAAATAATTAAATTCTTTCAAAGAACTTTATAAAAATTTTTTAAAAAATTGAATTTCAGCAAAGAATTTTATTAAATTTTTTGAAATTAATAAATAATAATCAAGTAGTTAATAAGTGAATTTATTTTTACTTCGAATCTGAAATTATTCAAAAATTGAAGATATTTAAAATTAAAAACTACGATTTGCATAATAATAATTATAAATGGATAGCGCGTTTCTTTGCGCTTATCATTTACTACTTTTTCAAATAAATAATTTCCAACGAACAAAAAAAAAAGAAATTCTACTAAAGATATAAATTCTCTTAAATTAAATAAATAATCAACAATAATTTTTAAATTACCATGAATATTTCTAATTGCGAAAGCAATTTCCCTTCGAAGTTCCTTCTCGTCGAATTCCATTTTAACAATTTCAAATGGAAAGCGCTCGTGGAATAATCGATTGATTTTTGCACCGCCACTAAGTTCCATTGTGTTGATTTGCGCGGAACCGGAACCCTCGATAGTCCTCTCGAAATCCGATTGCAACGATTGTATCATTCTGTTGAAAAGAAAAATTATTATTTACCAAAAATATTGCACAATCAATTGAAATAGTAAAAATAACGGGTCGAGAGCCATGAATTAATGTTTATTGGCATTAATGATTAACAAGAAAGGAAAAAAAAAAGAATTGAATTATTATTTTCCACAAACATGTCAATTAAACATCACAAAGAAAAAGTATATAATAAACCAATACAAAGATTATTATTAATTATATATAGCAAACTTAAAACAATTTCTGTTAGTGTTTTTTTTTCAATCTTTTAAAACAATGGCGACAAATTTAGTTAATATATTTTTTGTTTTTATACTTATTATTTTTTCTAAACTAAAATTAACTTTTAAATTTCAAATTAACTTTCAATCGAAAGGAAAAATTTCAGGGTTGCCACGCTTTTGCTCATTTCAAATTCCCTGATTTTTCCAGGTTTTTCAGGTTAAAAAGCGGAATTTAACTAAAATTATAAAATCTAACTAAAATTCTTCTTTAAATTAATTATTTTTAATAATTTTTGAAAAACTTCAAATCCTTTTGTTTACAATTCAATTTTATGAAATTTTATCGATTATTCGGAAATTCTTCAATCAAACATATATATTAGAAAATAAAACCTTTTAAATAACCTAAAAAAAATTCAATTAAACTTTTTAAAAAAGAATTAAATCTTTTTGCTTTTGAATTAATAAATTTTACTATTAAATTAGTAGAAACGACTATTTATTAGGAAAATCTGATAATTCAAAAGCAAAAAATCAGTCACTAATTCAAATTAGAAAACATTTTTACTAATTCAAATTTAGAGAGTTTAATATTCAATTATTATCTAAAATTTTAACTGGAATTCATATTTAAATCAATTTTTATTAGAAAATTTTACGAGAATTCAATTATTTAAATACAAAAAAAAAAAATTTATTGAAGAATTGAATGTTTTTTAAAATTGAACTATCATTTAAAGAATTTTATCAACAAATTTTTAAATAGGTAATTAAAATTCTTTTGACGAATTTTAATAACATTTTTAAGAATAATTTCATTTTTCGAGAAATTAGATTAAAAATAATTGAATCTCCGTAAAAAAATTTGATTGAATTGAGAAAAGTTTTTGAAAATAATGGAAATTTTGACTAGAATTTTATTAAAAATAATTGAATCTCTGTAAAAAAAAATTTTATTGAATTGAGAAAAATTTTTGAAAATAATTGAATTTTGGAGAAAAATGTTATTATTTATAAAGATAATTGAAATTTTGAGGAGAATTTTTTTAAACTTTTGATTAATAAAATTGAATTTCTGCGAAGAATTTTATTACTTTTGAAAATAATTGAATTCTTGAGACGAATTTTAATAATATTTCTATTTGTGAAATTATTATTGAATTCTTTTGTGAAATTTTATTGAAATAGTAGATATTAAAAATAATTGAATTTTGATTAACTATTGAAATTAACTAAAGTTCTACGCAAAATTTTATTTAAGTTATTTTAAAAAAAAATTGAATTGTTAAAAAGAATTTCATTAAAATTATTGAAAATAATTTAATTCTTTCAAGAAATTGAATTTCTTTGATGAATTTTCATAAAATTTTTAAGAATAATTACATTTTTTGAGACATTCATTTAAAATTGTGTTAAAAATAATTGAATCTTTGTAAAAAAAATTTGATTGAATTGAGAAAAGTTATTAAAAACAATTGAAATTTTGACAAGAATTTTATTAAAATTTTTGAAAATAATTAAATTTTGGAGAACAATTTTATTATTTATAAAGATAATTGAAATTTTGAAGAGAATTTTTTTTTGAACTGTTGATCATAATTGAATTTTTGCAAAGAATTTTATTATTTTTGAAAATAATTGAATTCTTGAGACGAATTTTAATAATATTTCTGTTTAAATAATTGAATTCTTTCAAGAAATTGAATTTCTTTGATGAATATTCATAAAATTTTTAAGAATAATTACATTTTTCGAGAAATTCCTTTAAAATTGTATTAAAAATAATTGAATCTTTGTAAAAAAATTTGATTGAATTGAGAAAAGTTTTTGAGAAATAATTGAAATTTTGACAAGAATTTTATTAAAATTTTTCGAAAATAATTGAATTTTGGAGAAAAATTTTATTATTTATAAAGATAGTTGAAATTTATAAAGAATTTGTAAATAATAGAATTCTTGTGAAATTTTTATTTAATTAATTCATTCAAAAATTGAAATTTTACAGAATTTCAAATTTACAACCTTTTGAAGTTTATCTATTTTGAAATATTTAAGAAAAACTAAATTTCACGAATAAGCACAATAACTTTAGAAAACAATAATTTTCCAGGATTCCGATCAAAATTCCCTGACTTTTACAGGTTTTTTCAAGGTTTATAAAATTCCCTGACATTTCCAGGTTTTCTAGTTTTCGTGGCAAATCTGAATTTAATATTTTGACACATGCAGGGGAAAAAATAATTAGTAATCAAAATCTTCAAGGATACAAAGTACCTACAGTAAGAATCGAATAGATCTGAAAAATAAAAGAAACAATTTTTTCAGGACTCTCCACCCTAGAGAAAAGATTGAGAAGGAATTTTTCGTTTTTGCTTCAATCGGAAATTAAATTTTAGAAAAAAAAAACAATTCGTTTTTTTTTATTCTAATAGGGAAATTAAATTTTAGAAAAGGATAAAAACAATTCGTTGTTTTTTTTATTCTAATCGGGAATTAGTTATTTCATCAACAAATAACAAAAAGAACAGTGATTAAAATTTTTTCAAAAATATAAAAAACTTACTGTAACATAGCTTTTGTCTTGATTGAAGGATCATCTGGTCTAAAGTGTTTGTACTGTTCCACATCTTTTTCCAAAGTCAGCATCTGCTTTTGCAGTCTATCTCGTAAAGCAGGAAGTGTATCCCTAATATGATTTGTCAATTGTTGATTTAAAACTCGTTGTAAATAAGGAGTTCCTAATCTGTCAGCTAAATGTCGATATGAAGGATGACTGAAACAAATTCAATTTTTTTTAATTAATAATCCAATTTTTCTTTTTTCTATTTAATATTCAAAACATTCTTTTTATTATTTATTATTTATTTATTATTTCTTAATTTAGAATATAAAGAGAGAAAGAGCCAATAGGCCGTACTTTCAATAAATATTTATTAATTATAAAGAAAGAAAGAAAGAAGAAGAAATTGAATAATTGTGAAATAATTTTCCACCTGAGGAAGAATTTTCGTTCAGCTGCCAAAGCAGCTTTAATGTCCTTACGTCCCTCAATGTCTTTTTGACTTCTGTTCACTACTCCAATATAACCCCTACGTAAGGGAAGTAACTTATTTTCCAAAATATCCCGAGCATCGGTGCCATCGTCCATAAGATCTAATTTTGTAATGACACCAATAGTACGAACACCTAAAAAAAAACCAAAAAAAAATTCATCATTTATTTCCAAAAAATTATATTAAAAAAAAATAATTTTATCCTTCCCCCTCCTTCCGTACCTGGCGCGTCAACTTCCTTGGCAAGTTTTAGGGCATCACTGTTTGCTAAATCAGTATTGGCTGGCGTAACTGCCAATATAAGACAATTTTCACGCTTAATAAATTGAAATATCATTCCTTTAATTTGTGCTTCAATATCCACCGGTTGATCTCCTATTGGTACTTTTGTCAGACCAGGCAAGTCAATGAGGGTCAAGTTAAGAACTAGAAATGAAAATTTATCGATTAATAAACACTCTTTCAAAAAAAATATTCAAATTTCAATCGTTTTCCATTTATTTCAATCATTATTTTTCTCTCTTCATTCAAATTTTATTTGTTTCGAAATTAATTTAAATATATTACTCAATACTATAAAAAAAAGTCCCTAAACTACTGAATGTTCAAATAGAAGGAAATTTTTTTTCACGTTTCTAAAGTTTCGAACGTTCAAATCAAACGACAATAATTTTTGTTACTTCATTTTGTTTGCATTTTATTTAAAAAAGAAATAAAATTTTAACTGAAATTTCTTTTTCAAATCAATTCCTATCAAAAAGTTGGCGGAGAATATTTTTTTCTTAACTTCAAATTTTTAAATTTTTGCAATATTGCGTCAAGTATGAAAAAAAAATAAATTATAAAGATTGTAAATGCAGGCTTCGCACTCAATAATTAGTTTTAAAAAAAGTAGCAAAAAGTGTCTCTAAGACTAAAAAAAAGTAGATATCAAAAAAATAAATTTGACGACTACAATACTCGTTTCAGTCTATTAAAAAAAGAAAGACAAAAATTTGATTCTGATTTCCATAAAAAATATTCAATTTTTCTTATCCTGGTAATAACTTCAATTCTCAATTGTTGTCAAATTCAATTATTTCCCAAATTTTTAGTTAGAATTCTTCAAAAATTCGATTATTATTTTTAAAAATAATTTTTGAAAGTAAAGAAATAAATTTTTTTTAAATATAAAATTTATTTCAATTAAATTTAACAAAATTTCCAATTAATTCGAAATTTAAATAAACATTTTTAATTTTGACGAAAATTTTACTTATATTGAAAAAAATTAATTAAAATTTTTCAAAAGGTTACTTTTTTCTTACAATTTCTAAATTAAATTATTTATACTTGAATAACGTGTGTTCAACAAATTAATAATCACTTACATATTTTTTCACAGGAACTAAAATTTTAAATAATTTTAATTTAAAAGCTTTTTGAAATTTATCTATTTCTAAAAATTCATATTCTACAGCATTTTTAATATTTAATTATCATCTAAAATTAAAAAGTAAAATTCATTTCCAAATCAAATTATATTAAAAAGTTCCACAATTTTTGAATACTTTCAGATTCAAACTTTAAAAAAATGCAATTATTAATTAATTTACTACATTAATTATTCTTGTTTATTAATTTCAAAAATTTTAATAAAATTCTTCGCAAGAATTCAATTATTTTCATAAATAATAACATTATTCGTAAGAATTCAATTATTTTCATAAATAATAACATTATTCGTAAGAATTCAATTATTTTGGAAAAATTCAATTATTTTTATAAATAATAAATTATTTGGGAAAAATTCAATTATTTTTAAACAAGATTTTAATAAATCGTTCGAAACAATTCAATTATTTTTTTAAATATTAAATTCTTTGCAAATATGCAACTATTTTCAAAAAAATTTAAGGAAAGAATTCAATTTTTTTCTTAATTCGTTATAAAATCTTTGCAAAAATTCAATTCTTTTTAATAAAATTTTAATAAAATTTCATGAAAGAATTTAATTTTTTTTAATTTGTAATAATATTTTACGAAAAAATTCAATTATTTTCTAAAATTTTAATAAATCCTTCGAAACAATTCAATTATATTTTTATTCTATAATAAAATTCATTGCGAAAATTCAATTATTTTCAAAAAAATTTCACAAAAGAATTCCATTTTTTTCTAAAATTTTAATAAAATTCAATAATTAAATGTTGAATTTCAATTATTAACAAACACGATTATTTTAAAAACTTGAAAAAAATTGTTCATAAAATTCAAAATTTTTAATTTAATTTAATTTAATTTTAATTTTAATTTTAATTTTAATTTTAATTTTATTTTTAATTTTAATTAAAATTATGAAATAAACTGCATTATTTAAAAAAAATTAAAAGAAATTTTTCAAAATGAATTTTTACTATAATTTTCAAAAACTTTAACAAAATTTTTCGCGGGAAGTCAATTATTTTCCTAAATAATAAAATTCTTCGAAGGAATTTATAATCACATTTTTTTATTAAATTCTTTTCTTACAATTTTTGTAAATAATTGATTTGTTTTGAAGAATTTCTTTGAATTTTTTTTAAATAATCGATTTTGTTAAAAATTGTCATTAATATGTTTATTATTAAACTTTATTAAAATATTTTAAAAAATTTGAATTCTAAAGAATTTTATCAGATTTTTCGAAATTAATTAAATTTGTTTGACTAAATTCTTTAAATCTATTGAAAATAAATTAACTTCTTAAAAATTTTAATTGAAAATTTAGTTTTTTTTATTGTAAATTGTGAAATTAATTAAATGTTTTTAAAAAACTTCTAAATTTTTTTAAATAATCGTGTTTGTTAATAATTGTAGATAATTAAAAAATTTCATTAAAATTTTTAAGAAATAATTGAATTCCTGAGAAGAATTTTATTCACTAATTTCTTAAAATCTTTTGAAAAATGTAGTTTTTTAAAATGATTTTACTTGAGTTTGTTAATTATTGTAATTAAAGATTTTAATATTGAATTTTATTAAAATTTTTTGGAAATAATTGAATTCCTTCAAAGAATTTTGTTATTGAATAATTGAATTTTTGCGAAAGATTTTATTAAAATTTTTGTAAATAATTGAATTTTTGAATAATTTTATGAAAATTTGAAAGAGTAATTAAATTATTTCAACTATTCGCAGATTTAAATTTCTAAAATTAAAAAAGAAAGAAAAAAGTAGCTTTTAGTGTCACAAATTTAAAAAAAGTATCCAAATAGTAGCTAATCGTAAAGAAAGTTTTAGTAAACGAGCGCAAAGCCTGTCTAAATTTAATTTTACTTAATTTTTAAATTAAATTTAATTTTTCTACTGGTCTAAGTTGATTTTTACTTTAAGTCAGTAATTTCTATAAATATTTACAGTGGTAAAATGTTTCGTTCATTTTTCGTGGATCATCAAGAAAGAAATTATATTGAAATAAAAATGGAATTTACAGTAAACATTTAATTATAAAATTCAATTTACCCAGAATTTCTATTATTTAAAAAATATCTTCGAAAAAAAAGGGAAATAAATTCAAACTCACCATTAGGAGAATAAACTCGCAAGTTAATAGGAATATTAGAAATTCCTTTGTTGCCGCCAGTAATTCTGTCAGTTTCCCCCTCGATCTCTCTGCGAATTTCATCGAAATCCACAAATTTCTTTCCTTTACAATGTAGAAATTCTCCATATTCTGCAAAATAAAAAGAAGAAATTGAATAAAATATTAAAATAAAAAATTGAAAGTTAAAAAAATGAAATTAAAAATCAAACTGTCTCTCGATAATATCAATTTGAAAATAAGAGTTCACATCCCGAAGCAACATTTCTATTTCAATTGTATAGTGTCAATGCACCCAATTTCCTACTTTATTATCATGTAAAACTCACAGGAAGCTTGGCAACTTGAATGATTGTCAGTCAGGAAAAATTGATTCCAGTAAATTTCTTTCCCACTTTTGTAATAATAAAAAAAAAACTTCCAGATCGAAAACTAGAGAATTTAAAAAAAAAATCATTTTTTCAAATAATCCGAGAAAAAAAAAGTTGCAAACAATTAAATAAAGGGGATATTTTTACAATTTTCACTACAAATATCGGATAAATATTAAAATTAACAGGAAATAAATTCCTCGAGAAATTGAAGGGCATGGGTTAATAGCTGACAATAGTAAGTGCAGTACGATGATAAAATATTTTATTCGCTGACAGGTCAATGGGTTAACAGTGTTCGTTATGAATCGTGTAAGTGCTTCAATGGCGCAACATCGTGTCACTTACCTGATGCACTTGCTGGGATTCGAGGAAAAAAAAAGAATATTGTCAAACAATGATTTAACGAATTTACATAAATATAAATTTAAAATACATTATTTGCGAATCCAATCGAAATTAAAATTTTCAATTTCTATTTTCTAATTTTCAATCTAAAATTTTTTCCCTTTCGAAGAAATTTTCAATTTAAAATTACAAAAAAGGGAAATTTTCAATTTCAAATTAAGAAAAAGGGAAATTTACAAACTAAAATTTATAAAAAAAGAGAAATTGAAAGAAAGAAATTATTATGGAAAATTTTATTACAATTTTCTAATTTTCATAAAATTCAAGTCATTATTCAAGGTATCAAAAAGGGGGAATAAAAACAAAATCGATGAGGTTTTTTTTCGATTAGAGAAAAAAGAACGAAATATGAAATATTTCTTTCTTATTCTAAAGTGCTGATTCACACGCTCACTCGGTAGTAAGTATCTTAAATTAACACTCCCTCATTTTTTTTTTTTTTATTTTTTAAATAAAGTTCCTCAATTGCTATTAAAGCAAGCTTCAACATACGTAGTGTATTTAACTCCCCCTAAGCGCAAATAATTAATGATGTCAATTTTTGAAAAGACTCGCCACAAGGTATTGTAGATAAAAACAAATTATCCACTTTCTTTGTCCAAATACAAAAATTGTTTAGCGTCATCGTTAATTTATTATCTCCAATGTTAATCGATCTTTTCCACATTCAAAATAAAAAACGAAAAATAAATAGATAGTCATTTAGATAAAAAAAAAATATAAAAAATTTCTTCTATTTTGTTTTTGTCTTTTCATTTTATTTACCAAATTATTTACTTTGATTGCAACGACAAAAAAAGGATTAGAAAAAAATTCTAAATATTGATAAAATTAGAATTAAATATATTTTGGTTACTTTTTTTATATTTATTTATATAATAATTAAAAAAATAGAAAAAAAATAATTTTGTTAAAAAGACGAATTTCTGTACAATTCAATATTTAAAAAAAAAGAAATTTTCCTTTATCAAAAACAATGACCGACATATTTCTATGAATTGAGACTAAAAAAAATATACATATATATGTATCTTATCCATCGATAAGATAATTTTACCAGAGAATTTTAAAAGGTCTTTTTTCGATTAAATCGGTGTTTCTCTAATTTATCCCAATAGAACGCAGTAATTAAATTCTGTAGCAATAAAAATAGAATATTAAATAATTTACCAGTGTGACTGTTGATCAATTGTAAAATAAGTGGCCTTCTGGTTACGATTCCTGAACCTCTCGGCAAAAAGTCCCTGGAAAAATAAAAATCACATTGTAAAATTCGAAAAATAAAAAAAAAATTAAAATTAACTAAAATTACATAACTATAAAATTGGAAGAAATAAATTAAAATAGAATAAAATCGCTTAATTCTAAAATTAATTTAAAAGATTCGATTAAAAAAATCATTCGAAAATTACTGTAATCAGGGTTGCCACGCTTCTGCTTTTTTCAAATACCCCTGACTTTTCCAGGGTTTTCCAAGTTAAAAAACGAAATTTTTCCAGGTTTTTAAAACGAAAATTATTTGAAAACATCAATAAGTTCATTTTTAAATAAATATTTATTATTTTTTTTAGGTATAGAAATTATTTTCATCATTACGATTATTCATTTCTAGAATTTTTAACTAAAATTCTTCTAATTTTTTAAAAATAAGTTTTGAAAAAGTTCTTTGTGAATTTTAAAATTCTTTTGTTTACAATATTTAATTTTACGAAATTTCAATTATTCTGACATTCTTCAATTAAATATATTAGAAATTAAAAACTTCGAATAATTAGAAAAAATTCCATTAAACATTTTGAGAAAAATTAATTCTATAAAATTCTTAATTAAAAGTATGAAAAGTTCGAAATTTCAAAGATTTTAATTTGAAATTTATTTTTAAATCAATATTTATTAGTAAATTCTACGAGAATTCAATTATTTAACTATAAAAATAAATATTTTTTAAACAATTGAATATTTCTTGAAATTGAATTTTCATACAGAATTTTATCAACAAATTTTTAAGTAATTGAAAATTCTCTTGACAAATTTTAATAAAATTTTTAAAAATAATTGCACTTTTCGAGTAATTTCATGAAAATTGTATATTAAAAATAATTGAAATTCTGCCAAGAATTTTAATAAAAGTTATGAAAATAATTGAATTTTGGAGAAAAATTTTATTATTTATAATGATAATTGAAATTTGAAGAAAATTTTTTTTAAATTTTGATCATAATTGAATTTCTGCGAAGAATTTTATTACTTTTGAAAATAATTGAATTCTTGAGACGAATTTTAATAATACTTCTTTTTAAATAATTGAATTCTGTTGTGAAATTTTATTAAAGTAGTAGATATTATAAATCATTGAATTGAAGAAAGTTTTTGAAAATAAGTGAAATTTTGCGAAGAATTTTATTAAAATTTTTGAAAATAATTGAATTTCTGAGACAAATTTTATTAAATTTATAAATATAATTGAAATTTTGACGAGAATTTTTGTTAATTTTTAAACATAATTTGATTTCTGTGATGAATTTTATTAAAATTATTTTGATAAAAATTGAATTGTTGCGCAAAGAATTTCATTAAAATTTTTGAAAATAATTTTATTCTTTAAAGAAACTTAATTAAAAATTTATTGAAAATAATACTTAAATTCTAATAAATAAATTGTAGCAAAGCTTTTTAAGAATTTTTTAGGAATTTTTATTAAAGTAGTAGATATTAAAAATCATTGAATTGGGGAAAGTTTTTGAAAATCATTAAAATTTTGAAAATAATTGAATTTTTGAGAAGAATTTTACTACTTAATTTTAAAAATCAAATTAATTAGATTTACATTACTTAATTATAAAAAAAGATGAAACTAAAATTACCGAATTATAATTTAATTAATCGATTATATTAACATTCATTATTAAATGAAAGCAAATCACAAAGATTCATAAGTACAATTCTTTTTTGTTTGAAATTGAAATCTAAAAGGATAATTATTAGATGCAAGACACGTGCGATTACCCATTGTTTTTCAGAGTTACATAAAAATTATTACAGTCCTTTATTAACTCTCTATTGTCATTCATCAACAAACACAATTTACTTTGAATTCCTCAATAAAGATTCTCGCCAAAAAATTGACTAATTTTCTACTAGGAATAAAATTATTGAAAAAGATAATGTCTTTTATTGCTTGCAACACTTTTTTTTTGCTTTATTAATCGAACAATCTTTAAAAGAATGTGACACAGAAAGAACGAGAATAATTGTTTACAAGTCGGGGAATAAAATTCTCGAGAACTTTTGTCAAACATATAAGCAAAAAAACTTGACTGCGTTTGATAAAAATGTTTATAAAGAAAAAAGTTTCTCCTCTCGATTCAGTTATAAATTTATAATTCAGTATTAATTAAATCGAAAAGAATTGAAAGTGAATTTATAAACCACTTCACCATCGAGAAATGAAAGTATAAATTGAAAATCGATTTCAAAAAATAGTTTTCCTTTTCTTTTTATAGATAAAAGAAAATATTTTAAAAAACTAGTTAATTAAAGGTAAGAAAAAGATCAATTTTGTCAAGTTTGACCCAATTACTGACCTTACTGAAAGTGATACACAAACTAGTTATCAGTTGACTGAAGAAGTTTGAATATTTATCTAGATTTCTAGCTTCTTATCAAAGATTCCTAGAATTTTGTTATTTCGAGTCTTAATTCGATTTTAAGGAATTTGAGGTTAAATTTTGAAGAATTAAGAATCAAAGGGCAAATAAATAAAAAAAAAGCGTGAGGAGATAATATGTTTGACAGTCGACGACGAGTGGGTGTTGACTCATCAACGATTACTATCATTAATATCGTCATCATTAACATCATCGACCTGAGAACGATTTTTCTGGCACGGCCTTCGAACCTTCGAACGTCCGTCTGTCCTGTTGTCTCTCTGATCAAAGATGCGTGCGTTCAAAAAGATCGTTGCGCGGTCAGCGACGTAACTGTCAAGAAGAATCTCGGTGGGCGTCGTTTTCAGGACGAAACCTTTTGCAAGTCACTTGAATAACCTAACAAAAAAACCCTACAAAACAACACCCAATAGGATCCGCCCCATTCAATTTGACAGAAATACTCCAGGTCGACGTGTCTCGCCTCTAAACGCTAAACATTCATTTCCCTATAAAATATAGGATCTTCTTTACTTACTTTCCAACAAAGTTCTCCAGGACAGAACTTTTGCCCGCACTTTGACCTCCAACGACTGCAATTTGCGGCAGGTCCAATTGCATTGTAACTCCAAGTTGCGTGAATGCATCCTGGAGTTTATTCACAATTGGGATCAATTGCTCCATACCCACGTTCCCTGCCATTATTTTCAACTATTCACTATCGCCAATTTGGCGATCACACACGCACCAGGAAACACGAACACTGTTCGGGGATTTTTCTCTCTATCAACTGCGTCCCGCAGGCGACGTTCAATTGCCACCACCTTCTGCCCGTTTTTTTTTCGTCGGTAGGGGTAGTCCTACTATCCTGTCGTCGTCGTCGCCTATTCGTGCTCTGCGCGAATACCAGCAAAATGGCCGTTTCGCGATTGATAAAATCCTCACCGCATCATCATTGTCATTCGTTATCAGCAACTTCTGTGCATTAAAACGCGTAACACACCTGTCAAAATTCACTATTAGGAACACAATGTTTCTATCAATGATGAACGCGGTTACATTTAACGGTGATAATCCAACAACTTCTTCTCGATTCGAGGACATAACATTTCAATCGATAACTATAAAGCGTGTGCGCACTCGCGACACACCAACTGACCCACTTTCTTTCATTCCCCGAGATAAAATCCATATCGCGCTTCCGCCTACCCTTTTTTCTGCCCTTTAAACAATTAAAAATAAGAATTCTTCTATTGTTTTTAATCAAAATTATACTTATTTTCTCTTGAAATTAAAAAATATCGATAATGTTTTCACTTATAGGTTAGGTTTATTTTTGGGCTTTTTGGGACAGTTTGAAAATCGCGGGCTTTTAGTCGTCCCTTTTTGATCACGTGACCAGAAACGTCAACGTCTGCCAGCTGTTATACACAAATTCCTCCCAATTACTCAGTTTTAACAAATATTCTCAACTTGTTTTGAATAAAACCATAAAAGGATTCCAAGGGTAGTAAAACTCATCCGGTTTGTTCAGTTTATTTCATTAAATTCGGTAAATTTATTTACCAAAACAGAATTTTTCAAGCATTGATAATTGATTGATAAACTAGAAGTTGTAGATGGCGCTCGTACTTTCTTACTTGGCGGGCTTTTTTAAATTGTTTCGAAAAGTAAATTTTTTTTATTTTTCTAAAATATTTTCTAAACAGTCGAAAGGGGGCGTAAATGATAATTAGAAAACATTTTAGTCAATAAAAGTAGGAAAAAAAAATAATAAGTAAAATTTTGTACAGAGTGATTAATTTGTCATAACGAAATTTTCTTATTTCCATGAGAATGAATTTCGCATTGAAATAGAAAAATAGATCTCCTTTTTCTTTGTAAGAATAATTTCTTGAATATAAGAAAATAAAAATTCGAGGTCTCTAAGCTCATTACTTTCGCTTATCTATACACGTATACAGTTCAAGGTCTGGATTTCCTCACACACAGTCATGACAACTGTAGTGAATAGATTGATAAGAGGGGGACTAGGTCGATCCTGCATTTTCAAAGAAATTCAAGTGAGAGGAGCATCTGTTGCTGCTGGAAGAACAAAAATGGTGAATATGACATTTCTTTGCAACTCACTCACTTTTTGAACTATTAAAATTTCTTGTGACGAAAAATTTTTTAATCGAAAATAAAATATTTAACAATTTTATTATTTCTCTAATTAATAATAGTTTAATTAATAAATAGTTAAATATTTCTATTAAAATTTCAAACTATAGAAAAGATTCGTCAATATTTTTCTTTTTCTTGTCAACATTGGTTAGTTAATAAGTTCAGAATATTTAACTATTTTTAGAGGGAAAAAAATTGTTTTCAGGTAAATTTTTCGAAATAGGGGCGTTTCCCTTTTTTTCTATAATAAATAATTAAAAATCCTTGAGTTTTACTTTCACTTTACATATCTACTGAGTTTTAAGCTATAAAGCAGTGAGAAAAAAAACTAAAATTTTTTTTTCTTTACCAAAATAAATTAAATCATCTGTAGCAATAATATCTGTAGAAACTAATGACCTTTTGGTGATAACGAAAAAAATTACCAAAAATTCGTTATAAAAATAAAGAAAAGAAAATAATGAATTGATAAAGAAAAGAATAAAAAGATAATAATGGTAAATAAATTCGTTGTTTTTAAAAACAAAATAAATAGAAAACAAAAAATTGTTTTTGCTAATTCACTCCAAATTTTGAATTAAACAAAAATAAATTATTATTTATTTTTAACTTATGAAATAATTCAATATTCAAGCATATTTTCATCTCAAAATTAATTTGAATCAAAAAATCAGTTCAATATTTCAAAATTATTTCTATTTCAAGAACAAGTTTTAAATTTCAATATTTCAATTAAAAAATTTTCTAAATTCCGAGGAATTCAATTAAAATTGTTTTGTAAATATGTAATTGAATTCCTGACAAGAATTTTACTATTTATAAAATTAATTGAATTCTTGCGAAAAATTTATAAAAATAATTGAATTTTTTCGAAGGACTTATTAAAATTTTAGAAAAAAATTGAATTTTTTCGAAATGTGTTGAAAATTTTTTTAAAAATTGAATTGTTAGTAAAAAAATAAAATTCAATTCTCTAAATACAAAAATTAAATTTTTTAAAATGAAAATTTCAATTCTAATTTCTTTTTTATTTTATAATATCTGAATTATTGTAAAAAAATCCAACTGAAAATAACAGAATTTTCAAAATCAATTTTAATAATTTTTTTTGAAAATAAATAGAAAATATTTATTAAAATTTCCAAAAATCAAGTTTTTTTTTATAAATTTCAATTAAAATTAAAAAGAATTCAGTTATTTAAAAAAAAAATTTGATATAAACTTTTCGCAAAAATTTAATTATTTTCATATAAACATTAACAATTCTTCGCAGGATAAATAAATTTTTTGAAAAATGTAAATTTTTTATAAAGATTATTATTTTCAAAAATTAAGATAAAATTCTTTAGAAGAATTCAATTTTAAGAATTAATCAATTATTCCATTAATTTATTTATTTTTATATTTAAATAATTGAATTCTCGTAGAATTTTTCTTCTAAAAACTGATTTAAAAATTAATTTCAGTTAATATTTTCGATAATAATAACAATTAAATATCAGAAACCTTGAAATATTGAAATTTAAAATTTGTTTTTGATTTGCAAATATTTTGAAATATTGAATTGATTTTTTGCTTCAAATTAAATGTGTTTTCAATTTAATTACAATTTGTTGGAGTTTCATTCAAAGTGGATTTAAAAATGGAATTTTTCAAATTTTGGTTAGTATTTATTTACACATTTCATTAAAAACATCTTAAATTGAATTAAAATTATGTAATTGAAATTGAATGGAATTTTTGAAATATTGTTAAAAATTGAATATTTTTTCAATTTATTTCAAAATAATTGAAATCAAATTAAATTTTTGGAATATAGTTTAAAATTGATTATATTTTGAATTAATTTCAAAATAACTGAAATTGAATTGAATTTTTGAAATATAGTTTAAAATGGAATATATTTTGAATTTATTTCAAAATAATTGAAATTGAATTGAATTTTTGAAAATTTTACTTGAAAAGCTTGAGAAGTGAAAAAAATATTATTATTTTTCATTTAGTTATTAACTTTTAAAATATTTGAATTCCAGCTGTAATTAAATTATTTTCAAACCAAAAAATTACAAATAATAAATTTATTAAATATGAATGGAAATAATAAAGTTAAAAATAAAAATTAAAAAAAAAATGAAAGAAATAAAAATAAAACAAAATATAAATTTGATTCGTTACTTACATTTTTATTTCTTGAGCACCATCACTATTCCAAAATAATTTTATTCTCGAGAAATAACCTGCAAAAATAATATCATTAAATTAAAAATTAATTTACAAATATTTTTGTATTTTAACGTTTATTTATTTTTTTGTTAATTTTCACAGCCAAAACTTACGGAAGAAGATAGAAAAACCGAACTAGCTCCACTTCTCGCAACTGGGTGGACAGTTCAAACTGCCAAAGATGCCATTTACAAAGAATTCGTCTTCAAAAACTTTAACCAGGTGAATTTTCTTTATTTCTATAAAAAAAACAGAGAGAAATAGACACAAAAATTAGAATAAAAAAAAAAATAATAAAAAGAAACGAGAAGTAAAAATTATCCTAAAGAAAATTGTATAAAGTAAAAATTGTCATAAAGTAAATTGTAAAGTAAAAATTATCATAAACTAAATTGTAAAGTAAATTAAAAATAATTGCAAAAAGAAATTAAAAAGAATTGAATTTTAAAAATCAATTTTCTCTATTTTTAGGCTTTTGGATTTATGACCAGAGTTGCAATGCAAGCGGAAAAAATGGACCATCATCCCGAATGGTTTAATGTTTACAATAAAGTCAACATAACTTTAAATTCTCACGATGTAAACGGATTATCCAAACGGGACGTAAAATTAGCGACATTCGTCGATAAAGTGGCAAAATCATTCAACGAATAGACAGAAAATTATCGAAGAAAATTTCACTGTAAATATGGATGACCAATGTTTTAAATCCTTAATTAAATATAAGTTATGAAAATAATTATTTTCCACTGTGGACAATAATAATTTTTTTTTATAGAAAATACTCTTAATATTTGTTGAATTTTTTTTTTTTTGGTAAGAAAAATATAAATGTTATAAATATTTTTCTTTTATTTACTCTTCTTCAAAATGTATTCCAAAGTATTTCAACTGTAAATAGATAAATAGTAACGAATTATTTGCGAGATAATTAAATTAATTTAATTAATTAATTTAATCAAGTTAATTAATTAATTAATTAACAAAAATATTTAATCGAAATAATCTTCAATGTCGATATCCGGATTGAGTAGATCTTCACCATAAACACTAAGATCTAATTGATTGAGAATGAGATTTTCGCACATTTCTTCTAAATCAGTTTCGCCAATAAGAACAGCTCCTTGCATTTTACCATCTTTTAAAATTAATTTCACGTACTCTTGATTCTTTGTCATTCGCAATAATATTTCATAATCCTGATTCAATGTTTGCCCATTATAAAGTCCAAGAAGAACGACTTTATAGTCGAAGAATTTTGTGACGTGTGTAAAGATTTCAAAGCAAAAATCCTGATAAAATTCCTCATCACGTGTAATTGAAACCATTGCCTTAGCCGCGTATTGTCCCATTTGATGAGCCTGTGTCCAGAGTCGCATTTGAAACCAATGTCTCGCTATATCCCAATTAGCCGAACAAACATCGCCAGCGGCAAAAATATCATCCTGCGAAGTTGTTAATTTCCAATCGACTAAATAACCACCGTCCTGTCCTCTCTTTAAATCCTCCAGACCAGGAAGATTTGCATTTGGTATCACGCCCGTCGCCGAAATGACAAGATCACAATTCACCGTCTCTCCATTCGTTAATTCAACAACTACGGGCCATTCTTCATTCACACGATTTGTAATTCTCAAAACTTCGCATTCGTATTTCACTTGAATTTCAATTGGCAATGGTGGGAATTGTGTTAATTTGAAATTATGCCAATCAGGACCGAGTGCGGCACCAACTTTTTTTGTTTTCTCCTCACTTGTCGTGTACCTTGCCCTCTTGAAGCAAAAATTCTTAACTTCATCACTTTGCGTTGGTAAATTATCAACTTTATTTTGTAAACGATCTTGAAAAAATTGTGCAGCTCCAGGATCGACGAATGTTGCCGAAATATGTTTATCCTTTATCACCCAAATAACTTCGATACCACGAATTTTATACACAAGTTCAGTTGCAATTCCACCATTTCCCACAATGACAATTCGTCGGGCATTTTTTATTTTCTCCAAAAAATTCGTCACCGACTCAGTGTCACGAATACCAAGTACATAGGGATTATTTTCAGCAATTATTCTCGGACTCGCTCCCGTGCAGAGACAAAGTTTTTGATAATTAACTATTTTCCCAGATTCGGTCTTTAGAAATTTCTCTCTTGAATTCACTTCGCAGACAATATCTTGAAGAATTGTTATGGAAGAGTGTTGCTGTGACAATTGTGACGATTCACGTTCCTCAACGTCAAATTGAAATAGAGTTTTGCCCAATGGTACAATATTGGTGATTGCTTTGATTAAGGAACTGGCGGTAATGAGAATTACCGTCTCTTCCGGTGCGAGGAAAGAAATACTCTCGGCGCAAGTCACACCGGCTATTCCTCCCCCGACAATAACAAAAGTTGCTTTCATTTATTTTTTTTTTTAAACTAATAAAAATTTAAAATTTTTGGCGTATAGTTATTAAATTTGTGTAGATTCGGGTTTATACCAATGAGAGTAATTGTATTTCCTGTGAGGAGGATCGTAGGTCACGATTCCGCGATCCTTTGCTATCTTTATTGCCACCAGAAGATTCTTGTGTTGCTTTTGACAAATATTGGTAACTCTGAAAAAAAGAAAGAAACAAAATAGAATATACAAATGAAAAAATGGATTAAAAAAAGAAGGTATTTAAAACTTACCGGTAACTTAATGTTTCCCCGTTATAAGGCGAAATAAATTGATTCAATAATTTTCTATTTTTGTAATCAAGAACAAGATATTCGTCACGACAAATTGGACAAGGATTTCCGGTTGACACAACTCCGCCTCTCTGCAAAGATAGAAAAGATTTAACACTTGATCATCAAAATTATAAAAATTCAGGCCTTGGATCGACTTTAACAATAACAGTCGCTATAGTCGATTAGAAATAGAAAAAAAGTCGAAAAAGTCGTCTATTTAATTCGGTATTGTCACAAAAAAGTTTATATTGTACTTCCCTGATTCTTCACTGATTTATAAATTCAATTAATCAAAACTCGAATAATTTCATGCTAAATAAATATTTAAATACTTCCTACTTCTTTTTTCACGGAAAATAAAATTAAGAAAATTTCAACTTCTGTTTATTAATTTCTAAAAATTACAACTATAACCCTTCGAAAAATTCAATTATTTTCTACAATTTTGAACTAGACTTCATCTCTAAATCAATTATCTTTATTAATTTTTAATCATTTTCCGAAAGTTCTTTGAGAATTTTTTTTGTAAAATTTATCTCTATTTATTAGATTCAATATCGTTTGAATTAGTTTTTTTTTTAAATATTCTAATTCAAAGTTTTCAAAAATAATTAAATTTCTTGAAAAAAAACTATTTAATAATTTTAAAAAACTAATTCATTTTTTTGCAGAATAAACAATTTTGAAAATGATTTCTGCTTTTGCAGATTTTAATAATAATTCTATAAAATTAGATTTTTTGAAATAAAGTAAATAATTAATTTTCATTTTTATTAAATTTACACTTGAAGATTTTTCATTAAAATTTTTAAGAATTCAATTATTTCCAAAATTTTCAATTGAATTTCTTTTTAAAAGTTAATTTTCAAGAAATGTAATAAAATACTTGAAAAAAAATGATTTATTTTCAATTAAATTTTACAAACTTTCAATTATTCAACATCTTTGTAATTGTATATTTCAAAAATTTAATTAGAAAAATTCAATAATAACTTTTCAAAGATTTGTCTATAGTTATACTTTTCACACTATAAAAATAGAAATAAGTTATGCATTTTAATACTAAAAATGTGGAATTTTTTTTAAATATAAGTCAATGAAAGTCAAATTATTTGAAAGTAGTCGAAATAATTATAATATCCAAAGCCTGAAAATTCTAAAATAAACAAAAAAATTTTTTATTTAAATCCCCAATACTTACAATACAAGTTTTTCTCGTTTTTCTCGGAGCAAATTGACCTTTAAAATTTCGTCTATACAATTTCCAAATGGGATTATCGCCGTATGTTGTTTTATAGGCTAAAAAGAAAAATACGTTTTTGAACAAAAGTGAACAAAAGTCTAGAAAAAAGGGATAAATATTTCAATTTCTTTAAAATTAACCCAACGAAAAAGTGTGAAAAGATTTACCTTCGCTTTCAATGTATTTTATACTCGTTTCCACTGGTATTTCTACAGTTCTATCAAGATTAATAAAACCTCCACTTTTTTCTTGTTTCTTAAATTTGTCTTCGTTAATCAATTGTTCCTGAGTGGAAATCTCGGATTTTTCTTGAACCTCTTCGGCAGTTTGTAAAAGAACCGGAGCACGAGATAAATTTCTCACAGACATAACCTAGAAAACAACATATAATATCCGAACTTTTAATTATAAATAAAATATTTAATGAATAAATTCAATATTGAATTTTTTTAAATACTCACAGGTTGAATACATCCATTTCGATATAATTTACTTATAAGTTGAATATTTCTCATTAAAAATGACATTTTTTCTGAATTCTCTGCAAGAAATCCACTTAACAACTGTGAAGTTCGGTGCAGGAGCAAATGCGATATATCGATAAACTGAAATTGTCCGCAAATTGAAAGCCCGCTAACTTTTGAAATTTATAATTACGCCAACAATGTAAAAATTGTATGATAGGAAGATATTTGTAGAATTTATCTTCAATATTACTATTTTTAAATAAATAATGCTTTTTAATAGAAGAAATATTACTGTTTCTAAAGCAAAATAGGTAAAATATTGATTGCAATGAAGTGCCCTCTATAAAACTGACAGCAGGAGCAGTCAGGTGCAAAATGGCGTCGATCGCTAAAATAATTCAACTTTCAAAACAATTATCAGCAAAACCATTAAATCCATATTTTACTAGTAGTATTCGAAATGCAGGTAAGTTTTCACACCATCCATTTTTTTGTACAATTCATTTTGATTTTCTCTTCAAAAGCCTTTCTTTCTTTACTTTTTCTTGTTTTTAAGGTTATGTTACGTAAGTCTCTTTTGTTATTAAAATTTTTGTAATTATTTCTTTATCTAATTTAATTTTCAACTTATTTTTTCCATTTTTATTATTATTTATTACAAAGCAAATAATATGTATTTGAATAGCTAATATGAGAGATTTACTGCCAAATGAATATCCTAAAAATAAAGCGGAAAGAAATTTTCATAGAGAAATTATTATATTTTATAAATTAATTAATTTCTAAATTTCAATGTAATTTATTTAGTGATTTTTAAATTTCAATTTAATTTATTAATATTTCTTTTAAAAGTTCATCTGAGAGATTACATGCCAAGCGACTATCCTAAAAATGAAGAGGAAAGAAAAAAAGCAGCTCGAAAATATAATCTCCATCCAGATGAATATGTACCATTTCCCAAAGAAAGTGAAATGGGAGAGTACAGAGGAGATTATCCTAATCTTCCATTAATTGGACATGCGGCAAAAGATCCCTATTATCCCTGGGATATGCCAGGAGACAGGAGAAATTATAAAGAAACTGTAAGTTTCTTACTAAGTATGAAAAAAAATTTTTTAATTTTGCTTTAATTTAATTCAAATTTAATACTTAACAATTCTTGTTGTTGAAAACACTACAAAAAAATTCAACTTTGGAGAAATTACAAATAATTGCAGAAATTCAATTATTTTCAAAATAAATAAATAAAATTCAATTATGTTCAAAATTTGAAAAAAAATTCTCGTAAAAATCTCAATTATCTTTATAATTATAACAAAATTCTTCACCAAAGTTCAACTATTTTCATAAATATCAAAAAAATTCTTTTAATTGAAAATTTTGAAAGCAATTGAATTTTATGAAGAAGAATTTTATTAAAATTGTATTGAAAATAATTGAATTCTTGCGAAAAATTTTACTATTTATAAAAATAATTAAATTCCTCCGAAGAATTCATTGAAATTTTAGAAAATAAATTAATTTTATGTTAATATTTGAAAATTTAAATTCCTTCGAGGAATTCTATTAAAGTTATTTTGAAAAGAATTGAATTTCTGCAAAAGATTTTACTATTTATAAAAATAATTGAATTATTGCAAAGAATTTTACTATTCATAAAAATAATTGAAATGTTTCGAAGAATTTATTAAAATTTCAATAAATAATTAAATTTTTATGAAGAATTTTATAGAAATATTTAAAAATAATGAAATTTTTTCGAGAAATTCAATTAAAGTTGTTTCGAAAATAATTGAATTTATTTAAAGAATTTATTTTATTTTTTGAAAATAATTGAATTTTTTCAAATTTTTATTACGAATACATTTAAAAATTGCCTTGAAAGTTATTTAAGTTTTATATATAGAAGTTTTTAAAAATATTTCGAGAATAATTGAATTATTTTTAGAGAATTTAAAATTCTTGTTGAATTTGATTATGAAATTATTTAAAAAATTTATATTTGAAAGTAAAAAATTTTGTAATATTTGTATAATTCTAGCTTCCTGAAGAATTTGACATGATTGGTCCAGAAAAAATTGACTGGATAGGAACTAAACCGAGAATTTCAAACAGGAAAGCGTTTGTTACATTTTTTTCATTTGTTACTATATTTGTATCTGTTATTCTACTGGCAGAAGATTATAAATATTTCCCAGCGGTGGTAAGTGTTAAATTTTAAACCTAATCTCATTTCAAAAGAAATGCTCTGATTTTAAATTAGAAACTATAAAATATGTTCTCATTTGAAATTTTATTAAAAAATAAATTTGATTTCAGATGGAGAAACAATGGCCACAAGCCGGTGTCAAGCATTATACATTTGATCCAGCTAAATAAATAATTCTTAATTTACAGATAAAATAATTAAATAAGCAGAATGAAAATTTGTTAATAATCACTCATTTTTGGTAAAATATGTATATAAATATTCTGCAAAAAATATATAGGAAACGAATATTTAAATTCTTTGTGTTGTTAAAATTTACCTCTTTTATGCTTCTGTTAAAACTTCAAAGTTTTTTATCATTTCTTCTTAATTCTTTTTAAATATAGAGAAAACCGAAAAAAAATAATTTTGTAGAAAATTTCTCCTGTCGGTAAATAAGAAAACTGTTTATACACAATGAGTTAAGTTGTTGTTTTTAGGTTAGCTGTCAAACGAGATAAACACAATTTACTTTATTTCGTTTTCGTCTTTGGTCTCACATTTAATTTCCACTGTAAATTTGTGTAAATCGTATATAAATATTTTATAACAATTTTATAAATATGAGTGGCAAAAATCAATTACCTGATCTTGATAAAATATTTCGCGAGGAAGATGATGATGGATTTTTACCTTCCGGAAGGTAATTTTTATTAATAATTTTAATAAATCATTTAACGTATTGTATTTAAATACTTTTAATTAGATTTTTGCTTTATTATTTGAAAGATAATAAACAAATTTGAATTGACATAACCTATAAGATTATTTTTTAAAGTTTACAAACGTTTTAAACCTTTTAAACAAACAAAACGTAAAAATTATTATAGTTCCAGATTGGCTTCAATATTTGGTATGAACACAAATAATGTAAATACTCAGCCGCAAATTTTTCCAACAAAACAAAAAAATGTTACTCAAGAATCGAAAACCGAAGTTGTTATTGCAAAAGCTGTACACGCTTATAAATTGTAAGTATATAATAATTTTTTACTGTACGATAGAAATTTTATTTTTAATTATTATAATTTATTAATATTATTATTTATTTTGATCTATTTTACCTCATTTTTGAAAAACTGCAAGTGAAACGTTAATATTTCTAAATAATTCATCAATATTTATTATGAATAGACAGAACGGAAATTATACATCGATAGGAAAACTTGGCCTCGCTCTAGTGGGAAATGTTTCTACAAAATCGTATCAATTAATACTCTATCGAAGTAAACAAGAGCACATATCCATTGTTTCGATAAATCCCGATTTCTCCTACATTGTGCAGGCAAATAATTATTCTACATATTATGATAATCGAAAGGAAAATTGGTCAATACTTTTTGAAACCAGTAAAGAATGCATTGAGTTTGCAAGAGAAATTGGCGTCTCACGATATCTTTCACGTCGTGAAAAGACGAATAATTCTTTAATTTATCAGGATTTAAATGCAGTGAATGAAAAGGGAGAAAAGGCAAAAGAGGGTGATGAAATTTCCCTAAAATACATTATTACCACAGAAATAATTCAACCATTAAAAAATAATTCAACCGCTGAATTGTCAATGACAGTGGAAATTTCCACTGATGATAATTGGGAAAGAATATTGTTGGGAACGATGAAAAATTTGAGACGAATGCTAATATTACCGCCGAGTAAGCAGGTAATTATTAAATTTTTATCATTTTTTTACTCTTCAAGGATTGCCACAGGTCAGGGAAAAGTAAAAAAAATTCAACTTTTAGAATTCATAAGAAAATTCTAAATTTCTGAAAAAACAAATTTCTTCTTTTTTTGACAATAATTTATTTTAAATAACTTAATTCTATTAAAAAAAAACTGCCATAAAATTATTACTTATAAATCATTTTAATGAAATATTTTTTTGACAAATTTTAATTTCAATTCTGTTTGAAATTGGTTTCAATATTAAAAATTTTAATACAATTCTTCGAAAGAATTCAACTATCTTAATAAATATTAAAATTCTTTCCAGAAATTAAATTATTTTCAAAAAAAAATTCTCGTCAACATTTTAATTATTTTTATAAATAGCAAAAATTCTTCACCAAAATTTAATTATATTCAGGAATTTTTATAAAATTCATTGTAAACTTCAATTATTTTCATAAATAAAAATATTCATCTCAAGAATTCAATTATTTTCAAAATTAAAAAAATTCTTCGCAGAAATTCAATTATTTTAGAAAAAAAACTAAATACAAATTTTCGTCAACATTCCCAATTATCTTTATAAATAAAAAGAAAAATTCAATTATTTTTAGAATTTTTAATAAATTTCATTGCAAAATTCAATTATTTTCATAAATAATAGTATTCATCACAAGAATTAAATTATTTTCAAAAATTATAATAAAATTCATTGCAAAATTTCAATTCTTTTCAAATATTTTCTTAATTCAATAATTTGTATATCAATTATTTTAATGAAATTTTCCAAAAGAATTCAATTATTTAAAAACAATTTTAACAAAGTTCTACACAAATATTCAATTATTTTCTGAAATAATGAAACTTTCACAAGAATATAATTATAAAAAATAGAATTTGCATGAATTTTTTGAAAATTCTTCGCAGCAATTCAATTATGTTCAAAAGCAATAAAATTGAATTACTTTAAAAAATTTTAATAAAATTCATTGCCAAATCTCAATTATTTTCAAAAATTTTAATAAAATTCATTGCAAAATTTCAATTGTTTTTAAAAATTAAATTTGCAGGATTCATAATTAATTTTATTTCACTTTTTAATATTATGTATTTAATTAATTATTAAAAATCATGGATTTATACAAGAATTTTAGTTAACAACACTAAAAAAATTGTATTTTAGAGAAATTACAAATGTTTGAAAAAATTCAATTTTTTTTCAAAAATTCAAAAAAAAATTCTAGTCAAAATTTCAATTATCTTTAAAAATAATAAAATTCTTCTCCAAAATTCAATTCTTTTCATAAATAATAAACATTTCACAGGAATTCAACTATTTACAAATTTTTTCACAATAATTCAATTATTTTCATAAAAATAGTTCCAATTATTTTTAATTGTAATTTTAACCAAATTCCTCAAAAAATGTAAGTCTTCTTGAAAATTTTATTAAAATTCGTCGAAAAAATTCGATTATTTAAAAATTTGTTGATAAAACATTTTATGAGACGTCAATTTTGAGAAACATTCATTTATTCAATAATTTTTTCATTTTTGAATTTATATATTTGAATTCTCGTAGAATTTTCTAATAAAAATTGTTTTAAAAATAAATTTTAGATAAAACTTCAGATGAAAAATTAAAAATAATTGATAATTGTTCATTTATTTCTTTCGAAGAATTTCGATAAAATTTTTGAAATTAATTACATTTTTCGAAGAATTTACTTAAAATTTTATTAAAAATAATTGAAATCCTGAGAAGAATGTATTTTATTATTTAGGAAAATTAAAGTCTTGCAACGAACTTTTATTATATTTTTTAAAAATAATTGAAATCCTGTGAAGAATTTTATTATTTATGAAAATAATTGAATTCTTGCAATGCATTTTTATTACATTTTTAAAAAATATTTGAAATCCTGTGAAGAATTTTATTATTTAGGAGAATAATTGAATTATTGCATCCTTTTTTATTACATTTTTTTTTTAAATAATTGAATTCTTTTGAGAAATTTTATTTAAATAGTAGATTTGGAAAATATTTTAATTTCATCGAAGAATTTCATTATTTGTGAAATGTAATTGAATTCTTGCAAAAATTGTTTGAAAATAATTACATTTTTCGAGAAATTCATTTAAAATTGCATTAAAAATAGTAATTTAAATCCTACGAAACATTTTATTATATTTATGATAATAATTGAGTTCTTACAACGAATTTTATTACTTTTTTTAAAAATAATTGAAGTGATGTGAAAAATTGTATTACTTATAAAAATAATTGAATTCTTGCGAAGGATTTTATTAAAAGTTTTGTAAATAATTAAATTTTTTTTTAACAATTTTATAGAAATTTAAATTGTTGTAAAACAGGAAGATAGCAATTAATGGACAATTTTTAAAAATAATTGAATTTTGTAAAGTTTTCAAATTAAAATTTTTGAAAATCTGAATTTTTCATACTTTTAATATTAAAAATTCAAAGGAACTAATTTTTTTCGAAAAGCTTAATCAAAATTTTTTATAATTATTTCAAGTTTTTATTTTCTAATTGAATTGTAAACAAATAATAAATTTGAAAATTTTTAAGAAGAATTTTAGTTAAAAATTGCACAAAATAATAATTGAATTGGAATTATTAAAATATTGGTGTTTTTGAATAATTTTACAATTAAAGAAATTCGTAAATAAATGTAATTGGAGAATTTTTGTTGTGTTTCTAATAATTTTTAGAGTGAATCAGAATATTCTGTAGGGTCAGGGAAAATGAAAATTAAATTTTTGTGGCAACCCGGTCTTCCCATAATTATATTTTTTCCATTATAATTTTTAGATTAGCCTCGGTCCTGGATTTCCCAAGGAAAGAGACATCGTTCTCGAAATAGAAATAATAAATATTCAGAGGGCAAAGGAAATGAAAATTCCAGAAGCAGAGAGTTTAATCTCGTCAAGTAAGGCTTCGATAATATCGAGAATGGCAAAAATGGGACAATCTATTCTTCCAAAAACTTCCATATCAACGACTACCGATTCAGATGACACTGAGGTTTACATGTTTTTATTAAATTTTATTATTAAAATCACAGCTTTTTTCAAATTACTTTTTCAAAATTTTTAAATTTAAAAATAAATCATCTTTGTCAATTTCAGGATGAGATAAAAAAAGAACGAACAATACGACACAGAAAGGTGAGATAAGAAGAATTTTCTCTAAACTGGAAAAATAGAAACACTAAATTTCAAAAGACGTGAATGAAAATTAAAAATATCAGTAATTGTGATTAATACCTATAAATATTAATTGTGATTTTTAAATTAAAAAATTTATTAAAATTTATTATTAGGGAGAATTGCCAGAGACAAGTCCATCGAAAAAGCAATTTCAATCTAGTCACGAAATTACAGAAACTGGTAATCTTCACAAAGTTATTAAATCAAAAGTGACTTCATCGGTTCCTAATGTACAATCGTCATTGTATCCAGTCGTTTACACTCCACAATGGTCACCAACTCAAGTGCAGGTAAAATTGAAAAAAATTAAAATATTAAATTAAATTAAATTAAATGGAAAATTAAATTAAAATTTGAATTTTTTTTATCAAAAATGAATTAATTTCAATAATTTCTAGTCACAATATATGACGGTTGACGGTCAAACTTTTCCCATGGCACAACAATTCGTCACTCAAACAATGCCTGGAACATTAGATCCAAGTTTGAATATATTTTTAACTGAGTCAAGAACACAAAATGCCGAGATTCGAATGGGAATGTCAAAAATATCCGACAATATTCAACGATTATTGGATAAAGTAATTTTATTTTCAAAAATACCATTTTATTAATTATTGATTCATACCAATTTTCAATTTCATTGATTTTAGTTCCACGTCTTGGAACTTCAAAACGCTTCGTCACCGAGCAATGATAAAACAATGGAGAACACGTTGAAAATGATTCTCTCATTGAATTCACCAGAAACGAAAAGTAATTCAATTTTTACTTCCGGTAAACTTGAGGAAAGTAATAAAAGTCAAATGAATCAATTGCAAGAGACTATTTTAACCAAAGAAGAGGAACTGAAGACGATAAGAGGTATTTACGAAAATATTGAATAATAATAATAATAATAATAATAATAATAATAATAATAATAATAATAATAATAATAATAATAATAATAATAATAATAATTAATAATACCTAGGAATTAATAATAATATTGTAAAATTATTTTCAGAAATAGCAAATAATGCCAACCAGGAAATAACGAAACTGAAAGAAGAAAAAAGGAGTTTAGATCAAGTGAATCTGGAACTAAAGGAGAAAATATTAAGTTTAGAAACGAATCTAGCAACGAAGAAACAAGAGTTCGATAATTTAAATACACTTCATGAAGCTGCCAGGGAAAATTTGAATGATTGTCAAAAGAGAAATTCCAATCTAGAGAGGGAAATTTTACAACTTCAATCTAATTGCAAATCGTTAGAAATTGCTGCAAGTACAAATCAAATTAAATCCACTTCTGTAAGTTTTCTCATTTTATTTTAAGAAAATAAAAATAAACACTATAAATTTACAATTACGTTCTTCTTTTCAGAAAAGTGATAAAAATAAGGAAGTGAAATTGATCATGAATAATACGTACCACACATTACTGTCAAAATTCATAGAAGACAATTATTCAACTAGTTTTATAAAAGAAACGATTGCTAACACGTTGAGGGTAAGAAATATTCAAAATACGTTTAGAAAATTAATATTTTCATTACCGTTATTTTCAATTGACATTATTTTCATTTGCCACTATTTTTAATTAACATTATTTTCAATTACCGCACTATTTTTATTTGCCATTAATTTTCAATTACCATTATTTACATTTTCTAAACAATTCAATTATTTTTTTCAATACTAAAATCTTTACAAAAATTAAATTATTTTCAAAACATTTCTATAAAATTCTTCATAATAATTTAATTATTTTTTAAAATTTCAATAAATTCTTCGAAACATTTCAATTATTTTTATAAATAGTAAAATTCTTCGCAATAATTCAATTATTTTTATAAATAGTAAAATCTTTTGCAGAAATCCAATTATTTTCAATACAATTTTAATAAAATTCTTCTTCATAAAATCCAATTGCTATCAAAATTTTCAATTAAAATTATTAAAGAAACTTCATTAGTTTAAAAAAAATTCAAAGAAATTCTTCAAAAGAATTTAATTGGTTTTTTTTTAATTTTAATAAAATTCTCTATGAAAATTTAGTTATTTTTTTAAATAATAAAATTCTCTGCGAGAATTCAGTTATTTTTCTGAATAATAAAATTCTTTGAAATAATTTTATTATTATCAAATTTTTTGATAAAATTCTTTGCAACAATTCGATGATTTTTAATGCATTAATTTTAAAATTGAAAATATTTGAAAAGAAAAATTATAAAAAAGTTTAGAAAGAAAAAAGCGAACAACTAACTTCAAACTGCGAACAGATTACCGGAACATGTACTTTATTATTATTAATTATTAATTAATTAATAATAATTTTAATAAAATTTATAATATTTTAAAAACAGGACATAACTTTAAAAGTACTGAATAGCGATGAATGTGAGGAAGAATCGAGTGATAAAAAGAAAATGCAAGAGAAAAATAGTCAATTACAGGAAACAGAGAGATTATCATCATCATCTTTAAAAGAAGACAACGAAGACACGAAAAACGATTTCAAATTAAATTCCGAGACGAATTTGAATAATTTTATTCAGGTAATTATTTGTTAAATAATTTTTTTCATTTTCATTGTATTCTAATACATTTCTATCAGATTTCTATATTGTAGATTGCTCCGGAATTTGAAAATGTACCACCGCCAATTCCACCACTAGATTCTAGTAATGAAGCCGATTTGAGCGATTTTTAACGTTGATATATGAGAAAATCGAGAAAAAAAATTAATAAAAGAAGCTTTATATGTGATTTGTATAATTGAATAACAAACAAAATGTTTATATTCTTCTAAACACGAAACATAAACAATTTTTATTCCAAAAATTATCCGCGCAAATCTTTAAAATCCCTTTTTTTTGTTCTCATAACCTAAAAAGTATTACAAAAATACTTTTCATCTAACTTTGCCTAATTTTGTTAATTTTATAATTGATAAGATTTATAATTTTTAAAAATATTTTTTTATCAAATATTTCCCTCTTGAAATGAAATGGCAGTCATTTTAAATATTCTAAAAAAAAAGTATTTTGCTTTTTCTACATAGATATCAATAGTAAAAAAATAAAATAAACTGCAGTGATAACAATTGGAAAATAAGAAAAATATCAATAAATAAAAAAAAAATGTCAATTATTTCGATATAAATAAATGAAAAAAAAGAATAACAAAAGGAATTTAAAATGAACGTATAACAGTTGCGCCGCAGATGAGTAATTTTTGTCTAGTGCGTCATTGGATAAGACCAAGGTAAGAAGTGTTTACATTTTTTGTCATTCAATTAACAGAATCAAGCCCTTTAAAATATGATTTTAAACTTTAAAATGCCCGAGAAATGAAAATTTAAGAGAAAAATGACAAATTCTCCTGCCATTACCTCCATTATTATTTACCCGTCTCTCGAGAAAACAGTGATTTCTTCACGGGCGCAGTTTTTCAACCATCTTGGCTTGTGCCACGCCAATCAAAATGAAAACATAACCTCAAAAAAAAAAAAAAAAAAATGACAATAATTTCAAAAATATTGCAAAATTCGTTTGATAAAAAATAAAAATACGATAACATTTGTAATTTTTTACATTCAATTCCTTAAAAACTGGTTTTAAAATGATTTTTCAAAATTTTTTGCCTGAATTATTTTTCGTAATTCTAACCTAACTTTTGGCAAAAGGTCCAATCCGCGATCCCTGAAGATGTTTTATTTTATAAATATTATTTTTGATATTTAAGAATTAAATATCAACTGATATAAACGTTATTGTAAATTTTTATAATATTCAATATTATTTTAAAAGATTTAATATAAATAGAAAAACACAGAATTAGAAAAAAGAGATAAAGATCTGAATGTTTATGATACAATTTTCGAAAAATTTTAGCTAGACACTAGATTTTGAGTGTTGCAATGGACAATGCCACGGATGATGAGGATATATCTTTTCGTCTTGGGGAATTGTTTGAGAGTTACGAGGAACTAGAGCAGAAATTGGAAAAATTTTCGAAACAAAGTCTTGTGCATTACTGGCGACGAGACAGTAGAACAGTAAATGGTGCACATATGAAAACAGCTCGTCCTATAAGTGCAAGATTAAAATATTATTCTGTTAAATATGCCTGCATTTATGGTGGACAAAAGTTCTTTCCCCGAGGAGCTGGAAGACGACAATCGCAGTAAGTTCATCAACGAATTTTTAAAATTCAAAATTCGAGTCAATTATAATTTTCTATTTTTTATTTTTAGATCTATCAGAACCAATTGTCAGGCTCACATTATGTTAAGAGCTTCAAAAGACGGTACAAAATTGGAAGTAACGAGTGTAAATAATGAACACAATCACGAAATTTCAGAGGTAAAGAATTTTTTATTTTCATAACTTTAAGAAATAAGAATTTAAGAAAATAATGGAAATTTATATTTTTATAAATTGCTGTTTGCTTTTTTGTTTCCTAACTTTTTGTATGTTTAAAATTTTTAAATTAATGTACTGAAAATCATTGAATTCTTGTAAAGAATTTATAAAAAAAATTAGAAAATAATTAAATTTTATTAAGAATTCAATTATTTTCACTAATTGGAATAAAATTCTTTAATCAATTTATAAATAATAAAAATCTTCGTAAAAAATTCAATTATTTTAAAATAAATAATAAAATTCTTAACAATTTTCTATTCCATTTTTAATTGATTTCTTCGAAATTTTCAATTATTTTTCAAAATCTTGTAAAAATTCTCTGAGAAAATTCAATTATTTAAAAAAATAATTAAATTTTGCACAGAGGTTCAATTATTTAAAAAAGTTTTAATAAAATTCTGTTCAGAAATTCAATTATTTTCATAAATAATGAAATTTTCGCTGGAATTCAATTATTTAAAATATATACAATTTTTATTGAACTTCAGGGAAAATTAAATTATTTTTAAACAGTTTTTTTTTAAATTCTTCGAAAGAATTAAATAATATCAATAAATAGTAAAATTTCCACAGGAATTCAATTATTTTAAATAGAATTTTAATAAAATTCTTCTAAAAAATTTTCTTGTTTTTAAAGTTTATCAAAAATTCAATTATTTGTAGAAATAATAATTTTTTTCGCACAGATTCAATTATTTAAAAATTTTTAATAAAATTCTATTCAGGAATTCAATTATTTTCAGAAATAATTAAATTGTCGATGAGCAATCATTGAATTCTTGTAAAGTATTTATAAAAAAATTTGTATATAATTAAATTCATTTCAAGAATTTTATCAACATTTTTGCAAATAATTGAATTCTTTCGAGAAAATGTAATTAAATTTGTTTTTAAAAAAACTTAATTCTTGGCGAGATTTTTATTAAAATTCTGTAAAATAATTGTATTGTTTTTAACAAATTTATTTCAATTTTCTTAAAAATAATCAAGTTTTTTAAAAATAATTTTTACTGAAAATTTTTAAAATAATTTAATTTTAAGAAGAATTTCTTTCAAGGTTTCAAAATAATCGTGTTTATTATTAATTGTAATTAACAATTTTTCCATTTAATAGTATTAAAATTATTCATAGAAAATTAAATTCTTTTAAACAATTTTCATAGAGTTTTTGTAAATAATTACATTTTTCTTGAAGAATTTCATTAAATTTTGTAAAAATATTGTAATTATTAGTTTTGTTTTAAAGTAATTTTAATTGAAAATTTTTAAAATAATTGAAATTTACAAAGAAGTTTATAAAAAAAACTTTTGAGAACAACTGAATTGTTTAAAAACATTTTATTACCATTTTTAAAAATAATTGAACCTGTTAAGAAATTTTTTTTAAATTATCTTGAATATAATTGAATTTTTTTTCATAAATTTAATTAAAATTGAATTGAAAATAATTGAATTTCACAGAAGAATTTTTTTTATTTACAAAAATAGATAATTGAATTCTTCCCAAGAATTTTACAATTTATTAAAAGTAATTGAATTGTTTCGAAGAATATATTTTATCAGAATTTTTGAAAATAATTTAATTTATATTAATATTCTTGAAAATAATTGAATTTAATTAATATTTTTATAAATAATTATATTCTTTCGAGATATTTTATTAAAATTGTATTGAAAATAATTGAACTCCTCCGAAACATTTTATTTTTTATGAAAATAATTGAATTCCTTTGAAGGATTTTGTTATTTTTAAAAATATTTTAATTCTTGCGAAGAATTTTCTTATTATTTATGAAAATAATTGTTTCGAAGAATTTTTTATCTGAATTTTTGAAAATAATTGAATATAAAATTTTTTAATTTACAAAATAATAAGAAATGGAATACCGCATTTACATATAAATCGCAAATTTATAATTTGCAAAAAAAAAGTAAAATTCTACATGTTTGGAAATATTTTTAATAGGAACTATTCAAAAATTTACCTCAAGAAAGAAAATTGTGCGGTGAGATAAAACAGGAGGTTCAAGATTTAATGCAACTGCACATTGATCGAAAACGACTAAAGGAATACGTTCGATTGCGGACTAATAAAATATTACGTTCAAAGGATTTATTTAATATCGCGGCTGCTAATAAGCATAAAAAGGAAATAACACCCGAGCGGGCTTATCAGCTTTTTAAGAAGATACACGACATTGAAAATATTCAAAAGAAAGAATCGAATCGAAAGAATTTCATCGAGTGCGAGGACGAAGTGTCGCGAACCATAAAGAGATTGAAAACCGAACAGGATCCATCATGCTGGGCTCAAAATGTACTCAAATAACTCAAAATATCTCCAAATTAATTCTATTTTGTATCTAATTTTTCTTTCTATTCATTTTGTTTTTAATTTTTTTTCTGTTCATTTTGTTTCTAATTTTTCTTTCTATTCATTTTGTTTCGAATTTTTTTTCTAATTTTTCTTTCTATTCATTTTGTTTCTGATTTTTATTTCTATTCATTTTGTTTCGAATTTTTTTTCTATTCATTTTGTTTCTAATTTTTATTTCTATTCATTTTGTTTCTAATTTTTATTTCTATTCATTTTGTTTCTAATTTTTATTTCTATTTTGTATGCATCTAATTTTTTTACTATTTTTAAAGTGATTTCCTATCATTGCAGAGTTTATCGAACGAATTAGAAGCGGGAGAAGGAAACGACGTTGATGACAATTATTGCGATCCTCTAATGCAAGAAGAGTCTGTCGATGAGATGAGTAATGCCGAAAGTCAATTGGTCAGTGCCGCAAGAGACACGGATATGATAAGTGTTAATGGAGAAATTGTCGGCGAATTAGTGATGGAAGACGGAGATCCGTCTGTTATTGTCGAATCAATTGTCAATGCCGATGGTTCCGTATTTGTCGACGAGAGAGAATTTAATACCTATCCACTATCCTCCAGCGTTCAAGATAGTCAATCTCCAAATCATGAAGGTAATTCTTTAATTAACTTCTTTTTTTTCTAATTAAACAAGAAAAATTGTTCTTTTCCTATACAAGAAACAAAATAATTACGATAACAGGCTTCGCACTTATCTACTAAAATTTACTTCATTTTTTACGATTAGCTACTATTTGGATACTTTTTTTTAAATGTGTGACACTAAAAGCTACTTTTTCATTTTTTTTTTTAATTTTCACAAATTTAAATCCGCTAATAGTTGAAATAATTTAATTATTCTTTCAAATTTTCATAAAATTATTCGAAAATTCAATTATTTCCACAAAAATTTTAATAAAAATCCCTCGAAAGAATTTAATTATTCAATAATAATAAAATTCTTTAAAAGAATTCAATTATTTCCAAAAAATGTTAATATAATTCTATATTAAAATCTTTAATTACAATAATATTAACAAACTCAAGTAAAATTATTCGAAAAAAACTACATTATTTTCAAAAGATTTAAAGACAAACTAGTCAATAAAATTCTTTTCGGAAATTCAATTATTTCTTAAAAATTTCAATACCTAAAATTTTTTAATGCAATTATTAACAAAAAAGATTATTTTAAAAAATTGAGAGATATTTTTTGAAAAAATTTAATTAATTTCAAAATTTACAATAATAAAAAGAACTAAATTTTTTAAAAATTAATTAATTTTCAATAAGTTTAAAGAATTTAGTCAAACAAATTCAACAAATTTCGAAAAATCCGATAAAATTCTTTAAAACAATTCAATTTTTTAAAAGTCTATGTTAATAATCGTTTTGCTTTTTTGTTTCTTAACTTTTTTAATAATTTTTCTTTTTAAATATTTTCAATTTTAAAATTAATGTAGGTATTTAGGAAAATTCTTTTTGAAGAATTTCTTTGAATTTTTTTTTAAAATAATGGAGTTTTTTTTAATAATTTTAATTAAAAATTTAAAAATAATTGAATTGTATTGACAATTTCGTTCAAATTTTTAAAATAATCGTGTTTGTTAATAATTGAAATAAAACATTTAGTTATTAAATTATATTAAAATTTTAGAAAATAATTGAATTCATTTGAAAAATTTTATAGCGAATTAAAAAAAAATTGAATTCTTTAGTGAAAATGTTTTGAAAATAATTCCATTTTTGCAAAGGTTTTCCATTTAAAAAAATAATTAAATTCTTTTGGCAAAGAATTTTACTATTTATAAATAAAATTGAAAAATTTTGTAACGAATTAAGAAAAAAACTGAATACTTTTGTGAAATTTTATTGAATTTACAAAAATTTTAAGAAAATGTTTTGGAATTTAATTATTTTTAAAAATAATGATAAAATTCTTTATAAGAATTCAATTATTTTAATAAGCAAACAAAAAATTTTCGCGAGAATTCAATTATTTTGAATACAATTTTAATTAAATTATTCAAAATAATTAAATTATTCTTTTAAATTTTCATAAAATGATTTATTATTTTATATATATGTTAAAAAATTTTAATGAAACTCATTGCAAAAATACAATTATTTTTAATAAAAATTTTAAATAAATTTTCCGAAAAATTTAATTATTTTCAAAAATTTTGTTAAAATTCTTATTCAATTTGAAGAAATAATGAATTATTCTATTAATTACTTACTTTTTTACTTTTAAATAAGTGAATTCTTTTGGAACTTTTTAATAAAAATTGATTTAAAAATGAATTTCACTTACAATTTTAGATTAGAATTGAATATTAAAAATTCGTTATAATACAAATTTTTAGAAGGAGATAAATTTCATAAAGCTTTTGAATTAAAATTAATTAAAATTTTAGTTCATGTGGAAAAATAAGTAAATGTTTATATATTAGTTGAACACAAATTATTCAAGTATAAATAATTTAATTTAGAAATTATAAAAAAAGTAACTTTTTGAAAAATTTTAATTAATTTTTTTGAATATAGGAAAATTCTCGTCAAAATTAAAAAAGGTTATTTAAATTTCGAATTAATTTGGAAATTTTGTCAAATTTAATTGAATTTAAATCTTTTTATTTAAAAAAAATTTATTTATTTGCTTTCAAAAATTATTTTTAAAAATAATTAAATTTTTGAAGAATTCTAACTAAAATTTTGGAAAATAATTGAATTTGATAAAAATTTAGAATTGAAGTTATCAGGATAAGAAATACAGTGAATATTTTTTATGGAAATCAGGAAATACAGAATCAAATTTTTGTCTTTTTTTTTTTTAATAGACTAAAACGAGTTTTTTAGTCGTCAAATTTATTTTTTTGATATCTACTTTTTTTTAGTCTTAGAGACACTTTTTGCTACTTTTTTAAAACTAATTATTGAGTGCGATGCCTGCGATAAACTAAATACCAAATAAAATTAGAAATAAAAAATAATTAGTAATTTAAAAACAAAATTTACAGCCCTCTCTCCAGAGTCGATATCAGCTCACATTGACGATGAGAAAATGAAGAAAATAAATCCCAGTTCATCGCATTTTGTACAAAAAGTCCTGTCAAATCGTTCATCACCAGTGATAAAATCTCCGAATCCACTTCATGATTCGGAGAAAATTTGGGTCGTCAAGGAAGGTGCACTCGATACGGAAGCAGACAGCGGTGCAGAAAGTGAGGCAAACGGTGTGAAAACAAGAAATATTATAAATCCCGAAAGTAACAATATTCGTGAAATAATGATATCGGACGAAAGTGAACCTTTATTGATACATCAAAAATTAGCTGTTCTTAAAGCTGAGGAAGAGAAACTTTTTCATGAGACTGAAATGTTAAAATTAAAAAAGGAAAAATTGAGATTAGAAATCAAACTTCTCAAGTCAAAAGTAATGGAAGATAGTAATGATGTTTCACACTATATTTTTGTGCCTTGAGTTTAAATAACTCTAATTATTAACATTATTATGTATAGGGGTGCGTAGAAAATTTATGTAAATTTTTATAGTTACGCACAAAAGCGATAAAAAAGAAAGAAAAAAAAACTGAAAAATAGTTAAATAATCGTTAAATAGTTAAGATTTAAAGAGGCTGTTATTTTCAAAACTATATTTATTATGTACAGCTAAAATATTTCACGCGTTTTTTTAGAAATTACATTTCGGTAGTTTTCTTGACATTTTCTTTGTGTGTTTTTTTCTAAAAAAGCATTTTCTTTTCTGAATGTAGAGAGAAGAGCACTTTAATATTTTTCAAGTATAGTTAATAGTTATACAAAGTGATGTGTAATTTAAATACAGTAGCAGACATTTCGGTTTAGTTAAGAAAATTTGTCCTGACAAAACCACGTATTTATATAATTATATGTTAAATGTATATTTAATTTTGTATTTTGTTTCAATTCGATTAATATTTCAATTTTATTCAACTTCATTATTATTGATTATTATATTCAATATGATTATTAAATTCAATTTGATTATTAAATTCAATTCAACTATTAAATTCAGTTTAATTACTAAATTCATCGAACAAATATTTATAAGTAAACGTAAATAATAATTATATAGTAAAATTATGCAAGGCAAAAATAAATATTTTTCACTTTAAAAAAATTAAAATTTACGTTAATTATTATTAAAAAAAAGATTGTAATTACTTACTTTTTTCTTCCTTTTGATTTTTATGGCCTCAAGTTCCAAAAAAGAGTTAATTTTTCTTCTATTCAACAAAAAGGAAATATTTTTGTAACTAAAGAAGATTTTTTTTAGTTTGAAGTTAGTTGTTGTTTGCTTTTATGTTTCTTAACTATTTTATAATTTTTCTTTTCAAATATTTTCAATTTTAAAATTTATATATTGAAAATCATCGAATTGTTGCAAAGAATTTTATCAAAAAATTTGATAATAATAGAATTCCTTCAAAGAATTTTATTATTTAGGAAAATAACTGAATTCTCGCGAAGAATTTTATTAAAATTTTTAAAAATCCTAATTAAATTCTTTTGAAGAATTTCTTTGAATTTTTTTTAAACTAATGGAGTATCTTTAATAATTTTAATTTAAAATTTGGAAGCAATTGGATTTTATGAAGAAGAATTTTATTAAAATGGTATTGAAAATAATTGAATTCTTGAGAATAATTTTACTATTTATAAAAATAATTGAATTGTTCCGAAGAATTTATTAAAAATTTTAGAAAATAAATGAATTTTATGATAATACTTGAAAATTCAAATTCTTTCGAGAAATTCTATTAAAATTCTTTTCGGAAGAATATTTATCAAAATAATTGAAATATTGCGAAAAATTTTAGTATTTATAAAAATAATTTAAATGTTTCGAAGAATTTATTAAAATTTTAAAAAAAATTAAACTGTTATAAAGAATTTTATAAAAATATTTGAAAATAATGAACTTTTTACGAGAAATTCAATTACCTAAAGTTATTTCGAAAATAATTAAATTTCTTTAAAGAATTTTATTAAAATTAAGTATATTCAAAATAATTGAATTCATCACAAGAATTTTATTAATTTTTGAAAATAATTGAATTCTTTCAATTTTTTTGACGAATATATTTAAAAATTGCATTGAAAGTAATTTAACTTTTACCTATATAGAATTTTTTAAAAATATTTTGAGAATAATTGAAATATTTTTAGAGGATTTTAAATTCTTGTTGAAATTGAATTTTATGGAAATTTTTTATTTTCTAAAATTTTAATAAATTCTCGGAAAAAATTCAATTAAATTTATAAACAATAAAATTATCTGCAAAAATTTAATTATTTTTAATACAATTTTAATAAAATTTCATGTAAGAATTCAATTTTAAAAAAATTTTTAATATTATTTTAAGAAACAATTCAATTATTGTCTAAAATTTTAATAAATCCTTCGAAACAATTCAATTATTTTTTTAAAAAGTAATATCTTTGCAAAAATTCAATTATTTTCAATAAAATTTTAATAAAATTCCATGAAAGAATTAAATTTTTAATATTTTCCAAGAAAATTCAATTATTTTCTAAAATTTTAATATATTCTTCGAAAAAATTCAATTATATTCAAAAAAATTTCAAGAAAGAATTCAATTTTTTTCTTAATTTATTAGAAAAAATTTTAATAGCATTAAATTATTTTCTAAAATTTAAATAAATTCTTCGAAAAAATTCATATAAATTTATAAATAGTAAAATTCTTTGCAAAAATTTAATTATTTTTAATACAATTTTAATAAAATTTCATGAAAGAATTCAAATTTAAAAAAAAAATTTAATATTATTTTTAAAAAAAATTCAATTATTTTCTAAAATTTTAATAAATCCTTCGAAACAGTTAAATTACTTTTTTAAATATTAAAATCTTTACAAGAATTCAAAATAATTGAATTCATCACAAGAATTTTATTATTTTTTGAAAATAATTTAATTCTTTCAAGTTTCAATTTTTTTGACGAATATATTTAAAAATTGCCTTGAAAGTAATTTAATTTTTATAAAGAATTTTTTAAAATATTTTGAGAATAATTGAATTATTTTTATAGAATTTTAAATTCTTGTTGAAATTGAATTTTATGGAAATTTTTGAAAATAATTAAATTCTTTCATGTAATTTTATTTAAATTTGATTAAAAATTATTTAATTCCTGCAAAGAATTTTAGTATTTATAAAAATAATTGAATTTTTTTGAAGAATTTATTAAAATTTTAGGAAATAATTGAAATGTATGAAAATATTTTAAAATATTTGAATTCATCCGATGAATTCAATTAAAATTGTTTTGAAAATAATTGAATTTGCGTACCTAAAGATTTTACTATTTAAAAAAATAATTGAATATTGTTTAGAAGGAATTATTAAAATTTTAGAAAATAATTGAATACTTTCGTGAAATTTTATTAAAATTTTTGAAAATATGAACAGTTATAATTAATTTTGTACTTAATAAGTAAATGTTTTATGTTTTGTTTATGAAATTATTTTAAAAATTTATATTTGAAAATAAAAAATTTTCTAATTTGGATACAATTCATATTGTCAAATTCTATTGGTGGACATTTGAATTTTAATTGAAATTTTCCATCATTTTCATTGGTTGAGTATCAGGATTCGAACATAACCTATAAATGTATTTATTTTCGATTTTGACACTGACACCTTTGACACAGTTTTATTGTTTTGACGTATTATGCAATTTCGAAAATTTGCCTGATTAGGTAAATTATTGCCTAATATGCAATAATTATCGTAAAATACGGGAATTAATTGTTTATTAACAATTCGAGAGTTGTTCGGATTTTTTTCCTTTTAATACCGGTCCTTTAAAAAGTATGCTTCAAAATGATGCAACAATACATGAAGGAACTTGAACAGGTAAATTGATTTAATTTACAATAAAAGGATTGTTAAGTTAATTATTTTTCTAGTATCCGAAAGGATAATTTAAATTTTTTTATTTTTCCTAACCTATTAATTTAAAAAATCGTAATTATCGTATATAAGTTTCTCCAGTAATTGCTCTAATTAACAATGTTTTAAAATAATTACATTTTCCTTATTATTGCAGCAACTTTTAATTGTTCTGGGGAAAATTTATCAAAACTTGATTTAGTTGATTAATAAAGTTTGGGAATTTGATAAATAAAAGTAAATTTTCCTTTGAGTAAATAAACTTTCTTTTCAATAGGAGCCCTTTGATCCCGAGGAATTTGTCGAGCGTTTAGCTTGGCGAACGGTGAATGACACAATAAGCGAAAATGGAAAAAGTGTTTTTGATCCTCTTTTAATTCACGAAACATTTCTACAAGCAATTAAAGATCTACAAGTTCTACAAGAGAGACAGCAAAAGAAATGCGAAAAATTGGAGAGTGCTTTAAAGGAAGAGGAATCGAGACATGCCCTCGAAACATTGGATTTACAGGAGAGAAATAAAAATGCAATGGAACTTTTTCATCAACTCGATGAGAGAATTAATCTCGTTGCAACTAAAGTTCTTCATTTAGGCGATCAATTAGAAAATGTCAATACACCAAGAGCGCGAGCTGTCGAAGCTCAAAAATTAATGAAACATTTCTCTGAATTTCTCAGTCCTGGTCCTTTAACTTGTCACATTTTCACTGATAAATCATCCGTGAGTATTATTATTTACAAAAAGTAAAACAAAATAATAATAATAATAATAATTTTTCTTTTTAAATATTTCCAATTTTAAAATTAATATATTGAAAATAATTGAATTCTTCCGAAGAATTTTACAATTTATAAAAATAATTGAATGTTTTGAAAGAATTAAATTCTTTCAAAACATTCAATTATGTATTTTCAAAAATTCTGATAAAATTCTTTCGAAATTCAATCGAAAACTTTTATTAAAACGTTTAATAATAATTAATATTTCTTTAAAATCTTATCAAAACTGTTGAAAATAATTGAATTTTATTTAATATATTAAAAAATAATTGAATTCCTTGAAGAATTTTATTATATTTATAAAAATAATAGAATTTTTTAAAATAATTGAATTTTTATTAGAACTCTTGGAAATAATTGAATTTAATTAATATTTTTAAAAATAATTGTATTCTTTCGAGAATTTTTATTAAAATTGTATTCAAAATAATTGAATTCCTCCGAAACATTTTCTTATTTATGAAAATAATTTAATTCCTTTGAAGGATTATATTATTATTTATAAAAATATTTTAATTCTTGCGAAGAATTTTCTTATTTATGAAAATATGTAATTGGATTCTTGCGGAAGATTTTACAATTTAGAAAAATAATTGATTTGCTTCGTAGAATTTTATCTGAATTTTTGAAAATAATTGAATTTTTTTAAGGAATTTTATTAAATAATTTGAAAATAATGATTTTTTTAAAAGAATTTCATCAAAATTGTTAAAAATAATTTAATTTATATTAAAATTCTTAAAAATAAACGAATTTAATTAATAATTTTAAAAATAATTATATTCTTTCGAGAAATTTTACTAAAATTGAATTAAAAATAATTGAATTCCTCAGAAGAATTTTACTATTAATGAAAATAATTTAATTCCTTTAAAGAATTTTATTATCTATTGATGAAAGTAATTGAATTCTTGCGAAGAATTTTATTAAAATTTTTCAAAATTTTTATTACCTAAATTCTTTTGAAAAATTTCTTTGAATTTTTTAAAAATAATCCAATTTCTTTAATAATTTTAATTGAAAATTTTGAAAGTAATTGAATTTTATGAAGAATTTCTTTAAAGTTTTTAAAATTCTAATCGTGTTTCTTAATAATTGAAAGTAAACACTTACTTCTTAAATTTTCTTTAAATTGTTGAAAATAATTGAATTCTTCTCAGAATTTTAAAATTACAATTTTCTAAAATAATTTAATTCATTCAGGGAATTATATTTAAAATTCTAAAAATTAGTTTTTAAATTCTATAAGAAGAAATTTAATTTTTCAAGAATTTTATTTAAAAAATTGACTTATAATTAAATTTTTATAAATAAATTGTATCGTTTTTTAATATTTACAGAATATAATTTTCTTTCCAAGAATTTTTTTTTTTTAAATTTTGAAAATAATTGAATTTTTAAAATAAATTTTACAGACAATTTTAGAAATAATTGAATTTTTGAGATGAACTGAATTTTAGAATTTAAAATTATTTTTTAAATAATTGAATTTTTGAACTATAATTGAAATTGCTGAAGTTTTAAAGGAAGATATTTGAATATTTTTTAAGAAATTTATTAAACATTTTGAAAATTAAGGGATTTTTCAGAAAAAAAAAGATTTTAAATAACCAGAAAAAAACGATAAGGAAAAAATTTAAATAATTGAATGTTTGCAAAGAATTTTATTACAATTTTTAAAAAAATAATTGAATTCTTGTGAATGTAATTAATATTTTTAAAAATAATTGAATTCCTCAGAAGAATTTTATTATTTATGAAAATAATTGAATTCCTGAGAAGAATTCAATTATTTTTAAAAATAATCGAATTCTTGGGAAGTTTATTATTAAAATTTCTAAAAATAATTGAATTTTATTATTTATGAAAATAGTTGAATTTTTCCAAAGAATTTTATTTAAAATTTAAAAAAAAAATTGAATTCCTGAGAAGAATTTTATTATTTTTAAAAATAATTGAATTTTTGGAAAGTTTATTAATTTTTATTAAATAATTTAATTCTTGCGAAGAATTTTATAAAAATTTCTGAAAATAATTGAATTTTTGAGGTGAACTCACTTTTAGAATTTAATTATTTTTTAAATAATTGAATTTTGGAATTATAATTGAAATTGCTGATGTTTTAAAGAAGATATATTTATTGAAATTATTTCAGTTGGACGAGGCAGCCGACGTGATATTGAAACTTCATCTCATTGCGCAAGAGCTTCCATCGGAGAAATTTGAGCACGCAAAGAAGAAAATTAGTACAAAATATCATGAGATTGAGAGAAATTTAATAGAGGAATTTGTAAGAGCACAAAATGGTGAGGACGCAAATCGAATGAAAAAACTAGCATCAATTCTATTGCATTTCAAGGGCTATTCACAATGTATGGACGCATTTATTGAACAAAGTCAAATGAGTTCATTTGGTAAGGACGTGTTTCAAGAGGTCATACCAATGTGCACGAAAAATTATAAACTAATGCAACAAGTTTTCACAAATCCCGAACAAGTAATGGCGAAATTTGTCTTAAACATTTATCATTTACGACTGCAAAAATATATTGTCGCAAAATTAGCGGATCGTTCCGACTCTGAAAAATATTTGACAAATCTCTACGAATTGTATTTAAAGACAGCAAAACTCTCGAGTGATTTGAAAAAGTACAACATGTGCACTGACGAGGCTTATTTAATTAAATTGACTCGAAATATTTTTCACAAACATGTCGATGGTTATATTACGTAAGTTTCTATTTTGGAAAAATTGTCTTACTTAGAAAAATTATTTTATTTTTAATTTGAATTTGAATTTTAAATTTGAATTTCTATTTTTAATTACATTTTTCGTTTTTCAATTTTTTACACATAGAGTGGAGACAAAATCATTGCGAGACAAAGCAGCGGCACTATTATCGGAATATTACGAATCGAAAAATCATCAGAAGAAAGTATTGCAAACGGGTGGTTTTCAAGAATTAAGAAGAGATTTACAAGCTGTCCTTGGTACGAGAACGAATATAAATATTGCACAAATCGAAGACTATGGCGGTGAGACATTTCTCTCGGAAGAATTGGCTATTAATTTATTGCAACGAAGTAAATTGGCATTTCAACGATGTTCATTATTATCGCAACCAAATGATCTGCCGGCAAATGCAACGCAAATATTGGATATTTTATTAAAATCACTTGTGGACGAACACGTTGATTATGCACTTGAATTAGGTTTACAGTGTGTTCCAATTCCAGAGAGTCGCACACAACCGGAAATACATTTCTTTAAAATTGTTCGTCGATGCAATGCAATTATTCGATTATTGGAGGAGCAATTTAGCGATAGTTTGGTGCCTCTCGTTATGTAAGTTGATTCTCTTTTTATTTTCTTTCAATGATAAACTTTCTTTTAAAGAAAGTTTCTTTTTTTTTTAAGTAAAATTTTCTTTTCTTTAAAAGAAAAATTTCTTCTTCTTTTCTTTCTCCAAAATATTGAAAAGAATTTTAGAGAAATTAAAAATGATTGTAGAAATTCAATTATTTTCAAAATTAATAAAATTCTTCGCAGAAATTCAATTGTTTTCAAAATTTTTTTTTTTAAATTCTCGTCAAAATATCAATTATCTTTAGAAATATTAAAATTCTTCTCCCAAAATTCAATTATTTTCAAAATTTTTAATACAATTTTTAGCAAAATTTCAATTATTTTCAAAAAATTTTCCTCAATTCAATGATTTTCAATATATTACTATTTTAATAAAATTTTCCAAAAGAATTCAATTATTTAGAAAATTTTTTGATAATATTCTTCGAAAATATTTAATTATTTTCATAAAAAAATAATTATAATAATTTCACAGGAATTCAATTATTTTCATAAATAATAAAGTTTTTACAGGAATTCAATTATTTTCAAAAATAATAAAACTCATTTCTAGAATTTTAATTATTTTTAAAACAATTTTAATCAAATCCTCGAAAAATTTTATTATTCTTAAAAATATAATTAAAATTCGTCAAAAGAATTCATTTATTTAAAAATTTTTTTATAAAATTCTTTAATAGAATTGAATTTTAAGAAACATTCAATTACTAAATAAATAATTATTTTTGCATTTAAATAATTAAATTCTAGTAGAAAAAATTATTTTAAAAATTATAGATTTATGGAAGAATTTGAGTTAAATTATTGCAGAAATTCAATTCTTTTTAAAAATTTTTATAAAATTCTTGTCAATTATTTAAAATACTATTTTTATAAAATTTGTTGGAAAATAATTAATTTTAAACAAAATTTTTATAAAACTCTTCGCAAGAATTCAATTATTTTCAAAAATTTTAATAAAAATCTTCACAAGAATAAAATTATTTTTCATAAATAACAAAATTATTATCAGGAATAAAATTTTTTTTAATACAATTTTTAAATGAATTCCTCGAAAAATGTAATTATTCTTCAAAATTTTATTAAAATTCGTCCACATAATTTAATTACTTAAAAATTTATTGATAAAATTCTTTATGAGAATTGAATTTCAAGAAACATTTAAATTCAGAATTCTAGTAGAATACTCGAATAAAAATTGATTTAAGAATAAATTTCAGTTCAAATTTTAGATAATAATTAAATATTAAAAGCAATGTAGCCTGAATTTTTAGTAATAATTGAATTTTAAAATTAATTTTTTTTTTTGAATTTATTTACCTATTTATTTATTTTTTTTTTGAAAAAGTTTAATTGAATTATTTTTAGATTATTTGAAGTTTTTATTTTCTAATATATATTTAATTGCAAAATTTACGAATAATTAAAAATTTTGTAAAATTGAATTGTAAAAAAATGAAATAGAATATTCTCAAAGCACTTTTTCAAAAATTATTCAAAATAATGGCTTTATCAAAAAGTTTGAGTTAAAAACACTAAAAAAAATGTAATTTTCAAGAAGTTACAAATTATTGCAGAAATTCAATTATTTTCAAAAATTTTAATAAATCTCTTGGCAAGAATTCCATTATTTTTCATAAATAACAAAATTATTCTCAGGTATTAAATTTTTTTAAATAAAATTTTTAAATTAATTCATCGAAAAATGTAATTATTCTTAAAAATTTTATGAAAATGCATGAAAATAGTTCAATTATTTAAAAATTTGTTGCTAAAATTCTTTCTAAGAATTGAATTTTAAGAAATATTCAAAAATTCAATAAATTATTTATTTTTGTATTTAAATAATTGAATTTTAGTTGAATGTTCTAATTAAAACTAATTTAAAAATGAATTTAAGTTGAAATTTTAGATAATAATTGAATATTGAAAGCAATATAGCCTAAAATTTTAGAAATAATTGAATTTTGAAATTAATTTTTTTTGAAAAAGATTAATTGAATTATTTTTAGATTATTTGAAGAATTTAATTGAAGAATTTAATTGAAGAATTTACGAATAATTGAAATTTCGTAAAATTAAATATTGTAATATTGTAATTCAATTATTTTCGTAAATAATAAAATTCTTTTTAGAAATTCAATTATTTTCATAAATAATAAAACTCATGGCAGAATTTTAATTATTTTTAATCGAATTCCTGGAAAAAATTCTTAAAAATTTAATTAAAATTCGTTGATAGATTTCAATTATTTGAAAATTTGTTAACAAAGATTCTTTATGGGAATTGAATTTTAAAAAACGTTCAATTATTCAATAAATTATTTATTTGCATTTTTGCATTAAAATTTTTATTTAAATAATTGAATTCTAGTAGAATTTTCTAATAAAAATTGATTTAAAAATTAATTTCAATTAAAATTTTAGATAATTATTAAATATTAAAAGCATTATAGGGTAAATTTTTAGAAATAATTGAATTTTGAAATTAATTTTTTTTAGAATTTTTAATTGCGGCTTTTTTTTGAAATTATTTAAAGTTTTTATTTTCTAATATATATTTAATTGAAGAATTTACGAATAATTGAAATTTTGTAAAATTGAATTTGAAAATGCTCAAAGCACATTTTCGAAAATTATTAAAAATAATCGATTTAAAGAAGAATTTTAGTTCAAGCCCTGAAATATTGAAATAGGTTGAAACTATTTTCTATAGAATGCAAATAAATAATATTGGAAAATTCTTTTTTTTTTAGCTCAACGCCAAAGAATGTGGAGTGCATGACGAAGAAGAAGAAAATATTGGAGCAAATTGAAATGAAATTGAATTTGGGACTGGATCGGAGTATAAATGCAATTGTTGGTTGGGTGAAGGTTTATTTGCAGACTGAACAACGTAAAACGGATTTTAAACCTGAGAGTGATGTTGATACATTAAATACACCGGCGTGTTTGACTGTTGTTCAATATGTTACGGGAATGATAAGACACATTGACGACAGTCTCGATGGTAAAAGTCTTGAGAATGTCCTCACCGAATTGGGAATACGTTTTCATCGTGTTATTTATGAGCATTTACAGCAATTTCAATTTAATTCAGCCGGAGCAATGTGTGCAATTTGCGATATGAATGAATACAGAAAATGCGTCAAGGAACTGAAAATTAGCACTGTCGTCACTCTATTCGATACATTGCATGCTCTCTGCAATCTTCTTCTTGTCAAACCGGAAAATTTGATGCAAGTCTGCTCTGGGGATCAGTTGGTACGTTTTTATTTCGTTTCTTGTATATAAATATTAATATTTCGAAATATTTAATTACAGGCTTCGCACTCATGTACTAAAACTTACTATTTACTACTTTTTTTTGCGATTTTAAATTATTGTGAAAATTTTGAAAACTATTTGGATACTTTTTTTTAAATGTGTGACACTAAAAGTTACTTTTTTCTTTTTTTTTAATTTTTAGAAATTTAAATCTGCTAATAGTTGAAATAATTTAATTATTCTTTACAATTTTCATAAAATTATTCGAAAATTCAATTATTTCCAAAAATTTTAATAAAATCCTTCGCAAGAATTCAATTATTCAATAATAAAATTCTTTAAAAGAATTTAATAATTTCCGAAAAATTTTAATAAAGTTCAATACTAAAATCTTTAATTACAATAATTAACAGACTCAAGTAAAATTATTTTTAAAAAAATACATTATTTTCAAAAGATTTAAATACAAATTAAACAACAAAATTCTTTTCGTGAATTCAATTATTTCTTAAAAATTTAAATAAAATTTTTTAATTACAATTATGAGAGAAATTTTTTGAAAAAATTTAATTAATTTCAAAATTTACAATAATAAAAAGAATTAAATTTTCAATTGAAATTTAAAAAAAGTTAATTTATTTTCAATAGATTTAAAGACTTTAGTCAACGAAAATTTAATTAATTTCGAAAAATCCGATAAAATTCCTTAAAAGAATTCAATTATTTCCAAAAAATTTGAATAAAATTCAATACTAAAATCTTTAATTACAATAATTAACTAACTCTTAAGGAAAATTATTTTAAAAAAAACTACATTAATAAAATATTTTAATTACAATTATTAACAAACACGATTATTTTAGAAAATTGAGAGAAATTTTTTGAAAAAATTTAATTAATTTCAAACTTTACAATCAAAAAAACTAAATTTTCAATTAAAATTTTTAAAAAATTAATTATTTTTCAATAGGTTTAAAGAATTTAGTCAAACAAATTTAATCAATTTCGAAAAATCCGATAAAATTCTTTAAAATAATTCAATTTTTTAAAAATACTTTTTAATAAACTTTAATAATAAAATTATTAATTACAATTTTTAACAAAATCGATTATCTATTTAAAAAAAATTCAAAGGGATTCTTCAAAACAAAATATTTAATTATTTACAAAAATTTTAGGAAAATGTTTTTTGAGATTTTATTATTTTTAAAAATGATATTCAATATCTTTATAAGAATTTAATTTATTTTAATAAAGAAACAAAAATTTTCGCGAGAATTCATCAATTATTTTTAATTAATATAATTTTAAATGAATTCCTCGAGAAATTTAATTATTTTCACAAATAAAGTTTTCCACAAGAGTTCAATTATTTAAAATAAAATTTTCATAATATTTATTATATTTCGAAAAAATTTATTATTCAAAACAGTGTTTATTAAATTTTTATGAAGAATTCAATTATTTTCAAAAATAACAGCATTTTTCACAGAAATTCAATTCTTTTTAAACATTTTAATAAAAGTTTTCACAGTAATTCAATTATATTCATAAGTAATAAAATTGTTCTTAGGAATTCAATTATTCTTGAAAATTTTAATAAAATTGTTAGCAACTATTCAATTATTTTCATAAATAATAAAATTTATCGCAGAATTTCAATTATTTTTAATACAATTTTAAAGGAATAGCTTAAAAAATGTAATTATTCTTTTAAAAATTTAATTTCAATTCCTCGAAAAAATCAATTATTTAAAAAAATGTTTTTTTAAAAAATTTTTTGGAAGAATTCCATTATTTACAAAAACATTAGAATTTCTCACAGGAATTCTATTAATTTCAAATATTTTAATAAAATTGTTCGAAAATAATCAATTATTTTAAATACAATTTTAATTAAATTTTTTTGAAATAATTTAATTGTTCTTTTATTTAGATTTTAGTAAAATTATTCTCAAGAATTCAATTATTTACATAAATAATTCTTTGAAAGAATTCAATTATTAAAGATAAATAACAATATTCATCACAAGAATTAAATTATTTTTAAAAGTAATAAATTTTTTTCTTTGAAACTCAATTACAAATTCTAGTAAAATCCTTCGTAAGAAATAAATTATTTTCAAAATTTTTGATAAAATTCTTATTCAATTTTAAGAAATAATAATCAATTATTCTATGAATTATTTATTTTTGTACTTAAATAAGTGAATTCTTCTGGAACTTTTTAATACAATTTTAAATTATAATTGAATATTAAAAATTTGTTGTAATACAAATGTTTAGATGTAAATAAATTTTTAAAAAGCTTTTAAATTAAAATTATTTAAAATTTTAGTTCCTGTGAAAAAATATGTAAGTGTTTATATATTTGTTGAACACAAGTTATTCAGGTATTAATAATTTAATTTAGAAATTATAAAAAATAACCTTTTGAAAAATTTTAATTAATTTTTTTGAATACAGTCAAATTCTCGTCAAAATTAAAAATTTTTATTCAAATTTCGAATTAATTTGGAAATTTTGTCAAATTTAATTGAAATAAATTTTATAAAAAAAAATTTATTTCTTTACTTTGAAAAATTATTTTTAAAAATAATCGAAGTTTTGAAGAATTCTAACTAAAAATTTGGAAAATAATTTAATTTTGATAAAAATTTATTAGAATTTAATTTATTATCAGGATAAGAAAAACAGTGAATATTTTTTATGGAAATCAGGGAAATCAGAATCAAATTTCTGTCTTTTTTTTTTAATAGACTAAAACGAGTTTTTTAGTCGTCAAATTTATTTTTTTGATATCTACTTTTTTCAGTCTTAAAGACACTTTTTGCTACTGTTTTAAAACTAATTATTCAGTGCGAAGCTTGTAATTCTTATATAGAAAAAAAATTTGTATAGAAAAAAACTTTTAGAAAAAAATTCATGTAAAGAATTAAAATTGTTTTGGGTTTAAATTTAAAGTTTTTTTTTCTATTGCAGGCAGTGCTGGATAGATCGATATTGGTCTCGTTTATTCAATTAAGGAGCGATTATAAAACACAAAAATTATCGAATTCACTGAAAGGACTCACTACGTAGTTGTATATATTTTAAGAAATCTCTATAAATTTAATTTCTTTTCCTTATATTTTAATATATATAAATATTTTTATTTTATATATAAATTCTTAACGTGTTGATATTAAGTAATGCCAATTAATTTAAAAACTAATTTTAACTAATTTTGGTTTCTTTCTTTTCTTCCATTTTCACTCCCTCATTTTTCTCCTCTAAATAGATTTTCATATTTTCGAATTTAAATTATCTTTTTTCTATAATGAATTTATTTATTATATTATTATAATAATATATAATTATTATTAAATTATAAATATAATTTCTATTTAATTATATTTATAAAAACACCTTGAATTAGTTATTGAAAGTTATTATTACCTCTTTAAAGTTATTTTTTTTAGAATGAGTTCGGAGAAAAGAAAGCGTAAAATTCGGAACAAAAGAAAAAGGGCTAGTGATTTGTTTTCAAAATATAGAAAATCTCTTTTAAATTGAAATAATAGATTGGAATACAATGAAAATTTTGTAATTGTCAATTATCTACATTATGCCTGGGAAGGAAAAGTTTTCATTTATCACGGAAAAAGTGATACAATAAAGATATTATTGAATTTAATAAAATCTAAATAGACTTTAATTCGTTCACTTTTTAATTTAATTCAATTATTATGTTTTAATTAATTAATTATTAACTTTCATAAAGTTTCAATGGATCTGGACTTTGGATTCAAAAATCAAATGTAAATTTTCTTTTTGGGTAAAATAAACAGGGCCTTAAAAAAAATACTAAAATTCAAGTTCGTCTTGGAATCAAATTCTATATTTATCGTTAATCTACACGTAGGAAACGTAAAAAACCATCGATGTAATAACTTATAGTATTCTACGCGTAAATGTCATATCCACTTAAAACGTCTAAGGGCAGCAATCGCAAAAATTATGCTGCAAGACTGTTAATCTGTTTATTTTTTTTTTTTATTCGTGTCACAATTTTTTTTTTTGAGAGTTTTATTTATTTTCCTCCATTGAGGTTCAAAATGAACCAAAAAGACGAGAAAAAATAAGGACAGTTTCTATTGATTTGTACTCTTTCGATCTACAATTTTCATTTCTTGATCGACATTTTTTTTTTGTCTCATTTTGTACATGAAATATCATATAAAATAATTTTTCTGCTTAAAAAAAATTTATTTAAAGCATTCTATAAATGAGATATATAAAAAATATTTTTAATAAAAATTATTTTATATGTTTTCAATATTTTCGTTGAGAACAACTTTTTCTCTCTAACTAAACAAATTCGTCAAAAAACTGAGAGTTTAATTCATAAATCATGGACGAGAAAATACTGTATTTTGGAATTTAATTTGACAACGGACAAAATTTGTTTTCGTCAATAGAGTTGACTGAGCTAGAATATTCTAAGAAAACGTTTTACAGTACAAGTTAAAAACAAAAAAAAACTCGGAGAAATAATTTACTGGAATTTTTTTTTTTCGGAAGGCTTCTCAATAACTGAATTAATTCAAAATCAAGAATCTGGGAAGAGTGTCTTGTTTCATAAAGACTTTGAAGCGAAAGCAATTCTTTCGAAATATAAATACTGAAAGCTCATAAATTCGATTCATGATTTGAAAATAGATGTAAACTATTTCCGAGGATTTCGAGTATTCAATTAGAAATTAATTTTCTTAATTCGCAAAACACAATTATTTTTTACATAAAAACTAACGGTAATGGTTTTACCGCATTTTTTTTCTTGTGATAATATTTTTCGTCGATTATAAGTCCATTCTTAACATTTTTATACAGTTTTGTTTTTATTTGAATTTTTAGAGTCTGCTTTTGAATATGACTCGGTGAAAATTTCTAAATTGACGACGTGGAATCAATGTCAGATCGATATCAGCGCATGCGATAATTATTGGTCTCGTGAACTGTGCATAATTCACCTTTGAAATCAATTTCAACCATAAAATCAAGATCTCGATAATTTCTTGCATTTGGTTTCATTGAGAATGTACCGTAAACTTCCTCGCCCTTCTTCACCGTCATGTACTCGTCGAAATAAAAGACAGTTTGCTTCCAATGTGTATAGGGTAATTCAGGAGCGGTACTAAAACCAGTTCGTTTATGGCACTTGGTGAATTCAATAGTGAAATATGTCACGAGTGCCTGGACGTAATCGTTTCGTCTCACCTGAAGATTAAATGGCGAGGAAAATTCCAAATCAGCCTTTGTCACTGTATAGAGATCAACTTCCTTAATGAGACATGAATTTGTCACAACCTGCTTTGGATCGACAATATCAACGAGAGGTTCACTAATTGCCACCTTTCTTATGCTGCTCATATCAAAGCCATAAACATCGTCCCACCAATTGATTTTCTCGTCCTTATATTGTCGATCCTCAATACCACAGATGAAGAGTGTTGCCTTGTCGGGAAAGAGCATTCCGTCTTCGCGAAGCCATTTGTCGCGGGCAAAGAGAACAGTGTCGAGCATTGATTCATAAAATAGACAATAACCCATCCATTCCGATATGATGATGTCGACCTTTTCAATTCCATCGGGTAAAATAACCTCCTCAACTTTACCCTTTAAAATTGATATTGTTTTCGAAAGATTATTTGCCTCGACAATTTTTTGCGCGTACTCAACAATATTTGAGCATTCGATGCCAATGACACGTGCGGCGCCCGCTTTTGCCGCGAACATTGAGAGAATTCCAGTTCCACAGCCAATGTCAAGGACAATTTTCCCTTTGAATAAATGCTTATTGTGATACATTGAATTTCGATAAGTCACCGTACGAACCTCGTCCTTTAACATTTCCTCGTGAATTCCATAATGAGCATAGGAATCAAAATAATAATCCCGCGATGTCATCTCATCAACCGAAACACCTTGCTGATGATCCTTGCTGTTTGCATTTGGCAACGCAGCCTCCTTATTTGGCAGGATTATTGACTCGGCAACTTCCATATTCTCCATTTTTTGATCCTGCAAAAAAAAAAAAAACTTTTATCAATTTTTTCCAAAATTGCAAATAAATAAAATTATTTTATAGTAAATAGTTGAAACAAATTTTTATTCGCAAAAAAGGTTTTATTACATATAAAAGTTGACAACAGACAAATTCAAAATTCCGTATATTAATTTCGCACTTGAAAATTAGTTTTAAAAATAAGTAGCAAAAAGTGTCTTTAGGACTAAAAAAAGGAAATCAAAAAAATAAATTTCAAGACTAAAAAACTCGTATTAGTTTATTAAAAAAAGACAAAAATTTAATTCTATATTTCCCTGATTTCCATAAAAAATATTCGTTATTCAAAATTTTAGGAATTCAACTATTTTCAAAATGCGTTAATTAATTTTTTTTTTAAATTTGATATTGCAAAATTTTAATTAAATACTTCAAAGAAATCAAATTATTTTCAATAAAATTTTACCGAAAATTGAATTATTTGAAAATATTTTGATTATATATATTTCCAAAATTTCATTATGTTTGAAAATATTTGAAATAATTCAATTTAAAATAATTTTAATGAAAAATTTCTAAAAATTTTTAAAAAAATATTTTAATACAATTTTTTGAAGAGTTTTCAATAAAAGTTTTATGAATTAAATATTATTTTCAAAATTTTAAATTAAAATTCTTCATTATTATTCGATTTTTCAAACTTTTAATGAAATACTTCAAAGAAATCAAATATTTGCAATAAAATTTTACCAAAAATTGAATTATTTGAAAAATAATTGAAAAATATTTTAAAAATTTTCATTTTTCGTTTTTATTTAAAAATTTGTTATTGAAAATTTTAATAATTCAGTTATTTTCAAAATTCTTTAATTAAAATTGTTTAAAATTTGATATTGAAAAATTTTAGTGAAAAACCTCAAAAAAATTAATTATTTTTAATAAATTTTACAAAAATTGAATTATTTGAAAAATAATTGAAAAATATTTAAAAAACTATTTTCATTTTTCGGTTTTATTTAAAAATTTGTTATTCGAAATTCATTAATTGAAATTGTTTAAAACTTAATATTGAAAAATTTTTATGAAAAACTTCAAAGAAATCAATTATATTGAATAAAATTTTACAAAAAATTGAATTATAAAAACGTTTTGATTAAATATATTTTCCAAAATTTTATTATGTTTGAAAATATTTAAAATAATTCAATATAAAATAATTATAATGAAAAATTTCTAAAAATTTGTTAAAAAATATTTTAATACAATTTTTTGAAAAGTTTTAAATAAAATTTTTATAAATAAAAATTAAATTATTAAATATTATTTACCAAATTTTAAATCAAAATTCTTCAATTCTTCGATTTTTCAAAATTTTAATGAATTACTTTAAAAAAATCAAATATTTGCAATAAAATTTTACAAAACTTGAATTATTTGAAAAATATTTAAAAAACTATTTTCATTTTTCGTTTTTATTTAAAAATTTGTTATTCAAAATTTTAAGAATTCAATTATTTTCAAAATTCATTAATTAGAATTGTTTAAAACTTGATATTGAAAAATTTTAATGAAAAACTTCAAAGAAATCAATTTTTTTGAATAAAATTTTACAAAAATTAAATTATTTGGAAAATAATTGAAAAATATTTAAAAAACCATTTTCATTTTTTGTTTCTATTTAAACATTTGTTATTCGAAATTAATTAATTAGAATTGTTTAAAACTTGATATTGAAAAATTTTAATGAAAAACTTCAAAGAAATCAATTATTTTCAATAAAATTTTACAAAAATTGAATTATTTGGAAATGTTTTGATTGTATATATATTTCAAAAATTTAATTATTTTAAAAAATAATTGAAATAATTGAATTTAAAATAATTATAATGAAAAATTTCTAAAAATAACATTGTTAAAAAATATTTTTCTATAACTTTTTTAAGAGTTTTCAATCAAAGTTTTATGAATTAAATTATTTTCCAAAATTTTCAATTAAAATTCTTTATAGAAATCAATTATTTACAAATAAAATTTTACAATAATTGAATTATTTGAAAAATAATTTAAAAATATATGAAAATTTATTTTTATTTTCAAATTTGTTATTTAAAATTTTAGGAATTCAATTATTTTTTAAATTTATAAATTAAAATTGTTTCAATAAAATTTTACAAAAATTGAATTACTTGAAAACGTTTTGATTATATATTTCCAAAAGTTAATTATTGTTAAATAATAATTTAAAAATTAGAATTTAAAATAATTGTAATAAGAATTTCAAAAAATTACTCTGTTAAAAAATATTTTTAGATAATTTTTTGTAGAAAGTAATTTTTATTTTTGAATTTTTATCTAAAAATTTGTTATTCAAATTTTTAAGAATTTAATTATTTTCACAATTCATTAATAAAATTTTTTTAAAACTTTATATTAAAAAATTGTAATAAAATACTTAAAGAAATAAAATATTTTCAAAATTTTTTTTAAAAAATTGAATGATTTGAAAACATTTGAATTTTATATTTCAAAAATTCAATTATTTAAAAAAAATATTTAGAAATTATTATTATTTTATTGTTATCTAAAATTGTAACTAAAATTCATTTTCAAATAAATTTTTATTAAAAAGTTCCACCAAAAATTCACTTACTTAAATTGAAAAATAAATAATTGATAGAATAATTGATTATTTCTTAAAATTGAATAAGAATTTTAACAAAATTTTCGAAAATAATTCATTTCTTTCAAGGAATTTTAATAAAACTTTCGAAAATAATTAAATTTTTTGAGGAATTTATTTAAAATTGTATTAAAAATGAGTGAATTCTTGCAATAAATTTTATTAATTATTTTTAATATATATAAATAATAAATCATTTCATGGAAATTTAAAAGAATAATTAAATTATTTTGAATAATTTAATTCAAATTGTATTAAAAATAATTGAATTCTTGTGAAAATTTTTGTTTGTTTATTAAAATAATTGAATTCTTATAAAGAATTTTATTATCATTTTTTAAAATAATTAAATTTCAAAACATTTTTAAAAAACTTTTTTAAATAGTTGAATATTGTTTTGAAGAATTTCTTTGAATTTGTATTTGTATAATTATAATTTTTTTACAAAATTTATTAAAAAATTGAATCCTTTGAAGAGTTTTATCGAATTTTTCGAAATTAATTAAATTTGTTTGAATTCTTGCGAAAGATTTTATTAAAATTTTTGGAAATAATTGAATTTTCGAATAATTTTATGAAAATTTAAAATGAATAATTAAATTATTTTAACTATTAGCAAATTTAAATTTCTGAAAATTTTCACAAAAAAAAAGAAAAAGTAGCTTTCGGTGTCACACTTTTAAAAAAAAGTATCCAAAAAGTTTTCAAAATTTTCACAACAATTTAAAATCGCAAAAAAATAGTAAATAGTAGGTTCTTGTAGATGAGTGCAAAGCCTTGTATTTCAAATTTTTTTTTTTAAATTTAAAACTTTTGAGGTTATGTAAAAATTGTAATTTTCAAACAAGTATTATATTGAAAATATTTTATTCTAATTTTGATTGTTAATTTTAATCAACAAAGAAAGTCATTTAAACAACTTTTTGCAAATTTTTCCTTGAGACAAAAGAATTTTTCCGAAAAAAAACGTTATAACCACAAATATTAAAAAAAGGAAAAAGAAAAATTTCTTTCTGTAGATTTTCAAAAAACAATTTTCACTCTTGAAAGACAAACACAAGACATTAATTAATCTACATTAATTTACTTTCAGATAAAAGACGCTACGATTAAAAGGAGAAAATTCTTTTCGAGAAAAGATGGACCACGTGCCCGCCAAAAGATCGGCGTCTTTTAACATTTCGTTAAAATTCTCCATTTTTCAAATTCGCATTTATACTAAAAGCTAATAAAAAAAAAAGTTTAATAATTCTTCCTAAAAAAGAAATTAGAACGAAACTTATTAAAGTGAAAATAAAAATTGGATAGGAAATGAATTACTAGACAAAGAGCTTGAAAATCTCCAAAGCAAAGGTCCATTTTCCCTTGAGTCACACACTTTTAAATATCGAAATTACGTCACTTAATAACGTACAGGACATTAGAATTTTTCACTAAATAAACACAGAAACCGTATTTTTTCAAGATAAAATTGTTGAAATTTGATTTATGTTTTTTGCAAATGTCTTACCGCGTTGTTCTCTGTTGCACAAATCTCACTCTCCTTGACTTCTACCGGCACTCCATCCGTCGCCGCCATTTTGAAGCAGACGGCGACTCGCGGTTTTCAGGGACGAATCAAAATTGGCAATTTGTCAAAAAAAGAAAAATAGAAAAATTAAATTTTCCAGATTTTAAATTAAATTTTACTCGACTATTTTGATGGGAAACAAATTTGAAAATTATCAACTATTTGATTTTTCAAATCCCATTTGAAATTGGAACAAAAAAATTTTTTTCCTACTCAATTCACTTTGAATTCATTTTTAAATAACAATTTACTCACTATTAATTTTCAATTTACGATCAAATTGAACAATTTTAACACTTTTAAGGAAGAAAATAAAAACCAAATGAAAATATATTCTCTCTGGTGTCTTTTCCTCGGGGAAAAGTTACCGCTCTGATTCCGACTTTATTGAATGGAAATCAGAAAATAAGAGAAACTGATACTGCGCCTGATACCCAGTTGATACGCTCCTGATCATTTGCGTCGTGACTTACTTTTGAAAATTATTTTTCCTTTTTCTTGTAAATTAATTTGGAATTTAACAAATGGTATTGAGAATTATTTTTTTTGAATTTTTCAAAAAAAAGCTACTTTTTAGTAACTTTGGTTTGTTAATAATTTACGAAATTTATTCAAGTTGAGAAAAATCGACCAACCAGAAATCAGTTGTGCCTACTGTCAAAAAGCAGTGACGTGACAAGAGGTTTATGAAAAAAAATGTCAAATAGATTTTTTAGCGGCAAACGCCGATTATATCGGAAAACAATTATTATCCGTTTAACATTAACTTGACGATTGTGAATTTCAAAGTGAATAAATAAATTCTTTGGACATTGAAATTATGAAAGAAAGGGAAAATTAACGGTTCATGAGACACGGTTACATCACTGGGTCCGAATGTAAATTCCGCCGTTGTCGTGTTGGGACGTGGTGGGAACAGACGGGGCGTCGAGGGAGTCGAGAGTTTACGCATTCGTGCTGCGAAGTGTGCAAGTTTATTGAAGGAAAAAAAAAAGGTTTTGTGAGATCAAAGTGAAAATTCCTCCATGAGAATTGTGTAAAAAAGTTTGATTTTCAAGTAGAGGAGAGATCGATAAATAATTGAAAGTTTGATGCCTCGTTTGAGGCTTGGATTTAAGACATCTTGTATTATGGAGCTTGTAAATCGTTAGAAGAATGTTGGTGAGTAAACAGCAACAAATATTTTATCCAAAAATTGAAGAAGAAGAAGAAGAAGCTTTCGAGGAAAACAAAAGTTCACAATACTTATTGTTATATCTTTAATTTAGTTTTTCTCCTTTTATTTCTCGTTGGAAAATTGAATTTTTCTTTTTTGTCGAAAAAAAACCTCAGGACATTTCAAATATACGAAGGTCGACTTGAAAGTATGACACCAAAAAAGGAGGGCGATTGTTTTTTTACGTAAAAATATAAATGAATATTTCTTTTTCTCTTTTAATTAATTTCTGAGTTTTTAGGAAATCGGAACTTAACTTATTTTTAAGTTCGCTATTAAAAAAAACGGATTTTTATGTTTCTATTGTGACCAGATGTCTTAAATTCTGTTTTCAAAAAGTGTTGTGATGGTTTTAAAAAGTTTTGATGCCAGTGGCACTTCTGGAAAAGGAGACGAGAACGTGTTACATTATTTTTATTTCCCCCCTGTCACTTTCACAATTTTTGTCAAGTGCACTCTTCGTTTATTGTGCAATCGACCTGAAATTTAGGATTCTATGAATTGTTGAATATTTTAATAATTTACAATTCGATTAATAATTACTATACTAATTAATGCATCTTTGGTTTAAAAACCGTCAATTATGATTAATAATCAAGTTTTCTGAGTCAACTTTCTAAAGTTTCTGTATAGTTCAAATATTCGAGTAAATTAAGTTTCAGATCATTTTTTTTTTCGGGAAAGAAATAAAATTAGTACAAAACTGTCTGATTTTTTCCTTCGGAATTTTTTTTACAAAAATTTGAATTTGTTTAACTCTAGTTTTGTCAATTTAAATTTGTTTAATATTTTTTGTCGATAAAAATGTTTTTAATATAGAGATAAAATTATTCTTGTCAGGCAATGAATATTAATTTAATGATAATTTTTCTCTTGTAAATATAGGGAGACGATCCACCTTATCTATCCGTGGGGACGGAGGTTAGTGCCAAGTACAAGGGTGCATTTTGTGAAGCGAAGATCAGAAAAGTCGTGAGATCGGTAAAATGTCGTGTAACCTACAAGCAAGGATTGGGTACTGCAACAGTAACGGATGAGCAGATTAAAGGAACATTGAGAGTTGGAGCATCAGTGGAAGCGAGGCACAATGATCGAAAGGATTTTATTGAGGCAACAATAACGAAAATTCAGGATTGTAGTCAGTACACGGTTGTTTTTGATGATGGCGATATCACGACATTGAGAAGAACTGCTCTTTGTTTGAAAAGTGGACGTCATTTTGCCGAAAGTGAAACATTGGATCAGCTTCCCTTAACGCATCCGGAGCACTTTGGAAATCCCGTGATTGGCGGTAGACGAGGACGTCGATCCCGACAGGCACAGTTAGTATTTTTTTTCTCTTTTTTAATTTGTCTAATATTGTATTAATAACTTACAGGATTGACACGCTACCTGGAAACCTAGAAAATCTGGAAATGTCAGGGAATTTTATTAACTTTGAAAAAACCTGGAAAAGTCAGGGAATTTTGATCGAAATCCTGGAAAATTGTTGTTTTCTAAATTTTATTCTTAAAATATAATTTCACTTAAATATTTCAAAATTACTTCAATTTTAAAAGAATTGCGTTCACAATTTTCATAAGTAGATGAACTTCAAAACATTTTGATTTAAAATATTTAAATTTCAATTTCAAATCAATTTAATAAAAAATATAAAAAAACTTAGATTTAAAAAAAATTTTTAAACTAAAATTAGTCAAATTTTTTAATATATTTTTAACTAGTTTTAGTAAAGTAATGGATTTATAGAAGAATTTTAGTTAAAAACACTAAAACAATTGTTGAATTTTGAAGCAATTACAAATGTTTGCAGAAATTCAATTATTTTCAAAAGTAGTAAAATCCTTCTCAAACATTCAATTATTTTCAAAAATTTTTTTAAAATTCTTGTGAAAATTTTAATTATTTTCAAAAACTTTCCTCAACTTAATGATTTTTAATATCTACTACTCTAATAAAAATTCTTAAAAGAATTCAATTAGTTCAAAAAAATTTTAATAAAATTCTACGCAGAAATCCAATTATGTTTAAAAATTTACAAAATATCTCGTCAAAATTTCAATTATCTTAATAAATTTAATAAAATTTTTCTCCGAAATTCAATTATTTTTAAAACTTTATAAATAAAATTCTTCGCAGAAATTCAATTATTTTAAAATATACAATTTTCATCAAATTTTTCAAAAAATGCAAGTATTCCTAAAATTTTTATTAAAATTTGTCAAGAGAATTCAATTATTTAAAAATTTTTGTGATAAAATTCTTTATGAAAATTAAATTTTAAGAAACATTCAATTGTTTAGGGTAGAGTGGGGTAAAAAAGCCATGGTGTAAAAAAGCCATTTGAGTTTTATTTAAAAACTATTAAGCCGATTTATCAGCTGTTTAGAATATAAATACTATTAGGTAATACGCAACTTTTGAATCTAATTTGAATGTTGTACCTAGATTAATATTGTTTTTATTGTAATTTAAATTTTTTGTTGCTTTTTTGAAAACATTTTGGTGAACTTTTCAAACATATTACAATTTGATTAAGTGAACGAATAATAAAAGTAAATGTTTGTACATAAGGAGAAAAGTATACCGAAAACGTATACAATGTTAATTTTTGGAAATTGAACTGAATTAACAATTTATTTTTGCTTTTTTTAATAACTGGTCTTGGGTGTAAAAAAGCCAGGGCAAAAAATCCATTGAATATTTTGTGAAATTCACTTGTTTTCTATTTAAACTAACCTTCTTATTTTATAAAATTTCTCGTGTTTATTTAATAAAATAAATTAAACACGACGAAAAAGTAGTTCAAAGTGCATTTAAAAAATAAACAATGAATAAACGGTTGCAACGAAATATGTTATCTGTGGTAAAACTTAAAGAGAACTTCTAAAAAAGGTACGAAAAATTGGCAGTGCAAATGGAAAACAGGTAAACTTAATATAATTTTCAATTTTGCTTGCTAAAAACTCTTTCATAATTATTAGAATATTTTTCAAATAAGACTATTTGTCATATAAATAAAGGGAAACTATAAAAATACCTAAATTGATAACATGTTTTGCTAAAATCGTAGGGTGGCTTTTTCACCCCACCAGGTGGTGCAAAAAAGCCACTTACAGTGCTTTCGTAAAACTCTTATAACTTAGTCCTTTCATGAGATAAAAAATATTTCCGTCAAGAATTTTCAAGCTTAATAACTAAACTTTCAATAACAATTGAAAATTTGAGAAAAAAATTTTAAATACAGATTTTACAGCATCAAAAGTAAAAATGTGGCTTTTTTACCCCACTCTACCCTAATAAAATATTTATTTTTTTAGTTAAATAATTGAATTCTCGTAGAATTTTCTAATAAATATTGATTTAAAAATGAATTTCAAATTAAAATCTTGGAAAATTTAAACTTTTCATACTTTTAATTAAGAATTCTATAGAATTTATTTTTCTCAATAAGTTTAATGGAATTTTTTTTAATTATTTGAAGTTTTTAATTTCCAATATATTTAATTGAAGAATGTTAGAATAATCGAAATTTTGTAAAATTAAATTGTAAACAAAAAAATTTGAAAATTCACAAAGAACTTTTTCAAAAATTATGTAAAAAAAAATTGACTGATTTTATAAACCTTGAAAAAACCTGGAAAACTCAGGGAATTTTGATCGAAATTACAAAAAAATTTTACTTAAAAACACTAAAAGAAATTGGATTTTAAAGCAATTACAAAAATGATTGCAGAAATTCAATTATTTTCAAAGGTAGTAAAATTTGTCTCAGAAATTCAATTTTTTTAAAACACTTTAATAAAAGTCATGGCAAAATTTCAATTATTTTCAAAAACTTTTTACAATTCAATGATTTATAATATCTACAACTTCAATAAATTTTAAAAAAGAATTCAATTATTTAAAAAGAAATGTTAATAAAATTCATCTCAAAAATTAAATTATTTTTCAAAAGTAATATAATTCTTCATGAAATTCTTTGCGTAACAATTCAATTTTTTTTCAAAATAATTTTAATAAAATTCTTCGCAGTAATCTAATTATGTTTAAAAATTTACAAAAATTCCCGTCAAAATTTCAATTATCTTTATAAATAATAAAATTCTTCACCAAAATTCAATTATTTTTAAAAATTTCAATAAAATTCTACGCCAATATTTAATTATTTTCATAAACAATTAAAATTTCACAGGCATTGAATTATTTTTAATACAATTTTTAATGAAATTTTTCGAAAAATGAAATTATTCTCAAAAATTTTATTAAAACCTGTCAAGATAATTCAATTATTTAGAAATTTGTTGATAAGATTCTTTATGATAATTCAATTTTAAGAAAAATTCAATTATTTATTAGAATATTTATTTTTACATTTAAATAATTGAATTCTCGTAGAATTTTCTAATAAAAACTGATTTAAAAATGAATTTCAGTTAATATTTTAGATTATAATTGAATATTGAAAGCATTATAGCGTGAATTTTTAAAAATAATTTAATTTTAAAAATGTTTCAAATTAAAAGCTATAAAATTCTGAATTTTTCACTCATTTAATCAAAAATTCTGTAGAATTAATGTTTTTTTTGAAATTATTTGAAGTTTCTTATTTTCTAATAATTTATAATTGAAGAATTTCAGAATAATCGAAATTTCGTAAAGTTGAATTATAATTAAAAAGATTAAAAATTACTAAACAACTTTTTCAAAAAGTATTTTTAAAAAAATTGAGTTGAAGAAGAATTTTAGTTGATCCAATTTTAGTTATTTTTTTTTAATTTTTTTTTTTAGAATTTTAGTTTTAGAATTTTAGTCGCTTTTTAGAAAGCGATTATTCCGAGTCGAAGACTCGGAGTGATCGATATCTTCATGTTTTATAATAAAATTCTTATGTTATTGAATTTGAATCTATTGAAGAATTTTAATTTCTATGAAAAAATAATAATGATTCACTATTTATTTAAAAATTAAGTTTTTGATATTTTCGAATAATTTTACGTTTAAAGTGATTTGTAAATAAATGTAATAAAACATTTTTTTGTGTATCTAATCGTTTTGCAAATGAGAATATTCTTTGCGAATGAGTAAAAAGTCTTAAGTTTTGTCTGGAAATCAGAGAGTTATTTATTAATTTAATTTTGTAAAATATAAATGTAGTTTTAAAAATCTGGAAAAATTTCGTTTTTTAATCTGACTTTCTTAAAAGTCAGGGAATTAAAATGAGGAAATGCGAGGCAACTCTGCAGTCTAATTTGTATTAATCTTTTTTTTTTCCAAATTTTTACAGAGATGATAGTAGTGAAGACGAGGGAAGTCCTCCTAGAGGTTCACACGATTCCGGCACAGGTGGCGAGGAGAAAGAAGGATTGGAAGTTGAACCAGAAATCGGTCGAGTCGTTTGCGTGGAACTCGGTGACAAGAAGAAGAAGGATAATTGGTTTCCTGGACTTGTAGTCGCACCAACGGCACAGGACACTGTGAGAATTCGCGTCAAGGATGATTATCTCGTTCGTTCGTTTAAGGACGCGCGATATTATACAGTACCGAAAAAGGAGGCGACGGAATTCACAAAAGATTTAGGCAACAAAGTGGAGAATAGTGCACTGAAGATTGCCGTTGAAAAGGCACTTTTGTTTCTCGAGAAAAATGAATTGCCACCACATTGGGATAAGGATTCACTGTTTGGCAATTCGGTGTCAAGTGGAAATAGCGATTCTGATGGTGATATTGATTCAGATAGTTCTGACGATGAGCCACGTGAGGAGAAGGATCATTTTGTTGCGCAATTGTATAAATTCATGGACGATCGTGGCACACCAATTAATAATTGTCCAATGATCGGTGAGGAGGATATCGATCTTTATCGACTATTCCGGGCAGTTTACAAATTGGGCGGTTATAATCGTGTCACGAATCAAAATCAGTGGAAAATAATAACTCGAAGGTTGAGTTTTTCGATGCAAAGCAATCCAGCGACGCACAATCTTGTCAAACAGGCTTATAAGAAATTTTTGCATTCCTTTGAGGATTTTTATAGGAAGTTGGGTTGCACGATGGTGAATCATCCTCGGGGCAGTGTGAGGAAGCAACGACCCGGTCGTAGTTTGATACGCGATAAGGATAGGAACACGCCAATTCCGCCACAAGTTAAGACTGAGAAGGAGGAGGAAGAGAAGAAAGTCGAGGAGGAGAAGAAGGAGAAGCGGGAAGTGAAAAAGGAAGTCGAGGAAGTGCCGAAAATAGTCAAGAAGAAGGAAAAGGAGAAGGAGAAAGAAAAAGAGAAAGAGAAAGAAAAGGAGAAAGAAAGGGAGAAAGAGAAGGAGAAAGAGAAAGAGAAGGAAAGAGAGAAGGAGAAAGAAAAAGAAAAGGAGAAAGAAAAGGAAAATCAAAAATCGATCCTTCTCGAAAAGGAGAAAGAGGAATCGGAAAGTTTGAGTGGACAGGAGAGTGATGTGAACGTCGAGGAGGAGGAATCTTCAAGTAGTGAGAATTCGAAGAAAGCGAGGTACAATTCTCTGAATAGAGGAAAGGCGAAGGAGGAAAAGAAACCTAAGGAGGAGAAGAAGAAAGTTCTCGAGAAGAAGAAAGTCGAGAAGAAACAGGAGAAAAAGGAGGAGAAAATCGAGAAGAAGGAGGAGGACACTACGAAGGTGAGAACAAAAGCAAAAGAAGAGGCGACGAAGGGAAAAACAGTGGTGGAAACACGAGAATCTAGAACTCCGTCCAGAGAAACGGAGAAAAAGGCGACTTTCTCGAAACAGAGACGTCTCACAGAGGAGGAAATGAAGAAAAGAGGACGTAAACGTAAAGACACTGACGGTGAGAAGAGTCGAAGTACCGAGGAGCCGATCGACTACGCCCCTTCGTACAAAGGACCCGTCGTCCTAGGCGATAAATTAAAAGTCTACTACGGCCCCAATCACGAGTCGAAAGTCACCTACGAGGCGAAGGTCATTGACGTCGAGGATGACGACACTGAACCCCTTTATCTCGTCCACTACACCGGTTGGAATACAAGATACGACGAGTGGATCAAAAGTTCCCGAATCGCCCAGAACTTCACCCAGAGTCAAGGCAGAGTCAAACGAACAAAAACCGTCTCCCGTCCTCCAACGCCAGGCTCCTCCGGAAATGGTAAATCGACAAAAGCCGTCACTCCCGTGTCCCAAACCCGAAGACGAGCGCAGAGTGTCGCTCCCACTCCAGGCACGCCGACAATGCTCAAGGAGTCGAAAGTCATCGACACCGACAAGGACGACGCCGAGTCGGACTACCTCGTCGACTACAGCGGCTGGAACACCGGATTCGACGATTTCTACAAAGGTCAAGGTCGCGTCAAGAGAAAAAAAGCCTTTCCCAGACCAGCGACTCCCGGACCGTCCGGCAATGGAAAGGCGGTGAAAAATCCCGTTACTCCCGTTTCACAGACACGAAGACGAGCGCAAAGTGTCGCACCATCGCCAGGAACGTCGTCAATGAGCAAAGAGGGAAAAAAAGAAGAAAAGGAACGATCGACTACGCCCGTCTTCGGTCCCGGCGCCAAGAGTCCAGCGACACCGGCCACTGGGAGATTGAGTCGAGCTACGCGAAACGCCGAGAGTGGCATTGAATTGCGACGACGAACGAGAAGAACTTCCGGTCACACTGACGTCACAGCTGCTTCCGAAAGTGAGGACACGGATTCTTACGAATCGGACGCGACCGAACCGGAGCAAAGGGCCGCCTCCAAGGAAAAGGAGGAAGGCACTCGACGCGAAGCGAAACGACGAGCGGAGACCAAAATAAAAATGGACGCCAGTGAAGGTGAGGACGAGAAGGAACCAATCGAAGAACCCAGACGAGGGCGTAGACTCCGTAGAAATTTGAACAAAATCGCCGAAGTTAAATCCGAACCCGAGAGCGATGAGGAACAACCAAAAGGTCGCGATTTCGATCTCAATCAAATTCGCTCCGAATTAAAGGGCTTCGACAAAGCTGTCAAGATGGAAATAATTCGTGTCGAACCCGAAGTCGAGGAGGACGTGAAACCACCCATCGAACCCGTTCTACCAAGTCCGGAAAAAATTGAAAAGCTGGAAAAAGAAAAACTCGAGAAATTAGAGAAACTAAAGCGAATCGAGGAGGAAAAATTAGAGAAACTGAAGCGAATCGAGGAGGAGAAACTCGAGAAACTAAAGCGAATTGAGGAGGAAAAAAAACTGAAGCGAATCGAGGAGGAAAAATTAGAGAAACTGAAGCGAATGGAGGAGGAAAAACTCGAGAAACTAAAGCGAGTCGAGGAGGAGAAACTCGAAAAGAAAAGAATCGAGGAGGAAAAGGAAAAGGAGAAGAAAAGAATCGAGGAAGAAAAGGAGAAGAAAAGAATCGAGGAGGAAAAGGAAAAGAAGGAAATAAAAATCGACAGTGAAACAAAATCCACAGAGAGTACAGAGGACATTTACGAATTCAAAGAACCCGAACCATTCGAATTCGAAGTGAGAAACAAATCCGGCGACAAGGATAAACTAAAGAGACGAGTATTCGACGACAATGTGAAAAGTAGTCCGAAGAAAAAGCAAAAAACCTCGCCATTGCCAAAGGAACCAAAAACCGACGATACAGAACGAAAGAAAATCATTCGAAAACCATTTATGAAGAAACTTGACGAACCACCGCCACCAGCAGAAGAGAATCTCTCCCGTCCCCTATTGCAATCATCCTGGAAATGTGAGGAGGCATTCGACAAACTCTGCAATGAGACATACAATCAAAAAACACCCATTGTCGACGAAACGAAAAATCTCGATCTACTTTTCAACGATCTACCCGGCGATGACGATTCCGCCATTGACGATCCCGAGGATCGTTTAATAATCTCCGAAACTGAGACCGAAGAGAATTTATTCTCCTACCAACAGGAAATATTCCCACCAAGTGAAATCGAGGAAAAAATTAAAACATCACCACCACCACCACCAACTCCACAATTACCCTCCATTCCAATTGTCGAGGCGAAATTGAATTTGATTTCAAAACCATCTTCGCCGAAAATCGAGATAAAAACCGATTTTCCCTCTATTGTTCCAATGCCAATAAGTGCGCGACTTCCCGTCACTTCGTCAATTGAGGAGAAATTATCCGCCGCCGCTGCTTTTCGGAACAAAACAAAAGATGCGAAAAAAGACGACACCGAGCAGGAGTCGTTAAAAAAATCAATCTTCAAAGAAAAGGAAAAGAAATCGGACTTGAATCGTCGGGTGAAAGAGGAGAAAATAAAAATCGAAAGCGAGAAGAAAGACCTCGAGAGGGTGAAAAAAGAAGATGATGAGGAGAAGACTATTCCATTGTCGAAAGTCAAGGAAGCAGTCAAGGAAATAGAGAGAAGAATCGAGAGTGAAGCCTCCCAGAAACTAGAGATAAAAAAATTCATCAAAACAGAGGAAAAGCAACAAGAGGAGAAATGGAAGGAGAAATTCCAGGAGGAGGAGCAAAAAACTCTGAATATTGAATTTACGGACTCTACCGATAGTAGTGATTCGGAAAAACGACTAATAATCGACAATGAAATTGATTTCAACGAAGAACCGAAATTCGAGGTGAAATTAACAAACGAACGCGGAGCGGTAAAAGGTTCCCTGGCCAAAATTCTCCCCGAGAGGACAATCATCAAGAATCCAAAGGAAAAAACCCCAACCGTCAAGAATCAAATAAAAAATCTGGAAATAAAGAATCAGAAAAGTCAAGTAATTAAATCTCTCAAGAGTGAAAAAATTAAGAATCCAATTTTAAAGAAGACGCAAGATTTAAAGATTGAGACAAAAGTAGAAAAGGAAGAAAAACAAATTGATAAGAATCAAATTACTAAGAATCCAGAAAGACCGATAATGATGAAGCAGCACGAGCGAGGTTTGAGTTTGAAATTAACTCAAGGAAAAGTAAATTTCGACAAAGGAGTGAGTCAAAAAATTGACATCATCGAGGATATAAAACTACCGCTGCAAAATCAAGTACTCCGTTTGCAGCAAGCGGGTCTTCAGTGTAAATTCATTCGAGTCGATGAGGAAGGCGAGAATTTAAATTCCCTCCTCTGCGAAGAGGAAATTCCCGGATCGCCAACACCGGGAATTGACGTCATTGATCACGAAGCCCCGGGTACTTCGCACACGACACCAAAAGCAAAGATCCCCGACAATTCCCTCGTTCTCATGGAAATGCCATTCGCAAGTGCACCAACGTCAAGTCCAACCTCTTGCGCCACAATATCAACATTAAGTATGTCCCTACCGCAAAATGCAGGTAGCAATCCCCTAATTTCGGTGCCAATGCAACAACCGATCCCAAGGCAGGAAATTCCTCGACAAGAGAGCAATGAAGCTGCACCGGTGATGGACAATACACCGCCAACGACGCCCGATTCGAGTATATCGAATATGTGTGAATCGCCGAGGGAAGAGGGTACGGCGGGTTCGAGTCCAATGAGTGGCGATGATAATAATTTGAAGCAGCATCGTGACAGTAGTGAAATGGAGAATGATGGGAAAATCGTGGGTTTGAGTGAGGATGATGGTTCGTTGATGAATCTCGAGGGACAGAGTGTGGAGAGACCGATGAAGCAGATGAAAAAGACGACGTCGATGGCAACCACGACGACGACGACGACAACGACGACGATGATGATGGCTATTGATGAGACGACGGTGACGAAGAAGAGAAAACGCAATAGATCACAAACGGAATTGGGCAGTAATTCGGGGAAAAAATCGCCGAGACAATCGGGAAGAAGTGGAAGACATGGCGCTGGGAGTGATAGTGATGATACTAGCGAGGAATCGAATCAATGCAGTAGCGCTAATTCTATTCCGACGAATCATAGTAATGTCACATTGACGGAGTTGAATAGTTATTCGTCGAGGTCGCCCAGGCCAACGAAGTACAATTTCTTTGTCGAATTGAGTAAGTTTTTCTTTTTTTAATCATTGATTATTTCTTTATTTTACGTTTTTTTCTACTTCCTTTTTTTAAAAAAATTTTTTTTACTTCTTTTTTTAAAACATTTTTTTTTACTTCTTTTTTTAAAAAAATTTTTTTTACTTTCTTAACTTTTTTTACTTACTTCTTTTTTATCGACTTTTTTTGCTTACAGGCGTCTCATTTACTGACTTTTTTTCAAAACAAATTTCGACCTATTTTCTAAAAACGACGACTTTTTAGATTCCTGAATTTAACATCGACGATGAGCGACGAAAAGAATTCTTTTTCACGAACCGAAATGAAGAAAATAATTTTTTCCAAGTCTTTAGCTTTAGAAAAAGTATCAGGGAAAAGTTGTCAACTCCCTTGGTGAATGAAAAAAGGGAAATTAGAAAAATTTTTAACTCTAAAAGGCGCAAATAATAGATTTCGACGCTTAGTCAACGCTAATTTCAGGATCATGACTTTTCTTCCAAATATTGCAAAGAAATTATCATTTTTTTTATAAACTGCAATTTCAGAGTGTCTACTAACCGAAAAATATCCGGGAATTTAAATTGATCGGTAAAAACCGGGAATTTTTTTACCAAATTAAAAAAAGTTTTAACATTTTAATTTGTTTATAAAAAATTGCTTTTTATTTCAATTTTTATAGATGTATATACTGTTCTCTAAATTTGAATTAGTTAAAGATAATGAATTTGATAGTAAAAAATCAGTCACTGATTCAAATATAATATGTAAATAAATTTTTTAAAAAATTATCGAAATAAGAGAAATTTTGTGAAATTCAACTGATAATAATTAAATTTGTTAAAAAATTTCAAAAGTTTTTTAACAAATCGAATTCTTAAAGTATTTTAATTTAATAATTGATAAATAATTGAATTTTATAAAGAGACACATTCTAATGTATTCATGTTTCTTAGTGCGAAGATTAATAATTAAAATTTTTATTAGTTTATTTAAAAAAGAAAATACAAACTTAAAATTTTTCAATAAAATTGAATTTTCACAAAGTTTGTTTAAAAATTCTGAAAAATAAGATTTTTGAAATTTTTCAATTTTATAGTTTCAAGATAATTGAATTTTTATAAACAAATAATTGAAAAGTTGTGAAATCATTGAAATTTCTTTACATTCTATTAAAAATAATTAAATTTTTCGAAAATTTCAATTACTTTTATAAATAGTAAAATTCTTTGCAGAAATTATTTGTTTAATTTAATTATTTTCCAGATTTTTAATTAAAATTATTTTTAAAAAATATTATTTTCAAAAAATTTAAAGAAACTCGTCAAAAGAATTTAATTATTCATTAAAACTAATAAAAATTTTGGAAGCCATTTGTAGATTTATTTATGTTCGAAATCAAATAAATTTAAATTTGATGAGAAAAAACAACGAGGATAAATTAGGACAAAACCGGGAAAAACCGGAAATTTTGTTGAACGAAAATAGTAGACACCCTGAATTTATTTTGATTTTCATGGTGGGAAAAATAGTGTCAAAAATTTCTAAATAATCTTTTCAAATAATTGAATTTTTGAAATATAAAATTTTAATATTTTCAAATAATTCAATTTTTTAAAAATTTTATGGAAAATAATTAATTTCTTTGAAGTATTTCCTTAGAAGATTGAAAAATAGAATAATTGAAAATTTTGAAAATAATTAAGTTCATGAAAATTTTATTGAAATATCTTCCGAAAATTATATTAAAATATTTTTTAACAAAGTAAATTTTAGGAAATTTTTATTATAATTATTTTAAATTCAATTATTTCAATAATTTTTTAAAATAATAAAATTTTTGAAATATATATATAATCAAACATTTTCAAATAAAATAATTAATAATTAATATCAAAATAATTGATTTCTTTGAAGTTTTTCATTAAAATTTTCAATATCAAGTTTTAAACAATTTTAATTAATGAATTTTGAAAATAATTGAATTCTTAAAATTTTGAATAACAAATTTTTAAATAAAAACGAAAAAAGAAAATAGTTTTTTAAATATTTTTCAATTATTTTTCAAGTAATTCCATTTTTGTAAAATTTTATTGTAAATATTTTGAAAATAATAAATTTCATAAAAATTTTGTTGAAAAATCTTTAAAAAAATTGTATTAAAATATTTTTCAACAAAGTAATTTTTAGAAATTTTCCATTATTGTAATTTTTTTAAATTCAGTTGTTTTGTGAGATAAAATTAAATTGAAATTTAATTTTAATTAATTGAATAATTAATAATAAAATTTGTTAGCGAAATCGAAATCTTTCAAATTTAATGAATAATTAATATAATTGAAATTTAAAAATTTGAATAAAAAGTCTTTAAATTTGTGACTTTGATTATAATATTTTAATATTTTATTATATATTTTAAAATTCAATTATTTCAATTATTTTTAAAATTCAAATATTTCAATTATATTTTATGATAATGATTGAATCGATATATAAGCAATTAAAAAGTTTTCAAATAATTGAATTTTTGTGAAATTTTTTTGGAAAATAATTGATTTTTTAAAAGAATTTCATGATAATTTTTTAATATCAAGTTTTGAAGAATTTTAATTAGATTTTGAAAATAATTAATTTCACAAAAATTTTAGCAAAAAATCTTTAAATTGAAATTTAAAAATGAAAATAATGCCAATCAACTGCTCAAAATAATATTAAATTATTTGTTAACAAAATAATTTTTATAAATGTGTTAAAAATTCAGTTATTTTAATTATTTTTTAAGACAACATTAATTTTAAATTGAATTAAATTATATTGTATTATAATTTTTTTCTTTCTTTTTCTTTAATCGATAATAGCGATTTTTTTTGTTCCGTTTTTACTCAAAAATAAGTGAAGAAGAAATTTAGAATATATATTTATAATTTTGTTATTCTCAACAGATCCTGAGTGGGATGGAAGTCAAAGAATAGCGGTTCTTCAACAAAAACTTTGTGAACTTCGGAAAACTTATAATGCAGTTAAAGTGGAATTGGCAACTATTGAGAGACGTCGAAAAAAGCTCAAAAGACGAGAACGAGAAGGTAAATATAAACAAAAATTTCAACAGTAAATAATTATAATATATTAATACTTTCATCTTTCATGGAATAATTTATTTTGAGAGTTATTCTTTATGACCGGGAAAAGTAATTCATGACCGGAAAATGACCGTGAATTTTTTTTTATGAAAAAATTGACCACTCTGATTATTATTAAGGAAAATGAAATTTCAATCTAACCATTTTTCAATTTACATCATTTTTTGTTTGTAAAAATAGATAAAAAATAAATTTTCATTTTTATTAATTTTTGCTGATAATCTGAAAAGATTCGATTTAAAGTAATCTTTTTTGGTTTTCTTTTCAGCAATCAAAGCAGCCAAAGCAGAAATGCAACAAGCCTGTTCGTGATGAGAACCAAGCCATGGGCGTCTCAGGAAAAATTTCTTGTACAGAACAACTTCCAGCATTTGAAAAAGAAGAAGAAAAAAAAATGGTAACCATGTGATTTGTGCAAACGCCTAGAATTTAATTGAGCGAACTTTTATTAATTAATATTATCATCATTCACATCATCTTCATCATTGGTCTCGTGTTAGCTCTATAGATAAGTAATACCGATCCTTCTATAGAATCAGGTTTTGTAGATATAAATTGAATAGTAGGGGGAAAAACAAAAAAAAACCAGAATAAGTAAGAAAAGAAAAATGAAAAGCAATGTCGCATTAGAAAAAGAAAACACCCTTAAATGCAAAAGAAAAAAATAGTGCCAAATGTGGTCGATTAAAAAATTAAGAGAAAATCTATTTTCTTTTACTTAAAAAAAAAGAATTTCTGAAACTAATTATAGTTTCTACAGAGAAGAAAAAAATCATTTTCTAAGTCTACAAATTTATTTTTTTTTCTTTTCTCTCGTTGAAATATTGTTTTTTTTTAATTTTTTGATTTGCAATAATAAAGTTTGCAATAAATTAAGAAATACTGTGTGTAATTGAGATTTAATTTTATTTTCAAAAATTTTTATGAAAAACTGCGTGTACGAGTTTATAAAAATAAGGGAAATGCATTTAAGGGTTATTTGTTGTATTTCTTTTGTTTGTTTGTTTTTATTTACCGTTTATTTAGGCGCAAAATCGAAAGGTGAAAAAATTTATTTCGTCTAAAGCGCATTTAATAAGGCTGAGAGAGTTTTAACCAAGAGTTGTAATTCAATTTCTCAATTTCAGCCTTTTCGATTTAAAAAAAAAAGAGGTTGTCTAGTGCAAAGAGAGCAATTTTTTCCTCCAAGATTAATTTAAAAACAAGTCATTAAAAATAAAAAAATAATAAAAATTAATTTAAAAAAACTAGAAGCAAAATTGAGTAGAAAAGAAAAAATAAAGACTGGAATAAACTGGTGAAAATATTAAAAAACGAAAATATTCGATGAAATAAATTTAAAGCATAAAGTTAAAAAAAAGTTAGTAAATATTCGATAAAATGAATTTAAAACATAAAGTTAAAAAAAAAATTAGTAAATTAATTAGCTGATTGTAAATATAACATAAGTGTTGTAAAGTTTATGTTAATTATTTCGTAAAAGAGGAAACAAATAATAATTGTTACCGTGGTAGCTAAAAAAAAATTAAATATCATTTCTTTAATTACTTAGATAATTAGATTGTTATTTATTTTACGAGAGGTGTAAGTACAAAAGCGAATTTACTTCTGTAATAAAATAGAATTATTACATTTTTTTTAGGAGAATGAAAAGGACTTGTCCTATTTGCACTCGACTCCTCAAATTAAATTTGTGATTTCCTGTATCAGGAAAAAAGATCTTCCAAGGCTCTTTGGGTAGATAGCTTTTTTTAAAAAAAAATAAGACACTCGAAAGTAAAACAATTTTTAAAAAATGTTTTATATATTTGAGTGAGATTTTTGGATGTATATTTTGCTTTAGTGTCTATTCTCTTCTCTCTATCTATATTCTTTTAAATTTCTTTTTATATAACTTAGATTTTTAGGTAAATTTTAATTTATTTTTAATCATAAAAGAAAAATGTTCATACCGAACACATTTTTTAAAAAAGAAAATTAAAATTACAACTTTTAGGTAGCTCAATTATTTTGTGCTTAAGATTTTTATTAATTAATACGAATTTTCGGAAGACTTTATTTTGCGCGCACATTGAAAAGAGGAATTAAGAAATAAAGAAATTATAACTAAAAAAAAAATCGAAAAAATTATAACCTCAAAATAATGTTGACTGAAAAAATTTTGTTTAAAAAAAATGAATTGATGTAAAAATTTTTTTTTGTTATTTATGTGTAATTTATTATTCTCTTTCGAGGTTTTTATTCGGATCGAACACCCTTAGGCGCTAAAAAATTTGTATGGACATTAAAAAATAAGATTATAAAGTCAAATTTTAATATTTCTCTTGTAAAACATTTCATCGATTTTAGATATCAAATATAGGCGAATTAAAAATAATAGTCTCGTATATATTAATATTTAGAGAAAAAAAAGAAAGATTACATTTCATAAATACACATTTCACGACGTACAAAGTGGAGATATTTCGTAAAAAATCAGACTGTTTTACAAAACAGTTTTCATACATTTTGTTTAAAGAAAAAAAAATTGATGGAATGAATGTTGTAAATATAATAATACTTAAGAATAAGTTGTTTTGAATTAATGTCTCCTTTCCCTTATTATTTTAGTTTATAACTTATTGTTTAGCAGCAATTAATTAATTAATAATAAATATAAAATGTAAATAAAATTCTGTAGAAAATAATTGATAATTTGACATTCTGCGTGGAGACTCTAGACCAATGAGAGCTCTTTAAACCCTAAAGGCGGATTCACAGGTTCGCGCTCGTTGGCTGGAGTAACCGCGCTTAAATTTGAATACTTCTTTGCACTTAATAATTAAATTAATAATAACCAGTTGTTAAATACTAGTTATTGTATATGATTCTATTTCAGTAAAGATTGTTAAATTACGATAATTACAATAATTATACTTAATTTTAATTTTGAACCATCGCGGACAAAAGTCATTTATGTCTTTTGTCACGACCATTTTAATCATGATATGATTTTAATGGACGTGGAGTTGTCATCAGTTGTCATTATCACGTCCTTATTTCTTTTGACAAAAAAAAATACAAATTGGATTAAAACTAAATAATATTTTGTAAATTAATTTTTCCGTACTGAGTATAAGTGACATGAAGTGACAAAGGGAAAAATAAAGTAGAAAAATAAATGCAATGTGTGTATAATGGACTTGAAAATTTTCTGTCATCTCTCTTATAATTAGAAGAAAAGTTTACAATTTTTTTAATAATAAAAGTTTTTATCCGGATTAATTAAATTTATTTGAACAGGCAATAATTATACATCGTTTTATTTATAATTTGTAAAAATGAAGGTAATTATGCAATGTTAGATATATATTTGGTAGGTCATAACTTTCTTGAAGCAGGTCAATTGTCAATAACTATTATTTCCTCTATTTTTCGAAAATATGCATTTTTTTTAAATTTTTCAAACCTATTTCTAGACATTAGTTGTTATTTTTGTTGAAGGAAATATTTATTAATATAATTCTTTTTTATTTCTACGATTTTGACGATTTTGAAAATATTGGAAAATTATAACCTCAAAATTGAATTCTAGAAAACAAATATAAATATTCTGGCAATGAAATGAATGAAATAAAAACGTGTTATGTAATATTTGTTAAAATCGTTTAAATTAGATTTAATATTTTTTGAAATAATTTGATGTATTTATCTTTTTAAGAAAATTCTGCCTTGTGGACTTTGTGCGGCTGCTCCTCTTTTGAAAAATATGTCAAATGAAGATAATTCAAAACAATCTGGCAGTGAAAAAGTATTAATTCGTCCCTCGGAACTTCCAATTTATTCTCCTGATACGTGCACTAGAAAGAAATCATGGTAAAATATGAATAGATTATTTATTTTTAATTTTTATTTAATAATAAATAAGTTTTTTAGTCGACAAATTTAATTTTTCGATAGTAGCTACTTTTTTCAGTCTTAATGCTACTTTTCGATACTTTTTTTCAGTCTTAAAGCTATTTTTTTAAAACAAATTATTGAGTGCGAAGCTTGGATTTATTTAAAGCTTATTTTTTTTTTGATAATTGAAATTATTTTTCGTATGTTTACAGTGAGAAAAAGGAATGTGAACCATCGTATTTAGAACAGGGTTTCGGTTCGATTCGCAAAAGTTTGAAAGGTGTTATTTCACAATACGAAACAATAAGCGATTCGGTAAATAATACAATTAATACAGGCAAAGAACACAGTGAACGTGAGTAAATAAATAAAGGGAAAATTTAATTTAATTTAAATAAATTAAATTTGATTTAAATAAATTTAATTTAATTTAATAAAACTACTTTTTTTTGTTAGTTTTTGTCGACTATATACGAGACGGCGAAACGCCCTGGCCTCGAGTTGGTGCCATTGCTGCCGGTGGACTTGTTGGTCTCCTCTTGGGAATTCGTGGAGGAAAATTCAAGAAAATAATTTACACGAGCACTGGCGTTCTTTCCGCGGCCGCTTTTTGTTATCCTGAAAGAGCTCACGATGGTTTGGAATTAGCGAAACATTACACGGATATCGGATATAATTTCGTTTACGGAGGTTTGTAAAAAAGTATTTCTTATTTTCTAAAAAAAAAATAATTCGATAAATGATGAAAATTTTATTTTTTGCCTAGACGAAGAATGTCCTCCTGAAGAAATACCTCCAAAGAATGAAATTGACTCCAACTGACGATCCTTTAATCCAAAAAACCAGTTTGTCTTTCCTTCTCTACAAAATTAATCCTGTAAATTTTATCAAAAAAGAAGACAAAAAAAGGTCAAAAAAATTTCCCCTAATGTCCACAAATTCTCTCTTTTTTTCCAGTGAAACCTGGCGATGAAGAACAACTAGAAATTCAATGGCCGGAAGTGCCGACTTCATTTTCGGAACTTGGCGATTTAGTGATTGAATTTGGATCAAATACTTTTGAAACCGTCGGGAATTTAGTCTCCAAAACTGTTGATTTCGTACAAGAAAAAGAGGTAAAAAAATTTTTTTACTTTATATAACGTTTTAGATAAAAAACAAATTAACAAAAATTTTTTTTTTTAAAAAAATTTTTACTCTATATAACGTTTTAGATAAAAAAACAAATTAACAAAAAATTTTTTCTTACAGTCGAAACCGGATGATCCATCAAAGCCAAAAACAAGTTGAATTTTACAAATAAACGCCAGTAGTCAATCCGCTGAAGAATTATAAATAAAATTTCGCAAATATTCAAAATTAATTTTTTGAATATCATTCGATAGTTTAAAGGAATTTGATCCTTTGAATTATCGATTTGTTAGATCGTCTCAAGATCCGAATCCATTGTAAAAAGAAACAATAAATCGAATTAAACTAAAAAAATTTTTCTTGATTTTAGAATTAAGTTAATATTAATTATTTACTGAATAATTTGTTATATAATTTTTAAAGTAATTAAATTAACTATTAATTTAATTATTTAAGCTTTAATTTAACTATTATTATAACTATTATTTTAACCAGTAATAGTTTTATTTAGAAAAATCTAGAAAAAATTATTTTAAATATTAATTTAATTCTATCAGAAAAATTTCAAAATTAAGATTCCAGTTTCATCAGCTGATGATAATATATCGATTGACAGAAGTTATTATCTTTTTTTTTTACTATTCATTCAGTGCGGTTTCGTCACTGACTCGTGCTTGACGGTGAAAGTCGGCTCTCAAGGCAGAAATTAATTTTGAAAAACTCGAAAAGTTTTTGAGAGAAAAAGAAATTATAAAAAGGGAAAAAAATGGGTCGAGCACTGCATTTTGTTTTTAAAATTGCGGAACGTAAATTAACCGCAAAATTCTATCGAGAAATACTTGGAATGAAGGTTAGTGAAAATATTTACATTTTGACAAAGCGGAAACAAATAAAATAAAAAATAAAAGTTGTTTTCAAAAAGAATTTTTGAAATTTCTTTTTAAAAACATATTTTTTTAGAAAATAAATTGAAATTCATTTATTAGATAAGTTATTTCGAAACTTGTTTGCTTTAAAGATTAGAGCAATTATCAAATAATTACTTTTTATTACAGGTTTTAAGACACGAGGAATTTTCCGAAGGATGTGAAGCTGCATGCAATGGGTATGTTTAATTCATTTCTCTGAGTCACAAACAATTTTTTTCTAGAAGTATTTCTGTTTAAATTCTATTTATTGAAACGTATAAATTTTTTGGAGGTAAATATTTTTTTATTTAGTTATTAATTATTTTTTATTTTGGAATTTTTTCATAGACCGTACGCGAATCGATGGAGTAAGACAATGATTGGATATGGACCAGAAGATTCACATTTCGTCATTGAATTGACATATAATTATGGAATTAATTTTTATGAATTGGGAAATGATTTTCGTGGAATTACCATTCGATCGAAGGAGGCAATTCAAAGGGCCAAGTCTGATGGTTGGCCAATGAAGGAGGAAAATGGAAAATTCATTCTCGAAGCTCCTGGTGGTTATAAATATTTTCTTATTAATGAATCTCAACCAATGGATAAAGGTATGAATTTAATTTTCTATAAATTTGAAAATACAATCAAAGACAAAAATTTTTACAAGAATTAAAAATTATAAACATATGTTTAAAAAAATGCTACTTTTTTTTAAGATCCAGTGGAAAGTGTCTCGCTGTCCAGTTCAAATCTTCAGCGGAGCATTGATTATTGGCAGGGAATTTTGAAACTAAATGTCTTCGAGAAAAATGAGAAAAGCGTCGTTCTGGGATTTGACAAGGATCAAGCAAAATTAAAAATCGAAGATATAGGTAAGAAGATCAAAAAAATTATTTGAATTGACTGAGAAATTAATTTGAATTGACTAAGAATTTATTTAAATTGACTAAAATTTTATTTGAATTGACTAAAATTTTATTTGAATTGACTAAAAATAATTACGAATTATCAAAAAATAGTTGTGAATTATTTTTAATTATTTATAATTACTAGGTGCTGAAGTGAATCATGCGAAAGCTTACGGACGAATTGCTTTCTCGATTCCATTTGATCAACAGCCGGAAATTCAGAAAAAAATTCAAGAAAGTGGAAACAAAATTTTAACGGATCTGATTACTCTGGACACACCGGGAAAAGCTTCTGTTCGTGTTATTATTTTAGCCGATCCGGTGAGAATTTTATTATACAAATGAACGTAATTTAATTAGAATATAAATTTAAACTAATAAATGTAATAATTTCAGACTCAAAATTGAAAAAATTATTAATTCTAATTTATTATTTTCAAAAAATTTTAAATTCAATTTTTTAATTCAATTACTTTTATAAATAACAAAATACTTCAAAGGAAGTCAATTATTTTCAATACATAATTTAAATAAGGAAAAAATTGAATTATTTTGAAAGATTTTAATATATTTCTCCAGTAGAAACTCAATTATTTTCAATGCAATTTTAATATTATTCTTGGAAAAAATTTAATAATATTTAAAAATTTATAATAAAATTCTTTGAAAAAATTCAATTATTTTTTCATAAATAACAACATTTTTTGCAGGAATTAAATTATTTTTTAAAAATAGATAATAAAATTATTTGCTAGAATTCAATTACTTTTACATATAAATAATAAAATTTCTCAAAAGAATTCAATTTTTCAATAATTTCAGATTCAAAATTAGAAAGATTTATTTATTAACTAATTACTTAATTATTATTTTCAAAAATAATCAAATTACTTATGAATTGTAAATAATAAAATTCTTTGGAAAAATTAAATTATTTAAAGAAATTTTATCAATATTCTTCAAAGGAATTTAATTGTTTTCAAATAAATTTGACAAAATTCTTTATAAAAATGAATTTTTAATTAAATTCCACGAATGAATTTAATTATTTAAAAAAATTTAAGAAAATTCTTCTAAATAATTTAAATATTTTTTAAATAGTGATTTTGCAAAAATTCAATTATTTTCAAGAAAATTTCACGAAAGAATTCAATTTTTTTCTTAATTCGTTATAAAATCTTTGCAAAAATTCAATTTTCACGAAAGAATTTAATTTTTTTTAATTCGTTATAAAATATTTCAAAGGAATTCAATTATTTTTTAAAATTGTAAAAAATCCTTCGAAACAGTTCAATTTTTTATTTATAAATAATAAAATTCTTATAAAACAATCAATTATATTCAAAACAATTTCACAAAAGAATTCAATAATTTAAAAAAAAATTTTTAATAATATTTTTCGAAAAAATTCAATTATTTTATAAAATTTTAATAAATTTTTCGAAATATTCTAAATAATTGAATTTTTGTAAGGAATTTTACTTCAAAAGGATTTCTTGATAAGAATTTGTTTCAAATTTTTTAAAATTCTTTGAAATTCTGTAAAGAATTCAATTATTTATGAAAAAACATTGAATTCTTGATAAGAATTTGTTTCAAATTTTTGAAAATAATTGAAATTCTCCGAAGAATTTTATTATTTAAGAAAATAATTGAAATCTTGCTAAGATTTTAATAAAAATTTTTGATAAATAATATAATTGTTTCGTTGAAAATTTAAATTCTTTGGATAAATTTAATTAAGATTGTATTGAAAATAATTGAATTTTTGGGAAAAATTTTATTAAAATTTTAGAAAATAATTGAATTTTTTTAGAAAATTTTATTATTATTATTATTTATGAAAATAATTGAGTTCCTCGGAAGAATTATATTAAAATTTGTTTAAAATATAAACAATAATTATTTTTAAAAAATGTCAGTAAAATTCTTCGATAGAATTAAATTATTTTCATTAATTTTTGATAAAATTTCTTAAAACAATAATTTAATAATTAAACTTAAAAATTCAAATTTTAATTCATTTTAATTCAAATTAATTTAATTAAAACATTCAATACATTCAGAAGGAGAAATTATGGAAAAGAAAATTATAAAAAGGAAACAAAAACAATTTTATTACAATAATAATGTTATTGCAATATTTGTTGACAGTTTAATAAAATTGAATACAATAACTTCCAATGAATAATTAATAAAATGATTAAACTTATTAAATGATTTCAGGATGGTCATGAAATTTGTTTCGTTGACGATGAAGGATTTCGAAAACTTTCGGTACCAGATTATCCGAGTGAAAAGATTTTGGATAGGTTCATTGCAAAAGAGGAAAAAGCCGCACCAGGTGAAATTCAGAAAACTTCCGCCTAATTTACAACTTGAAATTAATATTTTCAAGAAATTTTATAACCTTTTTTAATTAATGAAACTATTAATTTTTTTTTTATTCTTATTTAGAAAACTAACAAAATATTAATTTAATATTTATAAAAACCAATTTTTCTATTTTATGTAGAAATTTTCTAATTAAAAACAAGTTTTAAACAAATGTAAAAGTACAAAAAAAACAATTAATTAAAAAAAGACTATTCAGTATTATAAAATATAAAAAGACTATTTTTAACATTTAAAACTATATTTGAGTACATTTTTTACCACTAACTCTGAATAAAAATAATGTAAATAAATATTAATAAAAATAAGTATAAAATACTTAATTAGAAAGTTTCATAAAAATTATTTACGTTAAAATTATTTAAAAAAATTTTAATTATTGTTTAAATATCAATTACAAAAATAAAATTAATAATTTGTTAAATATAATAATAAATATAAATATAATTGTTTAAATATCGATATTTGATAAAATTCGTAATTTCTATCGTCTACCTAGAAAAAATTAGATTTCGTCTCGATCTATTTTATCAATATTTTTCAAAACATAGAAAAATTGTAATCTATTCTTCTCATTGAATAATTTATTATTTCAAGGCGAAGAAAATTTAACGATTTCTTGAAATAAAAATCTTGAAGAAATATTAAAAATTTTCATGAAATTTAATGAAAAAAAAAAAAATTAAACAATAATTGAAAAAAAAATGATTGAAAAATGAAAAAAGGTTGTAAATTGAAAAAAGAAGAAAGAGATTCAATTTTTTGAAGAAGTTGAATAAAACTTGGTTCATTAATCTGCTCTGACCTCTTAACACTTGAAAATACGTAACTTGGAAGATCCAGTCGTTAAAAGAAGATAATGAATGACTTCATAAAGACGCAATTCCTTCTGAGAATTTCAAAATGATGCTCTCAAGTTAAAACGCCAGTCTGTTTATAATCATCTGCAGAGTGAGACAGTAGTGCCAGTTTCAAATTCAAGAGCGCACAAAAGGCCTCACGTCGTCATGAAATTAAATGTGCTCTTATTTATCTTCCTTCTAATATTTATACTCCGTAAGTGTTAAATAAAAATTAAATTAATAACAAATAAATTATTAATAAATCTAGTAAATATAAAATTACTAATTTAGTAATAAATTATTTTTAATTTGGAAATTTTACATATTTCATAAATTTATAAATCGCAAATAATACTTGTTTCAATTATTTTGTTTCTATACTGTAAAATATTTCATGTATTTTTGCATAAGAGAAATAAGGACTTTATAATATTTTCCACTATTTAATTACTAAATTAGTAAAATCCATTTAATTAATTAAGAAGTAAAAATAGTTCGAAGTTTAAACTTAAATTCGCAGTTTGCAGTTAGTTGTTGTTTACTTTTTTGTTTCCTAACTATGTTATAAATTTTCTTTTCAAATATTTTCAATTTTAAAATTAATATGTATTGAAAATCATCGAATTATTGCAAAGAATTTTATTAAAAAATTTGATAATAGAATTCCTTCAAAGAATTTTATTATTTAGGAAAATAACCAAATTTTCGCAAAGAATTTTATTAAAATTTTAAAAAATCCTAATTAAAATTCTTTGAAAAAAAATTGAAAATTTTGAAAGCAATTGAATTTTATGAAAAAGAATTTTATTAAAATTGTATTGAAAATAATTTAATTCTTGCGAAAAATTGTACTATTTATAAATATAATTGAATTGTTTCGAAGAATTTTTAAAAATTTTGGAAAATAAATTAATTTCATGTTAATATTTGAAAATTTTAATTCTTTCGAGGAATTCTATTAAAATTGTTTTGAAAAAAATTAAATGTCTGCAAAAGATTTCATTATTTATAAAAACAATTGAATTATTGCGAAATAATTTTACTATTTATAGAAATAATTGAATTGTTTCGAAGAATTTAAATTTGAATTCTTTCAATTTTTTTGACGATATATATTTAAAAATTGCCTTGAAAGTAATTTAATTTTTATATAGAATTTTTTAAAAATATTTTGAGAATAATTGAATTATTTTTTAGAGAATTTTAATTTTCTTGTTTAAATTGAATTTTATGGAAAATTTTGAAAATAATTAAATTCTTTCGTGTAATTTTATTTAAATTGAATTAAAAATTATTTAATTCCTGCAAAGAATTTTAGTATATTTATAAAAATAGTTGAATTGTTTCGAAGAATTTATTAAAATTTTAGGAAATAATTGAAATTTATGGAAATATTTAAAAATATTTGTTTTGAAAATAATTGAATTCCCGCAAAGAATTTTACAATTTATAAAATTAATTGAATTCTTTCGAAGAATTTTACTATTTATAAAAATAATTGAAATCTTTCAAAGAAATTTATTTTTTATAAAGATAATTGAATTCTTGGGAAGATTTGTATTAAAATTTTTGAAAATAATTGCAATCCTGAGAAGAATTTTATTATTTAAGAAAATAATTCAAATCTTCAAAAGAATTTTATTTTTTATGAAGATAATTGAAGTTTTAGAAAGAATTTTATTAAAATTTTTGAAAATAATTGAATTTTTTTTAGAAAATTTTATTGATAATAATTGAATTTTTGCAAAGATTTTACTATTTAAAAAAATAATTGAATTGTTTCAAAGGATTTATTAAAATTTTGTTGAAAATAATTGAATTTTTGCAAAAAATTTTATTAAAAAATTTTATTTTTTTTTTATTTTTTTATTATTTTTAAAAATAACTGAATTCTTCCGAAAAATGTTATTATTTATAAAAATAATTGAGTTCTTCGAAAGAATTATATCAAAATTTGTTAAAAATATAAACAATAATAATTAATTATGCACTTAAGAATAATAAGTGAATTTTGAAAATTTTGTTTATGAAATTATTCAAAAATTTATATTTGATAATAAAAAAATTTTTTTAATTTGCATACAACATTTGCTACTAATTGAACAAAATCAATTAATTAAATTAAATGAATTTTTTTCGAAAAGAATAATTAGAAAAATTTATTGATATTTTTATTCTAAAAAGAATAATTAGAAAAATTTATTCATATTTTAATTCTATAAAGAATAATTAAAAAAATTTATTCATATTTTAATTCTAAAAAGAATAATTAGAAAAATTTATTGATATTTTTGTTCTAAAAATAAAAATTAAAAAAAATCAAATTTTTAGATGACACGATAGCAAGAAGATCGGGTGGCGGCGGAAGTAGAGGAAGCAGTGGTGGGAGCAGATTTGGCAGTAGTTCCGGATCAAGAGGATCAAGTAGTTCCAGTAGTTTCTTCGGTAGCAGTTCCGGATCAAAAGGATCAAGTAGTTACAGTAGTTCGTACGGCAGCAGTTCAAAAGGATCATCATCATCATCGTCGTCGAAGCCATCATCATCTTCAAGTAGTTCAAGTGGTGGATGGTTCACCAATATTTTTAGTTCAAAAAAAAGTAGGTTTTTATGATTAAAAAAAATTTATTCAATGAAAAATAATAATACAGTATTTAAATATAATCATGCAATAAAATAATATTTTTTCTCTGTATTAATAATAAAAAAAAGAAAAAAAAATTAAAACAAAAAGAAAATATATTTTTCTGCATTTCTGAATAGAATAGAATTCTGAATACAAAAGAAATACAGTAAAAAATATTTTTTCTCTGTAATTATACAGAAAGAAATATTTTTTCTCTGTATTAATACAGAAAGAAATATTTTTCTCTCTTATTAATACAGAAAATAATAATTTTTCTCTGTATTAATAATAAAAAAAATTAAAAAAGAGAAAGAAAGTATTAATAATAAAAAAAAATTAAAAAGAGAAAGAAAGTATTAATATTTAAAAAAAATTAAAAAAGAGAAAGAATATTATTGTCTGTATTAATGCGGAAAATAATATTTTTGCGGAAAATAATATTTTTTCTCCGTATTAATACAGAAAAAAATAAATAAAATAGAAAAAAAACTGTAAAAAAATTAATACTAAACCGTATTTATTATTGAATATTAACATTAAATTAATAATTTTGTAGATGATCCTCCAAAATCGAAACCAGTCACTGCTGCACCACCGCCAAAATACAGGACTCCGCCGTCAGCCCCTGTCTTTGAGAACAATTATAAAACGAAATATTCTCCGCAAAATAATAGTGAGTTTTTGTTTCTAATTCTAAAAAGATAATTAAAAACAAAGAAACAAAAAATAATAAATCCTTTCAATTTTTCAAAATATTTATAGTTATAAAAAAAATTTTTAAAAAAACTTTTTTTTTTCGTTTATTTATAATTTTAATTGTACTTTACAGGACCATCGGCAGTGAACAATAAACCAGCAAATTCCTATGTGACTCCTCCGTCGGCTCCTCCAGCAGGTGGATCCTTTGGTGGATATTATCAAGGCCACAAAAGTGGTAAGCGGCAAAATTGAAATAAAATTTTCATTTTTATTTTTACAAAACAAGGAAAAAGTGTAAATATAATTGAGCTGGGGAATTAGAGATTACTAATTAAATTTTAATTAATTAATTCAATATTTAGTACATTCTTCCACAATTATTTAATAAATTAATTGTAATTAAAAAAATTAATTATTGAATTTTATTTAAAAGATTTTTGAAAAACAATTTAATTCTTCCCAGAATATTATTACAATTTTTGGAAAATAATTGAATTTCTTTCGAAGAGATTTATTATTTATAGAAAAATATTTAAATTCTAAAATTCTATAAAAAATGTTATTAAAACTAATATTGAAAATATTTTAATTCTTTCAAACAAAAAAATTTTGTGAAAAAATTGTATTGAAAATAATATTAATAAATTTCTAACTTACAGGAATTAGTGCAAAACCGCAAGTTCCAACCTATGCTCCACCATCTTTATCGAAACCGAAAAAATTTAATCCTCCATATCCTGTTGGATCACCGCAAGGTTTACATCCAGTTCCCCATAATACTGGATCTCTGGGTAATCAATCATTTTAATTGCTTCTCATATAATTTTATCATGTAATCAAAATTACTGAATTATTTTTTAAATATTTTTTTAATTTTCTATTCAAGAGTCATTTTATTTAAATTTTAATTCAATATGATTAAAGAATTATTTGGAAATAATAGAAATAATTTTTAGGTTCATCAATTACGTCGTCTAATTTTTTTAATCTAATTTTTTTAATTTTGTATTCAAGAGTCATTTTATTTTTTAAATTTTAATTCAAAATTCAATATAATTCAAAAATTATTTGGAAATAATAGAAATAATTTTTAGGTTCATCAATTACGTCGTCTAAACATCCACAAGTTTCGTCTGGTTCAAGTCCTTACAATCCTTATTACAATAATGGAAAAACTGGCTCTAGTCCATACAATCCTTATTATTACAGTACTGGAAAAAGTGGTTCTAGTCCTTACAATCCTTATTACAATCCTGGTAAGTGAATAAAAACTAAACATGAAATTTTCATTACAGTTGAAAAGAAACTCTAATTAATTTTTATATATTTTTTTATTTTCTATTTACTATTTTTATTTATTTTCTATATTTGTTTTTATTCACTATTTTTTATTTATTTTTTATTTATTTTTTATTCACACTGTTTTAATTTATTTTTTATTCATTGTCTTTATTCAGGAAATTCGTATTCTAAAACAGGAATTCAACTGCAAAATCCATCATCAGGAACAAATACAGGATTTTATGGGAATCAGGGTATGTCGCTACTTTTGGGAACTATATTATTAAAACAATTTTTTAAATACATAACAAAGAAATTTGCAATAATTCTTTTGAGAAAACGTAATTAAAATAATTGTATTGAAAATAATTTAATTCTTGGCAAGATTTTTATTAAAATTCTTTAAAATAATAGAATTGTTTTTAAGAATTTATTTCAATATTCTGGAAAATAGTGGAGTTTTTTTAAAATAATTTTTACTGCAAATTTTGAAAATAATTGAATTTTATGATGAATTCAATTATTTTCAATAATTATTGTAATAAAATTCTTTGCAAAAAGTCAATTTATTTAAATAATAAAAATCTTCGTAAAGAATTTAATTATTTTTATATAAATAATAAAATTCTTATCAGGATTTCACTTATTTTCAATACAATTTTAATTGAATTTCAGGGAAAATTAAATTATTTTTAAACATTTTTTTTAATTCTTCGAAAAAATTCAATTACATCAATAAATAGTACATTTTTTCCCAGGAATTCAATTATTTTAAATACAATTTTAATAAAATTCTCAAAAATTCAATTATTCTTTTAAAATTTTGCAAAAATTCAATTATTAGCAAAAATAAGAAACTTTTTCCCAGGAATTCAATTATTTTCAGAAATAATTAAATTGTCGATGAGCTGAAAATCATTAAATTCTTGTAAAGAATTTATAAAAAAATTTGAATATAATTGAATTCATTTCAAGAATTTTATCAACATTTTTTCAAATAATTGAATTCTTTCGAGAAAATGTAACTAAAATTTTATTGAAAATAATTTAATTCTTGGCAAGATTTTTATTTCAAATTCTTTAAAATAATTGAATTGTTTTGAAGAATTTATTTCAATTTTCTTGAAAATAATGGAGTTTTTTAAAAATAATTTTTACTGAAAATTTTGAAAGTAATTTTTGAATTTTATCAAGAATTCAATTATTTTTCATAATTGTAATAAAATTCTTTGCAAAAATTACATATTTATAAATAATAAAAATCTTGGTAAAAAATTCAATTATTTTAATATAAATAATAAAATTCTTATCAGGATTTCACTTATTTTCGATACAATTTTAATTAATTTCTTCGAAAATTTCAATTATTTTTAAAAATCTTGTGAAAATGCTCCAAGAAAATTCAATTATTTTTTAAAATAATTAAAATTTTCACAAAAGTTCAATTATTTAAGAAAACTTTTAAAATTCAATTCAAGAATTCAATTATTTTAAATACAATTTTAATTAAATTCCAGAGAAAATTAAATTATTTTTAAACATTTTTTAAAAATTTTTCGAAAATATTCAATTTTTCACAGAAATTCAATTATTTTAAATACAAATTTAATAAAATTCTTCTCAAAAATTCACTTATTTTTTAAAATTTTTGCAAAAATTCAATTATTGGTAGAAATAATAAATTTTATCGCAGCGATTCAATTATTTAAAAAAGTTTTCATAAAATTCGATTCAAGAATTCAATTTTCAGAAATATTAAATTGTCGATTTTCTGAAAATCACTGAATTCTTGTAAAGTATTTATAAAAAATTTGATAATTAAATTGAAATATTAAATTATATTAAAATTATTCATAGAAAATTAAATTCTTTTAAACAATTTTATTAGAGTTTTTGTAAATAATTTCATTTTTTTTTAAGAATTTCATTAAATTTCGTAAGAATAATGAATTTTTTTAACGTAATTTTAATTGATAATTTAGAAAATAATTGAAATTTACAAAGAATTTTATTAGAAACTTTTCAGAACAATTAAATAGTTCAGAAAAATTTTATTACAATTTTTAAGAAATAACTAAACCTGATAGAGAAATTTTTATTAAAATTATCTTGAATATTGATTTTTTTTATAGAAATTTAATTAAAATTGTATTAAAAATAATTAAATTTTACAGAAGAATTTTATTATTTAAAAAATTAATTGAATTCTTGCCAAGAATTGAAGAATTTGATAATTTATAAAAATAATTGAATTCTTGACAAGAATTGAAGAATTGAGAAAAACATAATAATTGAATTTTTGCCAAGAATTTTATAATTTATAAAAATAATTGAATTCAAATAATATTTTTAAGAATAATTGTATTCTTTCGAGAAATTTTATTCAAATTGTATTGAAAATAATTGAATTCCTCTGAAACATTTTATTATTTATGAAAATAATTGATTTCCTTTGAAGTATTTTATTATTTATGAAAATATTTTAATTTTTGCGGAAAATATTCTTATTTATGGAAATAATTGAATTTTTTAAAAGAATTTTATTATTAAAAATTTTGAAAATAATTTTTTTTAAAAGAATTTCATCAAAATTGTTGAAAATTTAAATTTTAATCAAAATTGTTGAATTTATATTAAAATTCTTGAAAATAATTTACTTGTATTGAAAATAATTAAATTGCTCTAAAGAATTTTATTATTTATGAGAATAATTGATTTTCTTTGAAGGATTTTATTATTTATGAAAATATTTTAATTCTTGCTAAAAAATATTCTTATATATGGAAAAACCACTATCATTTGCTAGTTGTAGAATAATTCTCATTTTTATTTTTTTTAATTAAATTAAATTAAATTTATTTCTTAATCATCATATTTTTATCCATCAGGACATATTCCACAAACGCCATCTGCCCCGTATCTTCACCCAGGTTCTTCAGGTAATAAAAATTTGTTCATTATTCAATTATCTTTTAAAATAAAAATTTCTCTTTATCCAAAGTGTTGGAATTACACAATTTTCATTCCGTATTTATTAATTTTGTGATTTTTTTTCCTTAGGATATCATCAGAATTATCAATCTGGTGGGAATTCATTTTCTCAACCGGGAATTATTTATGTGCCGAGTGTTGTTTCCCCTCAACGAGGAACTGGAGATATTTTCAAAGAAGCTCTAGTTCATTCGACAGTGAACGCTGGAGTTAATGCTGCCGCCAATAGAATTTTCTATCCAAGTCATTTTTCCGGAAATCATTATAATGGTTATGGTTCGAATTCGAATGGTTATGGTGGTGGCTCTACCGGAGGTACGACTCACATTGTTCATAATAATTATTATTATGACAATAATAATAATAATTATCCTTCGATCGATTCACAAGGAACCGGAAATAATGCCATCACACATTCTGATAATCAAAATAATCCAAATAATCAAAATGAGAAAAATAATCCTAATAATCAGAATGAGAAAAATAATCCTAATAATCAGAATGAGAAAAATAATCCGAATAATCAGAATGAGAAAAATAATCCGAATAATCAAAATAATAAAGATGAGAATAATCCGATTACTTCCAATTATCACCATCATCGTCATCATCATGGGAATAGTGCAAGTACTTCGAATAATTTAAATAATAACAATAATCAGTCGGAAATGAATTCATTTAATAATGAATTGAGTCCAAATAATTCTTATCGGCAATTAAATATTACGGACGATGAGTTGAGAAATTTAACAGAGGATCTTTTTAGTCGAGGAGAATTTGATAAATATAATATTGAATCTAATATTAAATTGAATCTCCAAAAGAAGGTCAACAGCACAAACGTCACTGACGAGTCAATTGAGCCGTAAGTTGTTTTTAATTTTTCCACTATCAGGGGGGAAGACGTTTTTCTTTCTCGAAATTATTAATTAATTAATAATAATAATAAAGTACATGTTCCGGTAATCTGTTCTCAGTTTAAAGTTAGTTGTTGTTTGTTTTTTATGTTTCTTAACTTTTTTATAATTTTTCTTTTCAAATATATTCAATTTTAAAATTAATGTATTGAAAATCATCGAATTATTGCAAAGAATTTTATCAAAAAATTTAATAATAGAATTCCTTCAAAGAATTTTATTATTTAGGAAAATAACTGAATTCTCGCGAAGAATTTTATTAAAATTTTTAAAAATCCTAATTAAATTCTTTTGAATAATTTCTTTGAATTTTTTTTTAACTAATGGAGTTTCTTTAATAATTTTAATTGAAAATTTTCAAAGCAATTGAATTTTATGAACAAGAATTTTATTAAAATTGTATTGAAAATAATTGAATTCTTGCGAAGAATTTTACTACCTATTAAAAATAATTGAATTGTTCCGAAGAATTTATTAAAATTTTAGAAAATAAATTAATTTTAAGTAATTCATCACAAGAATTTTATTATTTTTTGAAAATAATTGAACTCTTTCAATTCTTTTGACGAATATATTTAAAAATTGCATTGAAAGTAATGTAATTTTTATATAGAATTTTTTAAAAATATTTTGAGAATAATTGAATTATTTTTAGAGAATTTTAAATTCTTGTTGAAATTGAATTTTATGAAATTTTTTTTTTTTAAAGTTTGATTATTTTTAATACAATTTTAATAAAATTTCATGAAAGAATTCAATTTTTAATATTAGATATTTAAAGAAAATATGTCAATTATTTTTTAAAATTTCAATAAATCCTTTGAAACAATTCAATTATTTTTTTAAATAGTAAAAACTTTACAATAAGATTCAGTTATATTTATAAATAGTAAAATTCTTTGTAAAAATTAAATTATTTTTAATACAATTTTAATAAAATTCCATGAAAGAATTAAATTTTTTAAAAAAATTTTAATAATATTTTTCGAAAAAATTCAATTATTTTCTAAAATTTTAATAAATCCTTCGAAAAAATTCAATTATTTTCTAACATTTTAATAAATCCTTCGAAAAAATTAAATTATTTTTTTAAATAGTAAAAATTTTTGCAAAAATTTAATTATATTCAAAACAATTTCGGGAAAGAATTCAATTTTTTTCTTAATTCGTTATAAAATCTTTGCAAAATTCAATTATATTCAAAACAATTTCGGGAAAGAATTTAATTTTTTTCTTAATTATTTAGAAGAAATGTCAATAGAATTAAATTATTTTCAAATATTTTAATAAATTCTTAGAAAAAATTAAATTATTTTCAAAAATTTTAATAAATTCTTAGAAAAAATTCAATTATTTTCTAAAATTTTAATAAATCCTTCGAAGCAGTTAAATTATTTTTTTAAATAGTAAAATTTTTGCAAAAATTCAAAATAATTGAATTCATAACAAGAATTTTATTATTTTCTGAAAATAATTGAATTCTTTCAATTTTTTTGATGAATATATTTAAAAATTGCATTAAAAGTAATTTAATTTCCATATAGAATTTTTTAAAAATATTTTGAGAATAATTGAATTATTTTTAGCGAATTTTAAATTCTTCTTGAAATTGAATTTTCTGGAAATTTTTGAAAATAATTAAATTGTTTTGTGTAATTTTATTTAAATTTGATTAAATATTATTTAATTCCTGCAAAGAATTTTAGTATTTATAAAAATAGTTGAATTGTTTCCAAGAATTTATTAAAACTTTGGAAAATATATGAATTTTATGGAAATATTTAATAAAAATATGAAAATATTTTGTATTTAATAATAAGCCTTATTGCATTAATTCTTAAATTTAATAATTAAATTTTTCCTTTTAATTATTTTCTGGAAATTTTTCAGATTGCTGACGATTCAAGACGAAATTTACCAAATTCCATCGATCGAGTTGATAAAATTGCTGTACGATAATTATGAGTACGATTCGCAAATAAAGGAAAAAATCACTGAGGAAATGCTAAAGGAGCAGAATAATTTTTTGGAAGTTATTTTACAAACGAATGTAATGTCACGATTGATGAAATGGTTGACGAAGAAAAATTTCATTGCCTCTGATATGCTATCGAGAAAGGAGATTTTAACCAGAATTTGGTTTACTGAAATTGAAGGATCAACGTCCGCGTTCGAGAGGACATTTATGGCAGAGAATTATTGGAATACAAGTATAATGGGCTTGCAAAATTGGATTTATTTCAATCATTTGGAAGCAAAAAAGGAAATTGATTACATTGGCTATATGGAGAATTTAGATCTCGGAAATGTAAGTTTTAAATATTTTTCTTTTTCTTCTTTCATTCCAAAAATCGAAAAAAGAATTTTCTTTTTTCGATTTTCATTCCAAAAATCGAGAAAAGAAAATTCTTTTTTCGATTTTTGTAATGAAATAAAAAGGAAAATTATTAGAATAATAGGGAAAATTATTTTCTAATGCAGAAAATAAATAAAAAAAATAAATCACTTATCCATAGAAATTTGCTAATAAAATTCTTTTCTTTTCTTATAGGAGGGATCTCTATTGAAAATTGTCGTTAAATCGAAGGAAATTATTCAACCGACGACGATATTCATTGGAACTTTGCCCGAATTAGAAATGGCATTATACACAGTTTGTTATTTTGCAAGACCGAATGAATCGTGTCCAGTTTCTTTGGGTGGAACAAAATTCAATATTTTCACGCACACTTTCCATTCGTGGGGAAAGGATCTTCTGGACGTTGCTGTTCCGGTTTTATAAATTATCAATATATAAGAATTTTTTATTTCTCTCAATATTAATATTGTTTTCCTCTCAAATTATTTTTTAGAGATTATTTATTTATACATATTTTATAGGATTTTCATTAATTTTCAAATATTTCTCTTAATTTCGCTAAAAATACTTATGAATAGAATTAAAAAATATATTTTCAGATACATATAGTTTCTAAAGAGACAAAAATGAAAATAATAGTTTGTAAAAAAATATTTGTTACAGAAATAAATTACTTTTTCAAATTTACAGGCATTGCATTCATCTACTAAAACCTATTTACTATACTTTTTTACGATTAGCTACTATTGGGATAATATTTTTTAAATTTGTGAAACTAAAAGCTACTTTTTTCTTTCTTTTTTAATTTTTACAAATTTAAATCTGCTAATAGTTGAAATAATATTTAATTATTCTTTCAAATTTTTATAAAATTATTCGAAAATTCAATTATTTTCGAAAATTTTAATAAAATTCTTTAAAAGAATTCAATTATTCAATAATAAAATTCTTTTAAAGAATTCAATTATTTCCAAAAAATTTTAATAAAATTCAATATGAAAATCATTAATTACAATAATTAACAAACTCAAGTAAAATTATTCGAAAAACACTACATTATTTTCAAAAGTTTTAAAGAAATTAGTCATTAAAATTCTTCTCAGGAATTCAATTATTTCTTAAAAATTTTAATACAATTTTTTAATTACAATTTTTAACAAAAATGATTATTATTTATTATGTATTATTATCTATTATTATTATTTTTAAAAAATTGAGTGAAATTTTTTGAAAAAATTTCATTACTTCCAAATTTACAATAAAAAGACCTAAATTTTCAATTAAAATTATAAAAAAATTAATTTATTTTCAATAGATTTAAAGAATTTAGTCAAACAAATTTAATTACTTTCGAAAAATCTGATAAAATTCTTTAAAAGAATTCAATTTTTTAAAAGTCTATGTTAATAATCGTTTCGTTTATTTGATTCTTAACTTTTTAATAACTTTTCTTTTTAAATATTTTCAATTTTAAAATTAATGTAGGTATTTAGAAAAATTCTTTTTGAAGAATTTCTTTGAATTTTTTTTAAAATAATGAATTTTTTTAATAATTTTAATTAAAAATTTTAAAATAATTTAATTGTATAAAAATTTCTTTCAAATTTTTAAAAAAATCCTGTTTGATAATTGAATTATTTTGAAGAATTTTATAACGAATTAAGGAAAAAATTGAATTGTTTCGTAAAATTTTTTTGAAAATAATATTCCATTTTTGCAAAGATTTTTCCATTTAAAAAATTATTGAATTGTTTCGATGCATTTATTAAAATTTTGGAAAAAAATTGGATTCTTTCGAAAAATGTTATTAACAAATTTTTTAAAAATTGAATTGTTTCGAAGGATTTATAAAAATTTTAGAAAATAATTCAATTCTTTTAAAAAATTTTATAACGAATTAAGAAAAAAATTGAATTCTTTCGTAAAATTTTATTGAATTTTACAAAAATTTTTAAAAAATTTTTTGGAATTTATTTTTTATAAAATGATTTATTATTTTTTTTATATTTAAAAAAAAATTTATTTTCTTACTTTCAAAAATTATTTTTAAAAATAATTGAATTTTTGGAGAATTCTAACTGAAAAATTTGGAAAATAATTGAATTTGATAAAAAATAAAATACTTTTTCAAAAATTAATATTTATACTCTCTTCTTGTAATTTTTTTCAAATAAAAATAAATTAATAAAATTGACAAAAATTAAAAAGTATTTTTGTAAAATTTACACTAAATAAATAAATAAATAAATAATTAAATAAATAAATAAAATCGAAAAAATTGAGTAAAATTGGCTAATTAGTAATATTAGTGTTTATTAATTAATGTGTTAATTAAAAAGAGTTTAGACAAAAATCAAAAGATGCGAAATCGATATTATGAAAGCAGCTCAAGAAGTTATTTTTGTTAATGTGTTTATAAACAGCATTATCGGGAGTGAACGTCGTCATTCATTACTGGCTAATTATTCATTCTGCACATTCTAACTAATGATGTGAGAATCAAGAATTAGATAAAATTTAATATAATAAAAGTGCTATTACATTCTTTTTTTTCAATTTCTTTTAATGATAAAGAACATTAGCAGTGAAAATGTGAAATGACTATCCGTCAGTTCATAATCTTTCGTTAAGAGAGGGCCGTGTCAGTTTGTCATTTAAGATTGAACGAGACAGTTCATTCTCTTCAATCATGAAGTTAAATGTGCTTTTATTTCTCTTTCTTATTATTTACTCACTACGTAAGTAATTTTTTTCCTCCAATTTCTACATTTTTCTATAATTATTATTACAATTTTTCCATTTTTTTATTTACTCAATTTTCTCCTTTACTCTCAATTTTTTCCTTTATTCTCAATTTTTATTCCAAACAAATTTTCGATTATTATTTAATTATTAACATTTATCTTGAGGAATGATTTTTTCAAAAAATAAAAAAATCAATTCGATTTTAACAAATTTAGTTTTTTTTCTCGAAACAAAATAAAAATTTTTTTTAGAATTTAACAGAAATTTTAACTGTACAATCAAGTATATCACGTAATTGAATATTAAATTTACATATTTTTATTCTATAGCGTAGAATTAAATTAATTTCGTCGTTTCAAATATTCCCGAAATTTAAACTTAAATTTAAACTCATCGGGGAAAATTAAAAATTTTTAAAGTTAAAAAGTTAAATTTTCTGAAAATCTGAAAATGCTTGAAAATCAAGAGAAAAAAATTTTTTTTTTGAAAATTTGGAAAAAATTGTTTAATATAAATTAAGAAGAAAAAAAATTGTTTTTTAATTAAAAATACAATTTTAGAGAACACAAATGGAATAAAATTTGGCGGTGGAGGTCGTAGAGGAGGAAGTGGTGGAAGTCGAGGAAGCAGTAGCGGAAGAGGATGGTTTGGTTCCAAAGGATCATCCAGCAACACTCACAGTAATAATAATAATAATAGAGGATCAGGTACCGAATATTTTTAATTCTCACAAAAAAAATTATTTATTCCCTCCCCAAATAATTTTCTTTAATATTTATTTTTTTTACTTAATTTTTTTAGTTAATTTAAAAAAAAATTTACAGTGACATCTTCGCCTCCAGTTGGTGGCAGTTTTGGATCATACTATCAAGGCAATCCAAAAGGTAAAAAAAAACAAATTCAATATTCTTTAATTTAATTTCAAATTATAATTTTTAAATTTACAAATTTGACTTAAATTTCTCATTATAAATTTATAATTGAAATCAAAGAAACATAATAATAAAATTACCATTGGAAATATTTAAACAAATTTTAATTACATTTAGTAATTTTAGTATTTTTATTTTATTTTATTTTCTTTTTAAATAATTGACGTCACTTCAAGTTAAAATTTGTTTCCTCTACTTGGCTTTTCAGTTTAGGAAAATAAATTAAAATATCAATAGAAAAAGGAAAACAGATTCTAGATGGAATCATGTTAATGTGATGATAAAATGCGTAATTTACATCAAATAAATGAGTCATCGCAACGAGACTCTTCCAAGAAATTATTTCACAATATTTTTTAATACAAAAACCCAATTTTTTTATTTACAAAATAATAATAATAATAATCTATTTTAAATCTCTATTCAATTCATTGTTATTGTTGGGAATTTTATTATTTTCGTCTCTATAATATTTGTACGTAAAAAATGTTTTCATGAAAAGAAAAAAAGAATAATACATAAAATATGACAAAAAAAAAAAAATAAATTATAGAAAACTTGTGTGCGTAGCACAAAAGAAAAATTATACAGAATGGAAAAAATACAATTAATTTAGAAATAGGTACTAAAGAAGAAAATCGTGACAAAAAAAAAGAAATACCTTTAGATTTCCGGTTCTGTGAAAGAATTTTATCAACTTCTTTTTTATGGCTTCCTTAATCTTCTTTACTGTGAATCGAACCGAATTTTAAATTTTTCTGAAAAAGAAAATACGAGTTGTTAATTTTTTGTTTATAATAAATTTAATTTGTTTATTTTATTATTTTAATTAATAGGATTTAATTATATAATATTATTTTAATATTTTAATTTAATATCTAATTAAGAAAATAGATTTTAAACTTAATATATAATTGATAAAATAGATTTTTAATTTGTGAAAATTTTCTACGAATAAATTAATAATTTAGGTATTTTTACCTCTTTTTCTTCAGCGACGCAAAATTCAATTTTTTCTGAAACAAAGAAAGAAAAATTTGTTAAAAATTTAATACTTAGGGCAAATATTCACAAATAATTTCGCATTCTAATTTATCTGCAATATTAATATTTTTAAAATTATTTATTTTGTGCAAAAAAAAATTAATTTTTAATTTCTAAATAATAAGGATAATAAATATAGAAAAAAATGAAGCTTAGGCTAAATTGTAATTAAAATCAATTAAATGAATTCTAAATTAAAATAAATCTTAAATTGAAATAAATTCCTATAAAAATAAATTCTCTCAATTGAAATTATGTAATTCTAAATTAAAATAAATCCTAAATTGAAATAAATTTCTATAAAAATACATTCTTAATTGAAATTAATTCTAAATTAAAATAAATCCTAGTTTAAAATAAATTTCAAGTTAACATTAATTCTAAACGAAAATTAAAAATTATAAAAAAAATAATAAATTCTAAATTCTAGAAAATAAATGAAAATAAATTTTAAATTCTAAAAAAAAAATAAAAATAAATTCTAAAATCTAAATTCCAAAAACTAAATGAAAATAAATTCTAAATATTAAAATAAATCCTAAATTGAAATAAATCATAAAGTAAAATAAATTCCAAATTAAAATAAATTCTAAATTCTAAAAAATAAATTAAATTAAATTCTAAATTAAAATAAATTCTAAATTGAAATAAATTTTGAATTAAAGTAAATTCTAAATTTACAAAAAAATTCCAAATTAAAATAAACCCTAAATTAAAATAAATTCCAAATTAAAATGAATTCTAAACTAAAATAAATTCTTAACTCTAAAAAAAATAAAATTTAAATTCTAAAAAATAAATGGCAGTAAATTCTAAATTCTAAAAAAAAAATTCTAAATTCTAAAAAATAATTGAAAATAAATTTTAAATTTAAATTAATTCTAAATTGAAATAAATTCTGAATTAAAATAAATTCCAAATTAAAAAGATTCTAAATTAAAATAAACCCTAAATTAAAATAAATCCTAATTTGAAGTAAATTCCAAATTAAAATGAATTCTAAACTAAAACAAATTCTAAACTCTAAAAAAAAAAATAAAAATAAATTCTAAATTTTAGAAAATAAATGACAGTAAATTCGAAATTCTAAAAAAAAATAAATAAATTCTAAAAAATAAATTCTAAATTAGAATGAATTCTAAAATAAAATAAAATGTAAACTCTAAAAAAATAAAAATAAATTCTAAATTCTAAAAAAAATAAATAAATTTATAAATTAAAATAAATCCTAGTGTAATAAATTCCAAATTAAAATAAATTCCAAATTAAAATAAATTCCAAATTAAAATAAACCCTAATTTAAAATAAATTCCAAATTAAAATGAATTCTAAACTAAAATAAATTTTAAACTCTAAAAGAAATAAAAATAAATTCTAAATTCTAGAAAATAAATTACATTAAATTCTAAATTCTAGAAAGAATAAATAAATTCTAAATTCAAAAAAAATAAATTAAAATAAATTGTAATTTAAAATAAATCCTGAATTGAAATAAATGTTAAATGAAAATAAATTCTAAATAAAAATAAATCCTAAAGTGAAATAAATTTTAAATGAAAATAAATTCTGAATTCTAAAAAATAAATGAAAATAAATTCGAAAGGAAGATAAATTCTAAATTAAAATTAATTTCAAAATTGAAGTAAATTCTAAATTAAAATAAATTTCTAATTAAAAAAAAATTTCAAATTAAAATAAACCCTAAATTAAAATAAATCCTAAACGAAAAAAAATTCTAAATTCCAAAAAATAAATCAAAAAGGAAATAACACCAATTTTAATCTGAAACAAAAAATAATTGTCTGAAATTTATCGTGACAACTCTAGCGGAAATGTTAATAAAATTAATTTTCAGCATTTTGTGTTGGAGAACAGGAAACATTATAATATATATGTAAAATATTATAAGCGCAGAATAAACGAAAAGATTTTAAAAGGACTCAAAGGAGCGTTTCATGGAAAAAAAAATCCCAAACCAGTAAGTTGATAATAAAAAGAGAAAGCCTACACTCGATTCACTCGCTCTCCATCTCAATGCAACTGGATTCCTGATTCATTATATTCAAGTTTGAGTTAAAACCTTCAGTATTACTTTGACCATCAAGTGCATAGCATATAATATCAAAATTTACATTTTTCCTTTTTTGATTGTTTCTCCGAAGGAAAGTAAAAAAGAAATAAAAAAAAATGGAGCTTAGGCTAGTCCTAGTCAGTCTCCTCATTATTTGCCTTATTTCCGGTAAGTTTTTCTAAAAACAAGGATGTCATTTGTTACGTAAGCTTATTATAATAATTAGTCCTTGCATCACTGACTTCATCTGTTTTTAAAACACCTGTAAAATGTTTTGTTCACGCTTCTCTATTCAAACATTGTTACACTAGAATTCTCATATTCTCGTGGAAATATTTTCCAAATTTTTTTTTCTTTCATTTTTTGATTGATTTTCTAATCGAATTTTGGTTTCTATAAAATGTGTTATTTATTTTTTTATTTGTTAATTTTTTTCATTCGTTTATTAGTAACTAACTTTTATTAATGAATAAAATATAAATTTTGTATTGTCTCGTGACTAATTCCGGGAAAATAAAAATAATTTTCATAAAAATTGTATAAATTGATATAAATTACACTTTTTAGAATTAAAATTTTACGATTCTTTTTTTTTTTGCTTTTTACTTCAACTTTCCTTTGTAGTGTTGATGAAATCATTTGACAGCTGACTTTGTTGCGGTAAAAGTAACTGTTTTCTTTTTCATAGAAAAAACTATGTTTTCTCTTTTAATTATGTATTTAATTCGACAGAGTATTTTATTTGGAAAATTTCTAGAAAATTTAACTTTGAAAAATTCATTTTTAAAAATTTCTGTTGTCGATAAAAGTGAATTATTTTTTTTTCTAATTCAAATTATGTGTACAAATTTCGACACAGTAAATTATTTTAATTAATCAATTGAATTATATATATTTTTTGAAAATAAAAGAGGAAATTACATTTTTTCCGGAACTTTCATTCGAAATAAAATTAACCTTTAAAAATTGCTCTTCCTTATTTCTTTTTAAGTCTTGAATTGCCATTTTTTGATGTAAAACAATGAGTAATCTGGAATATCATTTCCTTGAAAATTATTTACGTCTTAATGTTTAGAATTTTGTTGAGAGATTTCTGTATATTGCAATTTAATTGACAATAATTATCAACAAACTTGATTTTTTCGAAAAATTTTCAATTTTCTTTTTTTATTTTTATTCAACTAAAAAATAGTGAAATAGAATTTTGATAGAAAAATCTTTAAAAAAATTTTGTTTTTATTTAACTAAAAAATATCGAAATATAAAATTTCAATAAATAAATCTTTAAAGTTTTATGAAAATTAAATAATAGAGAAATAAATAATTTTTACTGTAGAAAATAAACGAATTCGCTGAAAATAAATATTGTATTTTTAATTTTTAATATTTCCAATATATTCAATTTTTTTGTTAAAAATGAGAAATTCAAGATTATCAAGGAGTAAAAAATTTCATTGTAAATCAAAGACTTCTTCCAAATTTTGCAACAAAATACTACATTTTTAGTATAAAATTCAAATTATTTCGATTTTTATGGTGTGTAAAGTATAATTATAGACAAATCTTTGAAAAGTTATTTTTGAATAATTTTTCTAATTAAATTTTTAAAACATACAATTAAAAAGATTTTGAATGTAATTGAAATTTTTTTAAATTTAATTGAAAATAAATCATTTTTTTTTCAAGTATTTTATTACAATTTTTGAAAATTAACTTTTAAAGAAATTTAATTGAAAAGTTTGGAAATAATTGAATACTCAAAAATTTTAATGAAAAAGCTTTCTAGTGTAAATTTAATAAAAATGAAAATTAATGAAACTTAGTTTGTAAAAATAATATTAAAATATTTTTGAAAAAACTAATTCTCAGAATATTTTTGATTCAAATTTTTTAAAATTCAATTATTTTCAATATTTTCGAAAATTTAAATACATAAAAAAAATAACATAAAAATTTTTTTAGAATCATTTTTAACATTTTGGAGAAAATAATCATAATCAAAATTTTTTTTAAATTCTTTAAAAAATTAATTAGTTTCTTTTAAATTATACAAAACTTCTTTTTAGGAATTCAATTAATTTTCAAAAAACTACATTACAATTTTTATAAAAATCTAATTCTTCGAATTGTTTTATCATAATTTTTTAAGATTCAATTATTTTGGAACAAAGTAAATTAAAATTATTTTAAATTTACTTTTTTAGACTTATTAAAATTTTGCAGAAATAATTTATAATTAAAACTCTTCAAAAATTTGTTTATTTTTTTATATTTTTGAAAAACTCAATTATTTTTCAAAGATTTTTATCAAATTTCAATTATTTTTTAAAGATTTTACCAAAATTCAATTTTTTCTACATATTTTAATTATATGTGATTTGTTAAAAATATCGTCTTTCAAAAATTATTTAGAAATATTAAAAAAAAAATTAATTTTAAGAATTTATTAAAATTTTTAACTATATTTTCTTAATAATCTTTAAATTCTTTAAAAAGAAAAATGGAAAGTTTCAATTATTATAAAAAAAATTTAATTTTTGTATTAAAATAATTGAATTCTCGAAGAATCATTAAAAGTAAAGATAATCAGAAAATCATTAAAAATTAATATAGGGAATTAATATTTAGAGATGAAGTTTAGTTCAAAATTGTAGAAAATAATAATTGAATTTGGTAAGAATTATAGTTGTAATTTGTAGAAATTAATAAATTTCAGAATTTGAAATTTTTTAAATTTTATTTCCGATGAAAAAAGAAATAAGAATTATTTAAATATTTATTTAGCATGAAATTATTATTATTCGAGTTTTGATTAATTGAATTTAGAAATCAGTGAAGAATCAGGAAAATAAAAAAAAAAAATTCGTATCCTTCGTATGTATCTCAATATTCAGATAAAATAAATGTTTATAAATGACGTGATGATATCGTGTCAAATTACAGTTTCATATAAAGCTTCCGTACCAAAGAACACGCATTATTCACTTGTCGACAACTGCTATAATCCAAAGTCAACTAAATAAGCTTCTATAAAATAGAGGTCAAAAATACCTTCTTCATCTCTACAGAAAATTCCCCTTTTTTGCAATTCAGTCACAAGAAATTCAAATATAGTAAAAAATATATTTTTTTTCAAAAATCAGGTGAAAGCGAAGCAAAGAGAAGCAGCAGCGGAGGAAGCCGAAGAGGAAGCGGAGGCTATGGATCAAAGCCAAGAACGACACAGAGACCCCCAGCGTCCCAAAATTCAGGAGGTAATAAATTCATCAAATTGAATTTCCCCAAATTAATTTGATTCACTGATTGTTATTATTTGGGAAATTATTTTCACTGATATCAATCAATTTCAAATTAATAATAATAATTTAAATTACTAATCGCCTTGAATCAGAAATTTATTTTCCAAACTAAATTTAGTTCAAATTGGTCAGTAATTTAAATTATTATCAGGAAAATTTCAATTTAATGGTTTATTAACTCTACAGGTTGTAAAAAACCAGCACTGTAATAATTATAATTATTATTGTACGAAAAAATCTTTTTTCCCCAGAAAAAAGAATTTCGAAAAACTTTCATCAAGAAATTTGGTTTATGAACTTCGTTCGAAACTGAAAGTTTCGTTCGTGAAAATCTATTCGATCAGCATTCAGCGCTAATCTAATTTAAATGGACTGCTAGATATTTTATTGCGCAACAAAATAATAGGCAGTGATCTTTCAATCGAGAGCTTGATCCTTGTTTTGCTATCTTGTATCTTGCATCAAGCCCAATTATAATAATTACAATTTATATCTCGTCACCCTCTAGATCTGAAAAATACAACAAAAAATTTTACAATCGAGAATAAGAAATTTTCGAATTAATTAAAATTAAAATTCGTATAGTTTCTTGAAAAAATAATACCTATGAGAAATTTAAGTCGATTTTTTTTAATGGAAAAAATTGAAATTTTTTCAATAAGTGAAAAAATAATAAAATTGAAGAATAATATTGAAAAATTTGATTTTCACTTAGGATCGCAACCTGTAGGTTGGAACACTAATAATAAACCATCAGCTCCTGAGCATACGGCATCGAAAGCCACTGCTGTCCACACGCAGTCAGGTAAAATTTTTAATTTCTATCATGATATTTACATAATTATTCAATTTTTTTCATTTTTACGAAAAAATGTCTCAGGCTTCGCACTTGTTGATTAAATTTCGAAAAAAAGGGAAAAGTACCTTAAAGATTGAAAAAAAGGATTAAAAAGTAGCTTTCGAAAAAATTAAATTTGTCTTTAAATTGAAAATTAAATTTAAATACTAAAACAAGAGTTTCTTTAGTCAAAATTCAATGTATAGAAAAAAATGAAATCATTTTATTTGGCATTATCACAAAAATTCTATTATTGATTTCCCTGACTTCCAGAAAGAATATTAATTTTTTTTTCTTCTCCTGGTAAAAACTTCAATTCTAAATTTTTCTGAAATTAAATCATTTTTCAAATTTTCAATTAGAATTTTTCAAAAATAAGATATTTAATGATAATTTTTAAAAGGATAAAAATTTAACTGTTTCAATTTTTTAAAATTATTTTCCTGATTTTAACTAATTTAAATAGAACTTAAAAATAATATTATAAGGAAATGAGCTGAACCACTTTGTATAAATCTATGATTTAAAACTTAAATAAATATATCTACAATTTTTCAAAAAAATCAATTTTTTCAGAATTTCTAAATTAAATTGGGTCAAAAATTTTAGTAATTTTTGTTAAATAAATATTATTTATTTTTCCCACAATAATGAAAAATTTTAAATAATATCAATGCAAATTCTTTGGAAATTTTAATTATTTCTATAAAAATTGTAACTGTAATTCTTCCAAAATTGAATTATTTTTTAGAATATTTTAATAATTTTTTTAGAATTTAATAATTTAAAAATAAAATTATCCAAAATATTAACAATACTATAAAATTAACTAAAATTCTCAAAGAAAAAACAAAAACTAAAAAACTTTTGAAAGTAAATTATTTTTGAACATTTTTCTACTTTCAATATTAAATTAATTTCCAGAATTGTTACTAAATTTCTTCTCTATACCTATCATTTTGTCAATTATTTTAAATATTTTACTCAAAACTCTACTAGAATTCAATTATTTTAATACAAAAATTTAATTTTTTATAAAAATTGCAACTGTAACTTTTCTTGTTTTCTGTTTAAAAAATTTTCAAAATTAGTTTTTTAAGTTTTTTTGAAAGATAATAAATTTTTTAAATATAATTTAAAAACATTAATATAATTGAAAAATTTCCACATAATTCAAAATTCAGTAAAATTTTATGAATATAATTGAATTTAAAAAAGTTATGATAATTATCATAAAAAAATAATTACTTCTTTCTTATCCTGCTAATAATTTGAATTCCTGCAACAAATAATTTTATTATTCTTGAAAGAATTTAAATACTCATAAAAATAATTTAATTCTTGCGGAGAATTTTATAAAAAATTTTCAAAAATTGATTTCTTTCGACTAATTTTCTACAAATTCTAATTTAAATAATTGAATTCCTGAGAAATTTTTATTATTCAGGAAAAGAATTGAATTCTTACGAAAATTTTTACAAAATGTTTTTTAAGTAATTGAATTCTGATTGGAAATTTTATGAAAATAGTAGATATTATTGAAAATCATTGAATTGCGAAATTATATTTAAAATAATTGATTTTTTTCGAACAATTTTATTAAAATATTTGAAAATAATTGAATTCCTGTGAAATATTCTCATGTTTTTGTAAATAATTGAATTCTTCCAAAGAATTTAAAAAAAACATTTTTTTAAATGATTGATTTTTTTCGAGGAATTTGAAATTAAATTTTTCAAGAATAATTATTTTGAGCAATTCTTGTGAAATTGTATTAAAAATAATTGAAATCCTGCGATAAATTTTATTATTTATGAAAATAATTGAACTAATTGCAAAGAATTTTATTAAAATTTTCAAAAAAAGTTGAATTTCCAAGAAACAAATTTATTAATTTTAAAAAAATAATTTAATTCTTGTGTTGAATATTGTTATTTATGAAAATAATTTAATATTGCAAAGAATTTTATTCAAATCTAAAAGAATAATTGAATTAATTCAAAAAAATGTAATGGAGTTTTTTTTAAAAATAATTTATTTCTTTGGAACAAATTTATTAAAATATTTGAAAATAATTGAATTCTTCCAAAGAATTTAAAAAAAAACCATTTTTTTAAATAATTGATTTTTTCAAGGAATTGAAATTAAATTTTTAAGAATAATTACATTTTTTGTGCAATTCCTGTAAAATTTTATTAAAATTTTCAAAAATATAATTGAATTTCTCAGAAGAATTTTATTAATTATATTTATGAAAATAATTGAATTATTGCGAAAAATTTTATTAAAATGTTTAAAAAGAATTGAATTTCTGTAAAAATTTTTGTTAATTTTGAAAATAATTGAATTCTTCATAAGAATTTTTTTAAACATTGTTTTAAATAATTAATTTTTTCGAAATATAATAATTTATGAAAATTTTATTTTAAATAACTGAATTCTTGTGGAAAATTGTATTTGTGAAAATAATTAAATTTTTTAATTAATTAATTTAAAATAGTATTAAAAACAATTGAAATTCTTCGATGAGTTTTATTATTTATGAAAATAGTTGAATTCTTGCTTAGAATTCTATCTTTTAATTGAATTTCCATGAAAAGTGTTATTATTAGCGAAAGCAATTGAAGTATTGTGAAGAATTGTATAGAAATTTTGTTAAATAATTGATTTTTTTGAAATTTTTTTGAAAATGCCATTCTGAATTAATTGAATCCCTGTGGATATTTTATTATTCATGACAATAATTGAATTTTTGATGAATTTTAACAATATTTTTTTTTTAAATAATTGAATTCTATTGCGAAATTTTATGGAAATACTATAGTATTTCCATAAAATTTCACAATTATAATTATAATTGTGAAAATTGAATTATAATTATAATTGAATATCGAAAAATTTTTTTTAAATAATTGAATTCTTTTGCGAAATTTTATGGAAATACTATATTATTTCCATAAAATTTCACAATTATAATTGTGAAAATTCAATTAAAATTATAATTGAATTTTGAAAAATTTTTTTAAATAATTGAATTCTTTTGCGAAATTTAATTATAATTATAATTGAATTTCGAAAATTTTGTTGAAAATAATTGAATCGTTTTAAAGAATTTGATTATAATTTTTTCGAATAGTTTTTTGATTTCTAGTATTAGTGAATTTAAAGTAGTGGAAATTCTCTCAAAAAAAAAAAAAAAAACAGAAATAGTAACTTTTAGTGGCTGAAATTTAAAAAAAAGTACCCAAATAGTAGCATAACGGAAAAAAGTAGTAAATAATAGGTTTTAGTAGATGAGTGCAAAGCCTGATATTGAGAAAAGTGGAAAATAGTAGATTTTAGTCTCCGATTTTCAGTGAGAAGAGTGAATTATCAATTTTCCTAAACTTCACGAGAAAATAGGAGAAAATTTCGTAAGAGATCTGGATGATGAAAGTTTACTCTTACAGGTAATCCTTATGGTCAACAACACGGTTCGAATCCCTACTATCCAGCGGGTGGCACTCATCAAACGGGCTACAACAATCCATCAGGAGGATATCATCCCCAAGGAGGTTACAATCCATCGTCAGGTGGCTATCATCCCCAGGGAGGTTACAATCAAGGAGGCGGATACCATCCCCAGGGTGGTTACAACAATCCATCGCACTATCCACAAAATCACGGGCAATCACACGGTCTACCTTATCAGCCTTATCAACCACCACAAGGTGGCTATTCATCGCCCGGTCACGGCTACAATCCCTCAGTGGGAACACCAGTCATCGTTCAAGGCAGCAGTAAACCAGGAATCGGTCAGATCGCTAAAGAGGCATTCGTCTACGCCGGTGTCAGTGCAGGAGTGAATGCGGCCGTCAACAGAATTATACCCGGTGGAATCTATGGTCACTCGGGTGGAAGTAGCAGTCAAGTGAGCCCAAGTGGAGTTGTACCTACGAACACGCAAATCACTTATAATAATTATTACAATGGTTCTGCACCAGGAGCAGCACCCGCTGATAATTCAAATCCAAATTCTCCTCAACCTGCCGTCCCTATAGCGGCACAAGCGCCGGCAACCAATTCCAATGCACCAGCTGCGAATAATAATCCTCCCCCAGCTGCCGACGCTCCTGCATCGAATCAAAATTCCAATCCACAAAATTCTGGAGTCAATAATCCACCACTTCAGGATTTTCCCATCGCTGCTCATGATATTCAGCAGGTGACTGAGGATCTCTTCAAGAAGGACACGAATAATGCCAATCATCATATCACCGTGAATCTCCAGGGGCAGAAGAAGGACGACAGTACAAATGATGATGCACCTGAACAGTAGGTTTTTTAAATTATATCCAAATGAATTTTTATTTTCCTGCAATATAATGAAAAATAAATTATTTTCAGTCTTTTCAGTATTTTCAGTTCACAGAGTGAATTTTTTCAAGCTTCGTACTCGATAATATTCAAAAAGTAGCAAAAAGTAAAGTAGCTATCGAAAATTTAAATTTGATCTTGATGACACAATTTTTTCATAATTGCATAGGTAAATTAAATTACATTCAAAAGTATAAATTCAATTATTTCGAAAAGAAAATTTATATTCGAACGAGGAATTTAATTAAAATTATAAATAATATATACTGAAAATAATAATTAAATTTGACGACTCAATTTTTTCATAATTTCAAAAATTAAATTACATTAAAAAATATAAAATTTTTCAAAATACAAATTCAATTGTTTCGAAAAGAAAATCTATAATAGAACGAGAAATTTAATTAAAATTATAAATAATACTGAAAATAATAATTCAATTTGACGACTCAATTTTTTCATAAATTAAATTACATTTAAATTTCTTCTTCAAAAATTCAAAAATCGATTACAGGACAAAAAGTAAAATCCAAAAAATCCAAGAAAAAAATTCCAAAGTAGAGAAATTCCAAAATAAAAATGTCCAAATAAGTAAAAAAATCAAAAATAAATTAAAAACTTCGAAAATAAATAATACGTACATGTGAAAAAACCACACGTTTTTATTTTTTACACTATAAAATCATAATTTAAAATGTTAATATTAAAATCGCAGGATTTTAATTATTTTTACATAAATAATAAAATCCGACATAAAAATTCAATTATTTTCATAAATAAATAAAAAAAAATTCTTCACAAAAATTCAATTATTTTCATAAATAAAAAAATTTCTAGAAAAATTTCAATTATTATGAAAAAATTTTCAAAACAATTATTTTAAGAATTATTTTTTTTTAATTATTGAAATTTATTAGATATCTAAAATTTTAACTGAAATTCAATTTTAAATAAATTATTAAACAAAAAGTTCTACGAGAATTACAATTATTTAAATACAAAAATATATAATAAATTGAATAATTTAATATTTCTTGATATTTAATTCTTATAAAGAATTTTATCAACATTTTTTTAAAATAATATTGAATTCTTTCGAAGAATTTAAAGAAAATTTTCAAGAATAATTGCATTTTTCGAAGAATTTATTTAAAACTGTATTAAAAATAATTTAAATTAAACTAAATTAATTAAATAATTGTATTCTTGGGAAAATATTTTCCCAGTTTATGAAAATAATAGACAAAAATAATTTTAAAAAAATAAATAAATAAAATTTTGAAAAATACAAATTCAATTATTTTGAAGAAAATTTAAGTTCGTACGTCTTCTAAAGAGTTTATCACAATTTTTAAAAAATAAGTGAATTCTATAAAACAAAATTGTTAACCTTTTTAAAGATAACTCAATTTCATCAGGAAATTTTATTCAAATTCTATTAAAAATAATTGAATTTTTCCCAAGAATTTTTAAACTCATGAAACTAATTGAATTCTTATCACGAATTTTATTAAAAAAATTTTTTTAAATAACTGAATTCTTTTTGAAAATTTTATTGAATTTGTAGATATTTTTTGTTTCTGAACTTTATTGAAAATTTTTTATTTTCAAAATTTCGAATTTTAAAAATTGTTTTGTTAATGAGTGAATTTTGTTAATTTTAAAAGATAATTTTCGTAAAGTTTATAATTTTAAAATTAGAAATAATTTAATTCTTGCATAAAATATTAATAAAGTTTTTTATTAAAAAAATAACTGAATTTTTTAGAAGAATTTTATTACAATTTTCTAAAGTAATTGAATTTTTAGAAAAAAATTTTATTCACATTTCATTAAGAATATCAATTAATTTTTATGAAGAATACTTTATTTAATAAGAGAATTTTGTTGCTTATAAAAAATAATTGAATTCTTGCTAAGAATTTTATTAAAATTTTTGACAATTTAGAATTCTTCGGAGAAATTTAATTGAAATTGAATTAAAAATAATTGAATTCTTTCAAATAAATTTGTTTTTTATGAAGATAATTAAATTTTTGGAAAGAATTTAATTACAGTTTTTTTTTACAATAATTGAATTCTTAGGAGAAATTTAATTGAAATTGTATTAAAAATAATTGAATACCTGAAAAGAATTTCATGGCTCATAAAAATATTTGAATTCTTGCAATGAATTTTGTTTGTTATGAAAATAATTAAATTTTTGGTAAGAATTTTGTTATTATTTTTAAAAGTAATTGAATTTCTGCGTAGAATTTTTAATTTTTATGAAAATAATTGAAATCTTGTGAAGAATTTTATTAAAATATTTTAAAACAATTGAATTGTTTAGAAGTTAATTTGATTAAAACTTTTGAAAGTAATTGAATTTTTTCGAAAAATTGCTATAAAAAATCCATTAAAAATAATTGAATTTTTGCAAAGAATTATATTAAAATTTCTGACAATTTTAAATTCGTCCAAGAAATATAATTGAAATCGCATTGAAAATAATTGAATTCTTGCAATAAATTTTGTTTCTTAGGAAGATAATTGAATTTTTTGAAAGAATTTCGTTAAAATTTTTTCACAATAATTGAATTCATCCGAGAAATTTAATTAAAATTGAATTAAAAATAATTCAATTCCTGAGAAGAATTTTATTATTATTTATAAAAATAATTGAAATTTGGCAATGAATTTTATTATAAATTTTTTTTAAATAATTAAATTCTTTTTGGGAAATTTTTCATTAAAACAGTAGTTATTGAAAATAATTGAGTCGTTTAAAAGGAATTTCATTAAAATTTTTGAGAATAATTTTTTTATTCCAACTATTAGCGAATCTAAAAAAAAGTATCAAAATAGTAGCAAATCGTAGAAAATTATTAAATAATATATTTTAATTGATGAGTACGAAGCTAATTCGAAGCTTTTTTTTGCTATATAATAATAAAAATAATTTATTTTCAGTCTATTGACGGTGAAATCAGAAGCCTACGAAATACCGACAGTAAAAGCTGTTCTTGCATTGCACGATAATTACGAATTGAGTGTGAAGACTAAAGAAAATGTAACACCAGAGGAGAGAAATGAAGAATCTACTTTACTCGATGAATTCTTAAAGACGGACCTTATGCAAGCTGCGATGAAATTCCTCGCCGACAAGGGATATATTCCTAAAGATGAATACGAATACAAAGATATTTTGAGGGCAATTTGGTTCACGCAATTCAAACGAATTGAAGGCGATTCTTCGAGTTCAGGATTCGAGACTGTATTTCTTGCTGAACAATTTGATAATGAAATAATTGGTCTTCACAATTGGATTTATTTCGCCAAACAGGAAGAGGCGAATAATCTTAATTATTTAGGATACATCCAGGAGAAGAAACTCGCCAGTGTGAGTATTTTTCTCTTTTTAATTAGTTCTCTAATTATCTGCAAAAAATTAAAAATTTTATCATAATACAATTATTTTTTCATAAATAAAAACATTCTTCGGAAAAATTCAGTTATTTTTATAAATAATAAAACTTTTTGCAAAAATTCAATTATTTTCGACAAAATTTTAATAAATCCTTCGACACAATTAAATTATTTTTTAAAATAGTAAAATCTTTGCAAAAATTATATTATTATCAATAAAATTTGACGAAAGAATTCAATTATTTCTTAATTCGTTAATTAAATATTAACAGGCACAATTATTATTTTAAAAAGTTGAAAAAACTCTTGTTTAATTCAATTATTTCCAAAATTTTTAATTAAAAAACATTGAATTATTTTTAAAAATTCTGATAATTAACTCTTTGAAACAATTGAATTATTTTTATAAATTGTAAAATTCTTCCTAAAAATTCAATTATTCTCAAAAGTTTTTAATAAAATTCTTTGTAAATTTCAATTATTTTTCCAATGGAAATTATCTAAAAAAACAAATTACATTATTTTTACGAAATTTGAAAAAAATTCTTCAAAAAATTTTAATTTTTTACGACAACAAATAAAACTCTTTAAAGAATTTAATTTTCTGTCAATAATTTTAATAAAATTAATTATTACAATTAATAATAAACACAATTTTTTTAGAAACTTTAGAGAAATTCTTCATAAAATTCAATTACTTTCAAAATTTTCAATAAAAATTATTTAAAAAAACATTATTTTACAAAAAACTCAAATAAATTCTTCAAAACAATTCAATTATTTTCAAAAATTTTAACAAAAATCTTGCCAAGAATTAAATTATTTTTAGTATTAAAAATTGTAATAAAATTTTTCTAAACAATTCAATTGTTCTGAAAAGTGTTTAATAAAATTCTTTGTAAACTTCAATTATTTTCAAAATTTTCATTTAAAATTACTTTTAAAAAATTCAAAATTATTTTTACAAAATTTAATTAAATTTTTTAAAAAATGTAATTATTTACAAAAACTCTAATAAAATTGTATAAAAGAATTTAATTTCATTCAATTTAATTATCGAATTTTTTTATAAACACTTTACAAGAATTCAACGACTTTTAATAAATCGGCAATTTAATTTTTGTTAAAAATAATTAAATTCTTGAATTGAATTTTTAAAAGTTTTTTAAATAATTGAATCCCAACGAAAAATTTATTATTTCTGCAAATAATTGAATTTTTGCAAAATTTAAAAAATAAGTGAATTTTCGAGAAGATTTTTATTAAAATATTGTATTTAAAATAATTGAACTCCTGTGAAAAATTTACTATTTATTGATATTATTGAATTTCTTCGAAGAATTTAAAAAAAATATTTTAAAATAATTTAATTTTCTTTGGAATTAAATTAAAATTGTATTTAAAATATTTGAAAATTAAAAAATAAAAATAAATAGAAATTAAAAATTAAAATAATTGAAAATAATTGAAATATTTAAAATTATTTAAAATAATTGAATTCTTGAATTGAATGTTAAAAGTTTTTTAAATAATTGAACTCTTGTGAAAAATTCAATTATTTTTTAAAATAATTGAATTTTCTCGGACCATTTTTACAAGATTTTTAAAAATAATTGAAATTTTCGAAGAAATTAATTAAAATTGTATCGAAAATAAGTGAAATCCTGATAAGAATTTTATTATTTATATAAAAATAATTGAATTTTTTACGAAAATTTTCATTATTTATAAATCATTGAAAAAAACTCGCCATTATTTTCAAGAAAATTGAAATAAATTCTTCAAAACAATTCAATTATTTTAAAGAATTTGAAATAAAAATCTTGCCAAGAATTAAATTATTTTCAATACAATTTTACATTTTCTCGAAAGAATTCAAATATTGAAAAAATGTTGATCAGGTTTAATTAATTTTCGTTTTTAATTTTTCAGACTGCTTCTGTAATAAAATTACGATCGACTTTGAATAATGTTCTACAACCAGTGACGTCAATATTCGTTGGCACATCACCCGAATTAGAAATGGCTCTCTACACTATTTGCTTCTACACGAGACCAAACAATTTATGCCCAGTGTCACTTGGAGGCTCACAATTTTCGATAATTGTCAATCGAGTGAATTATTTCGGAAAAGAAATTCTCGTTTCCGCCTATCCAGAAATTTAGAATATTTTACATCTTTTTTTTATAATTCAAAATCTATATATATATTTTATCATCTCCACGTACGAATTAGCTTTAAATAAAAAAAAATTGATAAAAAAGAAATACTCATTTGAAATTGGCATTAATTTAAAAAATGTGCCAAAAAAAGGAAAAAAAAGAATTGTGTGAGTAGAAAAATCATTAGATGATCCAGTTATTTTTTCTATGTTGATAAATGTCTTTTTTAATTGACATCATGTCCTCGAGTGTGATATTCAAACTGTAAATTTAATACCTAAGGAAATAAATACAGATTTCATACCTGGAAGGATTTTTTCTGCTTCTTTTTTAGATCCGTGACATCTAATAGAGGAAATATCGCCGGTCGTCCATGAGCACATCGATTTGGAGCTTTAGCTTTTCTCAGCGATTTTATCAGTAAATTACATTGATTGTTCGTTAAAAAATCGCCGAATTTGATAGCACCTTTAAAAAAAATACGAATTTTCCTAATTATCGTAGAATAAAAATTTTAATGGAAGTATTTTTGGTTTCCTAATTTTTTTAAAATATAAAAATTTACCTCGACAAGCTTCGGATGCAATTGAATTATGTATTGATTTCGGTAAAATAGAAACGCCATTTGTACTCTCAAGACTCTCGGCAATTTCAAGGAGAAGATTCTTCACTGAGCAGAATAATTTAAATTCACTGTATTCACTTTTCCTTCGGAGAAAACAACGAGGCACGTTTGTCACCATCAATAAATCAACGGAATTCGATATTAATTGAACGCCAAATTTTCCAAGTAAATTTCTATTTGTAATAAGTAATTTAATTTTCTCTGGTTCCATGTCAGTTATCAAAATTGGATGATCCAGGACAATTGAATAGTATTGTTTCGTTCTATCAATTCTATAGTCTGGAAAATAGAATTTTTTTAAAAATTTATTTACTATTTATTAAAAATATTTTTTAGAAGAAAATTTAAATATTTGAAAGTAAATTTACTTTGAAGAAGATCCTCGTAACGAATTCTTTCATCAGCCGCATGTTGATCGATCATTAATAATAATCTCGAATTATCTTGAATTCCAATCGCAGCAATAAATTCAGAATTAATTTGTCTCAAGATCTGGAAGAAATTTTTATATTTATTATATATTCGAAGAAGAAAAAATACAATTTTTAATTTTAAATAAAACCTGGTATTCCATTTTTTATTATTTTGTAAATTAAAAAAATTTATATTTTCAAGAATAAACGTCAATTTTTGAATGATTACAGATTCAAAATTTTAAGAATTCACTTATTAAGTAGGTACATAATTAAATATTCTTGATTACTATTTTTCAAAACATTTTCGCAATAATTTAATTTCTATTCTCATAAATAATAAAATTTTTTTCGAGAAATTCAAAAATTTTCAGAACAATTTTAATAAAATTATTAGAAAGAATACAATTATTTTTAAAAATATTAATTAAATTCGATTATTTTCAAGAATTTTAATATAAATTCGATTATTTTCAATAATTTTAATATAAATTCAATTATTTTTTAATAATTTTGATGAAATTTTTTAAGAAAACGAATTATTTTCAAAATTTTTAAATAAAATTCCTTTAAAGAATTCAATTACTTTCAAAAATTCGGATAATATTCTTCGAAACAATTCAAATCTTTATAAATTGTAAAATCGACCGCAAGAATTCAATTATTTTCATAAATAAGAAAATTCTTCTCAAAAATTAGAAAATTCTTTGGAGAAAGTCAATTATTTTCAATCCAATTTTAATAAAATTTCTTGAAAGAATAGAATTATTTTTAAAAATAATTATTAAATTCGATTATTTTCAAGAATTATCAACAATTTTGATGAATTTAAAAAAAAAAGAATTATTTTCAAAATTTTTAATAACATTTCTTCAAAGAATTCAATTATTTCCGAAAATTCGGTTAAAATTCTTTACAACAATTAAAATTTTTCTAAATTGTAAAATCGCCCGCAAGAATTCAATTATTTTCATAAATAAGAAAATTTTTCGCAAAAATTAAAATATTTTCATAAATAAGAAAATTCTTGAAAGGATTTTAATTATTTGCATAAATAATAAGATTTTTATCCAATTATTTTCAATACAATTTTAATAAAATATCTCAAAAGAATACAATTATCTTTAATTAAAAATATTATTTAAATTCAATTATTTTCGAGAGTTTCAACAAAAATCCAATTATTTTTAAAAATTGTAATAAAAGTTTTCTAAACTATTTTATTTTTTCCGAAATAAAATTTTTGTAAATTTCAATTACATATTTTCAAGAATTTTAACATAAATTCAATTATTTCCAACAATTTTAATTAAATTCTTTAAAAAAAATCATTATTTAAAAAATTTTTTTAAAAATTCAATTATTTTAAAAAATTTGGATAAAATTCTTCGAAGCAATTCAATTATTTTTATAAATTGTAAAATCCTCCGCAAGAATTCAATTATTTTCATAAATAAGAAAATTCTTCGCAAGAATTAAAATATTAACATAAACAATAAAATTCTTCAATGGAATTCAATTATTTTCAAAACAATTTTAAGAGATTTAGTAAAAATTCAATTATTTTCAACAATTCTGATAAAAAAATTCTTCGAAACAATTCAATTATTTTTATAAATTATAACATTCTTTGCAAGAATTCAATTATTTTTGTAAATAATAAAATTTTTCTGAGAAATTCAATTATTTTCGATACAATTGTAATAAAATTTCTAGGAAAATTCAATTATATTCAAGATAATTTTAATAAAATTTCTCTAACGGGTACAATTCTTTTTAAAAATTATAATAAAATATTTCTAAACAATTCAATTGTTCTCAAAAGTTTTCAATAACATTTCTTTGTAAATTTCAATTATTTTCTAAATTTTCAATTAAAATTACTTTTAAAAAATTCATTATTTTTACGAAATTTAATGAAATTCTTAAAAAAAAATTAATTATTTACGAAAACTCTAATAAGATTGTTTAAAATAATTTATTTTTCTATGAATAATTTTAATATAATTGAATATTTCAATTTAATTATCAAATTTGTTTATAAATTCATTACAAGAATTCAGTGATTTTTAGTACATCGACAATTTAATTAGTTCTGAAAATAATTAAATTCTGGTAAAGAATTTTATGAAATTTTTTTTAAATAATTGAATCCCTGCGAAAAAATGTATTATTTCTATACAAATAATTGAATTTTTGCAAAATTTAAAAAAATAAATGAATTTTTGAGAAGAATTTTATTAAATTTGTATTTAAAATAATTGAATTCCTTTGAAAAATGTACTATTTATTGATATTATTGAATTTTTTCGAAGAATTTAAAAAGAATGTTTAAAAATAATTTAATTTTTCCTGGAATTCTTGAATTGAATTTTAAGTTTTTTAAATAATTGAACTCTTGTGAAAAACTTAATTATTTTTTAAAATAATTGAATTTTCTCGGAGCATTTTTAAAAATTTTTAAAAATAATTGAAATTTTCAAAAAAATTAATTAAAATTGTATTGAAAATAAGTGAAATCCTGATAAGAATTTTATTATTTATATTAAAATAATTAAATTTTTTACGAAGATTTTTATTATTTATAAATATGTAATTTTTGCAAAGAATTTTATTACAATTATGAAAAATAATTGAATTCTTGATAAAATTCAATTACATATATGTACTTTGAAAATTTTCAGTAAAAATTATTTAAAAAAAACTTCCCATTATTTTCAAAAAAATTGAAATAAATTCTTTAAAACAACTCAATTATTTTAAAGAATTTAAAAAACATTTAAAAAGAAAAATTATTTATAAAGTTTGGTATAATAAAAAAGCAATACCACAATTTTATTAAAATATAGATTTTCAACTTACTTCAATTGAATATAATGTTTTTCGATTCAATTTAAATTCATTCGGACGTGAAACAAGGCAAAGTCTCACATTCAAATTTTGATAACGACTGACAATTTGATCGGCTGCAACAAAATATTTTCATATCTAAATTTATTAAATTGAATAATAAAAATAACAGGGTTGCTACATAAATTTTGTTCTTCCTTGACTAAAATTCATTAAATTATCTAATTTAATAATTAACTCACCTTTTAATTGTGGTTTAAAAATAGTTGGAATATTTTCCCCGTCAATATTTTGAATATTTGTCTTTGATAGAATATGAAATTTCCCAAATGGTAGCATTGAGTTGAATATTGGCGGCAAAAAATAATATAAACGATGATAGTCTACTTTTTTTGATTCAGAGATTTGAATAGAATCTTTGGAAACAGGGACGACGTAATTCCAGTCAGACCATTCAGAAAGTTGGCTGCAATGTTCTAAATCAATTTATTGTTGACAAAAGTTTATATAAAAAAAAGAATTAATAAATTCGAATTTATTCTCACCTGTAACAAATTGATGAACAGTGTCTTGATTTGAAACAACTGATTTTTCATCATTATGTCTTGTTTTTGCTATTTCGGAAATTTCCTCCCTCTGCGAAAATCGATTATCCTCGTTGAAAATTTTAATTCCTTGATTCTTTGGATGGAAATTTAGATCCTTCTGTCTTAATAAAATTGAGTCCTTTTCCTTAATAATATTTTCCATTGAATTGAATTTCTTTTGGCATCGTTGATCTGTTTCTTTAGGTCTTAAGAACATTGAGTCGTCCTTCTCTCTATTGAAATTCTCCATCGAATTGAATTCCTTTTGCCATCGTTGATTTGTTTCTACATCATGAATTTGATTCTTTTCTCTGTTTTTCAATTGAACTCTTTTCTCTAATTTATTCGTTAATTCGTCGCTTTTCGATTTTTTAAAAATACCCCTCCTCTGATCGATTGTTTCGTCTAAATATTGACGATTTCTTCGCATACGCTTAATGAGTGTTTGATAATCATTCAATTCTTTTAATTTATCGACGTGGAATACTTTTTCTTCGGGATAAATTACATTATTTTCCTCTTTTCTCTTTAGCCAGATGTTACTTTTATTGTTCTTCGATTCGTCGATTTTTAATTTTTTAAATTCGTCATGGGAGATGAATTTTAGTTGCGAATCGAAATTTTCCTTTTTCTGCAACTGTTGATCTCGTTTTCTTTCCTCTCGTATGATTTTCAATCTTTTCATAAATTCATCCTCGGGATTAATTTTTATATCTTGCACTATTTTCACTTTTTTTCGATCCACGTCATCTTGCGTTTGATTTTGAATTTTATTTACAAATTTCTCATCGGGAAATAGATTTGAAAATAAAGCTTTGTGTCGATTTTTCGGGAAAATTTGCTCGTGGTCTTGTTGAAATTCTTCTTCTTCATCCATTTCTCGAGTTTGACTTTTCAAGAATTGTTCAATAATTTCGTGATTTATTCTTTGCGATTCGTTGTTGAGTTTAATTTTTTTTGGCCTTATTTCAGGATTGATTTCGAAATTTGTTTCCTCTTGTTTTCTTTTCAAAGCATTTTGCTTCTCTTCTTCTCTTTTTTGTCTCTGCTCTCGTAATTTATCGCGACGATTCTTTTTGAGAAAGGAAAGTTGAGTCATTGTGATTTTATGACTGCCAAACGGTTTTCTAAACGAATTCTTCTCGTTTTTTTGCAAAATGACATTTTTCTTGGATTTTAATTTTCTTTCGGCTAAAATTTTCTTCGTTTCCTTCACATTTTCTTTGAGCCTGGCATTTTTTGCAATTATCGGCTTATTAAGAGTTGAAGATTTACTGACTTGTCGATTAAAAATGTCATTTAAACTTCTTTTCATAATTTGTGATGGAAATTTTTTCAACTTTGTCTTCAATGGATTTTCACAAGTTTCTTGAGAATCTATCAATTTTAATAACTTTTTCCTTTTCTTTCCATTTGTTTCGAAATTTCCCCCTTTCTTTGAAAACGGTTTTTCATCCACTTGTCGATTAAAAATGTCATTTGAACTTTTTTTCAAATTTTGTGATTTTTTCAACTTTGTCTTCAATGGATTTTCCGAAGTTTCTTGAGAATCTTTAATCAATTTTAATATCGCTTTCTTTTTCTTTTCATTTGTTTCGAAATTCACCCCTTTCTTTGAAAATGGTTCAGTCTTTTTGATATTGTGCTTTGATTTTATTTCCGATTTTTTCGTCTTTAGATTTTTTTTCAAATCGAATTTCCTCGCTGAAGTTTGCGTAGCTATCGATATCATTTTCTCCTCGAAAAGTTGATTGGAAACTTTGGAACAATTTTCTTGGTCTGATCTTTGAGTTATGAAATTATTTGCTTTCTCCAAAGAAATTTCTTTCTTCTTGTCTAGAAAAAAAAAATGGTTCGAATATTAGAAATAATTTCACTAGTAATAGAAAAAATGAAGTCAGTAACTTACAAGACTCGTAGGGTTTAGAATTCTCTTGAAAAGAACTTCTTCCTGGTTCGGTAAATTTGTCGGAATTAATTCTCACAGTGTCTAGAATGCAATTTTTCACAATGTCGGCAAATTTCCTCCATTCTTCGAAAATAACAAAAGTTCTTCCCTCATAGCTGGATAAAATAAAATCCGATTCTGAGCATTGAATAAAAATGACGAAATAAAGATTTTCTATCGAAATTTTCAATTCGTCGTCACTGAGTTCTTTCACTGTTTCGAGAATTAATTTTTGCATTTGTAAACAATTCGCCGATCTTCTGTTTATAAAGATATTGCGAACAAGACTCGATTTTGTTTCCAGAAAGCCAATATAGCCGCAAATCTTGAAACCGAATGATTTTTCACTACTTAAATGCCAGCTTGTTTTTAAAGGAATTGTTTGTCGGCAAATAAAGTTTAAAATACTGTACGGTTCGTGTGGTTTGTTAATTGCAACAATGAGTTTATCGTTCTTTTGATCTTGAAGAGTGAATGAAACCTACAAAACAAAAAAATTAATTTACTAACAGAATTTTAGTTAATTTACCAGGGTTGCCACGCTTTTGCTCATTTTTCAAATTCTCTGACTTTTCCAGGTTAAAAAACGGAATTTTTCGAGGTTTTTTAAACTACAAATTTATTTACAAATTTTTTCAAAAGTAGAATTATTCGAAAAAATTTAATTAATTAAAATTAAATCAATTAAATATATATTAAAAAATTTAACTAATTTCAGAAGAATTTGAATTCTTTATCTTTTCAAAAAGATTTTTTTCTAATTAAATTCATTGAAAATTGAAATTTTACAAATTTTCAAATATTACAACCATTTGAAGTGGATTTATTTATGAAAATTGTAAATGCATCTCTTTTAAAATTGAATTAATTAATATTTGTAAAATTATATTTCAATAATTTTCAGGTTTTCCAGGTTGCGTAGCAACCCTGTTAACAAACAAAATTTTTGTTAATTAATTAAATTAATTAACAAACAATAATTAAAATAAAATCTTTACATCAGTGTAGAGTAAAGCCAACGATGTGATAACAAAATAAATTCGATTTAAAGCAGAATCCCAACCAGAACCATCGAATCCATAAATCGTCACAACTGTTCCTTTAGTAAGCCAATTTGTTTTCAAGAAAGTCGGAGATTCTCCAATTCTAAATTCCTTTTCATAAGTTGGCGAATGGACATGTTTCGAAGTGATAAGGCAAATTTCCGAAAGATCAATAATTTGCCTTAAACTTTCACCTCTTTTCGAATGAGTGTAACACGTTACTCTTGCACTTCCATTCTTTTTCTCAATTTCTCCAATTCTCATGAGAACATCGGGAGGAATTCCTTCTCCGCTATCAATGACTTGAATTTTTTTCTTATCACTGTCAAAACGAACTGCAATTCCAGTTGTTTTCGCATCAAGAGCATTTAAAATCTTAGAAGAAGGAAAATAATAAAAAATAACAATAACAAGTAATTTGCAATAAAGAAATAATAATTTATACTCACCAACTCTAGTACACATTGACCAACAGTTGAAATTTCCATAGTTTGACAGTTTATATTATCGAATGTCACTGTTTATATTTTACTTTACTCATTGTTTACAGACTTTATTGGTATTTTCATTTTAATTTAAACAATTTAAACAAATGAATTACTATCAAATAAATAGGTGATTGACGAAAATTGTAGTGAAAATACTTAAAAAGGGGGTAAACGGGTAAATTAACCTTTTCTTGAGCGTCGTCCACACACTCGAAAGTTTCCCGAAGAGGCGAAGACCGGAAGTGAGCAAGAAGTGCAAGTGAGCGACCAATGAAAATTTAGTAAAAGACACGTGATCCAAACCGCGGCAAATTTAAATATTATGAAAAAAACGACGACGAAAATTAATTATTTTAGAGATTTTCGAATATTTATAAGTCGAAAAATTAAAAAAATCGGAAAACAAATCGAATATTTTGACAGAAAAAAGAAGTTATTTGCATACTTTTAGTTTTTTTAGTGTGACGAGAGGACGAGACGGGCGCATGTGTGAGAATGGATGTAAATAGTTTGACAGATTTGACAGTTGAATATTACACTTTTTTATTGCAACGATAAATTAATATAAAAAAGAATTCAATTTCTCTATAAGCAAAATCTCGTTAATAATTAATAATTAAGGAGAAAACGGAGAAAATAAAAAAAGTATAATACATTGAAAAACTAAGTTGTTTACTGTTCATAACCTCACTTTTAAATTGTTTGTGTTTGTTTCGTTTTAAGTCATGGAAATAAATCCACTGAGTATTATTCTTGTTAAAAGTGACAGTAAAGGTGACAGGATGCTTTTTCGTTATCCACATACAACTAATCATGAAAGAGATTCAAATCAATGTACAAAACGAAAGAATCCTTATTCGTTAATTATAAATGAAGATCTACTACAGGTGGGAAATGATTCCTTTTTTTTCCATTCATAGTACAGTTTATTATTATTTATTTTTTTTACCAAAAATAATTATTTTGCTAATATTTCGATTATTATTATATTATTGTAATTTTTTTTTTTGTACAGTCGTTGCCATTTCCTACGTCGAATATAACGAATGGGAATCTTACGGGATTATCAGATGAAGTTCTATCGACGTTATTTGCAGTGAAACCTGAATTATGTGAATTGAAATTTGAATTAAAAGTAAATAATGTACGTTTTGTTGGACATCCAACGCTTCTTTCATCGCGAGGAACAAAAGAAACAAATTCGTCAATGTTGGTCAATGTTGTTTTCGCTCTTCAAGCACAAGCCACTCATTCGGTTGTGAAATGTTATTACGATCTTAGCAGAAGGTTTGTTCTTTTTTGGTTTTATTTTTTCATTACAGTAGAGTCACAAATTTTAAAAAAAGTATCCAAATAGTAGCCAATCGTAAGAAAAGTAGTAAATAACAGATTTTAGTAGATGAGTGCGAAGCCTGAATTCATTAACGTTACATTCAAATTCATTGAGTTTAAATTTAAGTCAATTAACTTTAGATTCAAATTAATTGAATTTAAACTTCTTACTAGACTTGGGATCGCATTAAGGCACGAGGAGAAGCGATGCGGATATCTTAGTGAAGAAATTAAAATGATGGTATCCACACACGATGAAGCAGCTGCTCGGTAAGAATAATAAAAGAAATATCGACTTTATTTTTTCTCGATAAATAAATAATTGACGTTTTCAGTTCAGAAGAGGAGAGCGACGGGGACGAATCGCCATACGAAGTGATACTGCAAAAAAGTTCTCTCGCTCGCGATTTGAAATCAGTTTTCAACAGTCTGAGTACAACCGGAGTAATTAATATTATGATCAATAAATGGATTCAAGTCAGTTTTTGCCTGCCGCAAAAAGTTCATCAGTCCCACAAAAAAGGCTTTATCATGAATCCAGAAATGATTGACAGGTCAGTTTTCATTTCCTCTGAATCGAGTGACTATTTGGTTTATTTGAAAATTTTACAATTTTTACAATTTACAATTTGAAAATTGTAAGTAAAAATCGAATTATAATTAAATTAAATTTTATTAATTGAATGTTAATTTCAAAGATGCTTGAAAAGTTTGAGGCCCTATCATGGTTTGCTATTGTTGATCGAGCCTCTGGAATTATTGGAATCTCTTCCTTCGGATTCATCGCCAGCGCTGAGGCGAATGATTCAAATGTATAATCCTCTAAAGAGTCTGCAAACTTTAGCTGCTGATTCGGATCTCACGTTATCTCAAGTTTTTCAATTAACTGGACATTTAGTTTATTGGGCGAAGGCAACTATTATTTATCCACTTTGCGAAAGTAATGTTTACGTTGTCTCACCGGATGCAATTATAACGAATCAATTATTGGAAATGTTTTCCGAACAATTTCCAGGATTGTGTCTCTTACAAGTAAGTTATTAATTTATTTTTTTTGAAATCCTAATTAAAATTAAAATTAAAATTAAAACTTTGTACAATATTTTTTAAGGTTCTGAGTGATTTTTCTCTTCCAACGTCGATTAGTCAAAAACTAAATCCTCTGAATCAACCACAACAACAGACGCAATTGGTGAAAATTATTATTTGGATGCTAAAATATCATCTTTTGCTGCAGTTACACACTTACGTGCAATATATGCCGACGGCTCATGGTCGAATAATTAAGGTTTAATTTAAATTAATTTTTAACTAAAGTAAATTTCTTATTTTATTTCTTTCAAGTCTTTCAATTTCTTTAAAGGTAATTTTTACTTTTAGAGAAATTGAAAGAATTGAACGATTTTTACTTTTCGAGAAATTCAAAGAATTGAAGAAATTTTAATTTTCAAGAAATTGAAAGAAATCCGTAATTTGATTGAAAAAGGACGAAAAGTTCATAAATTGTACGATATAATTTGGAGAATTTTAGAAAAAATTACAAATGAATGCAAAAATTCCTTTAATTTTCAAAAGCAATCAAATTCTTCTCAGAAATTCAATTATATTCTAAATTTTTAAAAATTTTCGTCAAAATTTCAATTATCTTTAGAAATAATTAAATATATCTCCGAAATTCAATTATTTTCAAAAATTTTGATAAATAAAATTCTTGGCAAAATTTTAATTATTTTAAAAAATTGTCCTCAATTAAATGATTTTCAATATCTACTATTTTAATAAAATTTTTCAAAAGAATTCAATTATTTAAAAAAAAAATTAATAAAATTCTACGCAAACCTTTAATTATTTTCATAAAATAATAAACATTTCACAGAGATTTAATTATATACAAATTCTATATAACTTTCCTCGCAGTCATTCAATTATTTTCATAAATACTAAAATTCTTCTCAGAAATTCAATTATTTTCAAAAACTTTAAACAAATTATTAACGAAAATGAAATTTATCTTTGTAAAAATAAAATTCTTTGCAGAAATTTAATTATTTCCAAAAACGTTAAGAAAATCCTTTAAAAGAATTCAATTATTTCCAAAAATGTTAAGAAAATCCTTTGAAAGAATTAAATTATTTTCATAAATAATAAAATTCTATGCAGAAATTCAATTATTTCCAAAAACTTTAACAAAATTTTACCCAAGAATTCAATTATCTTTATAAAAAACAAAATTCTTCACAGAAATTGAATTATTTTCAAAAATTTTAATTAAATTCTCCTAAAAATTCAAATATCTTCAAAAATAATAAAATTCTGCGTAAGAATTAAATTATTTTTGTAAATAGTAAAATTCGTCAAAAGAATTCAATTATTTTCACAAATAATAAAATTCTTTTCTGAAATTAAATTATTTTCAAAAAATTTAAACAAATTATTGACGTAAATAAAATTATCTTTGTAAAAATAAAATTCATTGCAGAAATTAAATTATTTACAAAAATTTTAATAAAATTCTCCTAAAAATTCAAATATCTTCTTAAATAATAAAATTCTGCGCAAGAATTCAATTATTTTTATAAATTGTAAAATTCTTCAAAACAAATTAATTAATTTCTATAAAATAATAAAATTCTTTGCAGAAATTCAATTATTTTCAAAAACGCTAAGAAAATTTTTTAAAAGAATTCAATTATTTCCAAAAATGTTAAGAAAATCCTTTAAAAGAATTCAATTATTTTCATAAATAATAAAATTATATGCAAAAATTCAATTATTTCCAAAAATTTTAACAAAATATTTCCCAAGAATTCCAATTATCTTTATAAAAAACAAAATACTTCACAGAAATTGAATTAATTTCAAAAATTTTAATAAATCTTCATAAATAATAAAATTCTGCGTAAGAATTAAATTATTTTTGTAAATAGTAAAATTCGTCAAAAGAATTCAATTATTTAAAAATTTATTAATAAAATTCTTTATGGGAATTCAATTTTAAGAAAAATTCAATTATTCAATAAATTATTTATTAATTTTGTTTTTTTTTTATAATTTAATTCTCGTAGAATTTTCTAAGAAAATTAGATTTAAAAATGAATTAAATATTGTTCAAGAATAATAAAATTCTTCTTAAGAATTCAATTATTTTAACAAATAATAAAACTCATCGATGACTCCGAGTCGAATACTCGAAGTTATCAATATCTTCATGTTTCATAGAATTATGAAAAATTTAATTTCTAGTTTTAAGTAAAATGTTCTTTTATTTGACTCGGACTGATTATATTTTTGTCAGTAATTGGTCCCTAATTTTTCATTTTTGGTCCATAAAGTCCATATTTTTAAATATACTTTCACTTAGTTCGAGACCTGTTAATTAAAAAAAAATCTTTTCCACAAGGATGCGAAGTCTTCGGACACGTCGAGTCCAACAGGAACGGTAGAAAATGAAAATGGACATCAACAGGAAGACAGCAGTTGGAGTCTGAGCGATACACCAAAAGGAACGCCGAGCGATTCAAAAACAGACATGTCCCTCTCAATTCACAAGGAGGATGGAATTTATGATTTTCAACCGGAAAGTTATTCAATTCCATCGGACGATATTATTTTACTCGATAAACTCTGTCGACACGGTTATTTTCGTGGTGGACATCATTTAGAAGAAATTATGTACTTGGAAAATATTCGTCGTTCACAATTATTACAAATTCTCGATAAATTTCGTGATATTTTAATTACATGCGAGAGTGAAGATCCAGCGATTGCACTTTTTTACTCGCAATTAAGTTCACAGTGATAATTAAAAAAATATATTATTTTTTTTATAAAAAGGTAAAAAAAATATTATTTTTGTATATATTGTAAAGAATATATTTAACGTTGGAAATTTTTTATACTTGTTAAATTGTTTTAAATATTATTGATGAGGTAAATATAATCTATTATTGGAGGTAAATGTAATTTTCTTTTAATTTATAATAAAAGTAAATTATAAAATAATTATAAATTGAAATTAAAATAATTATATAACTTTAATCATTACCATTAAATTTTCATTTTGCAATAAATCTTATTACATTTTTATTAAAAATATATAGTTAATAATTATAAATTTAACGCAATTTAATAATATTATAAAATTAGAATGCAATAAAAAAATCTTTAGAAATTTTAATCAACTAAAATTAATACTGAAAATAAGGAATGTTTACTTTTAATAAAGAAGGAAATTAATACTATTTTTTTTTGTTTTTTTTGTACTATTATCTATCTCATTTCACTTTCATGGAAAAATATACAGCCCTTTCAAATAAATTGTTACAGTAGGCTATAACCAACACAAATTTTGGTGTTATTGTTACATGTTACTGTTATTTGGTGTTACAAATATTAACATATATATCTTCTGTTTTAGCATAATTAGGAAAAAATAAGCAAAATTATTTAATTTTACAATATTATCGTTTAAATATACAAGACTCATTCTTTGAAGCATGAAATTTTTTTCTCTCTTTTTTTTAAGATTGTAACTTTGCACAAAAAAAAATTAACAAAGTATTTCTAATAAATATTCAGAAAAAAATATTCTGAATTATTTTTTATGCATAGGTATTATTATTATTATTAATATTATTATTAATTAATAATTTATGTAACTATTAATCCATTGTCTTAATGAATTCAATTGCAGAACAAAATTGTGTCCACCAATATTGTTCCTCACCCTGTAAATGATTACTGTAGAAGCTTTCAACATATTGGACTGTCGACAATAATGATGGTGGATTTGCCTGGAAAGTAAATAAATTTTTCATTGAAACAAAATTCTTTAAATTGAAAGAATTTTTTTTTAATTTGATTGTATATTTAAAATTTTTTTTAAGTTTAATTTTTAATTTTAATTTTTAATTTATATTTTTAATATTAATTTTTATTTTTTAATTTCTATTTTTAATATTAATTTTTAATTTCAATTTTTATAGATTAATTTTCACGTTAATGATGATTTACCTTTATGATGACATAAACAAGAACTGGAATTAGATCATCAGCAGCTGGGATTCCTCTCTCCGATGCCATTGATAATAGGCTCATTATTGTTGTGGCACATCTCCAAATGCATTGAAATTTATCTCGAGGAGTTTTGTACGCCGATATTACTGTCAATTCGGCTTGTGCCCATGGCCAGGGACATTCGTAATGATAGATCTTTGGAATTCGTAAATCCTTATGATTGGGCGTTAAACCTTTTGACAATTTTTTAATATGATCATTGAGAACTTGATCCCTGCATAAATCGCCGTCTCCATTTGGAAATAGAGCAAAATTGTAAATTTGAGCCATGACAATTCTCTCGACAACAATTCTCGCTAATTTCAATTGAGTATTACTGGCAGCTGAAATAAAAATTAATAATTTGTACTAAAATAATTAAAATATTAAAAATCATCTATATTTTGTTAATTAATAGATAATCTTTGTATTTCGGTAATTTGTTCGCAGTTTAAAATTAGTTACTGTTTGATTTTTTTTCTAACTTTTGAAATAATTTTCCTTTTTAAATGTTTTCGATTTTAAAATTAATGTTCTGAAAATCATTGAATTCTTGTAAAGTATTTAAAAAAAAATTTGAAAATAATTGAATTCATTTCAAGAATTTTATCAACAATTTTCTCAATAATTGAATTCTTTCGAGAAAATGTAATTAAAATTGTATTGTAAATATTTTAATTCTCGGCAAGATTTTTATTAAAATTATTTAAAATAATTGAATTGTTTTGAAGACATTATTTCAATTTTTCTTGAAAATAATGAAGTTTTTTTAAAATAATTTTTACTGAAAATTTCGAAAGTAATTGCAAAATTCTTTGCAAAAAGTCAATTTATAAATAATAAAAATATTCGTAAAAAAATCAATTTTTTTTATATAAATAATAAAATTCTTATCAGGATTTCACTTATTTTCAATACAATTTTTGAAAATCTTATAAAAAAGCTCCGAGAAAATTTAATTATTTTTAGAAAACTTGTAAAATGCTCCGAGAAAATTCAATTATTTTAAAAAATAATTAAATTTTTCACAAGAGTTCAATTATTTAAAAATATTTTAAAATTCATTTCAACAATTAAATTATTTTAAATACAGTTTTAATTGAATACCAGGGAAAATTAAATTATTTTTAAACATTTTTTTTTAATTCTTGGAAAAAATTCAATAATATCAATAAATAGTAATTTTTTCAAAGAAATTCTATTATTTTAAATACAAATTTAATAAAATTCTTCTTAAAAATTTACTTATTTTTTTAAATTTTGCAAAAATTCAATTATTTGTAGAAATAATAAATTTTTTCAGACGGATTCAATTATTTAAAAAAGTTTTCATAAAATTCGATTAAAGAATTCAATTATTTTCAGAAATAATTAAATTGTCGATGTTCTGAAAATCACTGAATTCTTGTAAAATATTTATAAAAAAATTTGAAAATTAAATTGAAATATTTAATTACATTAAAATTATTCATAGAAAATTAAATTCTTCTAAACAATTTTATTAGTTTTTGTAAATAATTACGTTTTTTTTTTTGAAGAATTTTATTAAATTTCTTGAAAATAATGAATTTTCTTAAAGTAATTTGAATTGAAAATTTAGAAAATAATTGAAATTTACAAAGAATTTTATTAAAAACTTTTGAGAGCCATTAAATTGTTTAGAAAAATTTTATTACAATTTTTAATACTGAAAATAATTTAATTCATGGCAAGATTTTTATTAAAATTTTTGAAAAATAATTGAATTGTTTTGAAGAATTTATTTGATTTTTTTTAAAATAATGTTTTTTAATTAATTTTTATTGAAAATTTTGAAAATAATTGAATTTTATGAAAAATATATCTCTTTTAAGTTTCTAAAATAATCGTGTTTATTATAAATTGTAATTAATAATTTTTATTATTAAATTTTATTAAAATTATTGACAGAAAATTAAATTCTTTTTAAGAATTTTATTTCTTTTCGTAAAAAAATAAAATTTTTTGAAGAATTTTATTATTTACAAAAATAATTGAATTCTTGCCAAGAATTTTACAATTTATATAAATAATTGGATTGTTTTGAAGAATTTTGTATCAGAATTGTTGAAAATAATTTAATTTTTACTAAAACTCTGGAAAATAATTGAATTAAAATTATATTTTTAAAAATATTTGTATTCTTTCGAGAAATGTTATTAAAATTGTTCTGAAAATAATTGAATTGCTTCAAAACATTTTATTATTTATGAAAATAATTGAACTCTTTTGAAGAATTTTATTGTCCAACGTTAATATTTTAATTCTTGCGAAGAATTTTCTTATTTATGAAAATAATTAAATTCTTGTGAAAGATTTTACAATTCATAAAAAAAAAATTGAATTGTTTCGAAAAATTTTATCTGAATTTTTGAAAATAATTGAATTTTTTGAAGGAATTTTATTAAATAATTTGAAAATAAAGATTTTTTAAAAATAATTTCATCAAAATTGGCGAAAATAATTGAATTTTTGCGGAGGATTTTACAATTCATAAAAATAATTGAATTGCTTCGAAGAATTGTATCTGAATTTTGTAAAATAATTATATTTTTTGAAGGAATTTTATTAAATAATTTGAAAATAATTATTTTTTCAAAAGAATTTCAACAAAATTGTCAAAAGTAATTGAATTTATATTAAAATTCTTGCAAATAATAGAATTTAATTAATATTTTTAAAAATAATTGTATTTTTTCCAGAAATTTTATTAAAATTATTTTGAAAATAATTGAATTCCTCTGAAACATTTTATTATTTATGAAAGTAATTGAATTGTTTTGAAGAATTTTATTTTTTATGTTTATATTGTAATTCTTGCAAAGAATTTTCTTATTTACAAAAATAATTGAATTCTTGGGGAGGATTTTACAATTCATAAAAATAATTGAATTGCTCCGAAGATTTTTTGAAAATAATTGAATTTTTTGAAGGAATTTTATTAAAAATTTTGAAAAGAATGATTTTTTTAAAAGAATTTAATTTATATTGTTGAAAATAATTAAATTTATATTAAAATTCTTTAAAATAATTGAATTCAATTAATATTTTTTAAACTAATTGTATTCATTCGAGAAATTTTATTAAACTTATATTGAAAATAATTAAATTGCTCTAAAGAATTTTATTATTTATGAGAAAAATAAAATTCTTGCGATAAATTTTATTAAAATTTTTTAATAATAATAAACAAGAATATTTAATATTATGTACTTAATAAGTGAATTCTTTAAATTTTTAATCTGAAATCATTCAAAAGTTGATGTTCATTCTTGAAAATATAAAATTTGTTGATAAATAAATTTAAAACTATGAAAAAATGTGGGACTAACTCTCCTGGGGCTCGAAATAAAATTTTTTAATTTCCAAATAATAATAAATGGAATACCGCGTTCCACGCGTATCATTTGCTAATTTATATAAATAAAAATTTACAATTGAAAATACCTTGCCATATTGAGTCATTTTCCATTTCGGCGTGAATTGTTCCTAGGAAATTTTCCACCAAATCCTGTTTTTCATCAATTAGAGAAAGCATTTTGAATTCCTCGCAAAATCGAGAGAGTAAAGTTTCTCTTTTCTCGAGAAACACTCTCACGCAAACTGATACCAAATGATTGTTTACTGCATCTCGATCGCATTTGACACGTTCTGACAATCTGTTGTTTTTTTTTTGTTAAAGAAAAGAAGAAAAAATAATTATTAATTTGATGGGATTATTTTAAAGAAATGTAGGTAATAATAATATTTACCGATCTAAATGAGCGACTGTTGACAATAAACCCTGTCGACATCGAACAAGATACGCAATGTACGGTGATCTTTTTCTGTAGTCATCTTTCAATGATCTGAACAATTTTCTACAACCATCGTCATTAAATAATCTCACGCATCTCAATGTCTCATGTAAATGTGCTATCAATGCTCTATCTTGTAAATTGATAGCTTCGGCCAATTGCATCTGAAGAAAAGCCACCAACTCATTTTCCTTTTGCGTCCAACCGTTTCTCTGCAAAACAGAAAATAAAATTCACATCTCTCTCTCTCTCTCTTTTTTTTTTTTTAATTCATAAATCAAAATTTAAAATTTATATTTTATAATATCACGTTTATGAATTATTTTCTAAATACTATTAAACTAAAATACTTTTTTCAAATCAATTCTTATCCGATTTCAACTATGAGAATTGAATTATCTAAATATAAAAATAAATAATTGATTAGATTTCTAAAATTCTAAAATTATATTCAAATAAAATATTTTTAATAATTTTTGAAAAAGTTCTTGGACTTCAAATCATTACACAAAAATGCAATTAAACTTTTACAAAAAAATTAGTTCTACAAAATTGTTAGTTGAAATTATAAAAAATTCAAATTTTCAAAGATTTTAATCTTAAACCTTTTCAAAATTAAATTATTTCCAAAAATTCATTCAATAATACTTCTAATATTCGGTTATTATATAAAACTATAAGTGAAATTAATTTTGAAAAGGAATTTTTATTAGAAAATTCAACGAGAATTTAATTATTTAAATACAAAAATAAATAATTGAATATTTCTCAATATTCAATTCTCATGAAGAATTTCAACAAATTTTTAAATAATTGAATTCATTCGACTAATTTTAATAAATTTTTTAAAAATAATTACATTTTTCAAAGGAATTCGATTCAAATTGTATTAAAAATAATTGAAATTCTGCAATGAATTTTATTATTAATGAAAATAATTGCATTCCTGAAAAGAATTTTATTTCATGTACGAAAATAATTGAATCTCTGTAAAAAAATTTTTTATTATTTATGAAAATAATTGAATTGTTACGAAGAAATTCATTAAAATTTTTGAAAATAATTGAATTTTTAAAAAAAATTTAATGAAAAATGTATTCAATTCAATTCAATTTCAATTTATTTATTTGTTTATAGGTAAATAACCATTACAAATACGCTTACAGATGCAATTATCAGCTCATTTTTACAATCTTTGATGAAGCCAATACAATAAAAAGCATACATTCATTCAATTCAACAGGAGGATAAAACACACATTCTTATTAAGTTTCCAATATAAAAGTACGCAGTCTTAGTAGAGATACAATAAAATTTGCCAATTTTCGTAACTCGTTCAACGAGTTAGATTCCAACAAATACATCCAATATTGAGGACTATGCGTAACTTTCCTAGGTTGATGAAAGATGGAACATCTCAAATCATTATATATTGGACACTCTGTTAAAATGTGAAACAAGGACTCACCACTTCCCATATTGCACACACCACAAGGCTTCTGGGGATCATAACTGAAAAAATAATCTCTCGTACGAATATATCCGCGCAAAGAGCCCATTAGTCTGAGCTGCGCTATCAATTTGATAACGTATCTCGGCAAACCTATCGTTAAGTACGGCTGTTCCCCAAAAACCCCAGGTAGGTACGGAAGTATTTGCAGACTCTCTGAATTTTTCAACTTTAAGGTGTCCAATTGTTTCAAATAGCTAAAATAATTATTCTGTACAATTTTTTTATTTGCAACCAAGCTTTCATAGTTCATATCCGGCCACAACTCCAAAGAACTGCAATCAGCGAACAATTTTTTAACTTGTAGAAGCCAATTGTATTTAATTTCATTAGGATTGTCAAATGCTAAACTATTTAATTTCTCTAAACAAATTTTAGGAAATCTTCCATCTTTCATCTTTAAGATTTTTTCGTACCACTCCAAGCTTTTCTTAAATATACCAAATGCGAGTTGTATACTGTTTGACTCTAACCGGGCCGCATAATTCGGCGTATACAAAGGCAGGTCTAACGCTCTTTTAACAAAAACAGTCTGTATTCTTTCCACTTCGTCAAGATACCTTAAGCCCCATATTTCCACAGCATAGAATAAAATGCTGATGACAAGACTTCGGAGTAGAGCTTTGATTGATTTCCACGAGTTAACTTTTGAACTTCGTACAATTCTTAGCACAGCTCCCGATGCCATCCTCGATACACTCATTCTTGCATCCATTTCTTTACAAAACACTCCTGACGTACTAAAGGTCACTCCCAGATATTTGTACTCCTTTAAAATTTCAATCTTGGACCCCGCTAAAGAGAAACAATAGTCCCTAACACGCCCTTTATGAAAAACAACCACTTTAGACTTATCTCTATTAATTGTTAATTTGTTAATTTCACAATATCTCTCCAATACATTAATCGCCCTCTGCAAGGCCACCCAAGAGTCCGCCAACAGGACGATGTCATCAGCAAATGCTAACAATAAAATATCGACAATGTGATTCACCGTAATTCCACTAATACCATGGTCTCGCACAAAACTCTCCATGTCATTAATGAAAAGCGTAAAAAGAAGCGGGCTTAGAGTTTCTCCCTGCATTACACCCGAAGTAACCTCTACCGGAGATGTCAAGCCAAACTGAGTCTTGATCGACATCTTGGCAGAATCATATAAACTTTTTACTAAACTAATAATCTTTGAGCTGACCCCTATACTTTGAAGTTTGGACCATAATAATGCGTGATCTACCGACGGAAATGCTCCCTTAAAGTCAACAAAAAATGCAAAAAGTTTACCTTTAGGTTTACTAAGCTGAATCTGGATGAGAGAAGATAAAACAAAAATTTGATCAATACAACCGCGCTTGGCTCGAAAACCTGCTTGGTTCTCCGGTAGAAGTTCCCTTTCCTCGACCCACTTTGTCAGTCTCTCAGATATAACCCGAGTGAACATTTTTGTAATACTATTTAATAAAGTAATTTCCCTGTAATTGCTTGGAACATTCGTATCCCCTTTTTTAAATAGCATAGATGTGAGATTGCTTGCCCAACTGACAGGCACTTTCTCTTTTCCCCAAATCCCGTTAAAAAGAGACAACAAATGTACCAGCCATACCTCAGGTAACTCTTTAAAAAATTCATTAGGTATCCCATCTGCTCCCGGTGATTTGTTATTTTTACTTTTAATTAGACTACGTTTTAATTCTAACATTGAAATAGGAGGGTCGAGTATTGGATCGTAATCGGTAGACAATTCAAGTATGCAAAGCTTTCTGGGAGGGAAAATACTGTTAGCGTACTCCTGCCACCTTTCGAGAGATATCACATTTACTGTGCAACAACGAGCCCTAAATTTATTTACAGCTTCCCAAAATACCCTGGTGTTATTACAATTAGATAAAGAGTGCAGTAGAGTTTCCTCATATTTTTTCCTTTTATACACTATTGTCTCTCTAAGTAATTTCTTTAGTTGCTTATAACGAATATCGTCCTCCTTAGCGAAGCTTGACAACTTACATTTTGAAAGCGATTCTTTCACTTCTCTTCTCAAATCGTCACACTCTCTATCTACCCAAGCTTTCTTTCCCGATGGCTTACTATACAATTTAGAGATCAAATTTAATTTGCCCGCCGCATCCCATATAGAAGATAACAATTTTTCATTAATACTTTCGATATCCTCTTCCTCTTCTATAATGTTTTCTGAGCTTGACATAAGTTGGATGTATTTATCTCTACAATTCACATTCCATTTAAGCTTTTTTAAATTCTCACGTTCTCTCTCTTCTACTCGCTCACCCATACTCATATTCGACAAAGCAATTACCACAGGTAGATGGTCCGAAGTAGTCGGTAAAGAAAGTACATTCAAATCTGAAATTAAATTTAAATAATCCAAGTAACAAAATACGAGATCAATCACACTATTGCCTTGATGCCCAACAAAGGTAAAATGCGCTGGCGTATCACTCAGACATCTCCCATTTAACACTGCTAAGTTATAATTCTCAAAACAATCCAGAAGCATCAACCCCCTCTCATTTGTCACCTGATCCATAGAAGAACGGCCACATACCGGTGAACAATTTGTCGGAACCGAAAACTCGCATAATTGATTTGCATTTCCAATTCTTGCATTAAAATCACCACCGATATATAAGGGTAGATTTGGATACTCATTATTAATTTTGTTGAGAATATTATCCAATTGTTGTGACATATCATGACAATCAACTGATTGCGGATAATAAACAACACCCACAATAAAGCAAAAATTTTTCCGTTTACATTTTATAAATATCCATCTACTGGTTAAATTAATAATTAAAAAATTAAAAACTTTCTCATTTATAAAAATTGCTAATCCGCCTGAAGGACGACCACCATTAAGACTAGTTGCTTTACTTACAATAGGAGTGTGACTTCTCAACCATCCTGGCCCGTTTAGTGATGAAAACGTTAACCACGTTTCACACAAGCACACAATGTCCCCACTATTCACAAATTCTGCGAGGTCTGAGAAATTCTTATATCCATTTATATTCCAGTAAATCACTCGACACACACCTCCCACCTGTAGCTGCTATTTCGTCAACTTGCTGTCAGCTGGTCCGTCACTCATGTGCCTCAATGGGGAGCCGTTAAGAAATCCATCAAGTCGTTGATTGGAACGATCATCAGACGCAGATCCCTTCCGGGGGCCATAAGGTTTCCTCCTTTTTGGTGACGTACGAGTTTCATGTTCTCTTTTTCTCTTATTCACATCCGTGAGCTCACTATTTGAAGGTTCAAGCAGTTTATCAATTTCTTGACGTGAGAGAGGACGATTATCGAGACAAAGATTTCTCGCTTTAATAGTTACTGTTATTCCTATCTCTCTCAGTTTCTCTTTCATGTCAAACAACCACTTTCTTTCCTTCCTTTCTTCCAGTGACAAATCCTGACTCACACCAATGTTCAGGGCCGATAACTCGGTTCTTTTGCTTAAAATTAATTGCTTTCTTTTAAATGAATCCAATTTGATTAAAATTGGTCTTTTTCCTTGAATTTTTCCCAGCCTGTACATGTCCGTGATGTGATCATCTGTTATTGATAAACCAACACTCTTGAGAACTCCCAACAGGTATGCAGAAAGATCCTCGTTTGTCTGCGTTGTATCAGGTGCATTATGCAAAATTACGTTGTTCGCACGTGCATTTTTTTGCAAAGCTAAAACTTCCTTTTTTAGCGTAAAGATTGTGTCTTGTAGGATTCTGTTTTCATCTTCCAGTTCCAGTAGTTTGGGTTTAAGCTTTTCGTTATCCTTTTTCAAGGAGCCTACATCAGCCTGTAGTTGAAAAGTGCACTTATGCAGTTCACTTATTTCCGCTTTCGTCTGTTCTGTATCGGCCTTGATTGAGTTAAGTAACTCGAAAATTTTTGGGTCCGTCTGTACTGTTGACATTTTCACTTGTCACAAAGGACACCACTACAATTAACTGAGTCAACACTTTATTCAGACAAACACTAGGACAGAATATATTGAACGAAAATTAACCGAACGAAACTGCACAAAAACACCAAGAGTTATGTATGAATTTCAATGATCTTTACCACACTCTGATCTACAGCCTTAACTTTATTAGTTTGTAAGGAAACTGGAATTCAATGCACAGGACAAACAATTATTAAAAACAATTTTAAATTAACGATTACAGACGCGTGATACTCAGTCAGCGCCATATTGGCTTCCTCCGAAAAATGTATTGAAAATAGTTATTAAATTCTACTAAACAAATTAAGTATATCAAACTTTTTTTAATAATTCTCTTGAAGAAATTTAATAAAATTTTTAAGAATAATTGCATTTTTTTGAGGAATTCATTTAATATTGTATTAAAAATAATTGAAATCCTACGAATCAGTTTTATTATTTATGAGAATAATTGAATTTATTAAAATTTTTTAAAAATAATATTCAATTTTTGAAAAGAATTTTATTATTTATAAAAATAATTAAATTCTTGCAGGAAATTTTATTAATTTTTTAATCAATTTAATTCATGCGAAGAATTTTATATTATTTTTAAATAATTGATTTTTTTCCAAAAATTTTCTAAAACTTGGTATTTTAAATAATTGAATTCTTTCGACGAATTTTTAATAAGATTTTTAAGAATAATTACATTTTTCGAAAAATTCAATTGATACTGTTACAAAAATAATTGAATTTCTGCAAAGAATTTTATATTATTTATGAAAACTCTGATGAAAATAATTGAATTCTTAAGAGAATTTTATTAAAATTTATGTAAATAATTCAATTTCTGCGACGAATTTTATTTTTACAAAGATAATTTTCATTTTCGTTAATAATTTTTTGTTCAAAGTTTTTAAAAATAATTGGATTTCGGACAAGCATTTCAGTTAAAAATTTAGATAATAATTGATATTTTGCCAAGAATTTTATTAAAATTTTTGAAAATAATTGAATTTTAAAGAAGATTAATTTTGAAGCATTTAAGTAATAAAATTATTAGTTAAATAATTATGATAAGTAATAATTTAATAACAAGTTTTTCAAGAATTAAGTTATTTAAAAAGAAATTATTGTCAGAAATAGAAAAAATTGAAGGTTTTGTATTTGAATTCTAGTCAATTTCATAGTTAATGAGGCAAACTAAAAATACCCGAAAATTCAGAATTTTCTTATGAATTCTAAAAATTAAATTTTTTCCAGTACTTTTAATAGAAATCCCTGACTTTCCCCTGATTTCCCTTGTTTTGTGACAACTTTGTAAAATAAATATTAATCTTTTCTTTAATTCAATACCTCAGTTATGTTCGACCATGGAACGTGTTGTAAATCAGCAGTACTAAGTACCATTCGGAGTTTTCTCTTTGCATCAATGAACGCAAAGGACATTTCTATATTATTAGGATCAATTAATAATCTCTCATCTTCAATTTCCTTTGTTCTCGATTGTGTACTTTCTACAGAAGCCGTATCGCTATTTGCACTCGGTTTTCTTCTGTATTTTGCTAAAATATCGTCCGTACTATCTGCAAAACAAAAGAAAGAAAATTTAAGATAAAAAATAAATTAAAATAAATAAATTAAAAATAAATTAAAATAAATTAAATTCAAATTTATTAAGTTAATAAATTAATAAGTTAATAAATGTTAGTTAAAATAAATTCAATTCAAATTTATTAAGTAAATAAAAGAAAAATACAAATAAAGACAAATAAAGTAAATAACATATATAAAGATAAATAAAGTAAACAATAAATAAATAAAATTAATTAAAATTAAAAAAACTGACCATTATGTGTACTGCCACTGGCAGAAGGATCTTCGGACATAATTCTTCTTAGTCTGTGACGATTAATATCGATACCATCAGTTCCACTGTCTCGTTCATAACATCTACTTAAATCATCAGCGCCACGTAACGATTTTCCCCTTCTATTTTTCAATGTCATTTTAAGTTTACCGAAAAATCCTCTCTTATTTTTCTGATCATCGTCCAATAATTCCTTATCGCCACGTTCAGCGGTCATATCAAAACTTATGCTCTTCGGTATTGCTCCCGTTGATGTGCTTGGTTTTAAAGACGGGGAAATTGCCTGACAATCACTACCACCATTCATCAGCGATTGTACATTTGATAAATCACCGATACAACGATTATTTTTCGATCGTGGTTCTGATCCCGAACTACTGCTCGACGTTAGACTCGCAGTACTTAATCTCACGACAACATCACTCGAATTTCCCGCTGCATAGCCGTCCAATTCCTGAAAAATTAAAATCATATTAAATTTGTAAAATTTTATTATATATATAAATTTATCAAAATAATAGAAAAAAATAGAAATAAAATAGAGAAATATTTGCCTCTGTTTTAACATCGCCGTTTGATAATTTATCCTGCGAGAGAATCGGACACAAAGTATTATTGGACAATGTTGAATTTGCCGATGAAGCAACGGATACGAATCCATTCACTGGATTTTGACGATCTGAATTTATCTTGTTAGTGTCGAATTGTAGTTTATCCATCAAATGAACTAATCTCTCTTCTCCAACTCCTTTTCCATAATCCATGTTATTGTTGTTATTGGAATTGTCTACATAATCAATCGTGCTTCGTCTGTAATCAGCTCTCATTCCTCCTCTAGTAGTAATGTTCGAAATTGGCGAATGCATCGTTGTCGGTGACGAAAGCACACTCACTGAAGAACTTCCAATTGGATCTTCTCGAATTGGTCTAAAAACCGCTGCCGCATTATCTGCTGTATTAAAAGTAGATGATTATAATAATAATAATTTACAAAATAAATTTATTTACGACACATTCCAAAGAAAAAGAATTTTTTGGGTAACTTTTGGAATAGAAAAAGTAGAAAAAATTGCTTCTTTGGAATGCGATACAATTGATTAATCTTACAGTTGATAGGTGGTGGTGTTTCTTCTCCTCCTTCGGGTTCACCGCGACTTTCTATTTCCGATCTTGCAGTATCATCCGATCTGGAAAATAAAAATTTGTTTTAATTCTAATATAATGCTGATGGCAATTTTTCACTTAGTCCAGGGCTCGAACTAGTTAAAGTATTTAAAAATATGGACTTTACGGACTAAAAATGAAAAATTAGGGACCAATTATTACTGTCAAAAATATAAGCAATCCGAGTCAAATAAAAGAAAATTTTACTTAAAACTATAAATTAAATTTTTCATAATTCTATAAAACATGAAGATATCGATAACTCTGAGTCTTCGACTCAGAGTGATCGACTTCTTCACGTTTTATAATAATTAAAGATGACCGAGGGATAAAATCATTAACAATTCAATTATTATTTTCAAGAATTCAAAAAACTAAAATTCTTCTATAAATCGATTAGTTTTAATAATTTTTGAAAAATTTCTTTCACAATTTTTAAATTCATTTTCAAATCCATCTTCAAATACATTTGTTTACAATATTTAATGTTACGAGATTTCAATTATTCGTAAATTCTTCAATTAAATAAATATTAGAAACTAGGAACTTAAAATAACATTTAAAAAATTCAATTAAACTTTTTCAAAAAAAATTAATTTCAAAATTCAATTATTTCTCAAACTTCACGCTATTTTGATTTTAATATTCAATTATTATCTAAAATTTTAAATGAAATTCATTATTAAATCAATTTTTATTTGAAAATTCTACTCGAATTCAATTATTTAAATACAAAAATAAATAGTTTATCGAATAATTGAATGTTTCTTAAAATTCAATTCTAAAAAAGAATTTTATCAACAAAATTTATAATAAATTGAATTCTTTCGAGGAATTTTAATAAAATTTTTAAGAATAATTACATTTTTCGAGAAATTCGATTAGAATTGAATTAAAAATAATTGAAATTCTGCGATAAGTTTTGTTATTTATGAAAATAATTGAATCTCTGTAAAAAATATTATTTATGAATATAATTGAATTATTGGGAAGAATTTTATTAAAATTTTACAAATAATATAATTCCAGTGAAAAATTTTACTATTTTTGAAAATAATTGAAATCTTGCGAAGAATTTTATGAAAAAATTTTAAATCATTGAATTGACAAAATTTTTTGAATATAATTGAATTTCCACGAAGAATTTGAATACATTTGAAAATAATTGAATTCTTTTGATGAATATTGTTATTTATGAAAATAATTGAATTTTGCAAAGAATTTTATTAAAATTCCTAAAAATAATTAAATTTTTGCGAAGAAATTGGTTATTTATCAAAAGAATTGAATACTTGTAAAAAATTTATTATTTATGAAAATAATTGAATTATTGTGAATAAATTTGTAAAAAATTTGTAAATAATTGAATTCCTGTGAAATTTTTATTAGTTTATGAAAATAATTAAATGTTTCCGTAGAATTTTGTTAAAATTTTTTAAAATAATTGAATTTTTGCAAAGAATTTTATTATTTATGAAATTATTTGAATTTTTTTGAAGAATTTTATTAAAAATTGTATTGAAAATATTTGAATTTATGCAAAACATTTTATTAATTACAATAAAATTAATTGAATTCTTAAGAAGAATTTTATTAAAATTTTTTAAAATAACAAAATTCTTCTGAGAAATTAATTTAATATTGTAATAAAAATAATTGAATTTTTTCGAAGAATTTTATTAAAATTTCTAAAATAATTGAATTATTGCGAAGAATTTTATTATTTATAAAAATAATCGAATACCTTTTAAAGAATTTTATTATTTATGAAAAGAATTGAACTCTTTTAAATAATTTTCTTAAAATTTTTGGAAATAATTAAATTTCTGCGATGAATTTTATTTTCGTCAATAATTTGTTTAAAGTTTTTGAAAATAATTGAATTTCTGCCTAGAATATTATTATCTTTGAAAATAAAATTGAATTCTTTTAAAGGATTTTCTTAAAATTTTTGAAAATAATAAAATTTCTGCGATGAATTTTATTTTTAGAAGGATAAATTTCGTTTTCGTTAATAATTTGTTTAAAGTTTTTTAAAATAATTGAATTTCTGACAAAAATTTTATTATTTATGAAAATAGTAATTGAATGATTGCGAAGAAATTTGTATAAAATTTGTAAATAATTGAATTCTTGTGAAATTTTTATTATTTTATGAAATTAATTAAAGGTTTGCGTAGAATTTTATTAAATAATTGAATTCTTTTGGAAAATTTTATTAAAATAGTAGATATTGAAAATTATTTAATTGAGAAAATTTTTTGAAAATAATTTAAATTTTGCCAAGAATTGTATTAAAATTTTTGAAAATAAATGAATTTTTGCCAAGAATTGTAATAAAATTTTTAAAAATAATTAAATTTCGGTGAAGAATTTAATTATTTCTAAAGATAATTGAAATTTTGATGTGAATTTTTTTTTAATTTTTGAACATAATTGAATTTCTGCGAAGAATTATATTACTTTTGAAAATAATTGAATTTCTGCAATCATTTGTAATTTCTCTAAAATTCTCCAAATTATATCGTACAATTTACAAACTTTTTGTCTTTTCTCAATTAAATTACGGACTTTACGGACCTTTTTAAAAAAAAACTGACTTTTACGGACTTGAAGGAAATTCACTGACCTTTACGGGATTTACGGACCTAGTTCGAGCCCTGTTTTGTCGAAAAATAAATTATAAAAAAGAAAAATAATAAACCTTGCAACGCTGGCTGTGTCATCAGTATCAACTTCAGTGAGTCTTTCCGAATCACTAGCAAGAACGTCTGTACTCCAGGCTTCCGAAGCAGTTTCGCTAACATCTAATTGTGAACTTTCAACAGGAAGCGAAGGCGGCGGTTGTTCTTGAGGTGGTGGCGGAGGAAACAAAAATCTCTCCTGTTGCTCAACAATTTCACTATCCGAGGCCAAAACATCTGTGGACCATGTATCGGACACCAGTGAAATTGTTTCATCCCCTAAACAAAAAATTAAAATATGAAAAATTTAATTAACTCCAAGTATTTAATTTCCAAATTTGAATTTTAATTAATAATTCTACCTTCGATGAGTTTTTTAATTTCGAATTTACAAAATTTATCATCAATTTCAGAGCGACTTTGCTTTGTTGGCATTGAGGGTGGTGGTAAATCTAATTGTCTCGCTTCACCAGCAACACGACCATCGTCGCCCTCTGTTATCTGCGATGATGGCGTGTCACGTCCCGATATATTCGGTGTACCTCTTCCTGACACATTCGCTGAAACCATATCTGATAAATTGTCATTTTGATCTTCTGTTTCTAATTCAAGAGACGATGCAACGCTGTGATTCGATGCTGCCTCAGAAACGGCTTCCAAATTATCAGATGTGTTTCCAATTGATCCCTCAAATAGCACTGAAAATTATTTCTCATTTAAATTCTCTTATTATATGTAAAAAAAGAAATAATAAATTTATAAATATAATTTATAATAAATAATAAATAAAATTACCTTCGTCGTGAGATAGTGAGAAACGTGTTCGTTTTTCTTGTGTTTCAATACGTTCGACACTATTTCCTTCTCTCCCATGATTATTACGATTTGACAAATCGTCCGAAAGATTAAATGTGATTGAGCCATTTTCCATATTATTTTGTATATCCATACATAAAACCTGAAAGGAAAAATTAATCATAAAACATCATTAAATTCTCATCATTTTGTACTCGATACAAAATAAATTACGAATTATATTAATTGTTTCTTAAAATAAAAAAGAGTAAAATAATGGCAAGAAATTTAATTTTAAAAAAATACCTTTTGTTCGTTGATCAATCCAACACATTCGCTTACTGTTGGTCCGAAGGGAATAACGAGAACACCCTGAGAAACTTTATCCATCGCCTCGTCATCAATTGCCGAAGATCCATTCACGTCCTCACTGCCATCGGTTGTTGTATTCGACGATGAGGAGGATATACGAATTCCTCTTCCTTTACCTGTTAAGAATATTTGTTTATTATTTATTATTTATTTAGTATCCATTATTTACTATCTTTTGATAATAAATTTATTTATACATTAGAGAAAATTAAATATATTTATTATTACATAATTTTACTAGAAAATGATACGCGCGACAACGCGCGAAACGCAATATTTCGTTTATTATTATTTTGTAAATTAAAAATTTTATATTTTAAAATATAAGCATTAATTATTCCTCCTCGTAGGAATTCAATTATTTTAAATACAAATTTAATAAAATTTTTAGAAAAAATACGATTATTTTTAAAAATATTAATTAAATTCGATTATTTCCAACAATTTTGATAAAATTCTTTAAAAATTAATTATTTTTAAATTTTATATAACAGAGAATTATTCCATTATATTTAATTACATTTTCAAAAGTTTTAATAAAATTTTTCCAAAAAAATTTAATTTTTTTCAAAAATTCTGGTAAACTTTTTTGGAGGAATTGAATTCTTTTTCTAAATTGTAAAATTCTTCCCAAAAATTCTATTATTTTAAAAAATAAAAAAATTCTTTGTAGGAATTCGATTATTTTCATAAATAACAAAATTCTTAGCAGGAATTCGATTTTTTAGAAAATTTTTAATAATATTCTTGACTGGAATTCAATTATCTTCATAAATAAAAAAACGATCCTCAAGTATTGAACGTTCAAATGAACGAAATATTTAAATAAATTACTAATCACAAACAAATTTTAAAATGGAAATATTTACGTTTAGAATCTCAGTAATTAATTTTTTTGATAGTAACGCAAAATAATTACAATAAAAATTTAATTTGTAGAAGAAATAAATAAATTTCGTTCATTTGAACGTTCAGAACTTAAGGATTTTATAAAAAAAAAATATTCATAGAAATTCAATTATTTTCAAAAAATTAAGTAAAATTCTTGTCAAAAATTCAATTATCTTCATAAATAACAAAAGTTTCGCAAAAATTCAGTTTTCTAAAAAAATTTTAATCAAATTCTTCTCAAAAATTCAATTATTTGTTTAAATAATAAAATTCTTGACAGGAATTCTATTTTTTTCAATATAATTTTAATAAACCTTCTGGACAAGATTCAATTATTATTTTCAAAAATTTGAATACATTTTAATTAACATTCTTCGATTGAATTCAATCCTATTTTCGAAATTTTTAATAAAATTCGTTCAAAACATTGAATATTATTTTCAAAAATTCTAATAAAATTCTTCGAAACACTTGAATTATTTTTATAAATTGTACAATTCTTCCCAAAAATTCAATTATTTTTATAAATTGTAATAAAATTTTTCTCAAAAATTCAACTATTCTCAAAAGTTTTTTTTATAAAATTCTTTGTAAATTTCAATTATTTTTCAAAACTTTTAATGAAAATTATCTGAAAAAAATTACATTATTTTCATGTTGAAATTTAAAAAAAATTCTTCAAAAATTTTTATTTTTTACGAAAACAAATAAAACTGTTCAAATCAATTCAATTATTTTCAAAAATTTTAATAAAAATCTTGACAAGAATTAAATTTTTTTCAGTATTAAAAATTGTAATAAAATTTTTCTAAACAATTCAATTCTTCTCAAAAGTTTTCAATAAAATTCTTTCGAATTTTTAAATATTTTCTAAATTTTCAATTAAAAATACTTTTAAAAAATTCATTATTTTTACGAAATTTAATGAAATTCTTAAAAAAAATGTAACTATTTACAAAAACTCTAATAAAATTGTTTAAAAGAATTTAATTTTCTATGAAAAATTTTAATATAATTTAATATTTCAATTTAATAATAAAATTTTTTTATAAATATTTTACAAGAATTCAGTGATTTTTAGAACATCGACAATTTAATTATTTCTGAAAATAATTGAATTCTTGTAAAGAATTTTATGAAATTTTTTTTAATTGAATCCCTGCGAAAAAATTTATTATTTCTACAAATAATTGAATTTTTGCAAAATTTTAAAAAATAAGTGAATTTTTGAGAAGAATTTTATGAAAATTGTATTTAAAATAATTGAATTCCTGTGAAAAATTTACTATTTAATGATATTCTTGAATTTTTTCGAAGAATTTAAAAAGAATCTTTAAAAATAATTTAATTTTCCCTGGAATTTAATGAAAATTGTATTTAAAATAATTGAATTCTTGAATTGAATTTTATTAAAAGTTTTTTTTTAAATAATTGAACTCTTGTGAAAAATTTAATTATTTTTTAAAATAATTGAATTTTCTCGGATCATTTTTACAAGATTTTTAAAAATAATTGAAATTTTCGAAGAAATTAATTAAAATTGTATTGAAAATAAGTGAAATCCTGATAAGAATTTTATTATTTATATAAAAATAATTGATTTTTTTACGAAGATTTTTATTATTTATAAATTGAATTTTTGCAAAGAATTTTATTACAATTATTAAAAATAATTGAATTCTTGATAAAATCCAATTACTTTTAAAATTTCCAGTAAAAATTATTAAAAAAAACTCCATTATTTTCAAGAAAATCGAAATAAATTCTTCAAAACAATTCAATTATTTTGAAAAATTTTAATAAAATTCTAGACAAGAATTAAATTATTTTTAGTTTAATTTTAATTGAAGAATTAAAAAGAAAGAAAAAATTAAAAAGAATTCCTTGCTTTTCATAAATAATAAAATTCTTTGCTGGAATTCAATTATTTACAATACAATTTTAATTAAATTTCTCTAAAGAATTGAATTATTTTCAAAATTTTTGATAAATACTTTGCAAGAATTCAATAAATTTTAGTTGTATTAATTTAAAAATTAAAAACATTTAAAAAAACAATTAAAAAAGTTAGGAAACAAAAATTATTATTAATATAGATTACCTTTTCCAAGAATTCCTCCACGTTTGTTGGGAGTTTCAGGAGAAACATTATCCGCAATTCGATTTGCATTTGGCATCGACAAAGGCAATTGAACCAACATATCACTCAATTGTTTCTGATTATCGAGAATTAAATTTGACGATTCATTTTTACTAGTCCCATCATGAATCACTTGTAAAAATGAAATCAAAGCATTTAATTCGCTCTCAGTGAAAAGTGCCGCGGAACGTGACAGACCCTGTAATTTATTAGCATCGATCATTGTTGGCTCATCTTCCAATTCCTCCGTTGCTCCATCCAACATTGCATCAATTATCGACGAAACTGAATCCTTCTCAAATCTTCTATACAAATCAAGCACCTTCGTGTCAATTGTTTGATATTTAATAAGCGAGAGCATTTGTAAAATTTGTCCAACTTGCATTAAATTAAATCTCGCGACATAACTTATTGGAGCGTCAGTGATGCCATATGGCTCAGGATTAACAATTGCCGGACATATAAAATAAGTAAACACCAAATCCGTACACATTGCGTATATCTCCTTCTGATCGATATTCCCATTTTTATTCAAAAGTCCAGCCATTTGTCTCACAAGCCAATAAATACTTGTTGGAAAACAATGCATATTCTCACGAATGCTGAGAATAAATCTCTGTGTTATTCGAACCAATGAATTTATAGTCCAAATACGATAGCGTTGTAATTTTGCCTGATATTCCGGTGTTCCTTCTTTGCCAAATTTCTTTAAACGTTCAACTGGTGGAAAACGAATTGACGCCTTATCGGGATCAATATCAAGAAACATCTCGTCCTCCATTAATAATTGCATTATTGGATTGTGCAGTGCGGCGGTTAAAAAGAATTTCGACGAAAATAAACTCTCGTGAAAGACTGAGTAAAAACTGGAAAATGCACAAGTTCCATGCCTTAATAATCGTCGGGGATTATCGGATGGAACAACTTGTAGAAGCATTAAATAACGAAGAAGTTTTAAAACTAAAAGTTTATCCTCGGGAAATAGACAACTTCCATAGAGTCCAGCGGCGAGTGATTGTATTATTCCCTGCATTGCTTCGGGTAAAATTTTGTCTCCCTCAACTAGACACGATGCTAAAAGTTTCGGTGATTTCCGAAGACCGTGAAGAAATTCCCCATATGATAGGCATATTTGATAACGAAAATGCTTATAGGCGTCGATAAAGTGTGAATTTTCTAAAACATTTGCACGATGACAACACGATGCTGGAGTTGAATCGGGACGAGAGACTATTAAATGATTTAAATTCACTCTTTGTTGCGCTGTCACCCATGCCTGTTGCGCCAAGTCCGACGACAAATACAAAACCTGGAAAATTAATCGTTTTTTAATTTTTTTTTTTACTTTTTTTTTTACTTTTTTTTTTTTACTTTTTTTTTATTACTTTAAATTTTTGTTAAATTCCAACTTTTAGATTTCTTTTTCAGAAATAAATAAAAAGAACCAGCAGAATTGTGATTTGTTAAACAATATTTTTCAACAAAACTTATTACAAGTTTTTTTTTCGAGAAAGAAAATTTTTTTGCATAATTTCTCTTTCTCAATGACATTTTTTTTTTTAACAATATTCTAAGTTTTTATTCAAAAATAAAAAAAAGTTTGCTGAATTTCTAATATTTTTCTATAAGAAACTATAAAATTTTTGTAATAAAATTAAATATAATTAAAACATTAAAATTATCAAGATTTTTTTTCTTTATTTTATAAATGAATTTAAAATCCAGTTTTATTTTCAATTAAAAATTGAAATTGAAAAATTAAAATATATAAAAAATTTTGTGCGCTAGTAATAAAAATTTCTGTGATTTTATTTAAAAATTATGATAGAAATTAAGCAAATTTTTTTCAATAATTCATGAACAAAACTGTAAATTTGTTTAAAATTATGATTAAAAAATAAAAATTACAGAAATTTAAAAAAACAAACTAAAAATTGTGTAACCAAAAAATATAGTTAACAAATTAAAATTACAAAAATTGTTTCCCTTCATTTTATGAAAATGTTTTTAAATTCTCATTTTTATTTTCAATTCAAAATTGAAATCCACAAATCGAATTTATAAAAAATTTTGTCAATTATTGCTAAAAATTTCTGTGATTTTGTTAAAAAATTATGATAGAAATTAAGCAAAATTTTTCAATAATTTCTGAAAAAATTATAATCTCGTCAAAAATTATGATTAAGAAATAAAAATTATAGCCATTTTTTTTAAAACAAACTATGTAAAAATTTTGTAACCAAAAAATATAGTTAACAAATTAAAATTACAAAAATTCTTCTCCTTTTTTTTAATAAAAATCTTTTTAAATTCTCATTTTTATTTTCAATTAAAAAATGAAATTGACAAATCGAATTTACAAAGAATTTTTTTTTATTTCTAAACATAGTTGACTTATTATTTAAAAATTGTGATAGGAAAATAGAAATTATGCAAGTTTTATTTATTTATTTCTAAAAAGAATGAAAGTTTTGTTAAAAAATTATAATTGAGAAAGAAAAAGTTTATTTATAAAAATTGTAATTATGAAATAGAAATTATGCAAATTTTTGTGGTTAATTTCTTTAAAAACTTATACTTTCGTTATTAAAAATTATGATTAAATAATAGAAATTATAAAAATATTTTTCATTCATAAACTAAAAATTTTGCAACTAAAAAATATAATTAAGAAATTAAAATTACGAAAATTTGTATCCTTTATTTTGTGAAAATTTTCTAAAATTCTCAGTTTTATTTTCAGTTAAAAATTGTGATAGACAAATGGAATTTAATAAAATGTTTCTCTTTACTTCTATAGAAAAAAAGATTTAGAATTTAAAAAAAAAAATTTTTTTCAATTTTTAATAATATTTTTTAAAAAATACAATTATTTTTTAAACTTTTAATAAATCCTTCAATGTAATTCAATTATATTTATAAATAGTAAAATCTTTACAAAAATTCAATTGTTTTTTAAAAAATTTTACGAAAGAATTCAATTTTTTTCTTAATTTGTTACAAAATCTTTGAAAAATTCAATTATTTTCTAAAATTTTTATAAATCCTTGGAAACAATTTAATTTTATTTACAAACACTAAAATTCTTTGCAAAAATTTAAGTATTTTCAAAAAAATTTCAATTTTTTTCCTAATTTGTGATAAAATTTTTCAAAAGAATTCAATTATTTTCTAAAATTTTAATAAAATTCAATAATTAAATGTTTAATTTTAATTATTAACAAACAAGATTATTTTTAAAACTTTAAAGAAATTGTTCATTAAATTCAATTATTTTCAAAATTTTTAATTAATATTATTAAAGAAACTCAATTACTTTAAAAAAAATTCAAAGAAATTCTTCAAAATGAATTTAATTAGAATTTTCAAAACCGGAACACAACGATTATTAATATAGATTATCAGAAAAAACCTGTATTGTAATTTCAATTAAAAATAAAAATTCAATTTAACAACAATGCTTTTTATAAAAAAAAAAAAAGAATACACAAAAACTAACTTCAAATTACCAAAATTATGTACTGGCAGAGTGAATGAAAGAACACCAAGAACATGAAGATTATTATTTGTAATAAAATAAAATAATAATAATAATTTATTTTCACAGAAAGAGTTTATTTACTTTTTCATTGAGTGTCTGTAGATTTTGTTGTTCAGAGCTGACAAAAAGACGTTCCTGTCGAAGATGACCTGCCAATTCCATCATATCCCATTGTAACGTCCCCAAGGACTCAACACTATTTGCCGAAGACATCACTGAAATAATTATAACCATTTTGAATTCAACAATCAACTTATTAAGAACGTACACTCCAAAAAGATAAACTATTCAAAAATAAAATATACATAAATAAACAATCATTAATCGACAACAATGACAAATTATAACTCCAATGGTACATTATATCCTTTAAATAAAGAACAAAATTCTACTTTCAATAACATTGTTGATAAATAACGAATTTTTTCTCCACTGACATAATTCAAGTAAAACATCAATATTGTTCCTTTTGTTGAGGAACAATAAAGTTTCCATTTGATCAAAAATAAAAAAAAATTCATATTACACATATTGAACTCACGTGTGACTTTATCAAGAAAACAGAAAACGACTTTGTTTTGATGAGGCTACACCCCCATTTGACGTGCGCCCATTTTCAAGGAAGGTTAGATTTTTATATTAAAATTACAACAAGGTGTTGATTGTTGGCGTTTGTTGGCAATAAGGTCAAAATTGTCTCCAATTCATGTGGATGGGGAATTGTCAATAAAATTCGTCACAACAATACTCTTTTTTAGAATACGAAAATGATTGGAAATTATGGAAATTATTAGAGAAATAAATAATGAACATGAACACGAAGCAGATATATACATTCACTTGTGTCTTCTGTCGCAATAATCATGGAATAATATCTCTCTTTCTTTATATTTTATTTGTGATAGAGAAAGAAAGCGATATTTGGCGCTATAATAACTGTAAAGGCGTGTTCATAACTTTCTAATTCAACAATTTGTCCAATTTCCGAAATACTCAAAAGCAGGGTTGGGTAGGAAGCAAACATGGGAAATAACAGGGGTTTTATATATCACTAGCTAGGGAATTTACAATTTTCAACCAATGAAATCAATTTAACTTTATAAAGGTTGATTCATAACGCAAGCGCAAAATTTATTGTTTACTTTTACTTTTGTAGAAAAAATATAGAAAAACAATAAATTTATCTAGAAAAATGCCTCTAATTTTAATTTATTATTATATTGAATGATTTTTATACTTTTATTATTTACAGTAAAGATAGTTAGTAGATTAGAAATATTGCAACATTATGGAGGAAAACGGTATTAACCTACTTTAAAACTCCGTTATACATCCGAAAATGCCAAGATGGCGTCGTGGGTGGTTTGATTAGAAATTTTATCCCATTTTTCATAAGAAATTTTAGCCTTATAGTGTAGAAAATAATTTTCTAATTAACAAAATAATAACTAACGTTCTTTTAATTTATCTAGAAAATTGAATTTTTAAATTATATTTTGTTGAAATCGTATAATTTCAGATATATTTTACGTGACGTCAGATTGTTGAGGTTATGCTGCTTGATATATTGTGTTTAGATTTTCTTTTCTATATTCTCTCTAAAGGAAAAAAAAATGTTTCGAATATTCGTTCTTTAGTGTGTTTTATTTATTTTCCAAAATTATGAGTGAACAAAGAAGATTAACATCAATAAAAATTATTTATTGAAAAGAAATATGTTGATTGGAATACGACGAAAAGTGTTTATAAAAGTTCAATCTTGATTCATTTTATTACAATGATGGGCATTTTGTATGAAAAACGGCCCCTAAAAAGGCCAAGATTGGGCCCACCCGATGTTTATCCACAAGAACCGAGGCAAAAAGAAGATGAATTAACATCTGTTAATGTCAAACATGGATTTTCGACAATGCCCCAATTATCCGATGAATTTGGAACTGCTCGACATTGCAGTGTCACTGCTGCTAAAGTTGGAGCTTATTTCAATGGTATTTTGGCGAGGAAAGAAGAATTGGCCACAATGCCCGATACGGGACGAAAGAAACAACAAATTAATCCTAAAGATAATTTTTGGCCCGTCACTGCGAGAACGAAAAATGGAATTGAAGCTTGGTTTAAGGATTTGTCGGGTTCAAAGCCACTTGTCACACTTGCAAAGAAAGCGCCGAATTTTAATAAAAAAGAAGAGATATTCATGATGCTTTGTGAATATCAAGTTCCAATGCTTCGTGCCGCTTGGTTCATTAAACTCAGTTCTGCTTATACGGTTGCTGTATCGGAGGCGAAAATTAAAAAGCGACAATTACCCGATCCTACAACAGGTATTTTTTTTTCCCTGTCAAAATTCAAATAATTCTTTATCAGGGAAAGTAGAATTGGTCAGGAAAATCAGGGAAAAGTCAAAGATTTTTTTTTATTAAAAGTACTGGAAAATATTAAATGTTTAGAATTTATAAGAAAATTACTAATTTTCGGGTCTTTTTCGTTTGCCTCAAAAACTATGAAATTGCCCAAAATTCAAATAAAAAAACCTTCAATTTTTTCTATTTCTAACAATAATTTCTTTCTAAATAACTTAATTCTTGAAAAACTTGTTATAAAATTATTACTTATCAATTATTTAATGAATAATTTTACTTAAATGCTTCAAAATTAATTAAGTTTTAAAAGAGTTGTGTATAGAAGTTTCATAAACAGATGAACTTCAAAAAAGATTTTAATTTGAAATTTTAGAAAATTTTAATTTTCAATGAATTTAATTAGAAAGAACTTAGATTTTTGGTAAAAAGTTTTAATAATTCAAATTCTTTTAAAAATAGTTAAATTTTTTAATTTCTATTTAATTAATTATTAAAAATAATGTATTTATAGAAGATTTTTCGTTGAAAACACTAATAAAAATTGAATTTTTGAGAAGTTACAAACAATACAAATACAATGATTTTCAGAAGTAATAAAATTTTTCGCAGAAATTAAATTATTTTGATAAATTTAAAAAAAAAATTCTCTTTATAATTTCACTTATCTTTATAAATAACAAAATTCTTCTCCGAAATTTAATTATTTTCAAAGATTTTAATTGATTTTAATTAATTCTTGGCAAAATTGCAATTATTTTTAAAAAATTGAAATTTTATTTTATAAAGTCCACTCAATTCAATGATTTTCAATGTCTACTATTGAAGTTAAAGTTTTAGATAATAATTGAATTTTGAAGAAGTAACTAATAATAATGATTTTATCACTCGGTCACCTTTAATTATTCATTAGAAAAAAGAAAACGATCGATATTTTCATGTTTTATAATAATATTCTTATAAGTTATTGAATTTCAAAAGATTTGAATTAGAAATTTTGAAAATCCTTATTCCTATGGAAAAATAATAATAATTAAATATTTATTTAAAAATGAAGTTATGAATTTTACAATTAAGGAAATTCAAAAATAAATGTAATAAAACATTTTTTTGAGTATCTAATAATTTTTAGAGTGAAACAGAATTTTCTTTAGGGTCAGGAAAAAAGTCAAAATCAGCCAGGAAAAAATCTGGAAATCAGGGAAAAGTGAGGGAAAAAGAAAATTAAATTTTTGTGACAACCCTGTTTATGTTAATTAATTGTACAATTAATATTTTGCTTCGATTTCTTTGATTGTATTTTGTATCTGATTTAATATTTTCCTTTCAGAATGGAGTGGAACGTTAATAAAATTTCTCAAAGATCAATTATCGAAAATTCATGAATGGTATCATTTGGGTAATTCAACGGTAAATACGACAAATAGTAATGGAACGACAAATGGCTCGTGCAGTAGTAGTACGCCAAATAGTGCCGTTACTACTAATACGACAACAACAACAACAACAAATGGATCTGCTATTAATCAACCGCCAACGCCAAATTCTCAAACAATAGCAGCAGCAGCAACAACAACAACAACAACGACGACGACAACGACAACAAATACAGTGATGAACGATGAACATAAATTGGCACTTAAACAATGGCATTATTGTACAATGTTGGCAAAATATATGTTTGAAGAGGGACTTCTTGATAGACAGGAATTTTTACAATGGATCTTGGAGTTATTGGATAAAATGAAGAATGTTCCTACAGACGATGGAATTTTGAAACTTTTACTGCCACTTGCTTTACAGTATTTGGAAGAATTCGTACAATCCGAATTGCTCGCTAGACGACTCGCTTTTTTGTGTTGCAAAAAAATTGCCCATATGTGCAGTAATGTTGACACAACATTTAATCCTCAAAGTCCGTGCATTACTCCTTTAAAGACGGAAATTATTGGAAAAGACGCTGTTGCACCGGCGTCGACAACTGCTGTCAATCCATTGACAACTGCTTTTAACGATTATCTCTCGTGTCCGCATCATAGGGATATAATTTATGAACTCTCAGCAATAATACAAGTAAAATTTTTTAAGTACTTAATATCTCATATTCTTATTGAATTAATTAATTTAATTTAATTATTATTATTACTATTATTATAATTATATTTGAATTCGAATTTTTTTATTTTTTATTTTATTTTATTTCATTTTTTATTTTTTACATAATCTTCGTATTTCTTTCATTCAATCTGTCCACACTTTGAAGTTAGTTCTTGTGTATTCTTTTGTTTTTTTCTATAAAAAGCATTGTTGTTAAAATAAATTTTTATTTTTCATTGAAATTACAATGCAGCTTCTTTTTCTGATAATTTATAATAAAATATTGGAAAATTAAAAAATTATAATTAAGAAATGGAAATTATATCCATTTTTCATATATTTATTTCTCAATAACAATTTTGTTTACAAAATTATTAATTTCTTTTGAAAAAAAAAAATTTGCAATATAACTCCTATTTCTTAATCACGATTTTCGTAGAAAATTCTCAATTTTTTTTTTAAGGAAAATAATTTCCACTATTTCTATTTTTCAATTATAGTTTTTTAACATTTACACCATTTTTATTTCTTAATAACAATTTTTTAAAAAATTCGAAGTCTTTTTTTTCTATAGAAGTAAAGAGAAAGATTTTATTAAATTCAATTTGTCAATCACAATTTTTAACTGAAAATAAAACTGAGAATTTAAGAAGATTTTTATAAAATAAAGGATACAAATTTTCGTAATTTTCATTTGTTAATTATATTTTTTGGTTACAAAACTTTTAGTTTCTGAAGGTAAAATATTTCTATAAATTCTATTATTTAATCATAATTTTTAATAACGAAAGTATAAGTTTTTAAAGAAATTAATCAAAAGAATTTGCATAATTTCTATTTCATAATTATAATTTTTATAAATAAACTTTTTCTTTCTCAATTACAATTTTTTAACAATACTTTCATTCTTTTTAAAAATAAATAAATAAAATTTGCATAATTTCTATTTTCCCATCACAATTTTTGAATAAAATGTTAACTAATATTAGAAATAAACAAAAATTTCTTTGTAAATTCGATTTGTCAATTTCATTTTTTAATTGAGAATAAAAATGAGAATTTAAAAGGATTTTTATAAAATAAAGAAGAAGAATTTTCGTAATTTTAATTTGTTAACTATTTTTTTTTTGGTTACAAAATTTTTAGTTTCTTTAAAAAAAAATGTCTATAATTTTTATTTCTTAATTATAATTTTGAACAAATTTACAATTTCTTTCAGAAATTATTGAAAAAAAGTTTCCTTAATTTCAATCGTAATTTTTCAACAAAATCTAAGAAATTGTTAGTAATAGTAGAGAAAATTTGTTATAAATTAAATTTTTCAATTACAATTTTCAATTAAAAATAAAATTGAGAGGAAATAAAGATTTTTTTGGTTTCTTTTGGAAAGAAATGTCTATAATTTCTATTTTTAATCATAATTTTAATGAAAAAATTTGCATAATTTCTATATTATATTTTTTGTTTTTGACAATAATTGAATTCTTTCAAAACCTCTTTCTTTAATTTATTAAATATAATCGATTTTGTTAATAATTGTAATTAATAATTTTAGTATTAAAATTTTAATAAACTTATTGATAGAAAATTAAATTCTTTTAAACATTTTTATTAGTTTTTGCAAATAATTACATTTTTTTAAGAATTTCATTAAATTTCGTAAAAATAATAAATTTTTTAAAAGTGATTTTAATTGAAAATTTAGAAAATAATTTAAATTTACAAACAATTTTATTAAAAACTTTTGAGAACAATTGATTTGTTTAGAATAATTTTATTACAATTTTGAATACTGAAAACAATTTAATTCCTGGCAAGATTTTTATTAAAATTTTTGAAAATAATTGAATTTCTAAGAAGAATTTTATTAATTATTTATAAAAAATAATTTAATTCTTGCGCTGAATTTTGCTATTTATATAGAAAAAAATTCAATTTTTTCGTAGGATTTATTTAAATTTTAGACAATAATTGGATTCTTTAAAATTTAATTATTTTCTAAAATTATTTTAGAAAATAATTGAATTTTTTCGATGATTGTTATTAAAATTTTAGAAAATAATTGATTTCTTTTAAAACTTTTATATATAACGAATTAAGAAAAAAAAAATGTAATTCTTTCGTGAAGTTGTATCAAAATTTTGTTGAAAATAATTGAATTCTTTTAGAAATTAAATTCTATTTATAAAAATAATTGAATTCTTCTGAAGAATGTTATTATTTATGAAAATAATTGAATTCTTGAATATTATTGAACATTTTTAATTGAATTCTTGCGAAGAATTATATTAAAATTTTTAAAAATATAATCAATAATAATTAATTATTTGTGAACTTTTTAAATTTCGATTATTAAAAAATTATTCAAAAATTTAAATTTGAAAATAAAAAAATTTTGTAATTTGCATAAATAGTAATAATAATGACAATAATTGTTTTGGTAAAATTAACTAATTATTTTTACAATTATTTTTTTAAATAAATTATTTAATAATTGTGAAATTCATTCAATAGTAATAAATGATAATAATTGTTTTGGTAAAATTAACTAATTATTTTTATTTTAAATAAATTGTTTAATAATTGTGAAATTTATTGAATTTTTTCAGGCAATAACTTTAGAATGTCCGACTGCCCTTGTTTGGAATATTGTTGGCGAGGGAAAATCGCCCTCGGTTTTAAATGGATCGCCACTTGATCATTTGCCATGTCCACCAGCGGCATTGCCATGTCCACCGGCAAGTTCCACAGATCCAACAATGAAACAATTGCGATTCGCTCAGGAAAATATACGTGCACGTTCGCAAGCAGCCGAGAGTCGTTGGTCGTGTGATAAATGGCAGCAAAGTAGCGCCGGTATGACAACAACAAAAGTTCTTGCCGCACTCGATGCATTGGATCGTCATAGTTTCGATCGTATGGATCAAGCGAATTCTCTCGATACACTTTATGGGAAAATATTTATATTGCCGCCACCAAAAGAAGTGACGACAAATAATGAACGAGATACAAAGACTGATTATAATCCACAGCAGGATTCGGCAATTATTGAAATTCTCTGCGAATGGGCAGTGAGTGCTGAACGATGGGGTGAACATAGAGCAATGGCAGTTGCGAAATTATTAGAGAAAAGACAGAGTGAAGCGTCGGGGGAGAATAATGATAATGATGATAAGGACAGTGTTTGCAGTAATGGCACGCCCCCGTCACTTCCCATTTTTCAATCGCTTCTCATGAAGTTTTTGGATACTGATGCACCAATTTTGGATAATAGCTCGGTACAATCGAAAGCACAATTTACGAATTTGGTTCATTTGTTTTCGGAATTAATAAGACATGATGTTTTTTCTCATGATGCTTATATGTGTACATTGATATCGAGAGGGGATTTAATACAAGGTATGGATTATTTATTTACATGAGTATTAATAATTAATTATCAATTTAAATTACAAAAAATTATTTATTTGATTTTTGTTAAAACTGATTTTTATTTTTTACCAAAAGTCTAAAAGCGAGTATTTTGGCTTCAATGTCTATAATTACAGGCTTCGCACTCATTTACTAAAACCTACTATTTACTACTTTTTTTACGAGTAGCTACTATTTGGATACCTACTTTTTTATACATTTTTTACAATATATTTTAAAATTTTATATTTTACAATATAAAATTCAATATTAAAATATTTCAATGTGTGACACTAAAAGCTACTTTTTTCTTTTTTTTTGTGAAAATTTTCACAAATTTAAATCTGCTAATAGTTAAAATAATTTAATTATTCTTTAAAATTTTCATAAAATTAATCGAAAATTCAATTATTTCCACAAAAATTTTAATAAAATCCTTCGCAAGAATTAAATTATTCAACAATAAAATTCTTTAAAAGAATTCAATTATTTCTAAAAAAATTTAATAAAATTCAATTATTTCCAAAAAGTTTTAATAAAATTCAATATTAGAATCTTTAATTACAATAATTAATAAACTGAAGTAAAATTATTAAAAAAAAACTACATTAATTTCAAAAGAATTTAAAAAAATAATCAATAAAATTCTTCTCAGGAATTAAATTATTTCTTAAAAATGTTAATAAATATTTTCAATTACAATTAATAACACACAATTATTTTAAAAAATTGAGAAAAATTTAATTAATTTCAAAATTTGCAATAAAAAAAACTAAATTTTTAATTAAAATTAAAAAAAAATTAATTTATTTTCAATGATTTAAAGAATTTAGTAAAAAAAATATAATTAATTTTGAAAAATCCGATAAAATTCTTTAAAAGAATTCCATTTTTTAAAAATATTTTAATAAACTTTAATTATAAAATTATTAACTTCAATTTTTAACCAAATCGATTATTTAAAAAAGAATTCAATTATTTACAAAAATTTCCAGAAAATGTTTTAGAATTTAATAATTTTTAAAAATGATTATAAAAATTCTTTATAAGAATTCAATTAATTTAAATTAATAAACAAACAAACATTTTCTCGAGATTTCAATTATTTCTTAAAATTTTTAATAATATTTTTTAATTACAATTATTAACAAACACGATTAGTTAAAAAAATTGAGAGAAATTTTTTGATAAAACTTAATTAATTTAAAAATTTACAATAAAAAAGAAAACTAAATATTCAATAAAAATTAAAAAAAATTAATTTATTTTCATAAGATTTAAAGAATTTTGTCACAAAAAAATGAATTAATTTCGATAAATCCGATAGAATTTTTTAAAAGAATTCAATTTTTTAAAAATGTTTTAATAAACTTTAATAATAAGATTATTAATTACAATTTTTAACAAAAGTCGATTATTTAAAAAAGAATTCAAAGAAATTCTTCAAAACAATCCAATTATTTACAAAAATTTTCAGAAAATGTTTTGGTATTTAATTATTTTTAAAAATAATGATAAAATTCTTTATAAGAATTCAATTATTTCAATAAATAAACAAAAATTTTCTTGAGAATTCAATTGTTTCTTAAAAATTTTAATAACATTTTTTAATACAAAATTATTAACAAACACGATTATTTTTAGCAATTAATAGAAATTTTTTGAAAAAATTTAAAATAATGAAGAAAACTGAATTTTCAAACAAAATTTTTAAAAAATTAATTTTTTTTAATCGATTTAAAAAATTTATTCAAACAAAATTTATTTAATTTTGAAAAATCCTATAAAATTCTTTAAAAGAATTCAATTTAAAAAAAATTGTAATAAACTTTAATAATAAAATTATTAATTACAGTTTTTAACAAAATCGATTATTTAAAAAAATATTCAAAGAAATTCTTTAAAACAATTCAATTATTTACAAAAATTTTCAGAATATTTTTTAGTATCTAATTAATTATTTTTAAAAATGGTGATCAAATTATTTATAAGAATAATTGAATTATTCTCTTAAATTTTCATAAAATGATTTGTTTATTTAAATTTCGAATTAATCGGAAATTTTGTCAATTTTAATTGACATAAATTTTATATTTTAAAACAATTAATTTTTTTACTTTCAAATATTATTTTGAAAAATAATTGAATTTTGGAAGAATTCTAACTAAAAATTTGAAAAATAATTGAATTCGATAAAAATTTAGAATTGAAGTTTAATAACTTCAATTCTAAATTTTTATCGAATTCAATTATTTTCAGGATAAAAACAGTGAATACTTTTTATGGAAATCAGGGAAATACAGAATAAAATTTTTGTCTTTTTTTTAATAGACTAAAGCGAGTTTTTTAGTCGTCAAATTTATTTTTTTGATATCTACTTTTTTCAGTCTTAAAGACACTTTTTGCTACTTTTTTTAAAACTACTTATTAAGTGCGAAGCTTGATATTAATATTTTTATATTTACCAACTTGTAAATACAACTTCTATTAAAATAGTACATAACATGAAAATTAACTGTAAAAGTTGAAATAAGTAGAAAATATGTGTAATTATTTGTTTTTCTATGAAAAAATAATGAAATGAAATAAAATTTCAGGACCGGTAGCCAGTAAGCCAAGTACGCCTAGTAATCGTGAGACTATGGACGAGGACAGCCTTTTTCCGGGTTTAGAATTTAAAAAATCAAACCAAGAAGTGCCTGATTATGGTAGAACAATGGACTGCGATGATAGTAAAATCGATGACGATCTTGATAAACTTTTGCAACATATAAAAGAGGATCAACAGAACAGTATGGATGCTCCAGATAGTCCCAAAGAAGACGCATTAGGAGGTCATGGTCACGAAGGTCTCGATACTAAAACCCCCTCCAGTCCCAGTAGACATTTACTCTACACTACTCATTTTCCACTTCCGCAGGTAATTTCTCTTTTTACTAGAATAATTAATTACAATTAAAGAAATTCGCGAATACAATTTTTAGAATATTTTTTTGAGTATCTATTTTTAGAGTGAATACAGAATACTTTTTACACTCGGGGATAAAGTCATAATTCTGTCTTTATTTTCATTTGTTTGCAATTTTATTTTGATTTTTTTTTGTAATTTTATTTTTCGATTTGTCTCAAGTTTGAAAGAAACTAATAAAAAAAATTAATTTCCAGAATAAAACAAACGTTTCGATTTGTATCAAAAGTTTGAAAATACTAATAAAAAAATAAATTTCCAAAATTAAAGAAACGTTTCGATTTGTCTCGAAAGTTTGTAAATATTAATAAAAAAAAATTATTATTTCCAGGATGAAACGTGCAGTCAACACGATTGTAATCAACGGCATGTACTTTTGTATGGCGTTGGTCGTGTTCGTGACGAAGCACGTCATGTTGTCAAGAAAATGACAAAAGAAGTTTGTAAATTATTTGGAAAGAAATTCAGCATTGACGTTGCCGAGGGTGGTAAAGTGAAGAAACATTCACGAAATGAATTTAATTTCGAAGCAATAACGCAAAAATTTCAAAATCTCAGCTACTTTGATCAGCACGTTGTCACGTGGCAATGCGCAACGCAAGTCGTTGAAATGCTTAATACATTCGCCGTTTCCGCCTCATCTTATTTACCAGTTCAAGAACACGTTGCATTTCTCTTTGATCTGATGGAACTTGCACTAAATATTTATGGTCTGATTGATATTTGCATTCAACTATTGAAAGAATTGCCCGAAGTTGAAGCTCAATTGACAACGAGAAATAGTACACTAGTCAGAAGTTATACGACAAGTTTGAGTCTCTATGTTGTTGGTGTTTTGAGGAGATATCATTGTTGCTTGTTATGTAAGTTTTTTTTATTGAATTTTATAATAATTGCAGGCTTCGCACTTATCTACTAAAACCTATTATTTACTACTTTTTTTACGTTATGATACTATTTGGGTAATTTTTTTTGATTTCAGCCACTAAAAGCTACTATTTCTGTTTTGTTGTTGTTGATAATTTGCAACTACTTTAAATTCACTAATAATTGAAATAAAAAAACTATTTTCAAAAATTATAATCAAATTCTTTAAAACGATTCAATTATTTTCAAAAAATATTCGAAATTCAATTATTATCAAAAAATATTCGAAATTCGATTATTTTCAATATCTAATTTTTTCATAAAATTTCGCAAAAGAATTCAATTATTTAAAAAACAATTGATAAAATTCATCCAAAATTCAATTATTTTTATAAATAACAAAATTTTCACGGGAATTTAATTAATTTAGAATAGCATTTTCAAAAAAAAATTCGAAAAAATCAATTATTTAACAACATTTTAATGCAATTCGTCACAATAATTTCAATTACTTTCACTAATAATAACATTTTTCATGGAAATTCAATTTTTTAAAAAAAGTTTTGATAAAATTAGAAGGAAGAATTTAATTATTTTCGTAAATAATAAAACTCATCGAAGAATTTCAATTATTTTTAATACTATTTTAAATTAATTAATCAAAAAGTTCAATTATTTTCACAAATGAAGTTTTCCACAAGAATTCAATTATTTAAAATAAAATTTTCATAATATTTAGTATATTTCGAAAAAATTAATTATTTAAAACAATGTTTATAAAGTTCTTATGAAGAATTCAATTATTTTCAAAAAGAACAAAATTTTTTCACTGAAATTCAATTCTTTTTAAACATTTTAATGAAATTTTTCGCAATAATTCAATTACTTTCCTAAATTATTAAAATTCTTCTCAGGAATTTAATTATTTTTGAAAATTTTAATAAAATTCTTAGCAACTATTCAATTATTTTCATAAATTATAAAATTCATCGCATGATTTCGATTATTTTTAATACAATTTTACAGCAATTGCTCAAAAAATGGAATTATTTTTAAATATTTAATTTCAATTCCTCGAAAAAATCAATTATTTAAAAGAATGTTTTCCTAAAATTCTTTGGAAGAATTCAATTATTTACAAAAACATTAGAATTTTTCACAGGAATTTCAATTATTTTCAAATATTTTAATAAAATTGTTCGAAAGAAATTAATTATTCAAAATGCAATTTTAATTATATTTTTTTGAAATAATTCAATTATTCTTTTAGATTTTACTTAAATTTTTCCCAAGAATTCAATTATTTACATAAATAATTCTTTGAAAGAATTCAATTAGGTCGATAAATAATAAAATTATTCCCCTAAATTCAATTATTTTGAGGCATTTTAATAAAATATTTGGCAAAATTCAATTATTTTGATAAATAACAATATTCATCACAAGAATTCAATTATTTTTAAAAGTAATACATTTTTTCTTGTAAATTCAATTATTTTTGAAAATAATAATAAATTTCTTAGCGACTATTTAATTATTTTTAATACAATTTTACGGGAGTTGCTCAAAAAATGTAATTATTCTTGAAAAATTAATTCCAATTCCTAAAAAATTAATTATTTCAAAAAATGTTTGTTTAAAATTCTTTGGAAGAATTCAATTATTTACAAAAACATTAGAATTATTCACAAGAATTTAATTATTTTTAAAAGTAATAAATTTCTTCTTGGAAATTCAATTATTTTTAAAAGTAATAAATTTCTTCTTGTAAATTCAATTAATTTTAAATTATAATAAATATATTTTTGGAAATTCAATTATTTTAAAAAATTCTAATAAAATCGTTGGCAAGATTTCAATTCTTTTCATAAATAATAAAATTTATTGCAGGATTGCAATTATTTTAAATACAATTTTAAAGAAATTGCTCAAATAATGTAATTATTCTTAAAAATTTAATTTCAATTCCTTGGACAAATCAATTATTTAAAAAAATTTTTTTTTTTTAAATTCTTTGGAAGAATTCAATTATTTTCAAATATTTTAATAAAATTGTTCGAAAGAAATCAATTATTTTAAAAACAATTTTAATTAAATTTTTTTGAAATAATTCAATTATACTATTAGATTTTAATAAAATTCTTCCCAAGAATTCAATTATTTACATAAATAATTCTTCGAAAGAATTGAATTATGTCGATAAATAATAAAATTTTTCCCCGAAAATTCAATTATTTGGAGGAATTTAAATAAAATTGTTTGGAAAACTCAATTATTTTTATAAATAATTTTTGCATAAATAATTAAAATTTTTAAATAAATATTTATAATATTTAAAATGCTTTTTAGGATTTCAATTATTTTTAAAAAAATTTAATAAAATGCCACACAGACATTGAATTATTCTAAAAAATTTTAATAGAATTCTTTGTAAAATATAATCATTTTGAAAAAATTTTCGCAATTCAATGATTTTCAATATCTACTATTTTCATAAAATTTCTAAACAGAATTTAAGTATTTAAAAAATTTTTTGTAAAAATATTCGTAAGAATTCAATTCTTTTCATGAATGATATAAATTTCTCAGGAATTCAATTATTTAAATTAGAATTTGCATAAAGTTAGTCGAAAGAAATGAATTATTAAGAAAATTTATAAAATTCTTCTCAAGAATTAAATTATTTTTATAAATATTTAAATTTTTTCATGAATAACAAAATTCGTTGCAGGAATTTAATTTATTAGCAGGATAAGAAAGAAGTAAAAATCAAGAAAAAGTCAGTAAAATAAAATATAGAATGGAATTTTCGTCAGTTTTGTGAAGTTTCTAAAACGATTTTTTTTTTTTGGTCTTCAAGTTTAATTTTTCGATAGTTACTTTTTTACTGCTTCTTTTAGTTTGAAAGCTACTTTTTGCTACTTTTTTAAAACGAATTATTTAGTGCGAAGTCTGTAATTGAGCGCGTCACGTTTTATTATTATTTTTATTTGTATAAATTTTCTGATTATTTTTATTAATAATTGAAATAATTTTGCAGTGTCCCCTGAGCAGTCGACAGTGGTGTTCGATTTACTCTGCAAAGTTGTGAAGCACGTTTCGAATCCAAGTGATTGCAGTTCTGCGGAGCGTTGCGTTTTGGCGCATCTTTACGATTTGTATTCGAGTTGTTCGCTATTGAAGACAAAGCCACACGGCGTGGAGGCATTTAATAATGCACATCCGAAAATTCGTTTGGCACTCTACAGTGCATTGCAACCGACCCCCTCGAATCATGTCTATAATTCTCAATTTATGGTTGACGTGTTTAATAGTCCAAGAAGAGGTGGTAAAATTGAGCAGCAATGGGCTAAATTATTGAATGAAACGCCGGCGAATCGTTACAGTTTCGTTTGCAATGCAATTGTGGCTGTTTGCAGTGAATTAGATAATGATAAATTGAATGACATTGCAATTACTTGCGCGGAATTAACGGCGTGTTGCAATGCCCTAAGTGCCGAGTGGCTCGGTGTTCTAATGGCTCTATGCTCTTCCTCGAGTAGTTCTACATTTTACATTGACGTATTGAATCAAGTTGACGTTCAAGATTTGAGTCTTCATAATTCGCTTGCTGTATTTACATCTATTTTAATAGGTAAGAGAATTTCACGCTTCGCACCCGTCTACTAAAACTTTTTTTACGATTTAGTCCTATTTACTACTCTTTTTACGATTTACTACTATTTGGATACTTTTTTTTAGATTTGTGACGCTAAATACTATATTTATCTTTTTTGTTTTTTTTTTACTTTAAATTCATTTACTACTATTACATACCAATAATTTAAATTAAATTACTTCAAATTTGCTAATAGTTGAAATGAAAAAATTATTCTCAAAAATTTTAATAAAATTCTTTGAAACGATTAAATTATTTTCAAAATTCAATAATTGAATTCTTATGGGAATTTTTATTAAGATGGTAGCATCTTAATAAAATTTCTCAAAAGAATTCAATTATTTTTAAACACAATTAATTGATAAAATTCATCGAAAACATTCAATTATTTTTCTATAAATAAAATTTTCGTAGGAATTTCATTATTTAAAATACAATATTATCATAACATTTTTCGAAAAAAAAAATTATTATTTAAAAAAAGGTTTCATAAAAGTTTTTATAAAAAAAATTCTTTACAAGAATTTCAATTATTTTCACAAATAATAAAATTTTGCAAGGGAATATTTAAAAAAAAAAATTTTATATAATTCATTGCAAGAATTCAAAATTAATTTTATGAAAATAATAAAACGCATTGCAGGAGTTCAATTATTTTTAAATACAATTTTAAATTAATTTCACTAAATAATTCAATTCTTTCAAAAATATTAATAAAATTCTTTGTAAGAATTCAATTATTTATCATTTTCTTAGAATTTTTATAAAATTCTTCTTGAAAATTCAATTATTAAAATTTTTAAGAAAATTCTTCACAAAAATTCAATTATTTTAATAATTAATAAAATTCTTCGCAAGAATTCAATTATTTTCACAAGTAATAAAATTTTTCAAACGAAGTCAAAAATTTTAATAAAATCCTTCGCAAACATTTAATTATTTTCATAAATAATAAAATATTCAAAGCAATTAAATGATGTTAAATTCCATTTTCTGAAAAGTTTTCGAACAAGTTCTTCAATTATTTTCGAAGAAATTTTAACAAAATTCTTCCCAAGAATTCAATTGTCTTCATAAAAAACAAAATTTATTTCAAAAATTCCATTATTTTCATAATTAATAAAATTCTTTGCTGGAATTCAATTATTATTATAAATAATAAAATTTTTATTGAAATTCAATTATTTAAAAAAAATTTTTTTTAATTTTTCGCAGGAATTCAATAGTTTTTAATACATTTTTTATAAAGTTCTTTCACAAAATTAAACTATTTTCAAAAATATTAGTAAACTCTTTTCAAAACAATTCAATTATTTTCAAAAATATAAACAAAATTCTTTCCAAAAATCTAGGTACATTAATTTATTGTAAAATAGAATTCTTTTTTCAAAAATTCAATTATTTTTATAAAAATAAAAATTCTTAAAAACAATTAAATTATTCTCATAAATAATAAAATTCTTTAGTGCAATTCAATTATTTTCAATCGAATTTTCATTAAATTCTTTTACAAAATTCAATTATTTTCGAAAATTTTAGTAAACTTTTTTGAAAAGATTCAAATATTTTAAACAATTTAAACAAAAGTACAAAGTAAATATTTTTTGCATAAATTCAATTATTTTCAATTTTTCGTGAAATTTTTTGAAAGTAATTGAATTTTTGCAAGGATTTTTCTATTTAAAAAAAATAATTGAATTGTTTCGAAGGATTATTAAAATTTTAGAAAATAATTGTATTCGTTCGTAAAATATTATTAAAATTTTGTTTCAAAATAATTGAATTTTTGCAAAAAATTTTGCTATTTATAAAAATAGATAAATTTTTAAGAAGGATGTTATTAATTTATGAAAATAATTGAATTCTCGCAAAGACTTTTATTAAAATTTTTAAAAATCATAACTAAAATGTTTTAAAGAATTTTTTTGATTTTTTTTTAAATAGTGGAGTTTCTTTAATAATTATAATTGAAAATTTTGAAAGCAATTGAATTTTATGAAGAAGAATATTATTAAAATTTTATGAAAAAAATTAATTTCATGTAAATACTTGAAAACAATTAAATTCTTAGAGGAATTCTATTAAAATTGTATTGAAATTAATTGAATCCTTTTAGTTCTTTTGAAGAATGTATTTAAAAATTGCATTGAGAGTAATTTAATTTTTATATAGATTTTTTTAAAAATATTTTGAGAATTATTGAATTTTTTTTTTAAATTTTTAATTCTTGTTGAAATCGAATTTTATGAAAATTTTTGAAAACAATTAAATTCTATCGTGTTATTTTATTTAAATACGATTAAAAATAATTTAATTCCTGCAAAGAATTTTAGTATTTATAACAATAGTTGAATATTGTTTCGAGGAGTTTATTAAAATTTTAGGAAATAATTGAATTTTTTGGAAATATTTGAAAATATTTGAATTCTTTCGATGAATTCAATTAAATTTGTTTTGAAAATAATTGATTTCCTGCAAAGAATTTTAATATTTTTAAAAATAATTGAATTCTTGCGAAGAATTTTTCTATTTATCAAAATAATTGAATTATTTCGCAGAATTTATTAAAAGTTTGGAAAACAATTGAATTCTTTTGAAAATTTTTATTGAAAATAATTGACTTCCTCCAAAGAATTGTACTATTTATAAAAATAATTGAATTTTGCCGAAGAATTATATTAAAATTTTTGAAAATAATTGAATTCTTTTAAAAATTTTTATAACGAATTAAGAAAAAAAATTAAATTCTTTTGCGAAATTTTATTGAAAATAATTGATTTCCTCCAAAGAATTTTACTAAGTATTTATAAAAATAATTGAATTTTTCCGAAGAATTATTTAAAATTTTTTGAAAATATAAATAATAACAATTAATGCTGTACTTAATAAGTGAATTTTTTAAATTTTGATTATGAAATCATTTAGAAATTCATATTTTTGAATATAAAAAATTTTGTAATTTGCATAGCAAAAATAAATTGAATATTATGTTCGTAAATATTTGCTAGTTAACTTATTAAATTTGAATTTATTTTTAATAATAATAATTTAATTTTTTAGTTTTTTTTTCGATAGGTATTTTTTTGATACTTAATTCGATCTTAGAGATACTTAATTTTTTTTTAATTATCGAGTGCGATGTTTGGAATTTATTATTTTTCTCTCTTTTCGAGCAGTTTTTTTTTCTAAACAATATTTTTATGTATTTTTCAGCGAGACATTGTTTTTCACTGGAAGATTTTTTGCTTCATGTGGCTTTACCGTGTTTGGTGAAGACCTGCAATGAGGGTCGCGGTGATGCGGACACTGAAGCTGAGGCAGGAGCGCGATTAACATGCCATTTACTTTTGAGACTGTTTAAAACAAGTGAATGTCCACAGCCGGCTTTATATTCGGTCAGTACAAGTCCACATCCTCTGCCCAGTGGAAATCCACGTGGTTACAGTATAAAATTGAGTTGTGATCGACATTTATTGGCAGCGGCGCACAATAATATTAAAGTTGGCCCCGTTTTGGCGGTGCTCAAGGCTATTTTGGTTGTTGGTGACGCTACTGCTGGCAAACAACCGCCAAAGAAACCCGACGTACCATTGACACACTCGGGTAAAGCCGGTGGTCCCGGCAGTGTTGGTGTGTCGGGCACTGGTCCCGGTGAATTGTCCATAAGTCATATTCTCGGCACCAGCGATATTCTCGGTGGTGGCGATGATCTTGGTCTTGATATTGCAATGTCATCGTCGAATAGCAGCGCGGGAATAACGGCGGAGAGCGTGAAGGGTCTCTCAGATTTTGCTCAACATGTTTTGCGGCAAATATGCAGTCAGGAATGGGTGCTGGAGAGATGTCTGCAGAATCCAGAGGAATTGTGTCATCCGGGAATGTTGCTCGACGATGTATTGACGCCACGACAAGCGCAAAGACTCTTGCACATGATTTGCTATCCGCATACATCGTCGGACGCATTTTTAGATCAGAAGACGCATATTACGAATATTTTGGAGAATCTCGAGCAATGGAGTTTGAGAATGTCATGGTTGGACCTGCAGCTTATGTACAAGCAATTTCCACCAAATTCGAATGATTTGCTACAGTGGCTCGATACGGTGGCAAAAGCGGCAATTGATGTCTTCCAATTGAATAATGTGTCGGGGAAGTCGGACAAAAAATCGGGATCAATTTGGTTGGTTGCGCCGTTAGTATCGAAACTTCCCAGTCCGGTGCAAGGACGTGTTTTAAAAGTTGCCGGTCAAGTCTTAGAATCGGGTAATTGGTCGAAAACGGCGAATAGAGAACGTGGAAGATCAAAGTCGCCTTCGCTTTTTAATCATCAGCCTTTTTTGTCTCTTGTATTGACGTGCCTCAAAGGTCAGGATGATCAACGAGAGGGATTATTGACGTCCCTGCATTCGCAATTGTCACAATTTTTAAGTACAAGTAAAGAGGAGAAAAATATCGGAGCCGAGGATCCGAAGACAAGGGAAGTTGTACAGGATGCATTGCAATTGAGATTTAGTCTCGTGGGCGGTGTCTTTGATACGATTCAACGTAACACTACTGTCACGACCGATTGGGCAATTTTATTGGTTCAATTGGTAAGTTACGGGGTGATTGATTTAAATAATAATTCCGAACTCTTTACCACAGTGATCGATATGTTGGCGACTTTGATACATTCCACTCTTGTGTCCGATTCACAATCAGAGAAGGATGAAAATAAAAAACACTATCAGAATTTAATGAAAAAATTGAAAAAAGAATTAGGTGATAGAAATTCACAAAGTATTCAATTTGTTAGACAATTACTTCCTTTGCAAAAATTGACAATTGAAGTGATTGCTTGTGAACCGGTTGGATGTTTAACGGATACGAAGGGGAATAAAATTACCGGATTTGATAGTATCGACAAAAAGCAGGTAAGAATTTTCGAAAGAATAATATTTGGTGTTATCGGGACTTGAACCAGTGAAAGTATTTAAAAATACGAACTTTACGGACCAAAAATGAAAAAATACAAACTTTACGGACGAAAAATGAAAAATTACGGACCAATTACTGACAAAAATATAACATTTTACTTAAAACAAATTTTTAACTAAAATTCTTCTTTGAATCGATTATTTTTAATAATTTTCCAAAAAGTTCTTTGACTATTTTCAAATCCATTTGTTTACAATACCTTACGAAATTTCAATTACTCGTAAAATTTTCAATTAAATAAATACTAGAAACTAAAAACTTAAAATAATATTTTAAAAATTCAATTAAACTTTTTCAAAAAAATTAATTTCAAAAATTCAATTATTTATAAAAATTCAAATTGCTTTTAATATTCAATTATAATCTAAAATTTTAACTGAAATTAATTTTTAAATTAATTTTTAAATTAATTTTTATTAGAAAATTCTACTAGAATTTAAATTATTTTAAATACAATTATTATAATCAAATTTCTCGAAAAATGTAATTATTCTTAAAAATTTTATTAAAATTGGTTAATAGAATTCAATTATTTAAAAATTTGGGGATTAAATTCTGTGTGAGAATTCAATTTTAAGAAACATGCAATTATTCAATTTATTTTTATTTTTGTATTTAAATAATTGAATTCTAGTAGAATTTTCTAATAAAAATTGATTTAAACATTAATTTCAGTTAAAATTTTAGATAATAATTGAATATTAAAAGCAATATGAATTATTAGAAATAATTGAATTTCGAAATCAATTTTTATTAGAAAACTCTACTAGAATTAAATTATTTAAAAACAAATAAAATGCAAATAAATAATTGAATGTTTCTTAAAATTCAATTCCCATAGAGAATCGTTATCAACAAATTTTTCAAATAATTGAATTCTTTCCACGAAATTTCAATAAAATTTTTAAGAATAATTACATTTTTCGAGAAATTCGATTAAAGTTGTATTAAAAATAATTGAAATTCTGCAATGAGATTTATTATTTGTGAAAATAATTGATCGCTAAGAAGAATTTTATTATTTTTGAACAATATTTAATTTTTGCGAAGAATATTATTATTATTACTCTGGAAAATAATTGAATTTGTAACTTTTACAAAATTGAACTTTTTTTTCCTGTTTTTAACTACACTGGAGCTTCACTTATTTTCAGTCTCACTTATTTTCAGTCTCACTTATTTTCACCATTTCCAGTCTCACTTATTTTCAGTTAAATGGTTCTCCGTGCGTTCTCATTGGTTGATGTTAAAGAATCCACCAATCAAATCAACTCGAATGTTACGTTTCAGAGTGAAAATAAGTGCGACTTTGCCTTTCAGTTTGTTTGGACTTAGTGAAAATAAGTGAAGCTCCAGTGTAAACATCTTTTATAAATCCATTATTTTTAATAATTTTTGAAAAAATTGTTCAAGAATTTTCAAATTTATTTGTTTACAAATTTAATTTTACAAAATTTCAATTATTCGTAAATTTTTCGATTAAATAAATATATTAGAAAATAAAAAATTTAAATAATTTCAAAAAAAATCTGCAATTAAAGTTTCTCAAAAAAAAAATTAATTCCACAGAATTGTTAGTTAAAAATATGAAAAATTCAAATTTTCAAAGATTTCAATCTGAAACCTTTTCAAAATTCAATTATTTCTAAAAATTCAAGCTATAATGCTTTTAATATTCAATTATAATTTAAAATTTTAAGTGAAATTTTAAATTTAAGTGAAAATTTTTTTGTCATTTATTTATTTAATTAATTTTTATTATATAGAAACTTTTTCGAGAATTTAATTATTTAAATACAAAAATAAATAATTTATTAAATAATTGAATATTTCTTAAAAATGAATTTTTATGAAGAATTTTATCAAAATTTTAAAAAATAATACAATTCTTTTGGCAAATTGTAAATAATAAGTTGTAGAATAAATGCAATTTTCTATTATTTTGTTTAAAATTGTTTAAAAAATAATTGAAATTTTGCAATAAGTTTTGTTATTTATGAAAATAAGTGAATTATTGCAACAAATTTAATTAACAATTTTTTAAAGAATTGAATTCCTGTGAAGAATTTTATTTGTGAAAATAATTTCTCAGAATTTTTGAAAACTTTTTGAAAATAATTAAATTCCATCGAGATATTTCATTTAAAAATTGAAAATAATTGAAATCTGACGAAGAATGTTATTAAATTTTTTTTAAATAATTTAATTCCTGTTAAAAATTTTATTTTTGAAAAAAATTGAATTCTTGGGAAGAGTTTTATTATAATTTCTTAAATAATTGAATTGCTTCGATGAATTTTATTTTTTACGAAAATAATTTAATTTGTTTCGAATATTTTTGACAATAATTGTATTCCTAGGAAGAATGTTATATTTTAACAAATTTCAAGTATTCGTAAATTCTTCAATTAAATAAATATTAGAAAATAGAAAATTTTAATAATTTCAAAAAAAATCCGCAATTAAAGTTTTTCAAAAAAAAATTATTTTCACAGAATTGTTAGTAAAAAGTATGAAAAATTTAAATTTTCGTAGATTTTTATCTGAAACCTTTTCAAAATTCAATTATTTCTAGAAATTTACTCTCTAATGCTTTTAATATTCAATTATTATTTAAAATTTTAACTGAAATCCATTTTTAAATTAATGTTTATGAGAAATTTCTACTGGAGTTCAATTATTTAAATACAAAAATAACAATTTATTGAATAATTGCGTTTTTTAAAATTGATTTTTCATAAAGAATTTTATCTATTAATTTTTGAATAATTGAATTCTTTTGACGAATTTTAATAAAATTTTTAAGAATTTTTTCGAGGAATTCGATTAAAATTGTATTAAAATTAATTGAAATTCTGCAATGAATTTTCGTAACTTTTATAATTTTAAATTTAAAATAATTTAATGATTGCTTAGAATATTATTAAAATTTTTGAAAATCATTGAATTTGTATTTCAAATTTTATTATTTATGAAGATTATTGAATTCTTGAAAAAAATTGGAATTTCTGCAAAGAATTTTAATAATTATAAAAATAATTGAATTGTTTCGAAGAATTTTACTATTTATAAAAATAAATGAATATTTGAGAAGAATTTTGTTAAAATTTTTGAAAATAATTGTATTTTTGCCAATAATTTTATTATTTATGAAAATAATTGAATTGCTGAAAGGAATTTTACTTTTTTATAAATGATAATTGAATTCTTGGGAAAAATTTTATTAAAATTTTTGGAAATAATTGAATTTCTTTAAAGAATTCAATTTTTGGAATGAATTTTATTTTTACAAAAATAATTTTCTTTTTCGTTAATAATATATTTAAAGTTTATAAAAATAATTGAATTCTTGCCCAGAATTTGATTACTTATAAAGATATTTAAATTTTTAGGAGGATTTTATTAAATTGTTTTGGAAATATTTCAATTTCTGCGATGAATTTTATTTTTACAAAGATAATTTCAGTTTCGTTAATAATTCATTTAGAGTATTTGAAAATAATTGCATTTCTGACAAGAATTTTATTATTTATGAAAATAATAATTGAATTCATAGGAAGAATTTTGTTTTTTATAAAAATGATAATTCAATTCTTGGGAAAAATTTTGTTAAAATTTTTGATAATTGAATTTTTGCGGAGAATTTTATTATTTTTGAAAATAATTGAATTTCTGCAATCATTTGTAATTTCTCTAAAATTATCCAAATTATATCGCACAATTTACGAACTTTTCGTCTTTTCTCAATTTTTACGGACTTTACGGACCTTTTTTGAAAAAAACGGACTTTTACGGGATTTAGGAGCTAGTTCGAGCCCTGCATTATTTTAATGATAATTTTTTACATTTTAGGGACTGCAAGTTTGTGATTCGCAAAAGGTATCAGCTTGGGAATTATTGGAGGGCCATAAGAATCCTGCTCCCCTCTCTTGGTCTTGGTTTAGAGCTGTGAAAATTGAAAGGAAACCGTTGACTTATGAGATGGCGCACAAACTTCTTCGTTATCACACTCACAGTCAGACGAGGGCGTCGAGTTACTATTTGGAGCCGCCGCCACTGCCTCCCGAGGATCTTGAACCAGACAAAAAGGAATCAGAATCCGGTAAGGCTGACACACCAATGAGTATCGATTCTCCGGGACGAATTGGTAGTACAAATGGTGTTATTGGTGCAGCTGCAGGTGGTGTCGGGAAGGGAAAAGCCATGAAAACGAAAAGAAATCGAAGAATCAAGGGATCTGTCACGCCAACTGCAACGATACCTCAACAATTGCAGGTAAATAAATTTCAATTAAAAAAAAAAACGTAAAAAATGTCCGAGAAATAATTTATTTTTTAATGTTTAGCCACAAGGTCAAACACAAATACCACAAATGCCGTATGGAAATCAACAACCACAAGTTACGCCACAACAGGGAATGTTCACGGGACAAGCACCGCAACCACAGCAAAATTGGTATCCCAATCAACAGGGCCATACGGCGCCTCAACAATACGGCTATGGTCAACAATTACCACCAGCTGTCACTGGTCAACGTTACGATCGTCCGGGAATGAATAATCAATCGAAGCAAGCACTCTCGAATATGCTCCGTCTGCGAATGCCTTCGACACAATATATGGGTGCGCAACAACAGCCAAATCCACCTTCCGTTGGTCCTGCCGGTTTTCAGGGTATGCAACGGCAGCAATTCATTAGACAACAACTCAGGGCGCAGCACAGCGCCGCGACGATGAATCCTCAACAGACAATGTTTAATCCCCAACAACAGCAGACACAACAACAAGGAATGTATACCGGAATGCAGCAAGGTATTTGTCATTCTTTTTTGGTTGGAGGACAAAAGTTCGAAAACAGAAGTTCCAATGAAAAAAAGTTCCGAAGACCAAAAGTTCCAAAAGTTCTTTTTTCCAAAGACCAAAATTTACAAAACTTCTTTTTTCCAAAGACCAAAAGTTTCCAAAACTTCTTTTTTTCAAAGACCAAAAGTTCCCACTTCAATAAAGTATAAAGTAAAAACGTGGCTTTTTTACATGTTTCATTATTTATTTTAGACGTTTTTATTTATTTTGGATTTTTTGACTTTGAACATTTTTATTTTGGATTTTTTGTACTTTGGACTTTTTTTCATGGATTTTTCGATCTGGATTTTTTGGATTGAATTTTTTGTCCTGTAATCTTTTTAACAAATGGAATAATTTTTCTCTTTCCAATTACACTCTTCGCACTCATCTACCAAAACATATTTACAACTTTTTTTACGATTAGCTACTATTGGGATAATTTTTTTTAAATTTGTGACACTAAAAGCTACTTTTTTCTTATTTTTTTAATTTTCACAAATTTAAATCTTCTAATAGTTGAAATAATTTAATTATTCTTTCAAATTTTCATAAAATTATTCGAAAATTCAATTATTTCCAAAAAAATTTAATAAAATCCTTCGCAAGAATTCAATTATTCAATAATAAAATTCTTTAAAAGAATTCAATTATTTCCAATAATTTACATTGTAATACAATATTAAAATCTTGAATTACAATAATATAAACAAACTCAAATAAAATTATTAAAAAAAAACTACATTATTTTCAAAAGATTTAAAAAAGATTAGTCAATAAAATTCTTCTCGGGAATTCAATTATTTCTTAAAAATTTTAATAAAATTTTTAATTTCAATTATTAACAAACACGTTTACTTTGAAAAATTGAGAGAAATTTATTGAAAAAAATAAATTTCAAAATTGACAATAAGAAAAATAAATTTCAAAATTTACAATAAAAAAAATAAATTTCAAAATTTACAATAAATAAAATAAATTTTCAATTAAAATTTTTAAAAAATTGATTTATTTTGAATAGATTCAAAGAATGTAGTCAAAAAATTTAATTAATTTATTTTAATAAACAAACAAAAATTTTCGCGCGAATTTATCAATTATTTTTAATACAATTTTAAATGAATTCCTCGAAAAATTTAATTATTTTCACAAATAAAATTTTTCACAAAAATGCAATTTTAAAATAAAATTTTCATAATATTTATTACATTTTTAAAAAATTAATTATTTAAAACAATGTTTATAAAATACTTATGAAAAATTCAATTATTTTCAAAAATAACAGAATTTTTCACAGAAATTCAATTCTTTTTAAACATTTTAATAAAAGTTTTCACAGTAATTCAATTATATTTTCATAAACAATAAAATTCTTCTCAGGAATTCAATTATTCTTGAAAATTTTAATAAAATTGTTAGCAACTATTCAATTATTTTCATAAATAATAAAATTTATCACAGGATTTCAATTATTTTTAATATAATTTTTAAGGAATTGTTTAAAAAATGTAATTATTCATGAAAAATTAATTTCAATTCCTCGAAAAAATCAATTATTTAAAAAAAATATTTACTTTAAATTCTTTGGAAGAATTCAATTATTTTTAAAACTAATAAATTTTTTCTTGGAAACTCCAATACAAATTTTAATAAAATCTTTCGCAAGATATAAATTATTTTCAAAAATTTTGATAAAATTCTTATTCAATTTTAAGAAATAATCAATTATTCTGTCAATTATTTATTTTTTTACTTAAATAAGAGAATTCTTATGGAACTTTTTAATAAAAATTGATTTGAAAATGAATTTCAGTTACAATTTTAGATTATAATTGAATACATATATTAAAAATGCGTTATAATATGAATTTTTAGAGATAGATAAATTTCAAAAAGCTCTTAAATTAAAATTATTTAAAATTTTAGTTCCTGTGAAAAAATAAGTAAGTAAATTTTGTCAAATTTAATTAAAGTAAATTATATATTTAAAAAATATTTATTTTTTTACTTTCAAAACTTATTTTTAAAAATAATCGAATTTTTGAAGAATTCTAATTAAAAATGTGGAAAATAATTGAATTTGATTACTAATTATTGAGTGCGAAGCCTGCAATTAATATTGCTTCCTCATAGAGGAAGGATTGTATTTTATTTATTTATATCAACAAATTCGCTTTACCTTTAATTAAAGTTATAATTATTAATAGTTGAAAACTTGTTTTTAAATATAAAATTAAAGAAGAGATTTTTAAAAATTCTTAAAGGTGTTGGAGGAATGGCTCAGAACTATGGAGGCTATGGCAGTCAACAAATGCTTGCCCAACAACCACAGCAACAACCTCAACAAGTGCAGCAACAACAGCAACAACAGCAAATTCTACAACAGCAGCAACAGGGAATGATATCGCAGCAACAACAAAATATGCTGTTCCAGAATCAACAAATGTTAGGCGCACAAAGAGGTCAGGAATATCTTCAACAGCAAAGAATGCAACAAACTGCAACGAGGCCTCCTTACCTACAAGTGAGTTTATTTTTTGACATTTTTTAAAGTGTCGTTTGGTCTAAAATTAATATTTATTGTTGATACTAAAAATACTATTATTGTATGATATAAGGCACAACAATTTTGTATAAACATATTTATTTATTTATGATCAAATATGGTATATAGAAGACGAGAAAATTAATATAATTAGGTATTTTTTTATTAAATTAAATTTAATTAATTATTTTAATTAATAATTAATTAAAGTAATTATTAAATTAAATATATTATTAGATACTATTACTACGATAAGTTCTATTATTATTTAAATTACTTTCCTTAATTGACGAAAATTTCTTTTTTTCTCCAGACACCAAATGTGACAATGAATACTATGGGTTCAATGGGCGGAAATGTTCAAAATCAACCAGCACCACCTTATAGGCAAACAGGAGGTAAACCTGGGGCTGTTGGTGTTTCCGGAGTTGGATCAACTAACGTTGGCTTACAGTCGAATCAGCATCTACAACAAGTGAGTTTCTACAATTTATTTTATATCACTTCATTTACTTTCATTTATTTTACTTTTTCTACTTTACAACAAATCTACTCCTGTCGCAAAAATTTGATTTTGTTTTTTCCTGATTTCGAGACAGAATTTTGACTTTTTCCCTGACTCTAAAAAATATTCTCTCTAAAAATGATTAGATACTCAAAAAAATGTCATCATTTTTTATTATGAATGAATAATAATTCATTCAAAATTCGAAATTTTCTAAAATTTCAAATTAAAACCTTTTGAAATTCAATTATTTGTGAAAATTGTAAATGCAATTCTTATAAAATTCAATTATTTTTAAAATTTTTATTGTCAGAAATAAAAAAAGTTTTTTTGTTTCTTCTTGTGAATTCAAAGTTAATAAGACAAACAAAGACAAATTTAAGAAGAATTAATTCTTTTTAATATTATATATTATATTATTAAAGTTTTCTAGACACGGAAATTCAGAATTTTCTTATGAATTTTTTGTTATAGTGTAAACAAAATTTTCTGTAGATTTAAATAACGTTTTTAAAATTAGCACATATAATTTAAGAACATTAAATAATTATTTTCAAAATTTTTTATAAAATTCCTTCAAAAAATTAAATTATTTTCAAAAATTAAAATAAAATTCTTCGAAACAATTCAATTATTTTTATGAACTGTAAAATCCTCCACAAGAATTTAATTATTTTCATAAATATAAAAATTCTTCACAAAAGAATTAAAATATTTTCATAAATAATAAATTGTTTTGAAGAATTCAATTATTTTCAATATAATTTTATTAAAATTTCTCCAAAGAATACAATTATTTTTAAAAATATGATTTAAATTCAATTATTTTTAAGAGTTTTAATAAGAATACAATTATTTTTAACAATTTTGATAAAATTTTTCAAAAAAATTCAATTCTTTTTATAAATTGTAAAATTTTTGGCAAGAATTCAATTATTTATGTAAATAATAAACTTCTTCTGAGAAATTCAATTATTTTCAATACAATTTTAATAAAATGTCAAGGAAAAAATTCAATTACCTATATTCAAGATAATTTTAATAAAATTTCTCTAACACGTTCAATTATTTTTAAAGATTGTAATAAACTTTTTCTAAACAATTCAATTGTTCTCAAAAGTATAATTAATAAAATTCTTGGTAAATTTAAATTATTTTCAAAATTTCCAATTAAAATTATTTTCAAAAATTACATTATTTTTACGAAATTTAATGAAATTCTTTTAAAGAAATATAATTATTTACAAAAACTCTAATAAAATTGTTTAAAAGAGTTTAATTTTCAATGAATAATCTATATTAATAATCGTTATATTCGTAATCTGTACGCAAATTGTAGTTAGTTGTTTTTTTCCTACATTTTTAAAAAATTTTCTTCTTGAAAAAAATAGTATCTAAAAATTTTAAGAGAATAATTGAATTCCTTCGAAGAATTTTACTATTTATAAAAATAATTGAAATGATCGTAAAATTTATTAAAATTTTAGGAAAAATTGATGAATTCAAAACAATTGAATTCATCAGAAGAATTTGATTCGGTAGTTTTAAATAAAAATTGAATTTTTTCAATTTTTTGGATGAATATATTTAAAAGTTGCATTGAAAGTAATTTAATTTTCATATATATTTTAGGAAATAATTGAATTTTATGGAAATATTTAAAAATATTTTAATTCGTCCGAAGAATTCAATTAAAATTGTTTTGAAAATATTTGAATTCCTGCAAATAATTTTACTATTTATAAAAATAATTGAATTCTTTCGCAAGATTTATTAAGATTTTAGAAAATAATTGAATTTATTAGAAATATATTAAAAATTTCTTGAAAAATTGAATTCTTCTAAAGAATTCAATTAAAATTGTTTTGAAAATAATTGAATTCCTGCAAAGAGTTTTACTATTCATAAAAATAATTGAATTATTTCGAAGGATTCATTAAAATTTTCAAAAATAATTGAATTCTTTTGAATAATTTTATAACGAATTAAGAAAAAAATTTAATTCTTTCGTGAAATTTTTTTGAAAATAATTGAATTTTTGGAAAGATTTTACTATTTAAAAAATAATTTAATTCTTTCATGAAATTTTATTAAAATTTTGTTAAAAATAATTGAATTCTTCCAAAGAATGTTATTATTTATATAAAAAGAATTGAATTGTTGCGAAGAATTATATTAAAATTTTCGAAAATATAAAGAATAATAATTAACTTCAAACTGCGAACAGATTATCGAAATGCAACGATTATTAATATAAATTAAATATTTTCCATTTATAGTTGGCATTGAATCAACGCTACCGGCAACAACAGCAACAGCAACAAATGTTAGTTAATATGCAACATCATCAACAATCACAGCAACAGCAAGTACAACAACAACAGAGTAGCAATGTAGGTCAACAACAAACTCCCCAATTAGTGGCGCACCTTCAGCGAAATTTAAATCAACCTCCACAACATCCTTATCATAATCAGCATCAACCTCCACCATATTAAGACAAAAGAAAAAAAAACCACAAATATAGAATGCCTTGTAAATTGCGTAGAAGTATTTCGAATTGGAGATACGTAAGTAATTCTTTTTTACATTGTGTGAAAAGAATCTTTTCAACAATTTTTTTTCTTCAAAATACACGTGTCAATGCACGTGGAAAACGGGAACATATTTTAGCTAATTTTAACAATACCTAATTGAAAGGAAAAAAAGATAGATGAAATTGACAAAAAAAAAATTTGTATTATATACACGTTTCATATATTTGAATATTTTATTAAGCAATATTATTATTTTTTACGAATTTTCCCTGCTGTCAATTCTACAACAGCAAATTATAATTAGCAATTTTATTTCAATGACTGTTAATAATAAGCGTAAATTATTTATAAATTAAATATTGACATTTTTTTTCTTAATTTTTTTTTCGTGATACGCGCTTATTTTGAACATGACTCTAGAATGAAATTTTTTTTTTTTGCATACACTTTGAAGAATGGTAATGAAAAAAAAACACACACACATTGTTGTGCCAAATGATTGTAACTTTTTTTTGTTTTAGAAAAAATGTTTTTTATTCCGTTGCGTTATATATATAAAAAAATATAGAAAATATAATTGAATTAGAAACTGTACAAAGGAAAAATTATCAATTTAAATGGTGGGCGGTTTTTATGACATTTCGTATGCTTGCATAATACCGCAGCATAAAGTTATTAATTGTACATATTCGCTGCCTCCATCCAGCAATCTGTAGCTACATTCCTGTAAAAGATAACAATATACATACGTGAAATTCATTAGCATTATTACCCAGTTATTAATAAATTAATGCCTTAATTTATCAAAAAAAAAAAAAAATATATATATCTTCTTTCTTTTTTTTAAATAAATTCTTAAAAATGAATTCTTCCGAAATGTATAAATTTTGATATTTTAATTTTAAGTAAACAATTTAAATTCTTATTGGTTATTTTCATTTATTTTGTGTATTTTATTTTTATAATTACCCCAAGTCTATCGCCAATATGGGCCTTTTGTTTGTCCGTTAAATGATTCGAGTAAATAATCCTTTCATTCAATTGATCTATCACCTGAAACATTAAAAGGGAACCATTTTCATTATTTTTCTTAATAATTTAAAATTTTCGCAATTAAATTTTTTTTTTATTTTTAATTTTTGTAATTATCTTATTTTGATAATTTAAAATTTTCGCAATTAAATATTTTTTAAAAATTTAAAGTTTTCGTAATTATCTTATTTTGATAATTTAAAATTTTCGCAATTAAATTTTTTTTAAAAATTAAAAATTTTCGTAATTATCTTATTTTGAGAATTTAAAATTTTTCCAATTATATTATTTTGATAACTATTAACATAATTACAAGCCTGTGAAATTTTTCAAGTCCATTTTTGGTTAAAAAACATTCTTATTTTAAATTTAGCGAGAATAAATAAAAGCTTTTGAAATTTATTTAAATCTAAAAATTACCTAGAACTGCAGTTCTTTTAATTCTTTTTAAATATTTTCTAAAATTTAAATCGAAATTCTTTTTCAAATCAAATTCATTTCATGAATTTTATCAACATATTTTTCAAAAATTGAATTCTTTCGAGAAAATTTAATTAAAATTGTATTGAAAATAATTTAATTCTTGGCAAGATTTTTGCAATGAATTTTATTTATTATAAAAATAATTAAATTTTTGGGAAGAATTTGTGTTAAAATTTTTAAAAGTAATTGAATTTAGGCGAAGAATAATTAATTAAAATAATTAAATTCGTGCGAAGAATTTTATTAAAATTTTTGAATATTTTAAATTTTTCCAAGAAATTTAATTAAAATTGCATTTAAAAATAATTGAATTCTTGAAAATAAATTCCGTTTCTTATGAAAATCATTCAATTTTTTAAAAGAATTTCGTTAAAATAATTTAGTTCTTGTGAAGGATTTTACAATTGGTAAAAATAATTGAATTGTTTCCAAGAATTTTATATGAATTTTTTGAATGAATTTTATTAAAAATTTTAAAAATAAAATGATTTTTTCAAAAGATAATAACTGAAATTCACAAAGAATTTTATTAGAAACGTTTGAGAATAATTGAATTGTTTAGGAAAATTTTATTACAATCTTTTTAAAATAATTGAACCTGTTAAAGAAATTTTACTAAAATTATCTTGAATATAATTAAATTTTTTCTTAGAAATTTTATTAAAATTGTAGTGAAAATAATTGAATTTTTAAGAAGAATTTTATTATTTATAAAAATAATTGAATTGTTTCCATAAATTTTATCTGAATTTTTAAAAATAATTTTATTCTTTAAAAGAATTTTATTAAAAATTGTTGAAAATAATTATTTTTCTTAAAAAATTTCATCAAAATTATTTTTAAAATAAATAGAATTTACATTAAAATTCTTGAAAATAAACGAACTTAATTAATGTCTTTTTTAAATAATTCTATTCTTTTGAGAAATTTAATTAAAATTGTATTGAAAATAATTAAATTTTTCAGAAAAATTCTATTATTTACAAAAATAATTGAATTCTTGCCAAGAATTTTACAATTTATAAAAATAATTGCATTTTTTCGAAGAATTTTATCAGAATTCAATTGTTGAAAATAATATCTAATTGAATTTTTATCAAAATTCTTGAAAAAATCGAATTTAATTAATATTCTTAAAAATAATTGCATTCTTTAGAGAAATTTTTTATTAAAATTGTATTAAAAATTATTTAATTTCTCAGAAGAATTCTATTATTTGCAAAAATAATTGAATTCTTATCAAGAATTTTACAATTTATAAAAATAATTTAATTTTTTCGAAGACTTTTATCCGAATTTTTGAAAATAATTGCATTTTTTGAAGGAATTTTATTAAAAATTTTGAAAATAATGATTGTTTAAAAAGTATTTAATAAAAATTGTTGAAAATAATAATTGAATATATATTAAAATTCTTGAAAGTAATCGAATTTAATTAATATTTTTAAAAATAATTGTATTCTTTCGAGAAATTTTATTAAAATTGTATTGAAAATAATTGAATTGCTCTAATGAATTTTATTATTTATGAGAATGAGAATAATGAAATTCTTGAGAAAAATTTTACTAAAATTCTAGAATAATAATAAACAAGAATATTTAATATTATGTACTTAATAAGTGAAATGTTTAAATTTTTAAGTTAATTCTTGAAAATGAAAAAAATTTTAATTTACAAAATTTTACAAACCTGAGTTGTTGAATAAGCTTCCATCATAAATTTTTCGATAAACTCTTCTGTTTTGGTATAATTTTGATCTTTACAGACTTCCATTAAATCATGCAACCAGTAATCGGGAACAACCTATAAAAATTTATAGAATATAGAATAATAGAAATTTATAGAATATAAAATGTAGAAATTTACAGAATAAAGAATATAGAAATTTATAGAATATAAAATATAGAAATTTATAGAATATAAAATATAGAAATTTACAGAATATAAAATATAGAAATTTATAAAATATAAAATATAGAAATTTATAAAATAATATATGAAATATAGAAATTTACGATAAAAAAAAATTTGTACATACTCCAGTGACTTCCAAAACATCATCAATAGTGACATCGACACCCTTTCCCTTGAGTCTCATAACCGATTGCAATGAAGTGATTGCCCTTCTTAAATCTCCACCGGAAGCTTCAACTAATTTAACGAGAACTGCTTTTTCAGCTTTCAAATCCTCCTCACCGCAAATAAATTCCAATCTCTCGATAATTTTCTCCTCGCCCAAAGATTTGAATCTGAATTTTGTACAACGTGACGTTAATGGTTCAATAATACGTGAAACGTAATTGCAAATCAAACAGAAACGTGTACTGTGAGATTCTTTTTCCATTGTTCGACGTAGGGCCGATTGAGCAGCAACAGTCATACTGTCCGCCTCGTCCAGAATTATTATTTTAAAAGGTGGACACGCCTTTCCGCTGAAAATTCAATTTTCTTTTTAATATAATAATATAATAAAAATATTTTGATAAAAAATAGGATTATACTGGATTAATATTGATATCTAAATATTAATATTAATATAATAATAGTTAAATATTGCCTCAGTTATAATTTTTTAACACAAGTTCGTTAACTGATCAAAAGAATCTCAAGACCGAAATTTGTTTAAAAGTTTAAAAGAAAATTTTTAAATATAAAATCAAAATTTACGAGTACCAAACACTTTTTCAGGATTTGAATCAAGTAGTATTGAGTTATAATTTAAAAAATTTCTTTTTTTGTCAAATTTCCATGAAATGAAAGTTAATAATTTTCGCTGCTTTCACACTATGTTTGTAGAAATTTGGAATTATTGTCCAGTTGAGTATAAACAGATTAAGAATCTCATCCTAACTGCCTGATAAGCAACTAGTTAATTTCAATCTTAAGTATTCAATATCTCGAGTATATTGTGAACTTCAAACCTTTTACTTAAACATCATTGGCATTTGGAAAGTGTAAAAAAATTGCTTTTAATTTACTGTCTATTATAAGGATAAATTAATCTTTAATTAATTTTAAAAAACGCTAACAGGGTTGCCACAAAAAATTAATTTTGCTTTTCCCTGATTCCCAGATAAAATTTAGATTTTTTCCCTGACCCTTTTACTCACTCATTTCTTACACTGCTGGCTGTGCGTTGTGCGAATGTTTTGACTTTATCGCGAATCACTTGAATACCACGTTCATCAGAGGCGTTCAACTCCAAAATTCTGTCTTTGTACATATCGCCAAAAAGTTGTCGGGCAGCTGCCAAAATTGTACTCGTTTTTCCCGTTCCCGGTGGACCGTAAAGTAGTAAATTTGGAAAATCACCTCCAGCTAAACATTGACGAAGAACCTGGACGACTTCTGCCTGTTCGACTACGTCGTCTACAGTTTTAGGACGACTGAAATTAAATATTTCGTTTTCAAACTTTTATATTTATTCTGGCAGAAGTTTTCAATAACAATTTTGTGTTAAATTATTAATTGTTTTAAAGTTTGATTTTTAGGTTAGGAAAGTACTCTTACTATTTTTCAACCCAAGGAGGCGATGGACCACCACGTTCTTTTGTGCGAGATGTCGAAGGTTTTTTCACCTCTCCAGGACCCAATTTTCCGGTTTTTAAAAAAGCGTGCATTGCTGATTAGAAAAATAAACAATTAATTAAACAAGAACGGCCGGCGCCCGCCAATATACAATAAACAGCTGACTAAAAATGTCCTGACAGGGATGGGAAGGAGAGAACCCTTTTCTAGCGCCAACCAATCAGATTGCAGTCTCTAGAGAAAAAGACTAGTTTCCCGTGTTTCTGATTGGAGGATTATCAGCATCTAATTTTCCCGCCAATTAAAAAAAAGTCATACAACAAAGGTGTGAGGATTGTTGTCGTTTTCATTTAACCTCAAATTGCAAAAGTTTATTTATTCCTTTTATTTTACAGTAAATAATTCAATATAATAAGTAGAAAAATTTATTCTAAGCGAAAATATGGGGAGTAATTTACCGGATCTTTTACGAGTTTATTATCAAAGACTTTTTCCTTACAATGAATATTACCGATGGTTGAGTTATGGTAACGGTATGTACTTTTAACAATATATTTCCTTTGTTGTAATGTAATTATTATATTATTTCGTTAAGATAAACCAAAGGATAGTTAATATAATGTCAAGCTTATTAATATATTGATTTTGATCAATTCTTTTCAACAGTTTTTATCAAATTCTTAAGAAAAATAATGTATTATTTTTATACGTTTTAATAACATTTTTCGAGATTCATTCAATTCAATGATTTTCAAAATTTTTAATAAAATTCTTTAAAAACATTCAATTATTTTCAAAAATTCTTCAAAACAATTCAATTACTCTCATAAATAATAATATTTCTTTGCAAGAATTCAATTGTTTTTATAAATAGTGAAATTTTTTTAAAGGGATTCAAAATTATTTTCAATGCAATTTTAATATAATTTCTAGAAAAAATAAAATTATTTTTATCAATATTAATTGAATTCAATTCAATATTTTCAACAATTTTGATAGAATTTTTTAAAAATTTTAATTATTTTCAACAATTTTGATAGAATTTTTAAAAAATTTTAATTATTTACAACAAATAAAATTCTTTAAAAAAGATTAATTTTCTGTCAATAATTTTAATAAAATTAAATTAAATTTAAACACGATTAATCTTAGAAATTTAAGACATTCTTCAAAAAATTCAATTACTTTCAAAATTTTCAATAAAAATTATTCAAAACAATTCAATTATTTTTAAAATATTTAATAAAATTCTTGCCAAGAATTAAATTATTTTCAACAATTCTGATAAAATTCTTCAAAATAATTCAATTATTTTCATAAATAAAAAAATTTTATTCTGGAATTCAATTATTTCCAATACAATTTTAATAAAATTTTTCGAAAGTATTCCAATATTTTTAAAAAGTAGATATTAATTAAATTCGATGATTTTTAAGAATTTTAATACAAATTCAATTATTATTATCAACAATTTTTATAAAATTTTTTGGAAAAAATAATTATCTTCAACATTTTTAATAAAATTCCTTCAAAAGATTCAATTATTTTCAAAAATTTAGATTCTTTGAAACAATTTTAAATCTTTAAAAATTATAAAATCATACGCAAGAATTCTATTTTTTTTTTTTTGATAAATAATAAAATATTTCGTAGGAATTCAATTATTTTAAATACAATTTTAATATAATTTCTCGAAAGAATACAATTATTTTTAAAAATATTATTTAAATTCAATTATTTTCAATAATCTGATAAAATTCTTTGAAACAATTCAATTATTTTTGTAAATTGTAAAATTTTTGTCAAGAATTCAATTATTTTTGTAAAGAAGGAAAAGTCTTTGTTAATTTACTTTTATTTATTTCAGGCCAATTGTTCTCTCGTCGGGAATTTTCCTTCACCGTTGAAGACGATGTTTACATTAGATTTCAAGCATTCAAAAATTTAAATCAACTCATGACTGAAATGAAAAGATTGAATCCCCACAAAATTGATATTGGAGCCGTTTATAATGTTCCGTGAGTATTAATTCTTTGCTTTCTTTTAATTTTTCCATAAAGTCTTCGGTGGAGAAAATTATTCTATCGTAAAATTTTCTCTAGTCCAACAGAACATAAGTATGACACGAAATTTTTTCCAATCGAAAAAGAACTTGTTTTTGATATCGATATGACTGATTATGATGAAGTGAGAACTTGTTGCTCGGGAGCTGATATTTGCAGTAAATGCTGGAAATACATGGCAATAGCTTGTAAAGTTATTGATTCTTCATTAAGAGGTAAAAAATATTTTTTTTTTTTAAAATAATTTGTCATTTTTCCCTTGCTTTGTAATTAAATTACAAAGCAAGGAAGAAATGACAAATTATTAATTAAATTAAATTTTAAATAAATAGGATTTTAATTTTGTGATTAAAAGTGTAACTGTACTTTTCTTGTTTAGAGGACTTTGGATTTAATCATATCCTCTGGGTGTTTTCTGGAAGAAGAGGTATCCATTGTTGGGTCTGTGATAAGAGAGCGAGGAGTCTCAATCCAGCGGCACGAAGCTCAGTTGCCGAATATTTACAACTAATCCGAGGAGGAGCGTACTCGAAGAAAAAAGTCATGTTGCGATACAAAACTCATCATTCAGTAGAGTAATGAAAATTTATTGACAATATAATGGAAAATTAGTTAAAATTTAATGAAAATTTTATTAAAGTTTAATTAAAATTTAATGAAAATTTAATTAAAATATAATAAAAATTTTATTAAAATTTAATTAAAATTTGATTAAAATTTAACGAAAATTTGATTGAAAATTTATTCGAATATTTGATTAAAAATTTATTCGAATATTTAGTGAAAAAAATTTTAACTCGAAATAAAATAATCGCTTTTCTTCCCTCCGTAGACGAGCTCTAGGTATAATAAAATCTGTATTTGTTCCAATGTGCGTTATCGAGCAAAATATGCTCGGTACGGAGGAAAATATAAATAAATTTTTGGAGATTATTCACACCGAAGATGAAGTGAGAGTAGACGTGAGAAATTTATTAAACAAATATTCGACCAGTGAAAAAAGATGGGAAGCATTTCAAGAATATTACATCAAACAATTACAATCACAATCGGTATGTTTTTCAAAATACAATTCTTCTTTTTTCTTACCCTAGGAGATAACAGGAAAATAATGATTTTTTAATGTCTTTTTTGTTTGTCTCATAAACAGTATGAAATTACCACGAATTATAAATTTATAATACAAAACCTTCAATTTTTTCTATTTCTGACAATAATTTTTCTTTAAAATATGTAACTTATTTTTTGAAGAATTACCATAAAATTATTACTTATAAATGATTTAATGAATAATTTTACTTAAATATTTCAAAATTAATTGAATTTTAAAAGAGTTGTGTTTACAATTTTCATAAATAGATGAAAAAATGAATTATTTGTGAACTTCAAAAGGTTTCAACTTGAAATTTTAGAAAATTTCAATTTTTAATGAATTTAATTTAATTCTTTACTTATCTTTATAAATAACATAATTCTTCTTTGAAAATCAATTATTTTTAAAGATTTTAATAAAATTCTAGGCAAAATTTCAATTATTTTCAAAATTTTCCTTATTCAATGATTTTCAATATCTACTATTTTAATAAAATTTTACAAAATAATTTAATTACCTATTTAAAAAAAATTTTTAATGAAATTTCTTCGCAATAATTCAATTATTTTCATAAATAATAAAACTCATCGCAGAATTTCAATTATTTTTTATACGGTTTTAATTGAATTTCTCGAAAAATTATAATTATTCTTAAAAATTTTATTAATAATAAAATTTTTTCGTCGAAAAAATTCTATTATATAAGAAATTTTAATAAAATTCTTCGAAAGAATTCAATTACATATTTACATAAATAGTGAAATTCTTCGCAAGATTTTCAATGTTTTTCATAAATAATAGAATTCTTCGCAGAAATTTAATTACCTAAACAATTTTTAACAAAATTCTTCCTAAAAATTCAATTATTTCTATAAAAAACAAAATTCATTGCTAGAATTCAATTTTTTTATAAGTAATAACATTTTTCTCAGAAATTCAATTATTTTTAATATAATAAATTTCAATGAAATTCTTTCAAAGAATTCAATTATTTTCGATACAACTTCAATTAAATTTCTCAGAAGAATTCAAAATTGTCATAATTTTGAATAAAATTCTTCGCAAGAATTAATTTATTTTTTATAAATAATAAAATTCTTCGCACAAACTTTAATTCTTTTTAATGAAATTTTAATAAAATTTTTTCAAAATAATTAAATTACTTTCAAAAGTTTCAATAAATTTCTTTTAAACAATTAAATTATTTTCAAAATAATAAAATTATTCGTAATAATTCAATTATTTTCATAAATAATAAAATTCTTTTTAGGAATTTAATATTTCAATAATTTATTTATTTTTATATTTAAATAATTGAATTCTCGTAGAATTTTCTAATAAAAATTGATTTAAAAATTAATTTCAGTTAAAATTTTAGATTATAATTGAATTTTAAATGCATTAGAGAGTAAATTTTTAGAAATAATTGAATTTTGAAAAGGTTTCAAATTAAAATCTTTGAAAAATTGAATTTTTAATACTTTTAACTAACAATTTTGCATAATTAATTTTTTTGGAAAATTTAATTGAATTTTTTGTTGATATTATTTCAAGTTTTTATTTACTAATATATATTGAATTGAAGAATTTCCGAATAATTGGAAGTTTGGTAAAATTGAATTATAAACAAATGGATTTGAAAATTCGCAAAGAACTTTTTCAAAACTTATTAAAAATATCTGATTTAAATTTTTAAAAATTTAAATTTTTGTTAAAAATTCTAGAAAATAATTATTGACTTGAAATGATGAAAATAATTTTGAAGAAGTTGCAGTAACAATATTTTTATTCTTAATGTTATTGAATTTAAAAAAAAGTTTGAATTTGAATCTTTTGGAGAATTTTAATTCCTATGGAAAAATAATAATGATTAAATATTTATTTAAAAAGGATAAGTTGTTGATGTTTTCGAATAATTTTACTTTTAAAGAAATTCGCAAATAAAAACTGTTTTAAAAAACAGTTTTTTTTAGTTTTAAAACTAAAAAAAAATGTTTTATTAAAACATTTTTTTGAGTATCTAATAATTTTTAGAGTGAATCAGAATATTCTTTCGAATCAGGGGAAAAGTCAAAATTTCATCTGGAAATCAGAAAAAAATAGAATTAAATTTTTCCTGCAACCCTGTATTTTTAGTTTAGAAAAATAAAATAAATTGTTTAATATTTCAGGGTTCAAAGAAATGGCGAACGAGAAATTTAATAGAAGAAATAATGATTCAGTATTCATATCCAAGATTAGATATTCACGTGTCAAAGACTTTAAATCATTTACTGAAATCTCCCTATTGCGTTCATCCAAAGACAACAAAAGTTTGCGTGCCATTTAATCCGAAGACAGTTGATAATTTCGATCCGCACAGTGTTCCCACTATTCAGACACTTATCAATGAAGTTGATGCTTACGATGCAAAGGAATTGGCACGACAAAAGGATGAATCGGTTGACGTGAGAAAAATAAAGGACTATAAAAAAACTGCTATGAATAAGTCGTTGCATATTTTTCTCGAGTTTCTCAGAAATCTTGAGGATTCTAACAGAGAGGAGAAGACTACACAAAATGGTATGTTAATTATTTAATATTCATTCAATTCAAGTTCCGAAGAAAGTTTTTCTTTTCTGTTTTTACTTTATAAATTTTTTTTTACTTTTTCATTTTGTTTATTTTCGGTAATTCGAGAAAATAAATTTTTTTCGGAGCGTCATATTTTTTATTCGCAATTTTCCATAACTAAGAGAAATGATCTTTTGTTACAGATACACAAATGGAATTTTGAGGATTGAAAACTGGTAAATAATTTTTTGTTCCAAATTTTTTAAAAATTGACATTCTTTATTCAAAGGTTTTAATTTACCTAAATTCTCTACTTTCCTGCTTTTCCTGACAATTTAAAAAAAATTGAATTAAATTTTGTAAAATAATAATAATTTCCAAAAAAGATTGTAACATTTTATTAAATAATTAAATCTAAAATTTGTCCAACAGCTTTTTAAAACAGTTTCAATATTACCTATACATTAGAAAAGATAATAAAAATTTCGTACACTTTATATATACAAATTTAAGGTTAAAAAATATTTTACAATCTATTTACAATATAAGTGAATTCATAACAAAAGGTACATTTTTATACTATCAAATTCTGTTTTAATTATAAATTTTGGTATATATTTTGACTTTTTTTATTCGCAATATTATATTTACAATATCTGTTGAATTATCAGCAATCGAAAATTGAATCAAAATCAAAAGATTGTTAAAGAAACTAAAAAATATTTTTTATTTACATTTGCGTAATTTGATAGATATAAAAATACACGATAGGTGCATAACAGGATAACTATTTTTTTTTTAATATTTACAAGTTATCACTCTTTTACTTCAACGGTGTCAATATCCCAATCGTTTAAATCATCGCCCCAACCATTATCTTCATCAGGTGAATTATCAGCTGAATTATTTGTCGGCGATTTAACATCGAATATAGTTTTCGTTTGAAATACTTTTTCCACTTGTATAATTTGTGGTTTCTGTATAACTGGCTCCATATCGGTAAAAAAATCAAAATCGTCACTCTCCTGACATATTGACTTTGAATGTTTTATGTCAAGTTCAGATATATCGGCGACAATTGGTTTTTTTTTATTCTTTGACTTTATTTCATCGATTTTAGTTTCTAAATTGGAATTCTGTAAATCAGAGTTTTCAATTGTTTCAATTGTTCTATTAATTAGTTGATTATCTTTGCCTTCAATTTCCTGTGTTTCCCAATCGGACCAATTTTCTTCCTCGGCGTAGGAAAAATTTGTCTCCTCCTTATCTTCACCACCGTCTGGCGATGGTCTTTCCGGTAAAGAAAGCATTGAGGAATCTGTAATTCTATTTAGATTGTGATTATTACTATTATTATTACTACTATTGGTATTTATGGATTTTCTAAGTCTTTGTATTTTCATTGGACGACCGTCGGCGAAAAGTTTTCCTCTTTGGCCACCGATTACTGTTGCTGCACCCAAAATAGGAACAAGTTCAGCGAGTGCGTGTAATGTTGTACTAACAAGATAATCATCCGTATCTTTAATTCCAACGAGAAGTTCTGGTAATACTCGAGACTTTAATTCGTCTTTCTCAAAAACGTGGACAAATAAATTTAAATGCGAAATAAGTAGCAGTCGAATTGACGCGTCTCGAACGCAAAACATCTGTAGTAACTTTGGAATTAAATGCTCTTTGAATGTTTGTACTGTAAATAGTCCTTGATCTTTGAGATCATCTGAAAAGAAAATATTCAAAAATTTAAATTCTTTGTTTCTTGATAAGTTTCTTGTAAAAAAATCTTATAAAAAAATTTCAAGACAATAATTGAATTCCTTCGAAGAATTCTAGCCTTCGAAGAATTCTAGCCAAGGATTTTATTAAAATTTTTAAAAATCCTAATTAAATTCTTTTGAAGAATTTCTTTGAATTTTTTTTTAAATAATGGAGTTTCTTTAATATAATTTTAATTAAAAATTTTGAAAGCAATTGAATTTTATGAAGAAGAATTTTATTAAAATTGTATTGAAAATAATTGAATTCCTGAGAAGAATTTTATTATTTATAAAAATAATGTAATTCTTGCGAAGAATTTTACTATTTATAAAAATAATTGAATTATTCCAAAGAATTTATTAAAATTTTAAAGAAATAAATTAATTTTATTGAAAATATGTAATTAAATTCTTTTGAGGAATTTAATTGAAGTTGTTTCAAAAATAATTAAATTCTTTCAATTTTTTTGACGAATATATTTAAAAATTGCATTGAAAGTAATTTAATTTTCATATAGAATTATTTAAAAAAGTTTTTGAAAATAATTAAATTATTTTTGGAGAATTTTAAATTCTTGTTGAAATTGAATTTTATGGAATTTTTTTGAAAATAATTAAATTCTTTCGTAATTTCATTTATTATTTGTAATTTTATTAAAATTGGTTTAAAAATAATTTCATTCCTACAAAGAATTTTAGTATCTATAAAAATAGTTGAATATTGTTTCAAAGAATTTATTAAAATTTAAGGAAATAATTGAATTTTATGGAAATATTTGAAAATATTTTGAAAAATTTACAAAAATTCTTCGCTAAAATTTAATTATTTTCATAAATAATAAAACTTATCGCAGAATTTCAATTATTTAATATAAATTTTTATAAAATTCTTCGCAAGAATTCAATTATTTTTTTAATAAATTCTTTACAAAAATTTAATTGTTTTCATAAATAATAAAATTCATTCGCTGAAATTCAATTATTTTCATAAATTATATAACATTCTGCATTAAAATTTATTTACATTCGTAAATAATAGAATTCTTCTCAATAATTGTCAATTATTTTCATAAATTATAAAATTCTTTCTAGAAAATTAATTATTTTAAAAAAATGTCAATAAAATTCTTTAAAAACAATTGATTTATTTTCAATTTAAATTGAATTCCTCGGAAGAATTGAATTATTTTGGAAAAATTACAAAAATTCTTTGCAGAAATTCAATTATTAAATTTTGATAAAATTTTTGGCACAAATTTAATTATCTTTTTAAATAATTAAATTCATAAATAATAAAAGACATTGCGGAATTTCAATTATTTTAAAAACTTTTTATAAAAGTCTTGTCACGAATTAAATTATCTTTTTAAATAATTCAATTCTACTTAAAAATTTAATTATTTTCCAAAATTTTAATAAACTTCTTGACAAGAAATCAATTATTTTCCATAAATAATAAAATTCATTCGTTGAAATTCAATTATTTTTATAAATAATAAAAGAAATTGAGAATTTCAATTATTTTTAAAAATTTTGATAAAATTCTAGTCAATTATTTTCGTAAAAAATAAAATTCTTTGCAAGAATTCAATTATTGTCAAAAAATTTTAGTAAAAATCTTCGAAAGAATTCAATTAATTTTCATTAATAATAAAATTGTTTCTGGGAAATCAACTATTTTAAAAAAATGTAAAATTAAATCTGAAGAATTATTGGATTATTTTGAAAAATTTTAAATAAAATTCTTTCGAAAAATTCAATTTGGAAATTTTTTATAAAATTCTATATGTAATTGTTTATTTTGAAAATTATGATTTTTTATATAAAAAAATTTTGTTTAATCAATTGTTTAATTATATAATCTTGAAAACATTAAATTAGAGTTTTATTAATTTTAAAATTCAATATATTGAGAAAAAGAAATTATCAAATCGAATTAAGAAACAAAAAAGAAAACAAAAACAGATTGCCAGAATTATATGAAATAAAAATAAATTAAATAAAAACAGGATTAATTAAAGATTTTTTAATTTTTCTTTTAACGCAATAAATGTACATTACCTTGACTTTTTGGTTTCAAAATAAACGGCAAAAGTTTTTCTTGCGCTGTTGGATCTAATAGAACTAATCTAGACAATAATAATTTTCCTAATTGTTCCGCGACAATTTTCTCCGGAAAACTTTCCAATTTTTCGACTATATTTCTGCAAAAAGAGGAATAGATTAATATTTCGTTTCTTTTAGGGGTGGGGGGGGGGTTTATTTTTTTATCAAATTAAAACTTTCTTACAAAAAGAATTCTTTCTTCTCAGTCTCTGTTTTTAATGGTAACTCTGTCAGAAATGCGTGAATTTTCATGAAATCGTGAGAGAAAAAAGAATGATTGAGTAAAGAGGACAATGAAGCGACCAAAGATGTATCGGATGTTTTTAACTCTTGTTTACAATATTCTATGAATTCCTTCAAACCTGGTACATCATCTATACAAAAAAGGTTACACTTTTTAAATACCTTGAAGTACCTTAAATATCTTTAAGTATATTTAAATGCCTTTAAGTACATTAAATACTTTTAAATACACTTACTAATTAATAATCACTGTAAATAAAGTTTCTTTTTTCACTCACCATCATTTTTTAATCGTAAGACATCCTCAGCCAAAACGCCAAAAGCATAGCGATCAATGACTATCGGATCAGAGGAAATATTATTCAATAATTCATCTTCAATGGGAGAAATTGCCTTCTCATAACGATAAGTTTTAATTTTCCTAAAATAATTGGTAGTTAATTCGGAAAATTGACAGAGATATTCAAGACCTCCTAATTTCCAAGAACCATCTTCCGCCACGTATATTGAACTACTGCAAATATTGTTGTGCGACGATAGAGCTTTTTCGTGTAAAAATAACAAGGCACGAAGAATATTATGTAAACCGATGCAAATTTGTAGTGTCGTCTCTGTTCCAATTACTTGAACGAGTGGTTTTACTTTTTCAGTTGCAAGGAAAAATTTACTCCCCTTTGACCATGATGAAACGTACTTTAAAATATTCGGATGTCGATGAATCATTAAATTCTGAAAGTTTAGAAAACAAAAAAAAATTTAATAGAAAACGATAAACATTCGGATTTAATGTAGTTTTTCAGGGGGTTGACACGAAAGATAATTTTGTTTTTATTATATTTTTTCATGGCCTTTAAATGATATTAAAAAATAAAAATAAATTTAATTGAATTTAGATTAATTAAATTAATCTAATAAGTAAAAAATAAAAAAATGTTGAAATAAAAACGGAAACCGAATGTAAAAACTATTAACTCATAATTTTGTTTTTCCCTGATTTCCAGATAAAATTTTGACTTTTTTCTTGACTCTAAAAAATATTCTGATTCACTCTTAAAATGATTAGATATTTAAGAAAAATGTTCTAATACATTTTTGAATTTCTTTAAATGTAAAATTATTCGGAAACATAATTCGAAAACTGTAACTCCTTCAAAATTATTTTCGTCATTTCAATTCAATTATTATTTTCTAAAATTTTTAGAAAATTGTTAGAAAATATTCTTTAAATCAATTATTTTTAGTAATTTTTGAAAAAGTTTTTCATTGAGAATTTTTAAATATCCATTTGTTTAAAATTCAATTTTACGTGAAATTTCAATTATTCGGAAATTCTTCAATTAAATATAAATTAGAAAATAAAAACTTGAAATAATTTTAAAAAATATCGATTAAGCTTTTTTTAAAAAAAAAATTAGTTCCATAGAATTCTTAATTAAAAGTATAAAAAATTCAAATTTTCAAAGATTTTAATTTGAAACCTTTATAAAATTCAATTATTTCTAAAAATTGCAATTATTTGTAACTTCTCAAAAATTCATTGCAAAATTTCAATTATTTTCAAAAATTTTTTTTAATTCAATAATTTGAATATTTATAATTTTAATAAAATTTATCAAAAGAATTCAATTATTTAAAAAAAAATTTTGACAAAGTTCTACACGAATATTCAATTATTTTCTAAAATAATAAAAATTTCACAGGAATTCAATTTCAAGCAATTTAAAATTTCAAAATTCAAGCAATATGAAAATTTTTAAAAATTAATTTAATTCTAGCAGGAAATTATATTAAAATTGCAATTGAAAATAATAAATTCAATTCTGACGACGAATTTAAGTAAAATTTTTGTAATTGAATTCTTTCAAATGAATTTAATTTTTACTAATAATAGGTTTTTTTTAAATTTTTAATAAAATTTTTAAATATAATTCAATTACAACAAGAGATTTATTAAAAATAATTCAATTTCTTAAGAAAATTTTATTATTTAGGGAAATAATTCACTTTCTTCGAAGAATTTTATTATTTATGAAAATAATTCAATTCTAAACAATATTTTATTAAAATTGTTTAGAATTATTGAATACTTTCAATAAATATTATTGAACTTTTTACAAATAATTGAAATTAATTAAAAAATTGTACCTATTAGAAAATATTTCAATTTTTGTCAAAAGAATTTTATTATTTATTAAAATAATTCAAAAAAAGTTTCAATCAATTGAATGATGAAAATTCTATTTTTAATCATTGAATTCCTGTGAAATTTTCATTATTATAGAAAATCAAAATTGATTTTAAATAATTGAATTCTTTTGGGAAATTTTATTAAAATAATAGTTGTACAAATTATTGAATTCAGAAATATTTTTAAAAATAATTGAAATTTTGCAGGGAATTTTATTAAAATTTTTGAAAATAATTGAATTTTATAACTTTTGAAAATAATTGACTTCCTCTGAATGATTTTATTATTTATGAAAATAATTGAATTACTGTGAAGTCTTTATTTTTTTTTTTGGAAAATAATTGAATGTTCGTTTAGAATATTATCAAAATTTTTGTTTAATAATTGAATTCTTTTAGGAAATTTTATTTAAATGGTAGAGTAATAAAAATTATTGAATTAAGAAAAATTTTTGAAAATAATTGAAATTTTTCCACGAGTTTTATTAAAATTTTTGAAAATAATTCAATTCTTATGATGAATACTATTATTTATGAAAATAATTGAATTTTGTTATTTATTTATAAAGATAATTGAAATGTTGACAATTTTTTAAAAATAATTGAATTTTTGCGAAGAATTTTATTAATTTTTAAAATAATTGAATTCTTCTGATGAATATTCTTATTTATGAAAATAATTGAATTTTACAATGAATTTTATTAAAATTCCTGAATATAATTGAATTTTGGCAAAGAATTTTGCTATTTATAAAGATAATTGAAATATTGACGAGATTTTTTTTAACCTTTTGAAAATAATTGAATTTGCCAAGAATTTTATTATTAATTAAAATAGGTATTTGAATTCTTTTAAAGAATTGCGTTAAAATTTTTTAAATTGAAACTAATTTCAACAGAATTGAAATTAAAATTTTTCAAAAAAATACTTTATTAAATGATTTTTTAGTAACAACTTTGTGGCAGTTCTTCAATAGAATTAAGTTATTCAAAAGAAATTATTGTTAAAAAAAGAACAAATTGAACGATTTCAGTACTTTTAATAAAAATAACCTGACTTTTTCCTGATTTCCCTGACCTTCGGCAATCTTATTTTGGGTAATCTAAAGGTTTTTTTTTTGGTTTTTTTAATGGTATAGTATGTGATGTTAATAATGAAGTGGTTCTTTTTAAAAAACAACCAGGAAAATTAAAAACAAACCTTGGCATTTTTCTCCAATGGTGTTGGTTTTCCGAAACTTGCAGTAGAATGTAATGAGGGTTCACTGATAAATACTGATAAACCAACAGGATTGGTACCTTCAATATTAGCCGAATGATGTGTCCAAAAATCAGTTATTTCGACAGCTTTCTCTTCAATTTCAAGCCCTTTCAGGGCACTTTGACCCGCACCCATTAAAATTAGTATAATTATTAATATTAATTTCAGAAAAAACTAAATTTTTTAAATACTATTATCCTTTTAAATAAATCAAAAACATGTTAATAAACTTAATCTTTTTTTAAAAAAAAGTCTCCATACATGTCAAAATTTATCAAAAAATCATAAGTAAAAAAAAATTATCTATTTGATACAAATAAGTAAAATTTTTAACTTATTCCCATAATTAAATTTCAATTAGTTATTAAACTTTCGGTTTGTTGTAATAAAAAAAATAATATTCCACATCACTTGTCATATGTCCGAAAGCCCCGAAAGCAAAATACGATCTTTAAAAACTTCGGTGGTGAACAGGTGAATAAATATTAGACATTTGAATAAAAGTTTGCTTCTAAAAATGACCACAAATATAGGCGCTTCGATCATAACGAAGGGTTATTTTTATTGTAGAAAGGGTAGAAATGGGTGGGGGCGTCACATTTGGGATATTCGACTGTAATTCGGGGAGTGTGAACGTGCCTTTAGTCTTCTTCTTGTCATCAGTGGTTCTCAAATGACACCCACCTATATAAATATTTGCAATTTGTTTCTGTTATCGAATTTTCTTAGCAATTTTATATCCAGCACGAAAACTGCTGTTAAAACAATTCATAATGTTGTCTTTAATCTCGTGAATTGTAAAATTCAACAAATAAATCGAAATTTTAACTATAGTTAATTCCTTCAAGTATTCCAATTAAATTGTTGTTTATATGATGAGGTTTGTTATGTATTCCAAATACATTGTATTATTTACTGTATTCTATTAATTGTTATATTTTATCTTTTTTGTTATATTGTTTGTTATTTATATTTATTGGAACTTTAGTCTTTTGGTTCGAAAGTTGATTTGATTTACTTTTTATATTATTTGCTTTACTATTTGTTATATTATTTTTTACATTATTTGTTACATTGTCACATTATTTGTCATATTATTTGTAACATTAGTTTTCACATTATTTGTCATATAATAATAATAGTGCAACTTTAGCCTTTTGGTCCAGAAGTTGACTTTGTTTACTTTTTATTGTTTTTTATATTATTTGCTTTACTATGTGTTTGTTTTGAAAATTAATTTTTGTGGGTTATTATGTCATTTTTTATTATTTTTTTAAATGTCAAACTTTTTAACGGTTATATTCTATATTATTGTATTTAATTGAATTTTTAACTTTACAATTATCATTTACTCTAAGGGTATAAATACTTTTCTATAATTTAATGTTAACATTATTTCAATGTATTATTTAGAAAAGTTATTTGATATAATTTATTTTTAATATTGTATTTTATTTTTTGTAAATTTCCTAATTACAGAATATTTAGTTTTTTAACTTGCAAAATTGTAAACAATGTAATTGTTAAAAATATAATTGGTAAGGAAAATCAGGGAAAAGTCAGGGATTTTTAGTAAAAAAAACTGGAAAAAATTGAATTTTTAAAACTCATGAGAAAACTCTGAATTTTGATATTTTTTTTGTTTGCCTCGTAAACTATGAAATTAAATACCACGAATTTTAATACAAAACCTTCAATTTTTTCTATTTCTGAGAATAATTTCTTTTTAATTATTTAATGAATAATTTTTACAATTTTCATAAATACTAGATTGATAGAACAATTTTAATTAAAAATACTAAAAAAAATTGAATTTTGGAAAAGTTACAAATGATTCCAAAAATTCAATTATTTTCAAAAGTTATAAAAATTCAATTACATTCAGGAATTTTAATAAAATTCATTGTAAAATTCAATTATTTTTATAAATAAGAATATTCATCACAAGAATTCAATTATTTTGACAAAAACTATAAAAAAATTGTCAATATTTTAATTATATTTATAAATGAATAACAAAATTCTTCGACAAAATTCAATTATTTTCAAAATTAATAAGATTATTTGCAGAAATTCAATTATTTTGACTAAAACTATAAAAGAAATTGTCAATATTTCAATTATCTTTATAAATGAATAACAAAATTCTTCGATAAAATTCAATTATTTACAGGAATTTTTATAAAATTCAAATATTTGCATAAATAATAGTATTCATCATGAGAATTGAATTATTTTCAAAAGTAATAAAATTCTTCGCAGAAATTCAATTATGTTCAAAAATTAAAAAAAAATTCTTGTCAAAATTTTATTATCTTTATAAATAATAAAATTCTTCATCGAAATTCAATTATTTTCATAAGTAAAAAAATGTTCACAGGAATTCAATTATTTAAAATATAAAATTTCATAAAATTTTTCGAAAAATATCAATTATTTTAAAAGATTTTTATAAAATTCGTCGCAAGAATTCAATTATTTAAAAAAATTTAACAAAGTTCTTTTCAAGAATTCAATTATTTTTATAATTAATAAAATTCTTTACCGAAATTCAATTATTTATATAATTAATAAAATTCTTCACAGAAATTCAGTTATTTTTATAAACTAAAATAAAATTCGTTGTAAGAATTAAATTATTTTCAAAAGTAATAAAATTCTTGTCAAAATTTTATTATCTTTATAAATAATAAAATTCTTTTCCGAAATTGAAATAATTTTAGAAAAATTTTAATAAACTTCTTGGGTAAATTTTAATTATTTTCATAAATAATAAAACTCGTTGCAGTATTTTAATTATTTTTGATACAATATTTTAATCGAATTCTTCGAAAAATGTAATTATTCTTAAAAAATTTATTAAAATTTGTCAAAAGAATTCAATTATTTATAAATTTGTTGATAAAATTCTTTATGAATATTCAATTTTAACAAACATTTAATTACTCAATAAATAATTTATTTCTCAATTTAAATAATTGAATTCTTCTAGAATTTTCTAATACAAATTGATTAAAAAATGAATCACTGACTAATCGATTTATTATTTATGAAAATAATTGAATTATTGCAACGAATTTTATTAAAATTTTTTTAAATAATTGAATTTTTTTGGAGAAATTTTACTACACTTGTAAAAATAATTAAATTCTTGTAAAGTATTTTATTAGAATTTTTGTAAATAATTAACTTTTTTTGAAAAATTTTATGGTAATTTAAATTATTAAAAAACATGTCTTCATGTTTTCTAATAATATTCTTTTAAGTTGTTGAATTTCAAAAAGGTTTGAATGTGAATGTTTTGAAGAATTTTAATTCCTACAGAAAAATAATAATAATGATTAAATATTCATTTAAAATAGAAGTTATTGATGTTTTTGAATAATTTTACAATTAAAGAAATTTGTAAATAAATGTAATAATACATTTTTTTGAGTATCTAATAATTTTTAGAGTGAATCAGAATATTTTTTAGGGTCAGGGAAAAATTAAAAATTTTCTCTGGAAATCGGAAAAATAAAATAAAATATTTTTAATAAAATTTAGAATTTCAAACAAAATTTAGAAGTTGTTTATCTTTATATCATTTCAAAATAATTAATTTCTATGTTGAATTCGTTATTTTGAATTTTGAAAATCTGATGTCAATTTAATTCTTTTTTTCGTTATGTACGGAAAAAAAATATTCACCTGGAAAAACTAGAAATTTCACTGTATTAGCGAAATTTTTCAGTGCTTCAATTAATACTTTCCCTATTCTAGAGAAACTTATCGCTGTTTGAAGTGAAACTTTTTTTTCGTGTGGAATAATTATTATTTCTTTAAAAATTATTTAAATTAAAATGTCTTCAAATTTTTTAGAATAAGCAATGCAATACAACATTCCCAGGATTGTTTGTCTAGTGTATAATAATAATTAATTAAAATAATTTAAATCCTCTTTGTGTTAATATAATAATTTTCTTTTCAGATTATAATTTCAAGAAAGCAATTATCGAGAAAAAAATGAGCGAACAGTTGAATATAACTGTGAGACCAGAAGATCGACTCGATGCCAAGTGGTTGAAAACAGATTTACAAAGATTCTTTCGAAGAGATGGATTGGCAGAATTATGGAACGAAATGGTTCGAGTTGGAGAGATCGTTGGTCATTTTAGTGATGGTCTAATAAACACTGCAGGCGTACTTGCTAAGAAAGGTTAAAAACAAAAATAATTAGATAGAGAGTTTATTAAGTATTGAAATTAAAAATAAAATTATTAAAACTATGAGAAAATGGGAGACGAAAATGTTTATCAATTCTTTTTTTTTTTATCTTTAGGCGACAGTGGACATTATTATTGCAATCAACGTGTTCTTTCCTGTCCATGCTGCGATGGAATTTGCGGTCCACAAAGTGGTTGTAATTGTATTCACTGTCAAAAGTTGGATGAAGAAGAAGCATCAAGAGTTACGTCGCTAATTGAAAATTGTATTCCTACGGAACATATGATTGATTCCTGGTTATGGGGCACGCAACCATGTAAATAATTATCTTTTATTATCGTTTTTAATTATTTAACTATTCTATATTAAATAGAATAATCTAAATATTTTTAAAATTATTTTAGGATATATTAATAATAATAATAATAAATAATTAATTAATAAGTAAATTATTAAAATTTTTTAAATCTGAAATTGTTAATTATTTAAATTTTTTCCAGCGGCAAGTGATTTATCAAATTGCATTGATTCATCAATAAAAGAACAACGAGGTTTGATACACGAAGCAGCAAATAGCACTCTCTCGGCAACAAGATTACGCCAACGTTTAGTTATTGCACGTCGTTATTTTACGGCTCTATCACGTCATAAACCCCAGGAAGTTAGAGAAACAATATCATCACCTAGAACTATTGTCAAGCAACAAAAATTGTAGGTTATTCCACAATTTTTCTTCGTTTTCTTTTTCTTGTTTTTCTGCTTCAAGAAAAAAAAGTTTTATGGAAGTTTTATTATTATTATTATTAAAAAATATTAAATTTTGTTTTAGTGTTCAACCAAGGGAAAAGGCATCTCTTGGATTAGCTCGAGTTGGTTCACGGGCAGCTTTAAATTTTTCCTTCGCCTATTTACGACGCGCTTGGCGCTCCGGCGAGGATATTGACATTTGCAGCGAATTATTAACAGAATCATTGGAAGCACTTCAATCACTACCGGAAGCGACATTATTTGATGAGAATAATGTCTCACAAGTTTGGCTCGAAGTTGTCGAACGATCGGCGAAATTTCTCCGTCAAGTTGTTACTGGGTAAGATAAAAATCTTTAGTTTGTAAAGTCTTTTTTCTATTTCTTTTCGACTTTTTCGACTTTTCTTCCAAATTTTTCAACAAAATACCACATTTTATAGTGTAAAATGCAAATTATTTCGATTTTTACAGTGTGAAAAGTATAAATACAGTACCGTCCGAAATTGTCAGTCCACCCATTTTTAAAAGAATGAAAAAAATTTTTTAACATAAAATTCATGAAAACTAAAATTTTTTTTGGTTTATATTTTGAAAGAAGATAAAATTCTGGAAAGAATAAGACCTTACAGAAGTCATTTGGCCAAAATTTGTAAAAGATATTCTTAAAAATCGTAATTTTCAATGTTTTACAAAAATTTCAATAACTTCTAAAATAATGAACGCTTTTTAATAATCTTAGGCTTATTTTAAAGGTCATGTTCTACGAAATAAGAATTACTTATAGGCATTAACCTGTAATTTTTTATTTGGAATAAGCATGACGTCAAAGTTGAACAAAAAAATTGGAAAAATTTGAAATAAATTTTTTGTACTAAAAACTATTCTAGAACATATATAAAACATGATATGGTGTAGATTTTTCAAGAAAATTTAATAAAAAAATATGTTTGGATTTCAAAAATTATTTTTATTTTAATAATATTATTTCAAATTTTTTGAATTTTTTTGTCCAACTTTGACGTCATGCTTATTCCAAGTTAAAAATGACAGGTTAATGCCTATAAGTAATTCTTATTCTGTGGAAAATGGTCTTTAAAATAAGCCTAAGATTATTAAAAAGCGTTCATTATTTTAGAAGTTATTGAAATTTTTGTAAAACATTGAAAATGACGATTTTTAAGAATATCTTCTACAAATTTTGTCCAAAAGACTTCTGTGAGGTCTTATTCTTTTCAAAATTTTATCGTCTTTCAAAATATAACCCAAAAAAAATTTGAGTTTTCATAAATTTTATGTTAAAAAATTGTATTCATTCTTTTAAAAATGGGTGGACTGACAATTTCGGACGGTACTGTATAGACAAATCTTTGAAAAGTTATTTTTGAACAATTTTTCTAATTAAATTTTTGAAATATAAAATTAAAAAGATTTTGAATAATTGCAATTTTATAAAATTTAATGGAAAATGAATAATTTTTTTCAAGTATTTTATTACAGTTTTTGAAAATTAACTTTTAAAGAAATTTAATTGAAAATTTTGGTCAAGTCCGTAAAAGTCAGTTTTTTTTAAAAATGGTCCGTAAAGTCCGTAGTTTGATTGAAAGAGGATGAAAAGTTCATAAATTGTTCGATATAATCTAAAGAATTTTAGAGAAATTACAAATAATTGCAGAAAAAGAATTGCATCATAAAATTATGACTTATAAATTATTTAATGAATAATTTTTATAATTTTTATAAATACTAGATTTATAGAAGAATTTTTTGTTAAAAATACTAAGAAAAATTGAATTTTGGAAAAGTTACAAATGATTCCACAAATTCAATTATTTTCAGAAGTTATAAAAATTCTTCGTAGAATTTAAATTATGTTCAAAAATTTTTTAAAAATTCCCGTCAAAATTTCAATTATCTTTATAAGTAATAGAATTCTTCTTTAAAATTCAATTATTTTTAAAATTTTAATAAAATTCTTGGCAAAATTTTACAGGAATTCAATTATTTACAAAATTTTTAATAAATTTCTTCGAAATAATTCAATTATTTTTATAAGTAATAAAATTCGTCGCAAGAATTCAATTATTAAAAAAAAATTTAACAAAATTCTTTTCAAGATTTCAATTATTTTTATAATTAATAAAATTCTTCACCGAAATTCAATTATTTTTATAAACTTAAATAAAATTCGTTGCAGATTTCAATTATTTATATAAATAATAAAATTCTTCACCAAAATTCAGTTATATTTATAAACTTGAATCAAATTCCTTGAAAGACTTCAATTATTTTCGAAAGTAATAAAATTTTTCGCAGAAATTCAATTATTTTTAAAAATTAAAAAAAATTCTTGTCAAAATTCAGGTTTCTTTATAAATAATAAAATTCTTCTTTGAAATTCAATTATTCTTAAAACTTTCATAAAATTCTTGGCAAAATTTCACAGAAATTCAATTATTTACAAAATTTTTAATAAATTTCTTCGAAATAATTCAATTATTTTCATAAGTTATAAAATTCGTCGCAAGAATTCAATTATTAAAAAAAAAATTTAACAATGTTCTTTTCAAGAATTCAATTATTTTTATAAATAATAAAATTCTTCACCGAAATTCAATTATTTTTATAAACTTGAATAAAATTCGTTGCAAGAATTCAATTACTTATATAAATAATAAAATTCTTCACAGAAATTCAGTTATTTTTATAAACTTGAATGAAATTCGTTGGAAGAATTCAATTATTTTCAAAAGTAACAAAATTCTTTGCTAAAATTCGATTATAATCAAAAATTAAAAAAAAATTCTTGTCAAAATTTCAAGTTTTTTTTATAAATAATAATATTCTTCTCTGAAATTCAATTATTTTCAAGAATTTTAATAAAATTCTTGTCAAGATTTTAATTATTTTCAAAATCTTTTCTGAATTCAATGATTTTTAATTTCTACTATTTTATTAAAATTTTCCAAAAGAATTCAATTATTTAAAAAGAAATTTTAATAAATTTTGTCTCAAGAATTCAATGATTTTCAAAAAATAATTCAAAAATTCTTGTCAAAATTTCAATTATCTACACTAATAATAAAATTTTTCTCTGAATTTCAATTCGATTAAAATTTATCAAAAGAATTCAATTATTAAAAAATTTGTTGATAACATTCTTTATGAGCATTTAATTTTAACAAACATTCAATTATTCGATAAATTATTTATTTTTTTAATTTAAATAATTTAATTCTTCTAGAATTTTCCAATAAAAATTGATTTAAAAATGAGTTGCCGAATAATCGATTTATTATTTATGAAAATAATTGAATTATTGCAACGAATTATATTAAATTTTTTTTAAATAATTGAAGTTTTTTGAGAAATTTTACTAGTTGTAAAAATTAATTGAATTCTTGCGAAGGATTTTTGTAAATAATTAACTTTTTTTTGAAAAATTTTATGGTAATTTAAATTATTAAAAAACATGCAGAAGGCGATCACTTCGAGTCGAAGATTTCTTCATGTTTTGTAATAATATTCTTATAAGTTGTTGAATTTCAAAAATTTCAAAAAAATTGTTGAATTTTGAATGTTTTGAAGAATTTTAATTCCTACGGAAAAATAATAATGATTAAATATTTATTTAAAAAAGAAGTTGTTGATGTTTTTGAGTAATTTTACTTACTTTTAATTTTACTATTACTTTTTTTTTTTTTTTTTTTTTTTCAGAAATTTGCAAATAAAAGTATCAGAACATTTTTTTTGAGTATCTAATAATTTTTATAGTGAATCAGAATATTCTTTATGGTCAAGAAAAAAGTTAAAATCATTCCGGAAAAAGTCTGGAAATCAGGGAAAAGTCAGGGAAGAAGAAAATTAAATTTTTGTGGCAATCCGGTTTTTTGTCTGTAAAGTCCGTATTTTTAAATACTTTCACTGATTCGAGCCCTGTTATTATAATATAATAATAATAATTTTAATTTACTTTTTTGTCTCGTTAAACTCGATCCGAGGCCTGCAGTTTAAAAAAAATCTTCAATTTCTAAAGTCACTTTTTCAATTTGATCCTTTTTTTCTATTTTTTTTCTATTTCTGTCTATTCCATTAATATTTTTCCATTTTCAGAGAAGTCATTACGGGAAGATCCTGGTGTCCAGTACCAGTAACCGATCAACACACCGCTCTCTGTTTACTCCTAGAATTAGCAACCCAGCGAGGAACACTCTCAAGTCTTCTCGATGCTGTCATTTTACTTTTACATCTCAGCGGAAAGTCAAAAAATCAAGACAATCGTGTCATACCCCCAGGAAGTTGTGCTCCCCTAATACCTCTACTTCGCCGATTGAGTAGCATACAAGCGCAAAAATCACGTCGTCTAGACGATAAATTCACACCCGGTCCCTGTCAAGTTCTCCTCAAGTATCTTCGCCTACCCGATGACGACACTGTTGCCGTGGATTTACGAAAAGCAGCCGTTGTCATAATGTGTCATCTCAGTAGATTAGCAACCCCATTGCTACCACCATTAATTCCTGATGGTTTTTCAAAGAACCAATCGACCACCTTTCAGGAAGTGTTAGCATGGGGTGGAATTAAATTCGCCAGCGATACTTCGCCCTTCTATTGCGACGCCATTGCCGAATTGGGAGTTAAACAGTTGAGTTGCACTGAACGTTCGCTGGTAATTTTGTCTCTTAGCGGAAAAGTCTTTATGATGTACTACGGATCGGAGATACAGTACCCGCAGAAGATTCACGGTTTTTTGGAGAAGACGGTGGTGATGATTGCCTCACACCCGGATGGAAAGCATTATCTAGCGTTGACGGAGGAGAACCTGGTGTATTCTTGGGGCAATGGAGATGGAGGAAGACTGGGACATGGCGACAGTATTTCGTGTGAGGAACCAACTGTGATTGATATTTTGAGTGATAAGGGAGTCTGCTTCATAGCCTGTGGGAGTACGTATTCGGCCTGTGTGACAAGAACCGGAGAATTGTACACTTGGGGTCGTGGAAGCTATGGGAGATTGGGTCATGGATTCTGTGACGACGTGATGATACCAACGCTGGTCACTGCACTGAATGGTCACAAGATTATCCACGTTGCTTGTGGGAGTGGCGATTCACAGACCCTTTGTGTGACAACGTCGGGAATTGTCTTCTCCTGGGGGGATGGCGACTATGGAAAATTGGGTCGAGGAGGTTCGGATGGGTCCAAGACCCCGAAGATAGTGGACAAACTCCTTGATTTGAATGTTGTGAGGGTATTTTGTGGAGGGCAGTTTTCGGCCGCATTGACTTCGCAAGGGAGTGTTTACACGTGGGGCAAGGGGGATGGTTATCGACTAGGACACGGGAATGAGGAGCACGTGCGCTACCCGAAGATCGTCGAGGCTGTGAAGAATAAGAGAGTTCGGGAGCTCTCGGTGGGAAGTGGGCATATTTTGGTACTGACGGAAGATCAGTTGGTGTACGGCTGGGGGAGAAACGACTTTGGGCAGATAGATCCTTCTTTGAATTCAACGGTGTCCGAACCGACATTGTGTCCGACTTTGTCTAGTAAGAGTATTATTGGTCTTGTCTGTGGGCCTACGCAGAGCTTCGCTTGGTCCACTTCGACCTGGTCGGTGGCGGCTAGAATTGCCTTCGTGGTCGATATTTGTGAGGAGACCTTTAAGTTTCTAGACGTTCTGCTAGCGAAGTCGACCGAGGGTCTGCCGATAACAAGACCACCGAGTCAGGACTTGGAGTGTTTACTCGTCTCGGCGTTGAATTTACTCCGCCTCCAGTTACACGCCATGATCACTCATAATTTCGATGTCAAATCCATAGGACTCGGTTCGGGTCCACTGTTAACTTCGATAAAGCAGCGGTGCGTGAATTTGGCCAGTAATCCGGGTGTTTTGGCGACTATTCAATCGGCCGCGCAGGCTGTACTTCAGACCGGATGGAGTATTCTCCTGCCGACTGCTAATGAACGAGCGAATACCCTCTCGGCATTCTTGACCAATTCTCACGGAGTCGAGCAGAATATTAACAAGGGACAACAATTCATGGCGGACTTGTTAGTCTCCAGCTTGATGGCCGACGGTGGTTTGGAACTCGCACTAAATATAGCGATCAAGAACGAAAATACAGAGAACCCATTGTCATCGCATTCGAATTCACTTTCTCCAGAATCGTCCACTTCTGTAACGTCAATTTCTTCAAATCCGACATCTTCCTCACCGGTTGCTCCCCCAGCGCCTGAGGTTCTACCAGGACCTTCGAATTCAATCACAACAACCGAAGGGAGCAAGGAAAATATAATTTCCCTCTTTCAGCTGGTGAAACAATTGATCAAGAACGGAACTAGCATCACACAGTCGCGATTTCAAGCACTACAGCAAAATCGAAATGAACTGAAGATTGACAATTCGCCGAGTTTGAATTTATTGTTAAAATTTCAGAGACTGCTGATCGCGCAAATGTTGCATTCGATTAGAAAATCGGGTAATGATCAAGATCTATTGGGAGTGGAATCATTGTTGAATAAATATATTTGTCATATTTGTAATCATGTGAAGGAGATTCTACCGTTGGGGACTGAATTAGCGGGGGCGAATAGTAAATATTTTGTCGTTGTGATTGCGATATTGAAGGGGGATATTGTTAATGTTCTCCTACCGGAATTGATTGTTTGTTTAATTTTGTTGCAAATCGATTATCCGATGTTGTTGTTGAATATGAATTGGATGCAAATTCTGGCACCGCTCTTGGATATTTTGGATCAATTTAATAGATTATCGCCGACGGTGGAGAAGGACGATGCGGACGATTTATCGTGGCCGGGGATAATAGCACCACAGCATGGCGTTAGCAAGAGTGTACAGGACGAGCCGTCATTGATACGTTGGGCAGATCTGGAGAATCATAATCGTGACGGTGGTCTTTGGATTGTGGTCAATAATAATGTTTACGACGTTCAGGATATACGGCATGAGGGAGCTTGGGAAATTTTTAATAGATTATCCACGAATCGTGAGAATGAATCGAATCATATTAATTTGACGAATATTTCTCATTTACAGGATTCGCAAGCAATGATGGATTCTTGTTTTGTGGGACAGTATTGTCAGCCGGAGATGGCAACGACGCAATTTACGATTGAAGTGACGGATGTTTGTCTGTCTTTGCTGGATATGGAGAGGAGTTTGAGTTTTGTGATGGGACTTCATGCTTATAGATTGAGACAGAGTTTGGCGCTACAACCGGCTGAGGAGGAGGCGGGCGCTTGGTTAGAGGCGAATTTTCTTCGTGGTGGTTTACAGATTCTTCAGCCACCGAATCCTTATGAGGAGGAGAAGGGCGAGGCGCGTAGTAATAATTCAACGGCTGCGAATTCACCGACGGAGCCAATTGTTGTTTCGATTTGCACCAAGGACGAAATACCGAAATTAACCGACGATCGAATGACGGCTTTTATTCAAAATTTAGCAGAGAATCACAAGACTGATACTTACGTTCAATCATTTTTGAATATTATTGATAGATTTTGTAAGACGAATAATTTACTGTCACATGTCGATTTTTGTTGTGATCATCCGGTGGAGGAAATTGGTCGTCTATTGATGGCTGTTATTATAAAGCACTTGGCTCTCGGTTATCAGACACTTGCCCTGGTGGATCAGGAAATTGCCGATGGAAATGTTAAATTAACGAAGGCACTAGCCGATATGGTGAAGATAATTCATCAGACGAAGTGGAATTTAATAAGGACGAGGCAACAGCAAAATCGAAGTTACAAAGAAGTTTGTGCACCGGCGCAGGAGAAGTGTCGTTTTCTGTTGTATGAAGTGAGACCAGCGACTAGTGACGAATTAAAAGGCCTTAAAGATCTGAAAATATTGTATACAGTTCCAAAGTTTAAGAAGGCTGTACAGACAGTTATTACGGATATGAGGAAAAGTAGAGACTCCCCGGCAAAACCGGAAGACATCGTGAATGCTTCGATTCAAAATGCAAAAGTCAAGGCCGATGAGAAGACACTGATGTCGACACTGTCGCCGAAATTAGAAGATTTGTCGACAATGACAAATGTCATTAAACAACTGACCGATAAAGTGAAATGCAAACCGTTGATTGTCGACGGTAACGAACTGATGAGAAATATAATAAATTTTGTCGTCTCTGAAGAAGGGAGTGATATTGAAACTCTACGTCGTGCAATGTACTGTCAAACACAACGAGTAAAAATGAGAGTAAAGGGTCTGCATATTATTCAAGAATTACTAAAAAAGGAACATTTGATAACGTCCGTGAAGTATTCGTTACTAAACGGTTGGTTGGGACTGACACACGAGAATAAATTACTCTCGAGTGGAATATCGCATTGCTTGAAGAATATTCAATTGGTGACGCCTTATTTGAGAGTGAAGGTGATATTGGCCGAGGCGAAGGTGACACATTGGGCAGTGCAAGCATTGAGGGCGTACGTTATTCAAGCGGAATTGTCCAGTAAACCGAAAGCGAGCGGCAAGAGTAGTTTGAATCAGGATACTTATACGTGGCTGAGAAAATTACCGAGAGCGAGATTTATTCTTACGATTCTGGGTATGTTGACAAATTATCAGCATTCTAATGAAATTGGTCTTTTGATAAATTCAGGTGTGCTGTCGAGTGTTCTGACATTGTTGAGACAAATTGGACCGTCGTCGACGAGGAGTGTGGCGAAGGTCAAGGAGAATGTGGCTATTTACGAGGACGTGGTGCACAAGAGTAAACCGTCGGCTGTTCAACTCAGTGGAATTGAATTGGCCGCTCTGATGAAAATTAATACCAAAGTTGTGCGTGGAGTCGATTGGAAATGGGGAGATCAGGACAGTCCACCGCCGGGCGAGGGAACAGTTATTGGCGAACTCGGCGAGGATGGTTGGATCCGAGTCAAATGGGATAATGGAACGACAAACTCCTATAGAATGGGTAATTTTTCCTTTTTTTTATACTTAATAATTGTGACCCTTTTTTTTTCTTTTTCATTCACACATTCGAGTTTTTCCCTAAATTCCAAGAGAGAATTTTGACTTTTCCCCTGATCTCCTAAAAAAACATTCTGATTCATTCTAACTCTACTACTGAATCTTCTCCAAAATTGTAGAATAAAAATAATTTTTTCAATTCTCAGAAGAAAATTTAATTAAATAACAAATTTGTTTTAGAGTCGAAAAAATAATTTTTTCAATTCTCGGAAGACAATTTAATTAAATAACAAATTTTTTTTAGAGTCGAAAAAAATAATTTTTTCAATTCTTGGAAGACAATTTAATTAAATAAAAAATTTGTTTTAGAGTCGAAAAAATAATTTTTATTCTACAATAAAATATTTCTGGAAGAATTGATTAAGAATTTATTTATTTAAATTACTTCTACAAAATTATTTACAAGATTTCAATTCAATTATTTTCTCGAATTTTTAACTGTAAAATTCAGAATAATTTTTTCTAAATTCTCTAGATTCACTCTAGGTTCTGTATATAAATTATTTTTTTTAATAATTTTCAAAAAAAATTTTTTTTTAATTCAATTACTTCGAATTTTTAACTAAAAAAATTTTTTAATTTTTTTTTTTTCTCTTCAAGTCAATTCTTTTTAATAATTTTCTAAGAATGTTCCTAAAGAATTTAATTATTCAAAAGAGAGAAAAAAGATCGTCTACAAAATTTATGAAATTCACTTGTTTATAATTTAATTTTATAAAAATTTTAATTATTCAAAAAATTCCAAAAAGAATTTTTATATTAAATTTTTTAAGAATCTTCTTCAGAATTTTTAATTGAAATTATTTTAAAAATAATACAAATTTGTTTTATACTTTTCTCAAATTTCAATTTTAAATCTTTTTAAACTCAATTATTTATGAATTTTCTAATGCAACAAGTTTTTTTGGAATTTTCGAGAAAAATTTTATAAAAATTTGTAAACGCAATTCTTTAAAAATTAAATTATTTTTGTAATATTTTTGAGTAAAATTATATTCAAAATACAAATTTTTCACAAATTTCAATTTTAAATGATTTTAAATATATTTTTTTTTAATTTTCAAGTAAAATTAAATAAAATTCAAATTTTCTCAAATTTCAATTTGAAATCTTTTTAAATTTAACTGTTTAGAAAATTTTGTAAACGCAATTATTCGAAAATTCAATTATTTTTTGGAATTTTTGTGTGAAATTACATTCAAAATGCAAATTTTCTAAAATTTTAATTCAAAATCCAGATTAAAATTCAAATATTTTTTAAAAATTTTATGTAAAATTATTTAAAATTCAAAATTTCTAACATTTAAATTTAAAACTTTTTTAAAATTCAATTATTGTTGGAATTTTCAGTATAATTATATAATTAAATAATTAAATAAATAAAATAAAAATAATTATGTTTAAAATACAAATTTTCTAAAATTTCAATTCAAATTTTATTGAAAATCAATTATTTTTTAACTTTTTATGTAAAATTACAGAAAATTCAAATTTACTAAAAATTTCAATTTATAATCTTTTGAATTTCATTTAGGTATTTATAAAATTTGTAAACGCAATTCTTCAAAAATTCAATTATTTTTGGAATTTTTGAGTAAAATTATATTCAAAATATAAATTTCATAAATTTTTCTTGTAACGTTTTCAAATTGAATTATTCATAAAAATTGTAATCAAAATTCTTTTAAAATTTAATTGAAGAATATTTAAATTAAAAAAATAATTCAATTGTTTCGAAGAATTTTATCAGAATTTCCTTCAAATTTCTGCGAAAAATTTTATTATTTGTAATGATAAATGAATTCTTGACAAGAATTTGGTTTTAAAATTTTTTAAAGTAATAGAATTTCTATGAAAAATTGTATTAAAATTCTTGAAAATAATTAAATTCTGTCAAGAAATTCAATTAAAATTCTTTTGAAAATAATGAATTCTTTCGAACAGTTTCAATAAAATTTTTAAATATAATTAAATCTTGTCCAGAAGGTATATTTAAATTATATTGAAAACAATTGAATTCCTGTCAAGAATTTTGTTATTTATAAAAAATAATTGAATTTTTGAGACAATTTTGATTAAAATTTTTTTTAAAAACTGAATTTCTGGGAAATTTTTGTTATTTATGAAGATAATTGAATTTTTGACAAGAATTTTACTTAAATTTTTGAAAATAATTGAATTTCTACGAAGAATTTTTTTATAATTTATGAAGATAATTGAATTCCAGACAAAAATATTATTAAAAATTTTTTAAATAATCGAATTCCTGACAAGAATTTTGTTATTTATGAAAATAATTGAATTTTTGGGACGAATTTTACAATTTATAAAAATAATTCAATTTTTGGGAAGAATTTTACAATTTATAAAAATAATTCAATTCCTCCAAAGAATTTTATTAGAATTTTTTAAAATAATTAAATCTTTTTGGGAGAATTTGTTTAAAATTTTTGAATTTAATCGAATAATTCTATGAAAACGTGTAAAAATAATTAATTTGTAAAGAATTTTATTAAAATTGTTGAAAATAATCAAATTTAATTAATTGTATTTTTTCTAGAAATTTTATTAAAAGTGTATTTAATATAATTGAATTCCTCCCCCGAGGAATAATTGTTGCTTATATTTTACGATATAAAATTTTTTATTTAGAAAATAATAATAAATTAAATGTCGCTATTATTTGAAATATCGTATCATTTGCTATTTTTTTTTATTAAAGTTTGTAGTAATTTTAAAGTTTATGAAGCAATCGTAAAAAAAATTAAGAAAGAATACATTTTTTTAATATTTTCAACTCAAAAATGCAGAATTTTTTTTATAAATTCTAGAAATTTGATGTTTTTGAGTCCGAAATTTTTAAAACTATAATTCTCTGATTTTTTTTGTGAATTCACTAATTTTCCTAAAATTTGTCGACCTTGTTAAATTTCTATTAGGTCCGTTTTAATTAAAAAAAAAAAATGTCTAGACAAATAAATAACAAATCTATCGAGATTTGTTTTATTTATTTATTTTTTTTATTATAATTTATTTTTATTATTTATTATTATTATTTATTAATATTATCTATTATTATTATTTATTTATTACATTTTTTAAAAATTTATTATCATTTCAAAAATTACAAAATGTAACGTAAAATTATTCTTCATTTTTTTTTTGGAATTTTATTTTTATTTTATTTTTTTTCCTGTTTCCTTTTTTGCACTACTAACTCTGATCCATTGATTTCAGGTAAAGAGGGAAAGTACGATTTAAAATTAGCCGAACCGCCAACACCGCCCGAGAGTGATTCAGACGACGATTCACCGATCGACACAAATAAAATGGATAAAGAAAGTGTTCGCGAACTACATCCAACGACATATTTGAAAAAAGCCTGTACAAGTTTACTGCGAGTTATTCTCCTCTCCTGTGGAATTGAAGCAAACAGTGTTCAACCATCGGCAATAAAAACAATCGCCTCCGTTCTCCGTGGCATCATATCGTCCGCTAGTAAAATGGACTCAAGCATTCAAACCCAATTGGCCAGGGATCATCACGAAAGTTGGGCAACTTTAGGCCTCTTGAAAGCAATCGCAAATTCCTCGATACTCTGTCGAGCTCTCAGCACATCCGCCTGGGTTGATTTCCTCCTCTCAATGGTTGTCGAAGAGAATACAAACATTTACAAACAGATAATTGCCATTCGATTTTTGAGTATTGTTTTACCCTCCTGGTCGTCGACAGAGGCAGCGGCAATGACGAATTTTCTGGACAAGACCTTCAAGTTACTGGGACAAATCGCCTTGATGTGCGATGCGGAAATGAATTCCGAACTCCATGCCAATAAGTGTCGGGTATCCCTAACGGCGTCGAGAAGTTCAACACTAGTCGAGGAGCTAATTTCCCTAATTCGATCTCTACACTCACTTGCCGGATGGAATTCGGCTTTGAATCAATTTCTAGCTTCTAAATTATCGTTGGCTTCGGATTTATTGAGCGATGGTCCCTTGTTTCACATCCAAATGAACGAGAACGGTGGGGAGAATAGTTTGAGTATTCAACAGACGGTGATGGCAGCTTTGATTGTCGTTGGAGGTCTAGACGCGAGGCCAAGAATCGGAGGACTCGTTGACATCGACGGTCAAATAGGGACTATATGTAAATTGACCCAACACTCGAAGTTGATTGTCCAACTTCATGACACTGGTTCTAAAAAAAAAATCCCCTTCGTAGGTTTAAAAATACTCGGTGATAAATTCCATCTCGATAGAATGTTGATGGCCGAGCCGCTTTTGACAATTTGGGGTAATTTACTATTGGGACACTGTGGAATGGATAAGAGACCGGGAGGAATGCCGGTAATCGCCGGAGCGGTGAATATATCGATATTGAGAATGCAGCAACAGCAGTTGGGGGCTTTGAATGCGGCAAAGACGTTAATTGATCATCAGGCGAAATTGAGAAGAGTTTTGAAGTGCCACACACTGGAGGAGGACGAGGAGGAAGGACGGCAGCAGAATCGAAAGACCCTGTTTCAGGTTCTTTTGGCCAGGGCTATTAAACCGCAACCATTGAAGCCGATTTTCAAGCAGGCGGAGCTGGAGAGCGCGGCGTTGGCAGTGTCGCAGTATTTAGCATCCGAGCTGAGACATACGCCGATTCATCGAGGTGGTGGAGCAGGATCCGAACCCGAAACTCCGGCTTCGGATTGTTCTCTACTGTCGTTGACGTCGAGTCAAAAGAGACATTGCAAATCGGAGAAGAAGGGCATTCAGATGTGTCCGCTAGTGACCCAGTTGAGGGAAATGGGGTTTCATCGGAAGAACGTGGAGTTTGCGATCAAGAACCTGGGGGAGAGTAACCTGACAGTGGAGACGGTGGTCAGTTGGCTGTTGGAGAACGCCGATACGATATTGAGTGATATTGAGACGTTGTCGAGTTTGGACGATCTTTCGGACTCGACGGACGAGTCTAGTGACGATCAGGATGAGACTCCGTCTGCTTCGAACGACTTAGTGTCTTGTTCCCAGCCCTCTTTTATGAAACGAACGGATTTTTTGTCTGTCGACGAATACGCGATTTATGTTCGCGATAATGTTACCGCGGGTATGTTGGTACGCTGCTGTAAAACTTACGAGCAGGTCGAGTATGGGGACGTTGGTCAAGTGGTGAAAATCGACCCCGAAGGACTACATGACCTGAATGTGCAGGTCGCCTGGCAGCATAAGGGCGATTCCTACTGGGTACGCTTCATACATATCGAATTACTAGGACATCCTCCGACATTGCCTGGCGGTCCTTCGGCACTAAAAGTCGGCGACAAAGTAAGAGTGAAACCTTCCGTAGCAGTTCCGAAGTACAAATGGGGTTCGGTCAATCATCAAAGTGTTGGGGTAGTGACAGGGATTGTCAACAACGGTAAAGATGTCTCTGTGGATTTTCCCCAACAGAGCAGTTGGACCGGTTGTGTCGCCGAGATGGATCGGGTACCTTCCTGTCACCATGCGGTCTCCTGCAATTCTTGTCATTTGTCACCGATATCAGGACCTAGGTTCAAGTGTAAAGCTTGTGAGAACTTTAATCTTTGTGAAAATTGCTTCTATACGAAACGATCCCACAGGCATGGGTTTAATCGAATTGCGGAGCCGGGTTCGGCGGCGGTGTACGCGGGCAAGCCGGGAAGGTACCACAGACAGGAATTTTCGGAGACGACGGTAATTGACGATTGGTCGAAGTGTATACGAACTTTGAGTGTTTCTTCGAGGGAGAGTTGGGCGACGAGATTGGTGGATGGTTCGGAGAAGTATTGGCAGAGTTGTGGAGCGTTGGGTAAGCATTGGATAAGATTGGAGATGTTGTCGGGAATTTTGGTGCAGTCGTTGAAGATTGTTATCGATCCGCAGGATAGTAGTTATACGCCGAGTTTGATAGCGATTAGTGTGGGTGAGAGTTTTTCAAATCTTGTGGAATTGGTGACGGTTACGCCGCGCGCTACTGATACGACAGTGACGTTGTTGTATGATATTAAGGAGTATTATCCGTGTGTGGAAATTGGGGTGAAACAGTGTCGGAATGGGGGGATTGATTGTAAGATCTATGCTTTGCAGATTGTTGGTAGGAAGAAGTTGTATGAGAATCAATTGGCGAATTCGGTGTCGTTTTTGGCTTCTGATTGGGAGGTGGTGCAGGAGCAGATGATGGCGCAACGGGCTAGTGATGTGCAGCAGCATTCGGCGGTTTATGTCTGGGGTCTTAATGACAAGGATCAGTTGGGGGGTCTGAAGGGCTCGAAGATCAAACTTCCGGTGTATAGTCAAGTACTCTCGAAGTTGAAACCTATTCACATTGCCGGAGGGAGTAAAACCTTGTTTATCGTCAGTCAGGAAGGAAAACTTTATGCTTGTGGCGAAGGAACGAACGGACGGTTGGGACTGGGTGACAATAATAACGTCTATGAGCCGAAGCCGATTCCCTTTCTGAGTCAGTACGTCATCAAGAAAGTAGCCGTACATTCCGGTGGTAAGCACGCATTGGCCCTAACGCAGGACGGAAAGGTATTCTCCTGGGGCGAAGGGGAGGACGGCAAGCTCGGCCACGGGAATCGGAGTTCTTTGGACAAACCGCGATTGATCGAGAACTTGAAATCGAAACGTATTCGGGATATCGCTTGCGGTTCGGGGCACTCCGCCGCAATTGCCAGCAATGGCGAATTGTACACTTGGGGTCTCGGAGAATATGGTCGACTAGGACATGGAGACACAGCCACCCAATTGAAACCGAAATTAGTGGACGCTTTAGTAGGACAGAGGGTGATTCAAGTCGCCTGTGGTAGCAGAGACGCACAAACGATGGCGTTGACAGAAAATGGTTCCGTCTATTCCTGGGGCGATGGAGACTTTGGTAAACTAGGAAGAGGAGGAAGTGACGGTTGTTACACGCCCTTGTTGGTCGATCGCTTAAACGGATTGGGAGTCGTTCAGGTGGAGTGTGGGGCACAATTTTCCCTCGCCCTGACAAAGTACGGAGAGGTTTGGACCTGGGGGAAAGGGGACTACTTTCGGCTGGGTCATGGAAATGATAACCACGTGCGTAGGCCGACGGTCGTCGAGGGACTTCGAGGAAAGAAAGTGGTTCATGTCGCGGTTGGTGCTTTGCACTGTCTGGCAGTTACGGACCTGGGTCAGGTTTACGCTTGGGGGGATAATGACCATGGACAGCAGGGAAATGGATCTATAATCGTCAATCGAAAACCGTCGATTGTTCATGGTTTGGAAGACGCGAAGGTGAATAAAGTCGCTTGTGGGTCTAGTCACAGTGTCGCTTGGATTTTGACCGATCAACCGGCGAGTAGTAACCAGGAGCCGGTTACTTTTCCAACGACCAAGGATCCTTTAGGACAGGCAATGCTTGGAATTTCGGAGGTTGTGAACGAGACAGAGGTGACTTTGACGAAAAATATCAGACCTTCCCTATCGAATATTATTCTCTCCCTCGAGAGTAATATCGCTAAACAGCAGGCTTTGCAGCATGTGATTAAGGCTCTGCATATAATGCAGGCGAGATTTGCGATTGTCACAGCTTTGCAAAGTCATGTCACTTTGTCGTCTTTTAGAAAAACTTTGCCGGAGAATGGAAATGGGGATTCGTCGACGGTGTATCAGAATGTGGGGGAAATCGCGCAGGGTGGTGGAGAGGCGCCGGCGAATCCTTCGGAGGTTCTTAGTCCTAGAGCTACGCCCGAATCGGAGGAATTTCCTCTGGCGATCTTTCCATCGATGTCGAGTTCTGCGAGTCTTTCTTCTAGGGCGTCGAGAATGTCCGCCAGTGCTATGAGTGTGATAGCAGCGACCCTGACTTCAAACGCACAGGTCGTGGGGGAAGTGATAATGGATAGTGGATCCCTGGACGAATTCACATCTGGACTTAGTGAGGACGACGCTAGAATGCTTGTGGACCTGCTGAAACTCGCCGTGGCCCAACGAGTGTGCGAAGGAGCAAAGTCTATCATCTCTTCTGTACTGATTTCCCTAGGTAAAGTAAATTCTAACGTTGGTAATATGATTCTAGAGTTGTGTGTCACCGAACTTGAGGACGCGGCAGCGAATTCGAATTGCGCCAGCAATAGTCCGCAGCCGATTGTGCAGGAGACGCCGCATCCGTATATTGATGACACGACCCTGACGGGGCATGTAAAAATTCCCGGGGCCGAAGCATTGAGAGTGGAATTCGATAGGTTGTGTTCGACCGAAAGGCGGCATGATCCACTGACTTTGATGGACGGGACTGGGAGAGTGATCGCAATAAAGTCAGGACGGGAATGGAGTGAATGGTCAACAGAGCTACGAATTCAGGGCGATGAGTTAAGATGGAGATTTTCTTCCGATGGATCAGTGAACGGTTGGGGGTGGCGCTTTACAGTTTACCCGATAATTGCCACCTTGGCGCCGCATGAACTCGGATCTGACAGAGCGGTTCTGTCGCAACCTTCGATAGCACTCGTTGAGTGTTTGTTGGATAATAGTTTGATAAATTCGGATAAGAATATAATTACCAGACTTGCCGCGACCCTGGCGCAGTGTTCACAGTTGGGTAACTTGTCCGCTCAGCAACGAATGTGGGCTTTGAGAAAATTGCAGGTGGTGTATCTGAGTGGACCGAGTATTCGTCAGGATTCGGCTTTGTCGAGTCTGTTGGGGTCCCTCCCACAGGCATTGCTAAGACAGTACGAGTATGAAGATCCGATTGTTCGGGGAGGAAGACAATTGATGCATAGTGATTTTTTCAAGACCCTGGTGGCGTTGGCCTGTGATTTAGAATTGGAAACAATGCCCTGCTGTTCGGAAATACACAAGTGGTCCTGGTTTAGGAGATATTGTCTAGCGGCGAGAGTGGCGAAGTCGTTGATAAATCGGACCGTTTTGCCGAAGAGTTTCTGCAGTGAGGTGGCTAAGCGGATCAATGAAATGGTGACGGACGAGGATGGGAATATGGATCAGGAGAATCATGGGATTTTTAAGCATGAGCATGATGAACAATTGTTGCAGTGGTTGAACAGGAGACCGGAGGATTGGACGTTGTCTTGGGATGGATCGGGGGCGATCTACGGCTGGGGGCATAATCATCGAGGACAGTTGGGAGGATTGGAGGGAGCGAAGATTAAGGTGCCGTCGCCTTGTGAGAGTCTTTCGGCGTTGAGGCCGATTCAGTTGGCGGGAGGTGAGCAGACGTTGTTTGCGGTCACTGCGGACGGGAAGGTTTATTCGACCGGGTATGGAGCAGCTGGACGGTTGGGAATTGGAGGCACTGATTCGGTGATGGTACCGACTTTGCTCGAGTCGATCCAACACGTGTTCATCAAGAAAGTCGCTGTGAATTCGGGGGGAAAGCATTGTCTGGCACTGAGTTCGGAGGGTCACGTCTACTCTTGGGGCGAAGGGGACGATGGAAAGTTGGGTCATGGGAATCGATTGTCGTACGATAAGCCGAAATTGATTGAGGCACTGCTGGGAACGGAGATTGTGGACGTGGCGTGTGGGGGACATCACAATGCGGCGATTACGAGCGCAGGTTGGCTGTACACTTGGGGCAAGGGTCGATACGGACGTCTGGGGCATGGAGACAGTGACGATCAGTTGAGACCGAAAGTTGTTTACGCTCTGAAGGGGTATAAAGTGATTGACGTTGCTTGTGGAAGTGGAGACGCGCAGACACTCTGCGTGACTGATGATGATAATGTCTGGAGTTGGGGCGATGGGGACTATGGAAAATTGGGACGAGGAGGAAGCGACGGTTGCAAGGTGCCAATGAAGATAGAGAGCCTCGCGGGACTTGGAGTGATAAAGGTCGAGTGTGGAAGTCAATTTTCAGTGGCATTGACAAGATCGGGCGCTGTTTACACTTGGGGCAAGGGTGACTATCATCGTTTGGGTCATGGAACCGATGATCATGTTCGCAGACCCAGGAAAGTCGCTGCTCTTCAGGGGAAGAAGATAATTTCGATAGCGACTGGTTCGTTGCATTGTGTCGCATGTTCGGATAAGGGGGAAGTGTTCACGTGGGGCGATAATGATGAGGGGCAATTGGGCGATGGAACGACGAGTGCATTGCAGAGTCCGAGAGTTGTTCACACTTTGCAGGGGAAGAAAATAACTCGAGTCGCGTGTGGAAGTGCTCACACTTTGGCGTGGAGTACGACAAAGACGACGCAGAGTAAATTACCGGCTGTGACGCCAATGGAATACGATTTGGTGAAGGATCTGTCGTTCTCGGCTTTGCGCAATCGACTCGTTTTGCTTCATCATTTTTCAGAGTTGCTGTGTCCGAATATCGCCATGTTCAGCACTTCTGGTCATTTGGGTTTGAGTAAATTGGCACCGATGTTGGTCTACAGTATAAAGGAGGCGACTTTCAGAAAAGTGGTGCAAGCGACGATGGTCAGAGATCGACAGCATGGTCCCGTCATTGAATTGAATCGAATTCAAGTGAAGAGATCTAGGAGTAAAGGTGGTCTGGCTGGTCCCGATGGAATAAAATCCGTTTTCGGACAAATGGTTGGGAAAATGTCCTTCCTCACGCAAGAAGTCCTCTTCCTTCCTCATCGTGTCTGGAAAGTCAAATTTGTCGGTAAGATTTATTTAATTATTTAATTCAATTTTAAAAATTTGTTCTTCCAGTTCTTATTGCTTTTTGAACTTGAGTTTTCGGAATTTATACAGATTGTTTTATTTTTAGGCGAGAGTGTCGACGACTGTGGCGGAGGTTACAGCGAGAGTATAGCAGAGATGTGCGACGAACTTCAAAATGGTTCCCTACCATTATTAATTCCAACTCCAAACGGACGTGACGACAGTGGAACGAATAGAGATTGCTTCCTGTTGAATCCGCTGGCAACTTCTCAATTACACATGAATATGTTCCAATTTCTGGGAATTCTGATGGGAATTGCAATAAGAACTGGAAGTCCATTGAGTTTAAATTTAGCCGAACCGGTGTGGAGACAACTCGCTGGAATTTCATTAACACCGGCAGATTTGACGGAGGTTGACAGAGGTTACGTACCGGGATTACTATGTATCAGAGATATGGATCCAGACGAAAAAGTCTTTCAGAGTTTGGAAATGCCATTTTCAACTCCTTCTGCTGTCGGTCACGATGTTCCATTATCCAATAGGTATAATGAATCTTTTTCCTTTTTTTACTCACGATAATTGAATCAAAACTTATTAATTTAGAGGGCAAATGTTTATAAATATACAAAATTTATATTTTTTGTTTCAAGTAGAATTTTTCTTTAGATAATAATTTTCTAATAAACTTTAAATAAAAAAAAAAACTTATAAACTTATAAACTTTTTCTCTTATCATCTTAAAAAACAAAAAAATATATTAGTATTACTGAAATAATATTAAAATTTAAAAAGTTCTCTAAATAGAATTCAATAGAGTTGATAATCTAAAAATCTAAATTCATCTCTTAACTCTTTTTATTAGGTACAGAAAGTAAATTATATTTTAATAAAACAATACGATTTTAAGCTTTTTCTTGTCAAATTATGACGTCACGTTTTATTGTAGAAAAAATATAATTTTGTACAAAATTATTAAAATAAATCGGCAAAACAGATAAGATTAGATTAGATTAAATTTTGCTTTACGATTCTTTAGACTTTGTCCAATGACCTTGTGCAATGAACATCTTAAAATTCATCTTTAATCTTAATTATCGTTAATTATTTTTAATATTATTGTTAATATTATTTTTACAAGCCTCGGATATTATGACTTTTTCGACTTTTTTTCAACTATTTTCGAATAATGCAACCTTTATCGACTTATATTAAAAAAATTGCGACTTTTTCGACTTTTCTTCCAAATTTTCCAACAAAATACCACATTTTTAGTATAAAATGCAACTAATTTTGATTTTTATTCTAGTGTGAAAAATAACTACAAACGAATTTTCACAAAAATTTATTTTTAATGTTTTCTATTTTAATTTCCGAAATATAAAATTAAAAAGATTTTGAGTAATTGAAATTTTGTAAAATTTAATTGAAAATAAGTCATTTTTTTAAGTCTTCAAAAAATTAATTTGTTTTTTTTAAATTATACAAAAATTCTGTTTAGAAATTCAATTCATTTTCGAAAAATTACATTACAATATTTATAAAAAACTAATTCTTCAAATTATTTTATGATAATTTTTTAAGATTCAATTACCATTCGAACAAAGTAAATTAAAATTTTTTTAAATTTACTTTTTTATACTTATTAAAATTTCGGAGGAATGACTTATAATTAAAATTCTTCAAAAAATTGATTATTTTTTAAACTTTTTTTAAGAATTCAATTATTTTTCAAGGATTTTATCAAATTTCAATTATTTTTCAAAGAGTTTACCAAATTTCAATTATTTATTAAATATTCTACCAAATTTCAATTTTTTGGATATATTTCAATTGTATGTATGTAATTGTAAAAATATTGTCTTTCAAAAATTATTTAGAAATATTTTTAAAAAAATTAATTTTATGAATTGATTAAAATTTTTCTATTAAATAAACGATTTTTTCCAGTTTTTTCTATTTTTAATCGAAAGCAACTTTTTTTTTCGTAAAATCTTATTATTTTATGACAATAATGAAATTCTTTTGAAGAATTTTTTTAAAATTTCGTAAATAGTTGAATTCTTCGGAGAAATTTATTTAATATTGTTTTGAAAATAATGCAATTCTTTTAGAGAATCTTGACAAAATTTTTAAGAATAATAGAATTCTTTCGAGAGAATTAAATTATTTTTGAAAGTAAAGTAAAAAAAAATGATTTTTTAGACTTTTTTTCTATTTTTAATCGACTAAAGCGATTTTTTTGGTTTCTTAAAGTCGATCCGAGGCCTGTTTCTATTATTATTTTTTTATTGTATTTTTTTAATTATTCACTTTTTTTGTAATTTGTTTTTAAATTATTATTACATATATAAATTATTATTAAGATGAAAAATTATATTTTTGATTTAAAATTAATTTGAATAATTTACGTTAATAATTTTCGAAATAATTAAATTTCGTGTTTCTCTTTATTTTTGCAGATATAAAAAAATAACACCAGAGAATAGACGAGAATATGTGAGATTAGCTCTTAATTATAGACTTCATGAATTTGATGCACAAGTGAATGCGGTACGAGAAGGTTTATCGAAAGTTGTTCCTGTTCCATTGTTAACTTTATTCAGTGGTTCTGAGTTGGAAACAATGGTCTGTGGAAGTCCAGATATTCCACTTAGTTTATTGAAATCAGTAGCAACATATAAAGGTTTGAAATCTTTTCAAAATATTTTTTTTTTTAATTAAATAGAAAAAATATTATTTCTGTATTTATTTATAACGTGACAAGTCTTTATTTATATTTTGTAATTACTATTAATATTATTGTTGTTATATTATTCTTGTTATTATTATTTTTATTTCTATTTTTATTTTTATTTTTATTTTTATTTTTATTTTTATCTTTATCTTTATTTTTATTATCAAATTGATTATTTATTATTATCATATTTTTCTCAACTGTAGGAGATATTATTTATAGAAAAAATTTCTATTTGAAATTTTCTTTTGCAGGAATAGAAGCCACGTCTCCTTTAATGCAATGGTTTTGGGAAGTTATGGAAGAATTTTCAAATCAGGAAAGATCACTATTTCTTCGTTTTGTTTGGGGGAGAACTCGTTTACCTCGAACGATTGCCGATTTCCGTGGAAGGGATTTTGTTATACAAGTAAAAAAAATTTTTCCTAATTTAAAAATTGAAAATTTACTTAAATTTTCTTCGAAAAATAAATTTCTTTGTTTATTAATTACTAATTTAAATCATTTTGCAGGTAATGGACAAATACAATCCACCGGATCATTTTTTGCCAGAGAGTTACACGTGCTTTTTCCTATTAAAAATGCCAAGATATTCGTGTAAACCAGTTTTACGACAAAAATTAAAGTACGCAATTCATTTTTGCAAGAGTATTGACACTGATGAATATGCAAGAGTTCAAGCAGCGACAAATTCTGATACCGATGATACAGACAGTCTCGCCAGTGAGGAACATACGTCTCTCTAGCATTAACAAGGATCATTGAAATTATTATTATTTCGTCTTGATTTTTGCCAAAATTCCAAATCAATTTTCTTTATCATTATTATTTTTATTATTACCACACATTTTGCTTCTTGAGAAAATTATCATTTTCCCTTCAGTATTCTATCTTCCAATGCAGCGAATTGGCTTTTTAAAAAAATCGAGCACAAAAAAAGACTTTTTTAAAAAAGAATGTTTGAATTTTGTGATATAATTGGACGCCTATATGCGCCTAGAGATCGTGATATTTTTATGTAAATAATTATTCTAAGGTATGTTATTTTGTTTTCTAGTCTTATTTAATATTCTCTGCAATAATAGATTTTTTTTCTTTAAAAAATAAAGAAATAACAGTGCGTAAGTGTATAAAGAAAAGTGTAAGCGAAAAATTGTAAATTAATTGTATGGCAGTGTGAATAATATCTGAGACAGTGTCAATTTAAATGCATTGTTTTTTTCTTTCGTAAATTCAAAATTGTATAGTTTAGTTAAAAAATATTAGAGAAAATTCACTTATAAATTTATAGATATTAAATTAAATTATAATTAATTATTGTTTTCTTTCAGTATTTTCCCTTTTTCTTTTCTCGCAGAAAGGTAAAATTTATTTTTTTTTTTCTTTACGTTCTGGAAGAATTTTTAAAAAGCAAAAGTTTATTTTAGGAAAACGAGGCTGATGATGATGATGATGAATAAATTGTGAAGGAGAGGACAACAATGAGGATTGGGAGAGAAGAGAAAAAAAAAGAACAAATTGGATCCGATGAAACCAGACGGCAGAAACAATAACGAGAGAGTGTGTGGTTATTAGTGTGTGACATTGTGGCAATAAGTTTAAAGAATGTATACGCATCTTTGTATGGCAAGTGGTTGCAATCAATTCACGTCGCCGACACTCATTTTAAAACCTGCTCTACCAGTCACTCAGTTGCAGTCACCACTATGTATACATACAATATACATATAGATCTATCTATATGCAATTGTATATGTTGTATATACATGTTTATCTTGAATTCGTGAATCTTTTATCCATTTAAGCTTTTTGTCTTTCGCACTCGGGAGATCAACGAACGCGCTTTGCGCTCCGACATTTGATAACAAACTGTGAGTATTAATAACAGCAATTTTTTCAATTTCACTACAATTATTTTCTTCGATCAATAATTTCTTTTTACGTTTGTTTTTGTTTATTTGGTAATTTTTAATTGCATTCTAATATTTGCCTTTTTTTATTTTTACTATTTAAATTTTTTCGTCGTTTTTATCAAAATACTGTCGAAAGCACTCGAATCCATAAATAGAAAACAAATCAAACGAATATTTTTTTATATTCTTACTATGTTAATACGTAAAAAAATTTAATAAATTTATTTTACATTTAATCGGACATTTTTTGTTTATAAAAATAGTTTGTAACATTTTTTAAACAGTAAATTGTGTGAAATTTAGAGTTACTTCCCTTTTTAAGTTTTCTTTCCTCTGGCGCCAAAATGTAAACAAAAGATTATTTTTTTCTTTTTACTGTTTAGAAATTTTTAAAGCAAAAGTTTATTTTAGGAAAATTTGTTTAATTCTATTTTTTATATTTGTTTGTTGTAATTTTATTAATTAATTAAAAATAGATTTAGAGAAAAATAATCGAAATTTTGTTTACATTTTTAATTAACTAAATAATTTTACATTTAGTTAACTAGAAATGTAAACAAAATTTTAATTTTTTTTCTTTTTACTCTTTTCGGGAATTTTTTTGAAACAAATGTTTATTTTCGTAAAATTTGTTTAATTGTTTAATTGTATTTTTTGTATTTGTCAAATTTGTCTGTTGTAATTCTATTAATTAATTAAATATCTAGTTTTGTATTTGTTTATTTGTTTATTTTTGATTGCATTTTAATATTTGCCTTTTTTTATTTTTACTATTTAAATTTTATCAAAATATTGTCGAAAAAACTCGAAAAAAAATTCACTTCAATATTTTTCATCCACAAATAGAAAACAAATCAACCGAATATTTTTGTTATGTTTTTACTATGTTATTATAAAAAATATATATTATAAATTTATTTTACATTTAATATTTTGTTTACAAACATTGTTTATATAAATTTTTTTAAACCATAAATTGTGTAAAATTTAAATTTCCCTTTTCAAGTTTTCTTTCCTCGGGAGCCAAAATGTAAACAAAATTCTGATTATTTTTTTTCTTTTTACTGTTTAGAAATTTTTAAAGCAAAAGTTTACTTTATAAAAATTTGTTTAATTCTTTGAATTTTCCCAGAATTTGTCACGAAACAATATAGTCAACAATTGTCTTACATTTTTTTATAGTTTTTAAATTTATTTTTCAATTATTATTCTTTAATTCTATTTTTTATATTTGTTTGTTGTAATTGTATTAATTAATTAAAAATAGATTAAGAGTAGAAGAAAAAAGTAATCAAAATTTGGTTTACATTTTTAATTAACTAAATATTTTTATAAAAAAAATAATCAAAATTTTTACATTTTTAATTAACAAAATATTTTTGTATTTAGTGAATTAAAAATGTAAACAAAATTTTGATTATTTTCCTCTTTTTACTCTCTTCGGGAATTTTTTTGAAAATGTTTATTTTAGAAAAAAATTTGTTTAATCGTTTAATTGTAATTTTTGTATTTGTCAAATTTTGTTGTGATTCTATTAATTCATTAAAAATCAAGTAGATGAAAATATTTAATTACATAATTAAAAGTTAAATTTTAATAAATTATTTAATTTAAAATTAAATTTTAATATTTAATTACATTATTAAAAATTAAATTTCAATAATAAAGAAAATTAGACTTTTTTTTTGTTTACAAAATACTTCCGATATTTAGTATTATGAATAAATGAATAAGTTTTCCTTTTCGATAATGTGGAATAAATTTATAAACATGTTTTTCATTGTTTTTGCGCATAAAAACAAAGAATAAGTAAAAAAAAAAACATCATAAATAGTAAAGAGACAAAATGAAGAGAAAAAAAAACTTGATTGTAATTTGATTCTTTTCGATCTAGTTGCATCATAATTTTGATATCGACCCCTCTTGCAAATATAAATACAATCTTCCTTTGTACGGAGTTTAAATATGACAAACCAAGATGACAAATGCATCAAAACATTTCGAATATCTCCCGCGAATTGTGTTTTTTTGTTTTTAAATTAACAATTTCCTTGTTAAAGAAATTTTTATCAAACTTTCTTCTACGTAAATTGTAATAATAATAATTAATTAATAATTCATTTTGAATTGAATGATAAAAAAATATTTAAATTATAAAATATTACCATTTTGTTTATTTAAAATAACAATAAAATTACAAATTTTAAATACATTTAATATAAAATCGAAGTTAAAAATAGAATTTAAATTCTATGTATTATTTTTGCAGAATTTTAGAAATATAAATTAAGAATGCTGATGATTATTTTTTCTCTGATATTCTTAATATTCAAGTGTATTATTTTTCAGTATTTTAAAAATATACATTACAATTAATGCTGATTATTTTTTTATTTTTTATAGATTGTGCTTTTCTTTTGTATTAATTATTCCTTATGAACGAGAACGTGCTTTAGTCATAAACAGTTTGCAGAGCATTGATTGATAAGCGGGATGAAAATACTTATAATGTTTAAAAAAGATCAAAGACGAGTTTGTGGTTAACCAGTTGTAAGGAGACTTTCAAGGATAAAACATCCTTTTTGACAGGATGTATCGTTTTTCGAAAAGCAAGGTATTTATCAAAAACAATTTTCCAAAACAATTAAAAATATTTTTCGACATTTTTTGTTTTTTTTTTTTAATTTATATCGAAGAACAATAAGTTAATCAATTTTTCTTTTTAATTTTATCAAATTTTATCAATTTATCAATATAATGGAAGAAAGAAAAAATTATTTTTTATATCAATAATAAAGTAAGAAAAAAATCGAGAAAAAAAATGTGTCTTAAAGAAAATAAATGTTTTTTTTTTACTATTTTCGTAAATAAATAATTACTGACTTAATTTTAATAATTTTAATTTAATAAAATTATTGTAATAATTTTAATAATTTTAATTTAATAAAATTATTAATAAAATATTAATTTAATTGTTGTCATTGTAGTTGAGTAAATGGAGTGATCGGATTGAGAAAAAGTTTCTTCTCAATAAAAAGAAGTCGACGACGAATGAAAATATTCCAGCAATTGTGAATCTACCGGAGTCAGCTGACGTTGTAATTATAGGTAAAGTATATTCTTGAAAAATTCAATACTGAAGAAATCCTGTTTTTAAAACTGAAAAAGAAAAAAAGATTTACAATCAATTTCAATTGTTTCATGAATTTTTCAAACAAAGCTAAAAGAGTTCAGTGTGATTTTTGTTTGTTTGTTTTTTTTTTTTTATTCATTCAACTTGACTAAAGTGTAAAAAAGAATTTTATCAATATTCAAGAACAATGTGTCGGTCAACAAATAAAATATGAATAAACATTTCGATCTAAAGTGCGCTTGAAAAATAATCTACATTATTATGTAACTATTATTATCTACATAACACACGTGTTTAGTAATGAACTTGGATTAACGTACTGTGTGAATTTTTATCTTTTTTGAAAAAAAGAAAAAATTACAATAAAAGATAGCGAATGATAAAGGTAAATTAAGAATTATTTTTAAATGATAATATTTCATTTCGCTCTATATATTTTCTTTTATTACAAGATTCAGAATTTTAATTTTTAAATTGACAATTGAAATTGGCAATTTTTATTCAAAAAGAAAAAAAAGCTCTGTTTTTTTAGATTTAATATTTAAATTTTGAAATTAGCAATTTTTATGCAAAACAAATAATTAATAATAATATTTTTTAGGTGGTGGTAGCGCCGGATGTAATGCTCTCTACAATTTGGCGAAAAGCGGAAAAAATGCAATTCTTCTCGAAAAATCAAAATTAACATCCGGTACAACATGGCATACTGCTGGAATGGTTTGGAGTTTACGACCAAACGATCTGGAAGTGGAATTACTTCGAAATTCGCAAAAAGTATACGAGAGTTTAGAAAAAGAAACGGGAATTAGTCCAGGATGGATCAGAAATGGAGGAATATTTATAGCCCACAATAAGGTATTCAAAAATAATTGTATATTTTTTTTACATTCTGATTAAAAGAGAAAATAATCAAAGTCTTTAAATTAAATTAATTAAATTAATTGAATTGAATTGAATTTTAATTTTAATGAAGGAAATGAAAATGATGAAAATAAAAGTAAATTATAATATTTATAAAGTAATTAAATTAAATTAAATTTTAATTTTAATTTTAATTTTAATTAAAGAAATAAAAATTATAAAAATAAAAGAAAGTTATAATATTGATAAAGTAATTAAATTAAATTTTAATTTTAATTAAAGAAATGAAAATGATGAAAATAAATGAAAATTGTAATATTGAGAAAATTTTTTCAAAAAGAGAATATGAGAGGAAATAATAATTTTACAATTACAGGTGCGAATGGATGAATATAAAAGATTGTATACAATTGGAAAATCCTTTGGAGTTGAATCCTCTCTAATATCGCCTGAGGAAGCGAAAAAATTATTTCCTCTATTGGACGAAAATGCATTCTATGGTGCTCTTTATTCACCGAACGATGGTATCATTGATCCTGCAATGATGGTCAATTCATTGATGCAAGCAGCAAAATCTAATGGAGCAAAGGTAATTATTTTTCATTTACTTTTATATGAAACTTCAATTCTTGAATGATTTCAGAATAAAAATTTAAAAAAAATCACTTATAAATTAATTATCTATATTAATAATCGCAACGAATTTTATAAAAATTTTTAAAACTCCTAATTAAACTGTATTGAAGAATTTCTTTGAATTTTTTTTCAAATAATGGAGTTTCTTTAATAATTTTAATTGAAAATTTTGAAAGCAATTAAATTTTGTGAAGAAGAATTTTATTAAAATTGTATTGAAAATAATTGAATTCCTGACAAGAATTCTATTATTTATAAAAATAATTTAATTTTTGCAAAGAATTTTAATATTTATAAAAATAATTGAATTGTTCCGAAGAATTTATTAAAATTTTAGGAAATAAATGAATTTTATAGAAATATTTGAGAATAATTAAATTATTTCGAGAAATTGAATTAAAGTTGTTGCGAAAATAATTGAATTTCTGTAAAGAATTTTATTAAAATTATGGATATTTAAAATGATTGTATTCATCAAAAGAATTTTATTAGATATTTTTTGAAAATAATTGAATTCTTTCAATTTTTTTGATGAATATATTTAAAAATTGCATTGAAAGTAGTTTAATTTTCATATAGAATTTTTTTAAATCTTTTGAGAATAATTGAATTGTTTTTAGAGAATTTTAAATTCTTGTTAAAATTGAATTTTTTGGAAATTTTTGAAAATAATTGAATTCTTTTGTGTAATTTGATTTAAATTGAATTAAAAATAATTTAATTTCTATAAAGAATTTTAGTATTTATAAAAATAGTTGAATTGATTAGAAGAATTTATTAAAATTTTAGGAAATAATTGAATTTTATGGAAATGTTTGAATTCTGCCGAGGAATTCAATTAAAATTGTTTTGAAAATAATTAAATTTCTGCAAAGAATTTTACTATTTATAAATATAATGGAATTCTTGCGAAGAAATTCACTATTTATAAAAATAATTGAATTGTTTTGAAGGATTTATTAAGATTTTAGAAAATAATTGAATTTATTAGAAACATATTAAAAAATTGTTTAAAAATTGAATTTCTGCAAAGAGTTTTATTATTCATAAAAATAATTGAATTGTTTCAAAGGATTTATTAAAATTTTAGAAAATAATTAAATTTTTGCAAAAAATTTTACTATTTTTAAAAATAAGTTAATTCTTCAAAAAAAAAATATTTTAAAAATATTAACAAAAAATATTAATTTTCTTCGAAACAATTAAATTATCTACAGAAAGTCTTCAGACGAATTCAATTATTTTTAAAACAATTTAAATAAAAATTTCTTAATACAATTCAATTACTTAAAAAAATTTCAATAAACTTTTTGGAATAATTCAATTAATTTCATAAATAAAAATAGGAATTCAATTATTATAAAAATTGCAATAAAAGTTCCTCAAAGAATTTAATTATTTTTAATGGAATTTTAACTCAATTTCTCGAAAAACATTTGGTTTTCTTCGAAATAATTAATTTATTATCAAAAAATTTGAATTTAAATCTTGGCAAGAATTCAATTATTTTAATAAACTATAAAATTCTTCGGCAGAATTCAATTATTTCCAATACAATTTGAATAAAAATTTGTAATGGAAATTTAATCAATTTCTTTGTAAATTTTCATAAAATTCCATGAAAGAATTAAATTATTTTCAAAAAAAAATTCCTTGAAAGAATTGAGTTATTCTAAAAAATTGTATTACAATTCTTTAAAAGAATTCAAATAAGTATAGTTTAACTTTAAATAAATTTGTCGAAAGAATTAAAATTTTTGTTCGAAACAATTCAAACTACATTATTAGAAATTTTATTATTTTTCTATTTAATTATTTTTAATTAAATTTCTCGAAAGAATTTAATAATTTTTAATTCAATTTTAATTAAATTTCTCAAAAGAATTTAATAATTTGCAATTGAATTTTAATTCAATTTCTCAAAAGAATTTATAATTGCTTCAATATTATTTTTAATCAAATTTCTTGAAAAAATTTAATTTTCAAAAATTTTAATGAAATTTTTTGAAACAATTCAATTATTTTCAAAAATATGAATAAAATTCGTCCCAAGAATTCAATTTTTTTAACAATAAAATTCTTCGGAGGAATTCAATTACTATCAGTACAGTTTCAATAAAATTTCTTAATGAAATTCAAATAGCATTTTTAAAATTTTATTAAAATTCCTTGAAAGCATTCAATTATTGTAAGAAATTATAAAAAAAAATTCTTTAGAAAAATTCAATTAATTTCAGTATTACGTTCAGTAAAATTCTAATTAAATTTCTTGAAAGAATTATATTTTTAAAAGTTTTGAATAAAATTCTTCGAAACTAATAATTACTTTTCCATATTTTGCAGTAATAAAAATTAGTTTTTCTAGAATAATAAGTAGAATTTCTAGAATTAACTATTTTTTATTTTAGAGTAACTATTTTTATATTTTAGAGTTGTTAAATTTTCAAATTAATTGAAATTTAATTAATTAATAACAAAAACAATTTAATTTAATTCAATATCAATAATAAAATAAGTAATAAAAAATAAGTAAAAAAATAAGTAATAAAATTAAAAATTTAAAAAAATTTACAGGTATTTGAAGATTGTCCAGTAACGAGAATTTTAGTCGACAAACCTGAATATGGTTCGCAAAAAGTAACTGGCGTCGAAACACCATATGGAACAATAAAAACAAATTGCATTTTAAATGCTTGTGGCGCGTGGTCGAAGAATATTGCAAAAATGGTTGGCGTTGAAATACCATTAATTCCAATGAAACATGCCTATATTGTCACTGAACCGATGAAAAATGTGAAAGGTCTGCCAAATATTCGAGATCACGATGGAAAAATTTATATCAAACCACAAGGTGAATCCATGTCAATAGGAGGTTACGAACCAAATCCTATTATATTACAATCTGTGAGTAGTGTTTTAGAGAATTTTTTTTAAATACCAATTAATTATAAAAACGTACATTTAAATTTCCTCTTTCTTTACTGGAGTATTAGGTTGCCAAAGATTTTTCATTTAGCCTGTACGAATTAGATTGGAATGTATTTAATTCACATATTGAAGCAATGGTGAAATTAATTCCTAAATTGTCGACAACTGGAATTAGAACTACCGTTTGTGGTCCGGAGAGCTTTACACCCGATCATAAACCAATTATGGGTGAATTAAATTAATTAATTAAATTAATTCCTTTTTTTATAAATTTTCCATTTTTTTATTTGCTTTTCTTCTTTTTCTCTATATTTACTTATTTTTTCTTTATTTACTTTTTCGTTTTATTTATTTCACTTAAATTCAATGAATTTTTTCATTTAAATATTAATTAATTAATCGTTAAAATATTTTTTTCATTAAAAAACACAGGAGAAGATCCAAGATGCGAGGGATTTTTCTATTCTTGCGGTTATAACAGTGCGGGAATGATGTTCGGAGCTGGATGTGGAGAACAAATATCAAACTGGATAATAAATGGTCGTCCTGAAAAATATATGTTCAAATACGATATTCGAAGGTACGTTTCTGCTAAAGATTTATTTTTCACAAAATAGAATTATTTAGATTACAGGCTTTGCACTCAATTAGTTTTAAAAACGTATCAAAAAGTGTCATTAAGACTAAAAATGTAGTAAAAAAGTATAGATACCAAAAAAATTAATTTAACGACTAAAAAATTCTATTCTATTAACAAAAAAAAGACAAAAATTTGATTCTGTATTTCCCTGATTTCCATACAAAAATATTCACTGTTTTTCTTATCCTGGTAATAACTTCAATTCTAAATTTTTATCACATTCAATTATTTTCCAAATTTTTGGTCAGAATTCTTCAAAAGTTAGATTATTTTTAAAAATAATTTTTCAAAGTGAAAAAATAAATTTTTTTTAAATATAAAATTTATTTTAATTAAATTTGACAAAATTTCCAATTAATTCGAAATTTAAAGAAAACATTTTTAAATATGACGAGAATTTTACTATATTCAAAAAAAATTAATTAAAATTTTTTAAAAGGTTCCTTTTTTGCATATAATTTCTAAATTAAATTATTTATACTTGAATAACTTGTATTCGAGAAATATATTAAACACTAACTTATTTTTCCACAGGAACTAAAATTTTAAATAATTTTAATTTAAAAGCTTTTTGAAATTTATCTATTTCTAAAAATTTGTATTAAAAAGAATTTTTAACATTCAATTAAAATTTAAAATTGTAACTAAAATTCATTTTCAAATCAATTTTTACGAAAAAGTTCCACAAGAATTCACTTATTTAAGTACAAAAATAAATAATTGATAGAATAATTGATTAAAATTGAATAAGAATTTTCTCGAAATTTTTGAAAATAATTGATTTCTTTCAAGTAATTTTAATGAAACTTTTGAAAATAATTCTCGTATGACTTCAATTATTTAAAAAAATTGCAATAAAAATTCCTGAAAGAATTCAATTATTTTCATTACAATTTTAACAAAATTTCTCGAAAAAATATTAATTTTCTTCGAAACAATTAAATTATTTTACAAAAAGTCTTCGGCGGAATTCAATTATTTTTAAAACAATAAAAAAAATATTAAAAAAATATTAACAAAATATATTAACTTTCTTGGAAACAATTAAATTATTTACAAAAAGTCTTCGGACGAATTGAATTATTTTTAAAACAATTTAAATAAAAATTCCTTGATAGAATTCAATTATTTCAAAAAAGTTTCAAGAAACTTTTTGGAATAATTCAATTAATTTCATAAAAAATAAAATTTTCGTAGGAATTCAATTATTTTAAAAATTGCAATAAAAGTTCCTGAAAGAATTCAATTATTTTTAATGCATTTTAAACTCAAATTCACGAAAAAAAGTTTGATTTTCTTCGAAACAATTAATTTATTTTTAAAAAATTTGAATGCAACTCTTGTCAAGAATTCAATTATTTTAATAAATTATAAAATTCAATTATTTCCAATACAATTTCAATAAAATTTTGTGATTTTCTTTTTAAATTTTCATAAAATTTCATGAAATAATTAAATCATTTTCAAAAAATAAAATTCCTTCACAGAATTGAGTTATTTTCAAAAATTGTAATAAAATTCTTTAAAATAATTCAATTAATTTCAATTCAATTTTAAGTAAATTCGTCAAAAGAATTAAAATTTTTTGTTCAAAACAGTTGAAACTACATTTTTAGAAATTTTATTATTTTTTATTTAATTATTTTCTTAAAAAATAAAGTACTTTGCAGGATTTAAATTATTTTCAATTCAATTTTAATTAAATTTCTCGAACTCAATTAAAATTGTATTAAAAATAATTGAATTCTCGCGAAAATTTTTGTTTATTTATTAGAAATAATTGAATTCTCGCGAAAATTTTTGTTTGTTTATTAAAATAATTGAATTCTTCTAAATAAGTTTATCATCATTTTTAAAAATAATTAAATTCCAAAACATTTCCTTAAAATTTTTGTAAATAATTGAATTGTTTTGAAGAATTTCTTTAAATTTTTTTTAAATAATCGATTTTGTTAAAAATTGTAATTATAATAATTTTATTTTTAAGAAATAATTGAATTATTTTTTAATAATTGAATTATTTGAAAATAATGTAGTTTTTTTAAAAATAATTTTACTTGAGTTTGTTAATTATTGTAATTAAAGATTTTAATATTAAATTTTATTAAAATTTTTTTTAGAAATAATTGAATTCTTTTAAAGAATTTTGTTATTGAATAATTGAATTCTTGCGAAGGATTTTATTAAAATTTTTGGAAATAATTATTTCCAAAAATTCAATTGAATTTTAGAATAATTTTATGAAAATTTGAAAGAATAGTTTAATTATTTCTAGTACCTACGTATTAGCAGATTTAAATTTGTCAAAATTTAAAAAAAAAGAAGGTAAAAGTAGTTTTTAGTGTCACACATTTTAAAAAAAGTCTCCAAATAGTAGCTAATCGTAAAAAAATGAGCAAATAGTAGGTTTTAGTAGATGAGTGCAAAGCCTTAGATTAGAAAAAAGAAATTATAAACAATAAATTAATTATAAATTCAAAAAATCGAAAAAATTAATTTATTAAATAATTGTGGAAGAATTTACTAAATATTTAATTTAGAAATTATAAACTTTTAAAAATAGTTATTTTTATATAGATTTACTCCGGAACAGATGAAAGATGCAATTTGGGCAAATGAAAGATCACACGAGGCCTATGTGAAGAATTACAGTACCGTTTTTCCTCACGATCAACCATTGAGTGGGAGAAATTTCAAGACTGGTCCATTTCACAAGGTTTGATAGACGATTGTAAAAAAAAAATTAATTGCTCAGCTGCATAAATTCTCAGTTGAATAAAAATTGCTAATTATTTATTTTTGTACTATTTTTTAGTTGCTGGTAAAAGAGGGAGCAATAATGGAAGAGAGTCAAGGTTGGGAGAAGCCGGCCTTCTTTTTGGAAAATGAAAATATCACAATAGAGCCTTATGATTATTGTGGAAGTTATGGATCGTCGAAGAATGAAAATAATAAATATCCATCTATATTGGAGGGCGATTATCAATTCACATTTTCCAAGTATCACGATATTGTTAGTTTAAATTATATTTTTGAAAATTCACACAATATGTGACGCTAGGCAACAAAAAGTACCTTTCAGCTCTATTTTTATTTCCGATAGTTTTTGAGAAGCAAAAATCATTTCTCGTTACTGTTTAGTATATAAATAAATAAAACTTAAATTTTTAGATCAGAAAATTCAAAATCGAATACAAAATTTTAATTAATAAAGGAAACATGAACATTTTGTGAGCTAAGCTTCCGTCGCCGTGCGTCACATATTTCGAAATTGAAAAATTTGATATTGAAAATAATTTTTAATAATTAAAAAATAAAATACAGATAAAGGAAGAGGCACTCGCTTGTAGAAATAAAGCAGCCTTGTTCGATTTATCATATTTTGGTAAATTTTACCTTTGTGGTCCCGACGTTCAGAAAGCGGCGGATTATCTCTTTATTTCCGATACAAATGTCAAAATGAACGAGACCGTCGACACTTGTATGTTAAACGATAAAGGAGGCGTTGAAGCAAATTGCACCGTCACTGCTATTTCCGCCGGATCTGCTGGTGTTATAGATCCAATTTTTCAAGGAAAGGCACTCTACATTGGTAACTATAAAAAAAAATAAACAAATTAATTAATTAAATAAGATTTTGCTCTTTTCAAATTCCCTGACATTTCCAAGTTAAAAAATGGAATTTTTCCAGGTTTTTAAAACTATATTTTTATTTTACCAAATTAAATGACTCCCTGATTTTCAGACAAAACTTTGACTATTTTCCTGACTCTAAAGAACTTTATTTTTAAATAAATATTTAATCATTATTATTTTTCATAGAAATTAAGATTTTCAAAAGTTTTAAACTTTTGAAAATCTATATTCAAAGTAACAAGTTTTAATTATTATAAAACATGAAGAAAGCGATTAGTCCGAGTCGATACTGTAACTTTTTCAAAAATTATTTCCATTATTTCGATTATTCATTTCTAGAATTTTCAACTAAACTTCTTCTTTAAGTCAATTATTTTTTTAAAATAATTTTTGAAAAAGTTCTTTGAGAATTTTCAAATACTTTTGTTTACAATTTATTTTACGAAATTTCGATTATTCTGACATTCTTCAAAAAAATATATTATAAATTAAAAACTTCAAATAATTAAAAAAGAATTCATTTAAACTTTTAAAAAAAATTAATTGCATAGAATTCTTAATTAAATGTATGAAAGAAAATTCTACGAGAATTCAATTATTTAAATAAAAAAATAAATATTTTATTGAATAATTGAATGTTTGAGTAGGAAATTATCAACACTTTTTTTTAAATAATTGAATTCGTTTGGAAATTTTTAATAAAATAGTAGAAATTAAAAGTCATTGAATTCAGGAAAATAAATGCAGTTTTTTGAAAATAATTTTACTTCAGTTTGTTAAGGGGTTACGCCACCCTGAACGCATGAAAATCGGATGGTTTTTTAGGAATTTTTTTGATAAAACTGTTTCAGGTAGGACTTCTTTACATTTATTGATGCTTTAGTACATATATTGAGCTTTATAAATATTTAAAAAAAAAATTGTTTTTAATTAAAAATGGCGGAGATATAACTATTGGCGTGGATCAATTTTTCCGGAGCACTCCTTGATGGTGTACATGATTGGCAGTTCAATTTTTGTCAGAAACAAGTAAAACAATATTTTTCTTAAAAAGTGATAAATTTTGAACAGAGTGACGAAGCCATTTTAAAAAAAAAATTTTTTTACGCAAATGGAAGCACTTCAAAAATTGACATTTTTTTTTTGGCTAAAATTACCGTATAAAAAATTGGATAAAAAATTTTCAAATTATTCAATCAAAAAAATCCCACGTCACTCTGTGGAAAATCTATTTAGGAAGATGTATATTAATTTTCAAGTCAATCGATTGAATAGTTTTTGAGTTATCGTGTACACCGTCTCGAAAATTGTGGTTTCGAGAAAAACGCAAAAGAAGAAAAAAATGAACTTTAGTGTATTATAACTTGAAAATTTTTCAATTTACTATTTAATCAGCAATTCCTGGGCCATAATTTTTTTTATTTAAGAATGGAAGGGATACAATGAAAAGGACCCTTCCTAAATCATGAAAGGGCCCCCTAGACCATTCGAAAATAGAAAGTCGCTGCTTCCAGCAGCTCTCGGCGCGTCCCCACCGCGCTGACTTCTAATGACCATAACTTTTGTAATTAGTGAGACATTGTCTTCGGCGACATCTCAAAATATTCGTTAGAATATAAACTTTGAAATTAAGCAAAAAAAAAAAAAATAAATTTTTTTGAAAATTTCAGGGTGGCGTAACCCCTTAATTATTGTAATTAAAGATTTTAATATTGAATTTTATTAAAATTTTTTGGAAGTAATTGAATTCTTTTAAAGAATTTTATTATTGAATAATTGAATTCTTGAGAAAGATTTTATTAAAATTGGAAATAATTGAATTCTTGAGAAGGATTTTATTAAAAATTTTGGAAATAATGGAAATCCTGCCAAGAATTTTATTACAATTCTTGCAAATAATTGAATTTAAGAGAAGAATTTTATTACCTATTAATAAAAATAATTGAAATTTTGACAAGAATTTTTTTTAAATTTCGAACATAATCTAAAATTTTAACTGAAATTAATTTTTAAATAAATTTTTATTAAATAATTCTACGAGAATTCAATTATTTGAATACAAAAATAAATTATTTATTTTATATTTAAATGTTTCTTAAAACTGAATTCTCATAAAGAATTTTATAGGTACACAAATTTTTAAATAGTTGAATTCTTCTGACGAATTTTAATAAAATTTTTTAATTTTTAAATTTCTACGAAGAATTTTATAAAAATTATTTTGAAACAAATTGAATTGTTACAAAGAATTTTATTAAAATTTTTGAAAATAATTCAATTCTTTGAAGAAATTTAATTAAAAATGTATTTGAAAATATAGACAAAGGTTTTTAAAATAATTGAATTTCTTTGATAAATTTTAATAAAATTTTTAAAAGAGAAAATTTTTTTTGCGAGGAATTCCATTAAAATTGTATCGAAAATAATTGAAAGTATTCAATGAGTTTTATTATTTAAGAAAATAATTGAATTCCTGTAAAAAATGTTATTATTTATAAAAATAATTTTTAAATAAAATGAATTCCTGGGAAATTTTTATTATTTATGAAAACAATGAAATGTTTGCGTAGAAATTTATTAAAATTTTTTTTAACTAATTGAATTCTTTTAGGAATTATTATTAAAATAGTAGATAATAAAAATCATTGAATTGAGGATAGTTTTTGAAAATAATTGAATTTCTGAGAAGAATTTTTAAACTTTTGAAAATAATTGAACTTCTGGAATCATTTGTAATTGTTTCAATTAAATTTCAAGAATAAACACAATAACTTTAGAATACAACAATTTTCCAGGATTTCGATAAAAATTCCCTGACTTTTCCAGGTTTTTTCAAGGTTTAGAAAATTCCCTGACATTTCCAGGTTTCCTGGTTCCGTTTGCGTGGCAACCTTGTAATAAAAATATTTCTTAAAATATCCTTAAATGATGATAAATTTAATGCAGTCAGTAATGACAAATTCATTTTAATTAGCATTAAATTAATTATATTAAAATAATTAGCATTAAAGGTAAATTTAACAAATATTGACATTAATCTAATTATTAGTAACAAGTGGAATGTCCGCTTATCACACTTGGGCCCATATGAGAGAAATAATCAAGAGAAAAGAATTTCACGTCAGTTTACACACAGCAACTGATCAAATTGGAATTTTAAGTATTGAAGGTCCAGAGAGGTAAAATATTTTTACAAAAAAAAAAATCATTTTCTATTTTTTTTTTCTCAAATTATTAATTAATAATAATTAAACAAAAAGTTATTTAAAGTTAATTTCAGTCGAAAGATTCTGGAAAAAGTTGCTGACACTGAAATTGGTGATGAGGAATTATCATTTTCACATTCGACTTTAGTGAAAATCAATGGAAAATTAACAAGAGTTTTACGTTTCACTGAAGTTGGTGAACTTGGCTATCAAATTCATATTCCTTTAGATTCATGCGAAAGTGTTTATAATTCATTGAGACGAGCAGGTGGATCGTCACTAAAACTCGCTGGATTTAGATCTCTCTATAGTTTGCGAAGAGAAAAAGGTAGAAGTGAAAATTAACCAATTAAGTTATAATTAGGGCAATTAACTAATAACTATTTATCGAAAAATTGATCGAAATAATTGAATTGTCAGGATATCCTCTGTGGGGTTACGATTTAAGATCAGATGATAATCCAATCGAAGCTGGACTCTCTTTTATGTGCAGAAGAAAAGGTGCTTACTTGGGAAATGAAAAAGTAAACAAACTTAAAGAAAATGGAGTAAAAAAACGAATCGCCCACTTTTTAATCAAAGAGTAAGTTCCTTTAATCAAAAAAATGCTTCCTTGAGGAGGCAACAAAATTATTAAACGAAAGAAATTAATTATTTGAAATCTATTTCTTAATAAAGAATAAAATTTGTAAATTTTATTATTAGACAAATACCAGTTTGGGGATTAGAAACAATATATAGAAATGGAGTAATTGTTGGTTATTTGAGACAAGGAGATTACGCCTACACTCTAGAGAAAAGCATTGGTCAAGGGTGAGTGAATTATATAAATTGTCCCCGTAAACAAAAAAAATAAAAATTTCCTATATTTACAGATACGTCAGTCATCCAAAAGGCGATTTTGTAACAGACAAATTTTTAGAATCAGGAGAATATGAAATTGAAATTATGGGTAAAAAATACGAGGCACAATTGTATGTAGAAAGTCCTTTTGATCCCCATAATCACAGACTGAAAATTCAGTATAAAAATCCAAATATGTAAATATCAAGTTCAGAATATTTGTTATTGTTTAAAAATTCTTTTTTTTTAATTTCGAAAAATAAGGAAATTGTCAATAGATGTTTATAATAAAAGAAAATATTTCTCTTACCGTTAATTATCACTATTTTTTTTTCATCCTGCTAAAGGATTTGCGTGTATCGTAACACTATTTATTCGAGTCTCTGTTAGTGGTTTGTAATTTTTTGGATTTACCGGCAATTTTTCTAATTGATCCAAAGTGTCCATTCCGTCGATGACTCTGGAAAAAGGACAAAAAAAATCAATTTTTCAGTTTCGAAAAATATTGGGAAGATGTTTTAACGCAATTCTTCGAAAGAATTCAATTATCTTGGTAAATAACAAAATTCTTCTCAGAAATTCAATTATTTTCAAGAGTTTAATAAAATTCTTTGCAAAATTCAATTATTTTCAGGGATTTAATAAAATTCTTAGCAAAATTCAATTATTTTCAGGGATTTAATAAAATTCTTAGCAAAATTCAATTATTTTCAGGGATTTAATAAAATTCTTAGCAAAATTCAATTATTTTCAGGGATTTAATAAAATTCTTAGCAAAATTCAATTATTTTCATAATTAGCAATATTCATCAAACAAATTCAATTATTTTCATAATTAGCAATATTCATCAAACAAATTCAATTATTTTTTCGAAAGTATTAAAATTCTTCGCTGAAATTCAATTATTTTGAAAAATTTTTCTCCATTCAATGATTTTTAATTTCTACTAAAATTGAATTTTAAAAAGGTTTCAAACTCAAATCTTTGAAAATCGGAATTTTTCATACTTTTAATTAACAATTATGTACAACTAATTTTTATAGAAAAATTCTTATTACATTTTTTGAAATCATTCTGAATTTTTTATTTTTGAATATATATTTAATTAAAAAATTTCAGAATAATCGAAATTTATAGTAAATTTGAATTGTAAACAAGTGAATTTCAAAATTAATTTACGTGAACTTTCTTTATTTTTTGAATAATTGAATTCTCTACGAATTTTGTCAAATATAGTTGAAAGAAATTATAATAGCAATTTTGATAAATTATCAATTTTCAAAAGGTTTCAATTTAAAATTTTAGAAAATTTCGAATTTTGAATGATTTTAATTGAAAATTTTGTTGAACTTGGTTTTTGGAAAAATTTTAATTCAAATTCTTTTGAAATTAGTTCAATTTTTCAATAAATATTCAATTATTATATAAATAATTGATTTCAAAAAGAATTTTAGTTTGAAATTCCTGAAAATTGAATTGAAATCATGAAAATAATTTCCAAGAAGTTACAGAAGCAATTTTTATGAATATCAATTTTCAAAAGGATTCAGTTTGAAATTTTAGAAGATTTCAAATTTTGAATGAATTTAATTGAAAATTTTGTTCAACTTGGTTTTTTGGAAAAATTTTAATTCAAATCCTTTTGAAATTAGTTCAATTTTGTAATAAATATTTAATTATTATAAAAATAATTGATTTCGAAAAGAATTTTAGTTCAAAATTCCTGAAAATTGAATTGAAATCATGAAAATAATTTTAAAAAAGTTACAGTAGCAATTTTTATGAATTATCAATTTTAGAAAATTTCGAATTTTAAATGAATTTAATTTCAAATTTTGTGGAACTTGGTTTTTGGAAAAATTTTAATTCAAATTCTTTTGAAATTAGTTCAACTTTTCAGTAAATATTTAATTATTATAAAAATAATAATTTATTTAGAAAAGAATTTTAGTTAAAAATTCTCGAAAATTGAGAAGAATTTAGAAAATTTAAATTTAAAATTTAATTTACAGAAGTATTTTAGTGAAAAATTCCAGAAAATTGAATTAAAAATCATGAAAATAATTTCGAAGAAGCTACAGTAGAAATTTTCATAAATTATTAAATTTCAAAAGGTTTCGAATTGTTATTTTTGAAAATCTTAATTCATCATGGAAAAATAATAATGAATTTAGTATTTATTTAAAAAAGAAGTTATTCATATTTTCGAATAATTTTACATTTAAAGAAATTCTCAAATAAAAGTATTATTTTTATTTGAATATCTAATCAATTTTAGAATAAATTCATAATATATTTTAAGAATTAAGTAACAGGTAAATTAATAAAGTTACTATAATAATTGATTTCTAGAAGAATTCTCTGAATAATATTGAAAAATAATTAATTTAGAGAAGAATTTTCTGAAAATGATGAAAAAAATTTATTTAGAGAATAATTTAATTAATAATTTAGTTAAAAACTCTAAAAAATAATTGAATTTCGTAGAAGTTACAACAGGCAATTTTTTTTTCGAAATAATTAAATTTTTAATAAGTTTTCAAATTAAAATCTTTGAAAATCGTTAATTTTAATCGTTTTAATCAACAATTCTGTCAAACTAATTTTTTTTCAATTTAAAAAAAAAATTGGTTAATTTTAATTCTTTTGGGAAGATGACTTACTTTCCAAATAAAGTGTACTTTAAATCAAGGTGAGGCTGTGGACCGTATGTTATAAAAAATTGACTTCCGTTCGTATTTGGTCCATTGTTAGCCATCGAAACAAGACCTCTAGTATTATGCTTTAACTCCTCTTTAAATTCATCCTCGAATTTTCTATTCCAAATAGAGGTTCCTCCTTTTCCGGTTTGTAACGGATCGCCTGTTTGTACCATAAAACTTTTGATATTTCGATGAAATGTACAATTATTATAGTAGTCAATAGCGCAAAGTGCTAGGAAATTCTAAAAAAAAATAATGAAATTTTCAATGAAAGAAAAAAAAATAAATAAGTTTTAGTTAAAATCAAAAAAATATACCTCGCAAGTTTTAGGACACATTTCGCAAAACAATTCTATTTTAATGTCTCCTACGTCAGTGTGAAGTGTGACACTCTGTAATAGAAATATAACCTTTCAAATAATAAATTTGATATTTAAAAAAATGATATGTATTTTTAAAATACGTATTCAAGGTGCATGACTACAATGCTATGTATAATTGTATTAATTATAATTAAATTTTGTAATATAAAATTTAGATTGTCATTCAACAAACCATTATTGATGTCTATGGTAAATGTTTATTAGATTTATAAACTATCTACTTGATCAATATCTATTTTGAGGAAAATATTGAGATAAATAAAATTTAAAATAATAATTTTTGTGTCAAATTTGCGCACACACACACATTTCCTGTCACTGTACTACGGCGGCCATTTTGTATCACGTGACAAACAATGACGACATCATAAGTCAAATCAAGTACCATTTGCAATTTTGTCCAGAGAATTAATTAAAAGAAGAATACCACAATTGAAATCTATTCTCAATTTTATAATTTTTTGTTATACTAAAGTATAGTTATTAATAAATACTTCTATTTTAAGATATTAAATTAATAAAGTAGAAATAAAAGAAACTTGACTCAAGTAGTTGTATAGGACGCTTCTCTCGGCAGGCGCAAGCCGGCTTCCGGTTTTACTGGAAAATTTGTCCAAAAAAATTCCTCTCCGCAAGGGAGAAGAAACACCTGGTAAAAGTCTGAGAACTTTTTAAATCGTTGCCAAAAAGTGATTTTGATTATTAGTGGATTATTGCAAGTTGTCAATTTATTGATATATCCTTCGGGATTTGACGAGACAATTAGAACGAGTGGTGCGTCTGTGCGAGCCAAGTTCATTGGACGCATGACGTAATTGTATTGATCGCGGAAGAAGAGGCCGAGAGTCGCGCATTCGCCATCTTGGTCGATTTAGTTGGAGAGTAGAAGAGAGTTTGAGTGTGTATCATTCACAGGTGCGGTGAATTTATCAGTGGAACTGTAATCCGTGGCGATCCGTGCTTTAAGTAGTTTTATTGGGATTTGAACCCGTTTGTGAATTCGCCACCCATTTGGACGGACCAAGGTGAGTAGATATTTCCAGAATTTAACTTCTCCCGTGCCTGTAGTTTTCTTACGTGGAAGCTCCCCCCAGGTTACTTTCTTGGATCGCGGTTTTATTTCAATCGGGGGGGAAAATTTACTGTTATTTCTGATTAAGTTAAATGTACGGAACTTTTTTTGATTTTTGAAAACTGTTTTTTTTCGGATTTTTTTTTCTAGAGAGAGAAGCCATTGTTTTTCTTAGTGATTTTGACATTCGTGATGGATAAAGGGGGTTGGCTTCCGTTTTTTTCGAATTCTTTGTTTAGCGTCTGAATTTTGAAAGAAGCTTTTCAAACTTCAAGGTCGTTTTCTCCTGTCGCAAAGTCGATGTCGTTTGTGATCGCGAATTTCGAGGTCGTTGGACAAAGGTTTTCCGTTGTCGGCCAGCGAACTCCGCACCCCCCTCGGCAAACTTTCTTACGTTTTATTGCTCATATATTGCGACGCTCTAATTTTTTTTCTTTCACAAGATCAAGGATGTATTCTAAATTCTGTTTGGAAAACTGAATGTTTGGATTGATATTGAAAAAAAAGTTTGACAGATTCAATGCGTGTGTGAGTCGTGGAAACATCATTTAATTCACAGTGCTTAGTTTGCCTTTCACGGTGCGTCTTCATTTCAGAATTTTAAACTCCTGTCTTTCTGCTTCTCAATCTTTCTCTTTAATCAAAAATGGACTAATTTTCTTTTAGAAAAAGTTTCTTTCTTTTGTTGACAGGGAGTATAAATATTTTTGCCCTCTAGTAAAAAGAGGATAATTGGGTGAAAAATAATTTTCCAATTTTATTTAGAAGAACTTTTAAACTTTTACGAGTTTTTAATTTTTATTATAAGTACAATTTTTTTTACTCTTTTCACTTTCGATACGGATACAAAATGTCTCATTTACATATGACACTTTGTTTATTCTCGCCATTGTAGAAATGAATATATTTTTTATTTTCAAATTGTCATTGGCAATAGATATCAGTGTTGTTACGATAAAATGACGTGATAAGTACGAATGTCAATAGGAAAAATCTTATTTTCTTTTTATCTAAATTCTTCTAAAATACTAATAATTTAGTGAAGAAAAAGAGAGAGAGAGAGAGAGATAAAATAGAATATAAAGCTTTTGAAAGGCTAAAAACTTGAAAAATTCTTTTGTGTTTGTAATTTTATAAAATAAATCACAAATTTGTCGTGTTTATGACTCATCAAGGATGAACGCCTTTAGTCAATCTATCTGGAAAGTAATGCTCCAGTAAAACAATTCTTTTATTTAGTAAATCAAATCAGTATTTTGCCTTGAATATTCCAAGGTTACAATATTTTCAATATGCCTTATTGATACGTATTAAGTAGATTTAAATTCAATTACAATCTAGTTATCAAACTTAATTTTTTCTCTTTCCCTAATAAATATTTCACGCAATATTATTTATTATTCAAGTATTTAGTTTCAAACGTTCAAATTAACGCCAATTTTTACTTATTTTTATTTGCATTTTTTCATTAAAATTATATAGGAAAAATATTAGTTATAAACTAACATTTTTAATTTAAATTATTCTTTTTTTAACATCAATTTTGAAAAGTATTTTGAGAAAAATATTTTCCTTCATTTAAACGTTTGAAACTTGAGGAAAACGAAGTGATTTTAATCATCTTTAAGTTCATTCACGTTTTGAAAAAATCGGTTGATAGGAAACAGGTTTTTTGCTACTTTTTCTACACTGGTCAATTTTTGTTAATAATTTTTGTTTTTCTTTTCAGACAAAGGGTTCGTTCGTTGGGTCTGAGTAGTACTAAATGGTTGCCTGCAGACAGCATGTCTACTCTGTCGGGGATTGTGTCGAAGGGGGAGAAAGGAAAATCAAAGTTTCAATCTTTAGATATTAATAGTTTGTACCGCGTGAGCAGGGTGAGTATTCAAATTGCGCACTTTTTTTTTATTTTCAAAAATTTATTCATTTTCACCAGTAAATACTCGAATTTCTTTCGATTCCAGGCTTCGCGCTCATCTACTAAAACCTATTTACTACTTTTTTACGATTAGCTACTATTGGGATTATTTTTTTTTAATGTGTAACACTAAAAGCTACTTTTTTCTTTTTGTTTAATTTTCACAAATTTAAATCTGCTAATAGTTGAAATAATTCAACTATTCTTTCGAATTTTCATAAAATTATTCGAAAATTCAATTATTTTCAAAAATTTTAATAAAATCCTTCGCAATAATTAAATTATTCAATAATAAAATTCTTTAAAAGAATTTAATTATTTCCAAAAAATGTTAATAAAATTCAATAACAAAATCTTTAATTACAATAATTAACGAACTCAAGTAAAATTATTTAAAAAAAACTACATTATTTTCAAAAGATTTAAAGAAATTGTTCTATAAAATTCTTCTCAGGGATTCAATTATTTCAAAAGTTTTAACTTCGAAAGAATTCAATTATCTTGGTAATTTTCTCAGAAATTCAATTATTTTCAGGGACTTTAATAAAATTCTTTGCAAAATTCAATTATTTTCAGGAATTTTAATAAAATTCTTCGCAAAATTCAATTATTTTTATAATTAAATTAGCAATATTCATCAAACGAATTCAATTATTTTCGAAAATATTAAAATTCTTTGCAATATTCAATTATTTTCAGATATTTTAATAAAATTCTTTGCAAAATTCAATTACTTTCAGAAATTTTAATAAAATTCTTTGCGGAAATTCAATTATTTTCACAATTAAATGATTTTCAATATCTACTATTTTCATAAAATTTACCAAAAGAGTTCAAATATATAAAAATTTTTTTTATAAAATTCTACGCAAACATTTCCATTGATTTTTGTAAATAATAAAAATTTCACAGAAATTCAATTATTTAAAATAGAATTTGCATAAAATTTTACGAAAAAAATAATTATTTAAAATTTTTTTACAAAATTGTTCGCAAGAATTCAATTATTTTCACAAATAATAAAATTTTCCACAGGAATTTAATTATTTATAAAAATTTTATTAAAATTCTTCATAAGAATTCAATTACTTTTACAAATAATAAAATTTTTCACTGGAATTCAATTATTTGTAGAAGTTTTATAAAATTCTTCAAAAGAATTTAACATTATTTACATAAAAATAGTAAAAATATTTTCAAGGATTCAATTATTTTCAAAAATCTTAATTAAATTCTTCTTAGAAAGAATTGCATTTTTTTTTTCAAAAATTTTAAATAATTCAATTATTTAAAAAAATTTTATAAAACTCTTCACAAGAATTTAATTATTTTTAAAAATAATACAATTTTTCACTGTAATTTTATTATTTATACAATTTCAATAAAATTCTTCGCAAGAATTCAATTATTTTTACAAATAATACAATTTTTCACAGGAATTCAATTGTTTGTAAAAATTTTATGAAATTCTTCGTAAAAATTTTATGAAATTCTTCGCAAGAATTTAATAATTATTCCATGATAAAATTCTTTAAAGGAATTCAATTATTTTCAAAAAAATTGAAAAAAATTCAATATTAAAATCTTTAATTACAATAATTAACAAACTCAAGTAAACTTATTTATAAAAAAACTGCATAATTTTCAAAAGATTTAAAGAAATTAGTCAATAAAATTCTTCTTGGAAATTCAATTATTTCTTAAAAATTTTAATAAAATTTTTCAATTACAATTATTAACAAACACGATTATTTTAAAAAATTGAGAAATTTTTTGAAAAAATTTAATTAAATTCAAAATTTACAATAAAAAAAAACTAAATTTTCAATTAAAATTCCAAAAAAAATAATATATTTTCATTAGATTTAAAGAATTTAGTAAAAAAAATTTAATTAATTTCGAAAAGCACGATATAATTCTTTAAAAGAATTCAATTTTTTAAAAATATTTTAATAAACTTTTGTTAACTATTTAAAATTATGTAAAAGTGCGTAATAATGAAATTACTACCTATAATTACAATTTTTAAAAAAATCGATTATTTAAAAAAAATTGAAAGAAATTCTTCAAAACAATTCAATTATTTACAAAAATTTTAAGAAAATGTTTTGGAATTTAATTATTTTTAAAAATGATGATAAACTTATTTAGAAGAATTCAATTATTTTAATAAACAAATAAAAATTTTCGCGAGAATTCAATTATTTTTAATAAACAAACAAAAATTTTCGCGAGAATTTAATTATTTTTAATACAATTTTAAGTGAATTATTCGAAATAATTGAATTTTTCTTTTAAATTTTCATAAAACGATTTATTATTTATATATACATATTTAAAAAGTTTAATAAAACTCATTGCAAGAATTCAATTATTTTTAATACAATTTTAAATGAATTCCTCGAAAAATTTAATTATTTTCAAAATTAAAATTCCTTGAAAGAAATCAATTATTTTCAAAAATTTTGTTAAAATTCTCGTCAATATTAAAAATGTTCATTTAAATTTCGAATTAATTGGAAATATTGGCAAATTTAATTGAAATAAATTTTATATTTAAAAAAAATCTATTTTTTTACTTTCAAAAATTATTTTTAAAAATAATCGAATTTTTGAAGAATTCTAACTAAAAATTCGGAAAATAATTGAATTTGATAAAAATTTAGGATTGAAGTTATTATTAGGATGAGAAAATCAGTGAATATTTTTTATGGAAATCGGGGAAATATAGAATAAAATTTTTGTCTTTTTTTTTAATAGACTAAAACAAGTTTTTTAGTCGTCAAATTTATTTTTTTTCTACTTTTTTTTTAGTCTCAAAGACACTTTTTGCTACTTTTTTAAAACTATTTGTTGAGTGCGAAGCCTGGGATTCTTCTAAATTAATAAGATTACTATTTGAATTTATTACTATTTAAATTATTTTTTAATATCACAGTTTCTCTAAGGATATCAAATTGAGACAAAAAGCGAATCAAAATTGTTGCGATGCAACAATTTTGATTTGGTTTTTGTCTCAATATCCTTAGAAAAACTGTGATTTGAATGCTATTTGAAATTTGAAAACAAAAATGTTTCTTTGTAAACTATAGGGTGAATCTTTAGAACAACAGCAACAAAAAAGTACATTACCACGCAAACATGGAATGCAAAGTTTGGGAAAGGTGCCTTCGGCACGGCGACCACCTGCTAATTTGCCCAGTTTGAAAAGTGAACACAGCAGCAGCGATCCGGCTGTAAGTCTTGTACCAAGCGGTGGCAGCGGTTGGGCTACAACTAAAGAAGTTACGTCATCTACAAACACAACTACCACAATAGCAAACACTCTTGACAGCAATAATGTAATTATGTCCCCTAAAACTGTGTAATTTTTCTTTTCCCCATTTTTTTTCAATTTCCTCTAAATTCTCTTTTTTTTCAAACAATTTTTAGACAAATTCGTCCCAATCACAATGTGTAACTGGCACCAGTCCTTCATCAACAGTGACACAGCATCAGCCATTGCCAGGACAACAACAGAATTCAACATCACCACATCCATCAGACGTAGGAAACAAATCATCATGGAGTGCAATTATGAGCAGACCAGGAGATGTTGGTACGTGTTATTTCACAATTTTCTTTTCTATCTTTCTCTTCGTAGTATATAAATGCGATTGCCATTTTAGAAAAAAAAGTAAATTTTTTCTTGTAACTCAAGTCCGTTTCTGGACCAATTTTTGAAAAAAAATAAAATATTCCCTAGAGGCCTAGATATTGGTTTTTTTTTGACACTTTGTCAAGATTTGAGAAATCAATTCATTTTTGAGACTAACTAATTTTTTTTTGTATATGATGTGTAAATTGTAAATTTTTGAGACCTGTAGTCGAGAAGTCGTTTTTTTTTGCATTTGGCAATGTAGCGTTCTTAACGAGGCGACAATTAGAAAATGAATGAATGAACCAAAAAAAACTACATTGAAGTGCCGTTAAATTCTATAGACTTAAGAATTACAGATCTGAATAGAGATAAATTTTTTGAATAAACATTTTATCAAAGATGAACTGATAAAAATGAGAATAAAAAATAAATTTATTTTTGTAGTAACCAGGGTTGCTACAAAATCAGAAAATTTTATTAAAAGTACTGTAAAAAAATTAAATATTTAGAATTCATAAGAAAATTCTGAATTTTAGTATCTAACTTTGAAAATGTTAAGAATTCTTCTTAATTTATTTTGTTTGTTTTATGAACAAAAAAAATTTACAAAAAACAATTTTTTTTTATTTCTGACAATATTTGAACTTTACAGAATATGAAATTAAATTTATTTCAAGCAATTTAGTTCTTAAACTATTGTAAAAAAACACGAAGTTGAAGTCCACAACGTTTGTCAACGAAATAAATTTATTTAATGCATTCAAGTATTATTTTTAATTTAATATTTATTTGCAAAATAATTATTATCAAAATATAAACATCAATCTTCTTTTTCTAAATATTTTTTGACAATATTGCTGCGTATTTTTAATAAATTTACTAAGTAAACAATTTTTTTTCGTTGATCAACGTTGTGGACTTCAACTTGATAAAAAAGCTTATAAATTATTTAATGAATAATTTTACATGAAAATTTCAAAAATAACAGAATTTTATAAGCATTGCATTTATCCAAGTTGAAGTCCACAACGTTGATCAACGAAAAAAAATTGTTCAATTAGTAAATTAATTAAAAATGACGCAACAATATTGACACAAAAATATTTAGAAAAAAAAGATTGATGTTTATATTTTAATAATAATTATTTTACAATTAAATATTAAATTAAAAATAATACTTGAATGCATTAAATAAATTTTTTTCGTTGATAAACGTTGTGGACTTCAACTTCGTTGCATTTAAAATTTTCGTAAAGAATTGAACTTCAAAAGGTTTCAATTTAAAATTTTAGAAACTTTCGAATTTTGAATGAATTTAATTAAAAATTTTGTTGAACTTGGTTTTTGAAAAAATTTTAATTCAAAACTCTTTTCAAATTAGATTAATTTTTTAATATTGATATTTAATTATCATAAAAGTAATTGATTTAGAAAAGAATTCTCCAAAGATTATAAAAAATATTTTATTTAGGGAAGAATTTTCTGAAATATATTAAAAAGAAAAAAATATAATTAAATTTTACAGAAATTACAAATAATTGCAATTTCTAGAAATAATTGAATTTTGAAAACGCTTCAAATTAATTTGAATTTTTAATTTTTTAATATTTATTTAATTAAAAATTTTTCCAATAATCGAAATTTATAGTAAAATTGAATTGTAGAGAAGTGAATTTCAAAATTAATTTACGTCAATTTTCTTTATTCTTTAAATATTAGGATTCTCAAAGAACTTTGTCTAAAAAATATTAAAAATAATTGATTTAGAAAAGAATTTTAGTTGAAAATTCCCGAAAATTGAATTAAAATCATGAAAATAGTTTCGAAAGAAGTTTCAGTAGCAATTTTGATAAATTATCAATTTTCAAAAGATTTCAATTTGAAATTTTAGGAAATTTAAATTTTAAATGAATTTAATTGAAAATTTTATTGAACTTGGTTTTTTTTGGAAACATTTTAATCCAAATTCTTTTGAAATTAGTTCAATTTTTTAATTATTATAAAAATAATTGATTTCGAAATGAATTCTCTGAATATTATTGAAAATAAGGGATTTAGAGAAGAATTTTCTGAAAGTGATTAAAAAGAAAAGACTTAGAGAATAATTTAATTAATAATTTTGTTAAAAACTCTGAAAAATAATTGAATTTTGGAGAATTTACTAATAATTGCAGTTTTTAAAAATAATAGAATTTTGAAAACGTTTTCAAATTAAAATCTTTAAAAATCGTTAATTTTAATCTTTTTAATTAGCAATTCTGTAAAATTATTTTTTTTTTTTGAAAGATTTTATTAAAAACAAGAATTGGTTAATTTATTCTTTTCTTTTTTGAAATTATTTTGAATTTTTTATTTTCTAATTCATATTTAATTACAAAAAGATGAATTTTAGTTAAAAAATTCCAGAAAATTGAATTGAAATTATGAAAATAATATCGGAGAAGCAACAGTAACGATTTTTTATAAATTATCAATTTTCAAAAGGTTTCAATTTGAAATTTTAGAAAATTTAAATTTTGAATGAATTTAATTGAAAATTTTGTTAAACTTGATTTTTGAAAAATTTTAATTCAAATTCTTTTGAAATTAGTTCAATTTTTTAATAAATATTTAATTATTATAAAAATAATTGATTTAGAGAAGAATTTTCTGAAAATGGTTTAAAAAAAAATTGATTTACAGAATAATTTAATTAATAATTTTGTTAAAAACTCTAAAAAATAATTAAATTTCGAATAAGTAAAAGTAACAGTCAATTTTTAGAAATATGTAATAGAATTTTGAATAAATTTTCAAATTAAAATCTTTAAAAATCGTTATTTTTAATCTTTTTAATTAACAATTTTGTAGAAGTAATTTTGTTTTGAAAAATTAGTTAATTTTAATTCTTTTCTTTTTTGAAATTATTTTGAATTTTTTATTTTCTAATTCATATGTAATTGCAAAATTTCCTTATAATCGAAATTTATAATAAATAAAATTGGATTGTTAACAAGTGAATTTCAAAATTAATTCAAGTGAATTTTCTTTTATCTTTGAATAATTGGATTCTCAAAAAACATTGTTAAATATTATTAAAAATAATCGATTTCGAGATGAATTTTAGTTTGAAAATTCCAGAAAATTGAGAAGAATTTAGAGAATTTAAATTTAAATCTAATTTACAGAAGTCTTTTAGTGAAAAATTCCAGAAAATTGAATTAAAAATCACGAAAATAATTTCGAAGAAGCTACAGTAGAAATTTTCATAAATTATTAAATTTCAAAAGGTTTCGAATTGTTATTTTTGAAAATCTTAATTTCATCGAGGAAAAATAATAATGAATTTAATATTTATTCAAAAAAGAAGTTATTGATATTTTCGAATAATTTTACATTTACAGAAATTCTCAAATAAAAGTATTTGAATATTTTTTTTAGTATCTAATCATTTTTTAAAGTGAATCCAGAATATTTTTTAGAATCAAGTCTGTAAATCAGGGAAAAAGAAATTCAAATTTTGTTGCAACTCTGTGAAACGATCTAAAAATAATATTGAAAATTTACACTTAATAATTTAAATGTACATATCACTCATCCGACTTACAAGACAATCATTATACTTGACGCATGAATATTCTCTGAAACTTATTTCGAGTGGATCAATTTTATTTTTAATTTAAATTATTCGTTACTTATTGAATTGAATTTGTGAAATTTGTAGATTTGTAAATTTTTATCTTTTTTTCGAATTGAGGCTCCGCATCTTAAAAGGGCACTTTTACCATTTAAAATCAATGCTGAAAGTGCCCTTTTAAGATCCGGAGCCTCAATTGTAATTTTCAGGATAATATTTAGAAAGAATTGGGTTACATGAATTTTTTTTTATTGTACTGTAGAAAAAAAAGTAGAATTAATTAGCATGGTGTGTTGGAAAGTTTGTGATTTTGGATAATGATGATGATGATGATGATAATGATAATGATAAAAAAAATGAACGCTACCGAATGGCGAATATTGGAACAATGGCGTAATTAATAGGTCCACCCGTCATGACAACAGTGATCGGTTATGCGAGTCTCGTAGGGGGCGGGAGAGGGTCAAGAAGTTCCCTCGGACTGAGTTTCCTCGCCCATCAGTCCCCACAGTTCCAACACGAGTTCCCCAGTCTCAGTGGACAGCCCCCTGCTTCAGTCTCCATTCAGAGTCAGATCCAACAGTCCTCGATGACATCCAATGCGATCTCGGTCGCTGCTCTGCACCATTCATTGTTACAGCAACAGCCACTTTCCCACAACCACTCAGGTGGGACGTTACATTCCTGGCCAGTATTCTCCTAGATTCAGTTTTCATCGTCACGTAGAACTGCTTTATCCTTAATTCAAAAATAACCGTTACAAAAGTTTTAAACAAAAAAAAAAAAGAAATCTGAAAACTCATTTTTCAGAAGGGAACGAAATTTCCCATTTTTATTCAAATCGAAAGAGAAAATATCTGTCTTAAATTTTTTTTTATCGAAAACAAGTTTTGTAACGGTTCTTCCAAAAATTTCGTTTCTTCACGTGCATTTTTTATTTTCATAGAAATTGCATTATTGTATGTTTATTAATTTTATCTCTGATGAAATATTTTTTGTTTCCTTTCGTTTTATAGATAAGATTTTGTTCTTATCGTTTTTTTGTTTTCTAGAAAAAAAATTGTTTTTTGAGCAGATGCAGCTACCATCCCTTAACTCATCATCATTTAGAGAAATTTTTTTTTTATTTTTTTTTATTGATAAATTCCTTAATTTCATTACCTCTCATCTTTTCATTAACGAGAAAAATGATTATAGTTACTCGTGAGGACGCTGCTTGCCAAAAAAAAATTCGCCCTAAATTTTCTAAATGGAAAAAAGGAACGAAATAAAAAAAACCAGAATTAAACATATGGTTGATGCATCTGCTTTGTCAGAAGAGAAACATATGCGTTTATCAATTTTTTCTTTATTTTTGCTGTTCCATTTCAATTAGCGTTTTTTTATAAATAGCAAAATTGTCAATGTTTTTTTTTTACTATTTTTGAAAAATAAATTTTTTGTGTTAAAAGAGAATTTTTTTTCTTCTATTGACGTAAACGTAGGAGGTGGAATAGCAGGTCAGCAACAGCAACAATCTCAACAGAATCGAGAAATAAATGCACAATATGGTCCTGGGCCAAGTCTACGACCCCAAAGTACGTTTATGAACAATTTTGTTTTGTGATTGATTTCTCATTGATTGGTTGAAATTTATTCTCTTTACAACACAAGACAACGAAAAAAAAAAAAAGTAGAAAAAGAAAGTTTATTTTTTGTTGTAGGTATTTTTGTTTTCAATGTTTTTGAAAATATTGAGGATTTAATGTGGAGAATAAATTTGAAGCGAAAAGAGAAAGAGATTTTTCTTGATATTGTGGTTCAAGATTTAAAAAAAAAGAGAGATTTGCGAGGAAAGGGGAAATTTATTTTTTTATTGTATTTTACAGCCGAAGGAAGTTGGATTCAAGGTGGAAGTCGTGCAGCAGGAGGAGCTGGAACCGTGGCAGCTGGACCCGGAAGTGGGAATACTCAGGGGGCCCAGGGCCCCCTGATAAATGTCGCCTGTCCACCGGGACACACAGAGGGACCCACTGGAGGTCGTCCGAACTTGGCCCCATCTCCAGGCATGGCTATGGGCCAGGCAGGCCCGCCAAACAATCAAAGTTCAGTTCCCTCTGGTCCTCACCAAGTCGGTCCAAATATTCATCACTATCGAGGAATAATTCCTCCTTTTGTAAGTATTCTTTTTTTCTTCAAAATTTGTAACTTTTCTTCTTCTTTTTCAGGTTTCGCACTCATTTACTACTATTTATTCCTTTTTTTACGATTAGCTACTATGTGGATACTTTTTTAAAATTTTGACCACTAAAAAGCTAATTTTTTTCTTTATAAATCAAAATAAATATTGACTATAACAGGGAGGCTGCTGTACCGGGCAAACCGGGAAATGACAGTGAATTTTTATCTTGACCGGGAATTTTGAAATTTTTTGTTAAAAACACTGATTATTTTGTAAGAAAAAGTAGAAATATTTATTTTAAGACTTATTAATTATATTTCATTAAAAAAGATTAAACGATCTTTTATAAAATCGTTTTATCTTGCCGGGAAATTTTATCAAAAGTACCGGAAGAATATTCAATTTCTAGAATTTATAAGAAAATTATGAATTTTGTTGTCCAACTTAACAAACTATTTTTAAAAAATATTTCTCAAAAGAATTCAATTATTTTAAAAACATTTAATAAAATTTTCACAGGAATTCAATTATTTGAAATACAATTATCAAGAAAATTTTTCAAAAGAATTATTTAAAATAGGTAGTTTCAAAGAAATTATTTATTTTCTAAAATTTTGATAATTTTTTTCATAAATAATAAAATTCATCTCCAAGAATTCAATTATTTTTAATATAATTTCACATAAATTATTCAAAATAATTTAATTTTTTTAAATTTTCCAAAATTCTTCAAAAAAATTAAATTATCTACAAAAATTTTAATAGAATTATTCACAAGAATTCAATTATTTTTACAAATAACAAATTTTTTTTACAGAAATTTAATTGTTTTCTAAAAAAATTTAATGAAATTCGTTACAAGAATTCAATTATTTTCATAAATAATAAAATTTTTCACAAAATTTCAATTATTTTTAATACAATTTTAAATGAATTCCTTAAAAAATTTTCTATTTTCGTTGAAACAATTAAATTATTTACAAAATTTTTTATAAAATTCTTTAAAGAATTAAATTATTTTTCCAAATTTAACAAAAATTTTAACAGGAATTTAATTGTTTAATAAATTTAATAAAATTCGCTGCAAGAATTCAATTATTTTCATGAATATTAAATAAAATCCTTCAAAGGATTTCAATTATTTTTAATACAATTTTAAATGAATTCCTCGAAAAATTTTTTATTTTCTTTGGAACAATTAAATTATTTACAGAAATTTTTATAAACTTCTTGAAAGAAATCAATTAATTTCATAAATAATGTAAATTTTCGGAGATATTATATTATTTTTAAAACAATTTAAATAAAATTTCTTGATATAATTTAATTATTTGAAAAAATTTCTAGACAGAATTTAATTATTTTTAATACAATGTTAACTCAATTCCTCGAAAGAATTATGATTTTCTTGGAAATAATTTATTTATTTTTAAAAATATTAATAAAATCCTTCGCAAAAATTCAATTTTTTTTTTACAATTAACAACATTTTTCACAGGAATTCAATTATTTAAGAAAAATTCAATAAAATTTGTTGCAAGAATTTCAATTATTTTCAAAAATAATACAATCCTTCACATAATTTTAATTATTTTTAATACAATTTTAAATTAATTTCTCGAAAAAATCTCAGAATCTCAAAAATCTCAGAAGAATTCAATTAATTTCATAAATTATAAAAATTTTCGTAGGAATTCGATTATTTTAGAAAATTGGAATAAAAGTTTCTGAAAGAATTCAATTATTTTTATTACAATATTAACTCAATTCTTCGTAAGAATTTTGTTTTCTTCGTAACAATTAATTAATTTATTTTTAAAAATATTAATAAAATCCTTATCCAAAATCCAATTTTTTTTTACCAATAATAAAATTTTTCATGAGAATTCAATTATTAAAAAAAATTTAATAACATTCGTTGAAAGAATTTATTTTCATAAACCTAATAAAATTCTTGACAGAATTTGAATTATTTTTAATGCAAGTTCAAATAAATTTCTGGAAAAATGTAATTATTTTGAAAAATGTTATTAAAATTCAATGGAAAGAAATCAATTATTTTCATAAATTTTTATAAACTTCTTTATAAGTATTCAATTTAAAAAAATCAAATATTTTATTTTTATATTTTATTACTTATTTTTTTATTTAAATAATTGAATTCTTGTACATTTTTTTGGTATCGATTAAAACGAGTTTTTTTAGTTGTCAAATTTAATTTTTTGATATCTACTTTTTTACCACTTTTTTTTGTCTTGAAGCTACTTTTTGCTACTGTTTTAAAATTCATGAGTGCGAAGCCTGCTTTTTAAAAAATTGAATTTTGTCACGTCTGCAAGAAAAAAAAAACAATTTATAAATCTTTAAAAACAAAAATTTTAAAATACGTTTTTCATTTTTAGATGTATAGAGGAAACCTTCCTCCAGGAGGTTTTCCCTCGCAATTCACTGGAAATTTTGGACCCGGAGGTCCGCGACCTAGATTTAACTATCCACCGGAGCGTTTTGCGAACGCGCAACGCCAACAGCAATTACAACAGCAACAACAACAGGAACGGGATCGCCAAAATCCGCCGGACGAAGAACCATTGGTGACCCGACCAATTATTAAAGAAGAAGATCTTACAAAAATGGACGATATTTCTCGTGACGCTGGCTGGGCAGCTCATGATGTTATTGATTACAATCAGAAATTGGCATTCAGTGATGATGAACTCGACTCTGAGCCAATCAAGAAGGAGGAAAAGAAGGAAATAAAAGAGGAAAAGAATGAGGAAATTTTATTAGATGAACGTGATAAATTGAGAGATAATCGTGACAGAGAATCGAAGGATAATCGCGAGCAGCCGTCACTACGCACGTGGAATCAAAATACATCACCGCGCGATTTTCGCGGACCACCCAATCAACAAACTGGTTATTCTTCTCAGCAGCAGCAGCAGCAGCAACAACAACATCGCTCAAATCATTCTCTAAGAGGTAATTGAATTATATTCAACAGGGTTGTCACAGATTAGGGATATCAGGGAAAAGTCGGGGATTTTTATTAAAAGTACTGGAAAAAATTAAATGTTTAGAATTTATAAGAAAACTCTAAATTTTTGGTGTCTTTTTTGTTTGCCCCTTAAACTATGAAACCACCACGAATTCTAATACAAAACCTTCAGAATTTTCTTCTAATTCTGACTAGAATGAATTTTTTAATATTATTTAATTATTTCAAAAGTTTTAATGCAATTATTTTAATAAATAACAAAATTCTTTACGAAATTCAATTATTTTCATAAATAACAATATTCATCACAAGAATTCAATTATTTTCATCGCAGAATTTCCCAATATTTTTAATACAATTTTAAATAAATTTCTCGAAAAATGCAATTATTCTTAAAAATTTTATTAAAACTTGACGAAATAATGCAATTTTAAGTAAACATTTTATTATTCAATAAAATGATATCATTCGTTGCAATAAATACATTTTTTTTATAAATAACTTTTAATTCGTCGCAGGAGATCAATTATTTTTCCCCATAAAATCAATCATTTTAAGAAATTTTAATAAAATTCTTTTCTAAAATTCAATTATTTTGAAATGTAATAAAATACTTTTTGAAAATTAAATTATTTTCAAACTTTTTTAAAAATTCTCGTCAAGAATTAAATTATCTTTATAAATAGATTGCGAAATTCTTCTCAAAAATTAAATTATTGTCAAAAATTTTAATAATATTATTGGCAAAATTTTAATAATTTAAATTAAATTTAATAAAATTCTTCGCATGAATTTAATTATTTTCATAAATTTTTATTTAAATTCTTCTCAGAAATTCAATTATTTTCAAAAAATTTAATAAATCCTTCAAAACAATTTAATTATTTACTTAAATAGTAAAATCTTTGCAAAAATTCAATTATTTTCTATGAAATTTCACGAAAGAATTCGATTTTTTTCTTAAATAGCTTTAAACTCCTTCAAAACAATTAAATTATTTTTATAAATAGTAAAATTTGTTACAAAAACTCAATTATTTTTAATAAAATTTTATGAAAGAAATCAATTAACTTTAAAAATTTTTATAATATTTTTCAAAAAAATTCAATAATTTTCTAAAATTTTAATAAATCCTTCGAAAACAATTTAATTTTTTAAAATTTTTAATAAAATTGTTCTAAAGAATCCAATTATTTTCTATAATTTTAATGAGCTCTTCGAAACAATTCAATTATTTTCATAAGCAGTAAAATTCAACGCAAGAATTAAATTATTTTTTATGATTAATACAATTCTTCTCAGGAATTAAATTATTTTTTATAAATAATAAAATTCTTCTCAGGAATTCAATTATTTTAAAAAGTTGAAAAAAATTCTTTGTTTAATTCAATTATTTTGAAGATTTTCAATTTAAATTATTAAAAAAAACTCCATTATTTTAAACAAATTCAAGGACATTAATCAAAAGATTTTAATTAGGATTTTTAAGAATTTTACTAAAATGCTTTCGATAAAATTAAAATTACATATTCTCAAATTTTTTGATAAAATTCTTTGAAGGAATTCAATTATTTTCAAATTTTTTGATAACATTCATTCTCTTTGTATTTAAATAAATTAACTGTAAATTAACATTATTTTTCTTTAAGAATTCTTAAAGTTTTGAATAATTTAATTCAAAAATTCTAAAAGAATAATTGAATTTTGAAAGAATTACAATTGCAATTTTTAGAAATAATTCAATTTCAAAAGGTATTTCATTGAAATTATATGAAATTTTAATTCCTGTCAAAAAATAAATAAGGATAAGTTTTTGATTTCGAAGTTTTGAATAATTTGATTAAAAAATCCCGAAAAATTGTTTCTTGACTTTTTTGAGGAGGTACTTAAATTTTTTTTTAAAAATAATTGTATTTTCGAAAATAATTTTTAAAAATTGAAACAATTGAAAATTTTTTCAAATTTCATTGAAATAAATTTTATATTTTAATTTTAATTTTATTTGTTTACTTTTAAAAATTGTTTAGAAATATAATCGTATTTTTGAAGAATTCTAATTGCAAATTTGGAAAATAATTGAATTTAAAAAAAAATTTAGAATAAACTTATTACCAGGAGTGTTACAGTGATACTCAAGAGTTCAATTATTTAATCAAAAATATCTTACATTCAAGTTGCTGTTAGAAATATCTTTGCGATTTCTATATGAGTTGTTCAAATAATTAAATTTAAAGAAAAACTGTTAGAAAAATTATGTTTTTTAAAAAATGAAGAATTTTCATTAAAGAATTCATTAAATTCCAAAATGCTAATTTTTTAAAGTAACAATGGTAACGAAAATTTCACATATAAGAATATATAGAAAATACTAAACAGAGAAAGAAATAATATGAAATTTAGTAAAGTTATATTAAAATTAAATTAAATTTAATTTAATTTAAAAAAAAACTGTTAGAAAAATTATGTTTTCTAAAAAATGAAAAATTTTCATTAAATTTCAAAAGATTTGAATTTGAAATTCTTGAAAATCTTAACTCCTATGGAAAAATAATAATGATAAAAAATGTTTATTTAAAAAAGAAGTTGTTGATGTTTAGAGTTAGAGTGAATCAGAATATTCTTTAGTTGCAGGGAAAAAGTGAAAATTTTGTTAGGGAAAATCAGGGAAAAATAAAGTTAAATTTTTGTGGCAACCCTTTTCTAAAATTTATAATTATTTTGTTATTTGACTAAAATATTCTATTTTCTTCTTCAGGTGTCGAAGAAGAGGAAATTTGGAATCAGCGTCGTCGCGAGCAAGGCGAAAAAGTCGCCTCAGCTGTTGAACGAGCCCGTCAAAGAAAAGAGGAGGAGGAGAAACGCTATCAGGAACAAACGAAGCAGGCTGCAGCGAAAAAATTGCAAAATTTAGAGCAAAAATTAAAGGAGAAACAAGCAAAGCAGAAGGACGATGAATTGTCATCATCTGAGTCAAAAGGTCTAATTTCCGTGCCTCCAGTGTCAATTCCAGTGCCCGAATGGGAGCGAGATAAGGAAAATCGCGAAAGGGAAAGTCAGGAACGTTCTCGTACATCCTCGGAGGGTAAAGAAGAGAAAAGAGATTCTCGTGAGCAGGTGTCAAGTGAGTTTCGTGAAAGAGCTTCATTTATGAGGCAAGTAGATACTCCTCGCGTTGAACGTGAACGCGATCGTGAACAACGTGAACGTGAACGTGACCGCGATCGTGATCAAAGGGAAATGCGTGAACGTGAACCGCCAGCGTTCTCTCGACATTTTCAGCACAATCTACCGCCACGTTTTCAAAAGCAACAAGCTGAAAGAAGTGGCACCGCGTACAATCGAGTTTCATCAAATGCCGAGCGCTCTGTCTCGCAACCTGTCACTTATTCACAGCAAATTGAGCCCAACAGATGGGTTCCAAATCATAGCAATTCATTGAGTAGGTTGCCTTTATCCTCTATAATTCTCGAATTAAATACCTCCTCCCCTATTGTTTCATTTACAGGGTTGCCACAGATCAGGGAAAAGTCAGGGAATCTGACGAACAATCGGATCAAAAGTTAGTCCAATACAATTTCGTATTTTAAAAGAGAAGATGACATTAAATTTTAAATTCCTTTCGGTAGAAGCGTAAGGAATTTAATTTTCTATATTTTGAACAATTTAAAGTTATCTTTGAATACAAATTAAACTTTTTTGTCAATAGTAAATTGAAGTAACATAACCTAAAATTTAACAAATGTTTCTTATTGACAAAATTGTAATTTTTATTCAAATGCAACTTTCAAACGTTTTAAATGTTCAAAATTAAATTCGTCGCATTTCCACCGAAACGAATTTCAAATTTAATTTGTTTTTTTCTTTTAAAATACGAAATTATGACTTTTGTTTTAATTGTACGTCAGATTCTTCCTTAAAAGTACTGCAAAAAATAATTTACTTTTAAAATTCATAACAAAATTCTGAATTTTTAGTAAAGACGACGCTCTTTGTTGCATTTGGTAGAAATTCTGAATTTTTGTACCTCAGAAACTTTTAGAAATTACCACGAATTCTAATACGAATTCAATTTCTTCTATAACTGACAATAAGATAGATATAGAACAATTTTAGTTAAAAACTCTTAAAAAATGATTAAATTTTGGAGAAATTACAAATAATTGCAATTTCTAGAAATAAATAATTGAATTTTGAAATTCAATTTTTGGAAAAATTTTAATTTCAATTCTGTTGAAATAAGTTAATTTTTTAAAATGATATTTAATTATTTCAAAAGTTTTAACCCAATTCTTCGAAAGAATTCAATTATCTTGGTAAATAAGAAAATTTTCCTCAGAAATTCAATTATTTTCAGGAATTTTAATGAAATTCTTTGAAAAATTCAATTATCTTGGTAAATAACAATATTTTTCTCAGCAATTCAATTATTTTCAGGAATTTTAATAAAATTCTTTACAAAATTCAATTATTTTCATAATTAGCAATATTCATGAAACGAATTCAATTATTTTCGAAAATATTAAAATTCTTCGCGAAAAATCAATTATTTTTAGAAATTTTTAATAAAATTCTTTAAAATATACAATTATTTTCATAATTAGCAATATTCACGAAACGAATTGAATTATTTTCGAAAATATTAAAATTCTTCGCGAAAAATCAATTATTTTTAGAAATTTTTAATAAAATTCTTTGAAATATTCAATTATTTTCAGGGATTTTAATAAAATTCTTTGCAAAATTCAATTATTTTCAGGAATTTTAATAAAATTCTTTGCGGAAATTCAATTATTTTCACAATTTAATGATTTTCAATATCTATTATTTTCATAAAATTTACCAAAAAGAGTTCAAATGTATAAAAATTTTTTTTTAAAAATTCTACACATTCAAGTGATTTTTATAAATACTAAAAATTTCACAGAAATTCAAATTATTTAAAATAGAATTTGCATAAAATTTTACGAAAAAAATAATTATTTAAAATTTTTTTACAAAATTGTTCCCAAGAATTTAATTATTTTCACAAATAATAAAATTTTTCACAGGAATTCAATTATTTATAAATATTTTATTAAAATTCTTCATAAGAATTTAATTACTTTTACAAATAATAACATTTTTCACTGGAATTCAATTATTTGTAAAAGTTTGATAAAATTCTTCACAAGAATTTAATATTATTTACATAAAAATAGTAAAAATCTTTTCAAGGATTAACTTTTTTTAAAAAATTTTGATATAATTTATCTAGCAGAATTTAATGATTATTTTCAACACTCTTAATTAAATTCATCTTAGAAGCAATTCCAAATTTTTTTTATAAATTTCCTTTAAATAAATCAATTATTTTCAAGAATTTTTGGAAAAGTTTTTGCGAGAATTTAATTATTTTTCCAAATATTAAAATTTTCCACTATAATCCAATTATTTATAAAATTTTTTATAAGATTCTTCGCAAGAATTCAATTTCTTTTAAAAATAAAATTTTTCACTAGAATTCAATTATTTGTAAAATGTTAATAAAATTCTTCCCAAAAATTAAATTATTTTCATAAATATTAAAATTTTACACAGTGATTCAATTATTTTCAATAAATAATAAATAAATTTTTAGGAATTCACTTATATGTAATACAATTTTAAATGATTTCCTCGAAAAATGCAATTATTCTTAAAAATTTAATCAAAATTGTTAAAAAGAATTCAATTTTAAGAAACGTTTAATTATTCAATAGATTATTTATTTTTTTATTTAAATAATTGAATTGGCCTACAATTTTCTGATCAAAATGCAATTAAAACTGAATTTCAGTTATAGTTTTAGATAATAATTAAATATATGAAGTATTATAGAACGAATTTTTAGAAATAATTGAATTTCGAAAAGGTTTCAAAAATAAAATCTTTGATAATTTGAATTTTTCATACTTTTATTTTCAAATATATATTTAATTGAAGAATTTCCGAATAATCTAAATTTCTGTAAAATTTAATTGTACAAATGGATTTGAAAATTGTCAAAGAACTTTGTCGAAAATTATTAAAAATACATAATTGATTTAAAGAAGAGTTTTAGTTGAAAATTCTAGAAAATAATAATTGAATTGAAAAGATATTTATTTAAAAATGAAGTTATTGATATTTTCGAATAATGTTACATTTAAAGAAATTCGCAAATGTATTAGAACATTTTTCGTGAGTATCTAATTATTTTAAGAGTGAATTTAGAATATTTTTTTGTAGTCAGGGAAAAAATCAAAATTCTCTCTCGAAATGAGGGAAAAGTCAGGCAAAAACAAAATTAAATTTTTGTGGCAACTCTGTTGAATTTTCTCTCTTTTTTCCGTCATTCATTTACTCATTCATTATTTATGATTGCTACATTTAATTTACTAATTTCGTTATTTATGATTGCTGTTATTAATTTTCTAACTCGTTATTTTTGATTGCTGTTTAATTTACTAATTCGTTATTTATTATTGTTTATTAATTTTTATATATTATACTATAATTGGTTGTTTATGATTGTTTATTAATTTACTTATTCGTTATTTATGATTTAGCAGATCCGATGAAAATGTCGCATACGATGCCACAGCCCCCACGTCGCAGTAAGGATTCAGATGTGAACAGTTCTTTGGAGGATGAGCGTCCACCTTCACGTGATCATCGTGGACCGCCAAATTCAAGAGACGATCGTTATCGTCACACATCTCATCGCTCTTATGACAATCGCAAAACTGGTGGTTATTACGACGATTACTCACGTGGCTATAAAGATTACGAATATGAGGAGAGACATTCACGCGATTCCTGGGAACGCGACAGACACTACGATGATAAAGATAACAGGGAATCGAGAGACGCGCGAGATCGTGAACCTAGAGACAGAGATAGTAGACACGGTGACAATCGCGATGTTCGCGATAGAGACGTTGTGAGAGACAAGAAAGATTATGATCCTCATATGAAGGTAAATGATTTTCAAAAAATATATTAATCTTCTACTTTATTTACAAGGTTGTCACAAATCAGGAATGTCAGGGAATTCAGGGAAAAGTCAAAGATTTTTATTAAAAGTATCTACATTAGAAATTTTAAAGAACTTAGTTTTTTGAAAAATTATAATAATTCAAATTCTTCTGAAATTAGTTAAATTTTTTAAAATATATATAATTAATTATTAAAAATAGTAGATTTATAGAAGAATTTTAGTTAAAAAAAAAGCAAAAAAAAGAATTGAATTTTGGAGAAGTTAGAAATAATTGCAGAAATTCAATTATGTTCAAAAATTACAAAAAGTTCTCGTCAAAATTTCAATTATTTTCAAAAGTAATACAATTTTCCTCCGAAATTCAATTAATTTCAAAAATTGTAATAAAATACTAGGCAAAATTTAAATTATTTCTCAAAAATTTTCCTCAACTCAATGATTTTCAATCTCTATTTTAATAAAATTTTACAAAAAAATTCAATTTAAAAAAAAAATTGTTGACAAACTTCTTCGCAAACATTTAATTATTTTCATAAATAATACAAATTTAACAGGAATTCAATTATTAACAAATTCTTTATAAATTTCTTCGCAATAATTCAATTATTTTCATAAATAATAAAAGTTTTTACAGGAATTCAATTATCTTGATAAATAACAAAATTCTTTATAAAAATTCAATTATTTTCAGGAATTTTAATAAAATTCTTTATAAAATTCAATTATTTTCATAAATACCAATATTCATTTAAAGAATTTAATTATTTTCAAAAATATTCAAATTCTTTGAGAAAAATTTAATTATTTTCAAAAATTTTTATGAATTCAATTATTTTCAATATCTTCTATTTTCATAAAATTTACCAAAAGAGTTCAATTACTTAAAAGTATTTTTTTTTATAAAATTCTGCGCAAGCATACAATTGATTTTTATAAATAATAAAAATTTCACAGGAATTCAATTATTTAAAATAGAATTTGTTTAAAATTTTTCGAAAAAAAATTAATTCTTTTAAAAAATTTTACAAAACACTTCGCAAGATTTCAATTATTTTCACAAATAGTAAAGTTTTTCACTGGAACTAAATTATTTATAAAAATTTAATAAAATTCTTCACAAGAATTAAATTATTTTCACAAATAATAAAATTTTTCACTGAAATTCAATTCAATTCAATTCAATTTTTTAAAAATTTCTTCCAACCAATTCAGTTATTTAAAAAAATTTTGACAAAATTTTTTACAAGATTTAGTTAATAAAATTGCAATTTTAATAAAAAATTTTCTATACAATTCAATTATTTTCAATACAATTCTTCTTAAGAATTCAATTATTTTCACAAATACATTTTTTTATGGGAATTTAATTATTTAAAAAAAATTTCCTTGAAAATTCAATTATTTAAAAAAATGTTAATAAAATGCTTTATAAATTTGAAAAATTATAATAAAATTGATCATAGAATACAATTATTTAAGAAATTTTAATAAAATTCTTTTCAATAATTCAATACTTGAAAATAATTATTTAATAAAATTCGTTGCAAGAATTCAATTATTTTCATAAATAACAAAACTTATCGCAGAATTTCAATTATTTTTTATATAATTTTAAAATAAAATGATAGAAAATTGCTTTTATTCTTAAAATTTTTTCAAAATTTGCGGAAAGAATTCAATTGTTTTTTAAAAATTTTGATAAAATTCTTCATAAAAATTAAATATTAAGAAATATTCAATTATTTAATAAATTATTTATTTTTTTATTAAAATAATTGAATTCTCGAAATGTTAGGAAAAAAAATTTTTTGTCAGGGAAATTTAGAAAATTGAGATTTTTTCAACTCATTTTAAAAAATTGCGACTTTTTCGACTTTTCTTACAAATATTGCAACAAAATATCATGTTTTTACTATTGAAAGTAACTCATTTCGATTTTTATAGAGCAAAAAATAACTATAAATAAATTTTTAAAAAATTATTTTTGAATCATTTTTCTATTTTAATTTTGAAAATATACAGTTAAAAAGATTTTGAATAATTGAAATTTTGTAAAATTTAATTGAAAATAATTATTTTCAAGTATTTTGTTAGAATTTTTGAAAATCAACTTTTGAAAAATTTTAATTGCAAATTTCTAAAATAATTGACTTATCAAAAGTTTTAATGAAAAACCTTTAAACGTAAATTTAAAAATAAAAATTAATGAAAATTAAACTTCTAATTTTTTTTTAAATTTAGTATTTTCAGTACTTTTAGAATTATTTCTAACATTTTTGAGAAAAAAATCATGTTCAAAATATTTTATTAAAATTCATCAAAAAATTAATTAGTTTTTTTAAATAATACAACAATTATTTTAAGAAATTCAATTATTTTCGAAAAATTACATTAAAATATTTTTAAAAATTGCTTAATTCTTAGAATTTTTTATCTTAATTTCTTTAAGATTTAATTATCTTCGAATAAAGCAAATAAAAATTTACTTTTTGGACTTATTAAAATTTCAGAGAAATCATGGTCATATTTACAATTAAAATTCTTTAAAAATTTGATTACTTTTTTGAAAATATTATACCTTAAAAAACTGAAGAAAAAACATGGACAGTTATAATTATTATAAAAAATTGAATTTTTGTATTTAAATAATTTAATTCTCGAAGAACTTTCGGAAAATTATTGAAAATTAATATAGATAATTGATTTAGAGATGAAGTTTAGTTGAAAATTATAGAAAATAATTGAATTCAGGAAGGGTTATTAGTTGTAATTTTTAGAAGTTATTAAATTTCATAAACTTTACTCATTTTCCGTAAATTTTCATATTTGCCTGTAAAAAAAATTTTGTCAGGGAAAATAATTGTAATGTCAGTAAATTGTTAGGGAAATGTCAGGGAAATTGATAAATTGAAACTTGTGACCACCCTGAATTATTAAAATTCATAAATTTTCCTCATTTTCAGTAAATTTTTACATTTTCCTGTAAAAAGAATTTTGTCGGGGAGAATAATTTTAATATCAGTAAATTGTCAGGGAAATTGATAAACGGAAACTTGTGACCACTCTGTAAATTTAAAACCTGATTTAATAAATATAATATTTAATTTATTCTTCATTATTATTATTTTATTTTAGGTTTCAAGTGCTGGGCAAGATTCCTTCGATGAGCGTGATAATCAACGTGAGAGAAGCGAGAGTGCCGAATGGCGCGATGATCGTCGTGATCTTCATGATGATCGGAATCTTCAAGATAGATCGTTTGAAAATCGACGTAATATTGCGAGAGACGATCGTTCAGAGAGAAGTGAAAGAAGTGAACGTAGCGAGAGTAGACCACAGAGACCAGATTCACGTGACAGTCGAACATCACGTGAATCAAGAACTTCATTGCGCGACGAAGATTTTTCAAAATCACGTGACAGTGGTTCATGGATTAATGATCTCTCTGATTATGAGGAGAAAAAATCTGATATTTTCCGTGAAGATATTAGAGAGCGTGATAGAAGACAACCACCAGGTCCAGTGACAAGGGAAAAACTCGAGGCTGATGAATTGAAATCGGAAAAACGTTGTCTAACACAATTGAAACGTGGCTCTTTGGAGCAGGAGAAGAAAATTGATTCACTGAAAGATTCATCGATTGAATCCTCATTGAAGAAGGAAACGGAAGTTTGGAATAGAAAATTAGAGCGCACTTCTGATAATAATCGAAGTAATGAGAGTTCAAAAGCGTGGGCCGACGCTGTTTCTCCGACATTCGAGAAGGAGGAGGAGAAACTCGAGCCTAAGGACGATAAGGTGATTACTGATTTGAAACAAAGTATGGAGAAATTAAGTGTTGATAAAAGGGACGATACTATTGAGGAGAGTAAGGATGATAGTAAAGATGATAAGCGGGATAAATCGTCGAGAAATCGAGCGAATAGTGGAAGTTCCAGAGGAGGCAGAGATTCTAGAGGAAGACAATGGGGTGGTTTTAATGTATATAATCAACGTTGGCGTGGTTCTGAAACTAGAGGCCGAAGGGGTGGTGGGAGAATTTCCGGAAGACCCGGATCTGCTAGAAGTGGATCTTATGGACATACGGACTCGGAAATTAGTGGAGACGAAGTTTCGAGCTCCGCGGAATTACCAAAGGAGGAGAGAAGGCCAAAGTCGCCGAAACCTTTTCAAAAAGGTGAGAAGGAAGATCGTAATCGTGAAATGTCGAGGCGTGATGATAAACGCAATGATTATTCACAAGTTCGAAATGACAAGCGACCTGGCTATGATGGAAGACCGACTCGCGAAGGTTTTGCACCGTCGGGTGAACCTTCACGACGAGGACGAGGTGGTTATAGAATGAGGGGAGCAACCACTGGCGGAAGAATGGAAGGCTATGGTCCACCGTCAAGCAAAAGTCCCTTTTCATCAGAAAGAAGTATCGACGACAAAAATGTTGGACAACAAAATCCAACTTCCACTACTCCCCTGTCTGAAATTGATCCCAACAATGTGAATAGTCTGGAATCAACGGACGACAAAACAATCGCTAAACAACAAGCCTTAACTGCTGGAATCACTGGAAGACATACAAAATCTCCAAATCAACAGACAGTAGTGAAGCAGGAGAATCATACGAATCCCCCGAGAAATCAAACCAGAAAGGACGAGACAAGACCCAAACGGAACCACAGTGGAAATCGAAAGGTGAGCGAACGTTCAGACATTTAACAGAGTTGCCGCAATTAAGGGGAATCAGGGAATTCAGCGAAAAGTTAGCAGGGCTGGAACTAGAACTTAGAAATTCAATTATTTTTAAAAGTAATAAAATTCTTCGCAGAAATTCAATTGTGATAAAAAATGTTTAAAAATTCTCGTCAAACTTTTAATTATCTTTAGAAATTAATAATTACATTCTTCTCCAAAATTCAATTATTTTCCAAAATTTTCCTCAATTCAATCATTTATAATATCTACTGTTGTTTGTTTTTTGTTTCCTAAATTTTTTAATAATTTTTCTTTTTAAATATTTTTTTCAATTTTAAAATTAATATATTAAAAAGCATTGAATTCTTGCAAAGAATGTTATTATTTATGAAAATAATTGAATTCTTGACAAGAAGTTTATTAAAAATTTTGGAAATCCTAATTCAATTCTTTTGAAGAATTTCTTTAAATTGTTTTAAATATGTAATGGAGTTTCTTTAATAATTTTAATTGAAAGTTTTGACAGTAATTGAATTTTATGAACAATTTCTTACAAGTTTTTAAAATAATCGTGTTTCATAATTGAAATTAAACGATTAAATTATTGAATTTTATTAAAATTTTTAGAAAATTATTAAATTCTTTTCAGAATTTTATAACAATTTTCTAAAATAATTTAATTTATTTAAGAAATTTTATTAAAATACATAAATTAATTTAATTCTTTCGAAAAATTTTATTAAAAATTTTTAAAAATTGAATTGTTTCGAAGGATTTTAAAAAATTTTACAAAATAATTGAATTCTTCTGAAAAATTTTATAACAGAAAAAAATTGAATTCTTTCGTTAAATTTTATTGAAAATAATGTAATTTTTGCAAAGATTTTACTATTTATAAATATAATCGAATTGTTTCGGAGGATTTTTAAAAATTTTTTTATGGAAATAAATTACACGAAATAAATTCAATTATTTTCAATCCAATTGTAATTGAATTCCTCGAAAGAATTTAGCTATTTTCCAAAATTTTAATAAAATTCTATGCAAAAATTAAATTATTTCAATACATTTTTAATGAAATTTCTCGAAAAAATTCAATTATTTTTAATCAATTTTAATAAAATTCTTGGAAAAAATCGAATTAGTTTTTTTAAATACATATTTAAAATCTTTCGACGAATTCAATTATTTTCAATAAAATTTTTCATGAAATTCAATTATTGTTTAAAACTTTATTAAACTATCAAAGAAAAAAATTATTTATTTGCAGAAATTTTGAAAATATTCTTCAGAAGAATTCAATTATTTTCAATTCTATTATTAATAACTTTTGAAAATATTTCAATTATTTTCATTAATAATAAATTTCTTGAGAAGAATTCAATAATTTCTTCATAAATAATAAAATTCTTCTCAGGAATTCAATTATTTTCGTTAATTTAAAAAAAATTCTTAATAGAATGCAATTATTTTGGAATATTTTTTGTAAAATTCTTTTGGAGAATTCAGTTCTTTATTAAAAATTGAAGTAAAATTGGTTTTAAAAAATCAATTATTTTCAAATCAATTTCAATTAAATTCCTCGAAAGGATTTAATTATATTATAATTATAAAAATTAAATTTTGAAGAATTTTAATTGCTAATTTTTAAAATAACTAAATTCTCAAAAAATTCAATAAAAAAAACTTTAAATAAAATTTTGCTCCAGAGAATTTTAATTGAGTTAAATAAAAAACATTTTATATAAAGAAAATTTTAATAAAATTCTTTGCAAGATTTGAATTATTTTCATAGATATTATAAAATTTCTGTAAAGAATTTAATTATTTTAAAAAATTGTTATAAAGTTTTTTATAAGTATTCTATTATTTTCAATACAATTTTAATTGAATTCCTTAAAAAATTTTACAAAATTTACATAAAATACTTGCAAACATTTAAATTATTTTCACAAATTTTTATAAAATTGTATGTAAATATTAAATTATTAAAAATTTTCAATTATAAATAGTTAAAAGATTACGTAAAGTAATGTAAAAATTAACTATAATAATAATTAATTTACAAACTTATCAAAATTTTCAAATTTGATATTTTATGAAATTGCCTCGCAAACAAGTGAATTTTAGAAATATTTTAGTTTTAGGTGAACATTTTTTTAAATAATTGAATTTTTATGGAACTTACTCGAAAAAGTATTAAAAATAATTGAGTTAGAGAAGAGTTTTAATTGAAAATTTTAGAAAATAATAATTAAATTGAGATCTTGAAATTAATTTTGTCAAAAGTTACAATAACAATTCTTATAAATTATTGAATTTCAAATGATTAAAAAATTTTTTAAAATCTAAATTCCTGGGAAAAAATAATAATACAGTCGAACTTGATGGAATGGATCTCTATTTAAAAATTTTTTTTGTACTCAAAAATGTCTAACAAGAATTATTTTCACTTAGTTCCAAAATATTGCAAAAAATAGTATAAAATTAAATTATAAAACAATTTTTTAAGGATTGTTTGCTGTAATAAAATTTAAAGGATGGAGTTGCATTTCGACAGGTTTCACTGTAATTAAATATTTATTTAGAAAGAACCGTTGATGTTCCGAATAAAATTAAAAATTTTAAATTAAAGATATTGAAAAGTAAATGTATTACAAACATTTTTTTGTGTTTCTAATTATTATTAGAGTGTACTAAAATGTTTTCTAGGGTCAGGGAAAAAAAGTTCTATCTGGAAGTCAGGGAAGAATAAAATTAAACTTTTGTGGCAACCCTGATTAATATTTTTTACCTTTTTCAAATTATCATAAATTAATAAAAAAAAATTTCTTGCAGACAAGGGACATGAACAGAGAAACACGATTCCGTGGCGGTGTTGTCGTTGGCACTGGTGGCAACAATATTTCAAAGCAGAATTCCTCTGACATTGGCAATGAAGATTGGGAAACAACTTCCGAAAACAGTGACGAACATATTGATGATAGAAAAGACGCCCGCAATAATCGTAAACCATTCAGCAGAGGTGGTGTTGGTGTTGGTGGTGGTGGTGGTCAGAATCAAGTTCTTGGTTCGCAATCACGTCGAAATGATCAGTTGGGCAATAATCGCGATCAACGTGGTGAAAAAAATCCAAAGTCTTCCAGCGGTGCCTCGTCACGTGCTCCGGGTGCTGAAAAACGAAATGTTCAAAATACAGCCTTCAACAATCAAAGAAATAATTCTGCAAATATTCCCCCATTGATGCAAAATGTACAAACACAAAACGGCCGACCAAGGAGTCAAGGCTCAGCGAATGCTCCACTATCCGTGAAAACAATGAATAAGGAAAGTACCGTGAATCGTGTCGATGAAATAAAACTCAACGATCCAAATCTAGTGAATCAAGCGCTAAACGACATAAACAAAAAATCAGTCGCCAAGGATAAGAAGAACGACAATGAATCCGATACAAATAATTATTCAACCGGCGGCGATGAAGTGAATAGTACAGAAGATAAAGTTGATTCCGATGGTTTTCAAGAGGTACGTTCCAAGAAAAATGTCAAAGATTCAAGACAAAAGGAGGATGTGAAAACGACGAGACGCGACAAGGATAAGGAACGTGAGCGCGAAAGATCGAAATCAAAATCAAACGGTCCACAGCAACCGACGCCTCAGCAAGTTCAAAAGATTCCAACTCTATTGGGTCAACCAATCTTACCGCCAGCGAATATGCCGCAAAAATCATTTGATCGCAATACAAGTCGTCAAAAATTGGCCCCACGCTTTCAAAAGCAACGTTTGGCCAAACAACAGCAACAACTCGGCAGCGACAGTGAAGGAAAGTCAAATAATTCCGGTAATTACATGAAGGACTCAAGCGGAGGACCAGCGCCACCGCCTTCGGTTAATGCCTGGGACAAACCATTCACAAGTCAATTGAGAGCAAATTCACCATCCGGAGTTTCAACCGACATTCAATTAATGTCAGGACTCGCCACTCAAGCCGATCACGTTCACGAAACAAATGAACAAACAACATCCGGCGGTAGTAGCCAACGTAATTCGCCAAATTGCGAGAAAACCGGAAAAATTGGCAAAGAGGAGAAAAATGTCACCGACACAAGTTCACCACCCGTTCAAACTTTAATTTTCGAAAATACCAATTATTCCAAAACAACGAAAACAAGTTCAGCTGATTTGGCCATGAAATCAAAATACTCAAATCACATGAAAACGCAATCGAGAATTGATAAACGGAGCGATATGGATGATGATGGTAATATTCAGCAGCAGCAACAGCAACAACAACAACAGGCCCTCTCCGCCGCATTCTCCACTAAACCTGGTGATATAATTAAAGAAAAGAATCAGGAACCAATTCAAATGCCTTTGTCTTTTAATAAAAGTGAGGATAATGCAGACATGAAGCTGGACTTTACGTTTGATTCGGATCTCTCGCAATTAACTGAGGACAAGAGCAAGAGTTTGGGAATGACAAGATCGATACATATGACCGGTGGTCAAAGTAGTTCGACAGCTGAATTAAATTTGAAAATTGCATCGGTTAAGAAAGTTTGGGAGAATGCGCCACCAATGCCAACTGTTGTTGAGCATGAGGACGGCAGTGTTGTCAGTAATGCCAACAGTTTTCCACAGGCATTCGAAAATAATGACGATGACAATTACAGCCACCAACAGTATAATCAGAATAATATGAAAAATGAAATTGCAACCTCAACGAATGTTTGCAAGGTGAGGGAAAAATTCTCTTGTTTTTTAATTCAAATTTAACTAATTTTTTGAGAATTAAAAATATTTGCGACGCGCTCTTAAAGATATTTGGAAGTTAAAAGATTTCTTTAGCCTTTTTTTTCTTTTTATTATTTTAAGAAAAAAAATAATAATTTTAATAAGGAAAAAATAAGATAAAAAGCTAAATTTAAATATAAAAGAAATGATGTTTTTAAAGAAAATACTATTTTTTTACAATTGTTTGAACTGGAACTTGTAAAGTAAAAATAAGAAACAACTTTAAAATACTGAACTAAAAAATATTAAACTTTAAAAATATTTGTATCTTTTTCAAAGTGCGTCACTTTTTAAAATATAAATCATTTTATTAAATTCCTTTAGCTTCGTAACAATATTAACATTCTTACACTGATCACAGTTTTTTTGCATTTGTTCCAAAATTGTGACGTCATAATGGTTCAAAGTTCCTTTAAATAGGAAAAAATTTTGATTTTGATTTTTTTTAAAGAAATGAGACTGTGATGAGTGTAGAAAAAAAATTGATTTAGTAGAAAAGTATTTTTGCGGATTGTAAAAAAAAATTGTAGTATAAAAATGTAACTGTGTCCCCTGAGGGAAAAATCTGACTCTTTGCCTGATGCGCAGCTGGTTCCCCCGCAGGTAAAGCCGCAACAACAAACTGCTGGCGGTAGTGTTGCGCAATCTGGTTCCTCTGTTCAAGGACCCAGTCCCATAGGACCCGGACAAAGTCCCATTGGACATCCTCCCGTGAGTCTTCAGGGACCACTCAGTCCACCGCCTTTCAATTCCACCGGGCAACCATCTCACATTAATTATCAGGTTAGTTCAAATTAATTTTATTATTTTAAATGATTATTTATATAAAATTATGCAATAAATATAAATAATTGTTTAAATAAATATAAAAAATTTAAATAAATTTAAATAGTTAATAAATCCTTTGAAATAATTAAATTATTTTTTTAAAATAGTAAAATCTTTGCAAAAATTAAAATATTATTCAATACAATCTCAATTAAATTCCTTCAAAGAATTTAAATTTTCATTGAAACAATTATATTATTTTTCAAAAATTTTAATGAAATTTTTAGCAAGATTTCAATTATTTTCATAAATAACAACATTTTTAAAAGGATTTCAATTATTTTCAAAATTTTTAATAAAATTCTTCCTAAAAATTCAATTATCTTCCTAAAAAGAAAAATTATTTTGAAGATTTCAATTATTTTCTTAAATAATAAAAATCTTCTGAAAATTTCAATTATTTTCAAAAAAATTTTTAAAATTCTTAAAAATTCAATTATCTTCAGAAAAAATAAATTTCTTTTGAAGATTTCAATTATTTTTTATTTAAATAATAAAATTCTTCCGAGGATTTCAATTTCAAAAATTTTAATAAAATTCTTCGCAAGAATTCAATTATCTTCATAAAAAGAAAAATTCTTTTGAAGATTTCAATTATTTTCTTATATAATAAAATTCTTCCGAGGATTTCAATTATTTTCAAAAATTTAAATAAAATTCTTCTTAAAAATTCAATTATCTTCATAAAAAATAAAATTCTTTGGAATATTTCAGTTATTTTTGATAATAAAAAAATTCTTCGGAGGATTTCAATTATTTTCAACAACTTGAAACAACTTGAAACATATTCTTGTCAAGAAATCCTTTCAAAGTAAAATTAATAGCAAAAATTAAATTACTTTTTATAATTATAATAAAATTCTCCTGAGGAATTCAATTATTTTCAATACAATTTTAATAAACTTCAAAAATCAAGGATTTCATTATATATAATTATTAACAGTCACGATTATTTTAAAAAAGTTGAAAAAATTCTTTGTTTAATTCAATTATTTTCAAAAATTTCAATATTTAATTTCAATTATCAAGAAACAGGATTATTTTAAAAACTTTGAAAGAAATTGTTCATAAAAATTCAATTACTTTCAAAATGTGCAATTAACATTATTTTAAAAAACTCCTTTATTTAAAAAAAATTTCAAAGAAATTCTTCAAAAGAATTTAATCAGAATTATTAAAAATTTTAATATAATTCAATGCTTTTTAACAGATTAATTTTAAAATTGAAAATATTTGAGAAGAAAAATTATTAAAAACGTTTAGAAAACAAAAAAGCAAAGAACCACAAACTGCGAACAGATTAGCGGAATTTTTGAATTATTTTATGTAAATTGAAAATTTAAAAGAATTCACTTATTAACTATGTCAAATTATTTTCAAAAATTTTAGTAAAATTCTTTGCAAGAATTCAATTATTTTTATAAATAATAACATTCTTTGTAAGAATTTAATTATTTTTAAATAAAATTTTAATAACATTTCACGAACGAATACAATTATTTTCTAAAAATTTCAATCAAATTCATCGCAAGAATTTAATTATTTTCGTAAATTGTAATAAAATTCTTCGGAAAAATTCAATTATTTTCCAAATTTTCAATTGGAATTCTTCAAAAATTCAATTATATTTCAAAATAGTTTTTAAAAGTAAACAAATAAAATTTATTAAAATATAATTTCGATAAAATTAGACAAAATTTTCAATTGTTTCAATTTAAAATTATTTTCAGAAATACAATTATTTTTTAAAAAAATTATTACATTTAAGGAACAATTTTTTGGAATTTCTGATTTAAATTATTCAACAGTTAAATACTTTTTGTTATACAAAAATTTTAAAACTTATTAATCATTTTTCCACATAAATTAAAATTTTAAATAATTTCAATGAAAAACCTCATGAAATTTAATTATTTCTAAAACAACTGTAATTCAACTGTAATTCCTCCAAAATTCAATTATTTTTTGAGAATTTTTGAATAAAATTATTGAAAAACTTGAAGAATTTTTAAAGAAAAATAATGTAATTAATAATTTATTAAAATAAAAATTTGAATATTTTTATACTTTTGCTTCCAAAAGGCTGAAATTAGAATAAAAATATATAGTTAATAAAAAATTTTTTTAACTTGAGATAATTAAAAATTCATTTTGCACGGAGAGAAAATATATTTTGTAAAAGTATTTTACTATTTGGGAAAAAGTACAACAAACCGAAATTTGGACATAGAAAATACTAAACAGTGAAAGAAATAATATGAAATTTAGTAAAGCTATATTAAAATTCTTGATATTTGATATAATTATACTAAATTTCATATTATTCCTATTACTGTTTAGTATTCTTTATATAAAAATTTCGTTTTGTCGCATTTTGTTTTCCTAAATTGTGAAATACTTTTACAAAATTTAATATAATTTTCTTTCCGTGTGATTCCGTGATTTCCGTGTTAGATTAAATTTTAAATAATATTATTGATTATCGAATGAAGAAGGTATCTAAATATTGCAATTTTTGTTTCGCAGGAATTTCCCCAATATCCTGGTTCGCAAGCGGCTCAATATGGCAGTATGTCTGCAATTCCATCGCCTCCAGCGATGCTCTATAATACCGGATCGGGACAACTTCCAGCGCAAGCTGGTGGTCTTTACGGTGCATTCCAATTAGATCAGAGTCGATCGCCATTTACACAGTACCCTCCATACGCGCCGTCCTTGCAAAATTCATTCAATCAACAAAGTGTCTACCTACAGCAAGCGCCACCACACGCACCAAATGCCCCAGCACCCGATATGTATCAGAGTAATCTCTCTCAATATCGTATCACAGCAGCGGCAGCGCCTCCCTTTGGACAAAATCAACAATTGAGCAATAATCCAAATACAGTGTTGATAAGTTCATCGTCAAATTCATTGATGTCGGCTAGCGTGAAGCCATCGTCACAACCAATTGGCGCCATTGGAACGAAAGCGCCACACTTTCAAGCGCCATCGGCGCCACAACCGAACCAATTGGCTTACATTCCATACGATCCAAATCAAGTGCTGGGTGTGAGTGGCAGTTACATGGGAAATTCACAGCTCGTTCAAAGGCCAGGACCCAATGTTCAACCGTCGGCGAATAGTTATTACAGTGCAACGTCCGCCGATGTATTTCCAGGTTCGCAAACTGGATTCTATCAACCTGGCGGCGCAGCTCAACAAACGGGAACACATTACGGCCTACAGGGTTTCAGTCAGCATAGTCAGAGTTTAGCGACTGGGAATGCGGCTCCCGTTGGTCTACAGAATTTTGGCTCACAATTTTTGTCGAGCTCGGGACTTCAATTGGCGGCGCAAGGCTATAGAAATCCCACTGGTGGACTGCCGGGACCAGCCAATGCGGCAGCGACATTTCTCAGTAAGCATCAACAACAGGAACAACCGAGGCAATTGAAAAGTCCATCTGGCAATCAACAGGATGTACTCACTTCTGTTTTTGGATCAAGTAAGTTATTCACTGGCAAATAAATTTAATTGATAAACTTATTACATATTTTTCAATTTGTTTTTAACAATCAAACAAATTGAGTCTAAAGAAATTTTTGTTTTTAACTATAAAACAAATTGACTCTAAAAAATATTTGATTTTAACTATAAAACAAATTAAGTCTAAAAAAATATTTTTTTTAACTACATAAAACAAATTTACTCTAAAAAAAATATTTTTTAGCTAGATAAAACAAATTGACTCTAAAAAATATTTGTTTTTAACTATAAAACAAATTGACTCTAAAAAATATTTGTTTTTAACTATAAAACAAATTGACTCTGAAAAATATTTGATTTTAACTGTAAAACAAATTGACTCTAAAAAAATATTTGATTTTAACTATAAAACATTAAAAAACTATAAAACAATTTTCTAAATAAAGTCAATTATTTAAACAAAATTTTAATAAAAACTTTCCATGAATTCAATTAATTACTAATTTTTTATAAATTTCTTCGCACCAATTCGACTATTTTTCATTTTTTAATTAAGTTTCTTCAAAGAATTCAAGTATATTCAGAGAATTAAAAAAAAAAAGTTCTGAGAAATTCAATTAATTAGTCAAATTTAAATAAAATTCTTTTAAAAAAATCTATTATTTAAAAAAATTTTGACAAAATCCTTTACAGGATTTAGTTAATAAAATTGCAATTTTAATTAAATTTTCATGTATAATTCAATTATTTTTAATACAATTCTTCTTTAGAATTCAATTATTTTCACAAATAATACATTTTTTATGGGATTTGAATTATTTAAAAAAATTTGAAGAAATTTCTTCGCAAAAAATCAACTATTTTCATAAATAATACCATTTTTCTCGAGAATTTAAATTATTTAAAAAAATTTTAATGAAATACTTTATAAATTTGAAAAATTATAATAAAATTGATCATAGAATACAATTGAGGCCTTGGATCCAATAACTCGCCCGACGCTCGGAGGAACGCGCAACTGCCAGTCAGTGAGCAGTGAGCGCCTCTGGGCCACTCACTGCTACCCGACTGGTATTAGCGCGTTCCTCCGAGCGTCGGGCGAGTTATTGGATCCAAGGCCTCAATTATTGTCAAAAATGTTTGTAAAAATCTTCGAAGCAATTCAATTATTTAAGAAATTTTAATAAAATTCTTCCCGAGAATTCAGTTCTTTTCAAAAATATTTAATAAAATTCTTCGTCAGATTTCAATTATTTTCAATTTTTTAATGAAATTTCTTGATAGAATTTAATTATTTTCCAAAAGTTTTAAAAAATTCTGAGAAATTTAATTATTTAAAAAAATTTGAATAAAATTCTTTACAAGAAATTAATTATTTTCATAAATAATAATATTTTTACGGAATTCAATTATTTTTACAAATAAAATTCTTCACAGAAATTCAATTCTTTAAAAAAAATTGTAATAAAATTCGTTGCAAGAATTCTAATATTTCAAAGTTAAACGAATTTAAAAAAAGTTGGGTTTACAATTTTTATAAATAGATGAACTTTTCAAAAGATTTAAATTTTAAATTTTAGAAAATTTCAATTTTCAATGAATTTACATTAGAAATTTAGGAACTAAGATTTTTGAAAAATTATAATAACTCAAATTCTTCTGAAGTTAGTTAAATTTTTTAAAATATGAATTAATTATTAAATGTAATGGATTTTATAGAAGAATTTTAGTTAAAGAAAAGCAAAAAAAGAATTGAATTTTGGAGAAGTTAGAAATTATTGCAGAACCAATATTCATCAAAAGAATTCAATTATTTTCAAAAGTATTCAAACTCTTTGAGGAAAATTTAATTATTTTCAAAAATTTACCAAAAAAGTTCAATTACTTCAAAAAATTTTTTTATAAAATTCTACGCAAACATTTAATTGATTTTTATAAATAATAAAAATTTCACAGGAATTCAATTATTTAAAATAGAATTTGATTACAATTTTTCGAAAAAAATTAATTATTTAAAAAACTTTATAGAAAACTCTTCGCAAGATTTCAATTATTTTTACAAATAGTAAAATTTTTCACTTGAATTAAATTATTTATAAAATTTTAATAAAATTCTTCACAAGAATTAAAAATATTTTCACAAATAATAAAATATTTTCACTGAAGTTCAATTATTTGTAAAATGTAAAAAATTCTTTTCATTAAATCAATTGTTGTCATGAATAAAAAAATTCTTTTTATAGGAATTCAATAATTTTTTTTAAATAAGAAAACTCATCGCAGAATTTCAATTATTTTTAATACAATTTAAATCGAATTCTTTGAAAAATGTAATTATTTTATAAAATTTTATTAAAATTCGTTGAAAGAATTCAATTATTATTTAAAAGATTTGTTAATAAAATTCTTTATGAGAATTGAGAAACATTCAATTATTCAATAAATTATTTATTTTTGTATTTTAAATAATTGAATTCTCGTAGAATTTTCTAATAAAATTGTTATTGATGTTTTCGAATAACTTTGCAATTGAAGAAATTCGTAAATAAATTTATAATAATAGAAATTTACTAATAAATTAGTAAATAATAGAACAACTTTTTTGAGTATCTAATAATTTTTAGAGTGAATCAGAATATTTTTTTAGGATCAGGGAAATATTCAATAATTTTGTCTGGAAATCGGAAAGAGAAAATTAAATTTTTTTGTCTTTTTGGTTTGTTTTTTTTGAGCGCCTAGTCACATTTATTTATTTTAATAGATTATTTTCTGTGAACAATTTAATTTATTATTGATTATTAAATTTTAGCACCACAAATACCATCGCCAAAATCGAGAAAACAACAAACGTCATCACAACAACCACAACCAAGTCCAACGCAACATCATAAATATCAACAATATCAGGGCGTCAGTCAGTCTGCTCTGGTAAGCAGCTACACTAACTATGTATGTACCATTTCAATTAATTCTTCTTCTTCTTCTATTCTCGTTTAATATTTTTTGCTTTTCGTAAGAATAATACACATTTTTCTAAATAATACAAATATTCTTAAAAGAAAATGCTCATTAATGAATTAATTTTACTGCATGGTGATGATCATGATAAATATCAAAATAGGGTTTTTTTGAAATTAAATTAATCATTATTATTTTGATATTACATATTATATTTGTAATATTATATTAGTATCATTTTGATATTATATTATACTCGTCATTCTTTTTTTATTTTTTGGAAAATTAATTTTTTAAAAAACTTTTTTTTGTATTTAAGGCCTCGATTAATATTTAATTAATTAAATTTAGAAATCAGTGAAACGTGTCAGGGAAATACATAATTATTTTTGTATTTTTAATCAACTAAAGTGACTTTTTTTTGCCCCTTAAAGTCGAATCGAGGTCTGATAATTTTAGTATTGCAAATAAAAGTAAAAGTTTTTTTTTCCTTTCGACATTTTTGAAATTTAAAAACAAAAATTTAATTCGTGACATTCTTAAAAAAAACTTGTTTCCTTCGCCTTGTTAAAAAAAGGTTCTACAACAGAATGTTCGTGGAATGGGTATGCCACCGCCGCCTCGTGCAGGACTTCAGTCTTCCCAGCAAAGATATCCTCCTCCAATTCAGAGGCCCGTGGTTCCATTTCCTCCAGGACCTAACAATCCATCGCAACAGCAACAACAAAATTGTATGACCACTCCACAGCAACAACAGCAGCAGCAATCTCAAATTAATCGTCACAGAACGAATATTCATCAACAACAACGCAATATGAAAATGCAACAACAATATTATTCTGGATCAGGTTCGTAGTTTTCTTCAAAAAAAAACTAAAATTTTTGCATTTAGCTGAAATAATAAATATCTTCAATTTTATTTTCTTATTCTTGGTTAACAAGAAGTATTTGAATTTATTTCGGTCATTTTGCTTCAAATCGTTCTGTCTTTATATTTTTATAAATTTCTCACAAGTTTTTAAAGAAATCAAATTATTCTGTATTCAAAATCGTTCTTTTTATTTTTCATCAATTTCTCTAAATTTTTTTAAAAGAAATTCCAATTTTAAATCTTAGATCAAAAGGTTTCAATTTTAAATTTGAGAAAATTTCAACTTTTAATAATTATAAATTTTAACAACTGAGATTACAGAAATTTAAATATTTTCAAAAGTGATCATCTTCTTCGGATAAATTAAATTATGTTCAAAAATTTTTTTAAATTTCTCGTCAAAATTTCAATTATTTTTATAAATAATAAAATTCTTCTCCGAAATTCAATTATTTTCAAAAAAAAATTTAATAAAATTCTTGTTAAAATTTCAATTATTTTCAAAAATTTTCCTTATTTCAATTATTTTTAATATACAATTTTTTTGAATAAAATTTTCCAAAAGAATCCAATTATTTAAACGAAATTTTAATAAAAATTTCCAGGAATTCAATTATTTCCCAATTTTTTAAAAATTTCTTCAAACCAATTCAATTATTTTTAATTTTTGAATGAAGTTTCTCGAAAGAATTCAAATATATTGAGAGAATTGAAAAAAATAGTTCTGAGAAATTCAATTATGTATTTCGAAAAATTTCAATTTAATTCTTTTAAAAATTCTATTATTTAAAAAAATTTTGACAAAATTCTTTACAAGATTTAGTTAATAAATTAGCAATTTTAATAAAATTTTCCTAATTTCAATACAATCCTTCTTAAGAATTCAATTATTTTCACAAATAATACATTTTTTTTTATGGGAATTCAACTATTTAAAATAATTTGAATAAAATTCTTCCCAAGAAATCAATTTTTTTCATAAATAGTAAAATTTTTCTCGAGCATTTAATTATTTAAACAAATTTTTATAAATTGCTTTATAAATTTGAAAAATTATAATAAAATTGATCATAGAATACAAATTTTCGTAAAAAAAACATTCTTCGAAGAAATTCAATTATTATTTAAGAAATTTTAATAAAATTCTTTCCAAAATTCAATTCTTTAAAAAAAAATTTTTAATAAAATTCGTTGCAAGAATTGAATTATTTTTATCAATAACAAAACTTATCACAGAATTTCAATTATTTTTTATTCAATTTTAAGTAAAATGATAGAAAATTGCATTTATTCTTAAAATTTTTTCGAAAGTCGTGGAAAGAATTCAATTGTTTTTAGAAATTTTGATAAAATTCTTCTTAAAAATTTAATTATAAGAAATATTCAATTATTTATTTTTGAATTTACATAAATTTAATTCTCGAAAAATAAAATTAAATCTGGATGTCCACATGTCAATAAAGTCAGGGAAACGTCAGTAAAACAAAATTTTTGTCAGTAAAGTCAGGGAAATGTCAGGAAAAAAAATTTTTTGTCTGGAAAATTTAGAAAATTGAAATTTTTTTCAACTTATTTTAAAAAATTGCGACTTTTTCGACTTTTCTTCCAAATAATGCAACAAAATATCATATTTTTTCAATATTAAAAGTAACTCGTTTCGATTTTTATAGTGCGAAAAATAACTATAAACAAATCTTTCAAAAATTATTTTTGAATTATTTTTCTATTTAAATTTTCGAAGTATACAATTTAAATGATTTTGAATAATTGAAATTTTGTAAAATTTAATTGAAAATAATTAATTTTTTTCAAGTATTTTGTTAGTAGTTTTGAAAATCAACTTTTGAAGAATTTTAATTCCAAATTTTCAAAATAATTAAATTATCAAAAATTTTAATGAAAAATCTTTAAATTTAAAAATAAAAATTAATGAAAATTAGCTTCTATTTTTTTAAATTCAATATTTTTTCAGTATTGTTAATTATATATTTCCGAAAATTCAAATACATACAAAAATAATTACATTCTTGAATTATTTTCAACATTTTGGAGAAAAAAATTATGTTCAAAATATTTTATTAAAATTCATCAAGAAATTAATTATTTTTTTTAAATAATACAAAAAAACTCTTCTAAGAAATTCAATTATTTTCGAAAAATTACATTAAAATATTTTTAAAAAATACCTAATAATTATTATAAAAAATTAAATTTTCTTATTTAAATACTTTCATTCTCGAAGAACTTTCGGAAAATTATTTAAAATAATTGATTTAGAGATGATGTTTAGTTGAAAATTATAGAAAATAATTGAATTCAAGAAGTTGTAATTTTTATAAATTATTAAATTTCATAAATTTTACTCATTTTCCGTAAACTTTCATATTTTCCTGGAAAATAATTTTAATGTTAGTAAATTGTCAGGGGAATTGATAAACTGAAACTTGTGACCACCCTGCTAATTTTTTTAAAGAAATTCCAATTTTAAATCTTAGATTTCAAATTCTTTTAATTTTCCAAAATCTTTCTGAATTTTTTTTAAAGAAAATTGAATTCAAATTCACCTTGTATTTCTAACTAACTAGAACTAACTGTTCTAAAGAACAGTTGTTCTTTATATTTTTCTAAATTTTAGAAAACGTAATTATAAATAATTTTTTATAGAACAAAATTTACTCTGTCTTCTTCCGAGATCGTATTTTGTAGACGGAACGATTTGAAATGACCCCACAATTAATATTTTGGATTTTGAATACCAAAAAGAATCTCAAAGTAAAAATGCTTTTCAAATTAAAAAAGAAGCAATACTTTAATTTTAAAAAAAATTTTTTTAATCTTAACTTTTCCAATTATATTTTTTGTACCAATAACTTCAAATCCATAGAATAATTTTCTAAAAATGCATTTTTATAGTTTGAGTTTATATCCGGTATTGAAGATCTTTAAAAACAAAAGTAAGTTTTTTTTTTCAAAAATTAAAAACTGATATAATTAATTTAAAAATTTCAAATATATTAAATCATATAAAATCTTGTAGGCAACGTAAAAATGGATTCCAGTGATAAAGTTGACTCTCATAATGATAAAATTGCCGAGAACAATACAGGAAATCAATCTGGAAACAATAAGTCAAATATAAATCAACAAGACAGCGAAAACAAGGAGGAAGTAAACCAGCAAAATGAATAATCAACTTATTAAAAAAAAAAAGGAGATTACAGAGGAAAGATTTTCTTATTGCTCTCTCTCTCTCTCTCTCTCTCTCTTTCTCTCAACAGATGAATGGCTTTCTTGTTTACTACAAAAAATGATAAAAAAGCAAAAAAACTAAAAAAAAAAACAACGTTTCTGCTTATCTCTGACTATTCGTTGCAAGACTTTGTGTCGTGCTTCGATTTATCTTCTATTTTTCTCCAAAGGAAAAAAAAATCTAAACAAAAGCCATTAGACAAGTGGCGCAACACACGAACACTAAGGGAAAATAGTTTTTGTTTTTAATTTTCTTTTTTCGTAGAAAAAATTCGGTGTAATTTCCGAATTCTTCTTCTTAAAAGTGACAAATCTTGAGATTTACAAAAGATTTTTGGGCCGTTTATATATATAAAAAAAAAGTGCAAGTTTACACTCATATTGTCGTCGTTTTTTTTGTGCACTTAAGTGCCGAGAAGTAAATGTAATTTTTTTTTTTCTTTGTTTTTGTCGAAAAAAAAATGTGAACTATTGTTAATTATACAATAATTGGTGAGAAAGTGAAGAAATAAAGTAGGTGTTTTATAAGACGCCAACAAATCTTTTTACGCACCGTCATTATAAAAAGTGAATAAATAAAAAAAAATAAAAAAAAAACAAACGGAAAGACTGTCATCCGTGCCTCCGAGTGCGGTGGAAGAGATAATACAATTTTTTTTTTATTTAAAAAAAAATCCTTCAAGAAGCTACGCCCCCAAAGGATTTTTGGAATTTTTCGTCTTTTTATTGATTGAAAAAAAAAACATGGTAAAGTCTCATTTTTAGTATCATTTTTTCGACTTTGCTAAAATATTTCACGCTCATTGTATCAATAGCTCGTATCGCAGAGCGAAAGGAGACTAAACTTAGCAATAAAAATAAAACGAAAAAAAAAATATAACTTATAAAGGAATAATTATCTACTGCCATTGGAGGAAATTCCCTCGAGAGGATGATAATGATGATGATGATGATGATGATGATGATGATGAAAAAAAAACAAAACCCAGAGAAATTTTCTTCAAAAAAAACTCGGACGTGTCTTTTTTGTAAACTTTGTATTTCAAAAAACAAAAAATAATAAGAAAATGAGATCAGAGGTTCAGAGGTTGTAAAGAGAGGAAAAAAAAGAAAGAAAGAAAAAAGAAACCCGTTGACGGGCTGCTGCACAAAAGGCATATGAGACGTTTTTTTTTTTAGAAACAAATATGTGTATGTTTTTTTTTGGAAAAATGGATAATTCTTAGAAATTAGTGAAAGATATTTCTTTCCGATATTTGCTATTATAATTTTTTTTCTTAATTTTATTATATATGTTTGCACGTGTACACTGAAGGTAAAATTGAATGAAAGTAAAGAGGAAAAAAAAAGTAGAGGAAAAATTGAGTATGTAAGATTCTTTAAACGTATAATTATTAAAGGTATAAAAGAATGAAAAGAGAAATGTTCGATCGTGTTCTACTGCTTCGATGCGGTATTTTTAAATTGTGTCTAAGGCACAAGGGCAGCGGTACTCGGGTCTGTCGATTCGATCAATAAATAAAAGAAATGAGAATCGTCAAACTAAAAAAAAAATAAAAATCCTCATTCTTCTTTTTGGCAAGATCGATATTATTGCGATTGACAATGCGTGATATAAGACCTGTAAATATTGTTTTATTTGAAAGACTGAATTTTGTGTGGCCGTCGTTGTAACAATTCCAAGGTACTTTTTTTTTATTTATTATTTTTTTTTTTTTTTTAAATAATTTTATTATTTCGTTGAGTCAAGCGTGGCGGTTCCGAGCGATAGGACAGACCCGCGGATCTAACCCAAAGTGCCTGTATTTTTATCTGTATTGTAGTTAGTAACGTGACAACAGTAACTTATACACTTACCTGCTACATTATAATAAATAAAGGGAAACATAACGTTACTTTCTTGTAATACTGAACAAATTTACCCAAAAATGAAAAAATATTGGATGCAGCAGGACTGAAAAAAATTTTTTGTCACAATGACGAACATAGTATAAGCTTCAAAAAAAAATTTCAATTCATATAAATGAAGCTCTTATCATCGCATCTTTTTTTAAAAACAAAAAATAATTAAAAACCCTATTCTTAAAAAATTGACTCTGCGCAAGAAGCTCCGTCTTTTCATTCTGCAAAAAAAGTATTATATGCCTTGTCAAAGATTATAGAAAGCGACTGTTGTTACTTATGTCAGTATATTCAATTTTTACGTTTTATTCAGTTATACGTTGTACAGAATAAAAAAAAAATACTCATTGAGTGAATACTACTTCGTTCTGTGAATTTTTTTTTTTTGCAATAATCGTTTTAATCAGTATGAGGAAGAAAAAAAAAACCTATTTATTTAGATAAAAAAGAATGTAATAAATTTAAACTCTTGTTTTTTTGTCTACAAAAATTTTATTTAAGAAACTCTATTATATTGTAAACAGAAGATATTTCCTAAATATTGCACATTTGGGAATTTTCCAATAAACTTGATTATAGAAAGATTTTTTTCTTTTCAAAAAATTTCGTTTTTTTTAATCCGAAAATAAGATTAGATGACGTAATTAAAAAATAAGGTGCAATACTTACATTTGTAACAGCATATCGATTTGCTTTCTTAAAGGGATGGTGAGAAGTATTTTCAATTTTTACCAAGCCCTGACGAAAAGAAAAGAAAAAAAAAACTCCGTAAATAAATTGTACATACTAAAATCACAATGTTGATAATACACGAGAAGTCATCGAAATTGTTATTAATTATGTAGAAAAAAGAAAATTATGTTCATTGAAACGTAATATTTCCTTTTTTTCCGTTTTTTTTTACATTTGTCCCTTAATTATTATTTTTTTTTCATTATATTCTTCCTTCTAAAAATGAAAAGTAAAAATTAGACATATTGTTCTTCAACGAGGCGATAAAACAAAAAAAAAAGGTCACTAGTATAATAATTATGGGTTATTAGGAAATTGTAACTCCAACCGCCAGTAGCTATATACACGTGGAATCTTGTAATTCTTAAGCTCAAGATTTAAAAAAAAAAAAAAAAGTAAGAGATTGCGCCAATTGTACCGTCGACACGTGATCTGATTTAACAATCTAAATCTTATGACATAAAACTATGAGACAATTTCACAACTCACATAAAAAAAAATAAATAAAAACATTACGCTTGTGGTGTAATTATTGTCTTTAGCTGCAATTGTAAATTAAAGAGTTGCAGTCGGAAACGAGTGACTCTTAACGTGAGTGCTTGGTTTTGATTACAACTTAATCTTGAAAAAAAGTCTCTCTTTTATCTGAACATCCCTCCTTAAATTATTTTGAGTTTATGACAAGTTTTTTTATTTATTTACGTTCATCCCCGTGGCTTTAAAAAATTTTTAAAAAGAAACCTAACTTTAATTTTTATTTCATTATAATTTTTGAAATTCTTTATAAATTTCTTCGCAATATTTCAATTATTTTCGTAAATAATCAAATTTTTTGCAGAGATTCAATTATTTTCAACAAAAAAAAAACTAGGTTTTCGATTATTTTCATAAATAATAAAAAAAAACTCATCGTAGAATTTCAATTATTTTTAATACAATTTTAATAAAATTTCTCAAAATGGAATTTTTAAAAATTTTCAAAAAATATGTAATTCATCAAAAAAATTCAATTATTTTAAAAAGACTTCAAATTTATTTATTAGAATTAAAGTATTATTGTCAATGCATTTTTAATTAAATTTCTTGAAAGAATTAAATTATTTTCAAAAAATTGAATGAAATTCTGATTTAACAATTCAATTCTTTTTTCAAAATAATTTTAATAAAATTCTCTGTAGAAATTTAATTAATTTCAATAATTTGTCAAAATTCAATTATTTTCAATATCTACCATTTTAATAAAATTTCACAAAAGAATTGAATTATTTTAAAAAGAAATATTAAAATTCGTGTCAAGAATTCAATTATTTTCAAAAAGTAATAAAATTCTCCACAGAAATTCAATTATGGTGGAAAGTTTTAAAAAGAATTCTCTTCAAAATTTCAATTATCTTTATAAATAATAAAATAAAATTTTTCTTCAAAATTCAATTATTTTAAAAAATTTTAATAAAATTTTTGGCAAAATTTCAATTATTTCTCAAAAATTTTTTTCAATTCAATCAAATTTGTTTTTGCAGAGATTCAATTATTTTTAATACAATTTTAATAGAATTTCCCAAAAATGTAATTATTCTTAAAAATTCATCAAAGAAATTCAATTATTTTTAAAAACCTTCCAATTTATTTATTAGAATTTAAATATTATTGTCAATACATTTTTAATTAGATTTCTTGAAAGAATTGAATTATTTTCAAAAAATTTAATTAAATTCTGATTTAACAATTCAATTCTCTTTTCAAAATAATTTTAATAAAATTCTTCGTAGAAATTAAATTAATTTCAATAATTTATTAAAATTCAATTATTTTCAATATCTACTATTTTAATAAAATTTCACAAAAGAATTCAATTATTTTAAAAAGAAATATTAAAATTCGTCTCAAGAATTCAATTATTTTCAAAAAGTAATAAAATTCTTCGCAGAAATTCAATTATGGTCGAAAATTGAATAAAATTCTCTTTAAAATTTATAATTGAATTGAAGTCGGTCATCTTTAAAGTCCAATGCACAATAGGTTCGCGAACGAGACGCATGAAATAGAAAAGGACACAAATATATTTCTGTCCTTTTCTAACTCATGCTTTGATTTTCGCGAAGCAGTTGTTATGAGGCCTTTATTTATTATTTTTCTTTATTATAATCTTTTTTATTATAAAAACATAAAGATATCGATTGCTCCGAGTCAAAGACTCGGAGTGATCGATTTCTTCATGTTTTATATCAAATTTTTTATTCAATTTAAATTTAAAATTTTTGAAAATCTTAATTCTTATGGAGAAAGAGAGATAGTCTGTGTATCTGTCTCTCTTTCTCTAATGTGGATTTTCCGTTCTGGACAATTTTTACTAGTAATCGAAATAGAAAAGGAGACAAATATATCTTTGTCCTTTTCTAACTCATGCTTTGCGTTCTTGTGCATAGGCCATAGGCCTTAAGGCGCTTGCACACTTCCAAATTTTTAGGCGAGCAGCGAATTTTCACGGCCTTGAAATGCACATTACTAAATATGATTGGCTCTGACAAAGTACATTTTCACGCAGCTTTTTGTAGAGCCAATCATATTTAGTAATATGAAGGTGCTTCTATACCTCCGGTGGATTGGTCAAGCAATCGACTCGATGAATTTTCACGGTCGGAAAATGTACTTTCATGGCGGGTATTTTTGAATAAGTAAATGTTGAAAAGGTTTTTACTTGAAAATTTATTTAAAAAAAAATGATTTTATCATGGAAATTCTTTTGAAATTTATGTTAAAAAACATGTTTTATTTTAAAAGTTGTCAAATTTTAATTCAAAATGTTTTAATTTTCCAAAGAAGTGTAAAAAGCCTAATGTTTTTGAAATGCTAGTACAGACTGTTTGTTATGAATGTACATAACCTAGCGTTGTGTTGTCAGTTCATTATTATTTAATATAATAATAATTAAATCATTAAATTTGGAATATAATAATATCACAAGCACGACAACACAACGCTAGGTTATGTACATTCATAACAAACAGTCTGTATCGTCTGTACTAGCATTTCAAAAACATTAGGCTTTTTACACTTGTTTGGAAAATTAAAACATTTTGAATTAAAATTTGATAACTTTTAAAATAAAACATGTTTATTAACATAAATTTGAAAAGAATTTCTATGATAAAATCATTTTTTTAAATAAATTTTCAAGTAAAAACCTTTTCAACATTTACTTATTCAAAAATACCCGCCATGAAAGTACATTTTCCGACCGTGAAAATTCATCGAGCCGATTGCTTGACCAATCCACCGGAGGTATAGAAGCACCTTGAGTTTCAAGGCCATGAAAATTCGCTGCTCGCCCAAAATTTTGAAAGTGTGCAAACGCCTTTAAAGAAAAACGGAAGTTTTCAATTGTCGACGACACGCATTGTGATTGGTGATTTTTTGCTCTTACCCCCACTACTATTGTACACTAGACAGCATAACTACCCAGCCCTTCTGCCGGAAGTGACAAATAGGTGTGTGCGCACCATGGCAAGCGAAGAGATTTCTTTTCTCGTGAGGAGGCCGCTGTTCGCGGATCTTGTGTTGCTGTTTTATTATATTTCCTCAAAATGGTAAGTCAATAAATTTATCAAAATACAATTAAAAGTGAAGATTTGATGTCTAGTTTAATTAATATAAGAAATTTATAAATGTTTTAATGAAAAGATGCAAAAGTTATAAATGGATATAATCTCATGTTCGTTCTGTCTAACAATATTGAATTTCTACCGTGCTCTATTTTTTTCACTATTTTCCACATTCTGAACAATTTAATACTGGAAATTAATTAATCAATTTTTATTTCTTTTTTTATTTATGTTATTTATTGCATTTAATGTTTAATTTCCTTTTATCACTCATTTAATGGAAAGCTAACCTCAAATTGACATATGCGTCCTTTTGTTATATTTTAGACATGTGGAAAAATATTCTTAAATTTGGATTAGAATCTAGATTTTTTAAAATATTTTCCTATCTTTAATGAATTTTTTTAACAACTTTAATATTTATTTAACTTTGATAAATTTTAATAAAATTAAAATATAAAAATGTGTAAAGAAAATTAATATAATTAACATTTTGATAAATATAATAAACTTTGTTAAAATTGAAAAATTTAAACATTTGTAATTTGTAAATAAATAAAATGAATAAAATTAACATTTCACCATAATGATGAGACACTCAGCTCGCTTTGATGTAGAACTGAAGAAAACTTTTTGTTCCCTAATATATTAACTACTGACTGGTGAAAAAAAAAGGAAATTCCTTTTTTGTAATTTTCTCTTTTGTAGGATAATAAATATCTTTTTTTTTTGGTTTCTTTAGGGGTTCGTGAAAGTTGTGAAGAACAAGCAATACTTCAAGCGTTATCAGGTTAAATTCAAGAGGCGTCGCGAAGGTAAAACCGATTATTATGCCCGTAAACGACTGACTATTCAGGATAAAAATAAATATAATACTCCAAAATACAGATTGATTGTTCGTCTTTCCAACAAAGACATTACATGCCAGGTAACTATTTAATTTCTAGCTTCAGGCCTCGGATATTGATTTTTTTCGATTTTACTTCCAAATATTCCAATAAAATACCACATTTTTAGTATAAATTGACAATTATTTCTATTTTTATTCTAGTGTGAAAAATAACTACAAACAAATCTTTATAAAAATTATTTTTTAATATTTTCTACGTATCCGTATTTTCTATTTAAATTTTCGAAATATACGTAATTAAAAAAGTTTCTAAAAAATATTACATTTTTTTTATTGTAAATTTTTTAAATTTAATTATTTTCAATATCTTTAAAAATATAATTCTGAAAATTTATTTATAAATAATATTCTTGGAATATTTGATTATTTTATATTTTTCAAAAATTCAATTATTTTAAAAAGATTTGATCAAATTCAATTTTTTTAAAACAATTTAACCAAAATTCAATTATTTTTAAAAGATTTTACCAAATATACCAATTGTTTTAAAAATATTTGATCAAATTTCAATTATTTTTAAAAGATTTTACCAAAATTCAATTGTTTGGGAATTTTTTAATTGTATATATAATTGAAAGAAAATTGATATTTAAAATATTTAATAAAATTAATTTTAAGAGTTTCTTTATAATTTTTAAAAAATATACTTTAATAACGTTAAAAAAACATGGATAATAATTAGTAACAAAAAAATTTTTGTTTGCAATACTGAATTAAATAAATCCGAGGCCTGTAGCTAAGATTTTTTAAATAAAAAAAACAAATAGTTATTTATCTTAGTTTCTTTTTCAAGGTCGCATATTCGAGAATTGAAGGAGACAAAATTGTCTGCGCTGCCTACAGTCATGAACTGCCAAAATATGGAGTTAAAGTTGGTCTTACGAACTATGCATCAGCTTATTGCACGGGACTTTTGTTGGCCAGAAGAGTAAGTTTTACGATTATTTAAGAACTAATTTTTTAAAGGCGATTTTATAATTTTTTTCGTTTTTGCTTTGAGAGATCAAAGCAAAAACGAGAAAAATTGTAAAATCGTCCTCTTACGAAGTTTTATTTTTTAAATAAACTGCATTAAAATGATGATCCACTCAGCTCGCTTTGATAGAACAATGAAGATAACATTTTGTTCCCTAATATATCAAATATCTGAAAAATGCAGTATTTTCATAAATTTCTATTGAATATTTTCAATATGAATAAATAGAGATTAATTTTTGCGAAATTTATTTTTACAGCTTTTGAAGAAATTGGGATTAGACACATTGTACCCAGGAGTTTCAGAAGTTAATGGCGACGAATATAATGTGGAGGCAGTGGACGACGGTCCTGGTGCTTTCAGATGTTATCTCGACACTGGGTTGATGCGCACGACCACTGGTGCTCGTGTTTTCGGTGCTATGAAAGGCGCCGTCGACGGAGGCCTCAACATCCCTCATAGGTTCGTTTCAAACCATTTTTATAATGATTTTTTTCCCTGGATAATTCAATCTTTAATTTAAATTATTTTGAATTCTTTAATTTACATTATCTTGAATTCTTTAATTGATATTATTTTGAATTCTTTAATTTAATACAGGGTTGCTACGCAACCTAAAAATGTCGGGGAATTTTATAAACTTTGAAAAACTTGGAAAAGTCAGTCAATTTTGATCGAAATCCGGGAAAATTGTTGTTTTCTAAAGTTATTGTGTTCATTCTTGAAATCTAATTTCACTTCAATATTTCAAAATTATTTCAATTTTTAATATCTACTACTTTAATAAAATTTTTCAAAAGAAGTCAATTAGTTAAAAAAAATTGTAATAAAATTCTACGCAAGCATTTAATTATTTTCATATATTATTCAATTATTTTCATGAATAATAACATTTTTTACAGAAATTCAATTATTTTTATAAATAATAAAACTCAATGTTAAATTTAAATTATTTTTAATACAATTTTAATGTAATTCCTCCAAAAAGTTATTATTCTTAAAAATTTTATTAAAATTTATCCAAAAAATTAATTAATTAATTAATCAACTTTAAAAATATTGTTATAAAACATAAAGATAACGATTCTTGTTATTGAATTTAAATTTTTGAATATCTTAATTTCTATAAAAAAATAATGATTAAATGTTTATTTAAAAATTGAAGTTATTGATGTTTTCGAATAATTTTCGTTTTGAAAACCTGGAAAAGTCCGGGAATTTGAAAAGAGCAAAAGCGTGGCAACCTTGTATAAATCGAATTCTTTGATTTAAAATATCTTTTATTTATTTATATATAAATTAAAAAGAAGAAAAAAATCTTTACTCTATTATAAATAAAAATTATTCAACAGTAGAAATTTTATGATGAACATATGACACATGCGCGTCATCTGAGTCACAGTGAGACGAGTTTCTTAGTTTTGTGTTTTACAATTCTTCGACAACTGTTTCACATCGACACAAAGGATTATAAAGTGTCTCTGATTTTTTTTCTACTCTTCTAGAAAAAAAGACACTAATAATTGTTAGTAAATAAATTTTTATCTTTATTAATATTTTACTCCTGTTTTTTTTTTTGCAGCACCAAACGATTCCCTGGTTACGATAACGAATCGAAATCTTTCAACGCTGACGTTCATCGGCAGCACATTTTCGCCCAACATGTCGCCAATTACATGAGAACATTGGAAGAGGACGACGACGACGCATTCAAGCGTCAGTTTTCCAAATACATTCAAAGCGGAATTACTGCCGACAGTGTAAGTAATTTTTTTTTTTTTAATTTTACCAACAGTCCAAATCAAATTACTAAAATAACTAAAATGGTATTTTGGTGTCGCAACTGGACGAAAGAAAACAATGATCGTACCTTTACTCTTTGGAAATTTTCCAATAATATCGATCATTTACAGTATTTTTCCATTTTACGAAAAATTGTATTTTTATTAATGTATTTTTTTTTCTTTTTTCCTTTAGATTGAGGGAATTTATAAGAAGGCACATGAAGCAATCCGAGCAGATCCAGAGCACAAGAAGGTTAAGAGGGATACGCCTCCAGTTAAAAAGAGGTGGAATCGTGCGAAACTCAGTCTTTCCGAAAGGAAGAATCGTGTTGCTCAGAAGAAGGCGTCCTTCCTCAAGAAACTTGCAGAGAACGAGGATTGAGTTTCACTTATTTTGTCTTAATGACAGTTTTTTACCCAAGAAGTATTTATATATTTACATTTTTCTAATGTACTTTATAATCTTCGCGGGAAATTTCTGTTATGAGAGTACAATAAAAATGCATAAAAAAAAATTTTATATTGTTTTAAATGTCATTAAAAATTACACATTACGTTTTAAGAAGAAATTTATTATTAAAGAAAAAAAATTGTAAAATTTTATCATCAAATTTTATTTTTAATCAAAGGAAATACACTTTTTTTAAATAAAAGAATAGTTATTAGTTTAATATGTAATATTTAATATTATTAGTTTATTATTCTTTAATATTATTTAAAAATTTTAAAGTTCATTTGATAGAAGCTTTGAATTATTAAAACAATAGTTACTTTTCTATTAACATAAAATTAAATGATAGCTTTTTCTTTGACTGTCCTTCAGTTTCTGCTTTGTTTACAGGCCTCGGATATTATTACTTTTTCTGTTATTTTCGAATAATGCGACTTTTTCTTAAAAACTTTTTAAAATATAATCATTTTTAGTATAAAAATGCAAATTCTTTCAATTTTTCTAGTGTGAAAAAAGATTCTGAATAATTGAAACTTTGTAAAACATAATTGAAAATAATTCATTTTTTAAAGTATTTTATTACAATTTTTGAAAATTAACTTTTAAAGAAATTTAATTGAAATTTTTGTAAATAATTGAATTAACAAAAATTTTTAAAAAATCACTTTTCTAAAAATATGAAAAAATTTTATTCACGGTTGAAGTGTTTTGACTCACAACGAATAAACGGTTGCAACAAAATATAGCATATGTTGTGAAATTTAAGGAAGACTTATAAAGAAGGTACAAAAACTTGGTAGTTTAAATCAAAAACAGGTAAACCTAACATAATATTAAATTTTCATTGCTAAAAGCTCTTTAAAATTTAATAAAATATTTTTAAAATAATAAGATTATTTGTCATAAATAAAGGAAAACTATAAAAATACTAAAATAAATAACATATTTTGCTAAAATCGCGAGGTGGTTCTTTCCCCCCCGCTGCAGGTGGTACGGTAGGTGTGACACGTTCAAACTAGGAAAGCATCTTTGTACTCTACTGTACAAAAAAGCCACTTTCAGTACTTTCGTAAAACTATTATAACCTAGTCCTTTTATAAAATAAAATATATTTCCGTCACTTATTTTCAAGTATGCTAGATATCTCTTTTGGTGAAAATTCTGTAAATACATTTTTTAAGGGGTTTTTTTTTCAAAACATGCCAAAAATTGGCGTTTTTTTAACCTTAAAATTTTGGGTTGTTTTGAAGCCTTTTTTTGACACTTCGACATTTTTAAATTGCTATAACTTTTTTTCTAATCATCTGTTTTGACTGAGCCTACGTTTTTCTGACTCGTTAGGAGTTTCTGCAAAGAACCCTCTTTGTGCGAATAAAGAAAAAATATTTTTTTTGCCTTTTTTTTTGTAAAACGTGACAAAAATAGGCTGAAAAATTTGAGGTTTTTGAGGGGTTTTTGTTAACTTTAAAATGCTCTAACTTTGTCCCTAATTATCCGTTTTGACTCAGACTTGGTTCGCCAGGCTCGTAAGGACTTTCTGCAATGAACCCTCTCTGTGCGAATTTTGTAAAACAAATTTTTATTCCTTTTTTTTGCAAAAAACCATTTTAAAAATCGGTGTTTTTTCAATAGTCAAAATTTAAATTGCTCTAACTTTCTCCCTAATTATCCAATTTTGCCCATTTTTTTTTATTTACACTCCAGAAGAGTATATAACTTTAGACCTTTAAAAGCGTCATGAACAAAAAATTTTTTGCATTTTTTTTCATGCTAAATTTGCACACACATTTTTTCTTTTTAATAAATTTTTTGGAATTTTTGCTCTAACTTTGTCCCTAATTATCCCATTCGGCTCATTTTTTTCCTATACACTTCTGCTTTGTTTAAAAAGCAAAATTTTTTTCGGCAACGTGAAAAAAAAAATTTTTCTCAATTTTTTTCAACTTTGAAAAAAAATTTTCAAAAAATTTTTTTTTATTCTAAAATCACTTCTGGTGAGTCCCAGAGATGCTCCAGTTCAAAGGATTTTAAAAAATATCATTTAGGTAAAAAAAAAAAAATTTTGAAAAAATTTTGAAAAATGACGTCATAACCGTCAAAATTGCCCAGAAATGCCTAGAAATGGGTCCCAGATCAGGCCATTTTTGAAATGCAAAAATGCACTTAACGTATACCCATCTTTAAATTGCTATAACTTTTTTTCTAATTATCCGATTCGGCTGAGCCTACATTTTTCTGACTCGTTAGGAGTTTCTGAAAAAAATCTCTTTTGGTGAAAATTCTGTAAACACATTTTTTAAGGGGTTTTTTTTCAAAACATGCCAAAAATTGGCGTTTTTTTAACCTTAAAATTTTGGGTTGTTTTGAAGCCTTTTTTTGACACTTGGACATTTTTAAATTGCTATAACTTTTTTTCTAATCATCTGTTTTGACTGAGCCTACGTTTTTCTGACTCGTTAGGAGTTTCTGCAAAGAACCCTCTTTGTGCGAATAAAGAAAAAATATTTTTTTTGCCTTTTTTTTTGTAAAACGTGACAAAAATAGGCTGAAAAATTTGAGGTTTTTGAGGGGTTTTTGTTAACTTTAAAATGCTCTAACTTTGTCCCTAATTATCCGTTTTGACTCAGACTTGGTTCGCCAGGCTCGTAAGGACTTTCTGCAATGAACCCTCTCTGTGCGAATTTTGTAAAACAAATTTTTATTCCTTTTTTTTGCAAAAAACCATTTTAAAAATCGGTACATATTTTTTCAAAGAATGTGGAAATTATGTTCGGTCAGATTTTTTTTTTTTTTTTTTTTTTATAAGTTTTTTGGAAATTTTTTTTGTACTAATCTTTAATACACAGTTTGATATTTTTTGTTATTAATGTACCTTTTTATGTTGCTTGACATGTTTTTATGTAACTAATTATAGTTATAAATAATTATAATTATATATAAAAAATATCACCAAATTGGATTATTTTAATCGTTTTTGGTGTTAATTTAATCTGCAACTTTTTTTAATACCTCACAATTTACTGTGCTCTTATTTCAAAAATGCTATTTTCTTATTCGTTTCTTCATTGATAAATGGCGAGAATACCTAATTTTTATAAATATATCACTTAGTCTCAACCCCTAAATAGAAAACACTATAGGTTTTCATGTGTGCCAGATATCATGCTCTATGTGGATCCAAATTAAAGCTAAGAGAGGTGCCCTAAGTTTTCTCTCATTGTGTGCATGCGGGCTAGGACGAAGATTTGGGAACGTTATTGATGGTTTTGTCTTTAAAACCTAAATAACAATTATATAAAATTTACACTTTATGTAATTCAAAGCACCATTACTTCTCATGTATGCTAGACACTAGATATGATGCGCTAGGTGGAACCAAAATGAAGCTTGACAGGTGCCTTAAGTTTTTCATATTGCGTGCATTGGCTAGGATGAAGATTTAAGAATGTTTTTGATGATTTTGCCTTAAAAACTTAAATAACAATTATATAAAGTTGATTGTTAAGGGAAATTTCATTGCCTGTTTCTCGCCAAAAAGGTGTTCTAATTCTGTGGAAGAAAGGCATAACAGCATAACTGACATTTTTATCAAATTTGAGATAACATCAGATTTGTATATATTTAATATTGCTCTTCAAAGTTCAATAGCTGAAAAATCATTAAAATGGTTATTAATGTAGAAAATAATGGAAAACATAATCGCATAATTGCGTTTTTGACAAAAGGAGACCAGCATAATAACATAACTGCATTCAGCTTAAAAAACAATTGACATAATTAAAAATGAAAATAACCTTTATGAATAAAAACAATAAGAATTTTGCAATAAAATGTTTTTAGTAAAATACATTTTTCATACTTTAGATTAAATATATTTATTTTAATAAGACTGGAACAAATTTTTTATAGCATAAATTGTGCATTTAATTATGTACTTATTTTTAAGGGTATTTCTATTCTAAAAAATTTTGGAAAGTATTTAAAAAAATAAATTGAAAAGTTCTTTAAGTTGAACAGTAAAGTAAATTTTTTTCTCGTTTCAATAAATTAAAAACATTTTATAACAAAATTAATTTTATAACTAAATAAACTCTTATAATTTTTTCTAACGAATTAATAGTTTCATTTGTCTTTGTATGAAAAATTTTTTTATTATGACAAATCAAACCAAAATAAATTGTGACATTAAAAGTGTCTGAAGTTGGACTCATATACAATCTGAACTTGCATAACCGCATAAGTGCAATAAAACTCATGATTCCGATGAAAAATTATCAAAATTTATATCAAATCGTGTGTTTTATTAAATGTTATAAAAGAATTTTGAAAATATATTAAATAATAATACTAAATGCAAAAGACCGAACAAATCTGTTGATTTTCTGAATTAACAGAAGTGAGAGAACATTAAAATTAATTTATCTCAAAATCATGACAAATGCAGTTATGCTGTTATGCCTTGCTTCCACAGAATTGAGGTACAACAGATAATCGCTAGAATTCACAATAAACTCCGGAGTTGGAGGACATGGCAACGAGATCTTCTCAGCGGAATATATTCCACAACGCTGAGATACTAAAACTAGTCCTCAATTTGATACTAAAATTAGTACTGAAACGAGCCTGCTACAATAACCTTCTGATAAGTGTTAAGTAGTAGATAATTTAAAGTATGCCTAAAACAGGTAATTTAGTTAATAAAACATTTTTGTTTATTTAACAATAGCTTTAGAACAGTTAAGGAGTTAATAAATTAAAATTTTTAAATAAAACAAAATTTTTGAGTTTATTGCACGTGAGCGGTCTAGTTTTTTAACGATGTAATTATCTAATGTTAAATAAATCATTTTTAATCATGAAAACCAGAGAATACGAATCAGGGAAATGCAAAATAAAATTTTTTTTGACAACACTGAATTAATCTGATTAAATAAAGGACTTTTTCCAGTTCTTTCTATTTTTAATCGACTAAAGCTACTTTTTTTAGCTCGATCCGAGGCCTGTGTTTAAATATTATAATCTTGATTGTAGTCTAAAAGTAAAAATATATTTTGTTGTTTGCGATAAATAAAGTCTTGAAGGAAAAATATTTAGTTTGCGATCATTTTTTGTGCATAGGTAAAAAGGAAGGATAGGTTAACATCTGCAAACATTTTATTATATCGTTTCTCGTTAAAGCACAACTTTTATCTTTTTTTTTATAGTTCATACAGGCTTATTACATAAATAAGAACGCCATTCAGAGTCGATTCTTATACAAATTTGTAATTTGCAACATTCACAATTATGTATTCCGACAGGTTTGCCAACACTTGGACAAAATTTTACAATAATCGAGAACTATAACTAAGCCACATCCGTTCGAGTCATAAAAAACTAAAAATATGCACTCGGGTATAGTTTTTTTTTGTCTTTCTTTCTTTCTTTCTTTTCGTACTCGAAGTATTGAGATTTTATTTTATTTATTTTGAGGGGAAGATAGGTCGTGTAGAAAGCGTTTAAAATTGGGACGTGCTGCCGATTTCACTAAGCGAGATCTTTCAGAACTTTGCTTATATACGACGAAATGTCTGTCACATCTTCGATTAAACCTAAAACGAAAAAAAGAATAAATAGGGAATTAAATTATACAGAGAGAAAATTTACTCTAATTTATACTAATTCGATTAAATAGAAAAAATACTCACCGACAACATCACAATATTCTTCGAATGATTCACAAGGTAACAATTCATCTCGATAGGTTGCCAAAACACGCTCCGAAGCTTTCAATAAAGCTTCATCATTGTGTCGAATATATTCAGCTAAAATTGACGGCCATTGTTCGTCTGAAGTGACAACAACTTTCTGAAATAATAGAAAAAGAAAAAGTTGTTTAGATGAAGAGACTAAAAGAAACTAACTTGATAATTTTAATTTAGGAAAAATAAATTTACCTTAAAAAATGTATTGTATATGCAATCGACAAGACCAAAGAAGATAAGGACACTCTTGTATACTGAATAATCTTTGACGGTAACATCGGTGAGATTTTTCGTTGACAACGAAGGAGAAGTGTATCTTTGTTGAGCGAGAATAATGAGTCTCCTCAAATGAGTAATTCTGAATTTATTCCATTGTGAGGGTGGCATTACAAGGAGTGACAGTGTGCACTGATAAAATGGACCATCAGCCTCGTAACAACTGTCAAGCCAAGAGGAGCTGGCAGTAGAATGTAAATACGACATGTGTGCTTTCTCCTCTCTCGCTGCCGATCGTGTTCTAAATAAAAGGGAAAATTCAAAATTAGATACGAATCGAAGAAATAGAATCTATTTTCGAAACAATTGCGGGGTTGCCACTGGTCAGGGAAATCAGGGAAAAGTCAGGGATTTTTATTAAAAGGGTCAAAATAAGTGAAACCGGCCACTTGAAAAATTTTTGTCCCCGAATTTAAAGTTATCTATGGTTTTTGATAGATATATGAGTAAACTTTTACCCGCTAAAATATTTTTCAAAAATTTTATTTATTTTGAAAGTTATCAGGTGTTAAACTTTTAGGTTACTTTTTATTCTTTTCATTATTACTCCGAAACGAATGAAGATAATTTCAATTTTTTTTTTGGAAATTAAAGCTAAAAGTCTGTAGTTTAAAGTGCAACTGAAAAAATTGCTGTATAATAAAAATTTCTAATTGTTATTAACAATTATTTTAAACAATTGCGATTTAAAGTATGTTCTCAATGTCGGAAAAAAATCAAACTATACTCATGTGATGCGCAAAACTCTAACGAGTAAATTAAAAAAAAAAAAAGTGAGTAACCTCTAAAATTACAGAAGTTATGCATATTTTTCTGACGACGCGCGGGAATTAACTGATTCGCAAACTCTCGAGCGCGCGGGAATACGCCCGCGCCCGCTCCCGCCGCACTGCTCACACTTGTGTTTTCAAACAATTTATGTTTACAGAGAAGGAGAAGTAATTAAAATATTATTTTCTTACTGAATAGTTTATTAATATTTTTACTTTTGGAGTAATTATATACATAAAAACCATTTTGTATGTACTCATAAACTGCTTTGCAGTTTTTATGCTTTGATAAAAAAGTTTTTTCGTGGGTCTGATATTCTTGAATCGTACAAAAATCGAAATCGATATTGTTTGTGTAGAATTTCATCAAAAAATTTTTTAAATAATTGGATTTCTAAATAAAATAATTGAATCATTTGTCACTTCTCCAAAATTCAATTTTTATTAGTGTTTTAACTGAAATTTCTTCTATAAATTCGCTATTTTTAATAATTTATTATTTCTTAAAATTGTATTCCCATAAAGAATTTTATTAACAAATTTTTAAATAATTGAATTCTTTGAAAGAGTTTTAATAAAATGTTTAAGAATAATTATTATTAAAAAAAAATAAAATAAAAAATAAAATAAAAAATAAAAATAAATAAAATAATAAATAAAAAATAATAATAATAAATAATAATAATAATAATAATAATAATAATAATAATAATAATAATAAATAAATAAATAAAATGTTTAAGAATAATAATTATTCTTAAACATTTTATTAAAACTCGTTCAAAGAATTCAATTATTTAAAAATTTGTTAATAAAATTCTTTATGGGAATACAATTTTAAGAAATAATAAATTATTAAAAATAGCGAATTTATAGAAGAAATTTCAGTTAAAACACTAATAAAAATTGAATTTTGGAGAAGTGACAAATGATTCAATTATTTTATTTAGAAATCCAATTATTTAAAAAATTTTTTGATGAAATTCTACACAAACAATATCGATTTCGATTTTTGTACGATTCAAGAATATCAGACCCACGAAAAAACTTTTTTATCAAAGCATAAAAACTGCAAAGCAGTTTATGAGTACATACAAAATGGTTTTTATGTATATAATTACTCCAAAAGTAAAAATATTAATAAACTATTCAGTAAGAAAATAATATTTTAATTACTTCTCCTTCTCTGTAAACATAAATTGTTTGAAAACACAAGTGTGAGCAGTGCGGCGGGAGCGGGCGCGGGCGTATTCCCGCGCGCTCGAGAGTTTGCGAATCAGTTAATTCCCGCGCGTCGTCAGAAAAATATGCATAACTTCTGTAATTTTAGAGGTTACTCACTTTTTTTTTTTTTAATTTACTCGTTAGAGTTTTGCGCATCACATGAGTATAGTTTGATTTTTTTCCGACATTGAGAACATACTTTAAATCGCAATTGTTTAAAATAATTGTTAATAACAATTAGAAATTTTTATTATACAGCAATTTTTTCTGTTGCACTTTAAACTACAGACTTTTAGCTTTAATTTCCAAAAAAAAAATTGAAATTATCTTCATTCGTTTCGGAGTAATAATGAAAAGAATAAAAAGTAACCTAAAAGTTTAACACCTGATAACTTTCAAAATAAATAAAATTTTTGAAAAATATTTTAGCGGGTAAAAGTTTACTCATATATCTATCAAAAACCATAGATAACTTTAAATTCGGGGACAAAAATTTTTCAAGTGGCCGGTTTCACTAATTTTGACCCAAAAGTACTGGAAAAAATTGAATTTTTAAAATTCATGAGAAAACTCCGAATTTTGATGTTGAACTATTATTAAATTAATAATTATAAATCATTTAATTCCTCAATATTTAAATTATCTTTATAAAAAGCAAAATTCTTCACCAAAATTCAATTATATTCAGGAATTTTAATAAAATTCATTGCAAAATTCGATTACAGAACCAAAAATTCAATCCAAAAAATCCAGATCAAAAAATCCAAGAGAAAAAGTCCAAAATTACAAAAAATTAATAAATAAATAATAAAGTTACAAAAAATAATAAAGTTTACAAAAATTCAATTATTTTCATAAATGAAAAAATTTCTAAAAAAATTCCAATTATTCTAATATAAAATTTTTAAAACAATTATTCCAAGAAATACAATTATTTTCAACAAATTTTCATAAAATTCTTTAGAAAAATTCAATTATTTTTACAATATAATTCCAATTACATTACTCGATTAATTTAATTATTTTCAACATTTTTTTTTTTAATTCAATGATTTTCAATATTCTACTAGTTTAATAAAATTTCCCAAAAGAATTCAATTATTAAACAAAAATTTTGATAAAATTCTACACAAACATTCAATTATTTTACAAAAAAAGTAAGAATTTCTCAGGAATTCAATTATTTAAAATAGAATTTGCATAAATCTGTGGAAGAAAGGCATAACAGCATAACTGCATTTGTCATGATTTTGAGATAAATTAATTTTAATGTTCTCTCACTTCTGTTAATTCAGAAAATCAACAGATTTGTTCGGTCTTTTGCATTTAGTATTATTATTTAATATATTTTCAAAATTCTTTTATAACATTTAATAAAACACACGATTTGATATAAATTTTGATAATTTTTCATCGGAATCATGAGTTTTATTGCACTTATGCGGTTATGCAAGTTCAGATTGTATATGAGTCCAACTTCAGACACTTTTAATGTCACAATTTATTTTGGTTTGATTTGTCATAATAAAAAAATTTTTCATACAAAGACAAATGAAACTATTAATTCGTTAGAAAAAATTATAAGAGTTTATTTAGTTATAAAATTAATTTTGTTATAAAATGTTTTTAATTTATTGAAACGAGAAAAAAATTTACTTTACTGTTCAACTTAAAGAACTTTTCAATTTATTTTTTTAAATACTTTCCAAAATTTTTTAGAATAGAAATACCCTTAAAAATAAGTACATAATTAAATGCACAATTTATGCTATAAAAAATTTGTTCCAGTCTTATTAAAATAAATATATTTAATCTAAAGTATGAAAAATGTATTTTACTAAAAACATTTTATTGCAAAATTCTTATTGTTTTTATTCATAAAGGTTATTTTCATTTTTAATTATGTCAATTGTTTTTTAAGCTGAATGCAGTTATGTTATTATGCTGGTCTCCTTTTGTCAAAAACGCAATTATGCGATTATGTTTTCCATTATTTTCTACATTAATAACCATTTTAATGATTTTTCAGCTATTGAACTTTGAAGAGCAATATTAAATATATACAAATCTGATGTTATCTCAAATTTGATAAAAATGTCAGTTATGCTGTTATGCCTTTCTTCCACAGAAATTTTGTAGAAAAAACAAATGTTTTAAAATTTGGCATTAAATTCTTCGCAGTAATTTAATTATTTTCATAAATTATAAAATTCCTTCCAGGGATTTAATTATTTTCACAAATAATAACATTATTCGGAGGAAGTCAATTATTTTCATAAATAACAATAATTATCACAAGAATTCAATTATTTTTTATTTTCAATTCAATTTTCTTCATAAATAATCAAATTCTTGGAAAAATTCAATTATTTTCAAAAATTTTTCTTAATTCAATAATTTGTATAGCTATTATTATTTTAATCAAATTTCCCAAAAGAATTCAATTATTTAAAAAAAAAATGTTTTGATAAAATTCTAAGCAAACATTAAATTATTTTCTAAAATAATGGAAATTTCACAGGAATTCAATTATTAAAAATAGAATTTTGCATAAATTTTTTCAAAAAAAAAAATAAATAAATATCTTTATAAATAATAAAAATACTTCGCAAAAATTCAAATATTTTCAAAAATTTTAATCCAATTCCTTGCGAAAATTCAATTATTTTCATAAGTAAAACCAAATTCTTCCCAAAAACTTCAATTATTTTCAAAAATATTTTAAAAATTCTTCCACAGAATTAAATTATAACCACGAATAATAAAATTCTTTGCAATAATCTTAATAAAATTAAAAATAAAATCTTAATAAAATTTCCTTGCAGGAATTCAATTATTTTCAAAAATTTTAATAACATTTTTCGTCAAAATTCAATTTTCTTCATAAATAATCAAATTCTTGGAAAAATTCAATTATTTTCAAAAATTTTAATAACATTTTTCGAAAAAATTCAATTTTCTTTATATATAATAAAATTCGTTGGAAAAATTCAATTATTTTCAAAAAATGTAATAAAATCTTTCCTAAAAATTCAATTATTTTCGAAATTTTAATGAAAATCTTGACATGAATTCAATTACCTTTATTTTATTTATTTTAAGAAACATTCTACTATTCAAGAAAGTATTTATTTCTGTATTTAAATAATTGGATTTGAAAGTTATGAAAGAATTGAATTTGAATTATGAAAATAGAATATTTTTTTGAGTATCTAATCATTTTTAGAATGAATCAGAATATTCTTTAGTGTCAGGAAAAAAGTGAAAATTTTGTCTGAAAATCAGGGAAAAACAAAATTAAATGTTTGTGGCAACACCAGGGCTCGAACCAGTGAAAGTATTTAAAAATACGGACTTTACGGATAAAAATAAAAACTTAAAATAATATTAACAAAATCCAATTAAACTTGTTCAAGAAAATTAATTTCAAAATTAAATTATTTCTAAAAACTCATATTGCTTTTAATATTCAATTATTCTATTGTAAAATTTTATTCCAATAGTAAATATTGAAAATCATTGAATTGAGGAAAAGTTTTGAAAATAATTGAAATTTTGCAAAGAATTTTATTACAATTTTTGAAAATAAATGAATTTCTACGAAGAATTTTATTATTTATAAAGATAATTGAAATTTAAAAAAAAATTTTGAATATATTTAATTAATATATTAATTAAATTATTATTATTATTATTATTAATTTTAATATATTTAATTTATATATTTATTTTTTAATTTATTTATATTTTTAATATATTTGAATTTTTGCGAAGAATTTTATACATAACTTTTGAAAATAATTGAAATCCTATGAAATTTTCATTATTTATGAAAATAATTAAATGTGTGTGTAGAATTTTAATAAAATTTTATTTAATTAATTGATTTCTGTTGTAAAATTGTATTCAAATAGTAAATATTAAAAATGATTGAATTGAAAAATGATTGAAATGATTGAATTCAAAAAATTTTTGAACATAATTGAATTTCTGCGAAGAATTTTATTACTTTTGAAAATAATTGAATTAATAATTTCATTTCTAATTTCTCTAAAATTATCTAAATTATATCGTACAATTTACAAACTTTTCATCCTTTTTGAGTAGAATTAAGGACTTTACGGACCTTTTTTAAAAAAACGGACTTTTAAGGGATTCACGGACCTAGTTCGAGCCCTGCAACCCTGAATTGAAATAAATTTTTTTTTAGAAATAGGAATAACAAAATACTCACGTGTTGATCACATAGAGAGCCATGTGAATTAAATAAGGTATTATGTGCATGTTTGACTGTGGTCCACCACCACCCGTATCCTCATGGAAAGTTTTTTCCTGCGCGAATCGCAAGAGGAGTAATTTAAGATCGTGAATTGTCGACGAATAAGAAATGTCGCGATGTCCCGTGCACTCTTGCAAATATGTATTGTGTCTCGCTAAACAACTGGCGAATGCCGATTCAGGAACTTGTGGTCCCCAAAGTGGTAGTAGACCATTGCATTTTGTATTCGCATTCTGCAGCGCTGCACTCTCCCATTCGTCTCTCGCTCTTGCTAATCGAACAGCCGACATGTGACAATCCACGTGCACCACATTGAAATGTGTCACCGTCGTGTAGCCGATTGTTTTCCTCTGTTTCGTCTCAAACTCCTCCACGTTACATCGTTTCGTAAATGTGTATATGCCCAGAACCTGTCAAAATTAAATTCGGTTAAATTCTGTCCACATTATTCAACTACAAGCAACAATTCTTTTCTCTTTTACTTCTCACTCACTTTTTTAAAATAAAATTAGTAATTTTAAAAATAATAGAACGTACAAATTTTTAATTCAATTTCTTTTTGTAAAAATAAAATTAATTCAATTTTAAAAGAGTTGCGTTTACAATTTTCATAAATAAATGAACTTCAAACGGTTTCAATTTGACATTTTAGAAAGTTTCAATGTTGAATGAATTTAATTGGAAATTTTAATGAACTTAGATTTTTGAGAAATTTTAATAGTTCAAATTCTTCTGAAATTAGTTACATTTTTTAAAATACATTGAATTATATTAAAAATAATGGATTTATAGAAGAATTTTAGTTAAAAAAAAACAAAAAAAAATTGAATTTTGGAGAAGTTAGAAATGATTGCAGAAATTCAATTATGTTCAAAAATAAATTTCAATTATTTTCCAAAGTAATAAAATTCTTCACAAGAATTAAATTATTTTCCAAAGTAATAAAATTTTCCTTTGAAATTCAATTATTTTCAAAAATTTTTCTTAATTCAATAATTTGTATATCTATTATTTTAATCTAATTTCCCAAAAAATTTAATTATTTAAAAAAATTTTTGACAAATTTCTTCGCAAACATTTAATTATTTTCATAAATAATAAAAATTTAACAGGAATTCAATTATTAACAAATTTTTTATAAATTTCTTCGCAAATAATTCAATTATTTTCATAAATAATAAAATTTTTTACGTGGATTCAATTATTTTGATAAATAACAAAATTCTTTCCAAAAATTTAATTATTTTCAGGAATTTTAATAAAATTCTATATAAAATTCAATTATTTTCATAAATACCAATATTCGTCAAAAGAATTCAATTGTTTTTAAAAGTATTTAAATTCTTCGGGGAATATTGAATTATTTTCAAAAATTTTTATCAATTCAATTATTTTCAATATCTTCTATTTTCATAAAAGTTACCAAAAGAGTTCAATTACTTAAAAAAATTTTTTTTATAAAATTCTACACAAAAATTCAATTAATTTTTAAAAATAATAAAAATTTCACACGAATTCAATTTTTAAAAAATAGAATTTGTTTAAAATTTTTCGGAAAAAATTAATTATTTAAAAAAATTTTTACAAAACTCTTCGCAAGAATTAAATTATTTTCACAAACAGTAACATTTTTCACTGGAATTGAATTATTTATAAAATTTTAATAAAATTCTTTACAAGAAATAAATTATTTGCAAAAATAATAAAATTTTTCACTGAAATTCAGTAATCAGTAAATTGTAAAAAAATTCTTTTGAATAAATCAATTTTTTTCATAAATAATAACATTCTTTTTAGGATTCAATATTTTTTTTTAAATAATAAATATCATCGCAGAATTTCAATTATTTGTAATACAATTTTAATCGAATTCTTTGAAAAATGTAATTATTTTAGAAAATTTTATTGAAATCTTTAAAAGAATTCAATTATAATTTTAAAATTTTGTTAATAAAATTCTCTATAAGAATTGAGAACCATTCAATTATTTAATAAATTATTTATATTTGTATTTAAATAATTGAATTCTCGTAGAATTTTCTTTGCAAAAATTCAATTATTTTTAATACAATTTTCAAAATATTTCATGAAAGAATTCGAATTTTTTTCAAATTTTTAATAAAATTTTACAAAAGAATTCAATTATTTAAAAAAAAAATTTTAAATCCTTCTAAACAATTCAATTATATTTTTAAATAGTAAAATCTTTGCAAAATTTAAATTATTTGCAATAAAATTTCAAGAAAGAATTCAATTGTTTTCTTATTTCTATATAAATTTTTCAGAAAAATTTAATTATTTAAAATATTTTTAAAAATCCTTCGAAACAATTCAATTTTTTAAAAAAATTTATAATAAAATTTTTCGAAAGAATTTAATTAATTTCTAAATTTTAATAAAATTTCTTAAATAAATTAAATTATTTTAGAAAATTGTAATAAAATTCTGAAATTTTAATTATATTCTAAAAATTTTAATAAAATTTAATGATTTAATTGTTTAATTTCAATTAAGAAACACGATTATTTTAAAAACTTGTAAGAAAGTGTTCATAAAATTTAATTATTACTGTCAAAATTTTCAATTAAAATTATATTTAAGAAACTCTATTATTTAAAAAATTTTTAAGAAATTTTTCAAAAGAATTGAATTAGGATTTTAAAAAATTTGACTAAAATTCATGTCATGAATTCAATTATTTTTAAAAATAATAAAATTCATCGGAGAAATTCAATTATTCTTAAATTTTTTGATAAAATTCTTTGGAATAATTCAATTGTCCTCAAATTTAAAAAAAAAAATTCTTTGCAATAATTCAAATATTCTCAAATTTTTTTATAAAATTCTTTGCAATAATTCAATGATTTTCAATATTATTAATTTTAAAATTGAATATAATTTAGAAAGAAAAATTATTTAAAAAAAGTTAGGAAACAAAAAAGCAAAAATTTCAAACTGCGAACAGATTACCGGAATACAACGATTATTAATATAGATTTTACTTCTTTAGTTAATAAATATTCGGAAAAGTAAAATAGAGGATATTTTAGAATAAAAAAAAAATAGTTAAATAGTTTCTATAATTTTCTCACCATATTGGGCTTGAATTTATATCCCTCTCTGCAAATAACACAAATGAGACCCGTCTCATCGCCCAGATCCTCCATTTGCTGTAAAATTGTCTTACTCGCAGTGACTTGACCCTTATCATTGGTACTCATTCCCAAAGCACCCAATTGCCTCTCTCTCATTGCCATCGCGAGTCTCTTCTTCTCACTCCTCGTATGTTGTCTCGCCTCTTCAATTAATTCCGAAACTTTTTTATTCGTACACAATGCCTCGAGTAAATTCTCCGCCAATGATCCCACATGTTCATCAGACGATACCTGCTCCAATCGATGAATAATGCTTATAATCGCCGGCGACACTGACAATTGTATCGGTTCATGTTCCGTCGCAAGTCCAGTGAGAAATCTCAATATATACTTCAACGACGGTTTCGATATAAAGTCCTTCAATTCATCACTGTCCGTTCTCAATAATGTTGGCTTCACGCAAGGCGCATGCATCGTTATGTACTCGAAAGCATCCTTAACAATTCCCATATTGATAATATGATCCTTGAGTGTGTTTCCAATCGCATTTCTCTCAATGCCTTGCGTTAGAATACAAAATAGTTCCAATTTCTGATCATCCTCGGTTGTGTGTTCAAAATCGAATTTGTAAAAGTTTAGAACTGGTTTGAAATAATCGCAAAGTAGGGCCATTTTCTCCTCGTTGCCGTAAGTGAGTGCGGCTAGGACTCTAGCCAGGTGCATCAGAACGTTATTGCATTGTCTCACCGCTGACGATTGGGTGCAGGAGAGAAGTGTTTTTATATGATCCGCACCGCCGAGTGTCTTTGAGAATTCCTCAAAGGAACTCAATGGTTGTGCGGCCGCATTTTCTAGAATTGTCTCCATAATATCGAGTAATTGCTCCGTTATTTTCGCCTGTGAACTATCAGACTCCGTCTCTAGACATCTTTGCAAAACGTCGAGTAAAACAGACACTGCCTTTAATTCCGGTCGACTCAGAACCTCCTGATTCTTCTTCACCTTCACTGACAATCGGAATAATTTCAACAAAACCTGCAGCAACGGTCTCGCTCGACTAACGTCCTGAATAGCCGCCAATCGATTCAACATCACCTCCAAACCACCGCAATCAGCGAGAACATTCGCCATTTTGTACACCTCCTCATTATTCACCTCCTGCTCGCTATTCGCATTCAATGTCTCGACAAATTCCTCCGTCGCATCGCCAAGAAGTCCCCGCATTCGATAAACAACTCGCATTGCATCGCACTCACCACCCTCGACGACCCAGATTTTTTTATACACCTCCTTCACTGGTAAATCGAGACTTATTATTTTATTATTTACAAGTAGTTCCATTCCATTGTCGTCCTCGAGCAATGCCACCAATTCACAATCCTGACAGATTTTATTCTTCACGTCTCTCATCAGTGGTCCGAGACCGGGTTCCAAACTACTGTAGGGATTGCCCAGCATTCTTCCCTGGAGAAAATCTTCCTGCTGGGAATCCTTTTCCAAAGTGAGGAAAAATTCACCGACGTCATTCTCTTCGGGATAGATTATCGAGCAGAGGCGTTCGAATATAAATACCGGAGTTCTTACGTCCTGGGGACTGTACTTTTGTATCGTTTCGACGCACACGGCCATAAAGGCCTTTGTCTCCTCTTCTGTTCCGGTTGTCATCTCCTCCAAAAGTTCCAAAAGCTTCTCCTGCGTGTCGTCGATCAGTCTCGTCCTCTGAACGACGAGTCTCCTTAGCGAGAGGTAACCATTGAGAACGGCCCCTACGAGTCTTCCTTTGTAGTGTTGCTTGATATTCTCCTGCTCGAGGAAGGTTGCCAAGAGTTCGGTGAGCATTTTCAAAGAATAACCCTGGGCGAGATCGCTAGTTAAAGTCGTTTCTTCGAGGCGGTGAAGATCCTCGATTTCGCGGGTCAACAACTCGGCGAGGAGTGTGAGAACGCCTTTCACGGCCAAGAACTGCTTCCAAGGCGACTGTCTGATTAGACTCTGATAAAGGGACAAGAATTCAGCGCTGCTTTCCCCGGCTATGTGAACCTCCTCGAGATAATTCGTCAGGAGGACCAGCAATTCTTTCTTCCTCTCCATCCCCTGGCAGAGACTTTCAATCATCGTACAAGCCACTTGACGCGCTAGTCTCGAACTCGGATTGAATAAAACCTCCTTCAACCAAGCGCCATCGACTAATTTCAAAGACTTCATGTCCCTCAAATGATGACAGCGATTATGCCACCGATGACCGTATTTCTCCATCAAATAAACAATTCTAGCTTCCTCCTTCGTCAGCTGCTTGCTCGGTCCCGCTTCGCTCTTCCTCGTCGGCACTCGTTCCAACCAATTCGCATAAGTGTACATCGAATCCCCGCTCAACCACTTTCCGATATCAATGCTAATCCCCGCCGGCGGTTGTATCGTCGCCAACGACTCCGTACTCTTATCCTTATTCTTCTTCGACACCGGCTGCTCCGGCTTGATCACACTCTGCAGAATCTTCATACACGGCAGAATCACCGAGTCCATCACCACCGGACTCTTCGAATCCTTACAAGCCAACAGAAACAATTGCATCACACATCTCAATTTCTGCTCCCAGCACGAATCCTCCTTCTGCACCAACGCCGCCAAAAGTGACATCTCATGCCTCACCGCCATCGACAGATCATGCGTCGCAATCCTCCCCTTCAGCGTCATCGTCACCCGATTCGTCAAAAGCGCACAAAGCTCCTTCGTCGACTCCGAATTATCCCTCGTCACCAAACAGAGCAACTGCCTCACCTCCTCCTGCATCTGTATCGTCCCTTTCCTCAAATTATGCTCCACCAACTCCTGTATCAATCCATGTTTACACAAAACCTCCCGCGCCGCCTGATTCGTAGCCAACGCTCTCAACAGTGTCAAGCAATGCTCCGTCGCCGCCGACGCACACCCGTAACATCGCCCCGCATTCGGCGCTATCGGCTCAACCGATCCATCACTCGTCGACGCCTGCTGATGCTGAATCACCGCCAATCCTCTCTGATTCCGATCGTACGCCACCAATTCCCTCCTACATGCCAGGACTTTTTGTATAATTTTACTCAATTCCTCGAAAGATGTCTTACACTCCCCGCAATATTTCTGCGCCAAAAGTTGTATCGCTCGATTTACTTGCGTACTTCCCCCGGCAACAACACCCCCATCTTCCAAACTCCTATCCGATCGATGCTCCGATATCTTCACCAGCAACATCTCCAGTGTCGGTTTATTCGAAATCAAACTCTTATAAACTCGATCCGCCTTCTCGAGCAATGTGTTGATCGTCGCGACCGTCTTCTTTCGATCCTCGTCACTCTCGATCGGATCCACAGCACAGCAAGGACGTCCCGTGAGTGTATAATCAAATTTCGCGTACTTACAAAAACCACAAGCGTGACACAAGAATGGATCCTTCTCGTCATAGTTAATAGCCCGACACTTGTGGCACTGAAATACATTCTCGCCACAATTCGCACAAACACCCGGATTCGCCGGTACGCTCGCCGAACATCTCGGACATTGCAACGTCTCCGACGATGCTTGTATATTTTCGTAAAAATCAGCGTACTCGATCATCAAATTACAAGCCACTATGGGCAAGGGGAATTCGATCTTAATTTCCGTCTGTCCCTGAGCGAGAGTTATTTTCTTCGCCTTGTGCCACATGGCGGGTTTATTCTTCAATTCCACAACTGCCTGTACTGATCGATTGTTATAAAAGACATTGATTGTTCTCACCATTTTAGTTCTCTTTAAGTCTCCAATTCGTAAGGTGATACGACTTATGGTGTGACTACCCACTAATTTAACTATTTGAGTAGTTGTCGTAAACTTTGAATCTACTTTAATCGAAGAGAGTTTGATGGTCGACATCGGGACCTCGGGATTGTTACAAACGAGACATGGTTCACTCTCCAGGTAATAGCCATCGAGTTCGACGAATTGGGCAAGATTTGCGTAGAGATTCGCATTTGGATGACGGGATAGTAATTCGTTTTCGGCGTGTAATACGGCGACTGCTTGCTCCATGTAGACGTGCATTTTATTGCCGGTGTGTGGTGTTTTTAATGAGAAATAACCGAGTAGATCGACAAATTGTGCGGCTTTGCGGCCGTACATTGGAAGTAGGGGCCACAATCGCCAGAGGAGATCGAGAAGAATTTCCTGATTTGATGGACCACAATTTTTATAGATGGCGAGTATTAGTGAATGTGCTTGCCAGCGCACATTTGTATTATTCGCCTCGAGAAGGAATGTCTGAATAAATTTCGTAAGCAAGGCCGGTGAAACTTGTTGTTGAATTTGTTTAACCAGAAATACACATTGTGCTTCCTCGAATTTTGCCTCTGTATCCGAATCTTCAGATTTTTCTCGATCTCTTCTTTCTTTTGTCGATGATGTCGTTGACTTTGTGTCCTGAAACAATTTAATTGCAAATAATTTTCATCTTCATCTTCACCAAAAAAAAATTTAATTTTGTTTTTCCAACTTTTCCCTGATTTAAAGACTTCTGCCTCTAAATCAGGGAAAAACTGAAATATTCACTTTTTCGCTGACTAAAAAATATTCTGATTTACTCCCAAAAAAAATATAAGATAATCAAAAAAATACCAATACTTTTACTTGCGAATTTCTCTAATTGTAAAATTATTCGAAAACAACAAGAACTTTTTTTTAAATATTTAATCATTATTATTATTACTAGCAAATGTTACCGTGGAACGTGATATTCAATTTATTATTATGCAAATTAAAAAAATTTTTTATTTTCAAATACAAAGTTTTAAATAATTTCAAATTCAAATTTTAAAAACAATTCAATTATTAACTAATTTACTAATTAATTATTCTTATTTATTAATTTAAAAAAATATAATAAAATTCTTTGGAAGAATTCAATTACTTTCATAAATAATAACATTCTTCGTAAGAATTCAATTGTCTTTATAAGTAGTAAAATATATTTGCAAAAATTAAATTATTTTTAAACCAAATTTTAATAACATTTCACGAACGAATGCAATTATTTTCTAAAATTAATAAATCTTTGCAAAAATTCAATTGTTTTCTTAAAAAATTTCACGAAAGAATTCAATTTTTTTTCTTAATTCGTTATAAAATTCTTTGCAAAAAATCAATTATTTTCAAAAAAATTTCACGAAGGAATTCAATTTTTTTCTTAATTCGTTATAAAATATTTTTAAAAAATTCAATTATTTTCTAAAATTTTTATAAATTCTTCCAAAAAATTCAATTATATTTTTAAATAGTAAAATTCTTTGCGAAAAATTAATTATTTTCTAAAAAAAATTTCACGAAAGAATTCAATTTCTTTCTTAATTTGTCATAAAATATTTTAAAACAATTCAATTATTTTCAAAAATTAAAAATTTGAAACATTTTGAAATTTGCTAATTTATAAAAAAATTTCTACTGCAACTTCTTTAAAATTATTTATATGATTTCAATTCGATTTCCTTGAATTTTTAACTAAAATCCTTCTCTAAATCAATTTTTTTAAAAAAATTTCGATAAAGTTCTTTCTAAGAATTTTCAAATTCATTTGTACAATTCAATTTTATTGAAATTTTAGACATTCGGAAATTCTTCATATAAACTATATATTAGAAAATAAAAACTTCAAACAATTTCAAAAGAAATTCAATTTAACATTTTAAAAAAAAATTAGTTTAACAGAATTGGTAGTTAAAAGTTTGAAAAATTCAGATTTTCAAAGATTTTAATTTGAAAACTTTTCAAAACTCAATTATTTCTAAAAATTCAAGCTACAATGCTTTTAATATTCAATTATTCTTTAAAATTTTAACTGAAATTCATTGTTAAATCAATTTTTATTAGAAAATTCTATGAGAATTGAATTATTTAAATACAAAAATAAATTATCTATTGAAGAATTAAATGTTTCTTAAAATTGAATTCTCATAAAAAATTTTATCAACAAATTTTTAAATAATTGAATTCTTTCGACGAATTTTAATAAAATTTTTAAGAATAATTACATTTTTTTGTAAAGAATTGTATTAAAATTCCTGATAATAATTGAATTTTAGAAAAAATTTTTTGTTAGTTATCAAGATAATTGAATTCTTGCGAAGAATTTTAATACTTTTGAAAATAATTAGATTATTTCGATGAATATTGTTATTTATGAAAATAATTGAATTTTGCAAAGAATTTTGACAAAAAATAAATAAGACTAAGTTTTTAATTTTGAAGTTTTGAATAAGTTAATTAAAAAATCCTGAAAAATGGTTTCTTGATTTTTTTGAGGAGGTACTTAAAATTTTTTTTTAAATAATTTTATTTTTGAAAATAATTTTAAAAAATTGAAACAATTGAAAATTTTGTCAAATTTCATTGAAATAAATTTTATATTTTAATGAATTTTATTTGCTTACTTTTAAAAATTATTTTGAAATATAATCGTATTTTTGAAGAATTCTAATTGTTTTGGAAAATAATTGAATTTAAAAAAAATTTAGAATAAACATTACCAGGAGTGTTACAAAAAAAAGAACTCAAAAGTTCAATTATTTAATCAAAAATATCTTACATTCAAGTTGCTGTTAGAAATATCTTTGCGATTTCTATACGAGTTGTTCGAATAATTAAATTTAAAGAAAAACTATTAGAAAAATTATGTATTTTAAAAAATGAAGAATTTTCATTAAATTTTTGTATGAATTCTAAAAATTAAAATTTTTTTAGCAGTACTCTTAGCAAAGTTCTCTGATTTCTCTAATTAATAGAATTTGAGTAAAAAATTACAATTTTTAAGATTATTACCTTGCTTTTGACTTCTTTGAATTTACTGGAACAAATTGCGCATTGCAGTAGTTGAAGAACCGTGGGACTGACGCCTTCGTCTAAAAGTGTCGAGATAGTGAATAAATATGACAGAACTGTGTTGTGTTTTGAACAAAATCTCTGCCAATTGCCAGTTCTACTGGTGGCAACTTCGACGCAACTCTTGAGATGCTCTATCAGTTCGACGAGCGAATCGTAAGGCAAATTAATTGCCAGAGGATGAGAATTAAGTGGATCGTAACCGCCCGTATTACAACATTGTTGTACTGACTGTAAAGTAAATAAAACGAACAAATTAACAACTTAAATGAATACATGATTTATAATTCACACTTATAATTAATACTGATAAACAATTTTATTTTTCCATATAAAATAAATGTAACTCGCTCGGAAGAAAAGAACTTAAATAATTTAAAATTATTATCATTAAATTATTATTAAAAATAAAATTATTAAATGTTTATAATTTTTTGGAAACTACAGAAACTTTAGTTGCCTTTCTGGGGGGCGCGTTACAAATATAAATTTTCTTTTTGCATTTTATTACCTGGACATGAGAAACGAGTGAGTGCAAGTCCCTCAATTGTCGATATTTATCCTTGTTTCCACAAATGAAAAGCAATAATTTACGAACTTGTCGTCTCACGAATGGTGTTTGATACGACATCATGTACTCGCAAAGATAGTAGAACCATGCTTGCTGATCGAATTCTGGTTGTACGACTGAATTTTCTGCATACTTGTGCACTTGGTACGGTAATTTCAGCGCCATTTCAGTCAACAATTGTGGATACGGTTCGAAAACATCGCTCGCATGACCTTTAACGTACTGTCTCAAGAAGAATGGCGACATATCGGGTGGAGATGCAATGAGATGTTCCTTCAGTAACTGACCACCAATCACGTTTCCAGCTTCTTCGTTCGAGGTGCTAAATCAAAGAAATTCATTTTCTTTATTCATTTAACTAAATTACTTAACTAAAATTTATAAATTTATAAATTTTTAAATTTATTTAAATTTAAAATTTAAAACTAAAATTGAACTAAAATTTTAATTTATTTAAATTTAAAATTTAAAACTAAAATTGAACTAAAATTTTAATTTATTTAAATTTAAAATTTAAAACTAAAATTGAACTAAAATTTAAAAAAAATTTTTTAAAAATTTAATTTATTTAAATTTAAAATTTAAAACAAAAATTTAACTGAATTATTTTAACTGAATAAAATAGAAATATTCAATGACGAGAATTTAAATATTAAACGTAAATTATTATTTTCTCCGTGTCACTTACTTTTTCCAATAGTCAAGTAGTGCTTTCAGAAGATTCAAGCAATAATCGATGACTCCATTATTACTCAAAATAGCCGCAGTTGTTTGTGATACAAAATTTGGATTTTCAACTTGACTCTTTGTACTGCCTTTTGATCTTGACATTAAAACACCTAGAGTGATTGAAATTTTAATTTAATTAAAAATTAAATCATTCATTTCCAGACATCGCACTCGATAATTAATTTTAAAAAAATAAATTAAAATTCCATTCTATATTTTATTTTCCAGACTTTTTTCTAATTTTTATTAAAAATATTTACTTCTTTCTTAACCTGCTAATAAATTGAATTCCTACAACGAATATTTCATTATTCATGAAAGAATTCCTAAGAAATTTTTATTATTCATGAAAAGAATTGAATTCTAAAGAAGATTTTTACAAAAATTTTTTTAAATAATTTGATTATGTTTGGAAATTTTATGAAAATAATAGATATTAAAAATAATTAAACTACGAAAAGTTTTTAAAAATAATTAAATTTTACAAAAAATTCAAATAAAATTGTTAACAATAATTGAATGTCTGTGTGGTATTTTATTAACTTTTTTCTGAAAATAATTGAATTTCTAAAAAGCAATTTATTATTTATGAAAATAATTGAATTCTTGACTCAAAATAATTGAATTTTCGGGAATAATTTTGTTATTTATAGAAAAAATTGAATTCTTGCCTCAAAATAATTGAATTTTTGGGAATAATTTTGTTATTTATAGAAATAATTGAATTCTTTCGAAGAATTACTTATGTAGGTACATAATTCAAATCTTGGGAAGAATTTTATTCAAATCTAAAAGAATAATTAAATTATTTCAAAAAAATTTAATTAAAATTGTATTCAAAATAATTGAAATCCTGCAATAAATTTTATTATTTATGAAAATAATTGAATAGTTGCAAAGAATTTTATGAAAATTTTCAAAAATAATTAAATTACTGAGAATTTTATAATTTATGAAAATAATTCAATTCAACGCAGAATTTTATTAAAACTATATTCAATGGAATTGAATTAATTTAAAGAATTTTATTAAAATGCCTAAAAATAATTGAGTTTTCGGGAATAATTTTGTTATTTATCGACATAATTGAATTCTTTGTAAGAATTATTTTTGAAAATAATTAAATTCTTCAAATGAGGTTAAAAAACATTTTTTTAAATAATTGATTTTGTTCAGGAATTGAAATTAAATTTTTAAAAATAATTACATTTTTTGAGCAATTCCTATAAAATTGTATTAAAAATGATTGAAATTCTGCTATTATCTATGAAATTTATTTTATTATCTATGAAAATAATTGAATAGTTGCAAAGAATTTTATTAAACTTTTCAAAAATAATTAAATTCCTGAGAAAAATTTTATTAAAATGTTTAAAAAGAATTTTATTGAAATGTCTCAAAATAATTTAATTTTTAGGAATAATTTTGTTATTTATCGACATAATTGAATTCTTTAGAAGAATTATTTATGTAAATAATTGAATTCTTAGGAAGAATTTTATTAAAATTTAAAAGAATAATTGAATTATTTCAAAAAATTTTTTAAAAAATTGTATGTAAAATAATTGATTTCTTTCGAACAAATTTATTAAAATATTTGTAAATAATTGAATTCCTGTGAAAAATTCTAATATTTTTGTAATTAATTGAATTTTTCAAAAGAAGATTAAAAAACATTTTTTAAAATAATTGAATTTGTCCAGGAATTGAAATTAAATTTTTAAAAATAATTACATTTTTGAGAAATTCCTATAAAATTGTATTAATAATAATTGAAATTCTATTATGAATTTGTGAAAATATTTGTGAAAATAATTGAACTTTTTGATTAATTAATTTAAAATAGTATTAAAAATAATTGAAATTCTTCGATGACTTTTATTATTTTTGAAAATAATTTAATTCTTGGTGAGAATTTTATCAAACATTTTTTTTTAATTTAATTTTCATGAAATTGTTATTATTAGTGAAAGTAATTGAATTCCTGTGAAAATTTTATTATTTACAATGAAAATAATTGAATTTTGAATGATGAATTTTATCAATTTTTTTTTAAATAATGAATTCTTTTGATAAATTTTATGAAAATACTAGATATTGAAAATAATTGAATTTGAATATTTTTTTAATATAAATTGAATCATTTTAAAAACTTTGATAATAATTTTTGAAAATAGTTTTTTTGTTTTCTAGTATTAGCGAATTTAAAGTAGTGGAAATTCTAAAAAAAAACAGAAATAGTAGATTTTAGTGACTGAAACTGTAAAAATTTCCAAAATAGTAGCATAACGTAAAAAAAGTAGTAAATAATAGGTTTTAGTAGATGAGTGCGAAGCCTGCATTTCTGACGCGTTCTGAAGAAAGGAACTCTTATTAGGTACCTTTTTTCGAAACAATTTCAATATTAAATTATTTAAAAACAAAATTAAAGTATTGGATTACAAGCTATTATTTATTCCAAAAAAAGGTAGAATAATTAAATTACTCACTCAGCAGTCGCATAATTACAAGATGAACTTCTCTCTTATTGCTTCTTTGGCAAATGTCACTTGTATCGGGATTTTCCATTTCCAATTCTTTCACCAAAATTTGCAATAGTCGTTCAACGCACGTTTTATCTCTTTCGTCCATACCATCGAGATCGGAAGTTAACATCAAAATTACCTGCGAAAAAAATACAAAAATTTATTAATAAATATTCAATTACAAATTTCGAGCTGTATGATCACTGAAAATTAAACTTTTAATTATAAACGAAGAACAATACCTGCATAAATGGAATTGCTAACACGCCAGAGACATTTGTCAAATCGGGAATAAATTGCATCAATTTATCAAGTAGCAAAAGTCTGATATCGTGAAGATTCATTGTATTTTCACCGACATTATCCGTATCTTGTTCCAATACTTGTTCCTGCTCCTGTTCCTGTTCTTGTTCCTGTTCCGTAGCCTGAAATATAAAACAAATTTCGTAAAAAAATATTCTTTATAATTAGAATTAATATAATTAATTTTGTCTTTTTTTCTCTTTTTGTTAGTCGAATGTTAATAAAAATTAAACAGATTTAAAAATTTCAACTAACGCTGAAAGCAGTCGCAGCACCGACGGAACTATTTTCAGAACGTGAAGGCTGACCGATATTCATTGAAGGTATACTTTCGGGAGCGTTGTCACCGTAGGCGGAACTTCTTCCGGAAACGTTGTGTTCGCCAGTGATGCTGTCAACTGCACTGCCACCTGAATCGCTTCCACCGCTTTCACTTCCTTTACTGCCACCACTTCCCCCCTTTTTTCGAAATAAAGAAAAGTATTAAAAAAACGCATTTACATAATTTAAAAAATAAATAAAAAATATAAAAAATATAACGCACTTGTTCGGCTGGCGAAGTTCTTAAAGTACTGCCGTCAGTTGCAGCCGTTGAACCCTCATCGTCCGAGCCTCCAGCAGAAGCTGTTGTGTCCGAATAATGACTTCCTTCTTGACCCTGAAGTTACGAACAAACAAAAAGAGTTAGAAAAACAATTTATAAAGGTCTCGTAAAATTTATTACTCAAAAAGAATTTATTTTAAAAACTAGCAAACGATAACCGCGGAACGCGGTACTCTATTTATTATTATTTTGTAAATTAAAAATCTTTATATTTTCAAGAATAAACATAAATTTTTGAATAATTATAGATTCAAAATTTAAGGAATTTACTTATTAAGTACATAATATTAAATATTCTTGTTTATTATTATTCAAAAATGTTAATAAAATTTTTCGCAAGAATTTCATTATGCTCATAAATAATAATATTTTTTAGAACAATTCAATTATTTTCAATACAATTTTAATAAAATTTCTCGAAATAATATAATTCCTTTTAAAATTATTATTTAAATGCAATTATTTTTTAAGAATTTTAATATAAATTCAATTATTTTCCACAATTTTGATAAAATTCTTTTTAAAAAATCAATGTTTTCAAAATTTTTAATAAAATTTCTTCAAAAAGTTTATTATTTTCAAAAATTCAGATAAAATTCTTCGAAGCAATTGAATTATTTTTATGAATTGTAAAATTCTTCGTAAGGATTTAAATTATTTTGATAAATAAGAAAATACTTTGCAAGAATTAAAATATTAACAGAAATAATAAAATTCTTCAAAGGAATTTAATTATTTTCAACAATTCTGATAAAATTCAGAATTGAATTATTCTGAATAAGAATTATTCAATTATTTTTATAAATTGTAAAATTCCTGTCAAGAATTCAATTATTTTTGTAAATAATAAAATTCCTCTGAAAAATTCAATTATCTCCAATAAAATTATGTATAATAAAATTTCTGAAAAGAATACAATGATTTTTATAAATATTATTTAAATTTAATTATTTTCAAGAGTTTTAAAAAAAATTCATTTGTTTTCAATTGTAATTCTGATGAAATTCTTGTCAAGAATTCAATTATTTTTATAAATTGTACAAGTCATGTCAAGAATTCAATTATTTTTTTAATAAAAAAATTCTTCGCAAGAATTAAAATATTAACATAAATAATAAAATTCTTCAAAGAAATTCAATTATTTTCAATACAATTTTAATAAAATTTCTCGAAAGAATACAATTATTTTTAAAAATATTATTTAAATTCAATTATTTTCAACAATTCTGACAAAATTCTTCTAAACAATTCAATTATTTTTATAAATTGTAAAATTCTTGCCAAGAATTCAATTATTTTTGTAAATAAAAAAATTATTCTGAGAAATTCAATTATTTCCAATAAAATTATCATAAAATTTCTCGAAAGAATTCTGATGAAATTCTTGTCAAGAATTCAATTATTTTTAAAAATTGTAAAATTCTTGCCAAGAATTCAATTATTTTTGTAAATAAAAAAATTTTTCTGAGAAATTCAATTATTTCCAATAAAATTATAATAAAATTTCTCGAAAGAATTCTGATGAAATTCTTGTCAAGTATTCAATTATTTTTGTAAATAATAAAATTCTTCTGAGAAATTCAGTTATTTCCAATACAATTATAATAAAATTTCTTGAAAGAATACAATTTTTTAAAAATATTATTTAAATTCAATTATTTTTAAGAGTTTTAATAAAAATTCAATTATTTTCAACAATTCTGAAAAAAAAAAAAAATAAAATAAAATAAAATAAATAAATAAATAAATAATAAATAAATAAATAAAAATAATAATAATAATAATAATAATAATATATAATAATATAATAATAATAAAAATAATAATAATAATAATAATAATAAATTCTTTGTAAATTCCAATTATATTCAAAATTTTCAATTAAAATTATTTAAACAAATTTCATTATTTTTACGAAATTTAATGAAATTCTTAAAAACAAATGTAATTCTTTACAAAAACTCTAATAAAATAGTTTAAAAATATTTAATTTGTTATGAAAAACTGTAACATAATTTAATAGGAAATTTATTAATTACAATTAATAATAAACACGATTATTTAAAAAAATGAAAAGAAAATCTTCAGAAAACTCAATTACTTTTAAAATTTTCAGTAAAAAATATTTTTAAAAACTCCTTTATTTTCAAGAAAATTGAAATAAATTCTTCAAAACAATACAATTATTTTAAAGAATTTTAATAAAAATCTTGCCAAGAATTAAATTATTTTCAATACAATTTTAATTACATTTTTTCGAAAGAATTCAATTATTGGAAAAAATGTTGATAAAATTCTTGAAATGACTTCAATTATTTTCAAATTTTTTAATAAATAATACTTTGCAAGAATTCAATGATTTTCAGTACATTATTTTAAAATTGAAAACATTTAAAAAGAAAAATTATTTCAAAAATTATAGGTTAAAATAACATATAGGTTTAATTTACATATTTAATTTAAAAAATAATAAATAATAAAAGAATAAAAGAAATAATAATAATTTGTGAATCTCACCAAGACGGCGACATTCAATCTCTCGACAGCCTGCGAAAGACCCTGAACGGCCAACGCTTGAATTCGATCTAATTCGGGTCCATTTAAATTCTCCAAACCCTGAAGTCCGGGAATATTGGCAAGACCCTGTGGAAAGCCTTGCTGAGGAACTTGACTGTTACCAGCTCTTTGCTGATCCTGTAGACTGAGGGCAATTGCCAATTCAACCATTACTTCATCGTCGTCAGCCGGTGGCATATCCAACAATTGTGGAAATCCTCCAGGACCAAGAAGCGCTTCCAGAGGATGATTTCCCGCTCGGCCTCCCGATGCTCGATTATCATCGTTACCACTCAACGCCATTGGATCATTTGCTTCAACTTCATATTGCTGTTCAACGTCCGCTGAATCTTGAGACGATTGCACCGAAATTTCTCGTTTTTCCTCTGTTTCCATCGGCGCACCTTTATAATTTAAATATTATCAATCGATAATTTCAACTCTATTATTTATACACTTTCGTTTAGGTGAATAATTAAATTATTTATCTTTTCATCTATTATGAAAAAAAAAATTAATCAGGACACTTTTTGGGGTCAATTTTTCTCGGATACCCTTAATTAATTAATTAAGAGATGAATAAAGAAATAAATAATAAAGAATTATTAATGATGAATAAATAGAAAAATAAATACTGATGAATAATTTGTGGAAGAAATTACCTGGAGTACTGCAATGTGGAGGACTCGGTATAAAAACACGTCGACGTTTATATCTGGGTCTCAAAACACGAATGATTGCTTGCTTTGCACTAAAGCTGATACTCGTGTCCGAGGATAATAATAATTGAAGATAAAGCTTCGCTGCCAATGGCGTGTTACCCTCAATGTCGCAGGTTGTAAAGGCGTGAATTATTTCAACAATCGCGTGAATTGTTGCCTCTGTGTGAGTCAAACCTGGCACCACAACTGGCGCCAGGGCCATATTTTTTGGATACGCAGCATAAAGTGACCACAAAACGTCCATTAATTGCACCACCAAATGTTGATTCTTATCAGTCGTCGATTGTGAATCAAGACGATCCTTTTCGAAAACGGGAACTGGAAGAGGAGAACATTTCCCATTAAATCAATTAAATCTATTAATATTAATTATTAACTAACTAAACTATTAATTAATTAACTTTGTTAAACACTGTACTTACTACTCGATATATCGATTGATTTAGCAGAATGCTGATCGGCAAACTTGGCTAAATTACCAGGACGAGCAACGGCAATATTTCGAACAATAAGAACAAGTCGGTAAAAATTCTCCGCATCAATGTCACGTGGATCATTTATTTTTTGCATTGAACTCAATGAATCGAGAACATGCGACAGAAGTACTTGATCCTGAAATAATGAAAAGCAGATTAAAATAATTTTCAAATATGTCAAAATTTCAAATAACTTGTAAATTATTTCAATTATTGTTATAGAAAATATTGTTAAAAAAATATTTATATTATAATAAAAAACATTTAAATTATTATTTTTATCAAGTTATTGAATTATTAAAATTTATTTTTCAAAAATTAAAAATTGCTCTTCTATTTATCGTTTTATATTCTATTTATTATTTTATTGAAAATATATTATTTTTCTATTAGAATTTACCTTGTGAGAGTGATAGGATAATTTTGAATTGTGTAGAGCAGCTAGAAGCGAAGTTGTGTGCACTTGAACTTGTTGTGGAATTGGTAGTGTCAAAAGATTAGAGGCAACTTCAATTGCTGTTGATTTTAATGAGGATTTATTTTCATCACTGGAAGAGAGAGTGAAGGAGGAAACTAGAACTTGCAAGATACTAGACGTCATCCTAAAATTGAAGAAATTACATTATTAATATTAAAAATCGTATTAGATTCATTACAGTAAATAATTACTGCTAACAATAATTAATGACTAATACTTAATTACTCAGAATAATTAATCACTAACAATTAATAACTAACAATTATTAATAACTATCTAATAATTAATTACTAACAATAATTATTAACTAACAATAGACTAATAATAGATAAATAACTATAATAATAAATTACAATATAATAATAATAATAAGAATAATACAAAAATGGAATTTGTAATTTCTATTTAAAAATAAATTAATAAACTATAAAAAATATTTCCATATTTATAAGGCCAAAAATGTAAACACGTTTTAGAAAAGAAGTTGCACTACGGGAGGAGTGACTTCTTCTTCTTACCTTTCAATATTTACAGAATCATCCTTCACAGGTCTGATGCATTATTATAAAAATAAAAATTATAAATTTTGTGTACACGTTTTTTTTTTCGAAGAATACAGAATAAAGGGCCGTGGATTAAACGAAAAATATAGTAGAAAATCATGCAAACGAAAAAGTGATTCAGAGAAATTGAATTAAAATTCGAGATTCTTTTTTAAATGACAAATAATTTTACTCACTTGTCAATAGATGTTAGTGTCACTGGAGAGACAAGTGTACTTTCATTTTCATTATTGACAGGTGCTCCAGTTGCAGCAGGAGCCGATGTCGATTGTCCAGCGGTAATTTCCTCCGGTTCTTCTGGCCAACCAAAGGCATCTTTCGTTTTTCCATATCTAAATTTAATTTGCAATAAATTTTAGTGACAAATTTTCTCAGTATGTTTATAATGAAAAATTGTGTCCTTTCCGGCGATGTGTCACTTACCGGTGAAAGGGCAAAAAAAATTGCCCTTTCACCGGTAAGTGACACATTTTTTCTTTCATGTAAAAAAGAAAACTTACACTTTAATTGAATCGACCATAATGACGCCCTCGGCATCTTGCGATGGACCAAAAGTAATGACTAATTTTTTATCCGCTTGCAAGCTTTCCTCTCTTGTTAAAGGAATATCGAACCATCTGCTTCGCGTCAGCATTATTCTGACACTTCTGCCGAAAATCTGCAATTTACTTTCAATATTAGTATCAAGAGTGTCGAAAATCAATTTTGTAAAAGTGAAAAAAAGATGAAAATAACAAAAATTTTATTTTATTTTTCCTTGCGTTTTGCCCGAATTCCGGACAACATTTTGACTTTTTCCCTGACTATAAAGAATATTCTGATTCACTCTAAAAATAATTAGACAGTCAAAGAATGTTCTATTACATTTATTTACAAATTTTTTTTAATTGTAAAATTATTCGAAAACATCAATTTCCTTTTTAAATAAATATGTAATCATTATTATTTTTCCAAAGGAATTCAAATTCAATTAAATTAAATTTCAATTCAATTAAATTTCAATTCAATTATTTTCTGGAATTTCCAACTAAAAGTCTTCTTTAAATCAATTATTTTTGATAATTTTTGAAAAAGTTCTTTGAGAATTTTTAAATCCATTTGTTTACAATTCAATTTTACGAAATTTCTATTATTAGGAAATTCTTCAATTAAATATATATTAGAAAATAAAAACTTCAAATAGTTTAAAAAAAATTATTTCTATAAAATTAATAATTAAAATTATGAAACCTTTTCAAAATTCAATTATTTATAAAAATTCACTCTTTTAATATTCAATTATTATTATTAAAAATTTTAACGGAAATTTATTTTTAAATAAATTTTTATTCGAAAATTCTACGAATTTTCAATTATTTAAATACGAAAATAAATAATTTATTGAATAATTGAATGTTTCTCAAAAAATTGAATTTTAATAAAGAATTTTATTAAAAAAATTTTAAATATTAAATGCTTTTGACGAATTTTAATATAATTTTTAAGAATAATTTCATTTTTCTAGAAATTCGATTAAAATTGCATTAAAAATAATTTAATCCTGTAAAAATTTTATTTTTCTTAAATACTTGAATTATTGACAAGAAATTTATAAAAAATCTGTAAAGAATAATTGAATTTCTATAAGATTTTTCTTATTTATGACAGTTAATTGAAAATAATTGAATTTCTGTAATCATTTGTAACTTCTCCAAAATTCAATTTTTTTTTTTTTGTATTTTTAACTAAAACTCTTCTATAAATCTATTATTTTTATTATTATTTTTAAATTAAATATTATTTTTAAAGAATTTAATAAAATTCGTTGCAAGGATTCAATTATTTTCATAAGTAATAAAATCATTTACAGGATTTCAATTATTTTTAAAATAATTTTAAATGAATTTCTCGAAAAATGTAAATATTTTCAAAAATTTTCATAAAATTCTTTTAAGAAATAATAAATTATTTTTATTAATTATTACTTTTTGTAATTCTAATTGTTTCGGAGAAAATTTAAATTCTTTCGAGGAATTTAATTCAAATTTCACTGAAAATAATTGAATTCTTCTAAAAAATTAAAAAAAAAATTTTGAAAATAATTGAATTCTTGACAAAAATTTCTGCAAATTAAATTATTTCCAAGAAAATTAAAATTCTTTAGGAGAATTTATATAAAATTGTATATTAAAAATAATTGAATTCTGTTTACGCGCTAGTTTTGCTAGTTTTATAAAAAGAAGGAAAGTAAAAAATTCAAGTCTTACTTCAACAAAGAGAGGTGCCCGTTGAATATCCTGATTTCCCAATTGAACTCTAAATCCCGTCATGACTAGAGTGGGATCATTATTATTGACCTCAACATTAAAACCAAGTTGTCTCGTCGATGCAACATACATCCCAGTGGTATTCAATCGATGTTTAATTTGTGCCACATTATAAATCTGCAGCAAGTCATTTCCACCGAATTCAACGTCATTCATCGATTGACAGTGTTCGAAGAAATCAACCGGAAATACGACCGATCCCGATGGTTTTCCCGTTTTCATCGCCTTCTTCTTTTTCGTCTGCTTAATGGTGGCAATTGTTCCCACCGGTTGAACATTCGGCGACATCCAAAATCCCGTCTGATCCATCGCCGCCATATAAACTCTCAAACTTCCATCCTCACAGAGCAAAATCAACGTTGTTCTATGCTCCGCATTTGAACTCGAGTGTCTAATCGCGACAATATCCATTATTTTCGCCTTTGCCGGCACAACCTTAATTTCCTGTATCATTATTGTTTCGGGTTTGATCATCAGAATCACGGGATTATTACTGCTTTGGAGAACGGAGCAGACCAAACCGGGATGATTGGCAATTTCACTCCATTGACAAAGTGGTTGGGGTTGATTGTTATTTGATTTGTTGCCGTTGGTTTTGTTCGCTAGATTGATCATGAAGACGATATTTATCTCGAGATTCATGTATTTTAACGGGGCGATGAAACTCTTGCCGCAGGCGTAACTGAAGAAGAGAAGTTGCAAAGCGTGGGAGTAGTAGATCGAGACACCGCCGCCTCCCACTTGACCGTTGTCCTTAATTTCTGGGTGATAGATATCGAGCGTGTTTGTGACGTAAAATGGTCCGTGCTTTGCGAGACTCTCTTCGTCCATCGCTTGACTGTAGATATAACCGGCTGAGGACATTAGCAGCAGGTGGAACATTCCATCTTCCGCGTGAATGAAAGTACAGTCACGAATTTTCCCCGTTGGAACCAGGAAGTAGTACTGAGGACTTAGAGCGTCTTTGCTGAGATCGTAGATTTTGACAAAGTCCGCGGTGACAAGGGCCAGTTGGGTCTGCGAGCCTGGGAGCCACAAGGCCTTGATGATGAAGTTTCCGGTCTCTAGATGCGGATGCAGTACCAAGTGATCACTGACAGTTCCCGAACTGTTGAAAGTCAGGACATGACAGTCCTTGAGTCCGCACACCGCCAGAAAGTCCTCGTTCCACTGATTTCCGGTTATTGACAAAACTGTAAATGGAATCGGCGCTGAGGCCAAACGAGTGAGGGTTAATTTTCTTTTCGACGAATCGGCCTGTTTTAGTAAAGTACTCAATTGTAGAACCGTGATCTTTCCCTTCTCGTGTGAAACGGCGAGATGCTGTCGTTTGCCATGGGGGGACGAGAGGCAACACATGGCGACTCTCCTGATCATATGCGCCGAGAGTAATTGTCTAATCGTCTGCCCCTGATCGCCCGAGTAGTTCATCCTCACATTCTCAAAAGCCCCCTCCTGGGAGCCCAACGTAGGCAGCATCAACTGATCCGTATGCTCGAATTTCTTATCCAACAGATGAAGTTGTCTCAGCGCCAACTGACCCCTAGAGTGGCAGCCAACAGCCGAATGTTTTCGACAAGACGCCTCAACAGCCGGCACCAAATTACTGGTCAACTCCACCAACGACGATATCAATTCACTAGACCACAATTGCGCCAAAATCCAGTCCTTCGATCCCTCCAGTTGCTTCGAAAGTGCTGACAATTTCTGCCTATCCTTACTCGATCGCTCACTCTTCTCGTGAATCGGACTCGACGCTCTCCTCCGTAAACTACTCGTCAAATGCGTAGTGTCCGAATTCCCCGTCCCATAGGCAATATTATTCCCCACAATCTGATGCTCCGAACTCTGTGGACTTCGTTTCATCAAAGCCTGACACGAGGCATCGTCCTTAGCTCCACAGTCACAGAAAAAATTCCCATACTTCGCATAGGTAACATCGTGTCCCCTGTGACAAACCCGAGCACAAACCGTACAAACCCCCACTCCATCCACCATATTACAATCATGACAGTGATACCAATGCTGATTCATAAACTCCTTCTGAGTTATCGTGAAAGTACAAAGTTTATTACAAAGACTATCCTCGTCCGAATCCTCCGCCGCACTGTCATCGTCCTCATGCACCAACTCCTCATTCCAATCACTGTCATTCACATCATTCACCGGCGTCGCTCCCTCCCAAGGCGGACTCGTCGCCCTGTCCTGCGAATAATTCTGCGGACAAACGGCGGAAACCACATCCGCAATGTAGTTCAAAACACAACAACCCGCCTCAATATAACCCGATGGTTTCTCAAGTTGTGGATCGCTCATCAACTGCTGTTTACAGACCTCAATCCATCCGGTCGCCGCCTTGAATAATAACTTATGACCTTTATCGGTCCCCACATCCGCTAGGGTCGACATCACTTGCATCAAATCCGTGAAGCTAACACCCTCGACACTCGACAGAATATGATAGCCCAAGGGAATCAACGCCTGGAGCATCGTCACGGATACATTATTTCCACTATTCTCCTTGACGATATAATTCGTCAACGACTGTAACAGCTGATTATTTTCCTCCAGCGCTTGATAATGATTATTCTGATTCACCTTTCCATCCACGAGAATATTCTGCCAAGTTTCCGTCCCCTCCTCCTTTCGCTCCTTCCTCTCCCCAAGTATCACATGTCTCAACCAAGTTTGCAATTTCTCATTCTCGACCGTCGATAAATTCGCCACCGAACTACACAATCGATCCAAAGATCCATCATTCACTTTCTCCGCAGTCTTGAATAATTTATTGAAAAAATGCAAAACATGCGTTCCAAATTGTTGCGAAGCCAGTGGCGAGGCAATCGACAGCAATATTGACATCAACTTCCGATTTGTATCCGGAGCAAAGAATTCTGCGAGAGCCTTATAACCAACCGGTTTATCAAGCAAATACTCCCAGTACTTGATATAGTTGGTCAATATTTTCTCGTCGATCGTTATATTGATTGCCTCCTCACTATTACTCGTGTAATCGATAATCAAATCGTAAGTATACGAAAGAATGAAGAGATGAACTCGTAACTGTCTAGGTTCACTGTCCGTATCGCCGAGTATTTTCCCCAAAGTCTTCGATGCCATCTCTTGAACATAATCAGTTCGCGCATCGATTGTCAACGGTATCAGTATATCGATCGCCTCTTCGCGAATTTGGGAGATTTCCGATATTTCCAAACCCGAGATCGGATTAACATACTCCATTATAAAATTCACGAGCGAGTAGAGTAGATTTTTCAGCGAGGAATTTATGGAAAATGTCCCAAATTCAGAGAGGGGGTTAATATGATGATTTATCGTGGCTAGAATATAGCTTTCAGCTGGTATAATATCGTTGACGTACGTATTCCAAGGAATGTGGGCCGCATTTATAGATTTCCATTTATCGAGAGCCGAGCGAACATTGCTTGAAAGTAGATTCACCATCGAAGTTTCGAGTGACCAACCAGTCATTGATGTTATTCCATCCATTGCGATGATAATGTCAAGAACGGAAAAATCTCTCGCATTATATTTACATTGATCCGAAGCTTCTTGAGCTTGATACAAAACACTCGATTTACATGCTAAAATCACTGATCTCGTTAATTTTAACACATGAGGTAAAATGTCTATTAGCATTTTATTAATATTCGAAGTTATTGACTCTTGTGATTGATTTTTCGATTGCTCAATATTGTCATTCGATGTTTTATACAGACTTTCGTCCATAATAACTTGTAATTTGCCAATTACTGCCGACAATATTGTCAGGGAACTCAATTTCGGTAGGGAATTCTTTGGTAATATTTTCTCCTCCTTCACTTCTGGTATTAAGGCTTTTATCGCATTTTTAGCGAGTGTAACGTCATATTTCAATGATGTGACTGTTGACGAAATTGTTTTTAATAAATTTTCCGCATATTGTGTGTACATTCCTTGTTTGACGAGACAATCCTTCATCCAGCCGGTGAATGCTTTACAAGCGGCCCTCGGTCCCCAGATTAATGAATAAAGAAGCATTGGAGTTGAGGGAATTTCCTCGCCCAATGCCAATTCGTCCATATAGGCTGTCGATGGTGGTAGCATGAGAAGTAATCGCCAACAAATGGAAAAACAATATTGCGTTGCACATAGACCGGTGAATGTCATTTTATCCTTTGCATCTGGCGATTGCTTTCTTGGAATACTGGTTTGATTGATAATATTGAGAATATCAATTAATGCATCGACAAGAAGGGGATATTTCATTTTGTCCGATGTGCCGAGGACAAAATTACAGGCCAAACCATCGAGTTTCGGTGTATCTTGATTATTAAGATCGGCAATTGTTAAATTGTAGAATTTCGGTTTTATTGATAATTCATCTTGTGGTGTGAACTTTTTGTAATTGTCTTCAATCTCCTTCCATGGTGTGTAAATTCTTGATGCCTGTTTATTCCCTTCTTTTGCGTCGCACACTAAACTCGTTCCCGATAAAAGATTCCATTGCACCTGTAAATAGAATATTAAAAAGTGAATTTTTTTTAAAGAAAAAATTAATTAATTAATTTTTTTAATTAAAAATCAATAAAATATTTTGGATTCTAAATATACAATCAGAATAAAACTTTTTTTGATTCTAAATCAGATTTTGCCAGAAAAATTTCATTTTATTTTCCCTTAATTTTAATTTAATTTTAATTCACTCTAAAAATAATTAAATCAGGACTGGAACAAGTGAAAGTATTTAAAAATACGAACTTTACGGAACAAAAATAAAAAATTACGGACCAATTACTGAAAAAAATATAACCAGACCAAGTCAAATAATAGAACATTTTACTTAAAACTACAAATTAATTCAATTATTATTTTCAAGAATTTTTAACGAAAATTCTTCTATAAATCGATTCTTTTTAATAATTATCGAAAAAGTTCTTTGACAATTTTCAAATCAATTTCTTTACAATATTCAATTTTACGAAATTTCAATTATTCGTAAATTCTTCAATTAAATAAATATTAGAAACAAGAAACTTAAAATAATATTAAAAAAAATTCAATTCAACTTTTTCAAAAAAATTAATTTCAAAAATTAAATTGTTTTTAAAAATTTCAAGCTATATTGCTTTTGATATTCAATTATTATCTAAAATTTTAACTGAAATTAATTTTTAAATCAATTATTATTCGAAAATTCTACTAGAATTCAATTATTTAAATGCAAATAAAATGCAAATAAATAATTTATTGAATAATTGAATGTTTCTTAAAATTCAATTCCCATAAAGAATCGTTATCAACAAATTTTCAAATAATTAAATTCCATCAAGGAATTGTAATAAAATTTTTAAGAATAATTACATTTTTCGAGAAATTCGATTAAAATTGTATTGAAAATAATTGAAAACCTGCGATAAATTTTATGATTTATCAAAATAATTAAGTTGCTAAGAATTTGATTAAAATTTCCAAAAATAATTTAATTCCTTAGAAGAATTTGTTCATTAATAAAAATAATTGAATTGCGAAAAAATTTTATTAAAATGTTTGAAAAGAATTGAATTTCTGTGAAAACTTTTGTTATTTTTGTACATAATTAAATTTTTCCAAAGAATTCAAAAAAACATTTTTTTAAATAAATCGATTTTTTCGAGGAATTAAATTAAAATTTTTAAGAATAATTACATTTTCTGAGCAATTCCTGTAAAATTGTATTAAAAATAATTGAAATCCTGCGATGAATTCTATAATTTCTGAAAATAATTGAATCCTTGCGAAGAATTTTATTAAAATTTTTAAAATTAATTGAATTCCTTAGATTAATTGTATTATTTATGAAAATAATTGAATTATTGAGAAAAATTTTATGAAAATGTTTAAAAAGAATTGAATTTCTGTGAAAAATTTTTGTTATTTTTTAAAATAATTGAATTTTTACGAAGAATTTTATTATTTATTCAAAAAATTGAATTCTTGTCACGAATTATATTAAAATTTCTGAAAATAATTAAATTCTCCAGCGAAATTTTATAACAAGATTTGAAAATAATTGTTTTGTTTTAAAGAATTTTATGGAAATAAAAAAAAAATAATTAAATTCTTTCGAGGAATTCAATTGAAATTTTTATTGAAATTAATTGATTTCTTGCATTATTGTGTGAAAATAATTGAATTTTTCAAATTTTTTCTACTAATTTCACCAAAATTACATTAAATATTATTTCATTTCAGTAAAGAATAATATTAAACTTTTTGAAACTAATTGAATTTTTTAAAGAAATTTTATTCAAATTGTATTGAAATAAATTGAAATCCTGCGACGAATTTGATGATTTATTAAAATAATTGAATAGTTTCTAAGAATTTTATTAAAATTTTCAAAAATAATTAAATTCCTGAGAAGAATTTTTTCATTTATGAAAATAATTGAAATATTGCGAAAAAATTTTATTAAAATGTTTAAAAAGAATTGAATTTCGGCGAAGAATTTTATTACTTTTGAAAATAATTGAATTTCTGCAATCATTTGTAATTTCTCTAAAATTATCCAAATTATATCGTGCAATTTACGAACTTTCCATACTTTTTGAATCAAATTTTGAAATAAATTGAATTGTTTCGAGAAATTTTATTAAAATTAATTTGAAAAAAAAAATTAAATTCCTGCAAATTTTTTTCGACGAATATTATTATAATTAAATTGAAAATAATTTAATTCTTGTGTAGAATTTTATTCTAATTTATTTAAAACAATTGAATTCTTTCGAGAAGTTGTAATAAAATTATTTTGAAAGTAATTGAATTTTTACGAAGAATTATATTAAAATTTATGAAATTAATTGAATTGTTTTGCGGAATTTCTTTAATTTTTTTTTAAAATAATAGTTTTTTTTATAATTTTTATTGAAAATTTTGAAAGTAGGTAATTGAACTTTACAAAGAATTTCTTTCAAGTTTGTAAAATAGTCGCGTTGATTAATAATAGTTATTAAACATTTAATTATTAAATTTTATTAAAATTTTTTGTAAATAATTCAATTCGTCTGATAATGTTATTCCAATTTTTGAAAATAACTGAAAATTTTTTTTAAATTGTGCTGAAAATAATTGAATTCTAACGATGAATTTTATGAAAATTTTTGTAAATATAATAAAAATGTACGAGACGTATACTACCACTCAGATGATACTTAAAATCTGGCGGCCCTGATGTCTCTGTTTACATCAGCAACTTTTTATTGCACTTCGATTTCTTCGATTTTCGATTATTAAAATCGTACTCTTCAAAATCTAAATGCATTCTTTCTTTTTTTAGTTTTTTTTTCTTATTGATCAATAGGAAAATAATATATTACCTGTTCGAGTAGAGAAGACGGAGCATCATAAAGGTGTTTCATCATATACTCCAGTAGAAGTAACAAGCGCGATAGATGAAGAATTTGTGAATCTTTCATGGGAGTTTTGACAGCTTCGCTGCATCGAACTGCGCCACTTCCCGTTACGAGCAAAACAGATTTCTTTTGCATTAAATTCAGAGAATGAAAGAGAAACAAAACAAGTTGCGCATGTTCCACATTCAAATCTGCAACAATATTAAAGTATTTTTCATTCAAATTATATTTGAATATTAAAATTAATTTTTTGAATAAAAAAATATTTAAAAAGTAAAAACTGTAATTCCTTTACCAAAATTCAATTATTTCTAAAAATCCATGCTATAATGCTTTTAATATTCAATTATTATATAAAATTTTAACTAAAATGCTTTTTAACTAAAAAAAATTGTATTATATTAAAAATAATTGAAATTCTGCGATGAGTTTTATTTATAAAAAAATATTTAAATTCATAAAAAGAATTTTATTATTTATGAAAATAATTCAAACCCTGTAAAAAAATTTATTATTTATTGAAAATAATTAAATTATTGCGAAGAAATTTATAAAAAAATTTGTAAATAATAGAATTCATATGATTTTGCTAAAAATGTTATTAAAAATTTTTTTTAAATTGATTTTTGTCAAGAATTTTATTAAAAATTTTAAAAATAATTGGATTTTGGAAAAGAATTTGATTAGTTTTGAAAATAATTGAATTTATGCAAAATTGCTGCAATCATTTATAATTTTTCCAAAATTAAATTTTTTTAGTGTTTTCAAGTAAAATTCGTCTATAAATCCACTCTTTTTAATTATTAATTAAATATATATTAAAAAATTAAACAAATTTCAGAAGAATTTGAAATATTAAAATTTTTAAAAACCTAAGTAATCTTTAAAATTTCTAATGAAATTCATGGAAAATTTGAAATTTTATAAAATTTCCCTATTCATCTACTTATGAAAATTGTAAACGCAATTCTTTTAAAATTGAATGAACTTTGAAATATTTAAGTGAAATTAGATTTCTGCATTTTAGAATAATATAGTTTTTTATACCTTCATTTTCAGCATCAGAATTCGCTGGTGAATTGCAAACATTTTCTACCATTGTCGTGACTAATCGGTGCCAAATACTTATGCACGCTGCTTCCTTTTCGAGTTGTGGTTTTAGTAAAAGTATCTGCCAAAGAAAGAATTTAGTTTAATTTTTTACTTTTTCTTTAATTATAAATTAAATAAATATTAAATTAATAAATGATTTAAATAAGAGAGATTAATAAATAATGTAATAATTAATAAATACCTGAGCGAGAACACTGAGTGTCCTCGGATAAACTTGCAGGGGCCAAGAGGAACTATTCGCATTTTCCGTCGCCCAGGGACTAACTCCCAAATGTTGCAGAAGCGTATTTTGCAGAGTTTCACTCAATGTATTTCTCGTCAGTAAATTATGTGTGTACAAACTGAGCGCTTGGGAGAATTCCGAATACATCGCTCCGAGTGTTGCGCCATAAAAAACAGATATAGTTCCCGTTTCCGTTCTCGCAGCCTCATGATCCAAATCCCTTATGATAGCCGCCAGAATAACCATTTGCTGTTCAACCAATCCATTCATGACATATTCCCTCACGTAAATACTCCGACTTCCCAGTAAATGTTGATTCATAAATTGAAATATCTGCGTTGCCAGTGAAATATATCCGTGTGGTTCACGATTATCGGGAACAATCGCAGTGGTCGCTCTCTCGACAGTCGGCTCATTATTCGTCTCCTTCGAGGCATTACTCGACTGACTGTCTGAAGGTGCCAAAGTCTCCTCGAACCAAAGTCCCAAAATCGGTTCACTGTCTTCTTCCTCGTCGGCCGAATTCTCCGAGCAACTCAACAAATCCTCGTAGTACGTGGTCGAGTCCGATTGACTCAATGTGTCGCCCTCGAGGGAATGTTTCTGCACTCGCTTTAAGGTGCAAGCTTTCCTGTAACTTATCGTTGCCAAGTAGAAAAGCAGATGATTAAGAGGCGCCGCTTGGAAAAATGTCGCCGCCCTCTGCAATGCCGTCACTGTCGCGAGAATATCCAAAGGCGCCGGTTCCGGTGTTGGCGGACGATTCGGACCCGCCTCCACGGAAACATCCTCCAAAAGTGCGCTCATCAATGTCAACGCATGTGACGCCAACGCCACTGACAATACACCAAAACCCTGTTGTACTTTCATCAAATTTATCCTCCCAGTTCCATCTCTAGCCTTACTCGGCGATTTTCCCTTCTCCTCCTTACTCTTATCCACCGCACTCACACTACTCACTGACAATTGCGCCTGCAACCCGGCAACAAGAAGCCAAACTCCAATCAAAAGATGATTCTGCAGAATATGACCACCGGCTCGTGTACTGTATTTTATTATATTTGAGACTAGACTGAATATTTCTAAACTTCTCTCCACAACATTTATTGCTAATGTATCGTATTCCTCCTCGGCACTTTTACCACTTTGATTGCCAGTTGCTTGGCCAGCTTGATTTGTACTACATTTCGGTGACACTGCATTCGTTATGCCAACGATACTCGACGCTGTTGCATTTGCAATTGAACAATAGAGACACGACATTGTGAGTAGTGATAATTTCTCTAATTTCACTGGTGTCAATGGCTCGAGAATCGGCAATGATACAACACTGTGAACGATATTTATATCATTCACAACTGAATGAAGACTGTAACGTATTGTATGCGCTTCTGAATGATTTGAAGGGAGGCAGAAACTTTTACGATTTAAAAAAGTTTGATACTTCCGACTGTAGCGTGACAAATGCGGAAGATTTGTACACATGTCTAATAATGTGTCTCCAGCGCTGATATTTTGGAGAGTTCCTATATTATTCGCCGTGAACATCATCTGCAAGGAAAATTAATATTCAATTACTCTCAAAATTAAATATTATTATTAATAATAATAAAGTGCATGCTCCGGTAATCTGTTCGCAGTTTAAAGTTTTAGTTGTTGTTTGCTTTTTTGTTTCTTAACTTTTTTATAATTTTTCTTTTCAAATATTTTCAATTTTAAAATTAATGTATTGAAAATCATCGAATTGTTGCAAAGAATTGTATAGAAATATTTGAAAATAATACAATTTTTTCGAGAAATTCAATTAAAGTTGTTTCGAAAATAATTGAATTCCTGCAAAGAATTTTACTATTTATAATATTAATTGGATTCTTGAGAAGAATTTTACTTTTATAAAAATAATTGAATTCTTTCGAAATGTGTTAAAAATTTGTTTAAAAAATCAATTCTTCTGAGGAGATCAATTAAAATTTATTGTTTTAAAAAAAAAATCATTAAATTTTTGTAAAGATTTTACTATTTAAAAAAATAATTGAATTGTTTAGAAGGATTTATTAAAATTTTAGAAAATAATTGAACTCTTTCGTGAAATTTTATTAAAATTTATGTAAAAGTTCTTTGAGAATTTTTTAAATCCTTTTATTTACAATTTAATTTTACGAAATTTCGATTATTCGATCATTGTTTAATTAAATTTATTATAAATTAAAAACTTCAAATAATTAAAAAAAAATTCCACTAAACTTTTTGAAAAAAATTTATTCCACAAATTTTTAATTAAAAGTATGAAAAATTCAAATTTTCAACGATTTTAATTTGAAACTTTTTGAAAATTCAATTATTTTTAAAAATACACGCTTTCAATATTCAATTATAATCTAAAATTTTAACTAAAAATAATTATAATTTTGCCAACACTTTTAATTTATAAAAATTCAATTATTTTCAAAAATTTAGATACAATTTTTATCATAGAATTCAATTACTTTTAATACAATTTTAACTAAATTCCCCTAAAAAATTTTTGTTTTCTTGGAAACAATTAAATTATTTTCAAAAATTGTTTTAAAATTCTTTAGAAGAATTCAACTATTTTCAGTAAAATTTGCAAAGGAAATTAAAATTTTTGTAAATAATTGAATTCCTGCGTAAAAATTTTATAATTCTGATCGAATTTTTACGAAGAATTCTATTAATTTTTTTTTTTTTTAATTATTTGAATTTCAGCGAAGAATTTCATTACTTGTGATAATAATTGCATTCTTGCAAAGAAATTTCCAAAAATTTTTGGAAAATAATAGAATAGTTTCAAAGAATTTTATAAAAAAAATTTGAATTTAATTAAAGAAGAATTTAATTAAAATTTTTCAAAATAATTTTTATTATTTCAACTATTAGAGGATTTATAGTCTAGATTTTCAAAGAAATTTAGTTTTTAGAGACAAAATTTTTAAAAAAGTATCCAAATAGTAGCTAATCGTAAAAAAAGTGAAGATTAATTTTTTTGACAGTGTCGCAAAATTATTGTAATAAAAATTTAATTTGAAGAAGAAATAAATAAAATTCATAAATTTCCTTCATTTGAACGTTCAGAACTTTAGGAACATATTTTAATATTAAAATACCTCCTAAAGTCATTTAAGAAGAAGAAGAAAAAAATACCTTTATGTCTGAGGCTTGTTCGTTGGAAACATTCTCAGGTAGTTTCGTTCCATCGGAGGTAACATCAATTCTCGCCGATAATGAAGGAATAAATTCTTGAAGAGGCATTGTTAATTGTTCAAGAATATTGCTCGACAAATCGCTTCGACTTCTCTTTGCTTCCTTGATGTGTTGTTGATTTGATTCTTTCTCGCCATTTGTCGATAATGGCGTTGTTGTACCTGTTGCTGTTGTTGTTGTTGATGTTGTTGCTGATGATGGTAATTTTGCATTTCTCAGAATTGTGACTAGAGCAACTTCTTCTGTTTTTACGAGAAGTGACTGTCCAACACAAAGTGAACGAATTGCAAGAAGCAATTGTTTCGTTGTTAAAATCGTTGACGATCCATCGCCAGGTTGGGTTTGATTTTGGGGCAATTTTCCCACTAAGTAGACCAATAGAATTTTGCATGCTTGCCAAACAAGTGGAATTTGATTTTTCGATACTGAAACAGAATTTTCCTCAAATTAATTTTTTAAAATTAAATTAAATTGACAGAAATTAAATTTAAACTATCAATTTTTCATGAAAGTTCTAAAAATAAAAAAATGACTAAAATCTATATTTAAATAATCGTTGTATATCGGTTATCTGTTCGCAGTTAATAATGTTTCTTAGTAAATATTTTCAATTTTAAAATTAATGTATTGAAAATCATCGAAATGTGGCAAAGAATTTTTAAAAAAAATTTGATAATAGAATTCCTTCGAAGAATTTTATTATTTACAAAAATAATTAAATTCTCGTGAAGAATTTTATTAAAATTTTTAAAAATTTTAATTAAATTCTTTTTGTTTAAATTCATTGAATTTTTTTTAAATAATGGAGTTTCTTTAATAATTTTAATTAAAAATTTTGAAAACAATTTCCTTCAAGTTTTTAAAATAATCGAGTTTATTAATAACTGAAATTAAACATTAAATTATTGAATTTTCATAAAATTTTAGAAAATAATTGAATTCTTTTGAAAAATTTTATAACGAATTAAGAAAAAAAATTGAATTCTTTCTTAAAATTTTTTAGAAAATAATTGTATTCGTTCGTGAAATGTTATTAAAATTTTGTTTAAAATTAATTGAATTTTTGCAAATATTTTACAATTTATAAAAATAATTGAATTCTTACGAAGAATGTTACTATTTATAAATGTAATTGAATTTTTTGGAAGAATTTATAAAAATTTTAGAAAATAATTTAATTCTTTTGAAGAATTTTATAACCAATTAAGAAAAAAATTGAATTGTATTAGTTCGTGAAATGTTATTAAAATTTGAATAATTGATTTTTGGCAAATATTTTACTATTTATAAAAATAATTGAATTCTTACGAAGAATGTTATTATTTACGAAAATAATTGAATTCTTAAGAAAAATTTTATTAATATTTTTGAAATTAATAAACAATTATTAATTAGTAAATTAGGTAGTTAATAATTGCATTTTTTTAAGTTGGAATTTGAAATTATTTAAAAATTCATACATTAAAAATAAAAAATTTTCTAATTTGCATAATTTGCTAGTTTATCTATATATTTCCAGAATATCACTATTCTTAATGGAAAAAATTAGTCATATTTTGTTTTTCGTAAAGCAAAAGAATTTAAATTTAAAAAAACTAAATCTCCCCCTCCCTTTTTTTTAAGTTGCGGAAAATAATTTCTTGTCTAAATTTATTATATCTATACATGACGAGTAGAAATAGTTGATCAAGGTGACACTCAAAATATAAACATAAACCATAATAAATTTACTACTTTTCAACTTTTGCAAGATGTCGCTTATTTAGGTGTATGTATATGTATAAAATTAACAAAGAACGATCAATCAAATTTAAATGTTCGTAATTTTTTAAAACTATGATTATTATAAACTAAAAACAAAAATAATGAGTCAAAAAATTCAATTTTATAATATAATTTCTCTAAACAATAATAATTGATTTTGCAAATAGTTTTATCAACTTTTTTTTCTAAATATGATAATGTATACGTATACAATAAGTTATACGAATAGTGAAGAGACACACACAACGTTCAGGTCATTGGGTAAAAAAACTTACATGAATTCGCGTAACCACTGATGTAATCAGCAATTAAAGCAGCAAAAGACGTATAAAAGGCCTCATGGGATTCATCGTGATTTGAAAATTCTGATTCACTGAAAAATTAAACGTTAAATAGATCGATAAATATACGTCTCTCCAGTCAAGTTTAACGAGCATCCATTTCTGTACTGTCACCTTTAGCAGGCGGTTAATTTTCTTTATTTTTCACGTGTATTTCCATATTGTTTTGCAATAAAATTAGGACCTACCTTTTGACAATTGCTTTAACAAGGTCAATAATCTCATTTTTGTTGAATGAACCATAAGATGCAGATAAAATTGGCTTAATAATTGACGACCAGTCAACGGAGCCACCGCTCTTCGCCGCCATTTTGAAAACTGAATTGCACTCACACACAAGCTATAAATATGTGTAAAAGATGTAAAATAATTTTTCTTTCTTTTTTTCTTCTTTAAATTTTGTTGTCTGATAATTTAGAACATTTAGAATTCCGAATATATCAAATATATATAAGATTTGTTTCTAAGGTTTATTTCACATAAAATAAATAAGCATTCATTTGACTTTTACTCTCAAGTCCTTCAAAAAAGGAACTTGACATTTCGAGAGTTTAAATTCTAGATTATTTTTATATTCCGCCTTATTTTATTACAGAAAATTATTCATATATTTCATATATTTTCAAAAAAATAATACATTATTATTTCACGAGGGTTAAAAGGGTTAAAGAATAATTTTTTAGGTTCGGTTCATTTAAATAGCGCGCCTTCAACAAAAAGGCAGGTTCACAACTATGTCAGGGTTGGGAAACTATAATCGTTACGAAAAAAATGTGAATTTAGCCTAAATTTTCAAATTTTAATATTTATTAATTATTAACAGTCATAAATTTATACTTAGTATAAAATATTTATTCAATTATTTACCTTATGTAGCTAAAATAAAATTTTTTCGAAATGAAAGACTTATTTAACTACTGAAATTATGTACAATAATTATAAAGATAAGTATTTTTTTACACTTCGAATATTAGCTAATAAAAATTCTCTCATTCTCTTATTATTAAATAATTCGATGTAAATCAAATTTAATCTCGTTTAAGGGGAGGAAACACCGATATTTTTAACTATATCAAGAAAATAATTTAAATATTTCGCAAAATTATTTTTAAAGTAATTTTTTGTGAGGGTCATAAAATATTTTGACCCTTTTTTAATTTTTATTTTTCTTAAAAATTGGTGAATTTTGTTATAAAAATTATGATCTAATATTAGTTAGAAAAATAAACAAATGAATTTTCAAGTAAAAAAATTATTTATTTATTTATAATACAATTTTAATTAAATTCCCCAAAGAATTTTAATTTTCTTCGAAACAATTTAATTATTTTTAAAAAGTATTTCAAAATTCTTTAGAAGAATTCAATTATTTTCAGTGAAATTTGAATTAAATTCCTCGAAAGAATTTAAATATTCTTCGAAACAATTAGGATTATAAAAATTAATAATTAATAAAGTAATTAATTATTTCTTAAAATTCAATAATTAGAATTTTAGAACAATTTTTTGAAAAGAATTGATTTTTTTTCAAGGCTTTAAATAAAATTTTTGTTATAATAATTACATTTTCCAAGTAATTTATTTAAAATTGTATTAAAAATAATTGAAATACTGTGAAGGATTTTATTATTTTTTACAAAAATAATTGAATTCTTGCAACGAATTTTATTCAATTATTTAAATATACAAAAATAAATAAATTACATTCAAAAATTTAGAAACAATTTTCATCATAGAATTCAATTATTTTTAATACAATTTTAAATTGTATTAAAAAAAAATCTCTTTTCTCCTAAAGAGTTTTAGTTTATTTATTTATAAAAATTTTAGAAAATAATTGAATTCTTTTAAAATATTTTATAACCAATTAAGAAAAAAATTGAATTCTTCCATTAGGCAATTTTTTTATGGATTCAAAAACATATTTTCTCCAAAATTACCCATGGATTTCAAAATCCACCAATTTTTAATTAAGAAAAACAAAAATTCAAAAAGAATCAAAATATTTTCTGACCTATTTTCCTTTTTATGATTCCTTAGAAAAAATTACTTTAAAAATAATTTTGTGAAATATTTAAATTATTTTCTTGATGTAGTTAAAAATATCGATGTATCATCCCCTTAATTTCGTTTAATAAAAATTTACTCTCAGGTAAATTAAAAAACGGTTCTTGAATGTCGAGTTATCAATATTCTATCAATAAGTTCACTTCGTTTTTTAATAAGCGATGTCTTGTCGTTTTCTACTAAACCTTCATCGACATTCTTCACGACAAACTGATTTATAAATAGTCTCAGTGCCTCCCTAAAGGAATTCAACTTATCTGATCGAGTTATTCGTTCGAATACTGCTAAACAGTTTTCCAAATTTTCATGCATGAAAATCCCAAGTACAATTTGTCGGAGAAGTTTCATTTTTGGTTTATCAAGTTCATCAAGTTGTATGACCTGAAATTTATTCGGTTTATTATTAAGACTTTCCATAAATCAGGGCTCGAACCAGTGAAAGTATTTAAAAATACTGATTTTACGGACTAAAAATAAAAAATTACGGACCAAATACTGACAAAAATATAACCAGTCCGAATCAAATAAGAGAACATTTTACTTAAAACTATAAATTAAATTTTTATTAAATTAAATTTCTTCGACTCTGAGTGACTGATTTCTTAATGTTTTGTAATAATTAAAAATGTCAAATTGATAAAATCATTATTTTATACTATAAGAATATTGTACTTCTTCAAACTTATTTTCATCATTTCAATTCAATTATTATTTTATTTAAAATTTTTAACTAAAACTATTCTTAAAATCAATTAATTTTCGAAAAAGTTCTTTGACAATTTTCAAATCCATTTGATTACAATATTCAATTTTGAGAAATTTCAATTATTCGTAAATTCTTCAATTAAATATACATTAGAAAATAAAAACTTCAAATAATATACAAAAAATTCAATTAAACTTTTTCAAAAAAGTTATTTTCAAAATTCAATTATTTCTAAAAATTCATAATTATAGCTTTTAATGTTCAATTATTATCTAAAATTTTGACTGAAATTAATGTTTAAAACCATTTTTATTAGAAAATTCTACTAGAATTCAATTATTTAAATACAAAAATAAATCATTTATTCAAAAATTGACTGTTTCTTAAAATTGAATTTTATAAACAAATTTTTAAATAATTGAATTCTTTCGACGATTTTTAATAAAATTTTTAAGAATAATTATACATTTTCCGAAAAATTCGATTAAAATTAATTTATTCTAGTAGAATTTACAAAAATAAAAATTTATTTAAAAATGAATTTTTGTTAAAAACAAGTAAATATGAAAATTCTTCAAAAACTTTTACAAAAATGATTAAAAATATTGGATTTATAGAAAATTTTTAGAAAAAAACACTAAAAAAAATTAATTTTAGAGAAGTTACAAATTATTGCAGAAATTCAATTATTGTTTTCAAGAGTAATAAAATCCATCGCAGAAATTTAATTATGTTCAAAAGTTATAAAATTCTTCTTAGGAATTCAATTATTTTCATAAATAATAAAACTCATCGCAGAATTTCAATTATTTTAATACAATTAAATTACTTAAACACAAAAAAAATTATTTTCTTTAATATTTTAATGTTCTTAAAATTGAATTCTCATAAAGAATTTAATCAAACAAATTTTGAAATAATTGAATTTTTTTGGTGAATTTTAATAAAACTTTTAAGAATAATTACGTTTTATGAAAAATTCTATTTAAATTTTATTAAATAAAAATTATATTAAAAAATTAAAAATAATTAAAATCTCACGTAAAATTTTATTAAATTTTTTTAAGTAATTGAATTCCAGTGAAAAATTTTATTCTTGAAAAGAATTGAATTCTTGGGAAGAATTTTATTAAAATTTCTTAAATAATTGAATTGCTTCGAAGAATTACGAAAATAATTTATGAAGAATTTTATGAAAATTTTTTAAAATAATTTAATTCTCTAGAAAAATTTTTTTATTCAATTTTTTTTAAATAATTGAATTTTTATAAATTGTCAATTGAAATCCCATTATTTGTGAAAATAATTGAATTCTTAAGAAGAATTGTATTGAAAATAATTGAATTGTATAGTAAAATTTTATTAAAATTGCAATTTTATTAACTAAATCATGTAAAGAATTTTGTCAACACTTTTTTAAATAATAGAATTTTTAAAAGAATTTTATTTAAATTTTTCGAAATAATTGAATTTCTCAGAACTATTTTTTTTAATACTCTGAATACATTTGAATTCTTTCGAGTAACTTCATTAAAAAATTAAAAATAATTAAATTGGTGCGAAGAAATTTATAAAAAATTGGTAAGTAATTGAATTTCAGTGAAATTTTTATTAAAATTTTGTTTAAATAATTGAATTCTTTTGGAAATTTTTATTAAAATACTAGATATTGAAAATCATTGAATTGAGGGAAATTTTTGAAAATAATTGAAATTTTGCCAAGAATTTTATGAAAATTTTTGAAAATAATTGAATTTCGGTGAAGAATTTTATTATTTCTAAAGATAATTGTAATTTTAACGAGAATTTTTTTTTTTTTTGAACATAGTTGAATTTCTGCGAAGAATTTTATTACTTTTGAAAATAATTGAATTTCTGCAATCATTTGTAATTTCTCTAAAATTATCCAAATAAAATAAAATTCAATAAAATTACGGACTTTACGGATCTTTAAAAAAAAATTGACTTTTACTAACTCCAAGCAAAATTACGGACTTTTACGGGATTTACAGACCTAGTTCGAGCCCTACATAAATTGAAATATTTATAATAATAATTATAATTATATAAATATAATTATAATTATAGAATTAAATTTATTCTTACCTTCATTGTTGAAATCGACAAACCGCGTTGTAAAAATAAATGTGTCAGAAATAGTGCCAAATTCTTGATTTGTTTATTGTTAAAAGTATCGAGGGTTTTTAATTTGTCCCAAAGGGTGTATTGAATTGTCATCTAGAAACGTAATTTAATATGTAATAAATCTGCTAATAATAAAAAGTTTTAGTAAAGTTATTTTTTTTTTAAATAAAAGTATAACAATAACAAACCTGATATTTTCTATCGTAATCGCAAAATTTTTGCGCGAGTACAGCATAGTAAGGATTGAAATTATTTTCTTGCAGGCAGCAGTTCATGAGAACGTGAATAATTTCCTTCTCCTGTCCATCTCTTAAACTGAGTCGATGAAGTTTTTCAAAAGCGTCCAAATAATCTTCGGCCGACATTAGAATACAAAAGATATTTCTTCTTGTGTCCGTATTCATTCGTTGCTTCCGCGCTAATTCTAACAATTTTTTACTATATTCCGGCTTGTTATTTTCCTGTTTTTCCAATTTTGTTGCTGTCGCATTTCCCGTCCATGCCGCACCGACTATCCACCATTTTCCCCTTTCGTCAGCTGTTAATATAACAAAAAATTGTTATATTCGAATTATTTTATTGTTATATTTTATTTATTGTTACGTTTTTATCAAAATTAATTAATTTTGTACACAAAATGATAAATTGAATGTTGAATTTCTTTCAATAGCATAAAATAGAAATTAAATTGTACCCACCATTAAGAAGATCATCCAAAGTTATATTAAGTTGTGAAACACTGTTTCCTTTACGAATTAAAGTCTTGATAAGTTTCTTCATATGCTCCATGACTGAAGGATCATATTGAGGAATTTTGTTAATATTATTATTCTTAATAGCCAGTAAAATATCTAACATGAATTTCACTCTCGAGCTGAATAGAGAAAAAAAATACAAACATTAAAATCAAAATGAAAATATAAAACAAATAAAATTATTTCTAGTAAAAAATTATTAACCTACTTTTCGTATTTTGTGTCAGTTGCTTTTTTCTGTAATCCCACAATCAATTCCTTCAAACTAATTGGATCATCTTTTCTCAAAAGGAATCCAACACTTTTCAAAACCAACAGAATTAAATCAATTTCCTTCTCGGTGAATTTCTCCGATAATTTTTCGAGAATTTCGTAAATTAATTTCGATCCACAGACCTATTTTGATATAATTGTTATTATTAATTTTTTTGAAACGGTCTCGTATTTTACGAAAATAATTAAAATAGACACTACTCACTTTAAAATTATAAAGATGCGAAAGCATTAGAATTGAATTGTCCAATTGTTTATTCTCAACTTTCAGCGATGGGTCAGCAAGTGATTCGTGAATTCGTTTCACGAGTGTCAGTAAAAATTGTGAACCAACTTCAGAACCAACATTTGCGTGAAGAACTGCAATTAACATCATGTGCTCAATAATTAAACGATCCGGTGTCATTGTTGGTAGTACCAGTGCTTCGAATATTAATTTCGTCAACATTTCGTTCATATCGTTGCGACTGTTTTGTAGATACAATTCTTCAATCTTTAAAAGAGAAATATAAATGATAAATAATTAAATAAATTTAAAAGAAAAGAAAGGGAAATACTAATAAAGTAAAGAAAAGAAAAGAAAATACCAGACTTCGCATTCGATAATTAAATTTAAAAAACTAGCAAAAAGTAGCCGTCAAACTAAAAAAAAGTAGTAAAAAAGTAGCTATCGAAAAATTCAACTTGACGACTAAAAAAAAGCGTTTTAGACACTTTACGAAACTGAATTTAAATATTTATAAAAATAATTTAATTCTTGCAAAGAATTTTATAAAAAATTTTAAATAATTGATTTCTTTCGACTACTTTTATGCAAATTCTAATTTAAATAATTGAATTCCTGAGAAATTTTTATTATTCATGAAAAGAACTGAATTCTTACGAAGACTTTTACTAAAAATTTTGTTAAATAATTGAATTCTGTTAGGAAATTTTATGAAAATAGTAGATATTGAAAATTATTTTATTATTTTTGAAAATAATTGAATTCTTGCGAACGATTTTATTAAAATTTTTTTATATAGTTGAATTACCAAGAAGAAATTTATTATTTTCAAAAATAATTAAATACTTGTGATGAATATTGTTATTTATGAAAATAATTGAATTCTTGATTCTTCATAAAAATTTTATTAAAATGCCTTAAAATAATTGAATTTTCGGGAATAATTTTGTTATTTATCTTTAATAATTGAATTCTTTCGAAGAATTATTTTTGTAAATAATTGAATTGTTCCAAAGAATTTTAAAAAATAATTTTTTAAATAATTGATTTTTTCGAGGAATTGAAATTAAATTTTTAAAAATAACGACATTTTTTGAGCAATTCCTGTAAAATAGTATTAAAAATAATTGAAATCCTGCTAAGAATTTTATTATTTATGAAAATAATTGAATAGTTGCTAAGTATTTTATAAAAATTTTCAAGAATAATTGAATTCCTTAGAATAACTTTAATATTTATGAAAATAATTGAATTCTTGTTTAGAATTTTATAAAAAAAATTTTTTAAAAAATTGAATTTCCATGAAATTGTTATGATTAGTGAAAGTAATTGAATTATTGTGAAGAATTGTATAAAAATTTGGTTAAACAATTGATTTTTCGAAATTTTTTTGAAATTGCTATTCTAAATTAATTAATTAATTTAATTGAATTCTAATAAAATAATAAACAGAACTGAAATAGATTGTAAAATCAATAATACTGATGAAATACCTGTGAGGATATTGTGTGCATGTTTCGATCAGTCAATCTGTTTAAAGGACCTTTTAATTGCCTTTTTAATTGAATTAATTTCTCATTATTTTGAGAATCTTGCTCGAGATTTTTGGCACGAACTGCCGGTGGTACATAGCGATTGGAAAGAACGTTACCATCTTTATCTCTTGTTCTTCCATAAATGTCTTCCCAATTTTTCGAATTTTCCTCTTTCGTAGAATCATTATCACTATCATTATCATCATCACCTGACATAAAACTGGTGTTCGTTTCCATTTCGTCTTCCTCATCACTGTTAATTTCCATTTCGTCTTCTTCATCACTGTTCATTTCCATTTCGTCTTCCTCATCACTGTTCATTTCCACTTCATCTTCCTCGTCACTGGTGTTCATTTCCATTTCGTCTTCCTCATCACTGTTCATTTCCTCTTCGTTTTCCTCGTCACTGGTGTCAATATTCATCTCGTTTTTCTCGTCACTTGTATTCAGTGTATCATCCTCTTCATCGAAATCATCAGAATTAATATCATCACCGACTAATTTATTTTTTTCCTTCAATTTCTTATTTTTCCTTTTATTAGAGTCGTTATCATCAGAAGAAAAATCCTCATCTGACATGCAGTCGGAATCTTCAGAATTTTTCTTCTTCTTTCTCTTCTTTAGAGTTTCTCCAGCAGCGACATAAAAGTCCTCTTCAAAATCCAATTCGGGATCAACGCCAATTAATTGCTTTTCAGTTTCAGCGACAATTTTTCTCTTCTCTTCATCGCACATGTCCAAAATATCTAATTATGTTCTTAAGAAAAACAGTGAATTACTAGAATGTTATAGTACGAAAAACAAATTACTAAAAGATGACAGTGAAAAAAATTATGAATTACCAAAATTTACTACTGCAAAAAACAAATTTCTTTAATTGTAAAATTATTCAAAAATATCAATAACTTCTTTTCTAAATAAATAATATTAAATTATTATAATTTTTCTGTAGGAACTAAAATTCTTCAAAACATTCAAATTCAAACCTTTTTGAAAATAATTTCAAAAAGGTTAATTAAAAAAAAAATTTTAATAAATTAAATTTAAAAAAAAAGTTAATTATTTACAAAAATCATAATAAAATCCTTCGCAAGAATTCAATTATTTTTACAAGTAGTAAAATTTCTCAAAAAATTCAATTATTTAAGTACTTTTAATAAAAATCCCTGACTTCCCTGACCTGTGGCAACCCTGAGTGAACTACCACAAGGTGACAGTAACAAAAACAGTAAATTACAAAAATTTACTACTACAAAAAAAACTTACTACTTATATAAACGAAATGTGAAATATTTTTTAAGTAAAGAAATAGAATAAAAAAAGGATACAATCGACACCATCCGATATAAATGATTTCGGTAGATTCTTATTCTTCCGTTTATTCATTTTTAAAAATTTCTCTGCCTGCTTTATTGTTCTGTCATCGTCTATTGCAGATTCGAGCATTTGCTTCTTTTTATGTTTTAACATTTCCATTTTTAACTTTTCTTCCTGTTTTTTTTCCAATTCGTGTTTTCTCGTCAATTTGTCGACAGCATTCTTCTTTACTTTACCCTCTGTTTTAATTCCACGATCATTTGAATCTTTTACTTTAAACTTAACATTCTTGATTAATTTCTCATCCTTTTCTTTATTCTCATCAAAATTATTTTCTTTCTTGCCTTTATTTTGATTGAAAGCATGTCGACTTTGCTTCTTCTCCATGCGTTTCTCCTTTCGTTTTTGCTTCCTTGTTTTTTGTATTGGCTTCTTCTGCTTCTTCGCATTTTTCTTCTTGAAACCAGATTTTGCCGCACACATTTTTAACCAGTTGTTTTGAACCTTTTCTTAAATATTATATTAGAAACAAATAACTTTTTCTCATTTTTTAAAAAAATGAGAGGTTAAACGAGGTAAACAGAAACACACGTGTTTATAATGGTTGATTTCCAAGTTCGCACTTTGTGTATAGACCTTTAATTTAGTTGTACCAGCGTTGGGTAGGTAAATTACTTAAGTTTAGATTATGGTCGAAGTCTTGTAAAATTTATTAAATATAACAATAATTATTATTTTAGTAAATTATTATTTAAAATAATTTTACTCTTTTCGAATTGGAAATATTTGAAAATTTTAATTTTCTCAACAAGAGTGAGAGAGAAAGAGAGATAGCTCGAAAATCTAAAGGTGCGTACATAGTTCGTGTGAAAATTCTGTCCAGTTGCCCAAAAAATAATTGGAAGTGTGTACTCAGCTTTAGAATAAAGAAGAGATAGACTATATTTATCTTTTTCCCTCTCACTGGAATTTTTTTTAAGGAAAAGTTCTGCTTGCATTTTGAGATTAAAGTCAACTCAAAACAAAAAAAGAAAGAAAAAAGCTACTTTGTATGTGTGCTTTGTTGACAGAGTAGGTAAAGGTGTGACCGTACCCTTAAACAACTTTTACATAAAAGTAAAAAATTTCATTCTTACGTATGTGCGTATTTTATTTATATAAAAAAAGTAAAAATATAATTATTAAATGAAGTGTAATTATGTTTAAGAAAGGCAGTTGAAGGATTTTTAAAAAAAAACAAGGTACACAAATGACAGTTCAATTAAGCTTATATTGTTTTCAAGAAAAAAATCTTATCAATGTTTTTGTGCTTTAAAAACTAAGAAAATTTTAATCAAAACTAGAAAAATTATTGATAGTTGTAAATATAGATATTTTTCAAATTAATTAACAACTTACTTTGTTTTTATAGATATTCTCATTTTTCACTATTTGAAGTGATTTTCCATTTAGTTAACTAGATCAAGAGTATGGTTAATTGTTGTAAATGTTGAGTGTAAAGAGAAAAATTTGCCTTGCAGATCTTTATTACAAGGCCAAGCAATCTTTTACATGTCGAGGTCAAGAATTTTGAAAATCATAATGCAATTCTCTGGTAAGAGATGACACTGGTTTTTTAATTTTTATTATTATTATTATTATACTTTTTATATACCTAATGAATATTGTTTATGAATTATGATAATTATTTTTATTAAAATTGACAGGTGTCAAGAATTCAGAGTGTCGTGAACATTATTTTTGGAGAAACAGTAGACACAGACAATGAGATTTATTTCATTAAAATTTGTCAGTACTTTTAATGTACTGAAAAATGGATTTGGCAAACATTCTAGCAGTATGGATTATAATGTGGTGTTGCCTGATGAGATGCTTCGATTTAGCATCTCAGGCATCATCGAGACCAGTTCCTTGTGACAAGACAAGAAAAATATTCACCGATTCCTGGGGCATAATAAGCGATGGTCCCATGGGATCGAATTACACTCAAGATTCCCATTGCGAATGGTTGATAAGAGCGAATTCAAGTCGACAATTTATAACATTAAGTTTTCGAACTATGGGTACAGAATGCAGTTATGATTATGTGTTTGTTTACGATGGTGATTCCTTCAAGTCTCCATTATTAGGTAGTTTTAGTGGTAAAACCGAACCACAACAAGTTACATCCACATCGGGTTTTGTGAGTTATTTTCAATTTTCATACTTTTCCTTCTTGTTGATTAATAATTATTATTTTTACTTATTATTTTGTAAACTAAAAAATGTTCATATTTTCTAGAATTTTAATATAAATTCATTTATTTTAAATAATTTTCATGAAATTCTTTTTAAAAAATCAAAATTTTTAATAAAATTCCTTCAAAAAAATCAATTATTTTCAAAATTTTTAATAAAACTCCAAAAAAATCAATTATTTTAAAAACTCAGATAAAATTCTTCGAAACAATTAAATTATTTTTATAAATTAAAAAATTCCTCGGAACAATTCAATTATTTTTATAAATAATAAAATCCTCCAAAGGAATTCAATTATTTGCATAAATAATGAAATGTTTCGGAGAAATTCAATTATTATTTTTAAAAGTTTTAATAAAAATTCAATTATTTTTAACAATTATGCTAAAAAAAATCCTTCGAAAGAATTCAATTATTTTTAAAAATTATAAAATTCTTCTGAGAAATTCAATTATTTTTAATACAATTTTAATAAAATTTCTAGTAAAAAATCCAATTATATTTATGACAATTTTAATAAAATTTCTCTAACAGGTTCAATTATATATATTTAAAAATTGTGATAAAATTTTTCTAAACAATCCTTCTGTTCTCAAAAGTTTTTAATAAAATTCTTTGTAAATTTCAATTATTTTTGAAAATTTCAATTTAAATTATTTTTAAAAATTACAATATTTTAACAAAATTTAATTAAATTCTTCAAAAAAAAAAAAAAAAAAATGTAAATTGTTTACAAAAACTATGATAAAATTGTTTAAAAGAATTTAATTTTCTATGAATAATTTTAATATAATTTAATAGGAAAATTGTTAATTAGAATTAATAATAAACACGATTATTTTAAAAACTTGAAAGAAATTCTTCATAAAATTCAATTATTTTCCAAATTTTCAGTAAAAATTATTTTAAAAATGTTCATTATTTCAAAAAATTTTGATAAACATTTTGCTAAGAATTAAATTATTTTGAATAAAATTTTAATTACATTTTATCAAAAGAATTCAATTATTTTTAAAAATATTATTTAAAACATTATTTTCAAGAGTTTTAATAAAAATTCAATTATTTTCAACAATTCTGCTAAATTTCTTGTCAAGAATTCAATTATTTTTATAAATTGTAAAATTCTTGTCAAGAATTCAAATATTTTTGTAAATAATAAAATTCTTTAGAGAAATTCAATTATTTTCAATATAATTTCAATAAAATTTTTCTAATAGGTTTAATTATTTTTAAAAATTGTAATAAAATTTTTCTAAACAATTTAATTGTTCTTCAAAGTTTTTAATAAAATTCTTTGTAAATTTAAATTATTTTCAAAATTTTCAATTAAAATTACTTAAACAAATTTCATTAGGTTTACGAAATTTAATGATTTAATTTGCTTTAATTTGCTATGAAAAATTTTAATTTATGAAAATAATTGAATTACTGCGAAAAATTTTATTAAAATGTTTAAAAAGAATTGAATTTCTGTGAAAAGTTTTATTTTCTTTTAAAAATAATTGAATATAATTTTATTAAAACTTTTTAAAATAATGGAATCCTGCCAAAAAAATTTATTATTTCCGCAAATAATCGATTTTTTGTAAAATTTTTAAAAATAAGTGAATTTTTGAGAAGATTTTTATAAAACTTGTATTTAAAATAATTGAATTCCTGGGAAAATTTACTACATATTTATTGATATAATTCGAATTTTCCGAGAAATCATTTAAAAATGGAATTGAAAATAAGTGAAATTCTGATAAAAATTTTATTATTTATATAAAAATAATTGAATTATTCATAAAAATCAATTTTTTAAAAAATTTTTAGTAAAAATTATTAAAAAAAGACTCTATTATTTTCAAGAATATTGAAATAAATTCTTAAAAACAATTAAACTATTTAAAGAATTTTAATAAAAATCTTGCCAAGAATTTTACTATTTATGAAAATAATTTAATTGTTCCGAAGAATTTATTAAAATTTTAGGAAATAAATTAATTTTATATAAATATATTTGATAATAATTATTAAATTCTTTTGAGGAATTCTATTAAAATTGTTTTGAAAAAGAATTAGATTTCTGCAAAGAATTTTACTACTTATTTTAGAAAAAATTGAATTGTTTTGAAGAATTTTATAGAAATATTTGAAAATAATTAAATTCTTTCCAGAAATTCAATTAAAGTTGTTTTGTGAATAATTGAATTTCTGTAAAGAATTTTATTAAAATTAAGCATATTCAAAATAATTGTATTCATCCGAAGAATTTTATTATTTTTTGAAAATAATTAACAATTTTTTAGACGAATATATTTAAAAATTGCATTTAAAGTAATTTAATTTTTATATAGAATGTTTAAAAAATATTTTGAGAATAATTGAATTATTTTTAAAGAATTTTAAATTCTTGTTGAAATTGCATTTTATGGAAATTTTTGAAAATAATTAAATTCTTTCGTGTAATTTTATTTATATTTGATTAAAAATAATTTAATTCCTGCACAATGAATTTTACTATATTTATAAAAATAATTGAATTCTTGCGATGAATTTATTAAAATTTAAGGAAATAATTGAATTTTATGGAAATATTTAAAAATATTTGAATTCTTTCGAGAAATTCAATTAAAATTGTTTTGAAAATAATTTAATTCCTGCACAATGAATTTTACTATATTTATAAAAATAATTGAATTCATTCGTGAAATTTTATAAAAATTTTAGAAAATAATTGAATTTTTCGTGAAATTTTATTAAAATTTTGTCAAAAATAATTGAATTTTTCGTGAAATTTTATTAAAATTTTGTCAAAAATAATTGAATTTTTGCAAAAAATTTTACTATTTATGAAAATAATTGAATTCTTCCAAAGAATGTTATTATTTATATAAAAATAATTTAATTGCTTAATCTTTTTTTCTTATTTTTCTTTAACTGTTTTTGTAATTTAGTGTCTTCTGTAAGTAATATTTTTCTTTTTATGTTCACAGATGTTAATTTTATTGTACAGTGATACAAATTACGTTTTGGATGGATTTCATGCTGAATTTTCAGTGACTGATTGTCCAAATAATTGTACTGATCATGGAAAGTGTATTAATAATACATGTTTTTGTGAAAACGATTGGGGTGGTCGAGACTGCTCAAAAATATTGTGTCCGAATAATTGCGGTCAAGGTGGCCGATGTGATATTAAACGATGTCAATGTTTTGACAATTACTCAGGACAATCTTGTTCCCTGCATAAAACTCATCCAGAAGGAAATCGATGGCATTGGCTTTCGCATTCAGAAGGTGGAATGACACCAAGAGCAGCTCATTCATCAGTTTATGTTAATGAAACTGATTCTTTATATGTATTCGGAGGTTATAATCTCAATTTTATACTCAGTAATTTGGAAGTTTATCGTTTTAATATTAGCAAATGGGAAGATGAATCTGGCTCCATATTGGGTAAATAAAACTTGTTTCTTTTATCTTTTTCTTTTTAAAAATACAATTTTAAATAATGAAAGAAAATTCTATTCTATTCTATATTAAAGAGAACATATTTTTACAGAAGGAACGTCATCGGCCGAATATTTAGATCCAATGTTACTTGCCAGTGAATTAGGTGTTGGGGAACAATATGGTCTCACGAAAACGTCAATAATTTGGAAAGTCTTAAATAACATTAAAGCGAATAGCACCATAAGGACTGCAATAAAAAGTCATAGAAAACGAGATCATAGAGGAAAGATTATTTCCTCGCAAAGGAAGCATTCCCGAAGAATTAGATCTCAGTACTTTCAATATTCAACACGAAGGTCTGTTCATGAAACTTAAAAAACGAATAATTAAAATAACGCATAAAGGGGAAATTTAATTTATTAAACATAATTACAGATATGAAAAACCATTCGATAGTGCTTCACGTTTCAAACGATCAACTAATGAAACGTGGAAGGACAAAGTAATTGATGATTCAGTGGAAAAGAATATTTTTTCTCAAAAAATATTTAAATCCCAATCAACGACAGAATCGAATTTCCTCAAGGAGCAAATGGAGGAGAATTTTCAAGAAATCCCAAAGCCAGGTGCAAGATACGGTCATGCGGCATGCAAATATCAAGGTCTGAATTTTTAATTTTATATTATTTGTAATTTATCACGCTTCGCACTCATTTACTAAAACCTACTATTTACTACTTTTTTTTACGATTACCTACTATTTGGAAACTTTTTTTTAAATGTGTGACACTAAAAGCTATTTTTTTCTTTTGTTTTTAATTTTCTTGAATTTAAATCTGCTAATAGTTGAAATAATTTAATTATTCTTTCAAATTTTCATAAAATTATTTGAAAATTCAATTATTTCCAAAAATTTGAATAAAATCATTCGCAATAATTCAATTATTCAATAATAAAATTCTTTAAAAGAATTCAATTATTTCCAATAAATTTTAATAAAATTCAATATTAAAATCTTTAATTACAATAGTTTTAACAAACTCAAGTAAAATTATTTTAAAAAAACTATTATTTACAAAAGATTTAAAGAAATCAGTCAATAAAATTCTTCTCAGGAATTCAATTATTTCTTAAAAATTTGAGTAAACTGTTTTCATTCTAATTATTAACAAAAACACGATTATCTTAAAAAATGTAGAGAAATGTTTTGAAAAAATTTAATTAATTTCAAAATTGACAATAAAGAAAACTAAATTTTCAATTAAAATTTAAAAAGAAATTAATTTATTTTCAATAGATTTAAAGAATTTAGTCAAACAAATTCAATTAATTTCGAAAAATCCGATAAAATTCTTTAAAACAATTCAAATTTTTAAAAATATTTTAATAAAATTATTATAATTACAATTTTTAACAAAAGCGATTATTTAAAAAAAATTCAAAGAAATTCTTCATAACAATTCAATTATTTACAAAAATTTTAAGAAAATGTTAATTGAAATTTAATTATTTTTAAAAATTATAACATTCTTTATAGGAATTCAATTACTTTAACAGTTTAATAAACAAACAAACATTTTCTCTAGAATCTAATTATTTTTAATACAATTTTAATTAAATTATTCTTTCAAATTTTCATCAAATTATTCGAAAATTCAATTATTTTCAAAAATTTTAATACAATTCTTAGCAAGAATTCAATTATTCAATAATAAAATTCTTTAAAAGAATTCAATTATTACCAAAAAAATTTCATAAAATTCAATATTAAAATTTTTAATTACAATAATTAACAAACTCAAGTAAAAATTATTTTTAAAAAAACTATATTATTTTCAAAAGATTTAAAGAAATTAGTCAATAGAATTCTTCTCAGGAATTAAATTATTTCTTAAAAATGTGAATAAAATGTTTTGGAATTTAATTATTTTTAAAAAGGATGATAAAATTCTTTATAGGACTTCAATTATTTTAATAAACAAACAAAAATTTTCGCGAGAATGCAATTATTTTTAGTATAATTTTAGTTAAATTAATAAATTATTCAAAATAATTGAATTATTCTTTTAAATGTTCTTCAAATGATTTATTATTTATATAATATTAAAAAAATAAAATAAAACTCATTCCAAGAATTGAATTATTTTTAATACAATTTTACATGAATTCCTCGAAAAATTTAATTATTTTCAAAAGTTTCATTAAAATTCCTTGAAAAAAATAAATTATTTTCAAAAATTTTGATAAAATTTTTATTCAATTTTAAGAAATAATCAATTATTCTATCAATTATTTATTTTTCTACTTAAATAAGTTAATTATGTATTGTGAAACTTTTTATTAAAAATTGATTTGAAAATGAATTTCAGTTACAATCTTAGATTATAATATTTATAATTGAATATTAAAAATGCAGTTTAATATGAATTTTTAGAAATAGATAAATTTTTTTTTTTTCAAATTAAAATTATTTACATATTTAGTTCCTGTGGAAAAATATATTTCTTGAACACAAGTTATTCAAGTATAAATAATTTAATTTAGAATTTATGAAAAAAAGTAACCTTTTGAAAAATTTTAATTAATTTTTTTGATAATAATAAAATTTTCGTCAAAATTAAAAATATTTTTTTAAATTTCGAATTAATTGGAAATATTGTTAAATTTAATTGAAATAAATTTTATATTAAAAAAAAAATTTATTTTTTTACTTTCAAAAATTATTTTTTGAAAATAATCGAATTTTTAAAGAATTCTAACTAAAAATTTGGAAAATAATTGAATTTGATAAAAATTTAGAATTGAAGTTATTACCAGGATAAGAAAAACAGTGAATATTTTTTATGGAAATAAGAGAAATTGGAATCGAATTTTTGTCTTTTTTTTAATAGACTAAAACGAGTTTTTTAGTCGTCAAATTTATTTTTTTGATAACTACTTTTTTCAGTCTTAAAGACACTTTTTGCTATTTTTTAAAAACTAATTATTGAGTGCGAAGTCTGCTCTATTTACATATTTTATTTATTATTTACATTTTATGCATTTTATTTACATTTATTTTGTCATAAATATTTAGATGGTTTCGTCATATACGGTGGCAAAGTCGAAGATGGTTCCCTATCGAATGAATTATGGCACTATGATGTTAAGAAAAATCTTTGGACATTACGAGCAAAGAATTCGCCATTTTATCCACCAAGATTAACGAGGCACAGTCTCACGCTAACGAAGGATTATATTTATCTCTTTGGAGGAAGTACAGTTGATGGAGAGTTTTCCTCGAGTCTCTATACGATTAAACTGAATTTATGTAAGTTGGACATTTTTTTTTTAAATGTACCTTTGTATTTAAAATACAAACATTCCTCCTAAGGAAACAAAAAGGAAGAAATTCTCAAACACTTTGTAAATTCATCGCGAAAAGTCCCTTTTCAAATAATGAGAAAATTGATAATAATAGTCTATTTTTTTTGTTTTTATTAAAGCTGACAAGACCGGGAGTACGGAAAAATGGCAGGAAGTGAGACCACGAGGTGGAAAGGAATTGGACGTACGTGTCGTTGCTCACTGCACAGTTTATCATCATGGAACGAATTCCTTATTAGTTTATGGAGGTGTTGTTGCCAGTGTTGCTCGCTTTAGTAAATTATCCGACAGAATGTTCGCATTTCAGCTTGATAGAAAAGTTTGGTCCGAAATACATTATCCTCGTGCACATTTACGTGATACTTACGTTCCTAGGGAACGAGCATTTCACACCTGTAACATTATTGGTAAGAGAAGTTTCATTTCTTATATTGTTCACTACAAAAAAAAAATTTACAAACATTTCCTTATGTATTTATTATTGTATTTTTATTATATGGATTATTGTTTCGTATTAGGTAATTATTTGGTCGTTTTTGGAGGCTATTCGCACCGACATAATAAGGAAGAAATTTGCTACGACAATCAGATGTATCTTTATCATTTGGGTTGTCATGCCTGGGTCAGCCACGACGTCCTGGGTTCGGACGAACCAAGTGAGAATTAAATCATTAATAATAACTAGCAACAATTTTTTACTACAACAATTCACTCACTTTTTAACATAAAATTATCAATTTTAAAAATAATAGAACGTAGAAATTTTTAATTCAATTTTTTTATAAAAATAAAATATGTGAATTGGAATATATAGTTTTAATATTATTATAACTATAATAATCATATATTCTAACATAGGGAATTCAGGAAAAAGTCAGGAATTTTTATTTACTGAAAAACATTAAATTTTAGAATTCATAGGAAAATTCTGAATTTTTGTGTCTTTTTTGTTCGACTCATAAACTAGAAAATTACCACGAATTTTAATACAAAACCTTCAATTTTCTTAATTTCTGACAAAAATTTCTTTTTAAATAACTTAAATCTTGAACAACTGTCATAAAATAAATAAATTATTTAAAGAATAATTTTACTTAAATATCTCAAAGTTAATTCAATTTTAAAAGAGCTGCATTTACAATTTTTATGAATAAATCAACTTCAAACGGTTTCATTTTGAAATTTTATAAAATTTCAATGTTGAATGAATTTAATTAAAAATTTTAATAAACTTAGATTTTTGAAAAATTTTAATAACTCAAAATCTTCTAGAATTAAGTGAATTTTTTAATATATATTTAATTAATTATTGAAAATAATGGATTTATAGAAGAATTTTAGTTAAAAACACTAAAAAATTGAAATTTGAAGTAGTTACAAATGATTGAGAAAATTCAATTATTTTCAAAAGTAATAAAATTCTTATCACAAAATTCAATTATGTTCAAAGATAACAAAAAAAATCTCGACAAAATCACAATTATTATCTTTATAAATAAAAAAATTCTTCCTCAAAATTCAATTATTTAAAAACAATTTTAATAAAATTGTAAGCGAACATTTCATTATTTTCATAAATAGTAAAAATTTCAATGGAATTCAAATATTTACAAATTTTCTACAAGTTTCTTCTCAATAATTCAATTATTTTCAGAAATAATAAAAATCATCGCAGAATTTCAATTATTTTTAATACAATTTTAATCGAATTCCTTGAAAAATGTAACTATTCTAAAACATTTTATTAAAATTCGTCAAAAGAATTCAATTATTTAAAAATTTGTTGATTAAATTCTTTATAAGAATTAAATTTTAAGAAACATTCAATTATTCAATAAATAATTTACTTTTTATTTAAGTAATTGAATTCTTGTAAAATTTTCTAATAAAAATTGATTTGAAAATTAATTTTACTTTAAATTTTAGATAATAATAGAATATGAAAATAATTTTTAAGAAGTTACAGTAACAATATTCTTATAATATAAAATAATGATTTTAACACTCGATTTTAAAGTTGATTAATTTCAAAAAGGTTTGAATTTGAAATTTTTGAAAATCTTAATTCCTATGGAAAAATAATAATAATAATAACAGAACAATTTTTTTCAATAAAATTTATTCCTTTATTTTCTAAAAATTCAAAAATTTTCAGTTTCATTTTCAATTAAATTTTCTAATTGACAAATATAATTTATAAACATTTTTTTCCATTATTTTTTAAAAACTTTAAATTTTATGAAAACAATTGATATTAAGAAATAGAATTGATGCAAATTATTTCCTTATGAAAATTGAGAATTTTCTACAAAAAATAGTTGATTGCTTTTTTGTTTCCTAATTTTTTTAAAAAAATTTCTTTTTAAATATTTTCAATTTTCATATTAATGTATTGAAAATCATTGAATTCTTGAAAAGAATCTTACCAAAAAATTTCAAGCGAATTATTGAATTCCTTCAAAGAATTTTTTTATTTCTGAAAATAATTGAATGCTCGCGATGAATTTTATTAAAATTTTCAAAAGTCCTAATTAAATTCTATTGAAGAATTTCTTTAAATTTTTTTTTAAATAATGGAGTTTCTTTAATAATTTTAATTTAAAATTTTGAGAGCAATTGAATTTTAAGAAGAAGAATTTTATTAAAATTTTATTGAAAATAATTGAATTACTGAGAAGAATTTTATTATTTATAAAAATAATTGAATTCTTGCGAAGAATTTTACTATTTATAAAAATAATTGAATTGTTCCGAAAAATTTATTAAAATTTTAGGAAATAAATTAATTTTATGTAAGTATTTGGAAATAATTAAATTTTCTTGAGGAATTCTATTAAAATTGTTTTGAAAAGAATTGAATTTCTGCAAAGAATTTTACTATATGTTATAAAAATAATTGAAATGATCGAAGAATTTATTAAAATTTTAGGAAAAATTGAATTGTTTTGAAGAATTTTATAGAAATATTTGAAAATAATTAAATTCTTTCGAGAAATTGGATTAAAGTTTTTTCGAAAATAATTGAATTTCGGTAAAGAAATTTTATTAAAATTAATCACATTTAAAATAATTGTATTCATCAGAAGAATTTTATTATTTTTTGAAAATAATTGAATTCTTTCAATTTTTTTGACAAATATATTTAAAAATTGCATTGAAAGTAAATGAATTTTCATATTGAATTTTTTAAAAATATTTTGAGAATAATTGAATTATTTTTAAAGAATTTTAAATTCTTGTTGAAATTGAATTTTATGGAAATTTTTGGAAATAATTAAATTCTTTCGTGTAATTTTATTTAAATTAGATTAAAAATAATTTAATTCCTGTAAAGAATTTTAATATTTATAAAAATAGTTGAATTGTTTCGAAGAATTTATTAAAATTTAAGAAAATAATTGAATTTTTGCAAAAAATTTTACTATTTATAAAAATAATTGAATTCTTCCAAAGATTGTTATTATTTCTATAAAAAAAATTGAATTCTTGCGAAGAATTATATTAAAATTTTTGAAAATATAAAAAATAATAATTAATTTTGTTCTTAATAAGTGAATTTTTAAAATTTTCAGTTTATGAAATTATTTTAAAATTTATATTTGAAAATAAAAAATTTTGTTTCTTTTAAAACAATAGAAATGTTTACAGATTCTCGATATCCGAAACAACAAGGAGTTTTCGCACACGCCGCAGATGTTAGAAATGGAAATACTTTATTACTCGTTGGTGGTTATCACGGAAATGTGAATGCAGATCTTCTTGCTTACACCCTACCGCCAATGGTTGCACCCGGCGATTATGAATTTATTGAACCCGAACAAATTTGCTCGCGTCACAAGAGTTTTGTCGAGTGTGCAGCAAATCCCGAATGTGGATGGTGTTCCGCTGATGAGGTAAATAATCTTCTTCTTCTTTTTCTTTAGTTTTTATTTTTGGAAGAAAAGATATTTTTTTTTGTCATAAAAAAATTGAATAAGAAATATGAAAATTTTATTTAACAGATTTGTTACGGAAGAACAGTGGGCAGTAACTGTACGACAAATTTACAAACGACAAGATGTCCAGGTGTTTGTCCAGCGTTAGGCGATTGTCATTCGTGTTTAATTCATGGACAACCGGGAGGTGGATGGGGAACAAATGCACGTGGTAAAAGTTCAGTTTCGAATAAATTGAATCTTGGCACTTGCACGTGGTGTGTGCAGAATGCACGCTGTCATCATAAGGACGATAATTATGGTGTTTGCGGTCTTCGCGATGATACACTCTCACAAATACCTGGTTGGTGGGGACCGAAAGGCACGGAAATAGCAAAAGTCGAGGAGTGCCGTGAAATGGATAAAAGACCGGGTTTGACATTTTTGACGTATAAGCCGCCGGTGAATTTTACTCAACCCGATTCGGTGACAATTGTTAATGCAACGACGGTTGATTTTAATGTGCCATCGATGCAAGGGGCAAAAACTGAATCGGCCCTCGGGGGAGAAATGATTGCGAGGTTAATTGGATTTCTTCGATTGCCACAGGATTATTGGGATAATTCGATGGAACGATTGAAAATATGCGTTAGTTACAACAGTGCCACTCTGAATGTATCGAGGAGCGATAATCGTCAAGATATGGTAATATTTTCTTCTCTTTTCATTTATTTAACAGGGTTGACACAGTTCAGAAAAATCAGGGAATTCAGGGAAAAGACAGGGAAATTAGAATTGGTCAGGAAAATCAGGGAAAAGTCAGGGAATTTTATTAAAAGTACTAGAAAAAATTTAATTTTTAGAATTTACAAGAAAATTCTGAATTTTGGTGTCTTTTTTGTTTGCTTCATAAACTATGAAATTGCTTCGAATTCAAATACAAACTCTTCAATTTTTTCTATTTCTGACAATATTATACTTATAAATTATTTAATGAATAATTTTACTTAAAAATTTAAAAATTAATTGGATTTCAAAAGAGTTGCACTTTCAATTTTCATAAATAAATGAACTTTAAAAGTTTCAATTTGAAATTTTAGAAAATATCAATTTTTAATGAATTTAAATGGAAATTTTAAGAACAACTGATTACAGAAATTCAATTATTTTCAAAAGTGATAAAATTCTTCGGATAAATTTAATTATGTTTAGAAATTTTTAAAAATTCTCGTCAAAATTTCAACTATCTTTATAAATAATAAAATTCTTCACCGAAATTCTATTATTTTCAAAAAATTTAATAAAGTTCTTGGCAAAATTTCAATTATTTTCAAAAATTTTCCTCATTTCAATTATTTTTAATATCTAGTATTTTAATAAAATTTCCCAAAAGAATTCAATTATTTAAACAAAATTTTAATAAAAATTTCCCTGGAATTCAATTATTTGACAATTTTTTATAAAGTTCTTCGCACCAATTCAATTATTCTTTATTTTTTAATGAAGTTTTTCAAAAGGATTCAAATATATTCAGAGAATCGGAAAAAATAGTTTTGAGAAATTCAATTATTTCGAAAAATTTAAATTAAATTCTTTTAAAAATTCTATTATTTAAAAAAATTTTGACAAAATTCTTTACAAGATTTAAAAAAAAATACAATTATTTTCGTAAAATATAATATTTTTCCTAAGAATACAATTATTTTTAAAAAATATTTGTAAAAATCTTCGAAACAATGCAATTATTTTCGTAAAAAATAAAATTCTTCGAAGCAATTCAATTATTTAAGAAATTTTAATAAATTTCTTCCCAAGATTTCAATTCTTTTCAAAAATAAAAATTTTCACAAGAATTTAATTATTTAAAAAAAAATTTAATAAAAATCTTCGTCAGATTTCAATTATTTTCAATTATTTAATGAAATTTCTCAATGGACTCTAATTATTTTTAAAAAGTTTTGAAAATTCTGAGAAATTCAATTATTTAAACAAATTTGAATAAAATTCTTCACAAGAATTTAATTATTTTCATAAATAATAATATTTTTCTTCGGAATTCAATTATTTTGACAAATAAAATTCTTCCCAATAATTCAATTGATTTCATAAATAATAATAATTCTTCTCAGTGGTTCAATTATTTTTTATACAATTTTAATCGAATACCTCGAAAAATGTAATTATTCTTAAAAATTTTATTAAAATTCGTCGAAAGAATTCAATTATTTAAAATAATTTGTTGATAAAATTATGTTTATGAATTCAATTTTAATTCAATTATTCAATAAATTATCTTTGTTTGTATTTAAATAATTGAATTCTCGTAGAATTATCTAATAAAAATTGATTTAAAAATTAATTTAAGTTAAAGTTTTGAGATAATAATAATAATAATTGAATTTCGAAAAATTTATTAATAATTGCATTTTTTTTTAAATAATTGAATTTTTTACCAAAATTAAATTTTTCAAATATATCTATAGTAAAAATTTTTTTGAATAGTTGAAATTTTGTAAAATTTAATTGAAAATAAATTAATTTATTTACAATTTTTGAAGAATTTTAATTGCAAATTAATTGGAAAATAATTGAAACATCAAAAATTTTGATGAAAAATCTTTAAAGGTAAATTTGAAAATGAAAATTAATGAAAATTAGCTTCTAATTTTTTTAAATCCAATATTTGCCGTATTTTCAATTACATTTTTCCAAAAATTTATACACATTTACCAAAATAATAAGATTTTAGAATTATTTTTAATATTTTGAAGAAAACAATCATGTTCAAAATTTTGAATTAAAATTCATCAATAAATTAATTAGTTTTTTTAAATTATGCAAAAATTCTTTTAAGAAATTCAATTATTTTCGAAAAATTACATTAAAATATTTTTAAAAACTAAATATTAGAATTGTTTTATAATAATTTTTTAAGATTCAATTATCTTCGAACAATATAAATAAAAATTTAAGAAAATTTACTTTTTGGACTTATTAAAATTTTTGAGAAATCATGGTCCTGTTTATAATTAAAATTCTACAAAAATTTGATCATTTTTATTTATATTTTTCAAAAATTCAATTATCTTAAAAATATTTTACCAAATTTCAATTGTTTGGAAATTTTTCAAAATTGAAAAACTATTATCTTTCAAAAATTATTTAAAAATAACTAAAAAAAGAGAGTTACAATTATTTAAAAAATTGAGTTTTTGTATTTAAATAATTTAATTCTAGAAGAACTTGGAAAATTTTGGAAAATTATTTTAATTAATTAATTCAGAGATGAAGTTTTAGTTGAAAATTGTGGAAAATAATTGAATTCAGGTAGGATTATAATTGTTATTATTAGAAATTATTAATTTTCATAAATTTACTCATTTTTCGTAAACGTTTCATATTTTGTCAGGGAAAATAATTTTAATGTCAGTAAATTGTCAGGGAAATGTCAGGGAAATTGATAAACTGAAACTTGTGACCACCCTGAATAGAAAAATTTTTTTGCGTATCTAATAATTTTTGTAGTGAATCAGAATATTCTTCAGGGTCAGGGAAAAAGTCAAAATCAGTCAGAGGAAAAAGTCTGGAAATCAGGGAAAAGACAGAAAATAAAAAAATAAATAAATAAAAAGAAATAAAAGAAAAATAAAAGAAAATAAAATTTCTGTGGCAACCCTTGTAGATTATTTTAGATTTAAACTTCTAGGCTTTTTTTCTTATTTCTTTCGTTTTTTGTAGCAATTGGTCGCCAATTTGACAGCCGAGACCTCTCAGTGTGTATCGACAAGATGGCCAGATGGACGTGAAATGACATTGAACGCAGGACGCTATCTCTTGGATTTCGAATCAAAGCGAATGGTGACAGCAAGTTATGCCTATGCGAGTAAAATGGAAATCACCCACAATAAGAAAATTGAAAATCCAAAAGTCTTCACATTCGAATATTTGGAACCTTATCAAAATGGAAGTTGCAATCAGTATAAAAATTGTCTACACTGCCTGACCGATTCTTCTTGTGGTTGGTGTGATATCAGCGGTAAATGTGTGTCAAGATCCATAAATGAGACCGAAAGTTGCACTGTGACTTTTGCTGCCAATGGGAATGTGATCGAGAGTGATAATATTGAAATCTACGGGAATGAGACACCGATTCGTGATTGGCATTATTTGACCATAACACCATCGACTTGTGCGAATTGCTCCAATTATATATCATGCGAATCGTGTATTAAGAGCGGATTATGCGAGTGGTGGACAGAGGAGGCAAGATGCGCGAGAATTGGAAGACTACCCGACGCAGTGATAAGTTTGAATCAATGTCCGATTCCCTGTCGACAGAGATCGAATTGTACTCAATGTTTGGATGAGCGGGGCCGGTGTGTTTGGTGCGAGGCCACGCAGGAGTGCTTCTCGTTTTCGGTTTACACTTCTGAGTATCAGTTTGGATTGTGTCGAGAGTGGACGGATCAGGCTGGTCTTATGGGCGTCACTTCTAGAAGCGGATCGTCCTTAAGTGGAAACGATCAGTGTAAAAGTTGCAGTAGGCACACGAATTGCTCCAGTTGTCTGCATTCCTTGAGTTGTGGTTGGTGTTACAGTCTGGAGAATCCAATTCTGGGAAATTGTGTTCAAGGTAACTTCAATCAGCTTTCAAATAATTTAATTATTTTCAAAAATTACCAAAATATCACAGAAATTCAATTATTTACAAACTCTTTATAAAATTCTTCGTAGAAATTCAATTATTTAGAAAAATATTTAATTAAATTCTTGGCAAAATTTAAATTATTTTCATAAATAATAACAAAATTCTTTTTAGAAATTCAATTATTTTTTTAAATAATAAAACTCATCGCAGGATTTCAATTATTCTCAATGAAGTTAAATTGTCATACACTCTTTAGAATAATTCAATTATTTTCAGAACAATTTTAATGAAATTCCTCTTATGAACTTAAATTTTCTTCGAAACAATTGAATTTTTATTTTTACAAATTTTATTTTTTTATATTTTTTTATCTATCATTTTCATAAATAATAAAAATTTCACAGGAATTCAATTATTTACAAATTTTTTTAAATTTCTTCGTAATAATTCAATTACATTCATTAAAAATAATTTTTTACATGCATTCAATTATTTTCATAAATAATAAAACTCTTCTCAGGAATTTTAATAAAATTCTTTGCAAAATTCAATTATTTTGATAAACAACAAATAAAAAATGTAATTATCCTTAAAAATTTTATTAAAATTCGTCAAAAGAATTCATTTAAAATTTATTTAAAATTATTTATTTATTTAAAAATTTGTTGATAAAATTCTTTATGAGAATTCGATTTTCAGAAACATTCAATTATTAATTATAAATTATTTATTTTTCAATTTAAAAAATTGAAAGAATTATCGAATGAAAATTGACTTAAAAATGAATTCAATTATTTTCAAAAGTATTAAAATCATTTACAAGAATTTACTAGTAATAAAATTTTTCACTGGAATTCAATTATTTTTAATACAATTTCAATAATGTTTCTCGAAGTAAATGAATTATTTTCAATAATTTTAATCGCATTTTTCGCAAGAATTCAATTATTTCCATAAATAATAAAATTCTTCGCAATAATTCTACTATTTTCGTAAAAAATATAAATTTTCGTAGGAATTCAATTATTTTCAATAAAGTTTCTCGAAATAACTTCATTATTTTCAAAAATTTTCATCAAGTCCTTCCCAGAAATAGAATTATTTTCAGGAATTTTAATAAAATTCTTTGCAAAATTCAATTATTTTCATAAATAATTAAAACTCATTGCAGAATTTCAATTATTTTTATTAAAATTCGTCAAAATAATTCAGTTATTTAAAAATTTTGATAAAATTCTTTACAGGAAATCGATTTTAAGAAACATTCAATTATTCAATAAATTATTTACTTTTGTATTTAAATAATTGAATTCTCGTAAAATAATTAATGTACTGAAAATCATTTAATTCTTGTAAAGTATTTATCGAAAAATTTGAAAATATTTGAATTAATTTCAAGAATTTTATCAACATTTTTTTCAATAATTGAATTCTTTCGAAAAAATATAATTAAAATTGTATTGAAAATAATTTAATTCTTGAAAAGAACTTTTATTAAAATTCTTGAAAATAATTGAATTGTTTTGAAGAATTTATTTCAATATTCTTAAAAATAATAGAGTTTTTTAAAATAATTTTTACTTAAAAATTTGAAAGTAATTGAATTTTATGAAGAATTTCTATTAAGTTTTGAAAATAATCGTGTTTATTATTAATTGTAATTAATAATTTTTCTTTTAAATTATATTAAAGTTATTCATAGAAAATTCAATTCTTTTAAACAATTTTATTAAAGTTATTGTTAATTATTACATTTTTGTTAAGAAATTCATTAAATTTCGTAAAAATAATGTAATTTTTGAAAATAATTTTAATTGAAAATTTTGAGAATAATTGAAATTTGCAAAGAATTTTATTAAAAACTTTTGAGAACAATTGAATTGTTTAGAAAAATTTTATTACAATTTTAAAAAGTATTGAACCTGTTAGATAAATTTTATTAAAATTATCTTGACTATAATTGAATTTTTTCCTAAAAATTTTATTAAAATTTTATTGAAAATAATTGAATTTCTCAGAAGAATTTTATTATTTACAAAAATAATTGAATTCATGCTAATAATTTTGCAATTTATAAAAATTTATAAATTGCTTCGAAGAATTTTATCTGAATTTTTGAAAATAATTGAATTTTTTGAAGGAAGTTTATTAAAAATTTTGAAAATGATTTTTTAAAAAGAATTTAATCAAAATTGTTGAAAATAATTGAATTTATATTAAAATTCTTTAACATAATTGAATTCACTTAATATTTTTAAAAATAATTTTATGAAGAATTGCTTTTAAGTTACTAAAATAATCGTGTTTTTTATTAATTGTAATTAACAATTTTCCTATTAAATTATATTAAAATTATTCGTAGAAAATGAAATTCTTTTAAACAATTTTATCATAGTTTTTGTAAATAATTACTTTTTTCTTTTTGAAGAATTTCATGAAATTTCGTAAAAATAATTTACGAATTATTTGAAAATAATTGAATTTCTCAGAAGAATTTTGCAAATTTTTAAAAATAATTTAATTGTTTCGAAGAATTTTTTATCAGAATTGTTGAAAATAATTGAATTTTTATTAAAACACTTGAAAATAATTGAATTTAAATAATAGGTATTATTAAAAATAATTGTATTCTTTTGAGAAATTTTATTAAAATTGTATTGAAAATAATTGAGTTGCTTCGTAACTTTTTATTATTTATGAAAATAATTGAATTCCTTTGAAGGATTTTATTATTTATAAAAAAATATTATAATTCTTGCGAAGAATTTTCTTATTTATAAAAATAATTGAATTGTTTCGAAAAATTTTATCTGAAAATTTTTGAAGATAATTGAATTTTTTGAAGGAATTTTATTAAAAATTTTGAAAATAATGATTTTTTGTAAAGAAATTTAATCAAAATTGTTGAAAATAATTGAGTTTATATTAATATTTTTGAAAATAATTGAATTCACTTAATAGGTTGTATTTTTAAAAATAATTGTATTCTTTCGAGAAAATTTTATTAAAATTGTATTAACTTTGTAGAAGAATTTTGTTATTTATAAAAATAATTGGAATTTTTACGAGAATTTATTTAAAATTTTTGAACATATTTGAATTTTATAAGAATTTTTTTTTTTTTTGAAAATAATTGAATTTCTGCAATTATTTGTAATTTTTCTAAAATTGAAATTTTTTAGTGTTTTCAACAAAAATTTTAATTTGAAAATATTAATTATCAATTAATTATTAATATTAGCCGCGCACTTTAGCGCGCGAATTGTTACTATAGTTAAAAGCATTATAGCTTGAGAATTTTTAGAAATAATTGAATTTTGAATAGTTCTCAAATTAAAATTTTTGAAAATATGAATTTTTCATACAACTAACAATTCTGTGTAGAATTAATTTTTTGTAAAAATTTAATTTTGGAATTCCGAATATATTTCGAATAAATCGATGAAATTTCTATGAATTGTATAAATAATGGATTCTCAAAGAAATTTTCTCAAAGATTCTCTCAAATATTGTGTTTCAGGTGATTTCAATCAGCCCCATACGAATTGCAGTCTAGTGATTAATCAGCGAAGAAATAACAGTTTGGAAGTTCCATCATCGGAATCGGGTTGGGCCTACGCTCAATGTCCGGATGTTGACGAATGCGATTTGGGTTTACACGACTGTCATCCCGATGCAGTTTGCACAAATACTCATGGAAGTTTCAGTTGTCAGTGTAAGAGAGGTTTCAATGGCGATGGACGGGAGAATTGCACAAAAACATGTTATGAAAAATGTGTCAATGGCTATTGTTCAGAGGCTCCGGATTATAAATGCCAGTGTAATTTGGGCTGGACCGGTGCTGATTGTCGAACAAATTGTGGTTGCTACAATCATTCGACGTGTAATCAAGGACCTGGGATTTGTGACGACTGTCAAAATTGGACGGAGGGGGGAAATTGTGAGAAGTGTAAAGCGGGGAGTTATGGAAATGCGACGAACGATTTGGGATGTACGAAATGCGATTGCAATGAGCATGGAGACGTGGAGGCTGGGACTTGTGATCGAGAGAGTGGAATTTGTTTCTGTCGGGATAACACCGAGGGAGATAAGTGTGAGCGTTGCACGAAGGGATATTATGGAAATCCTGGGAATGGAGGAATGTGTTACTATGGTTGTGTTTCGAGGGGAATGTTGGAGGGTGAAGGAAGTGGAAGACAGGGTTTGGGGAGTAGACACTCTCAGCTGTCGTTGTGGGAGACACGACTTGGTGGTCCATTGACGAGAGAATGCTTGTGGATTGTGAGTCCGAAATTGGTGCTTTCTCCGGATACAATGACGCCTAGTGTTCAGAGTGTTATTCAATTTACTATTCACGAGGATATTAATGTGAGTTGTCAGGAGAATGGGGTTTATGTCTATGACGGTCTTCCGGACTTTGTCTCCTCTACCACGAGTCATCAGAGTCAATTGCTGGGAGTCTATTGCACGGAGAGTACGAATTATCCAATAACAGTCGAGGCGAAATCGGGCTTCTTGACCGTTCACTACAAGCAACTGGACGAAATCGAAGGTTTCAATGCAAGTTACGTGATTATGACCTGTAACAACTGTCCTCCACCGAATCGTCAATGCAGAAGTGGTAATTGTCTCTGTAAAACGGGATTTGTGGGCATCAACTGCGACATTGAGTTGTGTCCGAAAAATTGCTCCTCATGGAATAAACAAGGACTTTGTGACAAGGGCTACGGTCACTGTGTCTGCACGAACGGTTACGGTGGACGCGATTGTTCCATTAAATTAAAACAACATCAATTGGTTTTCACAGAATTATTCAATTCGGAATATTTGGCGGAGAATTTGGATCATTTGCGTAAAACATTGCCGAGATTTGGTCACAGTTTGGTGGCTGATCGAAGAGGAAGTTTGTGGATGTTTGGAGGCTATTCCCTGAGTCATGGTCCTTTGAACGACATTCGACTGTTTGACACAAAGAATAATACTTGGATGCCAGTGACCGTTGAATCAACATCCGAAGCTTCGATGCCACAGGGACGATATTTTCACGCCGCTGAAATAGTTCACAGTAGACAGCAGATCTACGTTTACGGTGGACTGTCAATGAAGGAAAATGGAATTCTTGGCCTGTCGAATAATACTCTCAATGATTTTTGGAAATTCAGTTTGCAAAATCAAAGGTGGAGTCAAATAACGTCGTGGAATCAGCAACCACCGCCTTTGGCTGGTCATACTTTAACATTGAGACGAGAAGGCGAATCGGAGAGTTTGATTTTAATCGGTGGTTTCAGTCCAAAGTATGGCTATTTGGAAACTGTTTGGGAATTTAATTTGGAGATCGACACTTGGGATACGATCAAAACACTTGGGAATAGTCCTCTTGGAATTTATGGACACTCGACTGTTTATCATACGAAATCTGATAGTTTTTATGTATTCGGTGGTTATATTTACGCCATTAATCGAACATTTATTTCGAATAAATTACACGCTTTTAATTATAAAACGAAACGATGGTCCATTTTACCGCCATTCAATGATGAGGATTCTGTCTACACGTACGGAATTAGTTTCGTAAGTTTTTTAATTTTTATTATTATTGGATATTTATACCATTTTTGGAACCAGAGTTTTTTTATTGTATTTTTTCGATTCTTTTTTAGCCCCAGGCACGATTTCTCCATTCGGCGGTGACGACTGATGAGTATATGGTGATATTTGGCGGACGACAGAATACCTACAACACTTCGGATACATTATTAGCTTATAAATATTCTTGCAATCTTTGGATTCATCTTATAACGAGGGATATGGAAGTGATTGGAAATCCACCGCCGCCAGCTTATGCTCACGCCATGACTCACGCAGATCCGGAAGCAAATACTGTTTACGTGGTTGGTGGATTCGATGGAGGGATTAAGAGTCACGTTACACAAATAACAATTCCCGAAGACTTGTGCAGTCTATGGATTGATAAAGTTTCGTGCCGAAAATATTTTGGATGTTCCTTTTGTGCAGTCACTACGATTGCTGGTGCTAATGAGTCTTATTGCTTCTCGAATGATGAACTTTTACACAGAGACGACAAGTGAGTTTGTTTCTTCTTCTTAAATGACTTTTGGCAATACCGATTGTCAGACACAATTAAAAATTAAATTACTCAGGGTTACCACAGGTCAGAAAATTTAGGAAAAAATCATGGAAATTGGAATTGGTTAGGAATACAAAAATACAAAAAAATACAAAAAATACGGAAAAATACAAAAAATGCAGAAAAATACAAAAAATACGAAAAAATACAAAAAATACAGTAAAATACAAAAAATACAGCAAAATACAAAACAATACAGAAAAATACAAAAAAATGCAGAAAAATACAGAAAAATACAAAAAAATACAGAAAAAATACAGAAAAATACAGAAAAGTACAGAAAAATACGAAAAAATACAAAAAATACAGTAAAATACAAAAAATACAGCAAAATACAAAACAATACAGAAAAATACAAAAAAATGCAGAAAAATACAGAAAAATACAAAAAAATACAGAAAAAATACAGAAAAATACAGAAAAGTACAGAAAAATACAAAACAATACAGAAAAATACACAAAAATACAAAAAAATACAGAAAAGTACAAAAAAATACAGAAAAATACAAAAAATACAGCAAAATACACAAAAATACAAAAAATACACAATAATACAAAAAATACGAAAAAATACACAAAAATACAAAAAATACAGAAAAATACAAAAATACGAAAAAATACAGAAAAATACAAAAAATACAGAAAAATACAAGAAATACGCAAAAATTAAAAAATACGCTAAAATTAGAAAAATACGGAAAAATACGCAAAAATACGCAAAAATTAAAAAAATACGGAAAAATACAAAAAATACGCAAGAATACGGAAAAATACGCAATAATTAAAAAAATACGGAAAAATACAAAAAATACGCAAGAATACGGAAAAATACGCAATAATTAAAAAAATACGGAAAAATACAAAAAATACAGAAAAATTAAAAAAATACGCTAAAATTAAAAAAATTCGGAAAAATACAAAAAATACGCAAAAATTAAAAAAATACGCTAAAATTAAAAAAATACGGAAAAATACAAAAAATACGCAAAAATACGGAAAAATACGCAAAAATTAAAAAAATACGGAAAAATACAAAAAATACGCAAAAATTAAAAAAATACGGAAAAATACAAAAAATACGCAAAAATACGGAAAAATACGGAAAAATTAAAAAAATACGGAAAAATACAAAAAATACGCAAAAATTAAAAAAATACGGAAAAATACAAAAAATACAAAAAAACAGAAGAATATAAAAAATACAGAAAAATACAAAAAATACGAAAAAATACAGAAAAATACACAAATTTAATTTTTATGCAATTTTCCGTATTTTTTCGTTTTTTTTTTTATTTTTACGTATTTTTTTGTATTTGTATTTCGTATTAGTATTTTTTTATAAATAATAAAATATTCACAAGAATTTAACTATGAACATTTTTTTTAAATCTCTTTATTATAAGTCAAACATTTTCATAAATAGTAAAATATTTTACCAAGATTTAATTATTCTTATAATTAATAAAGATTAATTAGATTTATTAATCACAAGAATAATTAAATCTTGGTAAAAATTTTTATTATTTATGAAAATAATTGAATTATTTTATCAAGAAATTAAAAAAAATGTTAATGGTTCAATTCTTGTGAATATTTAATTATTAATAAAAAAAATACTAATACGAAATACGAATACCAAAAAAATAGGAAAAATACAAAAAATACCGAAAAATACAAAAAAGAACGGAAAAATTTCTATGGAAAAATTATAATGGTTAAATATTTATTTAAAAATGAAGTTATTGGTGTTTTTGAATTTTTGCCAAATTATTCAAAAATCGTAAATAAATGTTAGAGAACATTTTTTTTGTGTATCTAATAAGTTTTGGATTGAATTTGAATATTCTTGAGGATCAGGGGAAAAGTGGAAATTTTGTCTTGAAATCAGGGAAAGAAGAAAATTAAATTTTTATATACTGTCTAATAATAATTTGTTATTAAAAACAACACAATTATTTTGAATATTAATTTCTTTCAGATGTGATATTAACGTAACACAGGCGCAACGATCAAATGGCGTTTTCTGCAATTCAGAATGGATGGCTAGTAGAAAATGTCAAAATTTCAAGACTTGTACCGAATGTTTGGCAGAGTGGCCTCATTACAAGGAAGAGCAGGCTGTTTGTAAATGGTGTCCACATTGTCCGCGTACGAAATGCATACCACGTGAGAAAGATTGCGACGAGTCGAGTAATTGCAATTTGAAATATAATACAATAACCGATGTGAATCAATGTAGCGAAAGACAATGTTCGGCAAGTGATTGCGAAAAATGCAACAATCATAAAGGTTGCATTTGGACTAGACAAGTATTAAAGACCTGTACGTTGGAAATTTTTTTAAATCGATAACAATATTAATTTATTTTTTAATTTTGATGATAATTTTCCTGCAGCTGATGGTGGCACCCAGGTAACTGAACAACCAGTCTACGATTGGAATTGTGTGTCTGAAGATATATTCCGCCAGGCTACGTTCGGTAAAGAAATTGTCAATTTCGACAAAAAGAAGACGACACATTGCGAGAAACGTTGCGGTGATCATAAGGACTGCACGAGTTGTCTCAAGGGCACCGGAGGCGAAGGCGGATGGAGTGAATGCAGATGGTCCACGCAATTAAATGAGGTATTATTATTATTTCCTATTTTTTTTTATTTTTATTTTTATACAATTCAGTAAAAAAAATATTTACTTTCAAATAGTGCATCTCGCCGTCGTATCAGCCACTTTATTGCGTGGGTGGAGTTTGCGGATTGGTTTTGCGAAGTATCGACGTGGAACATTGTCCTGAACCTTGTGCAGTCTTTAAGCAATGCAGCACGTGCTTGAAACATTCTCATTGTGGCTGGTGTTCACTTGATACGAATTCAACAACGGGACAGGGTTTATGTACAGAGGGATCACTTGAAGCTCCATCGGATCATCCAGCTGGCGGTACTTGTGAAATGCTCTACAATCAAGAATTTTCACAAAGTAAGATATGACGTCGTTAACTTTTAAATAAATTTATATTTATTTACGACGTTCTCAGGGTTCGAACTAGGTCCGTAATTCTCGTAAAAATCAGTAAATTTGCTTGAAATCCGTAAAAGTCCATTTTTTTAAAAAAGGTCCGTAAAATCTTTAGTTTGATTGAAAAAAGACGAAAAGTTCGTAAATTGTACGATATAATTTTTAGAATTTTAGAGAAATTACAAATGATTGCAGAAATTCAATTATTTTCAAAAGTAATAAAATTCTTCTTAAGAATTCAATTATGTTCAAAAATTTTGAAATTCTTTTCAGGGATTTAATTATTTTTAGAAATAGGAACTTCTTCTCAGGAATTTAATTATTTTCAATACAATTTTAATAAAATTTCTCTTAAGAATTCAATTTGTTTCAAAAATTGTAATATAATTCTTTCTTGAAATTAAATAATTTTTAATGCAATTTTAGTGAAATTAGTGGAAAAAATTTGAAAAATTCCATTATTTTCATAATAAAATTTCTACGGGGATTCAATTATTTTCGTAAATAATAAAATTCTTTTTAGAAATTCAATTATTTTCATAAATAATAAAATTCATTGCAGAAATTCAATTATTTTTAATACAATTTTAATCGAATTCCACGAAAAAATTCTTAAAAATTTTATTAAAATTCGTCAAAAGAATTCAGGTTGTTTAAAAATTTATAGATAAAATTCTTTATGAGAATACAATTTTAAGAAACATGCAATTATTCAATAAATTGTTATTTTTGTATTTAAATAATTGAATTCTAGAAGAATTTTCTCATGAACATTGATTTAAAAATAGATTTCAGTTAAAATTTTAAATTATAATTGAATTTTAAAAGCATTAGAGTGTACATTTTTAGAAACAATTGAATTTTGAAAAGGTTTCTGATTAAAATTTTTGAAAATTTGAATTTTTTATATTTATAACTGATAATTCTGTGGAATTAATTTTTTTTAGAAACTTTAATTGCGCCGATTTTTTTTTAAATTATTTAAAGTTTTTATTTTCTAATATCTTCGGAACAATTCAATTATTTTCGTAAAAAATAAAACTCTTCTAAGGAATTCAATTATTTAAGAAATTTTAATAAAATTCTTCCTAAGAATTCAATTCTTTTCAAAAATAAAACAGGAATTCAATTATTTAAAAAAAATTTAATATAATTCTTCTTCAGATTTCAATTATTTTCAATTTTTGAATGAAATTTCTTGATAAAATTTAATTATTTTCAAAAAGTTTTAAAAAATTCTGAGAAATTCAATTATTTAAAAAAATTTGACTAAAATTTTTCATAAAAGAAATGAATTATTTTTATAAATAATAAAATCTTTCTCCGAAATTCAATTATTTTCGTAAATAAAATTTTTCACAGGAATTCAATTCTTTAAAAAAATTGTTAATAAAATTTGTTGCAAGAATTCAATTTTTTTCATAAATAATAAAATTTATCGCAGAATTTCAATAATTTTTGATACAATTTTAAATAAAATGATTGAAAATTGCATTTATTCTAAATTTTTTTTTAAATTCGCCAAAAAAATTCTATTATTTTAAAAATTTTTTATAAAATTCTTCATAAAAATCCATTTTTAATAAATATTCAATTATTTAATAAATTATTCATTTTTGTATTTAAATAATTGAATTCTCGAAAAAGTTTCTGTAATAAACATTGATTTAAAAATGGATTTCACTTAAAATTTTAAATTATAATTGAATATTAAAAGCATTATAGCTTGAATTTTTAGAAATAATTGAATTTTGAAAAGGTTTCAGACTAAAATCTTTGAAAATTTGAATTTTTCATATTTTTAACTAACAATTCTGTGAAATTAATTTTTTTTTGAGAAACTTTAATTGCGGATTTTTTTAAAAATTATTTAGTTTTTATTTTCTCATATATATGTAATTGAAGAATTTACGAATAATTGAAATTTTGTAATAATTTTAATTTTAAACAAATGAATTTGAAAATTCTCAAAGAAAGTTTTCAAAAATTATTAAAGATAATGGATTTATAGAAGAATTTTAGTTAAAAACAAGATAAAGAAATTTAATTTTGGAAAAGTTACAATTTATTGCAAAAATTCAATTATTTTCAAGAGTAATAATATTCTTTGCAAAAATTAAATATTTTTCAAAAGTAATAAAATTCTTCTTAGGAATTCAATTATTTTCACAAATAATAAAAATCATTGCAGAATTTCAATTATTTTTAATATAATTTTAATCGAATTTCTCGAAAAATGTATTTATTCTTAAAAATGTTATTAAAATTCTTTGAAAAAATTTAATTTTTTAAAAATTTGTTGAGAAAACTCTTTATGGGAATTGAATTTTAAGAAACATTCAATTATTCAATAAACTATTTTTTTTGTATTTAAATAATCGAATTCGAGTAGAATTTTCTAATAAAAATTGATTTAAAAATTAATTTTAGTTAAAATTTTAGATAATAATTGAATATTAAAAGCAATATGAATTTTTAGAAATAATTGAATTTTGAAATTTTTTTTTGCAAAAGTTTAATTGAATTTTTTTTAATATTATTTTAAGTTTTTAGTTTCTAATATTTATTTAATTGAAGAATTTACGACTTATTTAAATTTTGTAAAAAAATGGATTTGAAAATTGTCAATGAACTTTTTCGAAAATTATTAAAAATAATCGATTTTAAAGAAGAATTTTAGTTAAAAATGCTTGAATCATCATTTAATTATTATAAAACATGAAGAAATCGATGACTCCGAGTCAAGGACTCGGCAAAAAATTGTAGATTAAGAAAAAAGTACTGAGCACTTTTTTTTCTTCTCCATCGCAGATAATTCACAAAAAGATTTACAAATCTACGAGAATAATGCTACAATGTTGGTGTCAAAAGGTGCAAATCAGAGGAATTTTTCTTGGCACTACGTCAGATGCCCACCGGAAAATGAATGTTTAAACGGTCATCATACTTGCTCGCCAAAAAGTGAAAAATGCTTCGATCTCGATGAGGGTTTCGAATGTATGTGTGGCGATGGATTTAAAACCGAAACGTAAGTTTGAAAAAAGTGACAATTTAGATAAAAAAAAAAGAAAGAAGTCGATAGAAATTAATATTTTAACAATTTTTCAGAACCTGGTTGTCGAATGATCTCGGAAGGTAAAAGACTCAATAAAACTAAAATATTTTCTTTTTCCTCATGGAGGAAGAATATTGTATTTATAATCTTTTGTTTTATTTTTCTTCATTAGGAAAACTTGCGTTCCAACGTGTGTTCAAGGATGCGTTCGAGGAACGTGCGTTGAACCAAATGAATGTCGCTGTGATTTTGGCTACGTCGGTGCAAATTGTTCTATTCAATGTCAGTGCAATGGACACAGTAATTGTGAAGGTCCTGACAAATTGGACAAATGCATAAAATGTCACAATAACACAAAGGGCGATCAATGCGAAAAATGTGAACCATTATTTGTCGGCAATCCAGCCGATAATGGACAATGCGTGCCGTGCTTAGAATACTGCAATGGTCACACTCACGTTTGCATTAATGACAGCATGACTGTTCCCGTAAGTGACAAATTTTATTTTGCGTATTTATTTTCAATTTTCTTCATTCAAAAAACTATTTTATTCATTTTATTCATTTTATTCAATTGACTTTGCAATAATAATAATATTTCTAAATAATTTTTGAATTAAAGAAATTGGAAAATAAATGTAATATGGAGAACATTTTTTTGAGAGTATTTAAATAATTTTTAGAGTGAATCACAGAATATTTTTTAGGGTCAGGGAAGAAAGTCAAAATTAGTCAGGGAAAAAGTCTGAAAATCAGGGAAAAATAAAATAAAATTTCTGTGGTAACCTTGTAATGATGAAAATGGTAAAAATTGAATTTCTTTCCATAGGATCCAAATTCAATAGAAAAAATGTCAATGGATTTACTCAAGAAGCAACTAGTCGAAGGACCAATAACAAAAGCAAAATGTGTGAAATGTGGAAATAATACGAAAGGAGATAAATGCGGTGAATGTGTTTCGGGATTTTTCCGAGGAACTGAAGATCTTCGTGATGTTTGCAGACCGTAAGTTATATATTATTTTAATTTTATAAATAAATTTTCTATTGTAAATGAAATATATATCAAAATTAGCAAAACTACATCCGCTCGTGAAATTTTCGTTAAAAAATTTGCTTTTTGAAATTTAATGAAAATTCTTCATTTTTTAAAAAACATAATTTTTCTAACAGTTTTTCTTTAAATTTAATTATTTGAACAACTCGTATAGAAATCGCAAAGATAACTTGAATGTAAGATATTTTTCATTATTCAAGACTTTAAGAATTTAAAAAAAAAAATAATGTAGTTAATAATTTTTTGAAAATAAAACTTTAAACATTTTTATACTTTTGCTTCCCTTAAATTTTCAAGACATTTAATTTAAAAACCATTTAAAATTTAATTAATTCCTAAAAATTCTTGTTATAACGCTTTAAATATTCAATTATTTTCTAAAATTTTAACTGAAATTTTTTTTAAATCAATTGCTGTCAGAATTCAACGACGAGAATTGAATTATTTAAATAGAATATATTTTGTTATAAAATAATATATTTTTAAAAATCCAATTGTATTTATAGATAATTTCTAAAGATGAAAAAATAAAATTCTTTAAAATATAAAATTTTACAAAATTTCCAATTGTTTCAATTTTTTAAAATTATTTTCGAGAATTCAAGTATATCTTCGAAAAATTTTAATTACTATTTTTCAAAAATCTATTTTTTTCAGAATTTCCAAATTAAATCTTTCAAGTTCCAATCATTTTTGTAAAATAAATATTTAAATACTTATTGTTCTTTATTTGCTTAAAATTTCAAAATAGTTTCAATGTAAAACCAGTGGAAAAATTCTTTATGGAAATTTGAACTGCAAGTCTTCTAAAATTCAATTATTTTTTTAGAATTTTGAAATAATATTATTATAGTCTTAACTAAAATTCTTTTTTAAATCAATTTTTATCAGAATTCAGTTATTTAAATACAGAAATGAATAATTCATAAAATAATTAATTGTTTTTAAAATTGCAATTGTACCTTTTTTTAAATAATTTTTCTTTTCAAATAATTTCAATTTTAAAATTAATGTATTGAAAATCTTCGAATTTTTGCAAAGAATTTTATCAAAAAATTTGACAATAATAGAATTCCTTCAAAGAATTTTATTATTTAGGAGAATAACTGAATTTTCGCGAAGAATTTTATTAAAATTTTTAAAAATCTTAATTAAATTCTTTTGAAGAATTTCTTTGAATTTTTTTTTAAACTAATGAAGTTTTTTTTAAAATAATTTTAATTGAAAATTTTGAAAGCAATTGAATTTTATGAAGCAGAATTTTATTAAAATCGCATTGAAAATAATTGAATTCTTGCGAAGAATTTTACAATATTTATAAAAATAATTGAAATGTTTCGAAGAATTTAAAAAAATATAAAGAAATAATTAAATTGTTATGAAGAATTTTATAGAAGTATTTAAAAATAATCAAGTTTTTTCGAGAAATTCAATTAAAGTTTCGAAAATAATTGTATTTCTTTAAAGAATTTTATTATTTTTTGAAAATAATTGAATTCTTTCAATTTTTTGGACGAATATATTTAAAAATTGCATTGAAAGTAATTTAATTTTTATATAGAAAATTTTTACAAATATTTTAAGAATAATTGAATTATTTTTTAGAGAATTTTAAATTCTTGTTGAAATTGAATTTTATGGAAAATTTTTGATAATAATTAAATTCTTTCGTGTAATTTTATTTAAATTGGATTAAAAATAATTTAATTCCTGCAAAGAATTTTAGTATTTATGAAAATAGTTGAATTGTTTCGAAGAATTTATTAAAATTTTAGAAAATAATTGAAATTTATGGAAATATTTAGAAATATTTGAATTCATCCGAGGAATTCAATTAAAATTTTTATGAAAATAATTAAATTCCCGCAAAGAATTTTACTATTTATAAAAATAATTGAATTCTTGATGAAAATTTTACTTTTTATAAAAATAATTGAATTCTTGATGAAAATTTTACTTTTTATAAAAATAATTGAAATTTTTCGAAGGATTTATTAAAATTTTCGTAAAAAATTGAATTTTTTCGAAATGTGTTAAAATTTTTTTAAAAATTGAATTCTTTCGAGGAATTTAATTAAAATTGTTTTGAAAATAATTGAATTTTTTTAAAGATTTTACTATTTAAAAAAATAATTGCATTGTTTAGAAGGATTTATTAAAATTTTAGAAAATAATTGAATTCTTTCCTGAAATTTTATTAAAATTTTTGAAAATATGAACAGTAATAAGATAATTAACTATTTTAGATGCGAATGTCATGGTCATGGATTTATGTGTGATCCAGTGACCGGTGAGAAATGTAATTGCGGTAATAATACTGAAAGTGAGCCCTCGTGTCTTAGTGGACCTATAAAAGGATTAAGCGCCGGTGGTACGCCTTGTTGGATGGTCCAGTGCAGTAAATGTCGAGAAAATTACGCAGGAACACCCACCATGGGTCATCAGTGTTATAAAACTGTCACTGTCGACAATAAGATGTGCTTTGACTCAAAATTAATAGGTAAGTTGTAAATCAAGATGTAAATCAAAATGCAAATTATTTTGCATTATTAATAACAATTATTAATTATTTTTTTTATCAGATGAATGCAAGTTGAAGCCGAAACCGTTAAATCCTGGACAAACTGTTTTCTATATGGTTCAACCTCGTTTCATGAATGTCGATATACGTGTGATGGTCGACGTGACACAAGGCGCTCTAGATTTATATCTCAGTCCACGGGACGATTCATTTGTCGTCACTTTAAATTCTTCTAATGGCTATCAAGAGGTATTGGCTATTTTTTTGATCATTTAATTTTTATTTATTATTAATTAAAGCGAAATAACGAGACGAATTCATTATTATTAAACTACTAGCAACAATTCGCGCGCTAAAGCGCACGGCTAACTTCTTGCATTATAGAAAATTTTTAGTTAAAAACATTTTAAAAATTCAATTTTTTTTGGAGAAGTTATTTTCAATTAACTTCAAAATTTCAAAATTATTTTCAAAAGTAATAAAATTCTTCTTAAAAATCTTCAATTATGTTCAAAATTTAAAAAAAATTCTCGTCTAAATCACAATTATCTTTATAAATAACAAAATTCTTCTTCAAAATTTTAATTATTTAAAAAAATTTCCCTGATTTCAATGATTTTCAATATCTACTACTTTTAATAAATTTCCTAAAAGAATGCAATTTTTTAATAAAATTGTACTCAAATATTTACAAATTATTTTTATAAATAATAAAGCTCATCGTAGAATTTTAATTATTTTTAGTACAATTTTAATCGAATTATTAATTATTTTTTAAAAATAATAAATAAATTCTCTTAGTAATTATTCTTAAAAATTTAATTAAAATTCGTCAAAAGAATTCAATTATTTAAAAATTTGTTAATAAAATTCTTTATAAGAATTCAATTTTAAGAAAAATTCAATTATTCAATAAATTCTTTACTTTTGTATTTAAATAATCGAATAATTTTGAAAAGGTTTCAAATTAAAATATTTGAAAAGTTGAATTTTCTGTACTTTTAACTGGCAATTTTGAAGAATTAATTTTTTTTAAAAAAAAAGTTTAATTTAATATGTTTTTAAATAATTTAAAGTTACTTGGGAATTTTTCCAAAAATGGGAATTTTTCCGAATTCTTAGAAATCCTAGTTTAAGAGAATTTTTCTAAACTTTTGGGATTTTTTCTACTCTATTTCATGAGAATTTTTCTAAATTCATAGGAAGTTTTCGATAATTTTTTGAAAAAATTCCCTTATCTATGTTAGTAAATTTTTCTAAATAATTAGTGGAATTTGCTTCTAAAATTTTTTTGGGAAAATTTTCAAAATTTTTCTTACATTGTATTTTTAAATGAAGAATTTCCGAATAATCGAAATTTCGTAAAATTGAATTTTAAACAAATGTATTTGAAAATTTTTAAAGAACTTTTTCAAAAATAATAAAAAATAGTTGATTTAGAGAAGAATTTTAGTTAAAAATTCTAGAAAATAATAATTAAATTGAAATGATAAGAATAATTTTTAAGAATTTACAGTAACAATATTCTTAATTAATAAAAAATAATGATAATACTTTTTATAAGTTGTTTAATTTCAAAAAAGTTTGAATTTGACATTTTTAGAAATCTTAATTCCTGTGGGAAAATAATAGGTAATTACAATTTTCGAGGAATTTGATTAAAATTTTATTAAAAATAATTGAAATAATTTTATTAAAATAGTAGATATTGAAAATCAATTAAATAAGGAAATTTTTTGAAAGTAATTGAAATTTTGACAAGAATTTTATTACTTTTTGAAAATAATTGAATTGTTTTTTTAGAATTTTGTGAAAATTTATGAAAATAATTAAATTCTTGTGGAGAATTCTTTAAAAAATAATATTCAAAAGAATTTAGCAAATCTCTGAAGAATTTTGCTATTTATAGAAATTATTGAATTCTTGAAAAGAATTTTTTTACAGTTTCTAGAAATAATAAAATTTTTAAGAATAATTAAATTTTTCGAGGAATTTGATTAAAATTGTATTAAAACTAATTGAAATTCTGCGACGAGTTTTATTATTTCTTAAAATAATTGAATTATTAAGAAAAAAGCTGATAAAAAATTCGTAAATATTTGAATTCTTATAAAATTTTTATTATTTATGAAAATAATTAAAAGTTTGCGTACAATTTTATTAAAATTGTTTTCAAATAATTGAATTCTTTTGGGTAATTTTATTAAAATATTAGATATTGAAAATCATTGAAATAAGGAAATTTTTTGAAAGTATTTGAAATTTTGACAAGAATTTTATTACTTTTTGAAAATAATTGAATTGTTTTTTTAGAATTTTGTGAAAATTTATGAAAATAATTAAATTCTTGTGAAGAATTCTTTTAAACATAATATTGAAAAGAATGTAATAAATCTCTGAAAAATTTTGCTATTTATAGAAATAATTGAATTCTTGAGAAGAATTTTTTTACAGTTTCTAGAAATAATTGAATTCTTTTGACGAATTTTAATAAAATTTTTAAGCATAATTTTTATTATTGATGAAAATAATTAAATGTTTGCGTACAATTTTATTAAAATTGCTTTTAAATAATTGAATTCTTTTGGGTAATTTTATTAAGATAGTAGATATTGGAATTCAAAGAAATGAGGAAAATTTTTGAAAATAATTGAAATTTTGACAAGAATTTTATTAAAATTTTTGAAAATAATTGAATTTTGAAGAAGAATTTTTTTATTTATAAAGATAATAATTGGGATTTTGTCGAGATTTTCTTGGAAATTTCGAACATAATTAAATTTTTTGATAAAAATTTTACTACTTTTGAAAATAATTGAATTTCTCCAATCATTCTTCACTTCTTCAAAATTCAATTTTTTTTAGTGTTTTTAATTAAATTTCTTCTATAAATCCATTATTTTTAATAATTAATTAAATATTATTAAAAAATGTAATTAATTTTAGAAGATTGTGAATTATTAAAATTTTTCAAAAATCTAAGTTCATTAAAATTTCTAATTAAATTCATTCAACATTGAAATTTTATAAAATTTCTAATTAAGACCGTTTGAATTCTAAGAATTTAATTTTTTTCAGTAAATAAAAATTCCTGACTTTTTTCTGAATTCCCTGTTAGAATATAAAAAAATTCGAATTAAAAATTGTTACGTTCTATTTTATTTTTAAAATTGCTACTTTTATTTTAAAAAGTAAGTGAGAAGTCTGCCGCCCGTAAGCGAGCGAATTGTTGCTAGTTAATAATTTATAATAATTAATTCGAAAATAATTGTTTTTAGATTGAACTGGACAATAGATTTAAATTACGTAAAGATTATCCCGAGAGCTGGTTGGATTATTCCCATAATAAAGTGAGAGTCGTGGAATTTCATCCACACGCATCGTTTCATTTAATGCAAAATGGATCCACCGTGGAGCCGGAATGGAGTTCAGGACCACAGTACATAGTGATGGAGCGTTACGCCGAGGGTTTAGCGACCTACGTCACAATCGAGCAAAGAAATACTCTTCTTGTGGTGAGAAATCTGACAAATCGTCTCGTATTAACATTACCGCAGGATAAACACGAATTGGGACAGACAAAATTTCATATTGCCTTGAGGGCAATCGATATGCCAAATCCGGAGATTAATGGAAAGGCAGCTTATGGAATGATCTTCTTTCGACAGGATCAATTGCACATTGATCTCTTTGTCTTTTTCTCCGTATTTTTCTCATGTTTCTTTTTATTCCTGGCTGCTTGTGTTGTTGGCTGGAAGACAAAGCAAGCGGCAGACGTGAGAAGAGCCCGACGAAGGCATGTCGTTGAAATGTTGCATATGGCGAAAAGACCATTTGCCTCGGCGACTATTCTCTATGATCGTGAGGGAAATAATTTCAGTCCAAGTTCACCGCAACGAAAGGGAAGGCGGAATAAAATTGTCAATTTTCACAGTGACGTGAGACCAGTGGCTGTTGAACCAACCGATGATGGTGTTGCTGGTGTTGCCACAGTTTTTATCAAGTTACCCGGTGGAGGACAAGCACCCGTTAAATTGGCTCTCGGCAGTTCCTTGATTTTATTAACGAGAGTCTATCCAGTGAACAGTCGCGTATTTCTCCGCCGACGAAACAGTCACGCTATTAATTAATTTTATTATTAAAATGAGATGACAATTTTGATTATTCATATTATTTCAAATTTTCAAGCCTACAAATGACAAGGTATTTAAAATTTTAATATTGCTAAAACAGGGTGTCTACTAACCGGAAATAGTTGGGAATTTAATTTGACTTAATTTAATTAATTTAATTTAATTTAATTTGATTTAATTTAAACCGAGAATAAGGCAGGAATTTTATCCCAAACCGGGAATTTTTTAACCAAATTAAAAAAAGTTCTATTATTTTAATTTCTTTTTAAAAAATCGCTTTTAATTTCAATTTTTATAGATATTTACACTGTTCTCTAAATTTGAATAAGTTAAAAATAATTAATTTGAAAGTAAAAAATCAGTCACTGATTCAAATTAATATGTAAATAATTTTTTTTAAAAATGATCGAATTAATAAGAATTTTGTGAAATTCAACTGAAAATAATTAAATTTGTTAAAGAATTTCATTAAAAACTTTTTAACAAATCAAATTTTCAAAGTATTTTAATTTAATAATTGATAAATAATTGAATTTTATAAAGAGTCACATTCTAGTATTCATGTTTCGTAGTGCGAAGATTAATAATTAACATTTTTATTAATTAATTTCAAAAAAGATCCGCACTTAAAATATTTTATTAAAATTGAATTTTTGCAAAGTTTTTTTTTGAAAATTCTGAAAAATAAGATTTTTGAAATTTTTCAATTCTATTGATTCAAGATAATTGAATTTTTAAAAACAGATACTTGAAAATTTTTGAAATAATTGAAATTTCTTTACATTATATTAAAAATAATTAAATTTTATTAAAAGAATTTTATTTAAATTTTTCGAAAATAATCAATGGGAAGTTAGTCACCGTAATTATAATTTTATTTTTAAAACTTTCTTCGGAATATATTCAATTATTTTCATAAATACTAAAACTCATTGCAGAATTTCAATTATTTTTAATACAATTTTAATCAAATTCCTCGAAAAATGTAATTTATTCTAAAAAATTTTATTAAAATTCATCAAAAGAATTCAATTATTTCTAGAAACTGTAAAAAAAAATTCTTCTCAAGAATTCAATTATTTCTATAAAAAGCAAAATTCTTCAGATTTCTTAAATTCTTTTGAATATTATTTATAAAAGAATTCTTCACAAGAATTTAATTCAGGGTTGCTACAAAAATTTAATTTTGTTTTTTCCTGACTTCTAGACAAAATTTAGACTTTTTCCCTGACTCTAAAGAATATTCTGATTCACTCCAAAAATTATTAGATACTCAGAAATATTTTATCAAAATATTTTAAAATAATAGAATTCTTTCGGCGAATTTAAAAAAAAAATGAGAATAAATGCAATTTTCTATTAGTTTATGAAAAATTGTACATAAAAAATAATTGAAATTCTACGATGAGTTTTGTTATTTATGAAAGTAATTGAATTCTTGCAACGAATTTTATTAAAAAATTTTTTACAGAATTTAATTCAAATTTTTTTAAACAATTTGAATTTCTCAGAATTTTTTAAAACTTTTTGAAAATAATTAAATTCCATCGAGAAATTTCATTAAAATATTGAAAATAATTAAAATCTGAGTGACGAAGAATTTTCTGAAATTTTTTTTTAATTAATATAATTCCTGTGAAAAAGTTTATTTTTGAAAAAAGAATTAAATTCTTGTGAAGAATTTTATTAAAATTTCTTAAATAATTGAATTTCTTCAAAGAATTTTTTATTTTCTACGAAAGTAATTAAATTGTTTCAAAGATTTTTTTTAAACATTTTTGACAATAATTGTATTGCTAAGAAGAATGTTAAATTTTTCGAAAATAATTGTATTGTACGATTAATTTTATTATCATTTTTCAAATTTATAAAGCATTTTATCAAAATTTTTTTAAATAATTGACTTTTCAAGAAAAATTTTATTATTTATGAAAATAATTGATTTTTTGAGAATAATTTTATTAATTAAGTCTTGTAAAGAATTTTGTCAACATTTTTTTAATTAAAAGAATTTTTTTTTAATTTTTCGAAATAATTGAATTTCTTTGAACTATTTTTTTCAATTCTCTGAATATATTTGAATTCTTTCGAGGAACTTTATTAAAAAATTAATAATAATTGAATTGGTGAGAAGAAATTTATAAAAAAATTGTTAAGTAATTGAATTCCAGGGAAATTTTTATTAAATTTTGTTTAAATAATTGAATTTTTTTGGAAAGACAATTATTTTCAAAAATTTTAATAAAATTCAACTTAAAAATTTTTAATTGTTTTCATAAATAATAACATTCTTTGGAAGGATTCAATTACTTTTATAAAATAGTAAAATTCTTTGCAGAAATTCAATTAGTATCAATACATTTCAATAAAATTGAATTAATCAATTTTTCAATTATAATTATGAACAGACAAGATTATTTTAAAAAATTGAAAAAATCTTTTGTTTAATTTAATTATTTTTCAAATTTCTAATTAAATTCATTAAAAAAACATTATTTTCAAAAAATTTAAAGAAACTCGTCAAAAAGAATTTAATTATTCATAAAAACTCTATTAAAAATTTTGGAAGACATTTGTAGATTTATTTATGTTCGTAATCAAATAAATTTAAATATGATGAGAAAAAAAACCTGGAAAAATTTGGACAAAACCGGGAATTTTGTTGAACGAAAATAGTAGACACCCTGTAAAAAGAAATTAATCTTTTATTTAATTTGTAAATTATTTTCAAAAAAAAAACTAACAATTATTTAATTCTGTATGATTTTTTCTACAACTATGATTTTTTTTCCAAATGAATTTTATTTTTATTAATTAATAATTTAAGGAGGTTCAATATCAAATGTGCTTATGAATCTCATTAATTTTTTTTTTGATCCATGACAATTCTGATTGTGTGTATAGGTTTTTATCGAAAAGGTGCATTTATATAATATGTAAATAATGATAAAAAAAAAGACTTGAGTGAAAAAGAAACGGAAAATTCGATTGCAGATTTTTTATTTATCCGCATTTGTTACAAAAAATTGCTCCATAGGCAAAAAAAAAAAAAATCAAGTGCCGATTAAATTATTAAGTGTTTTACCGCATGCTGCTATGTAGAAAAAATTTTTCAAATGTGTTCATATAAAAGAATTTTTATATCACTTTAAATAAGCAGTATTAAAAAGAAAAGATCTTTTAGCGCATCATAATTTTTATTTACAAAACTTATGTGCAATCGCAGACGATAATTATATGTACAATTATTATATTGATAATTATTGTATAATTACATATTATTATATTATTGTTTACATATTTTTTTTAAGTAATTAAAATGTTTATATGGCTCACGAATTAGAACGTGCCAAACAGAAAAAAAAGAAACACGATTCGTATACTAATGTACATTCCTCGGATAGTTTTCTAATTTTTTTTTCGTTTTAGCCAAGTGATAAAAGAAAACTCTCGAGTAAATGTCAAATCCATTATTTTTAAGTAAAATAATGAATTGTATAGTAGATTTTTTAAATATTTAATTAAGAATTTAAGAGTTTAATATAAGTTTACTCACTGTAATTGAACACCAATTTTTTTTTATATTTTTCTCCTGACTTTTAAATTCTATAATATTGTGTCTATAGTTGTATAATTACTATTTGTTACAGTATTTTTATTATTATCACTGGTTAAATGTGGCACAGAAATTTCTATAGAAATTGTATTTTATTGAATATTTTCTAGATATTTAAAAAAGCTCCGAACATTTTTTTTTAATAAAGAAATTAAGAATTAAAAATATATTCCTAAAGTTTTACAGACAATTTTTTTCTTACGAAATAAAAAAAATAATTTTTTCATTTCATTTCAGGATTAATTTTTTTTTTTTAATAAAATAACAAAAATATCGTTATTCGACGTAAAATTTGTCTTTGTAACAGAATGAAAAAAATGTATGGAGCTTTTATTATAAACATAAAAGATTTATTTTTGAAAATCAAAGTACCAGTTTCAGAAAATAATTAGTTTTTAAAATAAAAGTTCCATTTGAATTTTTTATACAAAAAAAAAAGAATATAGAATATGTTAGATGGAAAGAAATTTTTAAAGTGCGAAAAATAGAAAGAGAAAATCGCTGTTTGCGAAGTGTAAAATTTTAATAAAAAAAAAAATGTAGATTGTACATTGGTTGGTAAAACACTTCTTATCTAGTTAATTTAAATTTAAATTTTGCAATTGTATAAAAAAATATCTTAAACTTTTTATAAATAAAATACGTAATATTATTAAATTTTATAATAATACATACGTATATTATATAATATATATTATATAATTCTATATCGTATAATATTATACATTTAATACATAATATTACAGACATGTTGTGTATATCAAGTGTAAGATGATATAGTATATGTAAAAATATATTAAATATTTAAGTCATTAATTAATGTAACAATCATTGTACAGATCTTATGTAATAATTTAGTATTATTTTATAAGCATTGCGAATTTATATATATATGTATATGTATATTATAAATTATACAAGAAAATTAGCAACCTTATCAGATACAAACACAAAAATTAAATCAATTAAACGTAAAATATTTTCCTCATTGTTAGGAACAATATATATGTACGTGTTTAATAATAATTTTAAAAAGTTGACAACATTTCGCCTCTTCTTTATTTCACCAGTCATGAAAGTATTCACTTTTGACAAAGAATTTTAGTTTTTCTTTTTTTCTAAATAAAAATAATTTTTTTATAATTAAAAATTTTAATTTGAATATTGAAAAAAAATTGTATTTTAAATTAGACTAGCGCTTAAATAAATTTTTTTCGAAATCATAATTAATTTTCACATTTGACAAATATTGTACATATTTTAACTTAGACTCGCGCTTAAATTGCTTAAGAGAATTTTTTCGAGTACGTCCAATGGATTTAGTAATCTCGAGCCGCTAAGTATTATTTTTGGATGATTAGAAAGTGAAGACGTTTTTTCTTGAACGATTCTTGCTTCGTCTGGTGTTATTCCTCCGAGAATGTAGATTATAATTAATGCACTGTCCGAAGGGTGTTTCATTCTACCCTTCATTAGAAGGCTATAAAAAATTGTTAATAATTTCGATTATTCATAAAGAAAATTCTGAATTTAAAAAATCAGATTTTGCATTTTAATAACTTACTTAAAACTGGTTGAGAGTAGAGAAAAAGTATTGCACTGTAGATCGGGAATTTCCGGTTTATTTGAATCAATTAGATCCGTAACAAGCCTTTCGACGAGACCAACTCCTTTTGCCATTTCCTGCTTACTTGATTTGCATATAATTGATCTGGAAATAAATTTAGAAATAAATCTTGGGTGTTCTTCTTAGGAGCGCGTCACAAATAATAATCTATATTAATAATCGTAGTATTCCGGTAATCTGATCGTAGTTCGAAGTTTTAGTTGTTGTTTATGAAAAGAATTTTACAATTTATAAAAATAATTGAAAATAATTGAATGTTTTGAAAGAAATTTATTACAAAATTTTGAAAATAATTGGATTCTTTAGAGAAATTTTATTAAAAATAATTGAATTCTTTCGAAGAATTTTATCAGAATTTTTGAAAATAATTGAATTCCTTTGAAGAATTTTATTATTTATTGCCATTAATATTATTTTACTATTAAAATTATTAATAGAAAATTAAACTCTTTTAAACAATTTTATTAGAGTTTTTCTAAATAATTCAATTCTTTTAAAGAATTATTTTTTGTTTTTTCAAAATAATTTAGTTCTTAAATAATTTTAATTAGAAATTGTGAAAACTAATTCAATTAAACAAAGAATTTAAAAAAAAAATTTTAAATAATCGTGTCTATTAAAAATTATAATTAAATATTTCATTAATTGAAGTTTATTAAAATTTTATATAATAAATAATTGAATTGTTTCCAAGAATTTATTAGAAGTTTAGAAAATAATTCAATTCTTTCAAAAATTTTTTATTAAAAATATTAAAAAATTTAATTGAATCTTTTCTTGAAATTTTATTAAAATTGTATTCAAAATAATTGAATTCCTATAAAGAGTTTTAATATTTAAAAAAATAATTCGAATTTTTCCAAAGAATGTATTATTTATGAAAATAATTGAAATTTTGCAAAGAATTTAATCAAAATTTTTTAATACAGCTGAACTCTTTAAAGAAATTGTACTTGAAATTCTAATAAATTAGTTTTTAAATTCTATAAAATGAAATTTAATTTTTTAAGAATTTTATTAAAAAATTAACATAATTAAATTTTTATAGAATATAATTTATATTTTACAAAAAATTTCTTAAAAATTTTGAAAATAATTGAATTTTTGAGATTAACTCAATTTTAGAATTTTACTTTATTTATTTTTTAAATAATTGAATTTTGGAATTATAATTGAATTTTCTGAAGTTTTAAAGAAGATATTTGAATATTTATCAAGAAATTTATTAAAAGTTTTGAAATTAATGAATTTTTTAATCAACTTTACAGAAAAAAAGATTTTAAATAACCAGAAGGAAACGAGAAGTAAAAAATTTGAATAATTGAATGTTTGCAAAGACTTTACTATTTAAAAAATAATTGAATTCTTGCAAAGAATTATATTAAAATTTTTGAGAATAGAAACAATAATATATAATTAATTTTTTACTTAATAAGTGAATTTTTTAAATTTTGATTATGAAATTATTCAACAATTAAAATTTGAAAATAACAAATTTTGTAATTTGCATAATAATAATAAATTGAATTACTTGTAATTCTGTAAAATATGTCGTTGACTTGCAATCGCATGGAATAAATCCATTATGTGGGTGGCAATTTGTTTGGAAGTTTTCTTCATTACTTCAGCATCAGAAATACCTAATATGGAAAAATAAAATAATTAATCAAATTTAGCTTTTTTCTCATTTTCGGAAAAACAAGGAAAACTTACCAAAACTGAGAAGAATTAAAGTTTGATGATAAACTGATAAATCCTCACTGGATTCGACTTGATTGCATTTTTCCATATCTTCAAAAATAGCATCGGCTAATGAATTTCTCAATTGTTCTTCCTGTTGTGGTGGAAAATTAATATCATTTCCAACCATCGAATAAACGTGAATTAAAAGAACCAATAAATTATCCATTGTCAATCCTCTTGATGATCGCGATTGTATAATATTGCTCAACTGTAATAATTACAATACTATTTTTCTTTAAACTGTAAATTTCATTATATAACCAAATAATAATTATATCAAATAATATTTGAATGAATGAATGAATTAATGAATGAAAGAATACGGAGATTAATATAGTTGACTGTAAATTAAAAAGTAAATTGTAATTGAAAAAAAAAAATGAAAATTACCTGAGCAACAATGCTGGATGCATCGCGACTAATTGCCAAATTTTGAAGAATCAACTTTTCGAAACTCACTAATAATTCCAATTGTGCCGTTTTATCCGATTTCAAGGCTTGAATAGCAGCAATAATAATCTAAGAGTAAAATTTTTTACTTTGATAAATACTCATGAAAAATATTTCATTATTTAAATTTAATTAGTATTTTTATTATTTTATTAAAATTTATATTTATTTTACTTGAAGTGTTTTGCTCGATCGAGTTAGATTTTCAATATTCTCTGAATTGCGAAATTTATGAACCAATTTTTCCAAACTATGAGCCGATACTCGAGTTGCTAATTTTGTCTTTATTGGACTTTCATTAACTGTACTCATGTCATTCAACATTTTATTAAACGCCAAAAGCAAATCTTTCTGCTTTTTATGAAGCAATAAATCCAAAACATTCGTTTCGTTTGTAGCCAGACAACCCGGTACCATGAAGGATGACAAACATTCCTAAAAAAGTGTTAAAAAATACAATTAATATTGTTAAAACTTTTTTATTAAAAGAAACCAAATAATTTAGTTTAAATTCAATTTAATTTAGTTTAAAAAAATATTTTTTTCAATTCTTACCTCTCCTTCATGACAAAAAGGTGACATATTGACAGCAATGTCATTATTATGATGATTTAAATGCGGTAAAGTGCAAAGAATTCTGCCTAACAATGATTCGGTATTATAAGAGCAGGCAGTACATAAATCTAATGTTCTATCCAATAGAATAAAAGAAACAGTTCGTTCATCAGAAATTTGCTGTTAATATAATGTTTAACTAATTTATTAAATTTGTTGTATATTTGTAAAATAAAATCAAAAAAAGAAGATTTTCTTTTGTTGATTTTATTAATTATGAAATTACAGGGTTGCCAAAAAATTAAATTTTGTTTTTCCTGACTTTTCCCTGATTTACAGACAAAATTTTCACTTTTTCCTGACCCTGAAGAATATTCTGATTCACTCTAAAAATTATTAGATAGTTAAAAAAAATGTTCTTTTACAATTATTTACGAATTTCTTTAATTGCAAAATTATTCGATTTCATCAATAACTTCCTTTTTAAATAAATATTTAATCATTAAAATTTTTCTATAGGATTTAAGAGGTGGGGGACACTTTTCTCAAAAATTTATTTTTCCAAAATTTTATCAAATTTTCAAAGTTTTTAATTTTTTTCCTGTACTTTTAATAAAAATCCCTGACTTTTCCATGAATTCCCTGACCTGTGGCAACTCTGAATTAGATTAATATTTTAAATCCACTTCCTAAATTCATTACACATTCCTGTAAATTTATTACCTTACGTCTGTTTATTGCTGCAGGCAATGTTGCCAATTTTTCAGCAACAATATTACTCAGTCTACCCATTGAATAAACATCCTCTTTGACATTTAAATTTGAAAATAAACTATGCATAGAACTGGCAAAATATTCCACATCATTTTCATAATGAAGAAGTGAATTTTCATCAATTGGTGGCATCATATTTCCAAATGGTGGTGTCAAAAATACGGAATCATTTAAAGATGCGGTGAAAATTGGTGAATAAATTATGGTTACACTTGATTCTCCAACCTGAAAAGAATCACATTCCTTAAATTTTGTAATAAAATACTTATTTACATTGTAATATAAAAATAATTAAGAAAATAGAATCATTTTTCTTAGCGAGACCTCTGTTTCGTATTTTCCATCGATCCATCTTTGGTTTTGTTGCTGTAATTCATCGTAATTAATTTTGCCTTCACGGGGAAAAATTGTATTATAATCCAAAACACTCGTGTGTACCGAGCAAAATATAATGCATTTGGAAAAATGATTTTTCTCTAAAATTAATTTCAGTGTCTCATTGTAAAATGATGATTCTGCCGAAGTTGAAATTACTACAGCTTTTTTTGTTTCCTTCGCTTTTATAAACTGTAAAAATAAAAAAAAAGAAAGGAAACTATTAAATGATAAATTACTAAATGATGTTAAATTTCAATAATGGTTTTACGAGAGTAAAATTGCCATTTTCAAAGAAAATTGAAATTAAATTTACATCTATTACCTTTAAATTAAATAAAGACAATTCGTGAACAGATAATGCCCCCGCATTTTTGAAGCTAAGATATGCTTTATCGCCGGAATACCAATGAAAACATTCAGCTGCTGCATGATCTATGTAGACAGCAGCTTCTGAAACTTCAGCTAAAATACCTTTCCAGCAGTTTTCAGCAAAGTCAATTAAACTTCCGACCTGATGCATCTTTTACCTTAATCTAAATTAATTCAAAAAATACAAGCAATTGTTTAAAAATTGATATATTTCTTCTTTCAGCCTTTGCCACCTATCAGAACAATGCTTATATTTTAAAATGACGTTTAAAGCATTTTTAAGATAAGTTGACTATAAATTGAAAGTTTTCTCTTCCTTTTTTCCACTTATTATATTTACAGATTAAAACTAAACAAATAACTCGTTATAATAAGCATAGTAAGTAATTTTTCTATTGTTGTAATAATTTGACTTATGACAACAAGTCCACGTAGATGACAGTGCTGCCAGGTACCCTCACCAAACGCAACTGCGCTTGCGCTACAAAAATGATCTTGTCACGTCCCAGGTTAGGTACAATTTAATTTTAAGAGAGGGCGAACTTGAATTAATATTAAAATATTAATAAATAAAAATATATATTATATTAATATAATAATATTATATTATATATTATATATTATAATATTATAATATATATATATATATATATATATATATATATATATATATATATATATATATATATATATATATATATATATATATATATATATATATATATATATATATATATATAAATTCAATTATTTATAATATAATATATAAATATAAATAAAAATAAAAAAATAAAAAAAAAAAATATATATATAAATATATAAAAATATATATAAATATATATATATATATATATATATATATATTTATAATTATAATTATTTATAATATAATATAATATATTATTATATATATAATATATAATATATATTATATATATATATATATATATATATATATATATATATATATATATATATATATATATATATATATATATATATATATATATATATATATATATATATATATATATATATATATATATATATATAATATATATATATATATAATATATATATATATATATATATATATATATATAAAAATTCAATTATTTTCAAAACATTTTTAATTGAATTCCTTGAAAGAATTCAATTTTTAAAACAAATTTCAACACATTTCGAAAAAATTCAATTTTTTTCTAAAATTTTAATAAATCCTTAGAAAAAATTCAATTATTTTTATAAATAGTAAAATTCTTGGCAAGAATTCAATTAATTTTATAAATATTAAAATTCTATATAACAATTAAATCACTTTCAAGGCAATTTATAAATATATATTCGTCAAAAAAATTGAAGGAATTCAATTATTTTGAAAAAATAATAAAATTCTTGTGATGAATATTCAATTATTTTCGAAACAACTTTAATTGAATTTCTCTAAAAAATTTCATTATTTTTGCAAAGATTTTACAATTTATAAAAATAATTAATTTGTTTCAAAGGATTTATTAAAATTTTAGAAAATAATTGAATTTTTCTTTAAAATAATAATAAAATTCTTTTTAAAAATTGAATACATTTATAAAATTAATTTTATTAATATTGTATTAAAAACGATTAAATATTACAATTTCAGAAAATATAAAATTTCCATAAAATTCAATTTCAACAAGAATTTAAAATTCTCTAAAAATAATTCAATTATTCTCTAAATATTTTTAAAAAATTCGATATAGATATTAAATTATTTTCAAGGCAATTTTTAAATATATTCGTCAAAAAAATTGAAAGAATTCAATTCTTTTCAAAAAAATAATAAAATTCTTAAAAGAAATTTAATAATTTTTGAAATAACTTTAATTGAATTTCTCGAAAAAATTTCATTATTTTCAAATATTTCTATAAAATTCTTCATAACAATTTATTCATTTCTTTAAATTTTAATAAATTCTTTGAAACATTTCAATTATATTTTTATAAATAGTACAATTCTTTGCAGAAATTCAATTCTTTTTAAAACAATTTTAATAGAATTCCTCGAAAGAATTTAAATTTTCAAATATTAACAAAAAATTAATTTATTTTCTAAAATTTTAATAAATTCTTCGAAACATTTCAATTATTTTTATAAATAGTATAATTCTTTGCAGAAATCCAATTATTTTCAATACAATTTTAATAAAATTCTTCTTCATAAAATCCAATTGCTATTTTAATTAATTTTAAATTTTCAATTAAAATTATTAAAAAAGCTTCATTAGTTTAAAAAAAATTCAAAGAAATTCTTCAAAAGAATTCAATTAGTTTTTTTTAAATTTTAATAAAATTCTCTGCGAAAATTTAGTTATTTTTCTAAATAATAAAATTCACTGCGAGAATTCAGTTATTTTTCTGAATAATAAAATTCTTTGAAATAATTTTTAATTATCAAATTTTTTGATAAAATTCTTTGCAACAATTCGATGATTTTCAATGCATTAATTTTAAAATTGAAAATATTTGAAAAGAAAAATTATAAAAAAGTTTAGAAAGAAAAAAGTAAAGAATTAATTTATTAATATTATTATTAATTATTATTTAATTAATAATAATTTTAATAAAATTTATAATTTTTTAAAAACAGGACATAACTTTAAAAGTACTGAATAGCGATGAATGTGAGGAAGAATCGAGTGATAAAAAGAAAATGCATGAGAAAAATAGTCAATTACAGGAAACAGAGAGATTATCATCATCATCATCATCTTTAAAAGAAGACAACGAAGACACGAAAAACGATTTCAAATTAAATTCCGAGACGAATTTGAATAATTTTATTCAGGTAATTATTTGTTAAATAATTTTTTTCATTTTCATTGTATTCTAATACATTTCTATCAGATTTCTATATTGTAGATTGCTCCGGAATTTGAAAATGTACCACCGCCAATTCCACCACTGGATTCTAGTAATGAAGCCGATTTGAGCGATTTTTAACGTTGATATATGAGAAAATCGAGAAAAAAATTAATAAAAGAAGCTTTATATGTGATTTGTATAATTGAATAATAAACAAAATGTTTATATTCTTCTAAACACGAAACATAAACAATTTTTATTCTCAAAAAATAATCACGCACAAAATGTTCTTTAAGTAATTGAAAAATAAAATTAACTTAATATGAAAAATTCGAAATGCATTCGAAAGACAAAAAAAAAAAGAGAAGGTAACTTGAACTAAAAACACCAGAGAGATAAAGAAAAAAAAAATAAAAAAATATTCAAAATGAAAATGAATTTTTAATTTTATTGCATGTTTATTGCTTGTTTTCCATTACGAAGAATTAATATTAACTGCGCACGTTTCTCTTTCAGCAAGCCTTTTTACTCTTCAAAGTATATAAAAGAAATCCTTTTCTCCACCACATCCTTATCACACGGTTTGAAAAAATTGACTTTTAATCATATTTTTCTACGAATAAAAGAAACAAAAGAAGAATCCAACTTCTCATTTCTTTTCCCCCACGATTCAATGAGACAAAAATTATTATCCAATTCTTTTCCTAGAAAACAATTAAAATAATTTACTAAATGTAATAATAAATTAGAATAAATAAAAATTATCAATAAATCTGTAATTGGAGTACTAATTTTTCATTCACTATGTAAATTAATGTGAGAACGTAAATTTGAAGACATCTTTATTTCTCAATCTTCCGACATTGATTAATTGCGCACTCTTGTCAGTTACAAATTCCCATCGTTAAATACTTGAACCTATAAACAAAATAAATAACAATTAATCAAAATAGAGAAACTAAAAATTATATTAAGTATGTTTTCTTAGAGTAAAAAAAAATTTTTTCTTACTCGTAATTTCTTTGTCAACATTTTCTATTCTTCTAAGGTTAATTTTAAATTTAAAAAAAAATTTCAATAAAACAATGTTTCCATGAGAAGCCTACATATAGAGTTAAAAATAAGAGAAAAAAATATACCTATTTATTACTATAAACAATAATTAAACATTAAAACTAACCTCAAAATAAAATTCCAAGACAATATTTATCCTAATTAATTTTCCGAACTGGTGTCGCTCGTTCCCTTATGGTATGTGTCAAATTTATTATGACTTGACGTATGGTTGGAATTTTTAACCTAAAAAATAAAAACAATTTCAATATACCTTTAATATAAATTTGTGTGATTATCAAGATTTATATAGATAAACATAAATTTCAATAAATTTTTTTTGTAATAAAAAAACTGCTTTACAAACAAATTCTTTATTTTGAAATTTGACACAACTATAGGTAATTTCACTTTCTGCATTATCGACTCGTGGTACGAGTTACCGAAAATATGCTTGAAATAGTTTGTACATTCACCACGGCGCTAGTAGTACAAGCGCGCACTGGTGGGGACGCTCGAAGTGGTGGGGACACGGGTATATAAGCAGGCGCCCGAGACGAGACTGGCACTTCAAGCTCAACTGTGTTACAGGTAAGCAATAGTACCAAAGCCTTGTTAAGGCAGACGAACTTAAGCTGTATTACAGCAAAGCCTTATTAAGGCAAACGGACGTAAAGCTGTATTACAGCAAAGCCTTGTTAAGGCAGACGAACTTAAGCTGTATTACAGCAAAGCCTTATTAAGGCAAACGGACGTAAAGCTGTATTACAGCAAAGCCTTATTAAGGCAGACGGACGTAAAGCTGTATTACAGCAAAGCCTTGTTAAGGCAGACGAATTTAAGCTGTATTACAGCAAAGCCTTATTAAGGCAAACGGACGTAAAGCTGTATTACAGCAAAGCCTTATTAAGGCAGACGGATGTAAAGCTGTATTACAGCAAAGCCTTATTAAGGCAAACGGACGTAAAGCTGTATTACAGCAAAGCCTTATTAAGGCAGACGGACGTAAAGCTGTATTACAGCAAAGCCTTATTAAGGCAGACGGACGTAAAGCTGTATTACAGCAAAGCCTTATTAAGGCAAACGGACGTAAAGCTGTATTACAGCAAAGCCTTGTTAAGGCAGACGAATTTAAGCTGTATTACAGCAAAGCCTTATTAAGGCAAACGGACGTAAAGCTGTATTACAGCAAAGCCTTATTAAGGCAGACGGATGTAAAGCTGTATTACAGCAAAGCCTTATTAAGGCAAACGGACGTAAAGCTGTATTACAGCAAAGCCTTATTAAGGCAGACGGACGTAAAGCTGTATTACAGCAAAGCCTTATTAAGGCAGACGGACGTAAAGCTGTATTACAGCAAAGCCTTATTAAGGCAAACGGACGTAAAGCTGTATTACAGCAAAGCCTTATTAAGGCAGACGGATGTAAAGCTGTATTACAGCAAAGCCTTATTAAGGCAGACGGACGTAAAGCTGTATTACGGCAAACGGACGTAAAGCTGTATTACAGCAAAGCCTTATTAAGGCAAACGGACGTAAAGCTGTATTACGGCAAAGCTTTATTAAGGCAGACGGACGTAAAGCTGTATTACAGCAAAGCCCTTATTAAGGCAAACCGACGTACAGCTGTATTACGGCAAAGCCTTTTTAAGGCAAACGGACGTAAAGCTGTATTACGGCGAAGCCTTATTAAGGCATACCGAAAAGACTAAAGCTGTATTACGGCAAAGCCTTTTAAAGGCATACTGAAAAGACTAAAGCTGTTTTACGGCAACGAATACAATTTTTAACGATAGACCCATCGTTAGGGCATACGGATAACGTTAAATTTTTTGAAATTTTATGTACATACGTGTTTTCTTTTCTCTATTCATTAATAACAATATCACGCGGGTTAATTTCGTTTTTAAAGTAATGAATAAATACTTCTTGTTCTGATGAGGCATTAAAAAATTGTTACACTCAAAAAGCGGCTAATAAGTAATTTTTTCTTTTCAATTAATCCCGATTGTTACATAAATCGTTTAATTATCGTGTGTACATTTAATTTTTAACGTTATTCGACAGTTTATTAAATAATCGTTGATAAAATAAGTCCCCGAGTGCAGTCCCATGGCATCGTTATTTGCTTTGCTTTTTGTAACTTGACTATTAAAAGAATTCATTTTAGAAACTTTATAAATTATTTATTCTCTACATAATATTATGCAGACTTTTTTCAAATTTCTATCAAAACTATAATTATTTTAATGAAAATTTTGTTAAATAATTCATCTTTTTGAAAATGATTTTCTCAAATAATTGATTATTTTCTAATTTCAAGACAATATAATTGAATTTCAAAGATTTTTTTTAAACTACTAATTGAATTTCGTTTTAAAGAATTTTATTATAATTTTTGTAAATAGTTGCTTGATCTCTAATAATTTGTGAATTTAATTTAATGGAAATTTAAAAAATATATATATATATATATATATATTAACACAAGTAGTTGCTTGTAGTTGCTAAAATTTTAAAAAAATACCCAAATAGCCTAATTACAAAACCCAACGCAAAACGATGCCATTAGATTGCACCCTTATTATTTTGTCTTTTTAACAAATTTTTTTTTACAGAAATTCATGTACCAGTATCTACTGTGTTGACATAATGAAGAGAAAACAACAATTGAGTTTAAAATGTTAGTGTTTAACAGATGTATTTTAAAAATATTTGTATTTACATGTAAAGTTAACAATTTTAATTTATTTGTTTATTCTCTATTTTTTCAGCAACAAATGAATCTCGTGAAGGACATTCTACTAGATTCTTCTACGGAAACTCACAGACACAAAAATCTGACGAAAATTTGACATTTTCTTCATCGTCATCAACTCCAAAGACTGTGCAGGCTGAACCTCGAAAAGCAGAGAAGAAAACTTTTCGCTCGAGTGGAATATTCAGATTAAAATGTAAGTTTTTTAAAATTATTTTCTTCAAGTATTTGATTTAAATTGAGGAATTTTTTAATTTTAATTCTTTTGTTTCTTTTTAATTTTCAGCACCAACTAGATCTCGCGAAGAAATGTCTACCAGTTCGATTGGAAAGACTGAAGATCTAAAATCTGGAATTCCGGAGAAACAATTTTTCTCTTCTAGTGAAAGATTGAGTCTAAAATGTTAGTGTTTAACAGATGTATTTTAAAAATATTTGTATTTACATGTAAAGTTAACAATTTTAATTTATTTGTTTATTCTCTATTTTTTCAGCAACAAATGAATCTCGTGAAGGACATTCTACTAGATTCTTCTACGGAAACTCACAGTCACAAAAATCTGACGAAAATTTGACATTTTCTTCATCGTCATCAACTCCAAAGACTGAGCAGGCTGAACCTCGAAAAGCAGAGAAGAAAACTTTTCGCTCGAGTGGAATATTCAGATTAAAATGTAATTAAAATTATTTTCTTCAAGTATTTGATTTAAATTGAGGAATTTTTAAATTTTAATTCTTTTGTTTCTTTTTAATTTTCAGCACCAACTAGATCTCGCGAAGAAATGTCTAACAGTTCAATTGGAAAGACTGAAAATGTGAAAGCTGGAATTCCGGAGAAACAATCTTTTACTTCCAGTGAAAGATTGAGTTTAAAATGTTAGTGTTTAACAGATGTATTTTAAAAATATTTGTATTTACATGTAAAGTTAACAATTTTAATTTATTTGTTTATTCTCTATTTTTTCAGCAACAAATGAATCTCGTGAAGGACATTCTACTAGATTCTTCTACGGAAACTCACAGACACAAAAATCTGACGAAAATTTGACATTTTCTTCATCGTCATCAACTCCAAAGACTGTGCAGGCTGAACCTCGAAAAGCAGAGAAGAAAACTTTTCGCTCGAGTGGAATATTCAGATTAAAATGTAAGTTTTTTAAAATTATTTTCTTCAAGTATTTGATTTAAATTGAGGAATTTTTTAATTTTAATTCTTTTGTTTCTTTTTAATTTTCAGCACCAACTAGATCTCGCGAAGAAATGTCTAACAGTTCAATTGGAAAGACTGAAAATGTGAAAGCTGGAATTCCGGAGAAACAATCTTTTACTTCCAGTGAAAGATTGAGTTTAAAATGTTAGTGTTTAACAGATGTATTTTAAAAATATTTGTATTTACATGTAAAGTTAACAATTTTAATTTATTTGTTTATTCTCTATTTTTTCAGCAACAAATGAATCTCGTGAAGGACATTCTACTAGATTCTTCTACGGAAACTCACAGACACAAAAATCTGACGAAAATTTGACATTTTCTTCATCGTCATCAACTCCAAAGACTGTGCAGGCTGAACCTCGAAAAGCAGAGAAGAAAACTTTTCGCTCGAGTGGAATATTCAGATTAAAATGTAAGTTTTTTAAAATTATTTTCTTCAAGTATTTGATTTAAATTGAGGAATTTTTTAATTTTAATTCTTTTGTTTCTTTTTAATTTTCAGCACCAACTAGATCTCGCGAAGAAATGTCTACCAGTTCGATTGGAAAGACTGAAGATCTAAAATCTGGAATTCCGGAGAAACAATTTTTCTCTTCTAGTGAAAGATTGAGTTTAAAATGTTAGTGTTTAACAGATGTATTTTAAAAATATTTGTATTTACATGTAAAGTTAACAATTTTAATTTATTTGTTTATTCTCTATTTTTTCAGCAACAAATGAATCTCGTGAAGGACATTCTACTAGATTCTTCTACGGAAACTCACAGACACAAAAATCTGACGAAAATTTGACATTTTCTTCATCGTCATCAACTCCAAAGACTGTGCAGGCTGAACCTCGAAAAGCAGAGAAGAAAACTTTTCGCTCGAGTGGAATATTCAGATTAAAATGTAAGTTTTTTAAAATTATTTTCTTCAAGTATTTGATTTAAATTAAAAAATTATTATTTTTTATTTATTTGATTCCTTCTTTTCATTTTTCAGCACCAACCAGATCTCGCGAAGAAGTGTGTGTCAGTTCGATTGGAAAGACTGAAGATCTAAAATCTGGAATTCCGGAGAAACAATTTTTCTCTTGTAGTGAAAGATTGAGTTTAAAATGTAAGTTTTTTAAAATTATTTTCTTCTAGTATTTCATAGTCAAAGATTAAGTTTGAAATGTAAGTTTTTAATAATTAACCAAGGAAAAAATGATTCGTACGATGAATCATTTTCACCTGGGTACATTTTAAAAATATTTTATTAAAATAACAATTTAAAAATTTTAATTTATTTAATTCCTTTTTTTCTTTTTCAGTACCAAGTGATTCTCCTGAAAAGCTGTCACCGTGTTCAGTTAACCGTGTACCAACAGAAACATCATTATCATTATCGTCATCAACTGGACCTGATTTAAAAATCACTTCTTCAAAAGTAGAGAAATCGAAAAAGCAAGAAGCTAAATTTTCCCATTCAACATCAACTTCAAAAAGAGATGGTAAAATTTTGTATTCTTTTTTCTTCTTTTATATTTTCTTAATCTCTCTCAATATAAAATTAATAAAATTTTCATTTCTTCCAATTATAGGTGTTGACTCATCAATTGAAAGTGGTGCTGGCCCCTCTTCAAAACGAAAGAAATACAGTGTCGAGAAATCTACAATTGGTGTTTCTTCAAACAGAAAAAGAAAGTCAATTACTTTGGATAATGAAAATATTGATAAACCGTTGCATCATAAAGTGAGAAGAAGATTGGAATTAATGGGAACAGAAAAGCATACGGTAAAAGTTTGTTTGGGAAAATTATGTAAATCAGCAAACATTAAAAATCGAATTGAAGAAGATGCAAAGGTTGTTTCATCAATGATGTATGAGGCAACAACAATGGCATTATTCGGCCTATATGAAGAAACGAATGTTGAAAATGTTGAAAATTGCCCATCATTGTTGGAGAAATGGACCAACAATGGTCCCGACTTTCTGCCATTTTTAATATCATTAAAGCAGAAAGTAAATGCTCAACGTAAAATAACTGAACAGGATGCGAAAATAAATACAATGGTCAACGAATATAAAGAATTAAGGAATGACATTCCACTTTATGACGGAGAACATAGAACGGCAATAATTCAGGAGGCAGCTTTAGTGTTGAATCGAAACTTTAAAACAAATTTCACGACGCATGCAGCATCACGATTAAGAAGATATTTGCAGCTATTAATGGAAATTGAAGACGAAGAAAAAAATCATATGGAAGTAGATGAAATTCAAGAAATTTGTTCAGTTTACCGTATCAAAAATGATAATGATGAAAAAATAAAAATTAGGAGTTTTAAAAATAGCATTAAAAATGAACAAAGAAAAGAATTTCAAAAATCTCGAAAACAATTTCCAGATGAAATGCGAGAAAAAAAAACATCAGACTACTGCGATGAAAGATATGTTCGACAGGAAAAATATCTCAAACATTGCGATAAAGTCTATTATAAAAAAAGGCCAAGAAGGCGAAGAAAAAAATCGAAAAAGGAAAAAGAAGAAGAAAAAGAGAAGAATAAGGAAAAAGAAGAAGAAGAAAAAGAGAAGAATAAGGAAGAAGAAGAAGAAAAAGAGAAGAATAAGGAAAAAAAGAAATTTCGAAAAAGAAGGCCTTCATTTTATAAACAATCTGTTGCTGCTTTAAATCTCCTGCTGCAAAAAAATGAATGTCAAGTGAAAGGATTCCCTACTGATTTACTACTGAAAAAGGGTGATAATGATAGAAGAAAATTGGACTTTACAAAATTGACAAAAGATGAAGAATGGCATAAATTTTTGCCATTTTTCATTATGATTCAACAAGAATTTCATGATAAAAAGAAGAAGAATTTCACGTTAATTCCACAAATTTCATTAGGCGTGAAGCATGTGGTTTATACAAATACTGCTTTAAAAGAATTGCAAACGGCAACTGTTATTCAAGAAATTAAAGAAAAAAAGGCAATTTTACAAAAAAAGAAAAGAAAATCAGGAACGAATAAGGATCATCTTCAAAGAGCAGTTGATAAGATGGACGATGAAATGAAGCGCTTAAGAGAAATGAACAATGAAGAAAGGTGGAATTCAATGTTCAACTTTAAATCAATCCAAAGAGGTCGAAAAAAATTAAAGAATGGTGGTAAATTTTCTGGTACAATAACGACAAATGGTGTGGACGTGTCAGTAATTTTTGATTTACCCACAAAACATGATGTTGTGCAATCAAAGAAGAAAGTTGGAAGTTACAAAAAATTTTGTGGTTTTGATCCTGGTGCGAGGGCGACTCTGGCTGGCGTCAGTAGGGAAAACGATCCTAATCCAACCACTAATGTAAAAAAGGATTCAGCTATTTACATTGGTAGTTGGATGATGAGATGGCAGATGGGCGACTACAGAAGAAGAGAATTAATGAAGAAAAAAGGTATAGACATGCAAAAATATTACAAGCAACTTGCTGAGGATCCATTGATGGAAAATTTTTGCATGACTAATCCTCGAGATCGCCATCGCATAACAAAATATAGAATACATCTTTTACAAAATTTCCAATCACTTCATCAAAAAAGATCCGTAACGCGTTTAAAAATAGATCAATATTCGGCGCACAAACGACAAGTTGATCAACTTGTAAATTGGATAGTAGGTGATACAAGGAAGAAACCCTGTTTCGTTGCTATTGGTGGAGCAGAAATACCTAATTTTATCAAGGGATACACTAAAGCTCCTTTGAAACGTATTCAACAAACTCTTTTCCAAAGATCAGAAGAATTAGGAAAAGATAAATTGCAAGTCGTGAAAGTAAATGAGTTTAATACAACAAAAATGTGTAGTCGCTGTGTGAGACCACTTAAAATATCCAAGAGTCCCCATCGATACACTTATTGTGCGAAATGCAAAACAACGTGGGAAAGAGATGTAAATGCAGGGCGTAATATTCTTAATCTTGCACTTGTTCAAGAGAAAATCATACCAAAGGATTCCATAAAAAATCACCATCTATTTCGGATGAAGAATGATGACATTGAACATGAGGCTGCAGAATTGCAGAAATAATTTTTCCCATCACTTTCAACATTCATTTTTAAATGTAAGTTTTTAAAATTTATAGTTAAAAAATAGTTTTTTTTATGAAAAATATTAAAAAATTTAATTAATTTGTAATTATTTTCTCTTTTTCAGCACTAAGTAAATCTCTTAAAGGACAATGAAAAGGAGGAACCTCGACAACCGGAAATACAAATTTCTACGATGGACAATATACTGCTTAATTGCGGAAATAATTTAACAAAACATTATTCGGTCCTGGTGGTGATGGCTTTTTGCCATTGTACATACCGGGGATCTCTTGAGATCCGAACCAGCCTGTAAAAAGGCATACCAGGTTTTTTAAGAAATTAAAAAACATGCTACTTCTTTTATTGATTATTGTTTGAATTTTTCAAATTTTTTATAAAAACAAAAGCACATTTGTGTTTTTTTTTATAAATTAAAATAATCAATAATAGGAGGGGAGGTAATTTTGTAAAAGACATTTATTTCTTTAAATTTAAATCATTTTTCTCTTTTTTACTTATAATTTAGTTTCAGTTTAACGGTGTAATTTTTAAAATTTTAATTTTTTCAAAACATTTTAACTTGATTCAACATTTCACTTTAATTTTAAACTTTTTTTTTAACAATTTCAATTTCTCCTTTTACAAAATTACCTTCTAATCAGAAGTACCCTTACCAAATCAACTTAGCTTGCACTACAAAAATGATCTTATTGGCGAAATGAACCGCGCATTTTTAAAACGTTTTATATTTAAACATATAAAGTACTTTAGATGGACAAGTTTTATTCTACAAATAGAAGCATTTTTGTCGCGCAAGCGCAGTTGCGTTTGGTGAGGGTACCTGGCAGCTCTAGTAGATGATAGCAGACGACGTTTTTGTTTTTGTATTTTGCAACTTCCCATCCTTGATGTAGATAAAGCAGGGTTCTGTAGTTTCTTATGCAACCTTAAGCTTATTTCATATTCGCATTTTCGCACCTTCTATAAAGGCGCGTTCACACCTTGAGTGCCTTGCAGAGTTGTTAAGAAAATAAAAATTTGCAAAATATTCGAAATAAATAAAATAAATTTAAATTATAATTATCTAAAATTGTTATTAATTATTATGCTATTTAAAAATTATTTTTGAATAATTTAGTTATTTAAAAAATTAAATATTTTATTGAAATTAAATTAAATAAATTATTTAAAATAAATTGTTTTAAATAAAAAAAAGATTGTTTTAAATAATAATTTACTAAAATAATAATTATTATGCTATTTAATAATTATACAAGACTTCGGCCTTAATCTAAACTTAATTAAGGTACTTTACCTACCCAACACTGGTACAACTCAATAAAGGTCTATACACAAGCAGTGCATATTTCCAGAATTATCCATGTGATTCGCCATTCGCCTTTTCTCTCATTGAAACTATCGCTCTCATTGCTCCATTCAAATTTGCGCGGGGACTCAACAGACCAATGAGAGTACTTGAAAACGTAAAGGTGTATTTAATGGTCATTTTTTATATCGACATTTTTACCCGGAACTAACGCTTTTTTCACTCTAATTATTTAATTTAATAATTATTAACTAATTTTATCATTGCAATGTTATATTAAACTGTCAATTAGATTCTGTTTAAGGTGAAACTAAAAAATAGTTTAATAATAAAAGAGATTTATAAAGTACAAAAGGCCCTGTACTGCTGTGAAACGTCATGGAAGAATTGTAAACAAGTGCAAAAAAACACGTGTACTAAAAAGTTTGTTTATTTCTGAATTTATATAATAATACATTAATTATCTTTATAATTTAAATGAAATTTGTTTTATAAATATTACAGAAATAAATAAAGTCATAGGAAATTAAACGTTCTCAAGCCGATACTTTTTAATTCTCTAATATACTAAGTTTTGGCAATTCTAACCTTAAAAATAATGGCTTCAAAATTCAAGAAATCTCGGGAATCGAGAATTCAAATGGAAGAACACGGTGTTATTAACGTAAATACCAATTGTATAATTAATTTTAGTATAGTTAATTTTTTTCCGGTTTATAAATTTATTTTTGTTTGTAGAATCTTGAAGAGCCTTGGAGTTTAAGAATTTTTAAAGAGGTAAGCCGCACACGTTGTTTTCGAAACAAAATTACTTTTGATTTTAATATATATTTAATTAGTTATTAAGTTAATTATTATCTCTCGGTTGTTTTAAATATTTAATTGAAAGTAATTAATTTATTTACTTTAACCCATTTGTGTTTGAAAAAAACAAGTAAATGTTTTCTTTCAGAATTTCAAGATTAAAATAGTCAAGGAATCAGACAATCAAATGGAATTAGAATTTGATTTAATTGGATGTCAAACTTCTTTGGCGAATGCAATTCGCAGAATTCTTATAAGCGAAGTGCCATCGATGGCAATTGAGAAAGTTTTTATTATGAATTATAATAGTATAATGCAGGAGGAAGTATTGGCTCACAGGTAAAGTAAATTATTTTCTTTTTCTATTAAATACAATGTTCCTTTTTTGGGAGAGAAAGAAAGATTATTTTTCCTAATAGACTTGGACTCGTTCCACTACGAGCTGATCCTAGATTATTCGACTATCCATCAAACGAAGGAAACAAAGACGACGAAGTGAGTGAACACGATACTTTGAGGTACGAGTTGAAAATTTCCTGTTCGCACAATAAACAAGCTTCTAAAGAATCGAGAAGACTTGAAGAAATGTACATTAATCACAAGGGTGGGTAAATTTTTCTTTTATTATAATTTTACATATTTTGGATTTTAAGTTTTATTTATTTATATACTATTATTCACCATTGACACAGGACATCTTGAAGAACTAACATAAATTATTACTTAGAAATTATTTAATGAATAATTTGACTAAATATTACAAAATTAATTGAATTTTAAAAGAGTTGTGTTTAAAATTTTCATTTCAACTTCAAAAGGTTTTAATTAGAAATTTTAAAGAACTTAGATTTTTGAAAAATTTTAGTAATTCAAATTCTTCTGAAATTAATTACATGTTTTAAAATCCTATATTTAATTAAATATTAAAAATTAAAAATATTGAATTTATAGAAGAATTTTAGTCAAAAATACTTTTTAAAAAAATTGAATTTTGGAGAAGTTACAAATGATTGCAGATATTCAATTATGTTAAAAAAACATTTCAATTATCTTTATAAATAATAAAACTCTTCTCAAAAATTCAATTATTTACAAATATTTTAATAAAATCCTTCTCCAAAATTCAATTATTTTCATAAATTAATAAAATTCTTTTCAGTGATTCAATTATTTTTATAAATAATAGAATTCTTCTCCGAAATTTAATTATTTGCAAAAACTTTAATAAAATTCTTTGGAAAATTTTAATTAGTTTCAAAAATTTTCCAAAAAAATTCAATTAATAAAAAAAATCTTAATAAAATTCTACACAAACATTTAACTATTTTCATAAATAATTAAAATTTTACAGAAATTCAATTGTTTTCAAGAATTTTAATAAAATTTTCTACAAAATCCAATTATTTTCATAAACAACAATATTAATCAAAAGAATAAAATTATTTACAAGAGGTAATAAAATTCTTTTCAGAAATTAAATTATTTTCAAAAATTAAAAATAATTTCTCGTCATGATTTCAATTATCTTTAGAAACCTGCAAAATTTTTCGCTAAAATTCAATTATTTTTAAAGAAATTTTAATAAAATTCTACGCAAACATTTAATTATTTTCATAAATAATAAAAATTTCCCAGGGTTTCAATTATTTGCAAATTTTTTTATAAATTTCTTCCCAATAATTTAATTATTTTCATAAATTAATAAAACTGTTCTTAGGAATTTATTAATTTTCATAAATAATAAAACTCATCGCATTCTTTATGAGAATTCAATTGTTTAAAAATTTATTGATAAAATTCAATAAATTATGAGAATTCAATTTCAAGAAACATTCAATTATTTAATAAATGTATTATTTATTTTTGAATTTAAATAATTGAATTTTCGTAGAATATTCTAATAAAAATTGATTTAAATATTAATTTTAGTTAAAATTTTAGATAAAATTGAATATTAAAAGCTTTATAGCGTGAATTTTTAGAAATAATTAAATTTTGAAAAGGTTTTAAAATAAAATGTTTGAAAATTTGAATTTTTCATACTTTTAACTAACAATTCTGTAGAATTTATTTTATTTGAAAAAGTTTAATAATTGATTTTTTAAAAAAATTATTTAAAAGAAAAATGTAATAATTCTTTAAAATTTTATTAAAATTCGTCAAAATAATTCAATTATTTAGAAATTTGTTGATAAAATTCTTTATGAGAATTCAATTTTAACATTTAATTATTCAATAAATTATTTATTTTTGAATTTAAATAATTGAATTTTCGTGGAATTTTCTAATAAAAATTGCTTTAAAAATGAATTTCCGAATAATCGATTTATTATCTATTTATGAAAATAATTGAATTCTTGCAACGGATTTTATTACATTTTTTAAATAATTGAATTCTTTGATAAATTTTAGTACTTTTAAAAATAATTGAATTCTTGCGAAGAATTTTAATTCCTATGGAAAAATAATAATGATTAAATATTTTTATTGAAAAAAGAAGTTATTGGTGTGTATGAAAATTTTTACTTTTACAGAAATTTGCAAATAAAAGTATTAGAACATTTTTTTGAGTATCTAATCATTTTTACAGTAAATCAGAATATTCTTTCGAGTGAGGGGAAAAAGTCAAAATTTTGTCTGGAAATCAGGGAAAAACATAGTTAAATATTTGTGGCAACCCTGAAAATATTTTTTTTATTTAGTATTTTTGTTATTACATTAGATTGTTTGTTTCGTAAAATTAAATTAAATAAAATTTCAATTAAATGAATTATTTCAGTTTACAGTAATGATATAAAATGGGTGCCAATTGGAAAACAATGCGAAATTTATCCGGGAGGCGAGGAACAAGTTGGAGTAATTGACAAGGACATTTTATTAAATGTATTGAATCCTGGTCATGAAATGCACATTTTTATGCATGCGGTCAAAGGCATCGGCAGGGATCACGCAAAATTTTCTCCCGTCTGTACGTATTAGTTTATTAATTTATTAATAACTAATAATTACTTATTATATGTAATTAGTATCAATTAATTTCTTAATAATTTACTTTTATTCTTTTGCTTTCTCTTTTTTCTTTGTCCTTTATTATATTCTTATACTTTTTTCTTTTTTTCTTTGCCTGATTTTTATTTTTTTTCAGCAACTGCATTTTATCGATTATTGCCCAGAATTACGTTGCTAAAAACAGTGAAAGACGAGAAGGCAGAAAAATTGAAGAAATGCTTCAGTCCAGGAGTTATCGAATTAGTGAAAACAGAAGGAGGCGGAAAAGAGGCTCAAGTGATAAATTCGCGATACGACAGTTGTTCTCGTAATGTTGAACGTCACGAGGATTTGAAAGATTGCGTTTCACTCGAAAGAGAACCGAATCATTTTATTTGTTAGTATACTGGAAAATTATTTTCATTTCTTAATTTAGTGCCGCTTCAAAAAAAAAGTACCTAGGAAGCAAAATTCTGTATTTTTACTTAAAAAATTACGAACATAATCTATTTATGCTTCTTAGGTTTTTATTTTTGTCAACGCGTCACAATCACAATTATTATTATAATTTTTACAATTAATTTAATTTGATTACAGTTACCATCGAATCTGTCGGTGCACTTCCGTCTTCAGTTCTTTTTGTCGAAGCCACAAAAATCCTCAAAGGTAAATGTCGAAGTTTTATCGAACTCTTGGATTCTATTAGCTAGTTAATATTAATTTCCCTAATTAAGTCGTTGTGAAAAGAATTTTACAGCGTAGGATTGTAATAAATTTTCATAGAAACCATAATAAAATGAACTTAAAATTGGTTTCTGCTCTAATTGTAAGATTAATAATAAACGAAAAAAAAAAATAAATTAAGTTTTTAACAATTTTGTACTTTTATCTGTACTTATTTCTCGTTTACTTATTTTTTTATCAGTATTTATTTCTTATTTATATTATATTCAATTTGTCATCATTATTAAAAATAACAAAATTTTATTTTCAAATATGAATTTTTCAATAATTTTAGATTCAAACTAAAAAAATTCAATTATTAACTAATTTTCTAATTAATTATTCTTGTTTCTTAATTTCAAAAATTTTAATAAAATTCTTCGCAAGAATTCAATTATTTTCATAAATATGAAAATTTTTCGTAAGAATTCAATTATTTTTATAAATAGTAAAATTCTTCGCAAAAATTCAATTATTTTTAATACAAAATTTTAATAAAATTTCATGAAAGAATTAAATTTTTAAAAAAAATTTTAATAATGTTTTTTGAAATAATTCAATACAAATTATTTTCAATACAATTTTAATAAAATTTCTTAAAAAAATTCAATTAATTTTTTTTATAAATAAGGAAAAAAATTCTTTCAAAGAAATTAATTATTTACAAAAAACTCTAATAAAATTGTTCAAAAGAATTTAATTTTCTATCAATAATTTTAATGAAATTTAATAGTAAAATTATTATTTACAATTAATAACAAAATCGATTGTATTCAAAAAAATTAAAGAAATTTTTGGAAAGAATTCAATTCTTGTCAAAATTCATCTTTGAATCAATTAATTTTCATTTTTAAATTTACCTTCAAACATTTTTCATCAAAATTTTGGTAACTTACTTTTTTATTATTTATTTTTTTTCTTCAACTTTTCCTGAAATTCGAATTTTGGCGGGGAAACTGTTTCAAAATGGCGCCTTACGTCATTTGACAGTTGTTGACGTTTTGCCTTTTGTCACATTAACTAACAAAAAAAAACAATTTTTCTGATTGTTTCCAAAGTTCTAAAGTATAATTAAAGTTTATTTATAACAAAAGAAGTTTAGGAAATACGAATTCACAAGAATGGATTCGCTAAAAGCGGAGATACAGAGAAAACGAAAAGAGTTGGAGGAAAAGAAGCTTTTGTGCGGTAAGAAGAAATATTTCAAAAGATCCGATTTCTTGTCGAGTGCTGCGGAAAAAATACAGACAAATGGTGTGAATAGTGATCGATTGCAAGCTGTAAAGTCTGAGGAATTGGGAAAAGCAGGTGTCGAGGAGACAAATGAACATCTAACCTTACCGCGAAATGAGGTTATACGTCGTCTCCGTGAACGTGGTGAGCCAATTTTCCTCTTCGCCGAAACGGAGCAGGACGCTTTTAAAAGGTTGCGAAAATGTGAAATTCTCGAGCCCGAGGTGAATAAGGGTTTTAGAAACGATTTCCAAGAGGCCATGGAACAAGTGGACTTGGCCTATGTGAATGAAATTCTCGCACCCCTAAAACCAGGAAGCAATGGCGCCAAGGTCGAGGTGAATCTTCTCGACGAATGCGTAACCTACGAGGATCTACAGCAAAAATCGACGAAATTAAATACCGGCGATCGTGAATATGACATGAATGTCATAACACAATTCCTGCAGTTCCTCGTGCAAATGTGGGGCAATCAATTGAATAGTCGTGGGGCAGCTGAGAAAATGGGAACAAGAGGAAAAATGGCAAGTGCAACTTACGCTCAAACAAGGGAGTATATTAAGCCGCTTCTTCGTAAATTGCAAAATAAATCCCTCACCGAAGACATCACTGACAGTTTGACAGAAATTGTGAAACATCTTCTCGAACGAAACTATATTCTGGCGAGTGATGCATATTTACAAATGGCAATTGGCAATTCACCGTGGCCAATTGGTGTCACTATGGTTGGTATTCACGCACGTACCGGAAGGGAGAAGATTTTCTCGAAAAATGTCGCTCACGTTATGAATGACGAGACTCAACGAAAATACATTCAGGCTTTAAAGAGATTAATGACCAAGTGCCAAGAATATTATCCCACCGATCCTTCACGTTGTGTCGAATTTTCAAAAATATGAATTCTTCCCTTTTATGTATTTTAATTATTTCAATCTTCTTTTGTCAAAGAATTTTAATATAGATAATTTCTTAATTACGTTTTTTTCCTCGATTTAAAAAAAAAGGTTTTCTTTTTTGTTCTTGACACTCAGTTCCATGTAAATTTTAATTTTTTTTCGAAAAAATGTACATATTAGTAACTGTAAATAAATGTGAAATATCTTTTTAGAAAATAAAAGAATTCAATTTAAAACTTTCTGGTTCTTTTGATTTTTAATAACTTAAGAAATAAAACAGATAGAGTGCTCAGAAGTTTCAGATTATCAATTTTCCTGATAATTTACTGACATTAAAATTATTTTCCATGACAAAATTCTTTTTACGGGAAAATATGAAAGTTTAAGGAAAAAGATTAAAAATGATTTTTAATAATTTCTAAAAATTACCCCTTCCTGAATTATTTTCAAAAAAATAATATTTCCACAGGAATTCATTTATTTTTAATACTATTTTAAATTAATCGAAAAATTCAATTATTTTCACAAATAAAGTTTTCCACAAGAATTCAATTATTTAAAATAAAATTTTCAATTGAATTCCTCGAAAGAAATTAATTATTTTTCTTTTAATTTCTATAAAATTTTTTAAAATAATTAAATTATTTTCAAATCTTGTTATAAAATTTCCCTGGAGAATTTAATTATTTTCAAAAGTTTTAATAGACTTTTTGTCAAAGAATTCAATTTTTTGAATAAATTACAAAAATTCTTCGTAAAAATTCAATTATTTACAAAAATAACAAATATCTTCACAGAAAAAATTAATTATTTAAAACAATGTTTCTAAAATTCTTATTAAAAATTCAATTATTTTCAAAAATAACAAAATTTTTCACAGAAATTCAAGTCTTTTAAAAAAATTTTTATAAAATTATTCGCAATAATTCAATTATTTTCATAAATACTTAATAAAAAAAAAAAAAAACTATTTTAAATTAATTAATCGAAGAATTTAATTATTTTCACAAATAAATTTTTCCACAAAAATTCAATTATTTAAAATAAAATTTTTCATCCTAAATATTTTTCGAAAAAATTAATTATTTTTAAAAGTTTTAATAAAATTCTATTCAAGAATTCAATTATTTTCAAAAATAACAAAATTTTTCACTAAAATTCAATTCTTTTCAAACATTTTAATAACATTTTTTGGCAATAATTCAATTATTTTCAAAAATAATAAAATTCTTTTTAGGAATTTAATTATTTTGATAAATCATAAAATTCGTCGCAGGATTTCAATTTATTTCAATACAATTTGAATAAAATTTTTTTAATAAATTCAATTAGTTCCAAAAAGTTAAATATTATTCTTTACTCAAATTGAATAATTTTTAATACAATTTTGGTGAAATTAGTAGAAAAAATTTGAAGAATTCCATTATTTTCATAAAATAATGCAAGAAATCAATTATTTTCAATAAAAATTTCAATTGAATTCCTCGAAAGAATTTAATTATTTTTTTTAATTTCAATAAAATTCTTTAAAACAAAACAATTATTTTCAAATCTTGTTATAAAATTTCGATGGAGAATTTAATTATATTCAAAAATTTTAATAGAATTCATGTCAAGAATTCAATTTTTTTAATAAATAATAAAATTCTTCGTAAAAATTCAATTATTTACAAAAATAACAAAATTCTTCACACAATTATATTTCGAAAAAATTAATTATTTAAAACAATGTTTAGAAAATTCTTTAAAAAAAATTCAATTATTTTCAAAAATAACAAAATTTTTCACAGAAATTCAATTCTTTTTAAACATTTTCATAAAATTTGTCTCAATAATTCAATTATTTTCACAAATAATAAAATTATTCTAAGGAATTCAATTAATTTCAAAATTTTTTATAAAATTCTTCGCAAGAATTCAATTATTTTCAGAAATAATAGAATTCATTGCAGGATTTCAATTATTTTTAATACAATTTTACAGGAATTTGCTCAGAAAATGTAATTATTTTTAAAAATTTAAATTCAATTCCTCGAAAAAATCAATTATTTAAAAAAATGTTTTTTTAAATTCTTTGGAAAAATTGAATTATGTACAAAAATAACAAAAGTTTTCACAGAAATTCAATTCTTTTCAAACATTTTAATAAAATTTTTTCTCAATTCAATTATTTTCATTAAAAAAACAATTCTTCTAAGGAATTCAATTATTTTTGAAAATTTAAACAAAAATTTTTAGCAACTCAATTATTTTGATAAATCATAAAATTCATCGAAGGATTTCAATTATTTTCAATACAATTTTACAGGAATTGCTCAAAAATGTAATTATTCTTAAACATTTAAATTCAATTCCTCGAAAAATTCAATTATTTAAAAAAAATATTAGAATTTTTCAAAGGAATTCAATTATTTTCAAATATTTTAAGAACATTGTTCGAAACAAATCAATTATTTAAAATTTTTTTGAAATAATTCAATTATTCTTTTAGATTTTAATAAAATTCTTCCCAAGAATTCAATATTATTTACATAAATAATTCTTTGAAAAAATTCAATTATATCGAAAAATAACAAAATTATTCTCAAAAATTCAATTATTTTGAGGCATTTTAATAAAATTCCTTTCAAAATTCAATTATTTTCATAAATAACAATATTCATCAGAAGAATTCAATTATTTTTTAAAAGTAATAAATTTCTTCCTGGAAATTCAATTATTTTTAAAAATTCTAATAAAATCGTTCGCCGAAAATTTAATTACTTTCATAAATAATAAAATGCTTTTTAAGAATTCAATTATTTTCAAAAACATTTAATAAAATGCCACACAGAAATTCAATAATTATCAAAAATTTTAATAGAATTCTTTGTAAAATTTAATTATTTTTAAAAACTTTTCGCAATTCAATGATTTTTATAAAATTTCCCTGACAAAAAATTTTTTCCTGACATTTCCCTGACTTTATTGACAAATATCCAACCCTGTAAAAGAAAATAATTGAAAATATCAAAAGTTTCTTTAAACAAACTTTATTTATAAATTTGTCATTAATATATTCTTACAGTTTGTTTATTTCTTTACACATTTCTAATGGCTAACAATGTTCAGTAAAGAATTTTATACGACAATGCTGTAAAGCATTACAAATTTTTTTTTCTTCTTTTTTAAATGTATAAATTTTTTTGTATAATTTTTTTTTATACTTTTTCTTAATATAAATTTTATAATAATAATAGTCTTGATAGTAATGCGCAGTTCTTGAAATTTTTATTTCAAGCATTTTTCGATGATCATTTTTGCAAATGGAATAATAATCGAATTATTATAATAAATAATTCAATTAGTTAATTAATTACATATACATTAATTGAATAGATTTTTCCATAATTTATTAAAACTATATTTTTATTATTATAATTAAAAATTAATTAATTAAAAAAAAAACTAGTAATTTTTGTTGGTTTTGTGATATACAATATATAAATTAAAATTTCCATTCCATATTTTTACACATTTACAATTGAAAATATATTTAATTTATTATTTATATTGCCAAATACGATAAAAAATTTTATACACTCGCAGTCGACATTTTGCAAATTAAGAAAAATTACAGTTAATTTATTATTGGAAATTTTATATTCTTTTTTTTTAATTTAATAATCGATGCATTCGTTTTTTACAGAAATTTATGTTTTGTTAAATCTAGAAATATTTTTTTTTCGCAACAAAAATGTATAAAAAGAGGAAAAAATTTTTTGTTTAGTAAGTAAATTAATTAAAAATGCTTTCTTTAAAGTCTAATAAGAAAGAGGAATAATAGGGGAAATTAAAAATTCTATTCATTAGTACCTAGAGAAAAATTTCAAAAGTTCAAAGTAAATATACTTTTAACTCGTAAAATTCATAACTATAGTAAAAATTATTTAAAACAACTAACACATTGGAAAAAAATTAAACAATGCCATTTTTTTAACAGTAACAGCCATCGCATACAATTGCTATAATATAGAAGGTAAATATATCACTTAATATACAATTTTTCCTTAGTACATCATTTTCAATTTTTGATAAAAGTTACACGTGTGTTATAATTATTTTTCTCATATTATCAATATATCTGTAAAAAATTTACAAGCAGGAAATAACAGTACTTTTAAAACTGTTATATTTCCTCTATACAATCAGAATCTGTTTTTTCCTCTTAATTACTTTAATTACACCACAATATTATTATTGAGTGTTCAATAATATAAATTATTAATTTCATATGGCAATAAAGAAGTTAGGACTAAATTCGATAAAACCGAAAAACTTATCTTATTTTTCTTTCCGAATAAAAACAAATTGAATTATAAATTAGATAAGTAAAATTTTTCGTTTTTCCTTCTTTTTAATTTAGTCGTTAAATATTTTTACTTGTTTTTGAAAATTAATTTTCTGGATAAAAATGATGTGCAATAGTTTTTTGCCTTTTAAAATCGAACAGAATTATAATAATTCGTTCCTTGGAAGTGTTTGATTATAATTCGAGTTTTCGACGTTAATGAGAAATTGAATATTTAAATACTTACTGAAGAAGAGCAGTAATGTCCCAAATTTTAATAATTCGATCCTGACCAATTGTCAGTAATCTTCGACGTCCAGCGTCTAAATCCATTCCAACGATGCTGTGTTTTGCGTCATGAAATGATGCCAAGGAAGTTTGACTGAAAATTTAATTTTCAAAAATTAATAATTCAGAAATTTTCTATCACTTTTGTATTAATAAATCTTCAAACTATATATTATTTTCCATAATTTTCTGTTAATAACTAATTAATTAGTGAGTAAATTTTTTCCAAATCTTGAATCTGAAATCATTACTGTAACTTCTTCAAAATTATTTTCATAATAATTCAATTATTTTTTTCTGGAATTTATAACTAAAATTCTTTTTTAAATCAATTATTTTTAAATAATAATTTTTAAAAAAAAATTCCATTAAACTTCTTCAAAAAATTAATTCTACAGAATTGTTACTTAAAAGTATGAAAAAATCAGGTTTTTAAGGATTTAAAATGTAAAACCTTCTCAAAATTCAATTATTTCTAAAATTCACGCTGTTTTTAAAATTCAATTATTATCTAAAATTTTAACTAAAATTCATTTTTAAATCAATTTTTATTAGAAAATTCTACTAGAATTCAATTATTTAAATACAAAACTAAATAATTCAATGTTTCTTAAAATTCAATTCCCATAAAGAATGTTATCAACAAATTTTTAAATAATTGAATTCTTTCGACGAATTTTAATCAAATTTTTAAGAATATTTACATTTTTCGAGAAATTCGATTAAAATTATTTTAAAAATAATTGAAATTCTGCGATGAATTTTATTATTTATGAAAATAATTGAATCCCTAAGAAGAATTATATTATTTTTAAACAATATTTAATTTTTGCGAAGAATATTATTGCTCTTGAAAATAATTAAATTTTTGCAATAATTTGTAACTTTTCTAAAATTAAATTTTTTTTCCTGTTTTTAACAAAAATTCTTCTATAAAATTCTTTTATAATTTTTAATAATTTTTGAAAAAGTTCTTCGAGAATTTTCAAATCTATTTGTTTACAATTCAATTTTACAAAATTTCAATCATTCGTAAATTCTACAAAAAAAATATATATTAAAAAATAAAATTTTGAAATATTTTTAAAAAAAGCAATTAAAATTTCTCAAAAAAATTAATTCCACAGAATTGTTAGTTGGAAATATGAAAAATTCAGATTTTCAAAGATTTTGATTTGAAACCTTTTCAAAATTCCATTATTTCTAAAAATTCACACTCTAATGCTTTTAATATTCAACTATAAAAATCTACAATTTTAACTGAAAATTTTAGAAAATTCTACGAGAATTAAATTATTTAAATACAAAAATAAATAATTCATTGCATAATTTAATGATTCTTGAAATAGAATTCACATGGTAAAGGAATTTATCAATAAATTTTTAAATAATTGAATTCTTTTGACATCATTGTATTGAAAATAAATGAATTTTTATAAAGAAGTTTTACCACAATTTTTCAAAACAATTGAATTTCTAGAAAGAATTTTATTATTTAGGTAGATTAAGTTTTTTGAAAATATTTAGTACAATTCTTTTCTTATGAAGAATTTTATTGCAATTTTTAAAATAATAAAATTTTTTCGAAGAATTTTATTAAAATTATTGAAAATAATTAAATTCTTGTGAAGAATTTTATAAATTAAAAAAAAAAATTCAATTTTTATAAATAATATTATGAAATTTTTCACATAATTGAATTTCTGCGAAGAATTTTATTAAATTTCTTTAAAATAATTAAATTTCAGCGAAAAATTTTAGAAATTATGAGATTGCAATCTTGCTAAGAATTTTTATTAAAATTTTCTAAAATAATAGATATTATCATTAAAAATAAATGAATTCTTGTGAAAGAATTTTATTAAAATTTTTTATAGATAATTGAATTCCAGTGAAAAATTATATTATTTGTAAAAATAATTTAATTCTTGCACAGATTTTTCTAAAACAGTTTTTTAATAATTGATTTTTTGCCAATAAATTTATGCAAATACTATTTTAAAAAATTGAATTTTCGTGAAATTTTTGAAAATAATTGAACTTTTGTGAAGAATTTAGTTATTTTTGAAAATAATTGTATTTTTACGAAGTATTTTATTATTTTATAAAAATAATTGAATTCCTAAAAAGAATTTTATTATTTACGAAAATGATTATTTTCTGAAAATAATTAAAGGTTTGTGTAGAATTTTATGACATTTTTTTTAAATAATTGAAGTCTTTTGGAACATTGGAAAATTTTTGAAAATAATGGAAATTTTACCAAGAATTTTATTAAAATTTTTGAAAATAATTGAATTTCGGAGAAGAATTTAATTATTTCTAAAGACAATTAAAAGTTTGAAGAGAATTTAAAAAAATTTTTAATCATAATTGAATTTCTGGAAAGAATTTTATTACTTTTGAAAATAATTGAATTTCTGAAATCATTTGTAATTTCTCTAAAATTCTCCAAATTATATCGTACAATTTACGAACTTTTCGTCTTTTCTCAATCAAATTATGGACTTTACGGACCTTTTTTAAAAAAAACGGACTTTTACGGACTTGAAGCAAATTTACGGACTTTTACAGGATTTACGGACCTAGTTCGAGCCCTGAAATAGAAAAAAAAAACGGAAAATACAGAAACAAAAAATTGTACGTACTTTGAATCTTTAATGTGAATGTGACATGGATCGCAGACCCGAACCTCGAATTCAAAACCCATAATGGGAATTGGAATACGATGTGATGTGCATCGTGCACAAAGAGCTTTTCCACAATGACGACAATGATGTTGTCTCAGGCCGAGTTGACGTTGATCCATCATCGCCTTAATATTCCAAAAGAATGGTCGTCCACAGGCTTGACATGTGTCCGACTCAATCCAAACGGCGGTTTCTTTCCTCGCCGCTCCCATGTCCCAACAAACAATAACTCCGTCTTCTCCACCCGAGAGCAATGTTTGATCACCATTTGAGTAGCACAGGGCCGTTACTTTATTGCTAAAACAAAAAATTACAAATTTTAATAAATAAAATCAAAATAAATAAAATAGTTCTCGAAAATGTCAAATTTTCGAAAAAATCGTCTTTTTCTAAAATAGTTGAAATAAAAGTCCAAATAAGCCAAAAATCGAGGAGTGAAAATACTCACTGATGACCTTGCAATTCGTAAGCATTTCCCTGCTTACCACCAATATCCCAGACGACGATATTTTGATCGAAGCTTCCTGAGAAAAGTAACTGTTTCTCTGAATCCCATGCTAACGATCGAATACTACCAGAATGGGCCTTCAAAGTCGTGATGAAACTCACTCCATTTGTATCGAGTTTTAACATATTTATTTGCCCGGAATAATCGCCGACAAATGCGTGTTTTGACTCAGCATCAAATCTAATTTAGTTAAGGTTTTTGTTTACCTTTTTTTAATTTACAATTTTTGTATTCCAATTTCAATTTCAATTACAGGATTGACTTAAAAATTTAATTGCTTTCCCTGAATTACAGACAAAATTTTAACTTTTTCCCTGGCCCTAAAGAATGTTCTGATTCACTCTATAAATAATTAGATACTCAAAAATAAAAAATGTTCTAATACTTTTATTTGCAAATTTCTGTAAAAGTAAATTTATTCAAAAACATCAATAACTTCCTTTTTAAATAAATATTTAATTATTTTTGAAATTAACAACTTATCAAAATTTTACTGATAAACCTTCACAAGAATTCAATTATTTTTAAAAGTACTAAAATTTCTCAAAAGAATTCAATTATTTAAAAAAAATGTAATAAAATTCGTTGCAAGAATTCAATTATTTTCATAAATAATAAATCGATTATTCGGAAATTGATTTTTAAATCAATTTTTACTAAAAAATTCTACGAAAATTCAATTAAAATAAATTAAAAAATAAATAATTTATTGAATAATTAAATGTTAAAATTGAATTCTCGTAAAGAATTTTATCAACAAATTTTTAAATAATTGAATTATGTTGACGAATTTTAATAACATTTTTAAGAATTAATACATTCTTCGAGGAATTCATAGATTTCCTGACCATTTTCCTGCCACAGGGGCAACCCTAAATTAAATTTAAATTAAAAATAAAATAATTAAATTCAAATTATAAAATTTCAAAATAAAATAATTTGATTAATATTTGTTTGGAGAAAAGGATACTGTAACGCAATGTACCAAGCATCTCCCAGATGAGATCCAAGTTTTCGATTAGTTTCTGCACAATGAAACTGAAAAGTTTTATCTCGTCCAATACTCAGGATCCATTCGCAGCTCAAGGCGAATATAACACCCGTCACTCGTGCTTGATGTGCGAGAAATTCCTTCATGTGTGTCATTCGGTTATAATCCGGCTCTATTATGAACTCCTGAAATTAATTTTTTCCAAACATTAATGCAAAATTAAAAAAATAAACAATAAATGAAAATGATTTCACAGAAAAATAATTTAAAATTAAAACGTTTAAAAATAATTGTAAAAAATGTAGACAGAATTGTTACTTAAAAGTATGAAAAATTCAGATTTTCAAGGATTTAAATTTAAAACCTTCTCAAAATTCAATTATTTCTAAAAATTCACGCTATGTTTTTAAAATTCAATTATTATCTAAAATTTTAACTAAAATTCATTTTTAAAGCAATTTTTCCCAGAAAATTCTACGAGAATTCAATTATTTAAATACAAAAATAAATAATTTATTGAATAATTGAATGTTTGTTAAAATTCAATTCCCATAAAGAATTTTATCAACAAATTTTTAAAAAATTGAACTCGTTCAGCGAATTTTAATAAAATTTTTCAAATTAACTACATTTTTCGAGGAATTCGATTAAAATTGCATTAAAAATAATTGAAATTCTGCGATGAGTTTTACTATTCATGAAAATAATTGAATTCTTAAAAATCGTGACTATTATTTTTAAACAAATTTTGAAAATAATTTTTTTTCTTCGAAGAATTTTATTACTTTTAAAAATAATTTAATTTTTGTAATGAATATTGATATTTATGAAAATAATTGAATTTTGCAAAGAATTTTATTAAAATGCCACAGAATAATTGAATTTTGCATAGTTTTATAAAAATATCTACAAAAATAATTTAATTTCATAAGGAATTTCATTAAATTTTCTTAAAATAATTATTAAAATTCCTGAAAATAATTTAATTTCCTGCAAGAATTTTATTACATCTAAAAATAACTGAATAATTAAATTCCTATGAAATTTTTATTATTCTGAAAAGTAATTGAATGTTTACTTAGAATTTTATCGAAACTTTTTTAAATAATTTAATTTTTATGGAAAATTTTATTAAAATACTATATTGAAAATTATTGAATTGAGAGAAATTGTTGAAAATAATTAAAATTTTGTCAAGATTTTATTAAAATTTTCGAAAATAATTGAATTTTGGAGAAGAATTTTATTATTTATAAAAATAATTGAAATTTTGAAGTGTTTTTTTCAATTTTTGAACATAATCCAATCTATCCGAAGGCTTTTTTTTACTTTTGAAAATAATTGAATTTCTGCAATCATTTGTAACTTCTCCAAAATTCAATTATTTTTACGGTTTTCAACTAAAATTCTTCTATAAATCAATAGATTTATGAATACATAATTTTATAAATTTAACGAACTTCAGAAGAATTTAAATTTATTAAAATTTTTCAAAAATCTACGTTCTTTAAGATTTCTAATTAAATTCATTTAAAATTCGAAAATTATTCTCTCTTAAATATTTTTAAACCAGGATTAAAATTTTTCATCCATTTCTCACATTTATACAGCCGTTTTCTAATCCTACAAATAATTGTCTCGTCTCTGCGCAATAATCCATTGCTGTTGTTCCTGCTAACATATATTGGCAAATGCTCGGCCAGTACTGGCCCGAGTCACGTTTCAACCAAACTCTCACGGTTCTGTAATTTAAAAAAACCAGTAGATAATTATTAAATAAAAAAACCCTGTTAATATTATTTATTTTTTTACTTAATATTATATCGAAGAAGAAAAAATTTCCATTGTTATTATTCCCCCCCCCCCCCTTAAGGTAGAATTTGCATAAAATAATAATTTTTCATCTCAATTAAATAATTGAACCAGCAAAAATAATAAATTGAAAGAGAAAACTTGCATTTCTCAAAACTTATCGAGTAACAGGTGCTTCAATACATGAAATCCAATAATAAGTTTATCAGATTACAAGCTATAGAATGAATTTCGTCATAAAAATTGCCTATAATGTTGAAACAATGGAAATTGCAACATTAAACAAAGGCAGGTAAATAAAAAGTTCTACTAACAATAAAAAAAAGATTTCCTCAATTGAAAGTCGAACTTGACATTCAGAATTGAGATCGAATTAACGAATTAACCTCGAGTTAAATAAAAATATTCCATAATGGCTCTAAAAAAAATTGTTAGCAGCTATAAATGAGAAAACAGTGCAAAAAAGAACAAAATTTAGCCACTTCGTTGTAAAAAAAGGCAAAAAGGGATAAAAAGAAAGTTCGAAGGTTTAAAAAGGTAAAAAAAGATAAAAAGGTTTATAAAATAGTTAATTAGAAAAATAATTTCAGAAAGGACATTGTTTCGAAGGAAATTTTCATCCTAAGAGATAATAGAAACAACAATAGTAATAATAAGTTAAAAATAAGAGTACCTGTCATCGCAAACACTGATGACACCGTCTTCCCGCGGTATAATAATCGCCGCATTAACATCATCATTGCAACCTTCTAATTTTGACAAAAGAATTGGTTTTCGATTCGTACTGAATCTATCCTGAGTTACTCCCGGTACGGGTTTTATTTCAGCTGTCATTTCACCGATTTCACCTCCTGCAATACTGTATTTTTAGCTGCTTTTTAAACGCAATTGTCACTTTTTTTTCTATTCTTCTTGTTCTTCTATTCTTTCCCGTGACCTCAATAAAGTCAGGGCGAATTTTTCGTTACTTAGAATTTTTTTGTTTATTTAATATATTGTTGCAGAAGTTATGTAGTTCTATAACAAATATTACCAAAAGTGATAAGAAGATTGAATTCAAGATTGTGAGGTTATCTTTGTTCTTACTTTAAAGGTGCGTTCAGAATCGACACCATGTCCAAATTTTCGATTGTCCGAAGGTCTCAAATACCGAATTTAAACATTTGTTCAAATTGTCGATTTATTGAATAGATGGAATATTATTGTCTGATTGATAAAATTCTAAAATTAATGTTTTATTTAATTAATTAAATTTATTTTTAGAGTACGTGCTGTGAATTCGACATAATTATAATTATGCTCTGTTCATAGCGATCGGGTTGCAGGTGCGCGCGCATCAGCTGATTGTACCTTCCCAACCCTGGTAGTAGTGCACGGCGGTTGCCGCCAGAACGATAACCTCACTTAAAAAGAAGAAGAAGAAGACTATAGTCGGCAATTTGTGCAAATTTTTTTTTTGCTGCTCTCTGTGCATTTCAGTGCATTTTTATTGTAAAAACTAGTGAATAATATTGATTAGTAAAAACTACTAATAGAAAAATCAACAGTATTACAAGAAAGGGAGAAAAAATTCCACTTTCGAAAATAAGGTAACATTCGATTCAAAATATAATTTATAGGCTTAATTTGTTGTTCCAGTTAAAATTGCAGTAAAATTATAAATTCCTTTTATAATTTTACTTTTAACAAGTGAACTATGGAACATTTTTATAAAAGTTTATCAACAATGAAAAAAAAATTTATTTCTTGTGCAAACAAGTCGGTATGCCAATAATGGTTGCCTGGCACTGTGGCACATTGTAGCTAAATAGCAAGTTAAATATTTCCGCAGAAAATTTTCTCTCTGAAGCAAAAAAAAAAAAATCTTTTTCAATTTTTAAAAATATTGTATTTCAAAAAGTTCTTATTTCTAAATTTCGAAACTTAAAAAACTGAATTCTTTGCATGGGGAATCTTTGCATGATTGAAAAATCAGTCCAGGAGGTCATGGCATATATATACACATACGTATGGTATATTATCGAAATTAAAATAGTTAGATTCGTCACAACAAATGATTTTACTATCGCCAGTATTTTTTATTTATAATTATTTTTGACGTGCTTTTTAATTATAGAAACTTGATTTAGACAAATAATAAAAATACGAAATAATACTATTTAATACAATAATAATATTTAAATCGCTATTTATGATCTAAATAAAAATTGTCGAATAAAAATGAATCGGAATAAATAATAATAAAAATTTAAATCAGTTTATAATATATAAAATTTTTTTTCTCCAACAATTAAATATTCACAGTAACGATCACGCTGTGTGCACGTGAATATTTTATGGTGCTGAGCCAAGTAAACTTACACAAATGTATGTTATCAGCTTTAATGTAGGTTTTTTTAGAATATTCTAAATATAACAAGATTTAACTTTTAAATTACAAAAAAATCAGAACAATTAATAATTACATGGAAAAAATAAAGCAAACAAAAATGCAGAAAAATAGTATGTTTAAAATTTTTTTAACTATTAGATATTTTTTTAGAAATTTGTTTAAAAATTATATGTAATTAAATTGGATAATTTGAAAACATGTGTGTGCAATATTGGACATATACAATTAAATTGTATATTATTACCTTTTATATATATATATAGTATATTGAAAAATAATTTTTTTTCCTGGTAATAAAGATAAATTTAACATATACGTGTGAATTGTAGCAAAAAGTCGAACCAGTTTTGCATTTTCTATATATAGTTTCAACTCTCATGGTTGTCAGTGAATTACAATAAAAAGTGTTTTAAGCCATAATCGATAGGCTACTTTATCTATTTATATAAAATTCTTCTTAATTAATAATTGAATTTTAATAATATTTATTTTAATTAATTTTTTTATATTAATGAGGATAATTAAATTTATAATATTCAGTTAATAATAATTAACTCAAATTAGTAATTTACTACAAATAATATTAAATAATAAATTTGTAAATAAATAAAAAATAAAATAAATACATAAATAAAAAATTACTTTACAAATAATAAATTTTGTTTAATATAAACAAGGATAATTGGAATTAAATTAATATTTAATTAATTAAATTAATTAATAATAATTAATTTTATAAATTATTGATATTATTAATTCTTTAATAACTTTTTTAATATTTATAATTTTAATGCGATTAATTAATAATAATTAATTAATAACAATTAATTTCGCATAATATTAATTGTCACTTTTTTAATTAATTTTTTTTTAAATTTTAATTTATGATTTTAAATAGGTACTAATTTCAAAATTTTCTTTACAAAAACAAAAAGAAAAAAAAAGAGCCGAAATGAATTAATAAATCTCTGTATCTTAAATGAAATTTCAAATTTTGTTTAATTAACGAATTGATAAGAGGATGAATGACACATTTTTTTTTTCTTTTTTTGTATATTACGCAGTTAATTGTCAATAATTACAACATCGTACGTAGTTCGATTTGCGAAACTGTTTTAATACCCCCTGTGGCTTCCAACGTCATTTACTTTAATATAATTGAATATTATCACTTTGAGCTCTATAAATATTACACTTCATTTCTTTCCAAAACTGATAAGATCTCGTTACAATCTTTTCACGCTGATGAGTGTAAATATTCCACTTTATATAGACGATATAACCAATTTATTGTAAATTAAAATTTTTTTCATTCTCTTTTTATCTCTTTTATTTACACTCAATGGGAAATATAAATAATTATTATTTTTGGAATTTCAAAATTTTTCTAATTTAAATTTTTACCGCAGTTATTTGGACAAATAAATTAAATATTAAGTAAATGATTGTTTATTATTAAAATTAGACAATTTATTGTGAAATTAAATATTGAATAAGTAATAATATTTATTATTAATTAATTTAATAAAAAGATTTATTAATAATTAATTTAACAAAAAAATTAATTAATTAATTAATTTAATAAAAGAATTTATTTATTAATTAATATTAACTAAAAAGGTTGCTGAATTTAGCGTCGAAAAGTTAGGACGAAATTAATTTTATTATTACAATAATTTTGAATAGAGAAGAAACGAAATTATATTTTTATTCACATTTGTTTTTCTTTCCGCTTTTTCTTTTTATTGCAATTGGAAAATTTTCGAAAAGGTTTATTTATAAAATATACTTAAATCGTCATTTTTGTTCATTTAAACGTTCGACACTTATTTTCGATCATTTTTTTTCTCTATATTTTATGAAAAGGAATTTTTTTTCTTTCTTTTTAAAAAAAAAATTTTTTTCATATAAAACGATTGAGACGAAAGTATTTCCTCTATGAAGAAAAAAAATGTTAAGACCCTTTTTGGCGAAACTCCAACATTCAAATCTATATTTTTCATATGACCTTTAGATGAAGATTAATCAATATAAAAGTTAACAGAAAATAGTTCATTTTTAATGCATCTTTTTTTCTCAACATTTTTATTATGGGCAGTTGACATGAAATATAATGAGGAAAAAAAGTCTTAATGCAGTTCTATTATACATGTAGTGGATAAATTCTTTTCTAAAAGAATGACATTATTCAAAAAAATATTTTTCTTTCTTTCACAAGAAGCAATTTGCATTTTAACGAAAATTAATTTTTACTTCTTAAATTAAAAATTTCTTTTTGAAATTAATTTTTAAGTTTTACATATTAAAATTTTTCTTTTCAAGTTAATTTTCAATTTTTACATTAAAATTTTTCTTATAAAATTAATTTTCAATTTTTACCTTGAAATTTTTCTATTGAGGTTAATTTTTAATTTTTACATTAAAATTTTTCATCTGAAGTTAATTTTCAATTTTTAAATTAAAATTTTTCTTTTAAAGTTAATTTTCAATTTTCACATTAAAATTTTTCTTTTCAAGTTATAATTTTGAATTTTTTTTCATTAAAATTTTCCTTATAAAAATTAATTTTCAATTTTGAAATTTAAAATTTTGCAAAAAATATTTTTTAAAATTAGAATTTTGAAGAAAGAAAAAATTTGTTTATTTATAAAATATAACTATAAATAAATAAAGATATACTCTATTAAAATTGAAAATTGATAAGTTTCTTTATCAGAAATATCAGAGTGGAATATTTTATAAAGGAAGTAGGTACTGATATCTGATGTTTATAAATCCCCCCTTGCTATCTCTCTCTTATAACAAAATGAATGAGAAATAAAATTATCATCATTTCCGAAATCATTTTTTTTTTATCTATAAAGTTATTGTGGAAGAAATAATCTTTTTTCTGAATCAATCGCATATTTTGTGTTTAATTTTAAACATTATTTCCGAATCTATACATTTATAAAAATCTAAAAACAATTATGATAATTCAAAAATAATATGTTCCGAAGAAAAAGGTACTAGAAAATTTTAGGTCCTGGTTGGCATGTGGACTAACTAAAAAATTTCATTGGTAAGAAAAGGATAGTCTTATTGGTCTTATCTTCGTCCTTTTCTTACTAATGGGGGTTTAAGGTTAGTCCACATGCGACCAGGAGCCTTGCCGGATATATAAATATAATTATAAAATATATCGGTAAATAAATATAAATAAATATAAATAAATATAGATATAAATAAATATAAATAAATATATTTTTTTAAAATTTTTATCAAAATACCATCGAATATAATAAATTCAAATATCATTATAAATACAAATATATTTACATCTACAGCAAGTAATTATTTAAAAAAAAACTGCCATGCATTATTAAGTTTGTAAATTAACATTTTAATTACCTCATTTGTACGGAATATTAAATACTTTAGTTATAATTAAAAAAACATTTGTAAATATATGCATATTATTGACTTATTGAGGGGACAAAGTTATACGTACATTGGCTCGCGACAAACCGCTCATATTATATATATGTATAGGAAGCGGAACATATCCTTTGTTTAAATGCGCAGAAACGAAAAAGATATGACCTTTATTTAGAGGCATAAACCGCAGAGCGGTGTAATTTCCCTCATTATTATACAATCAATTCGAATACCTCTCTCAATAAGGAGGAAAAATAATTTAATCATTTTTCAATTATTATAAGTAAGTCAACAAATTTTTTTTTCTATAATATATATAGAAAAACATAATTATATAAAATAGAACATTAAAAACAAACATAAAAATAGAAGAAAATATTTTTCTGGAATATTAAAATAAAAATGTTTTGTTAAAACACTTTTGACTATATTTTAAATATATTTTTTCTGCTTGCGAGTAAACAATTCTCTTGACATCTGTCGGATAATTGCAAATAATAATAGCGCGAAATTCAAATTAAAAAAATTATGAATCTGAAGTGTGCAACGTTTTTAAAAAACGAAACTTCAGCTTTATGCTTCTTTTTTAAATTATATTTAAGAGATTTCCAATGTATTTTTGTCCGTTAAATACGATCCCGGTTCAAAAATGCCCTAGCACGTCAGAATTTTGAGAAAAGTGGGGGTAAAGATCACCAAAAACACGTTTTCTAAATAAGGACCCAAGTAGAAAATTTTTTTGTTGTTATTTTTGATATTGGAGTGGTTTCCAATGTATTTTTGCTCGCTGAATTCGATCTCGAGTCCCAAAAGTGTCTGGCACGTCAGAATTTTGAGAAAAGTGGGGAGAAAGACGCAAAAAAATCCATTTTTTAGGTAAGGACCCACATAAAATTTTTTTTTATTATTATTTTTGATATTGTAGTCGTTTCTAATGTAATTTTGTTCTCAGAATACGATCCCGAGTTCCAAAATCCCCTAACACTTCAGAATTTTGAGAAAAGTGGGGGTAAAGACCCAAAAAAGAACGTTTTCTAGTTAAGGACCCAAATAAAAAATTTCTTTTTTGATTATTTTTGATATTGGAGTGGTTTTCAATGTATTTTCGTTCGCTGAATTCAATTTCGAGTCTCAAAAGTGTCCAGCACGTCAGAATTTTGAGAAAAGTGGGGGTAAAGACGATCAAAAATACGTTTTCCAGATAAGGACCCAAGTAAAAAAATATTTTTTGGATTATTTTTGATATTGGAGTGATTTTTAATGTATTTTTGTTAGCTGAATTTGATCTCGAGTCTCAAAAGTGACTAGCACGTCAGAATTTTGTGAAAAGTGGGAGAAAGAGCCCAAAAAATACGTTTTTTAGGTAAGGACCCAAATAAAATTTTTTTTTATTATTATTTTTGATATTGTAGTCGTTTCTAATGTAATTTTGTTCTCTGAATACGATATCGAGTTCCAAAATTCCCTAACGCTTCAAAATCTTGAGAAAAGTGGGGGTAAAGACCCCAAAAAAAAAACGTTTTCTAGTTAAGGACCCAAATAAAAAATTTCTTTTTGGATTATTTTTTATATTGGAGCAGTTTCTAATATATTTTCGGTCGCTGAATTCAATTTCGAGTCTCAAAAGTGTCCAGCACGTCAGAATTTTGAGAAAAGTGGGGGTAAAGACGATCAAAAATTTCCAGATAAGGACCCAAGTAAAAAAATATTTTTTGGATTATTTTTGATATTGGAGTGATTTTCAATGTATTTTCGTTCGCTGAATTCAATTTCGAGTCTCAAAAGTGTCCAGCACGTCAGAATTTTGAGAAAAGTGGGGGTAAAGACGATCAAAAATACGTTTTCCAGATAAGGACCCAAGTAAAAAAATATTTTTTGGATTATTTTTGATATTGGAGTGATTTTTAATGTATTTTTGTTAGCTGAATTTGATCTCGAGTCTCAAAAGTGACTAGCACGTCAGAATTTTGAGAAAAGTGGGGGAAAGGGCCCAAAAAATACGTTTTTTAGGTAAGGACCCAAATAAAATTTTTTTTTATTATTATTTTTGATATTGGAGTCGTTTCTAATGTAATTTTGTTCTCTGAATACGATAGCGAGTTCCAAAATTCCCTAAAGCTTCAGAATTTTGAGAAAAGTGGGGGTAAAGACCCATAAAAAAACGTTTTCTAGTTTTAGGGACCCAAGTAAAAAAATATTTTTTGGATTATTTTTGATATTGGAGTGATTCTTAATGTATTTTTGTTCGCTGAATATGATCTCGAGTCTCAAAAGTGTCTAGCACGTCAGAATTTTGAGAAAAGTGGGGGAAAAGATAAAAAAAAACACGTTTCTTATAGGTAAGGACCCATATAAAATTTTGTTTTATTATTCTTTTTGATATTGAAATCGTTTCTAATGTAATTTTGTTCTCTGAATCAATACGATATCGAATTCTAAAATTCTCTAACGTTTCAGAATTTTGAAAAAAGTGGGGGTAAAGACGACCAAAAATACGTTTTCCAGATAAGCACCCAAAAAAAATTTTTTTGTTTTTTTTATATAAAAAAATATAATAAAAATGATAATAAAATAATAACAAGAAGAATTATTATCATTACTTTTCATAAAAATAAAATTACTCTTAGTTGAAGCCAATAAATCTTGTTTTGCCTGACAAAGTTACACTTTTTCTACTTAAGCAGTCAATATTGTCGAAGTAGGACAACTTTTTCTACTTAAGAGTAAACTTTTCTTCAAGTTTTAAATTATTTGTTAGTTAATCTAAATAGTGAAAAGTAAATTTAAAAAAAAAATGTATAATTTCTTCTTAAGAACTAAACTTCTAGTTTTAAAAATACTTTTTTCTTGTTAAAAATAAATACATCTTAAAATAATATGTCTGTTTGAAAATGCCTTTGCCAAACTTAAAAATTGACCTGTCTAGACGAGAGAATCGTTGCTTTGGTAACGATTATCATATTTTAACAATGTATTTAAGTTCAACCATAGCAACTGTTTCTATGCCCATTAAATAAAAATTTTCATACATTTGCTTTACTTTTAATATAGTTAAAAAATTTTAAGTAAATACATGTTTCCTTCAAACCAACCTTTTTCCTTCCTTCTCCACCTATTTGGTAACAGTTAATAGCATATTGAAATTAAATCTATTTTTTATATTATACATTTGAATATTTGACCCACTCTACTATACGACTTATCATATAAAGTTTAGTATTGTAAATAAAAGGTTCTAAATTAGAGCTTTTTTCGGTATTAAAATAGAACCAAATGACGATTTAGTACCAAAATTGGTACGGAATTAGTACCAATAGTAGTAGTTTCTTTTTACAGTGTAGAAGTTTAATATAAATAAATAATAGTTAAAATAATAAATATTTATAAGTAGCAAAACATTTTGATAATCATTGTTTTAGGCATGACTAATAAAACCGATAATTAGCTTTTAAGAAAAAAATAACTAATCGGTTGGGGAGAATTGAAAAAAATTTTCAAAACCAATAATTGTAACAGCAATTTTATTGAAGAAGAGACTCCAGTTTCTTCCTCATGCTCAGTGTGTAGAGTATAGTGTCAAACCGGTGCGCATGTGCACATTAGAATATTTCATGAAAAGAAGGAAGGGAGACTTGGATTGGAGATAAGCCTTTTGAATATGCTGACAGCAAACCTCAGAGTTAAAACCTCCATCCCACTGTGTCTCGCAATTTAATTAAGTATATAACACACTTTCATAATCAATTTTCCTTGATAAAATTTATATTATTGAAAAAAGAGTAACAAGCTCAGGTCAATTTAGTTCCCCTCCCGCCCCCTCTCTTTTTATTGGAAAAATTATCCAAGAAATTTTGAAAGAGGGAGAAAAATTTATTATTATATTACCAAAAAGGAATATTTTCGGCATAGTGGAATTTTTTCAAAGTATTAGTTTTCGGTGTATTGTTTTCTTTTTTATCTCAAGTTAACAATTTAGACATTAGTGTTCGTGTGTGATTGTGCTTCTCGGTGACAACGTATAATATAAAGACTGCTTGAACATTTTTTTTTTTTTTTTTTAAGAGAAAAAGAGGTAAGTTTCTTGAAGCGTTTGATAGTTTTTTACATTCTCATTTTTTGCCGGAATGTGAAAGAATTTTTATTTTTTTGCTATTTTATTATAAATGATGATAATATTATTATTTGAGAATGATGTTCATATTGAGGGAAAATTATTCTCCTAATTTGAAAATGGCTCGTATTTTTTGAACACGTGTAGAAAAAGGTCCCTAAAGTATCCAAGGTTTGCAATATTAAATACTTTGTAGTTACTGTACCCGACGTCAATCGATAACTTGTACATACGATACATTCAGATAACAGGGTTGTTTTGGGATACACCTTAAAGATGGTGTACTCTTCTATTTATAAAGTATTTTCTAAATATTTTTCTATTTTCGTTTAATTTTACTAACCGGAATATTAATTAAATTTTATTATTTATCATTATCATTATTATTATGAAATTAATCACATACAGGTCTGTATCGTTTTTTATTTTTGATATTGGAGTGTGGTCAGTGGGGGTAAAAAACAGGTTTTTGGGGATATTCGATATATTTTTTTCTTTTAGTCTATAACGAACTAGGGACTTTAATGAAGTGAATTCAAATTTGATTTTTAAGGCTCATATGCGCAGGACCAAAAAAAAGACATCTTTTTGGGTAAAGACTCTCAAAAGCACGTTTTCCGGGTCTTTACCCCCACTTTTTTCATAATCCTGACGTGGTAGGAACATTTGGAACTCGGGATCGTATTCAGCGAACAAAAATACATGGCAAAGTACACCAATATTAAAAAAAAATAATAAAAAAAAATTTTGTTTGGGTCCTTAACTAGAAAACGTATTTTTTTGGGTCTATACCCCCACTTTTCTCAAAATTCTGAAGTAGTAGGAACTTTCGGAACTCGGGATCGTATTCAGCGAACACAATTACATTAGAAACGATTCCAATATAAAAAAAAAACCGAAAAAAATTTTCAACTTGGGTCCTTATTTAGAAAACGTGTTTTTGGTGACCTTTACCCCCCACTTTTCTCAAAATTCTGACGTGGTAGGAAGTTTTGGAACTCGGGATCGTATTCAGCGAACAAAAGTACATTAAAAACCACTCCGATATCAAAAATAACTAAAAAAAAAAATTTTTTATTTGGGTCCTTGCATAGAAAACTTTTTTTTTGGGGGTGTTTACCCCCACTTTTCTCAAAATTCTGACGTGCTAGGGAATTTTAAAACTCAGGATTGTATTCAACGAACAAAAATACATGGAAAAGCACTCCAATGTGAAAAATAATAATAAAAAAAAATTTTATTTCGATCCTTAACTAGAAAATGTTTTTTTTTGGGTCTTTACCCCCACTTTTGTCAAAATCCTGACGTGCTAGGGAATTTTGAAACTCGGGATCGTATTCAGCGAACAAAAATACATGGAAAGCATACCAATATTAAAAATAATGATAAAAAAAAATTTTATTTGGGTCCTTAACTAGGAAACGATTTTTTTTGGGACTTTACCCCCTCTTTTCTCAAAATTCTGACGTGCTAAGAACTTTTAGGACCCGGGATCGTGTTGAATACATTGGAAGTCACTTAAACATAATAAAAATTATTAAAAAAAAAAAAAAAAAATTTAAATTAAAAAAATTTTTTAAAAAATCATAAAATATAAAAATAAAAATTGAATTTTTTAATTCAATTAAGAAAGTAGAATAAAGCAATTTGAATTTCGCGCCATTATAAATTAGAAATATCCGACAGATGGCAAGAGAGCTCTTTTCTCGTAAACGGAAAATAGTGGAGGGACTCTCGTCGAGATATTAAATTTTTATTTAACCTCTTTAAAATATTTATTACTATTTCTAAATTGTGATTACAAATTAGTAATATCAATATTTCAAAGAAAATTTTTAATACATTAATTTAATAAAAATATCTTAAAATTTTTCTCGACTTTAAAGAGAGATGAGAAAACGGAACTAAAAAAAGAATTTAGAAAAGTATGAATTCCAGTATAGACATATATTTAAGGTCCAAAAATAGAACAAACGATTTAATTTCAATATAAAGTTTCTTGTATATTTGTTTCTTTAACTTTATATATTTATATTCTTATAAAGGTTTAGAATTATTGTTGTAACCTCGTTACGGTATTTGTTAAAGTAACGATATATCTTTTGTAACTTCCCTGAGGTCATATTGACCATTAGAAATAGTAAATCTTTTGGAGCACGTCACTCACGTCTACTTATTGTTAAATGAAATAAAAAATTTTCCATGAAACCTTTCAAAGATCGTAAAATCGTATAGAGGTAGAGAAACTATCTTATACGATTACTTGTATTACAGACTTTTGGTATTGAATTTATTTAAATTAGAGGAAATATTATTTATTGAAGCAAATTAAATTATAAAGGTGCATTTCTACAAGTAAAGTAGAATTTTTTTAATTTTATTAGAATATTAAAATAAAAATTTCTTGTAAATCACTTTTAATTATATTCCTTCTGCTTGCGAGCGAAAAATCCTCTCGCCATTTGTCGGATATTTGCTTTTTTAAAAATTATATTCAAGAAATTTTCAATGTATTTTTGTCCGTTGAACACGATTCCGGTTCTAGCATTCCCTAGCACGTTAGAATTTTGAGAAAAGTGGGGGTAAAGATCACCCATAGAGTTATTAGAATAGAGTGCGCGAGTTATACCTTTTACCGTGAGAGGCATTCTTAGGCGCATAGAAAGAGACAAAAGCATGAAAGTAGACCCCTATTCTTACCTTGTTTATTGGCGCATGTGCAAGAATGAAAGTTTTTGGTTAGGTTTTTGTCTAAAAAGATCGCATGAAAAATTGTTTTAAATATTATAAATGTTTTATTTTAATTTTAAATTTATTTTAAATTATTTATTTGTCATGTAAATAAAAGAAAAATATAATTGCAAGCAAGCAACAGTTGTTTCGATGCATCAGCTGTTTCACTATCGCGCATGCGTTATTAGAGAAAGAAAGGAAAGGGGTCTTCTTTTCGTATGGCTGTCTCCGTCTATGCGCCTAAGAAACATTTTGGTCGCTTGCGCACTCTATTCTAATAACTCTATGAGATCACCAAAAACATGTTTTCTAAATAAGGACCCAAGTAGGAAATTTTTTTTTTCTTAATTTTGATATTGGAGTCGTTTCTAATGTAATTTTGTTCTTTGAATACGATACCGAGTTCTAAAATTCCCTAACGCGTCAGAATTTTGAGAAAAGTGGGGGTAAAGACCCAAAAAAAAATCGTTTCCTAGTTAAGGACCCAAATAAAATTTTTTATTATTATTATTTTTTATATTGGAATCGTTTCTAATGTAATTTTGTTCTTTGAATACGATACCGAGTTCTAAAATTCCCTAACGCGTCAGAATTTTGAGAAAAGTGGGGGTAAAGACCCAAAAAAAATCGTTTTCTAGTTAAGGACCCAAATAAAATTTTTTTTTATTACTATTTTTAATATTGGAGTGTTTTTCCATGTATTTTTGTTCGCTAAATACGATCCCCAGTTTCGAAATTCCATAGAACGTAAGGATTTTGAGAAAAGTGGGGGTAAAGACCCAAAAAGAACACGTTTTCTATGTAAGGACCCAAATAGAAAAATTTTTTTTAGTTATTTTTGATATCGGAATCGTTTCTAATGTAATTTTGTATTCTGAATACGATACCGAGTTCCAAAAGTTCCTACCACTTTAAAATTTTGAGAAAAGTTGGGGCAAAGACGACCAAAAATACGTTTTTAATATATGGACTCAAAAAAATTTTTTTTTGATTATTTTTGATATTGGAGTGGTTTTCAATGTATTTTCGTTCGCTGAATACGATCTTGAGTCTCAAAAGTGCCTAGCACGTCAGAATTTTGAGAAAAGTGGGGGTAAAGACGACCCAAAATACGTTTTCCAGTTAAGGACCCAAGTAAACAAATTTTTTTTTGATTATTTTTTATATTGGAGTGATTTTTAATGTATTTTTGTTCGCTGAATTTGATCTAGAGTCTCAAAAGTGACTAGCACGTCAGAATTTTGAGAAAAGTGGGGGTAAAAATCACCAAAAACACGTTTTCTAGATGAAGACCCAAATAAAATTTTTTTTATGTTTGATATTAATATAGTTCTACTATAAACAATTTTGCCATCAGTTTTGCTTGCAATTTTGTTTACAGTTTTGCTTTTAGTTTTACTTGCAGTTTTTCCGACAATTTTTGAAATTAAAAAAAAAAACAAATAATGAAAAATCTCGACGAGCCTCTGATTTTTTTCATCTCATTTATGAGTAAAAAGTCTTCCTGCCATCTATCGGACAAATTAATGGCGCGAAACTTAAATAACGTTATTTCACTTTCAACTCTGGATTTAAATAATTGTAGAAAAAAATTGGGTTCAATGTTTTCGATTCTTTTTTTTTTACTACAATTCAATCAATTGTGTAAGCCTTGGCAATTTCCCACTGGAAAGTGTGGTACTTGTTCGCAAAACTCACGGGTACCGGCGAAGGATCAATAAATTTCACGCCCACGAATAATATTTGGCTGCGGCAGATGTTTAGTGCCGTTATTTATTTTCTTTTTTTCTATCAAACAATTTTAAGACTATTGTTATATAACTTTTAAACCACTTGTGATTTTCTAATTTTCATGCCGTTTTTGAGAAAAAAAAACTTAATTTTATGTATAGCATAAATGTTACATAAGTAATCGTTTCTTTATGAATGTTTGTACATACTAAAAATATTTGAATCCTTAAATATAAAATTATAATATAATTTTATATTTAAATAAAAAAAATTCTTTTTTTATTTTATATTTATAAATATTATTTATTCTAAACTAATAACTTAATTTTTTCAAATTAATTTTAAACTAAATTTAACTTTACTATAATAATATATTTTAAGAAAAATTACATTTAGAAAAAAAATTTTCATCAAATAATCGATTACTCGTCTTGTACCAAATAAATATTTATTTGTGTAATTCATCAAAAATAATTAATTTTTAATTATTATTATAATTTCTATCAACTAAATCGTATTTGCTTTAAATTTCCCGTTTACTTCTATAAAAAAAAATAAATAAAAAAAATGTGGCGCGCTCCGATAAATGGTACCAAAGAGAAAAACGATTTTAGGTTATGTTTGTAATTTTTTAAATTAAAATACACAAAGGGGAACAACTCGAAATATAAACGACTGACGTATAAGTCTTCATTACATCTCAAATAATTAATAAAAACTTATTTTAGTTTCAAATTAAATACAGAAATTTTGAATTGAAGTAAAAATAATACAAACATAACCTTAAAATTCTTTGCTTCTTAGGTACCTCTCTTTGAAACGCGTCACAAATAATAAAAAAATAGTATAAAATATAGTAATATATAAAAATAAATTATAATAAAAATAGAAATAATATAATAATAATAAAAATAGGAATAACAATCATTTTTCCTCTCCTAAACTTGTTTTGTAAAAATAAAAAAAAAATAATAATAATAATATATTTAAAAAAAAACATTAAAGCTGTAAGAGATGTAAAACAAAATTTGTAGCAGCAGGAAATAAATTCTATTCTAATTCAATAAAAAATATTATAATAAAAAAATATTAAAAAAAAAATATTTTAATGAATAAGAAAAGAAATAGGTACAAATAATAAAAAATACTTTGAAACATAAATAATATAAATAAAAATTAATAAAATATTAATAATATTATTAATAGTAAAGAATAATACAAAAATATTTAAAAAATTAAAATTAAAAAAAGACTAAAAATAAATTTAGAAAAGAAATAATAAAAAAAATAGTGTCTTAAAAATATTATGATGATTATTGATCATATATAGTGAATTTTAACTATTATTTATATTCATAAAAATAGAAAATCTTTTTTCTTATTCTATTTTTGAAAAATTAGAGATATTGCGATTAAAAATAGAAGAATATAAATTGCGTTATTTATTATATTATAAATCAATATATAGATATTCATCGTGAAGTTCAAGTTACGTGACTAAAGTATATATGCAAAACGCAATTTGATTTCTACTTTTTTTCCACACATATGCAATTTGTTTATGTATATATATTTATGTTACGCGAAAAATATATATATGCAAACTGTGTGTGTCTCTCTACGATAATAAAAAGACTAAACGCACAACAAAAGATAGAATTTGAAAAATTTCTTATCATAAGCTTTTACTAGTCAATGCAATGCAATAAACGAAATTTTTTATAGACGACACTTTAAAAAATAATATTGATAATAACGACCCTCACAAGTTTTCATTGTTTTGCACTAATTGAATCATAATTAATACGTTTTTAATCTAAATTTAAATTAATTATCGTTCATTGTGTTATTTTATAATTGCTGTTATCATTTTTCATATTTTATTATTATTATTATTATATTATTATTATTTTATTATTATTATTATTATTATTATTATTATTATTATTATTATTATTATTATTATTTTATTAATATTATTTTATTATTTGAATTTTTATTATTAATTATTTTTATTATTAATATTCGAAATAATAATATTATTGAAATTATTATTTATTACTAATCCTCACTCGTGAAGATTCGAACCCTGGCCCTTGCTGTCGCGAGTCCTATGACGTTACCACTGAGCCATCTTACTCGGTTATAATAATAATATTATTGTGATAATTATTCAGGGTGGCCGCTGGACCGGGAAACCGGGAAAACCGGGAAATGACAGTGAATTTTTTTGGACAGGGAAAAACCGGGAAATGACAGTGAATTTTGATCTTGACCGGGATTTTGGAATTTTTTTTTAAAAACACACATTACTTTGTGAGGAAAAATAGAAATATTTATTTTAAGACTTAGGTATTAACTATATTTCATTAAAAAAGATTGAATGATCTTCTATAAAATCTATTTATATTTTGTCAGAGAATTTTATAAAAAGTACTATAAAAATATTCAATATCTAGAATTTATAAGGAAATTATGAATTTTGTTGTCCAACGTAACATACTTAGAAAAAGAAAATATTAAATTTAATTTTAAATTCTTTCTATTTCTAACAATAATTAAACAAAATATAATTTTAATTAAATTTGTCAAAAAAATTTCAAAGAGAAAAAATTTCACATCCTATAAAATAATGAAAAATAAATCAATTTAAAAATTTTTTTGCAATTAATATTATAACAAAACAAATAAGAATTATTAAAAATTTGAACTAATTAGAACAAAAGTGATACGATAAATTCATAAAAATGAATTTTTGAATAATAAATAAAGTAAATAAAAATAAATAAAATTTCTTTTCTTAGAAAATAAATTTTAAAAAACCGTATTTTTCATTAATATCAATTAGTTTTTTTACAATTATTCATAAGCAAATTTTTCGATTTTTTAGAATGTTAAATTAATATTACTAATATTATTGTAGATTGAATTTTAAAAAATTTAAAATTGAAGTTTTAGAAAAGTTGAATTTTAAAAGATTTTAATTAAAAATTCTGAATAATTTAGTCTTTAAAAATATTTTTATTCACATTTTCTCAAATTAGTTATGTTTTTAAATATGTAATATTTAATTGAAAAATTTTCAAATTATTCAAAATTTCATGAAATTGTCTTGTAAACAAGTGGATTTTAGAAACATTTTAGTTATTTCTAGAATATAATTGAATTAAAATTTTGAAAATAATTTTTAATAAGTTGCAGTAGCAATTCTTAAAAATTATTCAAATTTAAAGGATTTGAAATTTTAATTTTTTTTTGAAATTTGAATACCTACTATATGGAAAAATAATGGATAATAATTAAATATTTATTTCAAAAAATCTATTTAAGTTCAAAATTATTTTTAGAGTAAACTAAAATATTTTTAGGGTTTGGGAAAAAGTCAAAGTTTTGTCTAAAAATCAGGAAATTCTTTCAATCTTTCATGGAATAATTTATTTTCAGAGTTATTATTTATGACCGGGAAAAATAATTTATGACCGGGAATGGACCGGGAAATGACCGTGAATTTTTTTTTACAAAAAAAGTGGCCACCCTGTTATTGTTATTAACTGTTTCAATAATATTTATTGTTATTGATAATTATTATAATTTTTATTGATAATAATTACCTTGATAATTACATTCAGTATTCAAAATAATAATAATAATAATAATAATAATATTATTATTGTAATATTATTATTATTAATTGTTATTATATTTTTTAAAGTAATTGATTAATATTATAATTTTTATTGATAATAATTATGTTCAATATTCAAAATAATAATATTATTATTATAATTAGTGTTATTGCTTTTAATTATAATACTTATTGTTATTAATTATTATAATTTTTATATGAAAATTTATATAAAAGAAAAGAATTATTATAAAAAATAATAATGAAGAGTATTTAATTTTATTTCACTTACTTAGAAAATGCAACAAAAAAAACTGGAAAATAAAACAACAAAATTTATTGTAATTTTATGTCCCTTTTTTAAAAAATATTTTACTGATATTGAATTCAGTGGAAGCAAAGTTATATTGTTACGTAAGACATTGTTATTTCATTAAATTAAAAATAAAATTTATATGTTTCTTTTATTGTTGAAATAATTAGCTAACGAATATATATTTTTTTAATTCATTTGATAGTAAAATATTTCAGTACAACAATTAAAAAAATTTTATTTACTGGAGGAATACAAAAAATATAGCAAGTTTTTAGAATTCAAAACTAATTTTAAAAAAATTAGAATTAATAAGCAATTCATAAGAATTTGAACTAATAACTAATTATAAATAAAAGAAGAATTAGTAACTAATAAAAATTAAAATTAATAACTAATTATAATAAAAATTATAATTGATAACTAAATAATAAAAATTAAAATTAATAACTTTACAAAAGTGAGAAGTGACAACTAATTAATAAATAATTGACAAAAATTAGGAATTTAGAATTAATAACTAATTATCAAAAATTAGAATTGATAATTAATAAAAATAAAAATTAATAACTAATTAACAAAAATTAGAATAAATAAATAACAAAAATTAGAATTAATGACTAATTAATAAAAATAATAATTAATAATTAATTATTAATTATTAATTTAATTACCGAATTATTTAAGTATAAATTACTCGATTGGCCTTGGTCATTATATTCTATATTTAATTAAGACAAATTGGTTTTGGCAATTTTGTTGCAAAACTTTGCAAGTGAAACACGCAATTCTCATATTATAGCTAATTTAATTTTTGTCAAAATAAAGAATTAAATTTAATGCAATAAAAATTAGCAACAAAATAAGAAAAAAAATTAATTAATATTTTTCTATCTTTTTTTTTTTGCTTATAGATTTTTGAATATGAACTCCAATGAGCCGTGGAACCTTCCACCGAAGCAGGGACTCTATGATCCATCCCTTGAAAAAGAGGCATGCGGAGTTGGTTTCATCGTCGCTATCGATGGAAAACGTTCGCACAAGGTATAATTAAAAATTATTGTTTTTTTGTTACAATTTAAAAAAAAAAATTGTGATAATTGCAAATTCCAGAGTTTTTAACGTTAAAAAAAAATTGTTTCCTAGAAATTCGTGTAGCACATAATAAGTATCATTTAACGATCACACACTGGTTATTATTGTACTAAACGTATCAAGACGACAATGAGAATAATAAAATTGCTCTCAATTGGCAGTGTTTAGAAAAGAAATTTATATTCTTTAAAAATTTTTATCTCATTTATTTATTATATTTTTATTGTTAAGTTTATGTTTTTTTTTTGGTATTATTTTGTATTTTTTTTAATTCTTTTCCGTTTTTTTTTTAATTTTCTTGAAGTTACTTAAATTATTTACTGATATTTTCAATTATTTTTCTGTTATTTTTTTTATTTTTTAAAATTATTTTGTTATCAATTTTTTTTTTAAATCAAAAAATGAATTTCAATCATTTTCTGATACTTTTAATAATTTTCTGTTTTTTCAATTACATTCTATTATTTTTAATAAGCTTCAATGATTTTCAATTACTTTCCTGTTGTTGTTTTTCTTTTTTGATTTTCAACTATTTTTTTATTATTTACTGTTCTTTTCAATTATTTCTTTTAATTATTTTCTGTTTGTTTGAATTAATTCCACTTATTTTTTATATTTTTTTCTGTTGCTTTCTTTTAGTTTAAATTATTTTTTTTATTATTTATAATTATTTCCTGTTATAGTCAATTTATTTTTGATATTTTTAATCAATTTTTGGTAATCTTAATTATTTTTCTGTTATTTTTTTCAATTATTTTGTTATTATCAATTTTTTCTTGTTATTTTCAATCATTTTCTGATACTTTTAATAATTTTCTGTTTTTTCAATTACTTTCTGTTATTTTTAAGTAGCTTCTATTATTTTCAATTACTTTCCTGTTTTTTTTTACTATTTTCAACTATTTTTTATTGTTTACTGTTATTTTCAATTATTTCTTTTAATTATTTTCTGTTTATGTTAATTATTTCCTGTTATTTTGTTATTTTTTTCTATTACTTTCTTTTAGTTTCAATTATTTTTTATTATTTATAATTATTTTCTGTTATAGTCAATTTATTTGTAATATTTTAAATTAATTTTTGTGAATCTTAATTTTTTTCCGTTATTTAAAAATTTTTTTTGTTACTTTCAATTATTTCATGACATTTTTTATTATTTTCTGTTACGTTCAATTATTTTCTTATAGAATGTTTTATTATTTTCTGTTATTTTCAATTATTTCCTTGTTGTAGTCAATTTATTTTTAATAAATTTAAATTATTTTTTCGTTATTTTTTTTATCATTTTCTGTTAACTTACATTTAATTGTTTTCTGTTCTTTTCAATTATTTCCAGATACTTTCTTTGGTTTTTAATTATTTTTCTAGCTTATTTAAAATTATTTCTTTTATTTTTATTTATATTCGGTTAGCATCAATATTACTTTCCAAGTATTTTTTTTTATTTTCTGTTACTTTCAATTATTTCCTGACATTTTTCATTATTTTCTGTTATTTTCAATTATTTCTTATTATTTTCAATTAGTTTCTTTTATTAATAATTTAGTTTCTATTGTTTTTAATTATTTTCTTCTATTTTTATTTATTTTCTGTTACCTTCAATTATTTTTCTAATATTGGTTTATTATTTTCTGTTATTTTCAATTATTTTTTATTATTTTCAATTACTTTCTTTTATTTTTAATTATTTTCCTGTTATTTTTTTTTAATTTTCAACTATTTTTTATTATTTACTGTTATTTTAAATTTTTTCTTCTAATTATTTTCTGTTTGTTTGAATTATTTTCTGTTATTTTGTTATTATTTTTCTGTTGCTTTCTTTTAGTTTCCTGACATTTTTTATTATTTTCTGTTATTATAAATTATTTCTAATTACTTTCTTTTATTTTTAATTATGTTTCTATTATTTTCAATTATTTCCTGACATTTTTAATTATTTTCTGTTATTTTCAATTATTTCTTATTATTTTCAATTAGTTTCTTTTATTAATAATTTAGTTTCTATTGTTTTCAATTATTTTCTTCTATTTTTATTTATTTTTTGTCACCTTTAATTATTTTCCTAGTATTGTTTTATTATTTTCTGTTATTTTCAATTATTTTCAATTACTTTCTTTTATTTTCAATTATTTTTTTTTTTTTTTTTTTATTTCCTGTTTCCTTTAATTATTTTTCTATTATTTTCAATTATTTTCTTTTATTTTTATTTATTTTCTGTTACCTTCAATTATTTTCCTAGTATTGTTTTATTATTTTCTGTTATTTTCAATTATTTCTTATTATTTTCAATTACTTTCTTTTATTTTTTATTAATTTTTTTTTTTTTATTATTAATTATTTGCTGTTATAATTTTCACTTTAATTTATAAAATTTATAAAGTACCGTTCATTATTATTAATAAAAAAAAAATCTTGTTTATCCAGATTGTTCAAGATGCCATGAAATTGTCAGAACGTATGAACCATAGAGGTGCATGTGCATGTGACAATGATACTGGAGATGGAGCAGGTGTTTTATGCGCAATTCCACATCAATTTTATGCCGACGAACTTCGGTAAGATAAAATCTATTCTTAGTTCACGAATTTTATTTAACCATCAATTTTAAAATCACATAAAAATGAATATTTCTTTTCTTTTATGGTAAAAAGAAAAAAAAAATCTTCAATTTTTATTATTTGTTTTTTACTACGGAATTTCGAATTTTTTTTTTTCTCAAACGATTGTTGCTTTTGAAAAAAAGAAAATTTTTCATTCTTTATGATTATATTATTTTTTAAAATAGTAGCATTAATTTAATTAATTTTATTTTATTATTAGCATTAATATAATATTATTTAATTCATATTTTAATTAATACAATGATAATTATTAATATTCCCTTTAATTTATTCATAAAAAAACATTTCTATTTTATTTAATTAAAAAAAATAAAACTTGAAGATTTGTTTTCTTGGTATTAATAACAATATTAAAGAAAATATTAATCAAATAATATTATATTAATTCTAATTGTTATAAAAATAATATAATCATAAAGAATGAAAAGTTTTCTTTTTTCGACATAAGGAAAAAAATAAGAAAATTTAATCAATAATCAAATTAATATAAAATTAATTGAATAATATTGAAGATTATATTATATAATATTCAATATTCAATTAATTGGCTTTAGGATCCGTTATTTGTCTTATTGTATTATTAGAACCGAGTTTATTAAAATAATTTTAATTGAACAAAATTTTTTTTACAATTTCACTTTTGTTATAATTTTGTTAATTTTAATCAATTGTCTTTAGAGAGAAGAAAGGAATAAATTTACCGGAATTTGGAAGTTATGCAACGGGCATACTGTTTCTCGATAAAAATACTCATCAGGAAACTGAAGCTGCATTCGAGAAATTGGCTAAGGAATGTAATTTAAGAGTAAGTGAAAAAACTCAATATTTAGAAAATCGGAAAAAAAATTTCTTCACTAAAGTCGAGAGAGAGAGAGAGAGAGAGAGAGAGAGGAACTTATTTATATTTTTCTTTTATTCTTTTTAGGTAATTTGTTGGCGAGACGTGCCCATAAATAATTCTTGCATTGGTGAAGTTGCAAGGAAAGTTGAACCTTACATGCGTCAAGTATTTGTTACAAGTGATCTTGACACTGAAACCTTTAATCGTCAGGTAAAAATAATTCATATATTTAATTTTTGTTTGTTTTAATATCTTTTTTAACATTCTTTCATGAAATTGTATATAAAGATTTATTTATTTTGAATATAAACATTAATTTAAACTTTTCATTTGGCTCATTAAACCACTTGAACTTGTGATGCCAGAAAACCACAATATTCTCGTTAGTGACTGCCAAGTATAATTTCAAGATTTTAATGTAATGTATTTTTAATTTAGAGAGAAAAAAAATTTATTTGAATTTTGAGAAAAATTTATATTAAAGAGTGTAATGATCTTATTTTTTTTTTAAATTATTAATTAATAATTATTAATTAACGAATGCGAAATGATCTGATTTTGTTTAAACGTTTAAAAAAGAGATTTTTATAGTAGTAAAATATAAATAATAATTAAAAATAAATTATAATTTAAAACTAAATTCACCAGTACTGAATTAATTTTGATTTCTCATTTTGTTTTAGATATTTGTATTACGGAAAAAATCGACACATACTATCAAACAACCGGGTTTGAGGTATTACATTTGCTCTCTGTCTTTGAGAACTGTTGTCTATAAGGGTCAACTTACAGCCGATCAATTATGGGAATACTTTCCAGATTTGAAAGTATGTATATTTTTTTTTAAATTATTTTAGGTAATTTTTTTTTGTTTAATTTAAAATTGTGTGACTAAAAAAATTATTTTATTTTTCAAGTGTCCAAGATTCGAGACTTACTTGGCACTGGTGCACACGAGGTTTTCAACGAATACTTTTCCAAGTTGGGAGCGAGCTCATCCACTTAGGTAAGAATTGAATTTTCCACATTATTTCTCTTCTACTAATAATTATAATATCAGGCTTCGCACTCGATAATTAATTTTAAAAAAGTAGCGAAAAGTAGCTTTTCGCTTTTTTCGACCGAAAAAAGTGATAAAAAAGTAGCCATTATAGAATCAAATTTGACAACTAAAAAACTGGTTTTAGTAGATTAAAAAAATTTTTTTTAATTTAATTCTGCATTTTATTACCCTGATTTTTTTCTAATTTTTATCAAAAGTACTTACGTTTTTTCTTATACTGCTAATAACTTCAATTCTAAATTTTTACAAAATTCAATAATTTTCTAAAATTTAATTTTGTCAGTTTTACAAGAATTAAACTTTTCAAACAATTCAATTTAAAAATCTTTTAAAATTTAATTATTTCTAAAAATGTATAGTATAACGCTTCTAATATTCAATAATTATCTAAAATTTTAACTGTATTTCAATTTGAAATCAACTCTTATTTCTTAAACTTGAATTCTTTCGAAGAATTTTAATAAAATTTTTAAGAATAATTGCAATTCAATTCTTAAATAGAATTTTATCAAAATGTAATTTTAGCGAAAAATTGCATTACATTTTTTTAAAATCATTGAATTCCCACGAAGAATTTTATAAAAATTTGTTTAAATAATTGATTTTGCTCGAAAATTTTTATGAAAATTGTATTTTAAATCATCGAATTTGTGTGAAAATTTTTTTATTTATGAAAGTAATTAAATTCTAGGGCGAATTTTATTGTTTATGATAATAATTGAATTACTGCAAAGAAGTTTATTATTTATAAAAAATAATTTAATTCTTGCGAAGAATTTTATTAAAATGTTTGAAATTAATTGAATTCCTGGGAAGAATTGCAATAAAATTTTTGTAAATAATTTAATTCCCGTAAACAATTTTATTAAAATTCTTTTAAATAATTGATTTTTTTCGAAAAAATTTAATGAAAATTGTATTTTAAATAATTAAATTACTGCAAAAATTATATTACTTATGATAATAATTAAATTGTTTTGGAAAATTTTATTTAAATGGTAGATATTGAAAATAATTGAATCGTTTCTAAGAATTTTTTTTAAAATTTTTGAAAATAATTGAATCTTTGCTGAGTTTTATTATTTATGTAAATAATTGGATCCCTGAGAAGAATTTTATATAAAAATAATTGAATTCTTGTGAAGAATTTTATTAAATTTTTTTAAATAATTGAATTTCAGTGGAAAATTTAATTATTTATTAAAATAATTTAATTCTTGCACAGATTTTTTTAAAACAGTTTTAAATAATTGATTTTTTCCAATAAATTTTTGCAAATTCTATTTTAAAAATTGAATTTTTGTGAAATTTTTATTATTTATAAAAATAATTGAATGTTTTGTGTAGAATTTTATCAAAAAATTTTTTAAATACCTAATTGAATTCTTTTTGGGAAGTTTTATTAAAATAGTTGATATTGAAAATCATTGAATTTCAAAAATTTTTTGATTATAATTGAATCGTCTCTAGAAATTCTATTAAATTTCTCGAAAAAATTTATGAAAATTGTATTTTAAATAATTGAATTTCTTTTAAAATACTTAAAATAATTGAATTTGTCTAAAATGTTTTTATTATTTATGAAAATAATTGAATTTCAGCAAAGAATTATATTATTTATGGGAATAATTAATTTCCTACAATTTTTTTCGACGAATTCAATTAAATTTTTATATAAAGTAATTTAATTCTTATATAGAATTTTATTAAAATTTTTGTATATAATTGAATTTCTGCGAAGAATTGCTTTAAAAAATGTTTGAAAATAATTGAATTCCAGAGAAGAATTTTATTAAAATTCTTTTAAATAATTGATTCTTTTCGAAAAAATTTATGAAAATTATGATTTAACTAATTTAGTTTATTTTTTAATTTTATAAATACTCAAAAGAATAATTCAAATATTGCGAATAACTTAATTAAAATTGGATGAAAAATAATTGAATTTTTGCGATGAATTATATTATTTATGAAAATAATAATTTAACTATTATAAACAAATGTTGTCTAGAATATAATTACATTTTTGTACAAAAAATTTTATTAAAATATTTAAATAATTGATTTCTCTCGAAAAAATTTCTTGAAAATTATATTTCACACAATTGAATTTTCGCTTTGAATTTTATTACATTTTTTAAAATTAGTAAATTAGTTTGAAAAATGTTGTGTAAATTTTCGAAAATAATGAAAAGATTTGAAATAATTCAATTAAAATTGTATTGAAAATAATTGGATTCCTCTGAAGAATTTTATTATTTATGAAAATAATAAAATTCTTTTGAAGAATTTTATTAAAATTATATTTAAAATAATTGAATTCACCTAAAGAATTCTATTATTCATAAAAACAAATGAATTTCTACGAAGAATTTATTAAAATAGAAAAAAACGAATTCTTGCAAATTTCTTCGACGAATTAAATTAAACTGCATTGAAAATAATTCCATTCGTATATATAGAATTTTATTAAAATTTATTAAAAATAATTGAATTCTTTCGAGAAATTTTATTAAAATTGTATTAAAAATAATTGAGTTCTTGCGATGAATTTTATTATTTATGAAAATAATTTAATTCCTATAAACAAATTTTTAGAAAATAATTAATTTCTTTTTAAAGAATTTTATTAAAATATTTAAATAATTGATTTCATTCAAAAAAAATTCCTTTCATTTATTTCACATAATTGAATTACTGTGAAAATTTTATTATTCATATTATTTGAATTTTTGCTTTGAATTTTATTAAATTTTTTATAAATTTCATAAATAATTGAATTCTTTAGAGAAATTTTATAAAAATATATAAATTTGTATATCTAAATAAATATAAATAAAAGAACAGATATTAAAAATATTTGAATTTCATTATTTGTGAAAATATAACTGAATTCTCGAAAAATTTTCGAAATAATTGAATTGTGTCAAAGAGTTTTATAAAAATTTTTGCTAATTGTTTCTAAGAAGAATTTTATTAAAATTTTCAAAAATAATTTCTTTATTCCAACTATTAGCGAATTTAAACTCGTGAAAATTGTCAAAAATAAGAAAAAGTAGCTTTTAGTGTCACAAATTTAAAATAAGTATTCAAATAGTAGATAATTGTGAAAAAGTAGTAATAGTAGGTTTTAGTAGATGAGTGTGAAGCCTGTAAAATATTAAATTTTTTATATTTACTAATTTTTTTTTTTTTGCAGACTACTGGCACACAATGGAGAAATAAACACTCTCCGTGGGAATGTGAATTTTATGAAAGCGCGCGAGGGAGTAATGCGAAGTCACATATTCGGTAGTCAATTGAAAGAATTATATCCTGTCGTTGAGCCTAATCTTTCTGATTCTGGTTCAGCCGATTGTGTACTGGAATTTTTATGCATAGCGGGAAATCGTTCTCTACCTGAAGTACGTATGAAGAAAAAGAAAAAAAAATTTTATTAAATCTCATTATTTTGGTAATGGAAGCTAATCATTAAATCACTATTTAAATCGCTCAATAAGCTCAATCATTTTTCAGAGGCAAAGCGAATAATAAATTATTAAACAATATTAATTTCAATACACCTATATAATTTAGGCTGTGATGACTATGGTACCGGAAGCGTGGCAGAATGATAAAACAATGGCTACGGAGAAAAAAGACTTCTATCATTGGGCTTCGTGTGCAATGGAACCTTGGGATGGTCCTGCTCTGCTCACATTCACCGATGGACGTTACATCGGCGCAATATTGGACAGGTAGAATCACTTTTTTTCAATTTAAATCTAAATTGTTAATATGCTTCACTTTCATGTTCCGTCATTTGTTCGTTTGGTGTTTTCAAACTACTAAAATGAAGAAAATGCCAGACAAATTTTTATAATTCAAAGAGAAAAGAAAAAAAAACAAAAACAAAAAAAAAACTGAATTTTAACGAAAGGATGAGAATCAATCATCATTTTAGAAGGAATAGGAATAATTTATCTCAGGGATCACAGAACGTCACCTTTTCACCTTTTTTTTCGAATTTTGGCACCTATTTTATCTATTCCGTTATTTTTCACCAATTTCACCTATTTTTGTAAACTTTCTATATTTTTGAATCAAAACAAAACTTTACAGATTTTTAATTCAATTCTTGATATTGACTCTGATTTTTAATCTCTTGAATTCTAATTTTTCTAAACTTTTTTAACAATATAAATTTCAAATTTTACTCATTTAATTCAATCCTATGCAACTTCAATTTGTGCATTTTTTATATTTATTTATATTTGTGGAACAATTTTACAAAATTTGATAAATTATTATTTCCAGAAAAACTGAATTTTTTATTTTCATGTTTTATTTCAAAAATGTTGTAATTTTTGTAACTTTTATAATTTTGGATCTGAAATAATTTAATCGCTTAGAATTTTATTAAAATTTTTATAATATTTAAATTCTAACAAGGAATTTAATTCAAATTGTAAACAAAATAATTGGAATTTCATAAAAAATTATATTAAAATTTATCCCTTTTAGAAAATTTTTTTTATTAAAATTGTATTAAAAATAATTGAATTCCTGTGAAAAAATGTTATTTACATAAATAATTAAAATCTTGCAAAGAATTTAATTATTAATAAAGATAATGGAATTCTTGTAAATAATTTTATTAAAGTTTTGGAAAACAATTGAATTTCTACAACAAATTTTATATTAAAACTAGCATAAGATACGCGCGCAAGCGCGCGTGCATGTTCTAAATGCATTGTTGAATAATACACTTTTTTAATTATTTATATTTTTAACAATAAATGAACTTTACAGATTTAAAATTGAATTTTTTTTGAATAATTTAATTTTTGAAAAGCTATAAGGAACCGCAGAACTGCGATACACCATCTGGTGACAAAATATTTAACTAACGCAACGGGGTCGAATTTGACATTTTATATGGAATAATAGCAAAAAAGGACGCGCGCGAGCGCGCGTGCATTTTTATTTCAACGTTTTATTTAAAATAATTAAAATTTTATTTTTTTAAATGAATTTTAATTATTATGACATCATAATGTTTCAAATACATTTAAATAGTAATTTATTCAATTAAATGTAAACTCTTAATTATTTATTAACTGAATTGACGAAAATCAAAGTCAATTTTTGTTAAGGCATTAATAAGGAAGAATTACAAATTTTAGTTTGATTTTTTAATTTATTTTTATGCAAATGCGAGAAAAAAAAAACTGAAACAGTAAAACTTTGATTTTTAATCGTTTTTGCATTAAAAGATAACATAAAAATAAATTAAAAAATCTAACAAAAATATGTAATTCTTCCTTATTAATGCCCTATCAAAAATTGACTTTGATTTTTGATTTTCGTCAATTTAATTAATAAATAATTAAGTGTTTACATTTACCCCGAGAATTCGAAAACTCGAATTCTTATTCAGAAAAATAAAAAAAACTTTTTACCAAGTTGAATGAAAATCTATTAAAATTTGTTTAAGTTATTCAAGTTTTTACATTACTAATTTCGTAATGGTTGATTGTTTTTTATAAGATACATTATCAGTCAACTGGTTGATTTACTATACGTCTACGAATAATTTGTTTTCAGTTTTTCCATCCCTTAAGACAGTAGTACACTGTAAAAAATTTCGGAAATTTTTCCAAACTTTTGCATGGGAATTTTCCTAAAACGTGTTTAGAAAAAATTTTTTCCCAAAAAAATGGTAATTTTTCTGAGTGTTTGGAAATTTTTCGATACGAATTGAAATTTTTCTAAATTCTGTTGGGAAAGGGATTTTTCTAAACGTTTTAAGGAATATTTACAAATTTTTAGGAATTTTCCTAAATCTTTAAAGGAATTTTTCCAAATTGTGGGAAATTTTTATACTTTTTATGTGAATTTGCTTCCTCAATTTTTTTGGGAAAATTTCCAAAATTTTTTTTACAGTGTATGCTTGAAATAACTTGTTTCTTAAACCTCGCTTAACTACAGAGGTGTTTACATTTGCCCCGAATTTTAGGAAAATTTCAACATCTCGGGGTAAATGTAAACATTCAGTTTTAGGCGATTCAGGTGCATCAATATTTTTTTGTACCTCATAAAATTTTTCTAGGGAAGTAAAGTAACAAGTTCATGCAAAAGAAATCCGTCCGTTTTACCTTTTAACAAAAAAAAACTAACGTTTTTTGTGAAAAATAGATATTCCGTTTACATTATTACCCCAAATGACCCTATTCCTTTAAAGAATTTTATTAATATTTGAAAATAATTAAATTTACGTAAATAATTTTATTGATTTTCAAAGTTTATTGAATTCCTGGAAAGAATTTTATTAATATTTGAAAATAATTGAATTCCTGTGAAGAATTTTATTAATTTTAGAAAATAATTGTATTTTTGTGAGGAATTTTATTAATTGTTGAAAATAATTGAATTCTTTCCAGGAAATTTATTATATTTGTGAAAATGTAATTGAATTCTTGAATAAAAAAAATTAGTAAAATCTTCACAGAAATTCAATTAATTGTAAAAATAAAAAAATGAATAAATAAATAATTATAGAAATTTTTTCGAAATATTTCAATTATTTTCTAAAATTAGTAAAATTATTCGTAAGAATTAAATTATTTGCTCAAAATTCAATTATTTTTCTAAAATCTGTAAAATTATTCTAAAATATTTGCAAGAATTCAATGATTTTGAATACATTAATTTTAAAATTATAAAAATATTGAAAAAGAAAAATGAATTGTTTTATGTTTTCATACAATTTTTCGAAATAATCAAATTTTTTTCTAAAATTTTAAAGTAATTTTTTTTTGCAAAAGTTCGCAATATTTTTTAATAAAATTTTAATATAATTTCATGAATGAATTCAATTTTTTTAAAAACTTTTATAATATTTCTCGAAAGAAATAGAATTATTTTTTACAATTTCAATAAATCCTTCAAAACAATTCAATTTTTTAAAATTTTTAATAAAATTCATTCAAATAACTCAATTACTTTCGAAAATTAATAAAATTCTTCTCAGGAATTCAGTTATTTTCAAAATACAGTTTTAGTAAACTTGTGAATGATCAAATATTTAATTATAATTATTACCTGACACAATAATTTTAAAAAGTTGAAAAAAATTGTTTCTTTAATTCATTTATTTTGAAAATTTTCATTTAAAATTATTTTAGAAAAATTACATTTTTTTTATAAAAGATTTTATAGAGATTCTCCAAAAAAATGTAATTATTTAGAAAAATTCTAATAAAATTATATAAAAGAATTTAATTTTCAATGAATAATTTTAATAAAAGTTTAATTGTAAATTGATTATACTCAATAAATAAAGGAATTTTTTGTTAGAATTCAATTACTTTAATTGTTTTCCAATTATTTTAATGAAATTCCTTGAAAGAAATTGTTAATAAATTTTAATCACTTTAAAAAATTCCAATTAAAATTATTAAAGAAATTCAATTATTCAAAAAAAAAAAAAAAAAAAAAAAATTGAAAATAATTCTTCAAAGAAATTTAATTAGGGTTTTAAACATTTTTTTAATTTTAATTTAATAATTCTTTGCGAGAATTTAATTACTGAATAATAAAATTTTTTGAAGGAATTGAATTATTCTGAAATTTTTTGCAAGAATTCAATGATTTTCAATACATTAATTTTAATGGAAATAATAAAAAATATTGAAAAAGAAAATAATTAAAAAAGTTGGGAAACAAAAAAGTAACTAACAACCAACTTCATACTGCGAACAGAACGAATGAAAAACCACAGAGATTAATATAGTTAATGTTTGATACTAATTGAAATCTTTTGAGGAAATTAATTAAATTTGAATTTAAAATAATTGAAATCCTATAATGAACTTTATTTAAATGTTTTGAAATAATTGAAGAAATTTCATTTAATTAATTAAATTAAATTAAATTCCATTAAAATTTTTTAAAAATAAATAAATATTGTTGACAAGTTTTATTAAAATTTTTGTATTAGAAGTCTATTAAAATTAATTCAATTTCTGCAAAGAACTTTATTATTTACACAGATAATTGAATTTTTGCCAAATATTTTATTGAAATTTTTGAAAATAATTGAATTTTTAGAACAATTTTATTCTTTATTCAATTAGTTGAATTTTTGACAAGAATTTTATTAAAATTTACGAAAATAATTAAATTCTTCAGGAAAATGTTATTGAAATTTTTGAAAATAATTGAATTTTTAGAACAATTTTATTCTTTATTCAATTAGTTGAATTTTTGACAAGAATTTTATTAAAATTTACGAAAATAATTAAATTCTTCAGGAAAATGTTAATGAAATTTATAAAAATAATTGAATTTTTAGAACAATTTTATTCTTTATTCAATTAGTTGAATTTTTTACAAGAATTTTATTAAAATTTATGAAAATAATTAAATTCTTCAGGAAAATGTTATTGAAATTTATAAAAATAATTGAATCTTGTCAAGAAATTTCATAAAAATTGTATTCTATTCAAGACTTTAATTAAAATTTTTGAAAAAATTGAATTCCAGCGAAATTTTTTGTTATTTCTGAAAATAATTGTTTTTCTACGAAGAATTTTATTCAAATTTTTGAAAATAATTTAATTCCAGCGAAGAATTTTATTAAAATGATATTTAATAGAATTAAATTAATTTAAAGAATATTATTATTTATGGAAATAATTGAATTCTTTGTACAAATTTTATTAAAATTCCATTGAAATGAATTCAATTCCTGCAAAGAATTTTTAGACGAATTTCAATAAAATTGCATTGAAAATTATTCAATAGAATTTTATTAAAATTTTTGAAGCAAATTGAATTTTTTAGAGAAATTTTATTAAAATTGTATTTTGAAAATAATTGAATTCCTTCAAAAAATTTTTTTATTTCAGAAAATAATTGAATTCTTGTCAGGAGTATTTTATTAAAATTATTGAAAATAATTGAATTCCTGTTGAGATTTTTGTTAATTATCAAAATAAATTAATTTCTGCAAAAAAAATTGTATTGATTATGGAAATAATTGAATCCAGGCGAAGAATTTTATTAAAATTATAAAATTTTATTAAAATAATTAAATTATTTGAATTGATTTAAAGAATTTAATTATTTAAAAAAAAATGAAATTCTTGTAAATTTTTTGTACAAATTTCCTTAAAATTGCATTTGAAAATTATTCGATAGAATTTTATTAAAATTTTTGAAGCAAATTGAATTTTTCAGAGAAATTTTATCAAAATTGTATTGAAAATAATTGAATTCCGGAAAATAATTTCTTTATTTCTGAAAATAATTGAATTTTATTATTTTTAATGATAATTGAATTCTTGCCAAGAATGTTATTAACATTTTTTTTAATTGAATTTCTGTGAAGAATTTTATTAAAATTTTTGCGAATAATGTAATTTTCTGAAGAATTTTATTACCTATTTATGTAGATAATTGAATTCTCGCCAAGAATCATATTTTTAAAAATAATAGAATTTCTACGAAAAATTTTCGATATTAAAAATAATTGAATTCTTGCCGAAGAATTTTTTTTTAGAATTTTTCCTAACAGTTGAATACTTTTGATTAATTTTTTTAAATCGTTTGAAAATCAAAGAAGAATAATTAGTTAATTATAAATATATGTAATCCTAATTTGTTTTGCCACCTCTTTGTCTTTCTATTTCTGAAAAATATTTCACCTTTTTATTTCAAGGGAAAATGATACTGTGATCCCTGTTATCTATCTCATCAAATAAAAAAATTCATTATTTTCAATATTTTTTGAAAAAGAAATTTTCAAATTCAACTTCAATTTCTATTCAGTTTTATTTACCTATATTTAAGTAAATTTATTTCAATTAAATAAATGAAAAATTGAACAATTTGTTGAAGACATTTTTCAGTGAATTGATTTCGCTCTCTGTCTAAATTTTTTTCTAGAGAGAAGTCAATTCATAAGAAAAATAAAAAGGTTTTTCTAATAGAGAGTGAAGTTTTAGTTGATTGTAATATAGACGATAATGATGATGGTGATGATGATGATGATGATGATGTTTATGTTTATGATGATGTTGATGATGGTAATGATGATGTTGACGATGGTGTTGTTGATGTTAAGGATATTGCTAATGATAAAATTAATAATAATAATAATAATAATAATAATAATGATAATAATAATAATAATAAGAATGCCAACAGGAAGGCAAACGAACGAACGAACAACAATAATTCAGCCAGATTATGAGAGATTCAAAGGTGGTAATACAAAAGACTTTTTTGAATTTTTGTTTGGCAGAAATGGTCTTCGTCCGTCGCGTTTCTACGTCACTAAGGATAACGTGATGGTGATGGCGTCCGAAGTGGGCGTCTATGACACTCCGCCCAGCAATGTTGTCCTGAAGGTAAACAAGGAAGTAAAGCAACACTGATGCCCTTCATTTGGATATTAAAAAAAAAGCCATACAAACAAAAATAAATCATCCAGCTGTTCGCGCTTCCCCGCAGGGTCCAATTTAATTAATCGTGCAAGAGCTTTTCTTTTAAATCCATTAAATCTCTATATTTCTTGATATAGAGGATTTCAGCTTTAGGGGAAAGGTTTTTAAGGCAAAACGAATCTTGGTTGGTCAACGATCCGAAGCTGGCAGATTGGAAAGAAGACTTCCAGAATGAAATGTAGCTGATTGTTACCACCAAATTCGACCAAATATCTAACTTTGTCCCATAGTTTATTTTCCTTTTTTTTCTCTATCTCTCTCTTTCTCTCTTTTTACCTCGAATAATCACTTTTTGAAATTAACTAATTTCAGACTTCGTACTCACAAACTTTAAACTACTATTTACTACTTAAATTTACTTTTTTTAATTTACTATTTACGATTTACCATTATTTGGGTACTTTTTTAGATTTGTGACACTAAAAGCAATTTTTTTTCTTTTTTCATGAAAATTTGCACCACTTTAAATTCGCTAATAGTTGGAATAAAAAAATTAATCTAAAAAATTTTAAAAACAATTTTTAGAAAAAATTTAACAAATTTTCATAAAATTCTTTCAAACGATTTAATTATTTTCAAAAAAATTTTCTAAATCAAATTATTTTCAATATTTACTATTTTAATAAAAATTTTCACCAAAGAATTCCATTATTTTCATAGATTTTAATCAAATTCTTCGTAACAATTCAATTATTTTCATAATAAAATATACGAAAGAATTCAATTACTTAAAAAAAATTAATAAAGTTTCTCGCGAGAATTCAATATTATTTTTATAAATAATAAAATTCCCCTCGGGAATTCCATTATTTTCAACAATAATTTAATAAAATTCTTGTCAAGAATTCAATTATTTTCAAAAATAAAAAATTTCTTCGAAAAAATTCAATTATTTTCAATACAAATTGAAAAAAAATTCAATTTGTTTCGGAAATTTTAATAAAATTTCCCTGAAGAATTTAATTATTTTTAAAGATTTTAATATAATTCTTGTCAAAAATTCAATTATTTTCAAAAAAATTTAAATTCAATTATTTTCAGAACAAAAAAGTTGTTTGAAGAAATTCAATTATTTTCAAAAATTTTAATTAAATTCAATTTGTTTCGAAAATTTGAATAAAATTTCCCTTAAGAATTTAATTATTTTCAAAAATTTTAATAAAATTCTTGTCAAGAATTCAATTTTTTTCAAAAATAAAAAAATTCTTTGAAGGAATTCAGTTATTTTCAATAATTTTAATAAAATATTTGTTCAAAATTCAATAATTTTCAAAAATAACAAAATTCTCAGCAGGAATTCAATTATTTTCAAAAATTTTAATAAAATTCTTATAAAAAGTTTAATTACTTTCAAAAATATAAAAATTCTACGAAGGAATTCAATTATTTTCAAAGATTTTAATAAAATTCTTTTCAAGATTTTAATTATTGGTATAAATAATAAAATTATTCGTAAAAATTCAACTATTTTGAAAAATAATAAAATTCTTCACAGAACAATTATTTTCAAAAATTTTAATAAACTAAGTCAAAAAATCAATTATTTTCAGAAATAAAAAAGTTTTTCAAAAGAATTCAATTAATTTCAAAATTTGCAATAAAATTCTTTGAAAATTCTTTGCAAATAAAATTATTTGTGTTAAAAAATAACACAATTCTTGTCAAAAATTCAATTATTTTCAGAAATAACAAAATTTTTCGAAGGAATTGAATTATTTTCAAAAATTTTAATAAAATATTTGTCAAAAATTCAATTATCTTTGTAAATAATAAAATTCTTTTCAGACATTGAATTAATTTCAATAGAATTTTAATAAATTTTCTCAACAATATTCAATTATTTTTAACAATTTTAATGAAATTTCTCTAAAATTTCTTCAATATTTCCAAAAAATTAATGAAAGTTCTCTATAAGATTTCAATTTATTTTAATTCAAATTTAATTAATTTCCTCGAAAGATATAAATAATTGTCAAACATTTTAGTTCAATTCTTGTCAAAAATTCAATTATTTACAGAGATAACATTTTTCGCAGGAATTCAATTTTTTTCTACGATTTTAATAAAATTCTTAAAAAGAATAGAATTATTTTTTTAAATAATTTTAACACAAAAAAAAATAAAACTTCTCAACAATATTCAATTATTTTTAACAATTTTAATAAAATTTCTCTAAAATTATTTTTATAACTAATAAAATTCATCGGAGGATTTCAATTATTTTGAATTCAATTTTAAATGAATTCTTTGAAAATGGTAATTATTCTTGAAAATTTTATTAAAATTCACCTGAAAGAATTGAATTATTTACAAAAATTTTGATAAAGTTCTCTTTATAATAATTCAATTTTAAGAAATATTTAAATTATTCAATAAATTATTTATTTTTGTATCTAAATAATTGAATTCTCGTCGAAGTTTCTAATAGGAATTGATTTGAAATTGAATTTCAGTTAAAATTTTAGATAATAATTATGTTATGTTTCTTAAATAAATAAATAAATAAATAAATATTTGAATCGTTATAACAGGAATTTTAAGAAGTAATTGAATTTCAAAAGATTTTTTTAATTGAAATATTTGTTGTAAAACTGTACTTAATAATATCAAAACTTTTATTTTAAAATAAAGTGAATAATGTTTTGAATAATTTAATTTAAAAATTCCAAGAAAGAAATAATTGAATTTTGAAAGAAAAACAGTTGTAATTTTTAGAAATAGTTAAATTTCCAAAATGCTTTGCATTTAAATCATTTAAAATATTTTAATTTCTGTGAAAAAATATTGGTATTTAAATATTGATATTTAAATATTTGAATATTGATATTTAAATATTTACGAAAATGATTCCATTTTTGAATGTGATTTAATTTGGAAATTATTAAAAAATCTATTGAGCCGTTAATTTTAATTTTTCGTTCGCAACATTTTTACTACTTTCTTTTAGTTTTAAATCTACTTTTTACTTAATTATCGAGTACGAAGCCTGTATTTTTTTTCAAATTGCACTTAAACTACAAGTTTCAAATAAAAGTGATTATTTTAGGGTAAAATTATTATTATTATTTTTTTTTTTTGGTTTCTTTTGAAAATAAAGAGCAGCACTTGTACTGGCATTCTGTTTTTACATTGAAACGAAGGTTCCCAAAGGGTGATGTGAGCAGCTGTTTGAGTAAAAACAGAATGTCATAATAATTATTTCCCAAAAAGAAAAAAAAAATCCATCAATAAGTTTATTTATCTAATTATTATATTATTATTTTTTTTTTCTTGAAAAACATTAATTTGTATTCTCTAGAATCAGCGCACAATAGTGAATCATATAATTTTGTATTTTATTTCTTTTTGTCAATCCATATTGTCATTATGTGATCTATAATTTATATCATTTAGGGACTTTGGTTTGTATATAATAATATAGAGGAGTAGGACCGTCATCCAGTGCTGTCGTATTATTGTCGAATCAAATGGAACCTTCTGTTCAATGACGATCATTCCAACCTCATTTTATTTACAGAGTCGCTTGAAGCCCGGAAGAATGTTACTTGTTGACACCGAGGAAAAACAAATCATTCAAGATGTGGAACTCAAGTTGAAAATCGCTAGGAGCAGACCTCATTCCCAATGGCTTAAGGAGCAGGTATATTCGCATAATTATCAATTTTCAAATATATTATTGTCAATTTTTTTTTCAATAACAAAACAATTTTCATCACAAGTAATATATATATAATAATATATTTTTCCTCCAAAAGAGAGGAAATAGGATATTTGCAAAATAGGAAAAAAAAAAAATTGCAATTCTTTTGAGAATCGAAAAAAAAACAATTCCACAAAAATAAAGTGTTTTTAGTCACTAATTCTGACCGTTGGCGCAAGCTCTAAAGTCATTTAATAATGAGAAGAAGAAAAAGAAGGTTTATAAATGGAAAAAATGCTACATTTCCTAGACAGGGATCACAGACTGTCATCATTTTTTCATCTTTCTTAAATTTTTACACCTATTTCACCAATTCAGTCAATTTTGACAAATTTCATCAATTTTCCAAACTTTCCATAATATTTTAGACTCAAAACCAGCTCCTAAAAATTTTTAAATCATTTATTTATTTTCAATAAAAAATTCCAAATTATTGATAGGATAGTTTCATGGATTAGAATCTTAATTGTCTCTGAATTTAAATCGCAGGCCTCGGATACTATTAATTTTTCGACTTTTTTCGACTATTTTCAAACAATGCGACTTTTATCGACTTTTATTTAAAAATTGCGACTTTTTCGACTTTTCTTCCTTTTGCGACAAAACACGATATTTTTAGTATAAAAATGCAACTTATTTCGATTTTTATTCTAGTGTGGAAAATAACTACAAACAAATATTTACAAAAATTATTTTTAATATTTTCTATTTAAATTTTTGAATTATACAATTAAAAAGATTTTTAATAATCTTCAAGTGTAAGTAAATTCAATAAAAATGAAAATTAATGAAAATTAGGTTCTAAAAATAATATTAAAATAGTATTGAAAAACAGTAATTCTCTGAATTATTTCATTCTAATTTTTTAAACTTCAATTATTTTCAATATTTTCAATATTTCCGAAAATTTAAATACATACACAAAAAAATAACATTAAAATTTTTTAGAATTATTTTTTACATTTTGGAGAAAATAATCATAATCAAAATTTTTAATTAAACTTCTTCAAAAAATGATGTTTTTTTAAAAATTATACAAAAATAGTTCAATTATTTTCGAAAAATTACATTACAATATTTATAAAAAAAACTAATTCTTATATTTGTATTATCATAATTTTTTAAGATTCAATTACCTTCGAACAAAGTAAATTAAAATTTTTTTTAATTTACTATTTTAGAATTTTTGAGAAATTATTTATAATTAAAACTCTTCAAAATTTTGATTATTTTTATATATTTTTTTAAAACTCAATTATTTTTAAAAGATTTTTTCAAATTTAAATTATTTTAAAAAAATTTTACTAAATTTAAATTATTTTTTAAAAGATTTATTATCAAATTTCAATTTTTTGGACATTTTTTTCTTTCAAAAATTATTTAGAAAATTACAAAGAATCTTATCAAAAAAATTTGAAGAGAATAATTGAATTCCTTCAAAGAATATTTTTACTTCAGAAAATAATTGAATTCTCGCGAAGAATTTTAATAAATTTTTAAAAATCCTAATTACATTCTTGTGAGGAATTTTTTTTTAAATTTTTTATACAGTATTTTTAATAATTTTAATTTAAAATTTTGAAAGCAATTGAATTTTATGAAGAAGAATTTTATTAAAATTGTATTAAAAATAACTGAATTCCTGAGAAGAATTTTATTACTTATAAAAATAATTTAATTCTTCTGAAGAATTTTACTATAATTATAAAATAATTGAATTGTTTCGAAAAATATATTAAAATTTTAGGAAATAAATTAATTTTATGTAAATATTTGAAAATATAATTAAATTCTTTATTTCTATTAAAATTGTTTTGAAAAGAATTGAATTTCTGCAAAGAATTTTACTATTTATAAAAATAATTGAATTGGTTCGAAGGATTTATTAAGATTTTAGAAAATAATTGAATTTATTGGAAATATATTAAATTTTTTTTTAAATTGAATTTTTTACGAGGAACTCAATTAAAATTGTTTTGAAAATAATTCAATTTCTCAGAAGAATAATTTTGTCATTCATGAAAATAAAAGAATTTTTGCGAGGAAATTTATTCAAATTTTTGAAATTATTTTGAAGTTCTGAGAAGAATTTTGTTATTTATTAAAATAATTCAAATTCTGTGAAGAATCTTATTGCTACTAATAGATAATTAAATTTTTGTCAAGAATTTGATTAAAATTTATCAAAAATAATTCAATTTTAGCAACAAAATTTTGTATTCAAATGTTTGATAATTTTTAAAATCTTTTGAGGAAATTAAATAAATTTCAATTTAAAATAATTGAACTTTTATAAAGAACTTTATTTAACTATTCGAAAATAATTAAAGAAATTGTAGAGGCATTTTTATTTAGAACAATTTGATTAAATTTTTTTAAAATAATTGAATATTGTTGAGAAATTTTATTAAAATTCTATTAAAAAAAATTCAATTCTTGCAAAGAATTTTATTATTTTAAAGATAATTGCTTTTTTTGACAAATATTTTATTAAAATTTTTTTTAAATAGGTAATTAAATTTCTGTGCAGAATTTTTTTTTTAAATAATTGAATTTTATTATTTTAACAAGTAATTGAACTCTTGGCAAGAATTTTATTAAAATTTTTTACAATAATTAAATTCTTCAGGTAAATTTTATTAAAATTTTCAAAAATAATTGAATCCTGTCGAGAAATTTAATAAAAATTGTATAGAAAATAATTCCAATTCCTCAGAAAAATTTGTTTATTTATTAAAATAATTGATATTCTGTGAAAAATGTTATTCAAATTTTTGAAAATAATTGAATTCTTGTGAAGAATTTTATTCAAATTTTTGCTAACAACAATTATTTGAAAACGTTTGAAATTAAAAAAATAATAATTAATTGTATTTATAATTGCAATAATTAGTAATTCTAATTTTCTTTTTCTCACCTTCTTATCATTTATTTTCACAAATAATTCACTTTTACACCTATTTAAAAAAAAAAAAAAAAAAAAAAAAACTGTGATCCCTGCGCATAAAAAAAACAGAAATATAACATTGTTTACGTTCTCAAAAATTAACGTTTCAATGTATGTCGTGATTAAAATAATTTTTTTTCTCTCTCTCTCTCAAATCACAATAAATTTTTGTACTTCAACTTTGTCATTTCAACTTTTTACTTCCCTTTGTTACATGTGACCAAAACTATTGTTTATAAAAAAAAAATCGGACAATTTGTTAATTGAAAATAATTTTTTCCAATTACCCCGTGTGCTGACAACAATTGGTGTTATTTGAAGATGGTGAGTTGTAACAGATCAGAAAATTTACGTGTGTTTTTTGTGTTTTTTTTTTTAATTTTGATTTTTTTTGTCTGAATTAGTTATTGTTTTTTTAGGTGTATGTTCTTTCATTAATTTCTGTTTTTTTAGAGAAAATCTCTCCGAAACTTTAGAATTTGTTTTTGCCTTCTTCCTATATTTTTGACGACTAATTTTATTTGTAGACTTCATTTCACTTAGAATAATTCTCACATACCTGTAGAAATCTTATTTGACTATTTATATAGAAAAATGTTCTTTGTCCCTTCAAAGGTTTGTGTTTATCGATCTTAACTTTTCGTATCTTTGTAAATAATTTTTATTCTATTTTTCACACACACACACACACTCTCTTTTTTTTAGAGACAAGAAGTATTTTTTTTTTTGGTCTTGAAAAAGTATTTTTTTGAAAAAATATTTTTTTTTTACTATTAAAAAAGTATTTTCTTTGGTATTAAAGTATTTTCTTTGGTAAAACTATTTTTTCTTTGGGTTTATGTTTAATTCAACGCATTTTCTTTGTCTGTAGACGTTTGATTATCAGCATGAGGGATTTTTTTGTCAAATTTTTTACTTTCAAAAAAAAAAATTGGTTCTTGGTGATCTTTTCCTTTTTCATGTTTATTACTTGGGTGGAAAAAAAATTTTTCTAACTTTATTCTCTTATTTTTTTTTCTTTTCACTTTTTTCTGACTTATTATTAGAAAAAAATATTATGATTTTTCTTATTTCAATAAATAATGTGAACGAGACAAAAATTTGTTAATTTATTTTTTTTTTCATTAAAAAAAAAGCTCATACGGTTTTTTTTGTTTTTACAAATGCAGATAACAATGGAGGACCTTCGACAAGCGTATGTTGCAAATGGTGGAACTCTCGATATTCAACAGAATGGTGATAAAAATAATGAAACTACTGGAAATAATGGTCTTAATCAAGTGGAAATGAAAATTTCGGCAGTGAATCGAGTTTGGGGTGGTGATAAAAGACTCGCTCTATTTGGATACACTTTGGAAACAATTAATATGCTCCTTCTTCCTATGATTCAAACCAAGTAAGTTAATTCTAAAATTATATATTTTACTCTTCATTCACTTTTTTAAATTTTATAAAATTTCAATGTTTAATTAATTTAATTAAAAATTTTAATGAACTTAGATTTTTAAAAAATTTTAATAATTCAAAATCTTGTAAAATAAGTTAAATTTGTCAATATATATTTAATTAATTATTAAAAATAATGGATTTATAGAAGAATTTTAGTTAAAAACAATAAAAAAATTTAATTTTGAAGAAGTTACAAATGATTGGAGAAATTCAATTATTTTCAAAAGTAGTAAAATTTTTATCACAAAATGCAATTATGTTCAAAATTTACAAAAGAATCTCGACAAAATCCCAATTATTATCTTTATTAATAAAAAAATTCTTCTTTCAATTTCAATTATTTTAAAAAATGTTAATAAAATTCTTGTCAAAATTTCAATTATTTTCAAAAATTGTCCTCATTTCAATGATTTTCAATATCTACTATTTTAATAGAATTACTCAAAAGAATTCAATTAATTAAAAACAATTTTCATGAAATTGTACGCAAACATTTAATTATTTTCATAAATAATAAAAATTTCACAGGAATTCAATTATTTAAAATACAATTTTCATAAATTTTTTTCGAAAAGAAGCCATTATTTAAAAGAATTTTAATAAAATTCCTAGCGACGATTCAATTATGTTCAAAAAATTATTGAAATTCAATTATTTTTAATATCTACTATTTTAATAAAATTTCCGAAAAGAATTCAATTATTTAAAAAAATTTTTGATAAAATTCTACACAAAACATTCAATTATTTTTATAAATAATAAAAATTTCACAAAAAATTCAATTTTTTAAATTCGAATTTTAATAAAATTTCTCATCAATATTCAATTTTTCTAAAAAATGTTAATCAAATTGTTCTAAATAAAAATTTCTCTACAATTTCTTCAATTATTTTCAAAATAGTTAAATAAAGTTCATTATAAAAGTTCAATTATTTTGAATTGAAATTGATATAATTTCCTCAAAAGATTTTAATAATTATCAAACATTTTAATACAAAATTTTTTGCTGAAATTCAATTATTTTCATAAATTTTAATCAAATTCTTGACAAAAATTGAATTATCTATTAGTAGTAATAAGATTCTTCACAGAATTTGAATTATTTTAATAAATAACAAAATTCTTCTCAGAAATTCAATTAATAATTTCAAAAATTTGAATAAATTTCGTCGCAAAAATTCTTTTATTTTCATGAATGATAAAATTATTCTTCTGAGGAATTGAATTATTTTCAATACAAATTTTTACAAAAATTTCTTTACAAGATTGAATTATTTATTCAAAAATAACAAAATTCTTCAGAGAAATTTAATTATTTTCAATACAATTTTAATAAAATATTTTTAAAAATCCAATTATCTTTATAAATAATAAAATTCTTTGCTGGAATTTAATTTATTTCAATACGATTCTTATAAATTTTAATAAAATTTCTCAACAATATTCAATTATTTAAAAAAATTTTAATTAAATTTTCCTATAAAGATTTTAATTATTTTGTAAAATTTTAATAAATTTTTCGTAACAGTTCAATTATTTTTATAAATAGTAAAACTCTTTGCAGAAATTTAATTATTTTTAAAACAATTTTAATCAAATTTCTTTGATGAATGTAACTTTTCTAAAAACTTATTAAAATTCGTCAAAAGAATTAAATTATTTCAAAATCAATTTGTTGATTGATTTGAAAATAAATTTCAGTTTAAATTTAAGATAATAGAATATGAAAATAATTTTTAAGGAGTTACAGTAACAATATTCTTATAACATAAAACAATTATTGTAACACTCAATCCGAGTCATCGACTCGGAGTAATCGTTATCTTTATGTTTTATAACAAAATTTTTAAAGTTAATTAATTTCAAAAAGGTTTGAATTTGTAATTTTTGAAAATCTTAATTCCTATGGAAGAATAATAATAATTAAATATTTAAAATATTTAAAAAAGAAATTATTGTTTTCGAATAATTTTACAATTAAAGATATTCGTAAATAAATTTAACAGAACATTTTTTTCATTATAATTTTTCTCCTTATTTTCTAAAAATTCAAAAAATTTCAGTTTTATTTTCTATTAAATTTTCTAATTGACAAATATAATTTATAAACATTTTTTTTCTTTATTTTTAAAAAAGTTTGAATTTTATTAGAACAATTGAAATTAAGAAATAGAATTGATGCAAATTGTTTCCTTATGAAAATTGAGAATTTTCTACAAAAATTTAACAAACAAAATGAGTATATTTTTATTTGTTAATCATAATTTTTTTTAACAAGTTGTTCATTTCATGATCATTAAGCTTCCTCAATATAATATATACCAATTGTTTAATTTTTTATTTTAGAATAATTATTTTAAAGTGTTATGATAAAATGTCAAAAAATACAAAATTTCAATTTTTTGTGAAAAATTAAAATATTTATTAATTCTATAAATTTTGATAAAATATATACTTTATATACATGAATCGATTCGTTTTTATGTCAGGAATGCAATTTTGACAACAATTAATAAAAATTTTAATATAGAAGAAAGTTATTTCAAAAAATCCAAAAATTAATTTTTTCAAAAATTAAAAAATTGTTGAAAAAAATTTTTTTTTTAGATATTTTTGAAAATCCTTCTGTCTGATTTTTGGTATTCATGACCGTAATACACCTACAAAATTTTATCAAAATCCATCAAGACGTGTAAGAGAAAATTTGTCCACAAGAATCGGTGACATACACACACACACACACACACACACACACACATACATACACACATACATCCGGACATTTGTTCCTCTCGACGAATTATATATACTACACTTGAAAATTTGTAAAAATAATTGACTCAAAAAAATTCGGAAATCGACATCACTATAAGGCTTCCTTTATGAGGAAGCAAATGAGGAAACAATAATTAAAACAATTTTTCCTTTTTCAGGAAAGAAGCTCTTGGATCGATGGGAAATGATTCACCACTCGCGTGTTTGTCTCAATTTCAACCACTTCTTTACGAATACTTTAAGCAACTGTTCGCACAGGTGAAAAAATCAGTTTGCAATTAATTTTTTTTTTAATTTATTAAAATTAAATGGATTTTAACGAAAATTATTGAAACTAAATAATAATTATTTACATTAATTTTTTATTGCTTAATATAAATAAGAATTATGTACTTCCAATTTAATTTTTGTTTTTTTCGCTAAAGTAAGAAAAAATGAGTTCGTAATAATTTTTTTTTAAATAAATAAATAAAATAGATAAAAATTTAATTAAATGAAATAAAAGGAATTGTAATTAAAATGAAATTTCTTGCTTCTCAGGTGACAAATCCTCCGATAGATCCCTTCAGAGAAAAGGTTGTGATGTCTCTACTTTGCCCAATTGGTCCCGAAAGTAATATTCTTGAACCCAATGAACTCTATGTGCATCGACTTTTCCTACCTCAGCCAATTTTATCTCTCAGCGATCTTGAGGTCATTAAAAATAATACACACCGAGGATGGAAGACAAAAGTAATTGACGCAACTTATCCCATTGAGGAAGGAACATCGGGACTTGTAACAACACTTGATCGCGTTTGCAGGGAGGCTAACGAAGCTGCTAGGGAATCCTATCAGATTATTGTTTTGTCCGATAAACAATGCGGACCACAGAGGTAATTTCATTTTTATTTCATAATAAAATTCTTCGCAGAAATTCAATTATTTTCGAAACTATAAATCTTTAAATGAATTCAATTCTTTCGAATATAATATTAATCAAATTCTGACCAGAAATTCAATTTTGTTCAATTCAATTTTCAAAAATAATAAAATTCTTTAGATGAATACAATTCAATTCAATTCAATTTAATTCAATTTAATTCAATTCAATTCAATTCAATTCAATTTAATTCAATTTAATTCAATTTAATTCAATTTAATTCAATTCAATTCAATTTCAAAAATTCTTAATAAGAATTCAATTATACTTTCAATATAATTTGAATTGAATTCCTCCAAAAAATTGAATTACTAAAAAAGTTTGCATAAAATTAATTAATAAAGAATTATAAATTTAATAATAATAAATAAATTTATTTCTAAATAGGGTTCCAGTGAGTAGTTTATTGGTTCTCGGTGTGGTTCATCATCATTTAATTGAAGAGCGTCAGCGAATGAAAGTTGGAATTATTTTAGAATCCGGCGAGGCGCGGGAAGTACATCATATTTGCGTTTTACTTGGATATGGAGCCGACGCTATTTGTCCATATCTCGTTTTCGAAATGGCAAGAGACTTGAGAGCCGATGGAGTGGTCGATGAATCATTCACCGACAATGTCATATTTCAAGTAATATCAAAATTTCTAATTTCAAAGCGAGAATGTCAAGCGAGAATGAGATAATTTTAAAGAAACTATAATAATTCATTTTTACAGAATTACGCTGAAGCAATGGAACGAGGAATAGCAAAAGTAATGGCCAAAATGGGAATTTCAACTCTTCAGTCATACAAGGGCGCACAGATTTTCGAAGCTGTTGGTCTTGCCGATGAAGTTACCGAAAAATGCTTTAAGGTTTGATACTTTCCAAGAAATACACAATTCAATTTATTCAGTGTTCAATTAGTATTCAATTAATTAGTAGAAATATAATTCTTTATATATAATTATTTACATACAAGTTTCTGAAATGTAAAAAAATATAATTATAAAAGTTAATTTTCTCTATTTAGGGAACTCACACTCGAATCGGTGGTGTTAATTTTGAAATATTGGCCAACGAGGCTTTCGAGAGACACCAAATGACTTATTGGGAAAGACCTGTCGATCAGGTTATTATTCGTAATCCTGGAATTTTCCACTGGCGATCAGGAGGCGAAAAACACATCAACGATCCAGCGAGTATCGCGAGTTTACAGGTAATTGACACAATTTTATTTCTTCCCTAATTTCTTACAATTGTCCAGGCTTCGCACTCATCTACTAAAACATACTATTTACTACTTTTTTTTACGTTATGCTACTATTAGGGTACTTTTTTTTAGATTTCAGCCACTAAAAGCTACTATTTCTGTTTTTTTTTTTAGAATTTCTAATACTTTAAATTCGCTAATACTAGAAATCAAAAAACTATTCTCAAAAATCATAATCAAATTCTTTAAAATGATTCAATTATACTTTAAAAAATATTTGAAATTCAATTATTTTCAATATCAAGTATTTCTATAAAATTTCGCAAAAAGAATTCAATTATTTGAAAAAAATTGAGAAAATTCATACCAAAATTCAATTATTTTCATAAATAATAGAATTTTCTCATGAATTCAATTAAAATTCTATTATTTTCAAAATAATTTCGAAAAATCAATTATTTAACAAAATTTTTTTACAATTCTCCACAATAATTCAATTACTTTCACTAAGAATAACATATTTCATGGAAATTCAATTATTTAAAAACTTTTTAATAAACTTTTTTAATTTCTTTTTTTTCTAAGCAAGAATTCAATTTTTTTAAACACTATTTTAAATTAATTATTAGAAAAATTCATTTATTTTCACAAATAAAATGTTCCGCACGAATTCAATTATTGAAAATAAAATTTCCATTATATTCATTATATTTCGAAAAAATTAAATATTTAAAACAATGTTTATAAAATTCTTATGAAGAATTCAATTATTTTCAAAAATAACAAAATTTTCCACAGAAATTCAATTCATTTTAAATTAAATTAAATTCAATTATTTCTTAAAATTTTAATAAAGTTCTTAGCAACTATTCAATTATTTTGATAAATCATCAAATTCATTGCAGGATTTCAATTTATTTCAATACAATTTGAATAAAATTTCTCTGAAAAATTCAATTATTTTCAAAAATTTTAATATAATTCTTTACTGAAATTGAATAATTTTTAATGCAATTTGGTGTAATTAGTAGAGAAAAATTCCATTATTTTCATAAAATAATGCAAGAAATCAATTATTTTCAATAAAAATTTCAATTGAATTCCTCGAAAGAATTTAATTATTTTTTTTTTAATTTCCATAAAATTCTTTAAAACAATTCAATTATTTTCACAAATAAAATTTTCTACAAGAATTCAATTATTTAAAAAAAATTGTTTAATTTTCATTATATTTCGAAAAAATTAATTATTTAAAACATTGTTTATAAAATTCTTATGAATAATTGAATTATGTTAAAAAATAAAAAATTTTTTCACAGAAATTCAATTCTTTTTAATTATTTCAATTAAATTATTCGCAATAATTCAATTATTTTTGAAAATTTTAATAAAATAGTTTGCAACTATTCAATTATTTTTATAAATAATAAAATTCATCGCAAGATTTTAATTATTTTTAATACAATTTTACAGGAATAATAAAATTCTTTACCAGAAGTCAATCCATAAATATTTAAATTCTCTCCAAAAGTTTTAATAAAAATCTTGGCAAAAATTCAATTATCTTCATAATTAATAAAATTCTTGCCAAAAATTTCAATTATTTTCAAAAATATTTTAAATAATCTTCCACATAATTAAATTATCTCCATGAATAATAATATCCGAAATTTAATTATTTTAAAAAATTTTAATAAAACTTGGTAAAATTCCAATTATTTTCAAAAATAATAAAATTCTAGGAATTCAATTAGTTTCAATACAATTTTAAATTTAAAATTCTTGTAGTTTTGAATAAAATTCTTCCCAAGAATTCAATTATTTACATAAATAATTCTTCGAAAGAATTCAATTTGTCGATAAATAACAAAATTATTCCCAAAAAATTAATTATTTTTACTTTTTACGCATTTTAATAAAATTCTTTGCAAAATTCAATTATTTTCATAAATAATAATATTCATCACAAGAATTCAATTATTTTTAAAAGTAATCAATTTCTTCTTGGAAACTCAATTATTTTTAAAAATTCTAATAAAATTGTTCGCAAGAATTCAATAATTGTCAAAAATTTAAATTGAATTTTTTTTTAAATTTATTTATTTTTAAAAACTTTTCGCAATTCAATTATTTTCAATATCTACTATTTACATAAAATTTCCAAACAGAATTCAATTATTTAAACATTTGTTGTAAAAATCTTCGTAAGAATTTAATTCTTTTCATGAATAATAAAAATTTCTCATGAATTCAATTATGTAAATGAGAATTTGCATAAAATTAGTCGAAAGAAATTAATTATTTAAACATTTTTATAAAATTCTTCGCAAGAATTAAATTATTTTTATAAATATTTAAATTTTTTCATGAATTACAAAATTCGTTGCAGGAATTCAAATTATTAGCAGGATAAGAAAGAAGTAAATATTTTTGATGAAAATTAGGAAAAAGTCAGGAAAATAAAATATAGAATTGAATTTTTGTCAGTTTTGTAAAGTGTCTAAAACTTTTTTTTTGTCGTCTAGTTTAATTTTTCGATATCTACTTTTTTTTACTACTTTTTCTAGTTTAAAAACTACTTTTTGCTAATTTTTTAAAATTAATTACCGAGTGCGAAGTCTGATTGTCTTCAATTATTTTCAATTTCTTTCAATTCACATTTTTCGATGATTAAAAATTTGGATCCAGTTAATGAACAAAAAAAGTGATTCAATTATTTAAAATGAGAAAGCATTTGGAAAATAACATCTTTTGAAAATCCCCGATATTTCTGTTTTTTATACTAAGTAATTAAAAATTGTTTCACTAGGAATATGTTGAATCGAAGAATACCTCGGCCTATGAAAACTATCGAAAAACGACAATGGAAGCTGTTCAGGCTTGCACACTTCGTGGTCAACTACAATTGATAAAATGCAAGAAACCAATACCAATAGGAGAAGTTGAACCAGCTGCTGAAATCGTTAAACGTTTCGCAACCGGTGCAATGAGCTTTGGAAGTATTTCACTGGAAGCTCATCAAACATTGGCAATAGCGATGAATCGAATCGGCGGTAAATCAAATACTGGCGAAGGCGGTGAAAACGCTGACAGGTAATTTTTTTGACATTGAAATTAATTCTTATTTATTATTATAATTATAAGGGCCTGAATAATTTTTATTACCAAATAATCGAAAAAGCTTCCTCCACAAGGAAACAAAAACCGTTTTTACAAAACACAAAAAAGTAAATCAAATTATTAAATAATGAAAATAATATGATTATAATTTTGGATCCAGTTAATGAAGAAAATGATTCCAAACCATAATATGAGAAATTGAAAAATTATTAAAAAATTTTTGGTGTATTTCCCTTTATGATTCAACAGGAAAATGATATTTGTTTAGGTATTTGAATCAAGATCAAGAATTCAACAAGAGATCTGCGATTAAGCAAGTTGCTAGTGGAAGATTTGGTGTTACTTCAAGTTACTTGGCGAGCGCTGACGATCTACAGATTAAAATGGCACAAGGAGCGAAGCCCGGTGAAGGAGGAGAACTTCCAGGATATAAAGTAATTTACCATTTTTTTAATTCTCATTAAAAATAAATTTTAGATTTGAAAGAAATTAATTTTATCAAGACTTTTAAAAATTATTTTGAAATATAATCGTATTTCAAAAATTATATTACAAAAAGAATTAATTTTCACTAAATTTCAAAAAGGAAGTTTTCGTAACTGACAATTTGATCTGAAATTTGTTGTTATTCTGCGGTAAAATTTATTGAAATAAAAATGAATAATAAATTTTTTTAAAAGGTCACAGCGGAAATAGCAGCAACGAGGCATTCGGTGGCAGGAGTAGGACTTATTTCACCTCCTCCACATCACGATATTTATTCGATAGAGGATCTTGCTGAATTGATATACGATTTAAAGTGCGCCAATCCAAACGCAAGGATTTCTGTGAAATTGGTTTCAGAAGTCGGCGTTGGTGTTGTCGCGTCCGGAGTCGCGAAGGTAATATTCAAAACAATCACAGATGTTTTTTTTTTAATACTTCTTTTTCCTCTTTTTCCCTTTTTATCCCTTTAAATTCCCAAAAAAGAAACCAAAAATTATGCAAATTCTTAATAATTTTTTAATTAATTTGAATTAATTAATTAAAAAAATTACGAATACAAATGATTCAGGGCTCGAACCAGTAAAAGTATTTAAAAATACGAACTTTACGGACAAAAAATGAAAAATTATGGACCAATTACTGACAAAAATCTAACCAGTCAGAGTCAAATAAGAGAACATTTTACTTAAAAAAAACTAGAAATTAAATTATTCATAATTGAATTTCAAAATTCAATTATTTCTAAAAATTCACGCTATATTGCTTTTAATATTAAATTAATATCTGAAATTTTGACTGAAATTCATTTTTAAATCAATTTTTATAAGAAAATTCTACTAGAATTCAATTATTTAAATACAAAGATAAATAATTTATTGAATAATTTAATGTTTCTTAAAATTGAATTCTCATAAAGTATTTTGTCAACAAATTTTTTAATAATTGAATTCTTTCACGAATTTTAATATTTGTGAAAATAATTGAATTCCTAAGAAGAATTTTATTATTTTTTAACAATATGTATTTATTTTTTTGCCAAGAATTTTTTAAAAAAGTCCTTTGAAAATTTTTAAATTCATTTGTTTAAAATTCAATTTTAAAAAATTTCAATTATTCGTAAATTCTTTAATATTAAATATATATTAGAAAATAAAAACTAAATAATTTCAACAAAAAAAACCCGCAATTAAAGTTTCTCAAAAAAATTAATTCCACTTGAATTGTCAGTTAAAAGTATGAAAAATCCAGATTTTCAACAATTTTAATTTGAAACCTTTTCAAAATTCAATTATTTCTAAAAATTCACGCTTTAATGCTTTTAATGTTCAATTATAATATAAAATTTTAACTGAAATCAATTTTTAAATTATTTTTTTTTTTAAAAATTCAACTAGAATACAATTATTTAAATACAGGAATAAATACTTTCTTGAATAATAGAATGTTTCTTAAAGTAAATAAACTAAAGGTAATTGAATTCATGTCAAGATTTTAATCAAAAATTTTTTTAAAATAATTGAATTTTTAGGAAATATTTTATTAAAATTTTTGAAAATAATTGAATTTTTTTGAAAAATGTTTTTAAAATTTTGGAAAATAATTGAATTTCTTGGAAGGATTTTATTCAAATTTTTGACAATAATTAAATTTCTACGAAGAATTTTATTATTTAGAAAGAAAATTGAATTTTTGCCAAGAATTTGATTAAAATTTTTGAAAATAATTGAATTCCTGCAAAGAATGTTGTTATTTATAAAAAAAATTGAATTATTGCAAATTTTATAGACAAATTTATACAAATACAAAAATAAATAAATTATTGAATAATTGAATGATTCTTAAAATAAATAAAATAAAGGTCATTAAATTCATGTCAAGATTTTAATCAAAAATTTTTTTAAAATAATTGAATTTCACCGAAGAACTTTATTATTTACAAAGAAAATTGAATTTTTGCGAAAAATGTTATTAATATTTTTGAAAATAATTGAAGTTTTTGAGAAGAATTTAATTAATTATGAAAATAATTGAATTCTTGTCAAGATTTTTAATAAAATTGTTGGGAAGATTTTTAATATTTATGGAGATAATGAAATTCTGGATAAAGAATTTTCTTTATTTTTTAAATTAATTGAAGTTTTTGGGAAGAATTTTATTATTTATTAAGATTATTAAATTCTTGACAGGAATCTTATTATTTATAAAGTTTCATAAATCTCTTGCTAAGAATTTCATTCAAATATTTAAAAATAATTGAATTTTTGTGAAGAATTTTGTTACTTATGAAAATAATTTAATTTCTGCGAAGAATTTTTATTATCTATAAAGGTAATTGAATTTTTGAGAAAAATGTTATTATAATTTTTTAATAATTAATTGAATTGCTGCGAAGAATTTTGTTATTTATAATAATATAATTGAATTATTGGCGAGAATTATATTAAAATTTTTGAACATAATTATAATTCTTTCAAGAAATTAATTTAAAATTGTATTGAAAATAATTTAATTCTTACAAAGAATTTTATCAAAATTTTTTAAATTAATTGAATTCTCTTGACGAATTTTAATAAAATTTTTAAGAATAATTACATTTTTCGAGGAATTCGATAAAAATTGTACTAAAAATAATTGAAATTCTGCGATGAGTTTTATTATTTTTTTAAATAATTGAATTCTTTTGGACAATTTTATTAAATAAGTAAATTTTAAAAATCATTGATTGATTGAGGAAAATTTTTGAAAATAATTGAAATTTTGCCAAGAATTTTATTAAAATTTTTGAAAATAATTAAATTTCGGAGAAGAATTTAATTATTTCTAAAGACAATTGAAATTCTGACGAGAATTTTAAAAAAGTTTTGAATATAATTGAATTTTTGCGAAGAATTTTATTACTTTTGAAAATAATTATATTTTTGCAATCATTTGTAATTTCTCTAAAATTCTCCAAATTATATCGTACAATTTACGAACTTTTCGTCTTTTCTCAATCAAATTACGGACTTTACGGACCTTTTTAAAAAAAAACTGACTTTTACGGACTTGAAGCAAATTTACGGACCTAGTTCGAGCCCTGATGATTTTAAATAATTGAAAATAAAAACAATTCTTTTGTTCAAAGAAAAACTTAAAGATTGATATTTTTTTGCTCGTTTGCGAAATTTTTGGACAAAAACTTAGTTTTTCGAAACAAATTATTTTATCAAATTAGAGGATTTTCTCACCTATTAGGTGAAAAATTGAAATGAAATGAAAAAAAAATCACTGTGATTCCAGAAATTTTCGATTTGCTATGATTAAAACGAAAAAAGTAAAATTAAAAACGTACTCTTAAAAATACGAATTAATTAGAATTGATTAGAGTTAATTAAAATTTTAAGAATACAAATAATTGGAAATAAAAATAAATAATTCAGGGTAAAGCTGAGCACGTGGTAATCTCTGGTCACGACGGTGGAACTGGAGCGAGCAGTTGGACTGGAATAAAGTCAGCGGGACTCCCTTGGGAATTGGGAATAGCAGAGACACATCAAGTTCTAACAATGAATAATCTTCGTTCCCGAATGATTGTCCAAGCTGACGGACAAATGCGCACAGGCTTTGATATTATTGTGGGAGCTCTACTCGGAGCCGATGAATTTGGCTTCAGCACAGCTCCCCTAATTGCAATGGGATGTACAATGATGAGAAAATGCCATTTGAATACATGTCCCGTTGGAATTGCCACGCAAGATCCAGTGCTTCGTAAGAAATTTGCAGGAAAGCCCGAACACGTTGTCAATTTTCTATTTATGTTGGCTGAAGAGGTAAATTTTTGCAATTTTTAATTCATTAATTCAATTTTGCTTTAGCAGGCCTCGCACTCATCTACTAAAACCTACAATTTACTACTTTTTTTTACGAGTTGCTACTATTTCAATACTTTTTATTGGTTACACTAAAAGCTCCTTTTTTCCATGCTTAAGAATTTACACTACTTTAAATTTGTTAAAAATTAAAATTTAAAAAATATTTAAAATAATTTTAATAAAGTTATTGGAAAAAATTCAAAAAATTTTAATAAAATTCTTTAAAACGATTCAATTATTTTCACAAATTTTTCGTAATTGAATTATTTTTAATATCTAGGTTTTAAAAAAAAATTTCCCAAAAGAATTGAATAATTTTAAAAAATGGTTATAAAATTCTTCGAAAATATTCAATTATTTATATAAATAAAAAAATTTTCATAGGAATTCAATTATTTAAAACAGAATTTTTATTATATTTTTCGAAAAAATTCAATTATTTTGAATAGATTTTTATACAATTCTTTGTAAAAATTCAATTACTTTTATAAATAATATAATTCGTCGTAAGAATTCAATTATTTTTATAAATAATAAAATTCTTCTCAGGAATTCAATTATTTTTTAAAAATGTAATAATAATCGTTGCAAGAATTCAATTATTTTTATAAATATTTAAATTCATTGCAGGATTTCAATTATTTTTAATACAATTTTAAATGAATTCAGCGAAAAATGCAACTATGTATTTTTACAAATTTTAATAAAATTCTTTGAAAGAATTTAATTATTTAAAGAACTAATGAAATTCATTATAATAATTGAATTGTTTTCAATATAATTTTAATAAGATTTTTTGAAAGATTTCAATTATTTTCATAAATAATAATATACAATTTTCAAAGAAATTCAATTACTTAAATCACATTTTTCATAAAATTTTGTTAAAAAAATCAATTATTTTAATAGATTTTTATAAAATTCTTCGCAAGAATTTAATTATTTTTATAAATAATTGAAAATAAATAAATAATTGAATTATTTAAAGAATTTTATGAAAATTAAAAAAAAATAATTCAATTCTTTTGAGAAATTTAATTAAAATTTGCATTAAAAATTAAAAATTCTTCAGGGAAATTTTATTAAAATTTATAAAAATAATTGAATCTTGTCAAGAAATTTTATAAAAATTGTATTCTACTCAAGAATTTAATTAAAATTTTTGAAAAAAATTGAATTCCTGCGAAATTTTTTTTTTATTTCTGAAAATAATTGTTTTTCTACGAAGAATTTTATTCAAATTTTTGAAAATAATCCAATTCCAGCGAAGAATTTTATTAAAATTATATTCAATAGAATTGAATTGATTAAAAGAATATTATTACTTATAAAAATAATAAATTGAATTCTTCAAATCTTTTGTACAAATTTTATTAAAATTCTATTGAAATTAATTCAATTCCTGCAAAGAATTTTATTATTTACAAAGATAATTAAATTTTTGACAAATATTTTATTAAAACTTTTGAAAATAATTGATTTTTTGCGAAGAATTTTATTAATAATTATATTTAAAGAAATTGGATTCTTTTAAAGAATTCTATTACTTATGAAAATAAATAAATTTCTTTGAAGAACTTCTTTATTTTTGAAAATATGTAATTAAATTTTTAACAAGAATTTTATTAAAATTTTTGAAAATAATTGATTTCCAGCTGAGAATTTTGTTAATTATCAAAATAAATTTATTTTTGCAAAAAATTATATTTTTTATGAAAATAATTGAATTCAAGCGAAGAATTTTCTTAAAATTATATTTAAATTATTTGATTTGATGTAAAGAATTTAATTATTTAATATTTATGAAAATAATTGAATTCTTGCAAATTTTTTTTTACAAATTTAATTAAAAATGCATTATTAATGGTTTTCAAAGTAATTGAATTACTGCGAAGAATTTTATTATTTTTAATGATGATTGAATTTTTGCAAAAACTGTTATTATCATTTTAAAAAGTAATTGGAATTCTGTGAAGAATTTTATTAAAATTTTTTACTAATAATGGAATTCTTCTTTTAATACAATTTTAAATGAATTACGCCAAAAATGCAACTATTCTTACAAATTTTAATAAAATTCTTTGAAAGAATTTAATTATTTAAAAAAACGTTAATAAAATTCTTTATAATAATTGAATTTTTTTCAATATAATTTTAATAAAATTTTTAGAAAGAATTCAATTATTTTCATAAATAATATACAATTTTCAAAGAAATTCAATTAAATTTAAAACACAATTTTTATAAAATTTTATGAAAAAAATCATTTTTTTCAAAAGATTTTTTTTAAATTCTCTTCAAGAATGTAATTATTTAAAAAACTTTATTAAAGATCGGTGACAAAAATTTAATTACTTTCATAAATAATAAAAATCATCGCAGGATTTCAATCATTTTTAATATAATTTTAAATTAATTCCGCTAAAACCGCAATTAATTAATCCTAAAAATTTGAATAAAATTCTTCGAAAAAATTTAATTATTTAAAAAAATGTGATATATTTTGTTTCTTAGAGTGTAATAATTATTTTCAATTCATTTTTAATTACATTTCTTGAATGAATTTAATGATTATTAAAAATTTTAATGCAATTCTTTGTAGAAATTCAATTATTCTAAAAAATGTTGATAAAGTTCTTTTTAAGAATAAAAATTTAAGAAATATTCAATTACTCAATAAATAATTTATTTTTCTACTTAAATAATTTCATTCTCGTAGAACTTTCTAATAAGAATTGATTTAGAATAAAATAAAATAAAATGATTAAAGTTTTGAATAATTTTATTTATTCAACAAAAAAAAAGTGATTGAATTTTGAAAGAATTACTTTCGTAATTTTTAGAAATAGTTAAATTTAAAAAATGCGTTACATTAAAATCATTTTAAATATTTTAATTCCTGTAAACAAAATAAATAGGTATTTAAATATTTATTTTATTTTTGAATGTAATTAAGAAATTAGAAAAAAATTGAGTCGTTAAATTTAATTTTTCGATAGCTATTTTTTACTACTTTTTCTGTCTTTAAGCTACTTATTTAAAATTAATTATCGATTACGAAGCCTGCTATAGTTGTATATCTTTTAATTTATAATTTATAATTATAATTATAATTAATAATTAATTAATTATAATTTATGTTTTTGCAGGTTCGTTCCCATATGGCGAGTTTAGGAATAAGAAGCTTCCAGGATCTTATTGGTCGTACGGATTTACTGAAAGTTCGAGACGATATTACTTTGGAGAAAGCAAAGACACTGAAACTTGATAATATTTTGAAAAATGCACTCACTCTGCGGCCGGGTGTTAATATTAAAGGTGGATCGGTGAGGCAGGATTTCCAATTGGAGACGAGACTTGAAAATGTACTCATTGAGAAAGCAATGCCGGTGATAAATGGCGAACAACAGAGTGTTGATGTAGAATTGGTGATTAACAATGAATGTAGAGCTTTCACGTCTACTCTCAGTTATCACATTTCCAAGTAAGATATTAAAATATTTTTAATTAGACCTCAAAGTTAGCGTTGACAGTGAATTTATGTTTACGAAGCCGAAAACATTTTTCCCAGTTTTTAAATTTAAAAAAATACTCTCGACTACATTTTCAACTCCTAATTACATTTTCGCTTCCAAAAAGAAAAACCTCAAATAATAGTTAATTTTTAATTTAAAAATGCTAATTTCGGAGACATTTTTTAATTTCAGTTCATTTTGTTCACTTTGCAAAATGGTAAAAAATTGTTTTTGCTAATATCTTATAAAAAATATTTAAAAAAATATATTTTTAAAAAATATTCTATATTTTTATAGAAAATATGGAGAAGAAGGTCTTCCTGAGAACAGTATTAATATTAAAATGAAAGGCTCTGCTGGGCAAAGCTTCTGTGCTTTTATGACAAAGGGAATTCACGTGACACTCGAGGGCGATGCCAATGATTACGTGGGAAAAGTGAGTAATGATAGAAAAGAAATTGAATTTTTATTAATGTTACTTAATTATTAATTCAATACTAATATTTCATCCTCGTTTATACATTCAAATAAATAAATATTAAAATTCTAATATTCTTATAAAAGAAGGAGAATAAAGAAAAATAATTTATTCTTTTAGAGTCTTTGTGGTGGTGAAATTGTTATTTATCCACCGAAGGAATCAGATTTCGATACTGCAGCGAACGTTATTGTTGGCAATGTTTGCCTCTATGGAGCAACATCGGGAAAAGCTTATTTCCGAGGAATTGCCGCCGAAAGATTCAGCGTTCGAAATAGTGGCGCCGTGGTTGTTGTCGAAGGTGTTGGCGATCATGGTTGTGAATATATGACTGGAGGTTGTGCCGTAATTCTAGGTCTCACGGGAAGAAATTTCGCTGCTGGCATGTCAGGAGGAATTGCTTACGTTCTGGATGTCGATGGTTCATTTAAAAGGTAGACTTCTTAATTTATTAATTTCACTATTAACTTGATTATTATATCTCAGGCTTCGCACTCATCTACTAAAACCTACTATTTACTACTTTTTCTACCATTAGCTACTATTTAGATACTTTTTTTAAATTTGTAACACTAAAAGCTACTTTTTCCCATTTTTGAGAATTCTCACGAGTTTAAATAAAATTCAAAACGAAAATTCAAAGTAATTTAATTGTTTGAAATACAATTTTCAAGAAATTTTTTCGAAAAAATCAATTATTTAAATATTTTAATAAAATTCTTTGTACAAAAATTTAATTATATTCTAAATTTTTGCCAACATTTGTTTATAATAGTTAAATTATTATTTTCATAAATAATATAATTCATCGCAAAAATCCAATTATTTTTAATCGAATTTTAATAAAATTCTTCGTTGGAATTCAATTATTTTCAAAAATTTGTTAAAGCAATTCTTCGCAGAAATTCAATTATAATCAAAAATTTTAATAAAATTCTATATAAGAATTAAATTACTTTCAATAAAATTTTAATTGAATTCGTCGAGGAAAATTGAAAGAAATTAATTATTCCCACAAATAATATAATTCTTTGCTGAAATTCAATTATTTTCATAAATAATCAAACATTTTAGACAAATTCAATTATTTTGAATATAATTTTAGTCAAATTCATCGCAGAAATTCAATTATTTTCGTAAATAATAAAATTTGAAAAGGAATTCAATTATTTAATATACAATTTTCATAAATTTTTTTGAAAAGAATCAATTACTCAATCAATTATTTAAAAGAATTTTAATAAAATTCCTAGAAACGATTCAATTATTTTCAATATCCAATATTTTAATAAAATTTCCTAAAAGAATTGAATTATTTAAAAAAATTTTTGATAAAATTCTACACAAAAAATTCAATTATTTTTATAAATAAATAAAAATAGTAGCTACTTTTTTATTACTTCTTTCAGTCTTAATGTTACTTTTTGATACTTTTTTTCCGTCTTAAAGCTACTTAAAAATTAAATTAAAATTAAATTAAATTTAAACAAATTATTGAGTGCGAAGCCTGGTGTCTAATAATTTTTAGAGTGAATCAAAATATTCTTTAGTGTCAGGGAGAAAATGTCTAAATTCTGTCTGGAAATCGGGGAAAAAGAAAATTAAATTTTTATGACAAAGTTAATCATATTGACGATCTAAATACATTATACAACTGATGATAAATATCTAAATTCTTTTTTTCAGTAAATGTAATCCGGAAATGGTGGAACTATTGCCTTTGGACGATCAAAATGACATTGAGTACGTGCAACAATTGCTCCAAGAATTTGTCGAGAAAACGGATTCTCTCATTGCTCAGGATTTATTGCAGATTTGGCCCGAACCGACGACACGTTTCGTAAAAGTAATGCATAACATTGAAATTTATCCCTCACTGAAAAATACCTAAAATATTTATAATGAAATTTTTATTAAATTAATTAATCAAATTAATTACTAATTGAAGTAATGAATCAAATTAATTACTAATTAAATAAATTATTCAAATCAATTAATCAAATTAATTACTAATTAAATTAATTAATCAAATTAATTACTAATTAAATTAATTAATCAAATTAATTACTAATTAAATTAATTATTCAAATTAATTACTAATTAAATTAATTTTTTAAATTAATTAATCAAATTAATTATTAACTAAATGAATTAATAACCAAATTAATTATTAATCAAAGTAATTAACAATAAAGTTAATTATTAATCAAATTAATTAAATTACAGGTCTTCCCGTACGATTATCAACGAGCATTGAAACAATTAGAGGAGCAAAAGGAGAGTGAGACAGTCTCGAATGGAAATTCAGATGAGACAGATAGAGTAAAAGACATCGAAGACGCAGTGCCTGATTCTGAAATGGAACAACGCAAACTAGATAAAATAAAGTAAATTATTCAAATTTTTAATATTCTTATTTAAACAAAATGGGAATTAGTAATTATTTTTCTCTAATTGTGAACAAAAAAATTACAGAGGATTTATGAAATACGAAAGAGAGAAGACGAATTATAGACAAGTGGAGAAGCGTGTGAATGATTGGGAGGAAATATATAATTTCCAAGGGGTTCGCAAAGGATTAAAAGTACAAGCGGCGAGATGCATGGAATGTGGCGTGCCATTCTGTCAAAGTAGTCATGGATGTCCTCTTGGAAATATTATTCCCAAATGGAATGATTTAGTATTCCAATCGAACTGGAAAGAGGCACTCAATCAACTTCTTCAGACAAATAATTTTCCAGGTCTGGTTTTTCTCCGGTTCTTTGAATTTCAATTTTCGTTTTCAATTTAGAATTTCAATTTTGAATTTGAATTTTCAATTTGTTTCAATGTTGTTTATTATTTAAATGAAATATTATCAAGGTTGCCACTGGTCAGAGAAATCAGGGAAAAGTCAGGGATTTTTATTAAAGTAACTGGAAAAAATTTAATTTTGGAGAAGTTACAAATAATTGCAGACATTTAATTATTTTCAAAAGTAATAAAATTCTTCGCATAAATTCAATTATGTTCAAAAATTTAAAAAAATTCCCGTAAAAATTCAATTATTTTTAAAAATAATAACATTTTTTAGAAGGATTCAATTATTTTCATTGAATAATAAAAATCATCATAGAATTTCAATTATTTTTAATACATTTTTAATTGAATTCCTCAAAAAATGTGATTATTCTTGAAAATTTTATTAAAATTCCTCGAAAAAAATCAATTTTGTTGATAAAATTCTTTATGATAATTCAATTTCGAGAAATATTCATTTATTCAATAAATTATTTATTTTTGTATTTGAATAATTGAATTCTCGTAGAATTTTACAATAAAAATTTGTTTAAAAACGAATTTTAGATAAAATTTTAGATAATAATTGTATATTAAAAACATTATAGCATGAATTCTTAAAAATAATTGATAATTGAATTCTTTCGAAGAATTTTAATAAATTTTTTGAAAATAATTACATTTTTTGAAGAATTTACTCAAAATTGTATAAAAATAATTAAAATCCTGTGAAAAATTTTATTAATTTATGAAAGTAATTGAATTCTTTCAATCAATTTTTTCGAAATTTTTTTTTAAATAATTGAATTTATGTGAAAAATTTTATTACTTGTAAAAATATATGAATTCCTACAATAAATTTTATTACATTTTATTTAAATAATTAAATTCTTTTGAGAAGTTTTATTAAAATAGTAAATTTTGAAAATTTTTGAATTTCAACAAAGAATTTCATTATTTGTGAAATGTAATTGAATTATTGCAAAAAAATTTTTTTTTTTGAAGATAATTTCATTTTTCGAGAATGTTACTTAAAATTGTATTAAAAATAAAATAATTGAAACCCTGTGAAGAATTTTATTAATTTATGGAAGTAATTGAATTCTTGCAATCAATTAAAAAAAATTTTTTTTTAATATTTGAAATAATGTAAAGAATCTTATTATCTATGAAAATAATTGAATTCCTGCAACGGATTTTATTACATTTCTTTTAAATAATTGAATTCTTTTGAGAACTTTTATTAAAATAGTAATTTTTGAAAATTTTTAAATTTCAGCGAAGAATTTCATTATTTGTGAAATGTAATTGAATTATTGCAAGAAATTTTTGAAGATAATTTCATTTTTCGAGAAATTCACTTAAAATTGTATTAAAAATAAAATAATTGAAACCCTGTGAAGAATTTTATTATTTATGAAAATAATTTAATTCTTGCAACGAATTGTATTATAATTTTTGTAAATAATTTAATTTTTTTTGAAAAATTTTATGGAAATTAAAATTTTTATAAAACATGAAGATATCAATTGCTCCGAGTCGAAGACTCGGAGTGATTGATATCTTTATTATTTATAATAATATTCTTATAAGTTGTTGAATTTTAAAAATATTTTAGGGTCAGGGAAAAAGTCAAAATTTTGTCTGGAAATCAGGGAAATGTCAGGGAAAAACAAAATTAATTTTTTGTGGCAACCCTGATTATTTATTTATTTATTATTAATTGTTGGTTTTCTTTTAGAATTCACCGGAAGAGTTTGTCCAGCGCCGTGCGAAGGTGCATGCGTCTTGGGAATCAACGAGCCGCCAGTGACAATAAAAAATATTGAATGTGCAATAATTGATCATGCATTCGAGCAGGGATGGATTACCGCAAATCCACCGCAGACGCGAACTGGCCGTAAAATTGCAATTGTTGGCTCAGGACCCGCGGGACTCGCTGCCGCACATCAATTGAACAAAGTTGGACACTTTGTTACTGTATTCGAGAGAAATGACAGGATCGGCGGATTGCTACAGTATGGAATTCCAACAATGAAATTATCGAAAAAAGTTGTTCAGAGGCGAGTCACTCTTCTTGCCACTGAGGGAATTACCTTCAAGACGAATGTCGACGTAGGAAAAGACATTTCCACTAAGGTATATTTATTTTGCATTTTTTCCCAATACATTTATCTAGCAAAATATCTCGCAAAAATCTAATATTCAAATTCTAATCTAGAAAACATGATAATAGCTTATAAATATTTATCTCCTTACTTTTGTAAATTAATAATAATTCAGGGTGGCAACAAAATTTAATTTTATTTATGATGTTTCGATTGTTTGGATTTAGAAAAAATTTAATTTTGTTTTCATTGATTTGCAGACAAAATTTTGACTTGTTCCCTCACTTTAAAAAAACTTGTTCCCTGACTTTAAAAAATATTCTGATTCACTCTCTAAAAATGATTAGATATTCAAAAAAATATTCATTACATTTATTAATGAATAAATTGAAATTCAAAAACTTACAAAAAAATTTAATTATAAAACATGAAAATATAGATCACCCCGAGTCTTCGACTCGGAGTGATCAATTTCTTCATATTTTATAATAATTAAAAATGACCGAGTGATAAAATTATTTCATATTAAAAGAATACTGTTACTGTAACTTCTTAAAAATTATTTTCATAATTTAAATTCAATTCTTTCATAATTTTTGAAATTCATTTGTTTAAAATTCAATTTTACAAATTTCGATAATTATTCGAAAATTCTTCAATGAAATATTATATTAGAAAATAAAATAATTCAAATAATTTCAACAAGAAAAAATCAATTTAAGTTTTTCAAAAAAATTAATTCTACAGAACTGTTAGTTAAAAGTATGAAAAATTCAAATTTTCAAAGATTTTAATTTGAAACCTTTTCAAAATTCAATTATTTCTAAAAATTCACACTATAAAGCTTTTAATATTCAATTTTATCTTAAATTTTAACTAAAATTCATTTTTTTATCAACTTTTATTAGAATATTCTACGAAAAGTCAATTATTTAAATACAGGAATAAATACTTTCTTGAATAAAAGAATGTTTCTTAAAATAAATAAAATGAAGGTAATTGAATTCATGTCAAGATTTTAATTATCGAAAATAATTGAATTTTTAGGAAAGATTTGAGTTAAATTTTTGAAAATAATTGAATTTTTCCAAAGAATTTTATTATTTATAAAGAAAATTGAATTTTTTCGAAAAATTGTATTAAATTTTTTGAAAATAATTGAATTTCTACTAAAAATTTTATTATTTAGAAAGAGAATTGAATTTTTGACAAGAATTTGATTAAAATTTTTGAAAATAATTGAATTCCTGCAAAGAATGTTGTTATTTATAAAAATAATTGAATTATTGCAAATTTTATAGACAAATTTATACAAATACAAAAATAAATAATTTATTGAATAATTGAATCATTCTTAAAATAAATAAAATAAAGATAATTAAATTCATGTCAAGATTTTAATCAAAATTTTTAAAAATAATTAAATTTCACCGAAGAATTTTATTATTTACAAAGAAAATTGAATTTTTGCAAAAAATGTTATTAATATTTTTGAAAATAATTGAAGTTTTTGAGAAGAATTTGATTAATTATGAAAATAATTGAATTCTTGTCAAGATTTTTATTAAAATTGTTGGGAAGAATTTTAATATTTATGAAGATAATTGAATTCTGGTGAAGAATATTTTGTATATTTTTTAAAATAATTGAAGTATTTGGGAAGAATTTTATTATTTATTAAAATTATTAAATTCTTGACTAGAATTTTATTATTTATGAAATTAATAAATCTCTTGCTAAGAATTTCATTAAAATATTTGAAAAGAATTGAATTTCTAGAAGAATTCTAGAATTCTTCGCAGAAATTACTTATAAAAAAATTGAATTTTCGCAAAGAGTTTGATTAAAATTTTTGAAAATAATTGAATTTTCTCAAGAATTTTATTATTTATGAAGAAAAATGAATTTTTTCGAAAAATGTTATTAAAATTTTTGAAAATAATTGAATTCTTGCCACGATTTTTATTAAAATTTTTTGGAAATAATTTTAATATTTATGGAGATAATTGAATTCTGGTAAAGAATTTTTTTTATATTTTTTAAATTAATTGAAGTTTTTAGGAAGAATTTTATTATTTATTAAGATTATTAAATTCTTTACAAGAATTTTATTATTTATGAAGTTAATAATACTCTTGCTAAGAATTTTATTAAAATATTTGAAAATAATTGAATTTCTGCACGGAAAAAAAATTTTATCTGGAACAGCGATAAGTTTCTCTAAAATAGTGAAAGTCTTAACAGAAACAACTAAACATTTGGCTAATCTAGCAAAATTTGTAGCTGTTCCAGGTGAATATTTTTTTCCGTGTGCGAAGAATTTTGTTACTTATGAAAATAATTGAATTTGATTAAAATTTTTGAAAACAATTGAATTTCTGCAAAAAATGTTTATTATTTATAAAGAAAATTGAATTTTTGCGAAAAATCTTATTATAATTTTTTAATAATTAATTGAATTGCTGCGAAGAATTTTTTTATTTATAAATATGATTGAATTATTGGCCAGAATTATATTAAAATTTTTGAAAATAATTATAATTCTTTCAAAAAATTAATTTAAAACTGTTTAGAAAATAATTTAATTCTGACAAAGAATTTTATCAAAATTTTCAAAATTAATTGAATTCTTTTGACGAATTTTAATAAAATTTTTAATAATAATTACATTTTTCGAGGAATTCGATAAAAATTGTACTAAAAATAATTAAAATTCTGCATTGAGTTTTATTATATTTATAAAAATAATTGAATTCATAAAAAGAATTTTATTATTTATGAATATAATTGAATTCCTGTGAAATTATTTTTATTATTTATGAAGTTAATTACATGTTTGTAAAGAATTTAATAAAAATTTGTTTTGAAATAATGGAATTCGTTTGAAAATTTTATTAAAATAGTAAATATTGAAAATCATTGAATTGAGGAAAATTTTTGAAAATGATTTAATTTTAGAGATTAATTTTATTAGTTTTAAAAATAATTGAAATTTTGCCGAGAATTTTTAAAAAATTTTGAACATAATTGAACTTCAGCGAAAAACTTTATTACTTTTGGAAAAAATTGAATTTCTGCAATAATTTGTAATTTCTCCAAAATTAATTTTTTTTAGTACTTTTAACTAAAATTCTGCTATAAATCCATTATTTTTGATAATTATTAAAAATTATTTATTTATTATAAATTAAATACCTATAATTATTAAAAAAATTGAACTAATTTCAGAAGAATTAGAATGATTATAAGTTTTTGCAAAAATCAAAGTTCTTTCTAATTAAATTCATTCAAAATTGAAATTTTCAAAAAATTCAAATTGAAACCTTTTGAAGTTCATCGATATTCATGAAAATTGTAAACGTAACTGGTTTTAAAATTCAATTAATTTTGAAATATTTATCTAACATTTTATGTTCACTTTAGGAATTGAAGAAGCAATTCGATGCAGTATTAATTTGCACGGGAGCAACGTGGCCTCGCGATTTGCCGATTCCTGGCCGACAATTGGAGGGCATTCACTTTGCAGTGAGTTTCTTGGAGCACTGGCAGAAGAAGCAAATGGGAAATGAAGCCCCATTAGATATGCGACTGATCGCTAAGGGCAAGGATGTAATTATAATTGGTGGTGGCGATACAGGCTGTGATTGCATTGCAACATCTTTGCGACAGGTTAGAAAATTCATTGAATTAGAAATCAGTGTAATTCAAAAATTATTGTTGCACCTTATTGAAATTATTTATAATTAATTTCCCTTTTTCGTAAATATTCAATTTCAGGGAGCAAAAACAATTACAACTTTTGAGATTTTGCCAGAGCCTCCAGTGAAGCGAGCCGATGATAATCCCTGGCCTCAATTTCCTCGTGTTTTCAAAGTTGATTATGGCCATGAAGAAGTTCGTCTTAAATTTGGACGTGATCCACGACAATTTAGCACCCTCAGCAAGGTAATTTTAATTCACATTTGTATTTTAATTTTCCTAATTTAATTAAAGTAATGAAATTCAAAACAAGATCAAAAAAATATCTTTAAGAAAAAATACACGTGACTAGAGTTCTAAACAGTCAAATGAACGAAATTCATTGTAGATTTTAAAAATATAAATAAAAAATATTCTTAAAAGGAATCGAATCATTTGGTTAATTAATTTTAATATTATTTTGAAGTCAAAATAAAAATTTGTTTCAAATTTTTCCCTTATATTAGGAGTTCTTGGATGACGGTAAAGGCCACGTGAGTGGAATAAAAACAGTAACAGTCGAATGGACAAAAGATCAAAGTGGACGCTGGCAAATGAAGGAAGTTCCAAATTCAGAAAAGGTATTCAAGTCGAAACAAAATGAATAAGAAATAATTTAAAAGCAACTTAATTTATATTTAACTGAATATAAACTAAATACTGAAAAATATACCAATTAGTTTGATATTATTTCATTGAATTTTCTTCAGATATATAAATGCAACTTGGTTCTTCTCGCAATGGGATTCCTTGGGCCAGAAAAATACATGGCAAGCGAGTTGGAGACAAAATTGGACGGACGTGGAAATTATGAAACTCCTTTGGGAAAATACGTGACAAGTTTGCCTGGCGTTTATGCAGCTGGAGGTAAGATTTCACCGAGACGAAAAATCAATCTATTCAAATTTCAATTAATTTCAATTTCAATGGCAGAAAATTTCAATCACAGAATCAGGGATCACGGATAAAAAAAAAAATCTTTTTGATTTTTTTTTTTTTTTTTTTTTTTTTTGAAAAAGATCTTTTTGTTTTGTTTACAAAATTTTTGAAACTTTAATAATTATTAATTTTAAATAATATAATGATTGCTTACAGTTTTATTAAAATTTTTGATAATGGAATTCTTTCGAGAAAATTAATATTATAATTGCATTCAAAATAATTCAATTCCTGTCAAGAATTTTATTAACATTTTTTAAAATAAGTAAATTCTTTAGAAATTGAATTCAAGCGAAGAATAATATAATTTAAAAATAATTTAATTATTGCAAATTTAATTTATTTTATCGACAAATTTAATAAAAAGGGTATTAAAAATATTTCAATTTTTATAAAGAATTTTACTAAAATTCTTGAAAATAATTGAATTCATTAGAGAAATTTGAGTAAAATATTTGCGAAGAATTTTATTTTTGTATAAATAATTGAATTTTTGGGAAGAATTTTTAAATGTTTTCGATAATAATAATAGAAGTTCTGGGAAGAATTGTATTATTTATAAAAGATAACTGAATTCTTGCTGAGATATTTATGAAAAAGTTTGCGAAGAATTGAAATTATATTGAAAATAATTCAATTCTATTCTAAAAAAATTTTATTAAAACTGTCCGAAAATAATTGAATTTATTTGAGAAATTTTATTTAAATTTTTGAGAAGAATTTTTTTATTCTTGGAGATAATTTAATTCTGTGGAAGAATTATTAAAACATTTTTGAAAATAATTGAAGTTTTTGGAAAGAATTTTATTAATTATGAAAATAATTGAATTTTTGACAAGATTTTTATTAAAATTTAAATTTTTGGGAAGAATTTTATTTTTATGGGGAAAATTGAAATCTCGGAAAGAATTTATTAATATTTTTGAAAATGAAGTTCTGGGAAGAATTTTATTATTTATTATGAATGAATATAATTAAATTCTTGCCAAGAATTTAATTACAATTTTTGAAAATAATTAGATTTCTCCAAAGAATTTTGTTATTTATAAAGGTAATTGAATTCTTGTCTATGATTTTAATTAAAATTTTCGAAAATAATTGAATTTCTGGGAAGGAGTTTATTAAAATTTTTGAAAATAATTGAATTTGTCTAAAGAATATTAATAATATTAATATTGGGGATAATTTAATTCTCTAGAAAACTTTTTTTAGTATTTTTGAAAATAATTGAAATTTTGCCACGAATTTTGTTAAAATTTTTGAAAATAATTGAATTTCGGATATTATTACTCATGGAGATAATTTAATTCTCTGGAAATTTTTTTTTGGTATTTTCGAAAATAATTAAAGATTTAGTAAAAAATTTTATTAATTATGAAAATAATTGAATTTTCGCCAAGATTTTGAATAAAAATTTTTGAAAAAAATTTTAATATTTATGGAGATAATTAAATATTGGTAAAGGATTTTTTTTATATTTTTGAATTTAATTGAAGTTTTTGAAAACAACTTTATTATTTATAACAAATATTAAATTCTTCACAAGAATTTTGTTTTGAAACTAATAAAAACTCTTGCTAAGAATTTCATTAAAATATTTGAAAATAATTGAATTTCTGCAAAGAATTTTGTTATTTATAAATATAATTGAATTTTTGGCAAGAATTATATTAAAATTTTTGAAAATAATTATAATTCTTTCAAGAAATCCATTTAAAATTGTATTGAAACTAATTGAATTCTTAAAAAGAATTTTATTATTTTTGAAAATAATTGAAATTTTGCCAAGAAATTTATTAAAATTTTTGAAAATAATTAAATTTCAGATATAATTATATTCATGGAGATAATTTAATTCTGTGGAAGATTATTTAAAATATTTTTGAAAATAATTGAAATTTTTGTGGAAGAATTTTATTAATTATGAAGATAATTCAATTTTTGCCAAAATTTTAAATAAAAATTTTTGGGAAAAATTTAAATATTTAAGGAGATAATTGACTTCTGGCAAAGAATTTTATTATTTACTAAGATTTTTAAATTCTTGACAAGAATTTTATTATTTATGAAGATAAAAAAACTCTTGCTGAGAATTTCATTAAAATATTTGAAAATAATTGAATTTCTGGGAAGAATTTTATTATTTATGAAAATAATTGAATTTTGCAAAGAATTTTATAAAAATGCCTCAAAATAATTGAATTTTCGGAAATAATTTTGTTATTTATCTTTAATAATTGAATTCTTTCAAAGAATTATTTATGTAAATAATTGAATTTTTGGTAAGAATTTTCTTAAAATCTAAAAGAATAATTGAATTATTTTAAACATTTTTTATTAAAAATTGTATTTAAAATAATTGATTTATTTCGAACAATTTTATTAAAAAATTTGAAAATAATTAAATTCCTGTGAAAAATCCTAATATTTTACTAAATAATTGAATTATTCTAAAGAATTTTAAAAAAACATTTTTTTAAATAATTGATTTTTTCAAGAAATTGAAGTTAAATTTTTAAGATTTAATATTTTAAGATTTTAAGATTTAATTTTTAAGATAATTTTTTTATAAAAAAAAATTAATTTTTATAAAAATTAACAATTTCTTTTTTCAATTTTAGACTGCAGACGGGGACAGTCGCTGATAGTTTGGGCAATAGCAGAAGGAAGGCAAGCAGCAAGAGAAGTAGATCAAGATTTAATGGGAGTAACAGGTCTTCCAGGTCCTGGTGGAATCATATCCGCAGTTTTACATTAAATATAGCCTATATAATCAACAGTTTCTGATCTCTCAAAAAATGCGAATTGATTTCACATGTTTAATTGAAATCATCGCACAATAATTCAAAAAAAAAAATTGAGAGAGAAATATACGTTTTATGAATTTTAGCATGCAACTGCTGTTTTTATGGAAATTTTTACATAACGTAGATAATGCGTTATGAATTGAAGCTATACGACGAAATAGATCTATTCAATAATATCAGATCTGAGTGCTAATTGACGAGTTTGTCCGATAACACAGTTGTTACGATTACTGTAGAAAAAAAAGAAAATTCAAAGACTCGTCTTTTTTATTTATTATATATAATATATTTTTTTTTTAAATTTAATTTCTTATTCGTCCGGGAAATTCTCTGATATCGAGAAAATTCAATAAGCAGTTTACAAAATATTTCTCTTATATATAAGTTTATAATATATATATAAAAATATATATATTTCGTAAAATCAAAAGCAATTATATTAAAAAAAAAAAGAATAGTTTTTAGTACGAAACGCACCAAAGGCCTCTGGAAAAAAATTATGTTCGCATAATTAATTCTTCGAAAAGAAATAGAAATTTTTTTTCTCAAATATATTTATTTGGCGCTTGTGATAAATATCTTGAACAATAATATTTAATTGTGAGAAAATTTCTTAGTGATAAAAAAAAAAATCTTTTTGGATGTATCCTTTTTTTGTGTAAATTGAGAAAAATGGTCAATTACCTTGTAGAGCATGCGAACTGTTTTATTGTTATATAATATAAATGTCATGATAAATTTTGCTTAGGGTGCGCTAATTATACAATTACTATGATATTTACAATATTTTTTTTGTTCATAGTTTTTGTTTCTTATTTTTTTTTTTTCATCGACTATATAAGAAATCGCATTCAATTAAATTTATTTTAAAAAAATAATTTATTTTTTATAATTTTCATTCACGTAAATTAAGGATACTTATATCACACGTTAACAAAAAATGTCGTCAAGTTCGAATTAGTTTATAGTTTTGTAGTTTTAGTTTCAATAATGTCATTTATATCACTGTAAATTTTTGATGCATAACGATAAACTTCTGAGACAATAAAATTATATTGAATGTTAGGCAAATTTATTTTTTATTTTATTTCAAAGTTTGTCTCCCAATCCTCTTTGCGTTAGTTTTCTTTTAAAAGCAGAAAAAAATAGAAAACAGAAAAACAAAAATTGAAAACAAAAACAAAAATTGAAAACAAAAACAAAAATGGAAAATAAAAACAAAAATAGAAAATAAAAACGAAAATAGAAAATAAAAAACAAAAAAATAAAAAATTGAGAAAAAGACAATAAAAAAATATATTGAATACAATTTATAGGATGAAAAATAGTTATTGAAGATGGAAATAATTGAAAAATGAGAATAAATTGAAAATGAATTCTAATTGATTCTATTAAAGAAGAAAATAGTTCAATCTGTGTTAAAAATAGTTTTATATAAAATATCTTACGAAAGATTTATTATTCCTTCGCGCAGTACATTGCTTCCATTTAGCTTGGCTTAAAAGTTTTGACGTAAGTTTTAATCGTATACTTATTATTATTGTCATAATAATAAGTTACGTTAAAATCAAAAATTACAACTAGAAAAGAAAAATACATTTATTTACCTAAAATTATTGTTCAACATAAATTATACTCGAAAAAAATTCATTTGATTCTGATAAAATTTATTTTCTCTCAAGTTTATTTACTATTTCAAAAAATTAATTATTTGAATCAAACAACTTTTCATTCCACTAAATTTATTTCACAAAAAAAATGAAATAAAATCAAATTTCATTTATTTCAAAAAATTAAAAATAAATTTTAATATAATTCTTCGCAAGAATTCAATTATTTTCTAAAAAATTTCAATAAATCCTTCAAAACAATTGAATTATTTTTATAAAATTATAAATTTTTTGCAAAAAAATTCAAAGAAATTCTTGTAAAAATTTAAATATTTTCTAAAATATTTAAAAAATTCAATTATTTTAAAAAATGTTAATTAAATTTCTCAAAAGAATTAAATTATTTTCAAAAATTTTGATAAGATTATTTATAAGAATTTAATTTAACTTTCAAGACATTTTTAATGAAATTTCTTGAAAAAATTCAATTATTTTCTAAAATATTAAGAAAATTCTTTGAAACAATTCAATTATTTGTATAAATAATAAACTTTTTCGTAGAAATTCAATTATTTTAATAAATAACAAAATTCTTCTCATGAATTAAATTCATTTTTATAAATCAAATGATTCTTCATAGAAATTTAATTATTTTCATTAATTATTTTCAATAAAATCATTTTTTAACTAAATTGCTTGACAAAATTTTAATTTTCTTCGAAACAATATTCAATTATTTTCAAAAAAAAACTTTATTAAAATTCTTACCGCAAAAATTGAATAATTTTCATAGAAAATAAAATTCTTTAAAGGATTTTAATTCTTTTTAATTCAAATTCAATAGAATTTCTAGAAAAAATTCATTTATTATTTTTAAAACTTTTGATAAAATTCTTTTAAAAAATTCAGTTAATTTCCGTATATAATTTAAATTAAATCCATTTTGAAAAAATTTAATTCTTTTCAAAAGAAAAGAAAATTCTTCGAAACAATTCAAATTCTTTTAAAAAGTTTTAATAACATTGTATTGAAACGGATAAATATTTGATTTAAATTCTTTTTGCAAGAATTCAAAGATTTTCAATACATTAATTTTGAAATTGAAAATATTTAAAAAGAAAAATTATTTAAAAATATTTTAAAACAAAGAAGCAAACAACAACTAAGTTCAAACTGCGAATAAATTACCGGAATACAACGATTATTATTATAATAATAGAAGATTGTTGTCAAATTAATTTTACGAGATTTAATTTTTTTTAGAAGAATATTATTATTATTACTATTATTATTATTATTATTATTATTATTTATTATTGTTATTATTATTTATTATTATTATTACTATTATTATTATTATTGTTTATTATTATTATTATTATTATTATTATTATTATTATTATTATTATTATTACTATTATTATTATTTTTTATTACTATTATTACAATAAACGTAACAAAAAACTGATTGACAATGAGAAGCAAAAGAAGAAAACGGCCCTGGGAGGAGGCAGAGTGAAAAAAAAGAAAATAACAGTAAATAGAGAAAGTAAAAAAGTACATAAATATATTGTAAAGAAAGAAAAGAGTGAATAAAGAAATGACAATATAACTTTGATAAAGGCCAGAGTAAATTTAGAGGATGAGAGAGAAATAAAAAAATAAAAGCCAAAAAAAAAAAAAAGATGAAAAGAGAAGAGAAAGGATGAGATGACAACAGAGAAACAAAATGTATGAACGAGAGAGAGAAAATTTCTCTCGGCTATATTGGATCGTCTATTTTAGAATATTCTTGCGAAAACTGATTTTAGATTCGTTCGTAAATTGAAGAAAAAACCTTTAAAAAAATTCTCCTAAATTTTTTTCTAATTAATAAGAATTTTAAAAAAATATTTAAACAATTGAAACACTAAATAGTAACAAATATTATTTTGCGTTCAATATTTGAAAATATTTTGCAAAAAAATATCGAAAAAAGAAAAAATTATTTTTTTAGAAAAGAAAAGAATTAAAATTAATTTCTTTGAATTAATTTTTTTGTTTTTTTCCAACAAAACTGATATTGCAATATTTTTGTACTATTATAGGGATTATTCATCTACTCTCTCTCTCTCTCTCTCTCTCTCTCTCTCTCTCTCTCTCTCTCTCTCTCTCTCTCTCTCTCTCTATCTCTCTCTCTCGAGCCTCGCTCCAAGTCCCACTTTACCTCTCATCCCTACCTCTGATATAACAGATATAACCGGTTAGAGTTCCGTAAAAAAAAAGGAAAGAAAAAAAACCAATTTTTCGTCTTTGCACGTGCACACTCACGATTAAGGAACGAGAAACGAAGCATCTCTCTCGTAAAAGAAAATAAGTTTCTTTTTTTTTCTTTTTTTTTCTCGCTTAGAAAATTGACTTCTGATTCGAAAATTATAATTTTACCATCCAAAGAAGAATAAATGATTAAATTTAAAGAAAATATAAATATATCCTTTAAATTATAGTGAGAAAAAAATTTATTTGATTCAAATAACCGATTACTTGTCTAATCAAATAAATATTTACTTGAATCAAAATATTTACTTGAATCAAAATAAATATTTACTTGAATAAAATAAATAATTACTTGAATCAAAATAAATATTTACCCGAATAAAAATATTTACTTGAATCAAATAAATAATTACTTGAATAAAAATAAATATTTACTTGAATAAAATAAATATTTACTTGAATCAAAATAAATATTTACTTGAATCAAAATAAATATTTACCCGAATAAAAATATTTACTTGAATCAAAATAAATATTTACCCGAATAAAAATATTTACTTGAATAAAATAAATAATTACTTGAATAAAAATAAATATTTACTTGAATAAAAATAAATATTTACTTGAATCAAATAAATATTTACTTGAATCAAAATAAATATTTACTCGTATCAAATAAATATTTACTTAAATCAAAGAAATATCTTCTTGTATCAAATAAATATTTACTTGAATCAAATAATTTTTATTTATTCAATTTTAATAAATATTATTCAATAAAAAAATACAATAAAAATTATTTGCTTCAAGTAAATATTTATTTCCAACAATAGAAAAATAATCGGGTTTTTAATTAAATAAATTTTCATCTCAGTGTATTAATAAAAAAATATTATTTATTATATGAAACTATTTTTTTAATAGACAATAAAGAAATATTTTTTCTTAAACGAATAAACTATTTTTTTTTAAATGAATAAAATATTTTTATTTTCAATAATGAATAAACCAATTTTTTCTAAAATGAATAAAATATTTTTTTAAACAATAAAATAAATAATAATAATAATTAAAAAAAAAGAGGCCATTTTTATTTTTAGCGAGATAAATATGATGCAGAGTTATTAATAAATGACTGATGATGATAAGGATATGTATTATTAATGGATTATAAATTGTAAGCTGCTATCGTTATGCATTCGCTTTCAGTCGCAAACGTGTTTATACGAACTTGTTTTGTACCTATAAATGTATATGTATTTCTTGTACAGTATATATACATATATATATATATATATATATATATATATATAAAATTTATAGCATAGAAAATAGTATAGATATACTGTTCTCGAATATATAATGCAAAATAGAAAAAAAAATTTTGTATAAAAAAAATTTATTATTTTTTATTATACCAATTTTCTGTAAAGAAATACATTTGTCTAATATATAACGAAAGTCAATGACAAAAAATATATTTTAGACAATTTCAAATTATAATTATTTTTTTAAATAATTCAATTACTTTTCTCAAAAATTTATTTTTAAAATTCAATTATTTTCTAGAATTTTTCACTTAAAATTCTTTTTTAATTCAATTCTTTTAAAAATTGTTCTCTAAATTTTTCTCTAAAAATGTTTTCAAGATTTGAAATTCAATTATATTCTAGAATTATTAACTCAAAATTCTTTTCTAATTCAATTATTTTCAATTATTTTTCACTAAAATTATTTTCAAAATTTTTAACTAAAATTCTTTTTAACAATTTTTTTCTAAAAGTCTTTTCGCGATTCAAAATTCACTTATTTTGTAAAATTATAAACTCAAATTTTATTTCTAATTCAATTATTTTTAATTATTTTTCTCCAAAGTTATTTTCAAAATACAATTATTAAATTTCTATAGAAAATTTTTAACTAAAATTTATTTTTAATTCAATTGTTTTTAATAATATTTCTCTAAAATTATTTGCAATAATCAAAATTCATTTATTTTCTAGAATTTGTAATAAAAATTCTTTTCTAATTAAATTTTATTTTTTAATAATTTTTTAGTCAATTCGTTGAAAATTCAATTATTATTGAAAGAAAAAATAAAGTCGTACCTAAAATATTTCTAAAATTAAAATTCACGTTTTCAATTCAATTTTACATAAAAATTCAATTATTTGAAAATTTTCCAATTATTTATGTTTTAAATAATTTCAAAATAAAAATTTGTAAGTAAAATTTATTTGCTAATTTATAAGTATAATCATTTTTTTCTTGTTCTTCAAAAATTATATATATTTTTTTAATCTAATTAAATTCAATTACGAAAGTTCAAGTTTTATTATAAATTTTCTTTTCTCAGTCAATTTATTATTAAATAATAACGACGAATTTTGAATCAAATTTCCCAACTTTTTCATTCGCGGGTCAACGTCCTCTTGTTTTTCTTTGCAAACGATTATATTGCAGATTGTGTGCGAGATCTGTCTTTAACTGTGTTATTCGAAAATACAATCATTTATTAATAAACAAAAAATGAATATGATATTTTTACGTTAAATAATTATATAAATTATTGATTTTTGTTTCATACGTTATGTAGTTATTTAATTTATAAATATTTATTTATAAATAATAATAATAAAAATAATAATAATAATAATAATAATAAAAATAATAAAAATTATTATTTAAATTATTAAATAATCATTATTTCTAATTTTTATTGTAAAAATCAATTTACTCTCATGGAAAAGAAAACAAAAAAAGAAGTTAATTAAGTAAAAAATTAATATAACTAGAAAGTTAATTAACTAACTAGAAATGAACATAACTAAAAAATTAATGTTACTAGATAGAAATTCTTCCTCACTCTGTATAATATAATATGTATTAAAATTCAACAAAATTGTTATCATATAATATTGTTTTGCGTGGTTGACCTTCAAAAAGCAGAAGTTGTTTATTGATAAAAAATATAATAATACTGGTATTTTTGCAACTTTAAAAAATTAAGCGTATAAAGCTTAAAACTTTTTCAAAAATTATATTCATAAGAATATTGTTGTACATTCAACATGTTACAAAAAATTTTTGCTTTATTCGTATTTCTCTCAATTATTGCTTCATTATGTGGCGAACCAAATTTACCACCTGCAAATAAAGTAAGCCCCAAAAAAAATAGATTTTTTCAAACTTAAAACTTAATTTTTCAATTCCATTTTCACATGAAAATTCGATTATTCGAAAATTTCCCAATTTTGTATAATTTAAATAATTTCAAATAAAATTTATTATTTATTATTAATTATTAATTATTAATTATTAAAAAAAAGTAAGAAACTTTTTAACTTTAAAATATGAAACTTTTATAGAAAAAAAATAAAAAAAAATAAAAAAAAAAAATAAAAAAATAAAAAAATTTTATAGAAAAAAAATTTTAGTTTCAAACAAATTTTGGTTGATTAAATAAATAAATAAATGAATTGCTATCAAACATTTCAAAAATAATTGAATTCCTGAGAATTATTTATTTATGAAAATAATTGAATTCCTGAGAATTATATATTTATGAAAATAATTGAATTATTGCGAAAAATTCTATTAAAATGTTTAAAGAGAATTGAATTTTTGTGAAAAATTTTGTTATTTTTAAAAATAATTGAATTTTATAAAAATTGTTTTTTTTCAAAAATAATTGAATTTTATAAAAATCGTTTTAAATAATTAATTTCTTCGAAATATAATAAATATCATGAAAATTTTATTTTAATTGAATTCTTGTGGAAAACTTTATTTGTGAAAATAATTAAATTTTTCGATTAATTAATTTAAAATAGTGTTAAAAATAATTGAAATTCTTCGATGACTTTTATTATTTATGAAAATAATTGAATTCTTGCTCATAGAATTTTTCCAAAAAATTTATTTAAAAAATTGAATTTCCATGAAAAATGTTAGTATTAATGAAAGTAATTGAATTATTGTGAAGAATTGTATAAAAATTAGGTTAAATAATTGATATTTTCCAAATTTTTATTTTTTTTTCATTTATTTATTTTTTTTTTTCAATATTACTTATTAAAATCATTTTTTTTTCTAGATATGTCCAACATGCCGTAAATATCAAGGAAGCATAGAAATGATTGACATTGAGAATAACTTCAATTGGGTTGTTTACTATGAAGGCAATCCTGATTATTCCGTTTTCTACAGATCATTCAAGTCAACACCAGGCATTAGGGTTTGTATAATTGTTCCTAAAAATTTTTAACAATTAAAAAAATGAAATTTTGTTCTAAAAAAAGTCATCGACCTTATGTTTCTGAATCGAGAAAAAAAAAACTTTTACTAATTTTAATTTTTAGTATTATATTATAGCTGAGGGGGGAAAAGAAACAGAAAAATAAATGTACAATTTTTTATCAACTTCTTTTATAGGCCTTCTATCATATTAAAGATCCAATGAAACCGGTTCCTGAACCTCTTACCGACGTAGACCTCTGTAGCATGCACAGTTTAAGCAATGGTTTAGAATCATTTTACCAATTGACAACAATTTTGGCAAGTTTTATTCTACCAGTGGGACTACCATGCAAGGAAGCAACGGTTTGTTTTACAGCAACAATTTTTATACAAAAAAAAAATAATAATGCTCCTAAAATTAGCGTTCACGTTCAGCGAACGAAAATGAAAAAAAAATTAGTGACATTTGTACAAATTTGTACAAATTTGTACAAATTTTTATACAAAAAAAAAAATAATAATGCTCCTAAAATTAGCGTTCACGTTCAGCGAACGAAAATGAAAAAAAAATTAGTGACATTTGTACAAAAGGCTTCAGCCTTTTGTACAAATGTCACTAATTTTTTTTTCATTCACAATAGCAAAGTTTTTTTTTTTTTTTTTTTTTATCAAAAATGTTGCGACGCAATATTTTTGATTCGTTTTTTGTCTCAATTTAACACCGTTAGAAAAATTGTACAATTTATACAAATTTTTTCCTTTTTTTTTAATATTAAAAACGTAGCAAAAAATTGTTCGATTCTTTCAACGGATTTGTATGAGAAAAAAATATTTTTCCGACGCTCGACGTTGAGGTAAACTTTCAGAGAAATTTTTCTTTTCACATAATCTTATGAAAATCGTGGAGAAATATTTTTTTAAAAAAAAAGTACGAATATTGCAGTTTTTTAAATATTTTTTTTTTCCAGGGAAAACGACCAATACCGGCAAAAGTCAGCAAAACATCGTACTACATAAACAGAGAACCAACTCCATGCAATGAATTCAATATTACACTTGAACTTGCGACTCTTGAATCAAAATTAAATCCCTACATGATATTGACATTTAGAGTAACGAAACCAGGAAAAAAATGCGATACATCGCCACCAAAAATACCAACAACAATAAATGCTCCAGAACCAACTGAACCAACAAAACCAAAAGCACCAAAAGATACTGAACCGCCAGAAGCAAAAGTTGGATAAACCTCTTTTTAATTATAGAGGCAAAATATTATACTTTTTGGGTTTTTAAAAATAAAAACAATAATTGTGTGTATTAACAATACATAAAATGCAATTTGTATCAATAAAAAGAAATGAAGTTAATGTTAAAAAGTCTTTTTTTATTTAATTTAATATTATTATCATTACTATATAGCGGAAAATATTTTATTATTATTATGCAAATTAAATTTTTTTTTGCATTAAAATTTTTTCTATTAATTAATTCAATTTTCAATAATTTTAATATATAATTCTTGGCAAAAATTCAATTATTTGATTTCAATAATAAAAATTCTTCGCAAGAAATTCAATTATTTTTGAAAAGTTTTAATACATTCCACAAAAGAATTCAATTATGTATTTAAAATAAAAAAAATAAAATTCTAGACAAGAATTTAATTATCTTCGTAACTAATAAAAAATTTTTCTTAGAAATTCAATTAATTTTAACAATTTGAAATAATATTCTTGACGAGAATTCAATTATATTTATAAATAACAAATATTCTTCACAGCAATTCAATTATTTTAAAAAATCGAGTTCTTGTCAAAAATTCAATTATTTGCCACAATAAAATAAAATTCTTCGCAAGAAATTCAATTATTTTTTTAAGGTTTTTAATTAAATTCCTCATAAGAATTCAATTAATTTCAAAATTTTCAAATTCAAAATTATTAAAGAAACTCCATTATTTTAAAAATTCAAATAAATTCTTCAAAAGAATTTAATTAGGACTTTCGAAAATTCTAATAAAATTCTTCGCGAAAATTCAATTATTTTCATAAGTAACAAAAATTCTTCCCAAGAATTCAATAATTTAAAAAAAATATTAATTTAATATTTAATTCCTCCAAAGAATTCAATTATTTTCAAAAATTTTGATAAAAGTCTTTATAAGAATTTAATTTTACTTTCAATACATTTTTAATCAAATTTCTTGAAAAAAAAATTATTTTCTAAAATATTAAAAAAATTCTTTGAAACAATTCAATTATTTTTATAAATAACAAAATTATACTTATAGAAATTCAATTATTAAATTATTTTTATAAATATCAAAATTCTTTACAAGCAATTCAATTATTTTAAAAAAATTGTAATCAAATCTGGGAAAAAATTCAAATAATTTGCTTTAATAATAAAATTTTTCTTATAGAAATTCAATTATTTTTATGAATAACAAAACTCTTTGTAAAAATTCAATTATTTAAAATAAATTGTAATCAAATTCTGGGTCAAATAATTTGTTTTAATAATAAAATTCTGCACAAGAAATTCAATTATATTTTTAAAAATGTTAATTTAATTCCTCAAAAGAATTCAATTTTTTTTTCAAAAATTTTGATTAAATTCTTTATAAGAATTTAATTTTACTTTCAATACATTTTTAACCAAATTTCTTGAAAAAAATGTTATTTTCTAAAGTTTTAAAAAAATTCTTTGAAACAATTCAATTATTTTTATAAATAAAAAATTTTTTCTTATATAAATTCAATTATTTTTATAAACAATAAAATTCTTGAAAATTCTTGAAAAAAAAATTATTTTTTAAAATATTAAAAAAATTCTTATAGAAATTCAATTATTTTTATAATAAATAACAAAATTATTCTCAAGAAATTCAATTATTTTTGAAAAGTTTTAATTGAATTCCTCATAAGAATTCAATTATTATTATCAAAAGTTAAAATAAAATTCTTGTCAAGAAATTAAATATATTTGTAAATAATAAAATTCTTTCTAGAAATTTAATTAATTTCAAAAATTTTTAATGATGCTTTTGACAAGAATTCAATTATTTTTAAAAAAAATTAAATTCTTGACAAAAATTCAATTATTTGCTTTAATTAAAAAATTCTATTATTTTAAACAAATTTTAATTAAATTTCTCAAAAGGAATTTTTTTTTTCAATAATTTAAAAATATTTTCATACAAATCTTTTTAAAAATTTAATTACTTTTAATACATTTTTAATCAAATTTCTTGAAGGAATTTAATTATTTTTCTAAATTATTAAAAACATTTTGTGAAACAATTTAATTATTTGTATAAATACATAATAAACTTTTTCCTAGAAATTCAATTGAATTTCTAGGAAAAAGTTTATTATGTATTTATACAAATAATTAAATTTTAATTTAAAATAATTATTTTAATAAATAACAAAATTATTCTCAAGATATTTAATTATTTTTATAAATCAAATAATGTTTCGCAGAAATTTAATTATTTTCAATAAAATCATTTATAGAAAAAATTTTAATTTTCTTCGAAACAATAAATTCAATTATTTTCAAAAAAAACTTTATTAAAATTCTTGCAGCAAATATTTAATAATTTTCAAATATAATCAAATTCTTCGAAACAATTCAATTCCTTTCAAAAATAAATTAATAATTTCTATAAATAAATATTTATAATTATAAATATTGAAAGGATAAATAAATTCTAGTATTTTTTTAAATAAAATAAATAGGTACCATATTAAACATATTTTTCAGTAAGAAATTCTTTTTTTTAAGCACAAATTATATAATCTAACTTCTCTTATTTTAGAATTTAAAGAATTTGATAAAAATTGGTTTAAAAATAATTATTGTATTTTAAAATAAAAATTCTTTCTGAACTTTATACACTTGTTTAAATAAGAGAAAAATTGTATTTTAAAAAATGAAAATTTAAAAACCCACAAGCAATGAGTTGTATTTGCGGTTATTTTTAATATTATTTTACATAAAAATTTCTAACATTCAAAAATAATAAATTAAAAAATAGATTTGGAAAAATCTATTAATATTCAAGGTTAAGTATAAAGATCTACTATAATTTAATACATTGAACAAAATATTACGTTGTATTAAGAAAATGAATACATAAATTTATATTATAATATATTATTATAATTATTATTATTATTTGCTACTAAGAATTAAAATTATTCATAACAAATAAAATTATATACTTCTTGTTGAAAAAAACAGTAATTATTCAATTTTTAAATTAAATTAATTTAATTGATTTTAATAACTTTATTTTAATTAATTATTAATTTAAATAAATTTAAATAAATTTAAATGAATTAAAAATTCTTTATAAATTAAATACATATCAAAAGTAAAGAATTATTGTAAAAAAACGTGCTTGATATTGATACGACTATTTTCTCTAATATACACGCAACATAAAATACACGATAATAACTTTTATTAATAATTTACAAAATACATATAGCAGTAAAATTTTCAGAATATTAAAATGCAATTTACTGCAAAAAAAAATATAATTCTTTTTTCAAATATTGTTCTGTTAATTCTTCATATGTATACACACATATATATTTATCTGTGTGTATAAACCAGTAAATTTAACCATCGCGGTCCAATCAACAAGAAAACCGGTAGTCCAACCGGTTTTCGACTTAAGAATATTATATTGGTCAATTGAAAATCGTTGTGTGTACTCTTTTCGTAATTTCTTTGGCGTAAAAATTAAAGTTATCTTTAATGTACGCTGTACGTGACAAAATTCACTTTCAGTGTAATTTTTCGAGTTAATTATTTTGATTATATTTTCAATTATATTTTTCACTCTGATTTTTTTTTCAATCGACAACGTTCATAATTAGATATTTATACTTATATTTGAATTTAGTTTCGTATTTTTCTATTTTTAATTCATATATTCATTCAATTTAATTGAATTTTAACAAAAATAGTACAATTTAACTTTAAAATTACGAAAACTATACCGAATTACGTGTTTCCTAACCTCAAAATTAAGATTTGGTCGATAATATTTTACCTGCTGCAGTTTTCTAATTTGTTGATTGTTATTCATCTCCGATGGATTTTCCTGTATTTTCACTCGTTTTAGAATTAGAATTGATGCTTTAATTTTAATATTCTCCTCGGATTTTACAAAAAAAAGAAAACTTATTGAGTGTTCTCGCACGTTCTTGATGTCAATTTCAATTCAATTTCAATTTCAATGTTCAGCGTTGGCACTTATACTTGCGTTACGCTGCGTATATACGGCCATGACCTGGTGACTAGTGAATACGGCTTAAGCCTGTGAACAGAGTAAAGTTTGGCGGCGCGAACGCCGACCGACCACGGTGTGCACGGCAACACAGTCGGAGAGCAAATAATAGCACTCCGTCTACGTTCCCGTGAACCAATGTAATTCGAGTAGATAATTATGTTTAAATTATAAAATATAAAAGCATGAGATTAAAGGAAGAAAGTAAATAATTATATTTTAATATTAGCGCGTTTTAAGAATCTAAAAACATGAGAGACGACTCTTGGGTTAGGGTTAGAGAGAAATTGTACACTGCAAAATGGAGGGGGACACTTTAAAGCTCTTGAAAGGGCTTTAATTAAGTCTGGACGAAATGTGTCGAATCTGGGACAAGACCAAAGAATGTGATCGAGATCTTCATCAATATTTGGACAGTGTGGGCAATCGCCAGACTGAATGTAATTTTTTCTAGCGAGACTAGCACCAAGGTTATAGTGATTACTTCTTGCACGACATATAGAAGTGATCCAGAGTCTGCGAGCCACGAAGTTCGCAAACCATGGTTTTCTTCTGGGTTGGTAAAAACATTGTGTGTATTTAGCACCTTTATTTTTGCCTACATCCAGAAAGTATGAGTTGCAGCTATCAGATAGCTGTTTTCGAGCAAGACAAAAGAAGTCAGAATAAGATAGAGGTATGTTTAGTTGTTGAGGATTGGTGGATGCGTCTTTCGCCGCCCTGTCCACTTCCTCGTTTCCATCAATACCTGAGTGACCAGGGATCCAAACGAGGGTAGATGGACGATTTAAATTAGAAAGGATTTTTAAGCGGTTTCTGATAGCAAAAATTATATAAGATTTAATTTTGTAGATGTTTTTAGAAGCTAGGTTTTTAAGAACACTAAGAGAATCTGAGAAAATGACCGTATTAGAAAGATTAGAATTTATAATGTAATCTAAAGTAAATAAAATTGCAAAGGCTTCAAGAGAAAAAATTGAAGCATGTTTTGAAATTTTGAATTTAGAGGTTAAATTTAAAGAAGGACAAACAAAGGCGCATCCAGCCAAGTGTTCCTTTTCTGATTTGGAA